TTTGATAACCAGCCACTTGTTCATAACCTTCTTCATCATTGAATGTCCATGGTTGCCATTTATCGAGAACTGGTAACCGAGTTGCTCGACACATAGCGATGTGCCAAGATAAGGAACACAACTATCACCGAATACACCAATACTTGAAGACCAGCTTGTTTGTTTTTACATTGTTGTTTTCTTTTCTTTTTCTTTTCCAATTTCATTTCTTGTTTTTCTTTTGGATTTTCTTTGTAATCTTGTTTTCTAAATCTTTTGGATTTACGGGTGTCTCACCAACATCATTACTCGTAAGCTGGTTCTCTTGATCCAATCAAGTTTCTTCGTTAACACCCGTCACTCTATGTGCTTGAAAGAATATTATGATTAAAGCTTTTGAATGCTCCACCAACTCCACTACCACTACCACTCGATGACGATGACCTGAATAAGACTGACTTATTGGATGATCTATATATCCTTGTGAAGTTGTCAACATTCTTCTTCATTTGGATGTGTGAGTTGGTGTCTTGACCGATGACGTTGATGGTGATTCTGTAGACGCATCTAGAGATGGTACATAGATGGTCTGATACGGGAATCCTTAAACAATTCGTTAACGAATTGGTAATAGATGAACGACCCTAAGCAACTATAGTTGTTAAGGCAGTAACCCGAAACTGCGATTTCTTGGGTTGAGAATCTTGTTGGTTGACGTGGTCTCTAATTCCTTGCATTGCTCAAAGAGTCTTTCGATCCATTTACATATTTATCAACATTCAGACAAGAGTGACTGTATCGGTCAAAGGTCGTGAATTGGTTGTTGGCGTTGTACTCTCAGGTTTCTGTCAGCTTTGTAATTGGTACGTCTTGACTGACCTAGATTCTAATTTCATTTAAATGTGATAATCGTTCTAATTGTTAGCAGGTTGTTGGTGGTGAATCATCTATTTATCTATCTATCTATATACATACGACATTGGATGCCCGTTTGAATAATGGGATACGACCGATACTTGGTTAGCCAAAGTCTTTGAACCATTCACATTCCTCTTTAAAATCAACTTCTTTGTTGTTGGTAAGTGGTTTTAGTTGTTGTTGTTGTTGTTGTTGTGAATACTCTACTTCTACTTCTTCTTCTGATGTGATCTTTGCTATTCCCAACAAATGCATCATCAAATACACTCGGCTTGATTAATCTTTTTTGTATATGCTTCGAAACATTTGCTAAACCTTTCTTTAAGCGTGTTGTTGTTGTATGAAGATCTTCATAAATAAATAAACAGATAAAAGAGATGAAGAATCATCTTTTGATCACGTAATACATAAAAATAAATATCATAATTTTTTTGTTAAAATAAATATCATTTTTTTTAAAGGTCTGCTTGCATCAGTTCGCACAATTGTAAATATCTGTATACACATAGCTTTAAAGTAAACTTGTACAACAACAAAAGAGACAAGAGATAGAGAAGACAAGCGATGGCTGTATCAGTAACAACGACGATTGTAGTTACATTGTTATTGATTGTTTGCATATCACTAGTGAATGTAGATGCATCTACTATCAATCCCATCACATCATTGCCGACATATGATAAAGCTATCAAAGGACAATACTCTGGGTACATCACTGTCGATAGTACAAAGCAATACTTTTATTGGTTCATTGAATCTGAAGCCAACTCAAAGGATCCCTCTCAGGATCCATTTATTATTTATGTATGTGGAAAAAAAAAAATTTCTAATTAAATAATATTTATAGATACTTATACTCGTTTCTATTCATTTGATTGAATCAAACCAATCAAAATCGAATAGTTCCAAGGTGGTCCTGCGTGCTCAAGTATGCTAGGAGCATTAACTGAAAATGGATACTTTACAGTAATGAAAGACATAAAGAAAAGCGGGCAAGACAAATTCTATATCGTTGAGAATAAATATAGTTGGTCTAAACTTGGACACGTCCTCTACATTGAAAGTCCAGCTGGTGTTGGATTCTCCTACAATGAAGATGGAAACTATACAACTGGTGACACTCAAACCGCTGAAGATAATTTGGCTGTTGTCAAGGGTTTCTTTATTATTCCCAGATTATGCTTCTTCTCCTCTTTTTGTTGGTGGTGGTATGTTATTATGATATTAAATGTGTTCATATAGAGAGAGACAATGTTATTGTTTATTTGATATTAATTAATTTATTTATTATAATTTTTTTTAGAATCATATGCAGGACATTATATTCCACAAGTAGCACAATTAATGGTGCAAGATTCATCGATAAATATTCATGGTATTATGGCTGGTAATCCATCGTTTAATTACACAACCGATGCACAATACTATTTACCATTTATGGCCGGACATGGATTATTGTCATACAGCGATTTCCAAAACTTGACCGACATTTGCCAAGGTTCATTTTACCCAGGTACAGCTGAATGTAATGATGCAATCAACATATTGTCGACCAACTTTGATCTCATCAACCCATACAACATTTTGGAAGCTTGCAAGGGTGGAGGTCCCAGCAAAGGTGGAGCTTGTTTCACTGCCGATGCCTTTTCCTCTGAACTCAGACAATCCAACCCAGAGACGACAGTTGCCAAGAAAGATGTGTCTCAGGTATTTATCCCATGTCTCGATGAATCTGCCGTCACTGGCTATCTCCAGAGAAGTGATGTCATGAAACACCTTGGTGTCTCTGTCAGAAATATTGCTACAGGTACATGGCAACCATGCTCGAGTGCCGTAAACTATACTCAATACCTCGAGAATATTCCACAAGACTACCAAACACTCCTCCAAGCCGGTCTTCACGTATTGGTGTACTCTGGTGATTTGGACAGTTGTGTCCCCTATCTTGGCACATCCTTGTGCGTTGAACAACTTGGTTACCCCATTCTCAATAAATGGCAACCATGGACATTCAAGGATGAAGAAGGATTTGAACAAGTAGCTGGTTATCAAATTAGTTATGATTCTTCATCAGCTCATCCAAAGTCAACCCTGACTTATGCAACTGTTAAAGGTGCTGGTCATGTATGTATTAAATTATTATCTAATTAATTTTTATATCATTAATTATTTCTTTTTAAAATATAGATGGTACCGCAATACAAACCAAAAGAATCATTATTATTGGTAACTCAATTCATTTCAAATTCATTGGGTATGGATTCACAATAAATATTTTGGCCCTTCTTTCCGCGATCAATCTAGGGAGAGAAGTGAATAATAAATAATGAATAATATTAAATAAATTAATTATTATATTAATCTATTTGAAACCTTTGGGTAAATAATAATAATAATAAGAATAATATTAAATATTTATAATATTGATCTTGATCAATGAATTTACATCTTTAATTTCTGATATTTTAATTTCAACAATCTTCAAGATTGAATGTAATATTACGGCGTGGTCGAGAGACGGGTGGAATAGCGGCATCAGTGACAGGTGTAGTAGCGACATTAGTGACGGGTGGAGTAGCGGCATCAGTGACGGGTGGAGTAGCGGCGTCATTGACTGAACCATCATCATTGGATGAAAAACCAAGTTTCTTGTATTTTAATTTCCAAGTTCCATCTGCTATTCTATCTAAAAATGATTGAGGGACTTTGTTTTTGTCTTCATAGTCATCATCACTACTTTCGAAATCTTCGGGATTGAATGTAAGGCGTGGTCGAGAGACGGATGGAATAGCGGCATCAGTGATAGGTGGAGTAGCGACATCAGTGAAAGGCATAGTAGTTTCATCATATTCTTCATCATAATCTTCATATTCTTCTTCCACTTCTCCATATTGATCATCTTCTAATTGTTCATCATGATAATGATATTCATAACCATCATAATCTTCATTTTCCTCTAATTCTCCATCTTGATCATAATCTTTCAATTGTTCATCATAATCTTCCAATTGTTCATCATCTTCTTCATGTTCATCTTCTTCCCCATCTTCGAATTCTTCTAAATCTTCATCGGTATCTTCTTCTTCATCTTCATCTTCATAAACATCTTCATCATAATCTATTAATTGACCAACTTGATCATCTCCATCTTCCAGATCCTTGAAGTCCTTCATATACCATTTCATAAACTCTTTCTTTGGTGGCTGGTGAACCCAATTGTAATCGGTATGGTTTCTAGGAATAGTGATTATCTGTGTTCCAGATATATCCTTGATGCAATCCAATAGTTCGTTGTCCAAGCGATATAAATTGGTGATCCAACTATGATGAATACGGATGAGAAGAATTCCGTTGTTCTTACAAAATTGATTTTTGACAAGGTCTCTTTGTCGTTGTCTCTCGAATCCATCTGATGATTTGTTGAAAAAAAAGAAACTCTTTGCGTCAAAGTGTTGTTGACCATCAAATTCAATAATAACTTGATGGTTAACCAACTTGAAATCATATCTAAGTCTATTGAGTGTGACTGGATTATGTTGTGTGGTGAATTGTATTTTATGGTGTTTCAAGTATTTTTCCACTCCCATCTCTCCATAAGAACTGGTTCTTTTACAATGAGTACATGGAAGGTACTCATATCTTGTGAGATGTTGGATTGAATGTGTGTTTAAGTGATTGAAACTACAAAAATAGTCGACCAATTGATAGATGGATTGGTATTCGAATTTAGGGTCGACCATCCTACCTTTATTCGACTCAACCCAGGAAACAACACTAGATGTTTTACTAATAGATGAAAAAAATTAGTATAATAATTAATTTAATTAAATTTGAATAATATTTTCTTCTTACCCATCTTTGGTGCAAAACCTGCAAACAATTTTTCTTTTGTCTATGTAGTTCAAAATAATACTTTGGGTAACCCCCTTGTGGTTACTTTTGTTGCATTCAAACTTGCATATGTTTCTTTTACCTTTAACTGACTTTGGGTCGAGAGTACACCCTTTGTCAGCTACCCGTTGAACCCAGTCAATCTTGTTGGTTTCTAGACGGCACTTTTTACATGAGGTTGTAGCCCTTTGGATATCTTTAAATGATTTATCTTGGATGTGGCCATCTTCGCACATCATTTTGATTTTGCTGAGAAGAGCAGCAGTGATGTCTTTTTCATCCAACAGGGTATATCCCCTTTTCTCCAAAAGTTTTTGACGATACATTTTCTTTTCTTTTGGAGACTGTAAATTTTGTTTTGAGGACTTGATTGGTTTACGACTAGAATAAATAAATAAAAAGTTGGTTAATATGTTTAATCCAGGTAGTTTTTTAAGAGTTGGTTTTAAAAAATACATACCCAAAATTGGTTTTACATGTGGCCACATGAGTACGTAAATTTTGGTTCGTTGAGCTAAAGGCATAAGTTCCTGTTACCCTCCATGTTGATTTGCAATGTGGACATTTAATGTTGTATATACCTCCATCCTTTTCAAGGGTCTCGAATCCATATCCTTCAAAGTCGTCCTCATGCGAGTTATATTTACATTGTTTACAATCAACTGAAACTGCTTCTTTGTTTCTTGATAATTCATGTGTAGATTTTGAAATTTTATGTCCATTGGGGCATAATAAGTTAAAATCATCTTTGTTTGATATGTATTCTGAACCAGAATGTGTTTGGCAGTTATTTTTTTTGACAGTATTCAACACTTTGACAGCCGATCCCTAATAAAAATAAAAAAATAAAAAATAAATAATTAATATGATGAAGTGATTGAAAGTAGAAACAAATCATTATGATAGATGATTTTTAAATACATACTTGTGCTCTTTTGTTAAAACGGAGTGTTTTATTCACTTTGATCTTGTAAACATTACTTTCTTGATTTTCAAAATCTAATTGTTTGATCATTTTCAAAGATTGACCATTGAGTTGATAGTAATTGTATTGAGACATTGTATAAATGAAAATGGTGGAAATACGATATATTAAAAGAATTAATTGAGGTTGGGTGACTGGTAAATTTGAGATAATTTATCTATAAAGATACACTGATTTGGTAAAATGGAAATACAAATTGGCTGATTGTTGTGAAATTTGATATTTTTAAAGTGTAAATGGCAATGTCTAGATATAAATTTATTTAAAATGGATGAAACTGGGTGGATTTGAAAGGATAATGTTGAGTTTGAACTTTACAATGGATAATTATAGGTTGATTGTCAAAAAATTATAGTTATTTAAAATGAACTAAATAGAGTTGAATGGATAGTGTGTAGATAAATGATTAAAAGGGATAGTTATAATATACACAAAAGATAGAGAAATACAATGAATTGGTTAAGATACTGATTTGGAATAATAAATTACAAATTGGTTGATTGTTGTGAAAGTTGATAGTCCAATAAAATTGATCAGATAGAGTGAATGCAAATGGTTAGTGTTAAGACATAAATTTATGTCCAAATGTATTATTATTTACAATTGATTATAATAATAAACACAAATGATATAATGAAAATGCAAATTGGTTGATTGTTGTGAAAGTTGATGTTAAATAGAGTGAATGTTGAGATATTAAACTACAAATGATAACAATACAAATAATAGATATAATAGATATAAAATATAATAGATAATAGATAATAGATAATAGGTAACAGATACTATGATTGTTGTCTGATAGATAATAGATAGTGAGTGAGCGAGTGAGAGGGAGAGTGTATGTGATGTTCATTTTTTCCCTTTTTTTTAAATTTTTCAAGTTTTAATAAATGTCAAAAAATAAATAATAGTGACCAGTTTGTATAGACAGTAACTAACTTCCTTTACACTAGTACCAACACAGTATGTGTCTTTGAGATGATGGACAAGCCGACACTGTCATCTCAATCGCACCATTACAACAACATGAGTATTTGAGCACACAATTGAATCATCAACTTTTTGGGATGGCAAGGTTTTCAATACTATAGAGAATAGAGGTCCTTTATCAATACTGATATACATCATATACCATCAAAAGATCATAAAAGAAAACTCAACTATCTTTGTTGTAGTTAAACCACATCTGCAAATGGCTATCACCAACTATCCAATTTTTTTTCTTTTTTTTGAACTTTTTGCAACCCATTTGTTGTGATCATGAACAAATTTTGCGATATTTGATTTCATTTTCTTCAATTCCATTAGTACTGATAGGATAAAAAAAGATAGAAAAGAGAAAGTAACTTAATAAGCATTCAACAGATACAATGAATAATCTTGTCAAAGTAATGACTATTGTCATTTAGAAAAGAAAGATCAAATTGGTGCTATCAAAATAGTATCGAGACAAAACTTGATTCTCTTTGGGAAAGAACTCCTATATTTCATCGTGCACCTCTTTTCATTGTAATGAAACTACTAGACACTTTACTTGGATCATTGATGACACTATCACTCTAGCAGTAGTGTTAAACACCCACCAACAACCAACCACAACAAAATAACAGTAATAGTAACAACAATAATAATAGTAATACTTATGATAATAGTAATAATAATGATAGAACTACTCTGTACAAGTAACATATCAAGATACTGTACAAAGGATCTCCCTTTGAAGGTTATCTTTTTCATTGGACAATGAAAACGATATATTTGGCAAATATGACTATCCAATAGAAAGTGTGTATCTAGAGGACAGTGGTTGTATTTATACATATCTTTCAAAAATCAAGTCATGGTCGGAAGCTGTCCATTTTATGTAATACAACCATTGATCATTCTCTCACCTATTCTCAATGGATGCATTAAAGAGTGCCGTTTTTGAAGTCGATTAAATTGGCATTTGTGTGAAATCAATTTGGCTCTAGACATCATTGTTTGGTTGCTATTGGTTTCAACAATCGTATAAATCGTAGTAATTTTTGTCAACTTAACCAATTTACACTTTCCAAACTATACGAAACTTCAATCTGTGCAACATTTTTAAAGACCAACCAAATAACATATTTCTTGGCCAACTCGTACACTTTGAACCACACTTGATCATCTATCAAGCTCTTATTTGTCAAATTGAGTGATTACAAGACTATACCAAGTTGCTCCACACACAGCTCAACAATTTCAAGACTATACCTAGGTAGTGAAAATTTTAGAGACTAATGTACAGTAATTTCCAAAACTTGACCGACATTTGCCAAGGTTCATTCTACCCAGGAAATGATGTCATCAACTAATTAGTTCGACCTTATCAACCCCTTACAATATTTTGGTGTACTCTGGTGATTTGGACAGTTGTGTCCCCTATCTTGGCACATTGCTGTGTGTGGAGCAACTTGGTTACCAGATCTCGAAAAATGGTAACCATGGACATTCAATGATGAAGAAGGTTATGAACAAGTGGCTGGTTATCAAATTAGTTATGATTCCTCGTTAGTTGTGACACACGGACAAGTGGTTGATGCAATGATTACCAAAACACTTGGTCCTTCTTTATTTCTTCATCAATATAATACATAATCTGATAAATAATTATAGTATAACAATAATAATATTTGTTGATTAATCAATTTCCTTTCCAAGGTCCCACTTTTATAATCTATAAATTGGAATATATCTGTATGGTTGGTGTCTTGGATATTACAAATTGTGGAAATATCATAAATTAAAAGGATTGAAGTTGAGTGACTGGTGAATTTTGAGATAATTTACAATACAAATGGTATAATAAATTACAGGTTGTTTGATTGTTGATATTTATTTAAAATTATCCAGTGAATGAATAGTGTTGCAGATATAACTTTACAATGGATAGCCGTGAAATTTGATAGTTGAATAAAATGAATTCAATGAATGTTGAGATATTAAACTACAAATGATAACAATAGATGGATGATTAACTAATATTTGATTATATGAAAAGTGAAGTCAATAAAGAATCTAAAATATGTTACTACAATAGATTTTGTAAAGCCGCTACTGGCATCTGCTTTCATATCGACACTGCCATGTTATAGAGATGATTCATTGTATCATCCATGGGCTCAATATTGCATGCTGAAACATTGACAAAGAATTCAACAATACAATGAATCATCTCTATAACATGGCAGTGTCGATTGTTGGATTTGACTTGATCCGTATATTGGTTGTACCATCCCTTGTCTTACTTTTGATATGATACACCATTATATATTGGATCAATATCTTCTTTGTATCACTCTCTCTATACTCTATCTTTAAATCATTACATATAGCAGCCACTTTTTGTTTACTCTGACTTGATAACTCTTCTTCTGTATATATTCTCTTGTTATCTTGTTGTTGTTGTTGTTGTTGTTGTTGTTGTTGTTGTTGTTCAGTATCTTGATTATTATTATCATTACTACTATTATCATTATCATTACTATTACTATTATTATTCTTTTGTTCATTATTTCTATCTTGAGCTACTATTATTAACTATTTGATCGATGATGTATGATTTTATATTCTTTCAGTGATTGTATCTAGTTAGATCTAATACTTGACATATTCGATTTTGATTGGTTTGATTCAATCAAATGAATAGGAACGGGTATAAGTATATCTAAATAAATAATTATGTTTTAGCTGGATTTTGATTGGTTTGATTCAATCAAACGAATAGGAACGGGTATAAGTATATCTAAATAAATAATTATGTTTTTTTTTTTTTTTTTTCCATACATAAATTATAAATGGATCCTGAGAGGGATCCTTTGAGTTGGCTTCAGATTCAATGAACCAATAGAAGTATTGCTTAGTGTCTACTGTGATGTATCCAGAGTATTGTCCCTTGATAGCTTTATCATATGTTGGCAACGATGTGATGGGATTGATGGTCGATGCATCATTCACTTGTATGCATATAAGCAATAACAATGTGACGACAATCGTTACTACTGATATAGCCATCGGTTGTCTTCTATCTGTTTTGATGTATAAGTATACTTAAAAGTAATAAAGATACTTTAGGATCACCTGATCATGAACTGACGATAGCGGTTAAAAATGCTGTTAAAAAAATTCAAAAATTGCGTGTTCAGATTTTTATATTTATCTAACGGCTATGATAAAAAGAACTTGCTTCTTCTACCGAAATGGTAGAGAGCTGCTCAATAGAGCAATTGATAGTAAGTAGTATTACCATGTATTCATCAGTCGCGAGTTCTAGTCTCTTGGTTTTGATAAATAAATAATTAAATAAGCCAGACAATAAAGGATTAGCAGATCTATCTTTTAATCAGATTGGGATTAACACCTAACGACCCAAGATCTATTCGAAAAGTGTTCTTGGTTGGTAGTTGGTTGGGTTATGGGCGTCTTATGATGGGAGTAGCCCTTAATTAATTAATTTAACCTAAACGACGAGACGACAACCTCCTACTTTGAAAAATAAAAAATCTGTTTTGGGATGGGTGATCTAAACAATGATCAAGTATCTGCAGTTACCATCAAGTGAGAGAAGGGGGTTGGTTCTGCTATTGTTATCCTTTCGTTTTTAAATGTGCACTCTAAATTAATTAACTTGTGATTTCTTTCTTTCTTTGATGACTTGTGCAAGCCATTCTAGCAAGATACCAAAAGCCATGTTCTTTTAATTCAATTGAAATCAATCATACTATCTAGTTAGAAAAAAGAAGAAAGAGATAATTATGAAATATATATTTGTATTATTATTTGTATTGTGTTACTTTGCACATTCTATCCATTCACAAAGTTTGGATGCACCTGAACGTATGTACAAAATTGTTGAATCACATGATTGTTTTACTTATATTTAATTTCCTCTCTTTACTTTCCTCTAAAGAGACTGCACTTCAAGAGATAAGTGTAGCATTTGGTTGGAATTGGAATCTAACTGACCCTTGGTAAGATTTATAAATATAACTTTGTCTCTGCTCTGAGACTGTTCTATTTTTATCCAACATAAAAAAAAAAAACAAAAAGTGGTGATCTCTTGTAATATTAATATTAAATGTTCTCTTATTATCTCATTGTTATAAATATATAAATCTTTAGTGGAGTGAATAGATTATTTTGGGTATGTTCAAAAGATCAATTACATCTTACAACCCTAGTACTACCAGGTAGCAAGACGAATGAAGGTGTATTACCAAGCAGCTTGGCAAACTTTAAGAGTTTGACCTATCTCGGTGTCAATCGTTACTATGGTCTTTGGGGACCAAACTATAACATGTATATCCCAGAGTCTTATTGGTCAACTATTGGTGATAAGGTTAACTTGTCTCAAATGTATGTATATACATAAATATCATTCACAACAACGACAACACCTTGATCTGACTAGAAACTAACATAACAAATTTGATTTAAATGAATTATAGTACATGTGAAAATAATTGTATTCAATCATTCCCTAGTAATCTTGGAGCTGGGTTTCCAACTGCTTTAGAGAATGTGTATGTAATGAATGAATGAATGAATGAATGAATGAATGAATGATATTCAGACTTTATTTTACTTACATTACTCTCTTTCTTTTTCTTTAGATTTTTTGCATATTTAAATGTTCAAGTACCATCAAGTATATTTAGTTCAACGGTTAAATATTTTCATATATTTAATGCTAGTACTGGATTATTCCCATTGCCAGAGTTACAAACCACATCGTCACCGATCGTTAAATTGGGGTTTGGAGTAGACGCAACAATTCCATCGAGTTGGACAGGTTTTAAGAATATGACTGCGTTGTGGTTGTATAAAAACACACCCTCTGCATTTACATTTAATTCTTTTGACCAGTTTCCAGGACTAGTGTACTTGCAAATATCAAACTATGCTGCCAACCCTACCCAATCACCCTTCCCATCGAGTATATTGTCCAGTACCACTCTGTCACAAATCTCCATCAGTGGTAATACATTTACATCTACCAATCCTGCACTAGACGTAACCACAACCAAAATCAATAATATTGAAATTGAAAAGGCTCCAACTTTATTTAAAACATTTACGAGTTCAGCTGCCCCATATGCCTATGTTCGTTCTCAACAACAAGCCCTAGTCAATTGGTTCTCTTGGAAAGGATCAAGTAGTTCTGGTTATACTCCTTCAATTGGTAGATTTAATATTTATGATGGTTCAAGTAAAATGTATGTAACAATCAAACAAACAAACAATTATTTAATTTAATTAATTTTTTTTTAATTTTTGCTCAAGTGATTTATCAAATAATAATTTAACAGGGAATATACCATTACCAGTTAATGGAGTATTTGTTAAATCATTTTCATTGACACTTGATAATAACTTGTTGACTGGAGTGGTACCAGAAGATTTTTGTGGTTTAGAGAGTGATGCAATTAGTGTCGCCTATAACAAGTTGGGAGGTGTGTTGCCTGATTGCTTTGCTTGTGAAATTGACAAGCTGTACAACAGGTTCCGTGGTAATAGTTTTACCAATTTTGTAGACAAGGGATCTGCACCTTCTAGTCTACAGGTCAACTGTACAAGCTTTGCCATTACTGGAGTGTCGTCTAATTTGATCCCTACCACTGGTGGATCGGTCACGGTTACTGGTACAAGTCTCGGTTGGACAGTTGGTGCTGCCAAGAATAATGTTCCAACTCCCCAGTTTATCACTTTCAACACCAAATTGTACTTTAACGTTCCAAAGGGTATGGGTGTCAATATCACCTACCCATACCTATTCCATAACCAACGTCAGTCGTACAACTATACATTCTCATACATGCCACCCAATATCACGGGTGCTACAGTCCAAAGTAACAATCTGTACATTCAAGGTAGCAATTTTGGAGAGTCGACTGGTATTATCGTGACGAGTATTGCCAACAAGACAATCAGCTACATTTCAGTCAGTGACACTCAAATTCGTTATTCAACCAACCCACTTGGCACTACTGTGCTCACCGACACCATCTTTTGTGTTCGTCTCAACGTGTCTGGAAACTATGTCGAAAAGGTTCTAGATTATCTGACTGGTACACCACTCTTGGTCAAGCCCTATCCCAGTGTCAACTCGTCTGGTGGTGTTGTTACTTTTAATGCTTCGCATGTTGGTCATGATCCAACTCTTGTCTCCTTGTCCATCAATAATATTCCTTGTCCACTTACCAAGCAAAATAATGGTATCTCCATCACTTGTCAAGTTCCTCCAGGGTCTGGTTCCGTCCCCATCTCCCTTAAAGTTTACAACTATACTTTTACCGATACTTTTACTTATAGTCAAAATAATGGTGGCAGTACAACAACAGCAACCAGTAGTCAAAGTACCTCCTCTACTACTACCACCGCCACCACCACTACATCTACAACTGGAAATAATCCAACTACAACCAGCTCAACAACAACAACAATGACAACTACAAGTGATCCAACTAGTTCTACTACAACAACAACTACAACTGATGATTTCCCAAGTAATGCATCAACTACAACATGTTATTCTTTTGGATTTGGATTAATAATTTTGGTATTGTTCAATTTATTTTAATTAATATTTAATTTATTTAATTTATTTAATTTTTAATAAATTTTTCATTTTGAATTGTATTTATTGGTTAGAAAGAAAAAGGGGATACAAAGAATTCAAAAGTGATTTAATGTCTGTTTGAGGATGGATGACAAAGGTATGAATGGAAGGGTTGGCTTGGAGAAACTCAATTGCTTTGTCTTGATTTTAGGAATAGGAATGGGATGTCAGTTTGGTGAATCGATGGTTCGAGACTATAAACTTGGTTGATTCATTCATATCACCAACAATGATGTGTTTGATATTTGGGAATTGTTGTAAAAGTAATGGTTGGGAACTTTCTTCCAGTCGAATGGTTTCTAGCGATTGTTTGAGTGTATTGCTTGCATGTCGAGCCAAAAATGGTAGTTGTGGTCTCAAGTGAGATGGAAGTATCAGTTTGACAAGTGGTATTTCCATCGTTGAAATAAATTGTTGTAAGATGTTACTATCTCGACAAATGAAACCATCAAGATTTAGTTTTCTCAGGTTGTTGAATGGAAATTGTTTGTTGATGGTTGGTAGGATTGACATTTTGATGCTCTTGGCATTTTGTAGACGTTCCAGATCACAATTAGAAAGATTGTTTGTAACTGTTGATATTGTTTCAATGGTTTTAAACAATTGATTGTTATTAAATATCTGTATTTGGTGTTGCCTTTTGATATTAAACTTTGTAAATAGTTTGTTAAATATAAATGATCGAGTTGTCTTGGAGACGGTTGAAAACTTTGATAGTCTCAACCTGTAGATACTTTTGATGGTGTCTATCAAGTGGGATGAATAGAGAAGATCTATCAAACCAACAATGATGAGGACAATTTGATTGAATGCTTTCAAAATCTTGATTTGATTTTAAAAGTATAATGTCTCGATTACTAAGATCTTTCTTTCCATTTGAATTATGATACCATCTAATTATTGTACTATCACAATTACATCTATTCATACTATTCCATAATAATTTGATGATTTTGTAAATAATAATGTTTGGTAGTAGGAGTGGAATGTTATTATTATTATTATTAATGATATTACTATTATTATTACTATTTATATTATTAATGATTTGATTATTATGTTGATCATTTCTATAGAATATATAATTTCTATCGTCTTGTCCAAGACACATATCCTTTGATGAATTAAAGTATATGTTTGATTGTAAGAGTTGTTGGTGTTGGACATCTGTCAAATTTCTTTTAGAATAAACAACTATTCTTGAAAGTTTGGATTGTTGATTGAGTTGATTACAAATCGTTGCAAGTGTTGCAAAATCAATCCTTTTAGATTTAATCTTAGAGTTGTAATATGTGGATTACTCTCTAAAAATCTACTATACATATCAGCATCACCATTTGAATATTTTGTGGTTGTCACTGTAGTTATTCTATCTGGCAGAATAATGCTTGAAATCTCTTTACCATTTTCAAATTCAATGTGTACATGTCTTAGATTGGGTAGGTTCGTTCTTGGTGGCTGAACTTGTACTTGACTAGCGTGATTACCGTTGTTTTGAAATAATGAATTGTATAATTTGACATCCAATTTGATAACTTGTAATGACTCTAGTACAATATCTTTTGCTTTTAATATGACTGATGGATCATGAAAGAGTAACTTGGTCATTGGTCGATTCAAAGAGGGGACCAAATCTTCAATAGAATATCTATGGAATTGAGAGTCGATCGAGGTGAGACTCGTCAGTGCACCGAATTCAGGGTTTTGGTTTCCCAAATAAACAAGAGATTTAAGATTGGCAAGTTTTGAAAGTTTAACGAGGTTGACACTGGTTTTGTTTAAATGATCAATTGTAACGTGTTCAATTGTCTTGACAAACCATGGTGGTGCATCAAGATACAATTGATTGTATGGTGGGAGGTAGATTCTATTTGCAACTTTGATTCCATTGTACTGGTTGTTGATATGACTCCAAACTGATTTTTCAAACTTTTCTCTTGGCATCTTTTGAATCAAATGTTTGTTGTCATTTGTTGGCTATCTCTATCTTTTATAATGAGCAAATAATTTATCTTTCTTTGTGACAATTGATTGATTGAGTTGAGATTTTGGGTCAAAAAGTAAAGCAGGTTCAACGTCATAGTTACTATGATTAGCCAAAAAGTAAATGTTTTGTATGTGATCCAATCTATTGAAAATTGAGAACAACAAATGAGGGTCTGTTTGAAATTCAACGACCAAGGTATGGATGGAAGGGTTGGCGCGGAGAAACTCAATTGGTTGGTCAAGTTCAAAGGCATGGGTGGTCAGTTTGGTGAATCGATGGTTAAAGGCTAATGGAGTTGTGAAAAATTTTGATTGGTCCTTCTTTGCCTTTAAAATATGAGAAATGATGTGTTTGATATTTAGGAAAGTTGTAAAAGTAATGGATCTGAAGTTTCCTCCATATCCATGGTTTCGAGAGATTGCTTGAGTGTTGCAGTTGCATATTGAGCCAAAAATTGTAATACTGGTCTCAATTGAGACAGGGGGAGTGTCAGTTTGACAAGTGGTATTTCCAAAGTTGAAATGAATTGTTGCAGATCGTCTCGAAAACGTATACCATCAAGATTGAGTTTTCTAAGGTTGTTGAATGGAAATTCTGAAGAATCTTGGCTTGTTGTAGTCGTTTCATATCTAGATAACTTACATATTTAATCGATATTCTATCAATGGTTTTGATTATTTGATTGTCATTCAATTCAAGTTTACCAAACTTTGTAAAAAGATTGTTAAATACAAATGATCGAGTTGATTTGGAGATGGTCGATAACTTTGATAGTCTCAACTGATAGACACTTTTTAGATGGTGTCTATCAAGTGAGAGTGGGAGGTATAGAGCCGATCTATCAAACCAACAATGATGTGGACAATTTGATTGAATGCTTTCAAAATCTTGATTTGCTTTTAAAAGTAAAATGTTTCGCGGTATCCTCCACAACTTTCTTTCTTGTTGTGTATTGTTTGATTTTGAAATTGAATAATCACAATTACATCTATTCATACTATTCCATAATAATTTGATGATTTTGAAAATAATAGTATTTGGCAGTGTTGGTAGTAGGAGTGAAGTAGTTGTTGAAATATTAATATTATTTATATTATTATTATTATTATTATTATTATTATTATTATTATTATTATTATTATTACTAATATTATTAATGATTTGATTATTTTGTTGATCATTTCTATAAAATATATATTTTCTATAGTCTTGTCCAAGAAACATATCCTTTGATGAATTAAAGTATACGTTTGATTGTTGGAGTTTTTGATGTTGCGTAACTGTCAAACTTCTATTTGAATATACAACTATTCTTGAAAGATTTGATTGTTGTTGTTGTTGGAGTTGTTGACAAACATTTCCAAGTGTTGTAAAATTAATATTTTTATATTTTAATCTTAGAGTTGTAATATGTGGATTATTCTCTAAAAATCTACAATACATATCCTCATTGCCATTCGAAAACTTTGTAGCTGTCACTGTCGTTACTCTATCTGGTAGAATAAATTCTACAATGTCTTTGTTACCATTTACAAATTCAATGTGTACATGTCTTAGATTGGGTAGGTTCGTTCTTGGTGGTTGGATTTGATTATTGGTTTGAAGTAATGTTTTGTATGTATTGACATCCAATCTGATAACTTGTAATGACTGTAGTACAATATCTTTTGCTTTTAAAATGACCGATGGGCTATCAATGATTAACTTGGTCATTGGACGATCCAATGAGAGTACATAACAACCGATGTTATTGTCATTGCAATTGTCAGCAGTGATAGAGTTTAGACTCTTTAGTGAGCGGTAATCAGGGTGTTGACCCCCCAAGACCACAATCGATTTAAGATTGTCAAGTTGTGAAAGTTTAATGACACCTACGTTGATCCTGTTTAGTTCACCAACTGTAACATGTTCAATCGACTTGACAAACCAAGGTGGTGCATCAAGATACAATTGGTTTGATGATGGGAGGTAGATTCTATTTACCAATTTGATTCCATTGTTTTCATAACTGATATGACTCCAAATAGACTTTTCAAATGCTGCTCTTGAATCTCGATCTCGTGGTGGAGCAGTAAAATTACGAGAGATCGTAGTCGAGAGATGATGGAATACCTTTTTAGAGATGGTCAACATAGTCTGCTTCCATTGTATTTCGATGGGATGAAAACCACTTATTTCAATGTTGAAGTGAGCCCATGGATGATACAATGAATAATCTCTATAGTACATTGCATGTTGTGGGAATCGTTGATTGTTGTCTTTAACTTGATCGATAAACTGACTGGTTTTAGAGTTTAATTGTTGACCGAGAATCTTGAATGGATAGCTTTCACTTGATGAGATAATCTTACGATTCATCTCGGTTTGTAGGTCTTGTAACTCTTTAGGATAGATACAAGTACAATACTTTGCATCATTCCAAGCCTGTGTTAGAATACTCGAAATGATTGACCAAGGTAGCGAGTATCCACCACTCAACGATGTTGGTGTAACCTCTGTCTTTTGATATACCACTATATGCTGAATCAATATCTTCTTTATATCACTCTCTCTATACTCTATCTTTAAATCATTACATATACTAATGACTTTTTGTTTACTCAAACTTGATAACTCTTCTTTTGAATATATTTTCTCTCGATTATCATTACTATTATTACTATTACTATCATTACTATTATTACTAGTCTTAATATTATTATTATTATTATTATTATCTCTATTATTATAATGATTAAGTATTTGATCGATGATGTATGGTTTTTTATCCTTTGCAGTGATTGTATCGATCTTTAAAGCTTGACATATTTCTATTAAATCATCTTTATATAATTGACCTAAACTACTCTTTGTTCGATATTCTACTATATCTTCTATATTAAACTTTCTTTTCATTCCTCTTTATTATTATTATTATAAATATATCTCTCGATTTGTACTCTTATCTTTGCGCAAGCACTTGATCATGTGATGTCTTTACGAAAAAACAAAATTTCAAAGAGACTCAAAAATAAATGCATGTTTGTTTTATATTGATTTTATAAATAGAGATATTTTTTGCATGGATTATCTTATTCAGGAATACATTTATTTATTTATGGTTTTTTATTTGTTGATCTGTAATCCAAATCTCTTAAAATGAATAAATTGTTTATCTTTTTTAAAGACAACAACTTTTGAAAACATAGATTTGCAATCTTGATGGTTAAAAATGGCTTCATGTTCCATTTCAAAACGATAATCGATATTATAGTAAATGTTTTTGATTTGATTGAACCCTTTGAAATGATCTAAAAACATTTCTATAAGAGTGGTATTGAGAATGACAAGAGTGTGGATAGAAGGGTTCCATTTGATAAAATCCATTAATTTATGTGGGTCAGTATGTGTTGTCAGTTTGGTGAACCGATGGTCCGAGACAAATGGTATTTCGAGGAGTGTTTCTTTATGATAAGCACTTAATCCAGCAAACATAATGATATGTTTGATATTTGGAAATGACTGTAAAAGAATTGGTTCCGAATTTACTTCCATATCCATGCATTCAAGTGATTGTTTGAGTGTTGAGCTTGCATGTTTAGCCAAATATGGTAGAATTGGTCTAAATTGAGATGGGAGTGTCAATTTGACAAGTGGTATTTCCAATGTTGAAATGAATTGTTTCAACTTTTCATTTGATCGTACCTTGAGACCATCAAGATTAAGTTTTCTAAGATTGATAAATGGACGTACTTTGTTGATGATTGGTATTTTTGTTAATTGGAGATTGGTTGCATCTTGCAGACGATCCAAATCACCAGGTTTACTTGCCATGGTTGATATCTTTGTAATGGTTTTGATACATTGCTTTTCATTGAATTCAGATAATTGGTATTCTTTGATTTGGCCAAACTTTGTAAACAACTTTTTAAATACAAATGATCTAATAGATTTGGAAATGGTTGACAAGTTTGATAATCTTAATCGATAGATACTTTTTTGTGTAAAAGCAGAACGCAATCTAAATGCTGGAATGTACAGAGAAGATCTATCAAACCAACCATGATGAGGACAATTTGATTGTATTGATTCAAATTCTCCATTTTCCTTTCCAAGTAGAATGTCTCGACTGGTCATTGTCTTTGAATCAAAATACCATTTTGAAATTGAATCATCACAATTACATTCATTCATACTATCCCATAATAATTTGATGATATTGGAAATAATAATGTTTGATAATGTTGGAAGGAGAGGGGTTGAATTATTATTATTATTATTATTATTATTATTATTATTATTAATGATTTGATTATTTTGTTGATCATTTCTATAAAATATATATTTTCTACTCTTTTTTAATGAACTCTTCTCCTTTGATGAATTAAAGTATATGTTTGATTGTTGGAGTTGTTGATGTTCAATATCTGTCAAACTAGAATGAAAATAAACCATTATTCTTGAAAGTTTTGATTGTTTGAGTTGAAGTGGGATTTTTGCAATGGTTGTAAAATCATCTCTGAATAATAATCTGAGACTTGTAATATTTGGATTGTTCTCTAAAAATCTTAAATAGGTATCTTCAACATTGTGTACTGACAATCTAGTCACTCTAGCTGTCAGTGTAGTTACTCTATCTGGTAAAATAAAGTCCATGGTGTCTTGTGTACCACTTTCAAACTTGATGTGTACATGTCTAAGATTTGGTAGGTTTCTTGGTGATGATGATTGTTGATCTTGACTAGTGTTGTTGTTTTGAAATATTTCCTTGTAAGCTATATCATCCAATCTAATAACTTGTAATGATTCTAGTACAATATCCTTTGCTTTTAAAATGAATGATGGATTTGAAATGATAAGCTTTTTCATTGGACGATCCAATGACACTAACAACCTTTCCATGTAACTATTGCTCGAACTATCAATGGTAATAGATGTGAGATTCTTGAATGTTATGGCCATATCTTCAATATAATCGTATCCCAAGAATACAATTGATTTGAGGTTGACCAGTTTTGAAAGGTTTTTAACAAGTGGCTTAATGTTTTTATCCATAAAATCAAACGTTAGGTGTTCAATTGTTTTTGTAAACCATGGTGGTGCATCAAGATACACTTGATTCGATGATGGAACAAAGATTCTATTTGCAACTTTGATTCCATTGTATTCATTACTGATATGACTCCAAACCGATTGTTCAAATGCTACTCGAGGTATCTCTTTTTCTCTTGTTGGAAGAGTAAAAGTACGAGGGATGGTAGTGGAGAGATGATGGAATACTTTCTTGGAGATGGTCAACATCGTCTGCTTCCATTGTATTTCAACGGGATTGAATACATATTTGTCAGTGTCAAAGAGTCTGAATTGGGCCCATGGATGATACAATGAATCATCTCTATAAAACATTGCATGTTGTGGACAGCGTTGATTGTTTGATTTGACTTGATCGATAAATTGACTGGTTTTAGAGTTGAATTGTTTGGCTAGAACCTTGAATGAGTATTCATCGTTTGACAAGATTAGTTTATGATTCAACTCTTTTTGTAGTTCTTGTAGCTCTTTAGGATAGATACAACAACAATACTTTGCATCATTCCAAGCACGAGTGAGAATACTCGCAATGATTGACCAAGGTAGCGAGTATCCACCACTCAACGATGTTGGTGTAACCTCTGTCTTTTGATATACCATTATATATTGTATCAATATCTTCTTTGTATCACTCTCTCTATACTCTATCTTTAAATCTTTACATATTGTAATGACTCTTTGTTTACTCAAACTTGATAACTCTTCTTCTGTATATATTCTCTTGTTATCTTGTTGTTGTTGTTGTTCTACTATATTACTAATACTATCATTACTATTATTATTATCTCTATTATTATAATGATTAAGTATTTGATCGATGATATATGATTTAGTTTCCTTTTCATTGATTGCTATCTCTAACACTTGACATATTTCTAGTAAATCAGCTTTATACAACTGATTCAAACTACTCTTTGTTTGATATTCATCAACATCCTCTATCTTAAACTTTCTTTTCATTATCTCTCCCTTTATTTGTATCTGTATGTATTATTACTCTCTATCACTAAATAAAAAAAAAGAGAGGATGGTCACACTTGTTGAACAAGCTTTTTAAAGTTATTTTTATTTATTTAATTTATTTAATTTATTGTTTGATTCTATTGAAAAGAATAAATAGTTTACCTTTCTTTAAGATGGTTGATTGATTGAATTGATTATTATAAAGTGTAGAGTGTACCATCGGGCAACCTGGAGAAAGCATAAAGTAAATATTTTGAATGTGATCCAACCCAGTGACAGAGTTGTTCCAACACGGTAGAGCGAAATTTGATAGAGTTGGAACACGAATGACAAGAGTGTGAATAGACTGGTTTGATCGAAGAAAATTAAATGATTTGTCCTTGTGATAGGTGGTCAGTTTGGTCAATCGATTAGAGACGAATGGGGTTTTGAGTATGCTTTGTGTTGATAGATCAGTAGACTCTGAAACAATGATGTGTTTGATATTTGGGAATTGTTTTAAGAGCGATAAATCTGAATCTTGTTTCACTTCCATTCTCTCCAATGATTGTTTGAGTGTTGGTCTTAGATGTCGAGCCAAAAATGGTAGTATTGGTTGCATGTAATGAGGAAGTATTAGTTTAACAAGTGGCATTTCCAACGTGGAAATGAATTGTGCCATCTCTATCTCAATATCGTCATGTTCAACCAATCCATTAAGATTAAGTTTTCTAAGATTGTTGAATGGATGTTGTTTGGTGATGATTGGTAATCGAGAGAAACTTATGCTAGTGGCATCTTGTAGACGATCTATATCGCCTGATCTGGGATGCCCAATCGATATTCTTTTAATTGTTTTGATTAGTTGACTTTGTTTGAATTGTAATAATGGTGGTTTGGTTTCAGGAAACTTTGTAAATAATTTGTTAAATACAAATGACCGAATAGATTTTGAAATGGTTGACAACTTTGATAGTCTCAACTGATAGACACTTTTTTGTTCGAATCTATTGAGAGAGGATGGGTATATAATCAATCGATCGAACCAACAATGGTGCGGACAATTTGATTGGATTGTTTCAAAATCAAAATTTGATTTTAAAAGTAGAATGTCTCTAGCAAGCCTACTCCTCTTTGGATCAAAAAATGATTTCACAATTGGAAAATCACAATTACATTGATCCATACTATTCCATAATAATTTGATGATTTTGTAAATAATTATGTTTGATAGCGTTGGAAGGAGTGGAGGGGTTGAATTATTATTATCGATCGTTGTGATAGAAGTATTTTTACTATTACTATTATTATTATTATTTATGTTATTATGAATGATTAGATTATTTTGTTGGTCATTTCTATAGAATATATATTTTCTTTCGGATTGTCCAAGACTCAGATCTTTTGATGAATTAAAGTATAGATTTGATTGAATGAGTTTTTGATGTTGGATGTCTGACAAACCAATATTAGAATAAGCCATTATTCTTGAAAGATTGGATTGTTGAAGATGACGAGAGATTGTTTCAATGGTTTCATAAACATTTCGGCATTGTATATTGTTCAATCTGATACTTGTGACATGTTGATTATTCTCTAAAAATCTCCAATATAATTGATCTGTGGCTGTCGAAAACTTTGTAGCTGTCACTGTACATGTCTTAGATTTGGTAGGTTTCTTGGTGGTGACGATGATGATTGATCTTGACTCGTGTTATTGTTGTTGTTGTTTTGAAATATTTCCTTGCATACTATGGCATTCAATTTGATAACTTGTACCGACTCTAGTACAATATCTTTTGCTTGCAATATGGCCGATGGATTGGAAAAGATAAGCTTTCTCATTGGACGATCCAATGACCTGACCAATTCTTCAATGTATTCACCATTGGTGAATTCACTGTCAATAGAGATGGTGGTGAGATGTCTGAGCGCAGTGACAGAAGGATACCTGGACCCAAAGAATGTAATCGATTGGAGATTGACAAACTTTTCAAGGTTCTTGACAAGTGCATTATTGATTTTGTGGGTCGTTGATGCATCAAATGTTACGCGTTCTATCGACTTGACAAGCCAAGGTGGTGCATCAAGATACATTTGATTTGGTCCTGAAATATAGATTCTATTTGCAACTTTGATTCCATTGTATTGATTGTTGATATGATTCCAAACTGATTTTTCAAATACTGCTCTTTGCATAGCTTGGTCTCTCTCTGGTAGAGTAAAAGTACGAGGTATTGTAGTGGAGAGATGATGGAATACTTTCTTGGAGATGGTCAACATAGTCTGCTTCCATTGTACTAGAATTAGATAGATATTGTTTACCGATGAATTAGCCCATGGATGATACAATGAATCATCTCTATAGTACATTGCATGTTGTGGGCAGTGTTGATTGTTGGATTTGACTTGTTCCGTAAATTGACCGATTTTAGAGTTGTATTGTTTGCCGAGAATATGGAATGTATAGCTATCTCTGTAAACGTTCCAATTCAACTCTCTCTGTAGTTGTATTTGCTCTTTAGGATAGATACAAGTACAATACTTTGCATCATTCCAAGCCTGTGTGAGAATACTCGCAATGATTGACCAAGGTAACGAGTATCCACCACTCAACGATTTTGGTTTAACCTCTGTCTTTTGATGTACCAATATATATTGAATCAATATCTTCTTTGTATCTTTTTCTCTATACTCTATCTTTAAATCATCACATATACGACTGACTCTGTATTTGTTAAGACCTAATAACTCTTGTTCTGTGTATATTCTATTCTTCTCTTTTTCTAGTTGTTCTAAATAAGCATCACCATCACTATTATTATTATTATTATTATTATTATTATTATTATTATTATTATTATTACTATTATTATTATTATTATTATAATGACTAACTATTTGATTGATGATGAATGTTTTTGTAACACCATCATTGATTGCGATCTCTAACGCTCTACATATTTGTATTAAATCAGCTTTATATAATTGATTCAAACTACTAAATGTTTGATATTCGTCAACATCTTCTGCTTTAAACTTTCTTTTCATTCTCTCGCATTATTATCTTTTATCTCTATCTCTAGATTCTCTGTATTAGTCCTGATAAAAATGAAATGAACAAAGATCGCAGCAGTGGGCAAAAAATAAATGAAAAAACATTTTCTAAAAACATACTTCAAATAATTTGATTGACCATTAAAGATAAAGTTGTAGATTACAGTTGAATGATTATTATTATTATAATTAATTATTTATTTATTTTTTGTTTGTTTTTGTTGTTTTTGTTGTTGTATTCAATTTTCTAATGAATAAATTAGTCTATTTCTCTTTTTAAGATGGTTGATTGATTGAATCGATGGTTATATAGGTCAGGTCGATCTGTTGGTTTGAAATGATGAGAAAGCATAAAATAAATGTTTTTAACGTGATCCAATTGTTTACCAGTTTCCCAATTTGGTCCAACTGAAACAAGATTGGTTTGGCGAATGACAAGCGTATGAATCGATGGGTTGGATCGGAGGAAATTCATTGAATGATGTAATGGATCTGAATCTTCATGGTTTCAAGTGATTGTTTGACTGTTGCAGTTGTATATATAACCAAAAAGGGTAGAATTGGTTTCTGAGAAGGAAGTATAAGTTTGACAAGTGGTATTTCCAACGTTGAAATAAATTGCACCATATGACTCTGCATTTTCAATGCATCAAGATGAATCTTTCGTAGATTTATAAATGAATTGTTGATGATGGTTGTTGGTATGAATCATTACATATTGCGACATAGATTCTATTTGTAACTTTGATTCCATTGAATTGATTGTTGATATGACTCCAAATAGAATTTTCAAATACTGCTCGTTGCACCTCATGATCTCTCTGTGGTAGAGAAAAAGTACGAGAGATGGTAGTTGAGAGATGATGGAATACCTTTTTGGAGATGGTCAACCTAGTCTTCTTCCATTTTACGAGTATGAGATCGATATCACTATGTAACCTTGAGTGAGCCCATGGATGATACAATGAATCATCTCTATAGTACATTGCATGTTGTGGGCATCGTTGATTATTTTCTTTTGCTTCACTACCTAGTATCTCTTGAAGCAACTTTTTATCTCTAATTCTATTACTATTGCTATTACTATTATAATGATTAAGTATCTGATCGATGATGAATGGTTTAGTTTCCTTTTCAGTGATTGTATCGATCTTTAACGCTTGACATATTTCTTTTAAATCAGTTTTATATAATTGACCTAAACTACTCTTTGTTTGATATTCATCTATATCTTCTATCTTAAACTTTCTTTTCATTACTATTATTATTATTATTTCTCTCTTTAATATTTGTATCTTTGAGTAAATGACGCCTGTGAATCTTGAAAGGCGTGTGTTCTTGTTGATCAAAAAAAAACAAAAAAAAACTCCAAGTTAGACGCGATGATTATTTATTTATTTTAATTTATTTATTTGATTGTTGATCAGTGATTCAAATCTCTTTAAATGAATGAATAGTTTACCTTTCTTTAAGATGGTCGATTGATTGAATCGATTTTTATCAATGATAGTAAACATTGATGGCAAACGAGAATCAACCATAAAATAAAAGGTTTTGATATGATCCAATCCATCGACATTTGGTTTGGTACCATGTGGTTGAATGACTGGGTAATGAATGAATGTACTTGGAGGAATGTTAATGACAAGTGTATGAATAGACGGGTTGGCAATGAGGAAATCAATTGCTATCTCTTTGTCATAGGTGGTTAGTTTGGTCAATCCGCTAGAGACAAATGGTGTTTTGAAGATACTTCCTTCTTTTCGTTGACTATTATATGGTTCCAAAACAATGAGGTGTTTGAGATTTTTGAATTTTTTTAATATAGATGGATCTGAATCTTCATCTACTTCAAGTGTTTCGAGTGATTGTTTAATTGTATAACTTGCATAATGAGCCAAAAATGATAGTGATGGTTTGGTGTAGTCTGGAAGTATCAGTTTGACCAATGGTATTGATAACATGCGAAGAAATTCTGTCAACTTTTTTTCATCAAATTCAAACAATGCACCAAGATTAAGTTTTCTAAGATTGTTGAATGTATTTGGATGTGTCAAAGTTGGTAGTATAACGAATTGAATGTTTGTTGCATCTTGTAGACGTTGTAAATCTTCGTTTCGACTTGCACCAGTTGATATTCTTTTAATTGTTTTGATGAATGGTTTGTTATTGAAATCCAATAATTGATCTTTTGTTATGATTTGACCAAACTTTGTAAATAGATTTTCAAATACAAAAGATCGAGTTGATTTAGAAATGATTGATAACTTTGATAGTCTCAAATGATAGATACTTTTTGATTTAAATGTATTGATGGCTGATGCATAGAAAATAGATGATCTATCAACCCAACCATGATGAGGACAATTTGATTGAATGGTTTTAAAACCTACTTTTGATTTTAAAAGTAGACAATCTCGTTTGGCATTTGAACTATAATATGATGATGTCTTGGAGTTAGAGTATAATTTCGCAATTGAGTCATCACAATTACATCTATTGATACTATTCCATAATAATTTGATGATTTGATTAATAATATGATTTGGTAATGTTGGTAATAAAGGAGGTGTTGAAATATTATTATTATTATTATTATTATTATTATTATTATTATTATTATTATTATTATTATTATTATTATTATTATCATTATCATTATTTATATTATTAATGATTTGATTATTATGTTGATCATTTCTATAAAATATATATTTTCTTTCTTTGTCCAATACTCATATCCTTTGATGAATTAAAGTATAGATTTGATTGTATGAGTTGTTGATGTTGCGTAACTGTTAGACACATCTCTGATTGAGCCATTATTCTTGAAAGATTCGATTGTCGAAGACGATTAGATATTGTTTCAATCATTTTGAACATCTCCCTTTGAAATACAAATGTTAATCTTAGACTTTTGACATGTGGATTACTCTCTAGAAATCTCCAATACAATTCTTCCGTGGCTGTCGAAGCCTTTGTAGCTGTCACTGTCTTGACTCTATCTGGTAGAAAGTTGGTACAATTGTCATTGGCACCCCCTAAAAATAGGATATGTACATGTCTTAGTTTGGGTAGCATTGTTGTCGTTTTGTTTTGAAATAATTTGTTGCAAGTCTTGACATCCAATCTGACAACTTGTAAAGACCCAAGTACAATATCTTTTACTTTTAAAATCTCTAAAGGAATGGCAAAGAGTAACTTTTTCATTGGACGATCCAATGACTTGATCAATTCTTCAGTGTGGTGGCCACTAAAGTCACAGTCCAAAGAGATGGAGGTGAGATTCTTAAATGTCGAGATGGATGGATTATTGTATCCGTAGAATACAATCGATTGGAGGTTGTCTAGTTTTTCAAGGTTATTGACAAGTGTCATATTACTTTTGTTTATATTAGATGCAAATGTAACATGTTCAATTGTCTTGACAAACCATGGTGGTGCATCAAGATACACTTGATTGGATGGTGGAACATAGATTCTATTTGCAACTTTGATTCCATTGTATTGGTTGTTGATATGACTCCAAACTGACTTTTCAAATGCTGGTCGAGGTGTACCTTGATCTTTTAGTGGAAGAGTAAAAGTACGAGAGATTGTAGTTGAGAGATGATGGAATACCTTTTTGGAGATGGTCAGCATCGACAGCTTCCATTGTACTTCGGTTAGATGGATATCACTGTTTAAATGCATTGATTGAGCCCATGGATGATACAATGAATCATCTCTATAGTACATTGCATGTTGTGGACAGCGTTGATTGTTGGATTTGGTTAGATCTGTAAACTGACTGGTTTTAGAGTTGAATTGTTTGGCAAGAATATTGAATGAACAGGCATCACTTGAGGAGGTTAAATAACGATTTAGAATCAGTTGTAAATCTAGTACCGATTGATGATAGATACAAGTACAATACTTTGCATCATTCCAAGCCTGTGTGAGAATACGAGCGATGATTACCCAAGGTAACGAGTATCCACCACTCAACGATGATGGTGTATCTCTAGTCTTTTGATGTACCATTATATATTGAATCAATGTCTTTTTTAAATCTGACTCTCTATACTCTATCTTTAAATCTTTGCATATTAAACCAATTTTTTTCTTGCTCAAACTTGATAACTCTTCTTCTGTATATATTATATTTTTCTCTTGTTGTTGTTGTTCTATCTCTGCATCGTCACCACCATCTTTATCAATTTGATTACTATTATTATTATTATTATTATAATGATTAACTATTTGATCGATGATGAACGGTTTAGTTTCCTTTGTATTGATTGTACTGATCTCTAAAGCTTGACATATTTGTATTAAATCAGCTTTATACAACTGATTCAAACTACTCTTTGTTTGATATTCATCTATATCCTCTATCTTAAACTTTCTTTTCATTATTATATTATCTGGGTTTGTAATAATAATTATGAATAATATTGAAGAGTGATGTTAAATACATGAAGAGTATTAATAATTTTTAAAAAAAAAAAAATGGCGGGAGTTATCCAAAGCACTTTGTTTGAAGAGACAATTTTAAAGATAGAGAGAGATAAAAAGAATAATGAAAAGAAAGTTTAAGATAGAAGATATAGATGAATATCAAACAAAGAGTAGTTTAGGTCAATTATATAAAGATGATTTAAAAGAAATATGTCAAGTGTGAGACACATCAACAACTCATACAATCAAACGTATACTTTAATTCATCAAAGGATATGAGCTTCAGACATTCGAATAGAAAATATATATTCTATAGAAATGATCAACAAAATAATCAAATCATTAATAATAATAATTTCAACAAATAATTCAACTCATGCTTTGACAACTGTATTACCAACATTATCAAACATTATTATTAATCAAATCATCAAATTATTATGGAATAGTATCAATAGATGTAATTGTGATAGTCCGTTTACTAGATTTTATCCCATTTCAAAGTTGATGACAAATCGAGGCTTTTTACTTCGAAAAATTAATGGAAAATTTGAAAGAATTCAATCAAATTGTCCACATCATGGTTGGGTTGATATATCCTCTCTATACGTCACATCATCTCGTGTTACGTCCTCTCTCCATGGATTCTCACAAAAAAGTATCTATCGATTGAGATTATCAAAGTTGTCAATCATTTCTAAATCAACTCGATCATTTGTATTGAACAAACTAATGACAAAGTTTGGTCCTACCGAAAACCAAGGACAATTGTTGGAATTCAATGACAAACCATTCATCAAAAAAATTAAAAGATTATCGACCACCATTGCAAATCCAGTTTATTCATTGATTTTGGATACCAAACCAAATCAACTGACTATCCCGGATCTTTTTAAAGATATAAAGAGCATCAAACTACCAACCATTCAAATCAACATAGATTTTCCATTCAAAAATCCTAAAAAGTTTCATATTGATTATCTGATCAATGATGGTGATACTTACAGCTTGCAACTAACACTTCCACCTCTCTTGGTCCCAAAACTCCTATTTTTGGCTAAACATGCAAGTTCAACAATCAAACTATCACTAGAAAGTATTGAAGTGGATGATGGTTCAGATCCATTACTTTTACAACTATTCCCAAATATCAAACACATCATTGTGCAAATGACTAGAAATGAAAGCTTTTTCAGAACACCATTAGTCTCTAACCATCAATTCACCAAACTGAACATCTATTCTGATTCCCTAGATGATTTGGATACTTCAATTAAATTTCTCCAATTCAATCCATCGATCCATACACTTGTCGTTCATTCCATTATTGCTATAACATCGCTTTTTTTATATCTTTATTATTATTATTTAAAAATATCTATCTTTTACAATGAATGAATAATTTATCTTTCTTTAAGATGTTGAATTGATTGAATGGTAATTTGTGGTCAAAAAGTGAAGTATGGTCGATTCCATAGAAACGAGGAGAAACCAAAAAGTATATGTTTTGGATTTGATCCAACTTGATGACAGCTTGCAAAAGTATGGGAATTTAAACTTATTCAATTTTAATAGAGTAAAAAACAGATTGTTTTCCCATTGTAATATTTATTTTTTACATAATCTATCTCTTATAATGAACAAATATGCTATCTTTTTTTGTGATAATTGATTGATGTGTGAATGGATATTTGGTGTCAAAAAGTGAATAACGATCATAGTCAATTAGATTGGGATCAACTAAATAATAAATGTTTTTGATATGGTCCAACTCAATGACAGCAGATTTCAATAGATATTTACTGCCAATTTGAGAATGAACGACAAACGTATGAATGGATGGGTTGGATTTGAGAAACTCAATTGACTTGTCAATATTTGATGAATAGGTGCGGATGGATAGTTTGGTGAATCGATGGTGAGAGACTAAAAGGGTTGTGTAAAATGATGGTTTGTCATGATCCACATTCTCAATAATGATGTGTTTGATGTTTGGGAATTGTTGTAAAAGTGAGGAATCTGAACCCTCCCCGACTTGAATGTTTTCCAATGATTTTTTGAGTGTTTCAGTTGCATGTTTGGCCAAAAATGATAGCATTGGATTCACATCGAGTGGAAGTATCAGTTTGACAAGTGGTAATTCCAACTTTGAAATGAATTGTGACAGTTGGTTGTTTATGTCACGATATAGTAAATCAGCAAGATTAAGTTTTCTAAGGTTGTTGTATGGGAATTGATTGTTGATGGTTGGTATGACTGCCAGTTGGATACTCTTGGCTTGTTGTAGTCGTTCCAGATGGAGAGGTGTTCTTTCAGTACAAGATATTCTTTTAGTAGTTTTAAATAATTGTTCGTTTTTGGAATAAAATAATTGATGGTGGGATTGGATTGGACCAAACTTTGTAAATAACCTTTTAAATACAAATGATCGGGTTGATTTTGAAATAGTTGACAATGCTGATAGTCTCACCCTGTAGATACTCTTTTGATGGTGTCTCACAAGTGAAAGTGATAGATATATACTAGATCTATTTACCCAGCAATGATATGGGCAATTTGATTGGATTGTTTCAAAATCTTGATTTGATTTTAAAAGAAGAATGTCTCGATTAGAAACTGTCTGATTAGAATACCAACTCATAATCGAAATATCACAATTACATATATTCATACTATTCCATAATAATTTGATGATTTTGTAAATAATAATGTTTGGTAGTGTTGGTAATATATTATTGTTTTTATCATTATTATTATCAATATTTCTATTTATATTATTATTAATGATTTGATTATTATGTTGATCATTTCTATAGAATATATATTTTTTAAACTCTTGTCCAATACTCATATCCTTTGATGAATTAAAGTATACGTTTGATTGAATGAGTTGTTGGTGTTGAATATTTGTCAAACTTCTTTTAGAATAAACCATGATTCTTGATAGTTTTGATTGTTTGAGTTGGGTACTAATGGTTCCAAGTGTTGTAAAATTAGCTTGGTTGTATGTCAATCTTAAATTTGTAATATGTGGATTATTCTCTAAAAATCTACGACAAATTTCTTCATTGCAATTTGAATATGTTGTTGTAGCTGTCACTGTCGTTACTCTATCTGGTAAAATAAAGTCTACAATTTCTATGTTTGATATGTCCAATCTGACATGTACATGTCTTAGATTGGGTAGTTTACTTGATGGTGACTTTTGATCTTGACAAGTGTTGTTGTTTTGAAATAATTCAATGTAAGTTTTGGTATCCAATCTGATAACTTGTAATGATTCTAGTACAATATCTTTTGCTTTTAAAATGACTGATGGATGAGAAAAGAGTAACTTGGTCATTGGACGATCCAATGATTGTATCAATACATCAACCGCTTTGGTATGGAAATGAGTGTCAATGGTGATAGAGGTGAGATTCTTTAGTGTGTCAAATTCAGGGTTTTGGGCTGCCATGAATACAAGGGATCTGAGATTGACTAGTTTGGAAAGTTTAATGAGATTGATACTGGTTTTGTGTAATTCATCAATGGTAACATGTTCAATCGACTTTGTAAACCAAGGTGGTGCATCAAGATACACTTGATTGGATGGTGGAATATAGATTCTATTTGCAACTTTGATTCCATTGTACTGGTTGTTGATATGATTCCAAACTGATTTTTCAAATGCTGCTCTTGGCATCTTTTTATGATTTGATGGAATACTAAAAGTACGAGAGACAGTGGTCGAGAGATGATGGAATATCTTTTTGGAGATGGTCAACATCGACTGCTTCCATTGTATTTGAATAGGGTCCAATTGTTCATGGTCGAGGTTGAAATGAGGCCACGGATGATTCAATGAATCATCTCTATAGTACATTGCATGTTGTGGGCAGTGTTGGTTGTTGGATTTGACTTGATCTGTAAATTGCCCGATTTTAGAGTTGAATTGTATACCCAGAAATTTGAATGAATAGGTCTCGTTTGATGAAAATAGCTTACAATTCAAATCCTTTTGTAAATCCAGAAACTCTTGAGGATAGATACAAGTACAATACTTTGCATCATTCCAAGCCTGTGTAAGAATTCTCGAAATGATTGACCAAGGTAGCGAGTATCCACCACTCAATGATGATGGTGTAACCTCTGTCTTTTGATATACCATTATATATTGAATCAATGTCTTTTTTGTATCACTCTCTCTATACTCTATCTTTAAATCTTTACATATACCAACGACTCTTTGTTTACTACGACTCAATAACTCTTCTTCTGTATAAATTCTCTTGTTATCTTGTTGTTGTTGTTGTTCTTTATCATCACTATCACTATCTATTTGATTATTATTATTATTATTATTATTATAATGATAAAGTATTTGATCTATGATGTATGATTTAGTTTCCTTTGTATTGATCGTATCGATCTTTAACACTTGACATATTTGTATTAAATCAGTTTTATATAATTGACCTAAACTACTCTTTGTTTGATATTCATCAACATCTTCAATCTTAAACTTTCTTTTCATTATTCCTATTTGTATCTGTATTTATCTCTATCTCTCAAATATTTTTGATGTTGAAGCTCTACTTTTGTATAGTCGTGAAGGGAAAAACTTTTTTGTATATTCAAAAAAAAAAAAATATATAATATAATTTATTCATTATTAATGTCTGTGAATATGTTATTCACATTCAACTGAATAAATTTTTTATCTTTCTTTAAGACAACTGATTTGCAGAATGATTGGTTGAAATAAAGAGAACCAGCATAGTAAATATTTTTAATATGCTTCAACTGTCCAATGCTTTCAAAAACAGTATAGTTAGCAAATTGGATGACAATGGTATGGATAGACTGATTGGCGCAGAGAAAATCGATCAAATACGGGCGTGGTTTGCCATAGGTTGTCAGTTTGGTGAATCGATGGTTGTAAACAAATGGTGTTCTGAAAAAGGTTGTCAGGGGTGGCTCAGATTCGAATCCAAACTTAAAAATGAGGTGTTTGATATTTGGGAATTGTTGTAATTGCAATTGATCTGAATCTCTTTCCACATTCATTCTCTCGAGTGATTGTTTGAGTGTTGAACTTGCATGTTTAGCCAAAAATGGTAGCATTGGTCCCAAGTGAGATGGGAGTATCAGTTTGACAAGTGGTAATTCCAATTTTTCCAAGTCTATTTTGTCAACTAGAAACTTGGGTTCCTTTACACTATCAAGATTAAGTTTTCTAAGGTTGGTGAATGGATGTAGTTTGTTGATGGTTGGTAATTCTGAAAACTGGATGCCCTTCAATTTGATGGTCTTGGCTTGTTGGAGAAGTTCCATATCGATTGGAATTGTTTCAATAGTTGATATTTTTTTAATTGTTTTGATAAATGGTTTTTGATATATTTCCAATATTTGATTGACCAAACTTTGTAAATAACTTTTCAAATATAAATGATCGAGTTGTCTTGGAGATGGTTGAAAACTTTGATAATCTTAATTGATAGATACTTTTTTGTGTAAAAGTAGATATATTTTGAAATACTGGTAGGTATAGAGATGATCTATCAACCCAACCATGATGAGGACAATTTGATTGAATGCTTTCAAAATCTTGATTTGATTTTAAAAGTAGACAGTCTCTATGAGTCATTGTCTTTGAATATAATTTTGCAAATGAATCATCACAATTACATTCGTTCATACCATTCCATAATAATTGGATGATTTTGTAAATAATATTGTTTGGTAGTGTTGGTAATAAAATTGTTGTCGTATAATTATTATTATTATTATTTATATTATTATTATTATTATTAATGATTTGATTATTATGTTTATCATTTCTATAGAATATATATTTTCTATTCGAATGTCTGAAGCTCATATCCTTTGATGAATTAAAGTATACGTTTGATTGTATGAGTTGTTGATGTTGGACTGTTAAAGCATAATCAGAATAAACCACTATTCTTGACAACCTTGATTGTTTGAGAAGTGTGGAAATGATTCCAATCGTTTGAAAATCACAATCCACTATGATACTTGTAATATGTGGATTATTCTCGAAAAATCTACTATATTTGTCTTCGTAACATGTGCTCATCTTTGAGGCTGACAATTTAGATATTCTAGATGGTAGAATATAGTCTTTAATTCCTCGACTTTGTGTATACTGAATGTGTACATGTCTTAGATTGGATAGGTTTCTTGGTGATGATGGTCGTTCTTGACTGGTGTTTTGGAATAACAACATGTATAATTTGTCATCCAAACAGATAACTTGTAATGATTCTAGTACAATATCTTTTGCCTTTAAAATGACTGATGGATCTTGAGGTAGGAGTAGCCTTTTCATTGGACGATCCAAAGAGTCGACTAGTTCCTCGAGACCTTCTCTGAGTAATTCCATAGTGATTGAGGTGAGATTCTTTAGTGGACCGATGTTTGGGTATTGGTCTCCAAAATAGACAATTGATTTGAGATGGACGAGTTTTGAAAGGTTATTCAAAAGTGGTCTAGGTGGTAATGAATCAAGTGTAACGTGTTCAATTGACTTTGTAAACCAAGGCGGCGCATCAAGATACACTTGATTGGATGATAGAACACAGATTCTATTTGCAATTTTGATTCCATTGTATTCATTACTGATATGACTCCATATTGATGTTTCATACTCTGCTCTTTCAGCTGCTTTGAATTTTCCTCCCCAAGGAAGAGCAAAAGTACGAGGTATTGTAGTTGAGAGATGATGGAATACCTTTTTGGAGATGGTCGGCATCGTCTGCTTCCATTGTGTTTCTTCTATAGCTACTCCAAACATACTGTAGTGAGCCCAAGGATGATATAACGAATCATCTCTATAGTACATTGCATGTTGTGGGCAGTGTTGATTGTTGGATTTGACTTGTTCGATGAACTGACCGATTTTAGAGTTGAATTGTTTACCCAGAAAATTGAATGAATACGGTTCCCTTGTATTTAGTTGATTAAATTTTCTTTGTAGGTCTTGAAACTCTTGAGGATAGATACAAGTACAATACTTTGCATCATTCCAAGCACGAGTGAGAATACTCGCAATGATTGACCAAGGTAACGAGTATCCACCACTCAACGATGATGGTGCCACTCTATTCTTTTGATATACCATTATATATTGAACCAGTGTTGTCTATGTATGACTCTCTCTATACTCTATCTTTAAATCATTACATATTGTAATGACTTTTTGTTTATTAATACGTAACTCTTGCTCTGTATATATTCTATTAATGTTATCTTGTTGTTGTTCTATATTATCATCATCTTTTTGACTATTATTATTATTATTATTATTATTATTACTATTATAATGATTAAGTATTTGATCTAAGATGTATGGTTTATTATCATCTTGATTGATTGCGATCTCTAACACTTGACATATTTCAATCAAGTCATCTTTATATAATTGCTTCAAACTACTGTATGTTTGATAGTCATCTATATCTTCTATATAGAACTTTCTTTTTATTCCTCTCATCTCTATATCTCTATCTCTTGTATCTGTATTTGATCAAATATTTAAAATGAAAGAAAGAAGGACGAGAGATCGCTAAGCTTGTCTTTAGATTATTTTTTATTGGATTTAACTAGTTTTATTTTTTATCAATTGAGAACTTGTACAGACTTGAGAACAATATTGTTGGCTTGCAAAATGAGTGATGGATATGGCAAGAGTAACTTGGTCATTGGACGGTATGCACATCATGTCACATCTTGTATTTGACTATTAATACTAACACCATCTGTTTATTCATCAAGACACATTACTTTATAAAGAAAAGATTCATTGATAATCAAAAGAATAAGTTAATGGCTGGATCAACATCATCTAATTTATAATAATAACAATAATAATAATATAGGCAAACAATACAATACTCGATTATTTATATGTACAAACATTTTGGTATAGAGTGATTATTCTATTCTATTCTTTTACTTCTTGTTGATATCACTCTTACCACCCAATTTATTGATTAGTTTAGTTTCTTTTATGATGATATCATGTGATAATGCTTTACACATGTCATAGATGGTTAGACTTGCAACCGATGCACCTGTCAATGCTTCCATCTCCACTCCAGTCTTTCCACTACAAGACACTGTACAATCGACTTGAACGTGAGTCTTGTCGACAATGTTAATGTCAAATGTACACGATTCAATGATCGCACCAAATGTTCCAAAGCGCCAAGATAGAGGCGGTCGATAGAGTCAATGACAATTGAGGTGATGTTATTTGGGTACTGAAATAAATCAAGCTTGAGTGCCCTGTCAACTGAATGGATGTCAAGTTGGGAAGGGTTGAGAGTGTCTTTGAAAGAACCTGAGAGTTTGGTTGGTCATTGAACTTGAAAGCAGTTACACTTTCAATACTGTCTTTGATATTCTGTGGTGCCAATCATTCCAAAAACATGGAATAAACAACCTCTTTACATTCTTGATTCCATTGAACTCTTTTTTGATGTGACTCCAAATTGATTGCTCATAAATGACTTGTTCTGTCTCTGAAGTAGAATCATCAAGATTTCTTGAACACTTTGAAATGCGTAGATCTCTTGGCTGTGTAGAGATTTTTTTTCTTGTCAAAAAACCACGTGGTTTTCAAAGAAGGTCAAAGCATGAGATATTTATTTATTTATTTATTTATTTATTTATTTATTTATTTATTGATCAAACTATCTGTCTCTTGTAATGAACAAATATTTGATCTTTTTTTTGGACATTTGATTGTGAGAATGGATATTTCGGGTGGAAAAGTGAATCGCGATCAATTTCATAGAAACTAGGACAAACTAAATAGTAAATATTTTGGATATGATGCAATCCGTGGACAGTTTCCAAAAACAATTTAATGTCTGTTAAATAATGAACGACAAAGGTATGGATCGATGGGTTGGCGCGGAGAAAATCAATTGATTCGTTGACGTAATAGGAATGGATAGTTAACTTGGTGAATCGGTGGTTAAAGGCTAATGGTCGAGTTGAAAAAAATGTTGGTGGTGTGTTTTGACTCATATAACCAACAATGATGTGTTTGATATTTGGGAATTGTTGTAAAAGTAATGGATCGGAATCTTCTTCCAATTGAATGGTTTCGAGTGATTGCTTGATTGTTGAACTTGCATGTTGAGCCAAAAAGGGTAGTGCTGGTCTCACGAAAAGTGGAAGTATCAGTTTGACAAGTGGTAATTCCAATGTTGAAATAAATTGTAGTATGTTACAGTCTCGACTCTGTATATCACCAATATTAAGTTTTCTAAGATTGTTGAATGGAAATTGATTGGTGATGGTTGGTAGGATTGTCAATCGAATGGTCTTGGCATCTTGTAGAGGTTGCATATCGACAGGTGTACTAGTAATCGATATTCTTTTAATTGTTTTGATTAATTGATTTTCATTGAGCCATTTCAACTTTGTAAATAATTTGTTAAATATAAATGATCGAGTTGATTTGGAGATGGTTGACAAATTTGTAAATCTCAAACTGTAGATACTTTGTTGTGGGTATCTTTTAAGAAAGAGCGGGGTGTATAGAGAAGATCTATCAAACCAACAATGAAGTGGACAATTTGATTGAATGCTTTCAAAATCTTGATTTGATTTTAAAAGTATAATGTCTCGTTTGGTAAGAGTCAACTCTCTCTTGTTTGTTAAATCGTAACATCTAACAATTGAATCATCACAATTACATCTATTCATACTATTCCATAATAATTTGATGATTTTAAATATAATATTAGTTGGTAGTGTTGGTAATAGATTATTATTATTATTATTATTATTATTATTATTATTATTATTAATGATTTGATTATTTTGTTGATCATTTATATAAAATATATATTTTCTATAGTCTTGTCCAAAACTCGAACTTTTTGATGAATTAAAGTATAGATTTGATTGTAAGAGTTGTTGATGTTGGATTTTTGTCAAGCTACTATCATAATGAATCATTATTCTTGAAAGATTGGATAGTGTGAGCTGATCACAAATGGTTCCAAATGTTGTTAGGTTAGAACTGCTGTATGCCATTCTTAGAGATGTAATATGTGGATTATTTTCTAAAAATCTCGATAATATATCCTCGTTGCCATATGCATAAGATGTTGTATTTGACAATGTAGTGACTGTGTATGGTAGAATAATGTCTGTAATGTCTTTGATAGTTCTTTCAAATTGAATGTGTACATGTCTTAGATTGGGTAGATTTCTTGATGATGTTTTGTTTTGAAATAATTCCTTGTATGTCTTGACATCCAGTTTGATAACTTGTACCGACTCTAGTACAATATCTTTTGCTTTTAAAATGGCTGATGGAGTTCCAAGGAGTAACTTCGTCATTGGACGATCCAATGACTCGACAAAATCTTCAATGGCATTGACAAAGAATTGAGAGTCAATAGAGATAGAGGTGAGATTCTTTAGTGTTCCTAATTCAGGCTTTTGGTGTCCCAAGAGTGCAATTGATTTGAGATTGACTAGTTGTGATAGCTTACTGGGCTTGACAGTTGTTAATTCATAGAGTGTAACGTGTTCAATTGTCTTTGTAAACCATGGTGGTGCATCAAGATACACTTGATTTGAATGTGGAACATAGATTCTATTTGCAACTTTAATTCCATTGTACTGGTTGTTGATATGACTCCAAACTGACTTTTCAAATACTGCTCGAGGTGCACCTTGATCTTTTAGTGGAAGAGTAAAAGTACGAGAGATCGTAGTCGAGAGATGATGGAATACCTTTTTGGAGATGGTCAACATCGACTGCTTCCACTGTATTTCGATGGGATGCAATTCTCTTTGTCCAAAGCTGAAATGAGCCCAAGGATGATACAATGAATCATCTCTATAATGCATTGCATGTTGTGGGCATCGTTGATTGTTGTCTTTAACTTGTTCTGTATAATGACCGATTTTAGAGTTGAATTGTATACCTAGAACTTTTACTGAATAGGTATCATTTGATAGATGTATCTTCTGATTAAACTCTCTCTGTAGTTCTAATAACTCTTTAGGATAGATACAAGTACAATACTTTGCATCATTCCAAGCCTGTGTGAGAATACTCGCAATGATTGACCAAGGTAACGAGTATCCACCACTCAACGATGATGGTGTAACCTCTGTCTTTTGATATACCATTATATATTGTATTAACATCTTCTTTGTATCACTCTCTCTATACTCTATCTTTAAATCATTACATATAGCAGCCACTTTTTGTTTACTACGACTTGATAACTCTTCTTCTGTATATATTCTTTTGTTATCTTGTTGTTGTTGTTGTTGTTCAGTATCTTGATTATTATTATCATTATTATTACTACTATTATCATTATCATTATTATTACTATTATTACGATTATAATGATTAAGTATTTGATCGATGATATATGATTTAGTTTCCTTTTCAGTGATTGTATCAATCTCTAACACTTTACATATTTCTATTAAATCAGCTTTATACAACTGATTCAAACTACTCTTTGTTTGATATTCATCTATATCTTCTATCTTAAACTTTCTTTTCATTATTATCCTTTTATCTCTCTCTCTCTCTATTTTGTATCTGTATAATTGATATTTTAAAAAGTAGAATTCTCTCTGACATAGGTGGTGACAAAAAAAAAAAAACAATAGAAAGGATAATTTACATTTATTTATTTATTATTATTTATTGTTTTTGATGTGATTCAATTCTCTTTCTTTAAATGAATAAATAGGTTATCTTTCTTTACAACCATTGCTTTAGAAAACATAGATTGGCATGGATGGGAATAAATATCGTCATGTTGCAATTGAAAATTAGAAAAATCAATCAAATAGTAAATGTTTTGGATATGATGCAACTTGTTGATATGGTCCAAAAAATATTTAATCCAAGTTGTATTATTGGTAATCACTAATGTGCGAATAGACTGCTTTGATAAGAGAAAATCAATTGATTTTTGTGGATCCGCCAGAGTTGTCAGTTTGGTGAATCGGTGGTTCGAAACAAACGGCGTTGTGAGAAAGGTGGAAGGATTGTTTTGATTTTTCTTCTTAATTGATACATCCATTACAATGATATGTTTGATATTTTGGAATGGTTCCAAGTGAATGGGATTAGAGTTGACTTCTACTTGAATACTTTCCAGTGATTGTTTGAGTGTTGCACTTGCATGTTTAGCTAAAAATGGTAGTATTGGTCTCAAGTTGAGTGGAAGTGTCAGTTTGACAAGTGGTATTTCCAACATTTCAATGAATTGTTGTAAACTTTCTATAGATTGTACCTGGAGATTAGAAAGATTAAGCTTTCTAAGATTGTTGAAAGGATGATGTTTGGTTATGGTTGGTATGCTTGGCAATTGAATGGTGTTGGCTTGTTGTAGAAGATCCAGCTGTTCATCTGAACTTACAAAGGTTGATATTCTTTTAATGGTTTTGACAAATGGTTTGAATTTGAATGCAAATAATGGTTGTGTACCAAACTTTGTAAATAACTTTTCAAATACAAATGATCGAGTTGACTTGGAGATGGTCGACAACTTTGATAGTCTCAACTGATAGATACTTTTTTGTGTGTTATAAAGAGAGAGTGGGAGGTACAAAGAAGATCTATCAAACCAACCATGATGAGGACAATTTGATTGAATCGATTCAAAATCTATATTTGATTTTAAAAGTAAAATGTCTCGATTGGTACGATTTGTTTTGTACTGCCCCCTAGAAATTAAACCATCACAATTACATCTATTCATACTATTCCATAATAATTTGATGATTTGATTAATAATAATGTTTGGTAATAAAGGAGTAGTTGAACAATCATTATTAAATATTGTTGGATTATTATTATTATTATTGAGAGTCGTGGTATTATTATTAATGATTTGATTATGTTGTTGATCATTTCTGTAGAATATATATTTTTTAAACTCTTGTCCAAGACTCATATCCTTTGATGCATTTAAGTATATGTTTGATTGTATGAGTTGTTGATGTTGGATATCTGTCAAACTTTTTTGAGAATAAACCATGATTCTTGATAGTTTGGATTGTTGTTTGAGTTGATTACCAATGGTTTCAAGTATTTCAAAATTAAATACTATTTTAGATGTTAATCTTAGAGAAGTAATATGTGGATTAATCTCTAAAAATCTCCAATATATATCCTCATTGCCATATGGATAGTTTGAATTGGACAGTGTAGTGACTGTATCTGGTAGAATAAAGTTGGTAATATCTTTTTCATCTATAAATTCAATGTGTACATGTCTTAGATTGGGTAGGTTTCTTGGTGATGATTGTTTGTCTTGGTCTTGACCAGCACCGGTGTTTTTAAATAATGCCATGTGTGTGTCGACATCCAATCTGATAACTTGTAATGATTCTATCACAATATCTTTTGCTTTTAAAATGACCGATGGATAAGCTAAAAGTAACTTGGTCATTGGACGATCCAATGTCATGACCAAATCTTGTTCAATGGCTTGTTCATAGAACTGAGAGTCAATGGTGATAGAGGTGAGATTCTTTAGTGTTCCTAATTCAGGATCTTGGTGTCCCAAGAGTGCAATTGATTTTAGATTGACTAGTTGTGAAATATTACTGTGATTGAAAGTGGTTAAATCATAGAGTGTAACATGTTCAATTGACTTTGCAAACCATGGTGGTGCATCAAGATACACTTGATTTGAATGTGGAAGATAGATTCTATTTGCAACTTTGATTCCATTGTACTGGTTGTTGATATGACTCCAAACTGATTTTTCAAACTTTTCTCTTGGCATCTTGTTTTCATCGTTTAATGGGAAAGTAAAAGTACGAGAGATTGTAGTGGATAGATGATGGAATACTTTCTTGGAGATGGTCAACATCGTCTGCTTCCATTGTATTTCAATGGGTTTGAATTCACTTAACTCAATGTCAAAATGAGCCCATGGATGATACAATGAATCATCTCTATAGTACATTGCATGTTGTGGGCAGTGTTGGTTGTTGGATTTGACTTGTTCTGTATATTGACCGATTTTAGAGTTGAATTGTTGACCGAGAATCTTGAATGAATAGGTATCTCTTGATGCCTCTATTTTACAATCTAAATCTGTTTGTAGATCTTGTAAACCATTAGGATAGATACAAGTACAATACTTTGCATCATTCCAAGCACGAGTGAGAATACTCGCAATGATTGACCAAGGTAACGAGTATCCACCACTCAATGATGTTGGTGTAACCTCTGTCTTTTGATATACCATTATATATTGTATTAACGTCTTATTTGTATCACTCTCTCTGTACTCGATCTTTAAATCTTTACATATATTAATGAGTCTTTTTTTAATACAGCTTGATAACTCTTTATCTGTATATATTCTCTTGTTATCTTGTTGTTGCTGTTTATCTGCATCCTGATTATTATTATTATTACTATTACTGTTATTATTATTCCTATTATTATTATTATTATTATAATGATTAAGTATTTGATCGATGATGTATGTTTTTGTATCATCATCATTGATTGTATCTATCTTTAACACTTGACATATTTGTAGTAAATCAGTTTTATACAACTGATTCAAACTACTCTTTGTTTGATATTCATCTATATCTTCTATCTTAAACTTGCTTTTCATCTCTTTCTTTTATCTCTCTCTCTCTCTCTCTATCTTTGTATCTATCTGTAACCCAAGACGTTTGTGATACTAAAAGTGGTTATGAAAATAACTAAGTAAGAAGTCAAGATAATTTATTTATTTATTTTAAATTTAATTTAATTTTATTTGTTTATACCTTGTCATAGGCTACCTACCTACCTATCTGTACTTTAAGAATCCTTGTGTAGGACGAGTTATTTTGTAGTGTTCAAATACAAAAGATCTTGTTGCCTTTGATATGGTTGACAATTTTGCTGAAAGAGATGATTACGATTGTGTCGACGGATATCAGAATAAGACAATGGGAGGTACATAATAGATCTATCCGACCAACAATGATATTTACAATTTGATTGAATGGTTGATTCAAAATCTCCATTTGTCTTTGCAAGTAGAATATCGCTACTTGATAAAGACTTTGAATAAGCAACCAAATGATCATCACAATTACATTGATTCATACTAGTCCATAGCAATTTGATGATTTGATTGATTATATGATTTGGTAATGTTGGTAATATTATATTATTATTATTATTATTATTGGTGATATTATTATTATTATTTGTTGTTGTTGTAATTATTTCAATATTATTAATGATTTGATTATTTTGTTGACCATTTCTATAGAATATAAATTTTCTAGTCTTTTGTCTTGGACCTATATCCTTTGATGAATTAAAATATAGGTTTGATTGTATTAGTTGTTTATGTTGAATAGTTGTTAAAGCATAATCAGAATGCACCATGATTCTTGAGAGTTTAGATTGTTTGAGAAGTGGAGGGATTTTTCCAATCGTTTCAAACATTTTAAGATAAGTAGTCATTTTACCAATAGCTCTAAACCCATCATGAAACTTGAGTCGCAGACTTGTGATGTGTGGATTCTTTTCTAAAAACTCTCCATAAATAGTCTCCTCTCCTTTGGGAATATAATCATGGTCTGAAAAAAATCCAAATGATCCAACGTCTACACACTTTACCACTGACACTGTAGTGATTGTATCTGGTAGAATAAAGTCTGTGATGTGTTTGTTGGCTCTTTCATCTCTGTATTGTATTGTATTGGGGTTAAAGTGTACATGTCTTAGATTTGGTAGGTTTCTTGGTGACTGTTGTTGTTGTTGTTGTTGTTGTTGACTAGTGTTGTTGTTGTTGTTTTGAAATAATCCCTTGTATGTATTGACATCCAAACTGATAACTTGTACCGACTCTAGTACAATATCTCTTGCTTTTAATATGGCTGACGGATAAAACATGAGTAACTTGGTGATTGGACGATCCAATGACTCGACCAATTCTTCAATGTAATCAAGGTCGTATTGGTGTTCAACTGAAATCGAGGTGAGATGATTAAATGTTTCGACTTCAAGATAATCATAACCCAAGAGCACAATTGATTTGAGGTTGACTAGTTTTAAAAGGTTGTCGAAAAATGAATTACTCTTGCATTTGTCGAGGGCATTTTCTTCAAATGTTAAGTGTTCAATCGACTTTATAAACCATGGTGGTGCATCAAGATACACTTGATTTGAATGTGGAATATAGATTCTATTTGCAACTTTAATTCCATTGTATTGGTTGTTGATATGATTCCAAACTGATTGTTCAAATGCTGCTCTTGGCATCTTTTGATCATTTGTTGGTATTCTAAAAGTACGAGGTATTGTAGTGGAGAGATGATGGAATACCTTTTTGGAGATGGTCAGCATCGTCTGCTTCCATTGTACTTCAATGGGTTGGAATTCTCTTTGTCAAAAGCTGAAATGAGCCCAAGGATGATACAATGAATCATCTCTATAAAACATTGCATGTTGTGGGCATCGTTGATTGTTGGATTTGACTTGATCTGTATATTGACCGATTTTAGAGTTGAATTGTTTACCGATAATTTGAAAGATCACGGGTGCGTTTGTTAAATGTAGTCTACTACTAACCTCCTCTTGTAGATCTTGTACCTCTTTAGGATAGATACAAGTACAATACTTTGCATCATTCCAAGCCTGTGTGAGAATACTAGCAATGATTGACCAGGGTAACGAGTATCCACCACTCAATGATGATGGTGTAACCTCTGTCTTTTGATACACCATTATATATTGAATCAATAAATATCTTCTTTGTATCACTCTCTCTATACTCTATCTTTAAATCTTTACATATTGTAATGACTCTTTGTTTATTCAAACTTGATAACTCTTCTTCTGTATATATTCTCTTGTTATCTTGTTGTTGTTGTTCAGTATCTTGATTATTATTATTATTACTATTATTATTACTTTTACTATAATGATTAAGTATTTGATCGATGATATATGATTTTATATCCTTTGCAGTGATTGTATCTATCTCTAACGCTCTACATATTTCTATTAAATCAGCTTTATACAACTAATTCAAACTACTCTTTGTTTGATATTCATCTATATCTTCTATCTTAAACTTTCTTTTCATTATTATTACTATTATTATTATCCTTTATTTATTACTTTATCTAATTATTATTATGAAGATACAACCAACCAAACCTCTCTCATACTTTTTCTTTTTTTATTATTTTTATTTAAATTTAATATCCATGCTTTGGTATTTATTTTAGGGTTGTGAATGACTATTGTACAATTGATTAATATTATTATAATGGATAGAATGAATGAATTGAAATAGATCCGATTACCATTTTCCCCAGAAATAGGGTCCAGCAGAGGAGTTACTTTGAGGTAGGATCGCTGGAGCCGTGGTGGTAGTTGTCACTGCCATTGTATAATTTATGTTTTGATTTGATTCATATGGACCAACTGCAGTTGATATCAACGACGAAGATGATGACAATTGTTGGTTCTTGATCATATGATGAATGGACTGTCCACCATTAAGTTTTGAAAGAATATCTAGATTCAATAAAATGACAACAATATAGATAGATAGATAGATAGATAGATAGATAGATAGATAGATAGATAGATAGATAGATAGATAGATATTGTTAGAATGAAATGTGTACACAATTAAATATTATTTGTAATATATATATTGCCATACCAAATATCATTTTTAAAAGATTTAAATTACTAGTAGTTTGTTGAGTACAATTGATTTGTTGGAGTTTTTAAAATGTATTGTAACGATCAATCAATCCCGAGTTATTTATACCTAGGCATGGCGGGATGATCGATCTGACTGATTCACTAATTCCCTTAAAAACAACAAGTTGTGTGTGTTTGTTTTTAAAACTGTTTGTGTGTGTGATTGCAATCAATCAATCAATCAAGGAAGGAGGTCACGCACATATACATATATATAATTGTTTGTATCATCATCTACAAACCAATTAATATCTGTTTAAACATTTGAATTAATGAGGAGGAGGAGGAGGAGGAGGATGAGGATGAGGAGGGTTGACAGATTGATTGATTGATGTTCAACATACATACATACAGCAGAGAAAGAAAATTGAGGAGCCCCCTCTTCTCTTTGTGTTCAGTATATTCCATCCATCTCTTGCTTTACTCTTTTTTGATGATGATTCTATATAGTAAATGTTGATCATGTGATGATTAGGATGCATGATGTGATAACATGTTGAAGAAAGGTTTAAATTGATATATATTGTACGTACTTTTGCATTTGTTGTTGTCTACCTACTACCATGTAGATACAACAACAACAACAAGTACATCCAGAAAAAGGAATACCTCAAGCAACGTCAAAAGAAAAAAGATTAAACAAATGATCTCTCTTGGTCTATTACTTGAGGTATTCCTTTTGATCGCGATGGCACACTATAGTAGTAGGAGGAGTAGGAGGAGTAGGAGGAGTAGGAGTTGGTTTGGAATTTAATTGAGCCATTTTATTATTCTTTTTTTTTGATATGTATGGTTGTTGTTGCTGTTGGGATACGTATGATCATTAATCCAATTTCCTTATTTGGATCTGCTCATATCTCTCTTTTTATAACTATACTTTGATAATAATGACATTTAAGCCTAGTTGTAACATGGAAGGCTGCAACCAGACTGTTGATGGTCAGGTCGTACAAGAAAAAAAAAACAAAAAAAAACAAAAAAAAAAACGATTGATCTAATGGAGGAAAACAAAGCACTAAGAGAAGACAACTACACTCCAACAATTCTAAAAACAACAACTCTTCTTCCTCCCCAATCAATCGTTTTCTTCATCTTATCAGACACTACTCGAGTACAGGTTGACACTTCCTTGTAGCTCTGCTCGCGAGTTCCTTCATAACTCTTGTATTGATTTCTCGTATCAACACAATCCATAGTTTTTTTTTTTTTTTGGATTTATTTAGAATATTGAGTAACGAGTTCACGTGGAGCTAGCTAATTCTATAACATCAATACTTCTTCATATGAAATTATTTTAATAAATCATGTCTAAACAAAAATTAATAGGAACGATTTTAAAGTAATGGTGCCGATTTATTGGATAAAATGAAATGATAAATAGTAGTAGTAGTATTCGATTAGTATTAATGATTGAATTATTGAATGAGTAGGTAGGTAGGAGAGGGATTGATCGAAACGGACAGTTCGTGGCGTAGGTTAGGTGGTTTACCATTTTCCCCAATATGGTTTGGCAAAGGCAACATTATTCTCTGCCTGGATACCGATGCTACCAGCACCACCACCGCAGGTATTCATAGAACTATGATGACCACCACTACTACGACTGGATGATAATGATTCTTTCATCATAAATGAAAAGTTGGATCCGAGTTTGGAAAGGGATGCTAAAAAAAAATATAATAACAAAGGTTAGAATTATATTTATTAATAGTATTAAGGATTAATAATAATATTTATATTTTATGCATACCAAACAACATTTTTAAAGATTTAGATATTTTAGCTATTTTAGAATTGTTAAATTAAGAAATTATTATTGATTTGATTTGATTTGATGAATTTAAAAACATAATTCTTTTTTAATTGATTATTTTATACTTACTCTTTTCTAATTAGCATTTCAATTGATTAGCATTTCAAATTGATGATGTCGGTTATTTAAACAATATAATTAGATTGTTGGAAATCATCTATAGATTATCATTAGAATGTATACTTTGCATTTAATAGATTGTTTAGCATTTGTTTGTAAATCAAAATCAAAAGGTATTTGATTCTATCATTATAATGATAAATGAGATGCACTGCTAATCAATAATAAAGGTGGATGTGGAAGATGAGTGTGTTGTGTCAGCTGACATCACCCATATATCTATATCATTTTTCAATAATATCTAATGTTAAGTAGTTGAGTGGGGGGTGGGTGGTAAATGGTAGTGTAGGGGTAGGTACCATGTGTGGGTGTGTCAAAACATCGTTTTAGCATTACGATTCTTCTTAATTCTACCCATAAATCGTATTCATCAAAATATATATCACGAGGTGTCTCAAACCAACCCGATCATTTTGATTCAACTGATCGTATTTAAATATATATAAAAAGTGCACAGAAATTGGAATGACCTCGAGGTCCATCCCAAAGTCCTTTAAACCATTGGTCTTTCATTGTCTCATTGTTTAATCCTAAATAATAATTAATCTATATTTATATAATAGTAATAGTAATAGTAATAAAACAATGAGTTAATTAATTATTATCAATGATTCTTTGTTGTAGTTGTAAAATAATATTAAATATTATATAAATATAGATCGGTAAATACTTACCTGAATTTCATAGGAGTGAGAACTATGGTTGATTGATTGCTTTCTTTGTTTAAATAATTATTGATTGCATGATTGATGAATTGAATTTTAAATTTGTTGCAAAGTTGTTCCAATTTATACTAATCGATTAGTATAGGAATGCTAAATTATATCTGAATATACACATTGCCCATTTAGTATAATCCGATGAATGCCGATCAATAAGTGTAACTAAAAACAATCGATTCATTGTAAATAGAATAATACCAAATTACATTAAATTTTGATGGTTGAGTATTACCAGTACTGGGAATTCAACTAGACTTGATTCTCCAATATCTATTGATGAAATGAGTGTCTATCGTCATCACACGCTCTCCTCTCTTGACCCAACCACAATATTATTATTTGTAGGTATACCAGTCCAAAGTAAAAGACCTACTTTAATTTTTAAAAAAACGGGAAAAGAGTCAATGATTAGAGAATCTAGTCCGTCTGTTTGATAGATGATGATGGCATACATCATACCCTTTGACGGCACACAGTTATATTAATTGATTGAAACCAAAAAGGTAGACGGGAATTAAAATGGTTGATGTCAACATGTTAGAGATTGTTTTGATGGAATGTTATGTGTATTGTTTCCATCAAACAACATAACCACACACACTTTTAAATCTATAAAACAATCATCCGATTGATTGTTTGGCAAAAGCATCTAATCGTATCTATCCATGTTGTTGTCATGTGTAGAGTGAAACAATAGCAAGCTTCAAGATAATCCATTCATGTTGACAACAACACCAGGATTACACTCATTCGATTGATTGGTTGATATTGATTGGTATGATCATCAGGTGTCCTAAACCTAGCTTGTCACCGTGATTAGTAATACTATTTAAATGAACTATATTATTTCTAAATATATTCATCCACTACTTCATTACTAAATTAATATATTTACTCGATTCCAACTCCTATCCTATTTATTATAACCTATAAATTAAAATTAAAAACATGTTATTTGGTATGTTATACTATTGATGATAATATATATATCACATACCTCTATATTTATTGATCAGATCCTAACCAATCTACTTCTTTTTTAAATTTAAAATAAATTATTAGTTGCTCTATCTAAATCCATAATGATGCAGAATCTATCATTGTCAACATCTACTACTACTACCACCTCATCCACACACTATAATGTATTGACACCATCAACCAATCAATCTTTTAATCAAGTGTCGATCTTTTCCAAACCACTTTGGAGTCGTTGGTAATAACCAAAGACACCCCCTCCCTATAAACTAATCTTAATACAACTACTATCGAATCAAATGAATGATACATGTCAACATCAATCATTGTGTATGTGTATGTTATGCTACCGCTGCATGCAGAGCCAACCAACCCTTGTAAATATTTTAATCTCGAACCGACTCGCGCTCTCTCTATCAGCTGCTACGTCCACTCCACTCTATAATAATATATCTATAATAATACTATATTATTACTATTGATTGTAAATAAACAACATCCTTGTATATACTCTATATAGTCTTCATTATTCTTATTAATCTTATACTAGTTTGATTATATCTCTATCTCACAATAATCTGTGAAGCCAATAAGAATTTCGGGTTTGTACTAACTTCAACCTTTACGATTATTTTTATTTTATTTATTTTAATCCCTTCACAGCTAGCCTGGGTGTGAGATTCTATTATTATTATATTATATTAATATTCATTGAGACGATGAATTAATGAGTGAACAGAATAATTCTCAGAGTACTCTGAGATGAACAATCAATCAATACAATTGATCTCTGGGGCACCCGAATCCCATCGGTCTGTAAAGATCTTTAAATATCGGTCTCCTAACATTGTAGTTATGAGAATCATGTTGTTTATGCCATTCATTCATCACCGCGGCGAAGTTTGTTGATACCACAACGAGAGAGCGGAGGACTGGCCCTAAGCCGACTTAAGCCTGGTCTTGGGATAAAAATCGATTTTTAAAATATTATTTATGATTTTTTTTGGGATCCGTGTCTCCTCGGAGCACCTCTGCTCTCCCAATGCCACTCTACTTTAAAAGTCTCTCCTCCTCTCACCTGATCATTATTTATTATTTGTACTACCTCTTTTTTTATTACTACGACTATTATTTATCTTTTTCAAAAAAAAACAATCATGATGATTAAACAACAATTGATTGCTGTATTTTTAATCCTTGCTGTTGTCTTTGCAGGCTCAGCTGATGCTGCTACATTCAAGCTCAACTCTAGATCCTCTGCTAGATTGAGTGTTACCTCTGCCAAGGATTTCGGTGAATTCTTGTTAGGTTTTATTGAAGGTTTAGAAGTATGTAATAAGAATTTCGACAGAATCCGATCAATCAATAAAAATCACATATTAATTCTTATTTCTTATTTCTAATTGTAGATTTCAACATCATCACATTCACGTGCATGTATTGCCGATACTACTAGATCAGTTAGTGAATTTGTATCAGCCTATGAAGAAATCTCAAAGGGTTTCTCTGAAAAGTCAGCTCATACCCTTGGCGCCGGTTTCAAGGTGATGGGTGAAGCTTTGCTCGAAGTACCAATCTTGTGGCAAGAATGTGATATCTCTGGTTTCATCTCTGAAATCAAGGGTCTCGCAAGCAAGCTCGAAGAAGGTGCTGGAGGTGTCTTGGATGTCATCATCAAGGAAGCCATCAACATTTTCCATCACGGTCACGATTTGACCTCTGATTTCCATGGTGCCATCGCCGACGAAAAGTCTCACAATTGGTCTGGTTTCGGTGTCAACGTCGTATGTATCAAATAACTTTGATAGTAATAATAATAATTATACACATTAAAAACAAAATATTAACTATGATTTATCTAATTTTAGGGTAAGATTGTTGGAGTTCTTTTGAAGGATTAAATTTAATTGTTGTTTTGACAACAAACAAACAAACAACCTATCTCTCTATTTATTGATTATTGAAATAAATAAATCCCCTTTGTTGGAATCTGTCACTCATGAGATTCCTTCAACAAAGATCATAATCCCCTCTTTGTAATTTAATATTGTAACCTTTATAAAAATTATAATTATCGTGTAACTTTTGAATTTGAAGAGGCAAAAACTTGATAAGATCGACCTTTGAAGATTCATTCATTCATCATATTAATATAGAAAGTGAAGTCAAGTGTACAGATATAGAATAACATATATTATATACATATAGAGATATACATTATTGTAAATTATGAATAATAGTTTATAGGTCTAGGAAGGAAGGAGTACGATAGTTATAGAGTAGAATGAATCCATCAAATGGTATGTTTTTTATGATTGATATTGATTAATAGAATGAAGATGGTTGGTATTAATGTGTTTGTTGTTGTTACAGATACAATAGAATCATCATCACCAAAATCAACAATGATCAGTCCTTCATTGGAAAGATCGCCAAAAGATACGCCAGTCAATATGATACCGGCTGGTGCAATGATGGGTTTGGCAAAGTCATCGTCATCATCGACATCGTCGAATGTATCTGGAGGTGGAGGTGGTAGTAGTAGGGACAATAGTAGAGAGAATAGTAGATCGAGAAATGAACCACCTTCATCATCATCACAAAGATCGGCTACATCAACGACGACATCAGGTGGAGGTGGAGGTGCACGACCACAACAACAACAGCAACAACAACAACAACAACCTGAAAGAAGAAGAGATAGTAGAGAAAGAGAAAGATTGTCAAAGGATAATATTGGTGGTGGAAGAGGAGACAGAGATAGAGACCGCGATAGAGACAGAGATAGGGATAGAGGAGACCCACGTGACAGAGACAGAGATCGCGATAGAGACAGAGATAGAGGAGACCCACGTGACAGAGGAGGAGATCCACGTGACAGAGATAGAGATGCCAGGGATAGAGAAAGAGATAATAGAGAGCAGCGTGACAGAGGATCTCTGACTACATCTGGCACGGGAAGTGCATTATCCAGCCCCACTTTAATGGGAGGGTTGAGTAGCAGCAATTCGTCCATACCTCCTCCTCCACAACAACAACAACAACAACAACAACAACAACTACAGACTGCAGGGGGAGGAGGTGGATCATTGTCATCGTCAACATCATCACTCAAGATGAGCAAGGAAATAGACAAGCCAAAGGATACTACTTCTACTACTTCTACTTCTTCTACAACGACTGCTGCTGGAAAGCGGTCACCACGTGAAGGAGACCGTGATCGTGATAGAGATAGAGACAGAGACCGTGAAAGAGACCGTGATAGAGATCGTGATAGAGACCGTGACAGAGACAGAGACAGAGATCGTGATAGAGATAGAGACCGCGATAGAGACAGAGATCGCGATAGAGACAGGGATCGCGAAAGAGACCGTGACAGAGACCGTGATAGAGATAGAGATCGCGACAGAGACAGAGATAGAGATGGCAGAGGTGGTGGTCGTGACAGAGATAGAGACCGTGACAGAGACAGACGGGATGGTGGTCGAGACAGTCGAGACCGACGAGGAGGAGGAGACAGAGATCGCGACAGAGACAGGGATCCACGTGATCGAGACAGAGACCCTCGGGACCGTGACAGAGATAGAGACAGAGACCGCGACAATCGAGATAGAGATCGCGGCGATACTCGGTCAGGTGGAGGTGGTGGAGGTGGTAAACCTGGATCATCATCAACATCCGGGTCATCATCAACCATATCAAAATCATTTTCATCTTCGAATATTGGTAAACAAGGAGGTGGAGGAGGAGGGTTGCATTCCTCTTCTTCATCATCTTTCAATAATAATAATAATAATAACAAACAATCACAATTTAACAAAAAAAACAATAATGTATCAAACAACAAAAAGAAAAGACAAAGAAAGAACCGGTTGGCAAGACATCGACAAAAACAACAACAAAGACAGAACCACCATGACAACAACCATGGCAGTAGTGATGAAAGTAACACATCATCATCGTCATCGTCATCGTCATCATCAGAGGATGAAGACTCGTCGTATGGTTCGTCGTCGTCGTCGTCCAACTCGTATTCTTCGGGTAGTGAGGAAGGGTCGTCTAGCCAGAGCAACAGCGATAGCGATAATGGTGGAAGCAGTGATGGTGACTCGAGTGGGTCAGAGGATGGTAGCTCCAACAGTGGCAGTGACAGCGATAGCGATCAAGATGACCGTGCATTGGTCAGTGGTCTCCAAACTCGACGAAAACTAATCAAAAAGATTACCAAAGAAAATGCACCACCTCCACCACCATCATCCACTATTTCCAAAGAATCGTCGACACCACCACCACCATCATCATCATCAGTCTCTGCAACATCAACACCAACATTACCAATTGAAAAGATGGATAATAATAGTTTTAAAGATCAACCTGCCAAACCAACCAATATTTTAAATGTTAAATCATCTGCAATATCATCATCATCATCGTCATCTGTGGCACCATCAACAAGTGTAGCACAACAACCACCTCCAACAGCAACGGTAACAACTACAACATCTACATCTACAACATCAACACCAATTACATCACCATCAAAAAGTAAAAAGGGTCAAGTCACCAAATCAAAAGTAGAAAAAGTGATGGTGGTTGAAGAAAAAGATTCTAAAATGAATATTGATACTACAAGTACTAGCAGTAGTAGTAGTGGTCAATCACCTGTAAACACAAAAACAAATAGTAGTAATAATAATAATAGTTTGGATGATGAAGATGAAGAATTGGATTTATCAGATCAAGAGAATAGAAAGACTTTCCAAGATGAAATGGCATATGAAATTTATACAGATATATTGGACGAAGTATTATTAGATCTTTATTTTGAAGTTCATAAAAATTTACATTTTACTTCAAAATTAAATAATAACGGTAATAATAATAATAATAATAATAGTAATGGTAGTAATGGTAAATATATTATATATTATAAAAACAACAATATTAATATTTTATTAATTTATTATTTTTTTTTTAGAAATAATTAAAAGACCAGGAGTTGATATTTATGGACAAGTATCAAAGAATCAAACAGATACATTTGAATGTGTTAGATGTGAATCATCGGTTATTTCATCAAGATATGCACCACATCTTGAGAAGTGTATGGGTATTGGTAGAACTACAAGATCAACAAGAAACAAACAAAATAATGAATTATTGACAACTCTCTATGGTAAAGGTAGTGGAAATAATCATAATGAAGTTGAAAAAAGTATGTCAATCAATCAATTATTATTGGATAATTATTGGATGAATTATTAATTAATTAATTATTATTATTTCAGATATGTCACCATATGTTTCAGAAGATTCAGATGAAGATTATGATCCACGTGGTGGTAAAGGTGCAACAAAAAGAAAGGTTAAAAGTAAGAAATAAAGAAAAAACAAAAAAATAATAATATTTAATATTTATTAATTAATTTATTTATTTCTTTCTACATAGAACAAACTTATTCATTAGATTCAATTAAAGCATTACCATACGATAAAATTCAAGCAATATTAAAGAGAATGTGTGGAGTGGTATCAAGCAATACAGGTAAACTGTGTGCCAAGACGTTAAAGTGTCCTCAACATACAGAAGAGCAGAGAGACGAGGTTCGATTAAAGTTGCAAAAATCAGCCACTCGTAAACCTGGTAGTGGAAGACCAAGAAAATATCCACTCCCAACACAATCATCATCTGGCAACGATGATCAAGATCTTTCATCAAGTGAATTTGTAGATGTAGAAGGTGATGAAAATGAAAGGAGTTTAAAACGAAATAAATACTCTTAATTTTTTGTGATTCACAAATTTTTTCCAAAGCTGTACTCTTTTTAGTTTTTTTTTTTAAAAGTAACTATAGAATAATAATGTCTGAATTATCTCAAGCATCCAAAATTATAACAAATAGTGCACTTAGAGAAGAAGAAAAGAATCAATGTAGAGACTACTTAAAGTCTGACCATGATGAAGCACCTTTTATCATTATCAAACAAGTCATTTTGTTGTTTAATGAGTTTCAAATAATCAACGATTGTACAGAAAAGGAAGATTTCCTTGCCATGCTCAAGGTACTACTTGACTCACCAAAGGACTTTTGTTGTTTGAACTCGGTTGTTGCATTTGGCACATCCAAGATGATCGATATTGCTTCATCTCCAAAACTTGGCAAACAACACTCCAACACCTTTCACCACCACGATATAATTGTTTTAGTGAGAATTTATCTCTTTCTCTTTAGCAACTACTTTATAAATACATTATGCGAGTTAATAGGTCATGGCTTGTGTGAGATGAATAATTTGTTGTAGGTTTTAAATTTATTAATATTTAATTTCTTATAACCATCTTGAAAGACCTCTTCCCAATAGATAAGTTTTTACTTCATCATCGGTACATGGATCATCAATAATAGATGATTGATAGGTGGGATGAAGATCATCACGGTACAGTGAAACGATCGAGTAGGTAGGAGCACCACCACCAGATACTGGTGTCTTTACCAATCCATAGACCAATAATGTTTGATTAATGGTATATTGGCCAACACCTACTGTCACGCCTTTAGAGACAGATGTTTCATCAGGAATGTTGGTTGCATAACCTGGGAATTTATGTTTGATGAAATGTAGAGATTCACATCTTGCAATAGGACCAGGTTCAATTCTATATCCAGGTGCAAATCCTGTTTTATAGGTGACCGATATAGTTTGATTCGATGTAGAATTTACATTTTGAACAAATCTATTATAAACTCCAATTGGTTTGATTTTAACATTAAATCCTCCTTCAACATAGGTAACTTCGAAATTTGTAGACTTTCAAAAAAAATTAGAGTTTAAAATTACAAATTTAAATAATATTTTCAGAGTAATACTTACAGTTATAACCATCTGGTCAATTGGGTTCTTTGATTTAAGGTTCAAATCAACACCATAGTCAGATGAAACTACTAAACTATTTTCAATATCAAATTTTTGATTTGTTTGATTCTTTTTCTTTTCATCATCATGTTGATGGTGTTGTTTTAAAGGAATAATATTGTCTGTTTCAACTTGTCCTCTTTGTTGCATTTTTCTTGTTTGAATAATAATTATAATTATTATAATAGTAATTACTTATTACAAAATAATAATAATAATAATGATGGTCAGCAAAACAAAGAAAGAACACATTTGTTTATAAATACAATATTAAATATTTAAAAGTAAAGTAGCTGGCGTGTGTAAATTGAATGTTGCAATATTAGTGGGGGGTTCCAACTACGGGAGGGGCCACCATTTTACAAATTTGTTTGAAGTTCAAACAAACTATTAATTAATTATGTAACTTTAAAAAAAATATCAGATTAAAATAGAGGAAGGAATAATAATATTTATTATTTTTGGGGACATGTCTCCTCCAAAGCTTCAAAACTCAAGAAAAAAAATAAATAAAAAAAATAAAAAATAAAAAATAAAATTAATTAAAAGTTTTTTTTTTCACTGTCCGCTGAACCTCGTCTCTTAGTATCTAAGTACCTGTCTGTCTGACTGTTCACTCTACAAAACCATACTATTAAAAGAACAAGTCTTTTTAAAACTATTAGTAGTAGTAACAGCAACAACAACAACATAAATAACAATAATACAATTATAATAATCATAAGAGATTGATTGTTAACACAAACAAGCAAACAAACAAACAAACCACACTCCCCTAACAACAACAACAACCCTATAAGTCGTTTTATTTCATTAGTTAGTTAGTTAGTTAATCACCTCCCTTATGAGAGATAGATAAATATAGAAATAGAGAATATCATTAGAGACGACGACGACGACAACAACAACAAAGACGACAACTTATAAACTACTACTACTTGTTGAGTAGTCAAAGGGTGTGATGGTCATGGAATCATTTAAAAATACATTACGTACTAAATGGACGAAACACATTACAGCTAGAAGGATTAGAGGTCTATGGAGTGACTATCAGAGATCTTCAGAGGCAAAGTATGTTGCTGTCATTGTTGTCATTGTTATTATGTTTAAACTAACAAATCAATCTCTCTCTCTCTCTCTCTTTAATCGTTAAATGTTACAGGGATCCAATCATGAAACAAAAATTAAATATCTTTTTAGACTCTTTTCAAGATGGATACAAAGAATTGATGGATTCAACAGCAGGTCAAATCAAACCAATCGATTTGGATAAAATATATGGTGATTGTTCTGATATTCTAGTATCTCTATTAGAGTTGGTTGAAAAAGAATCATCAAACGACAATAACAACAATACCAATAATAATAATAATAATAGTAATAATAATGTTATAGATGGGATATTAATAAACAAATCACTTGGAGTAATAGAATTAATTTTACATGTATGTACCAAAAAGAATGAAAATATATTTATTTATTTATCTAACCTTTCTCTTATTTATTCTCTAATTAGGACGAAAAATATAAAGTAGTTGTTAAAGATACAATTGGATTAGTTGCTAAAATATTGGGATTATTGGATACTGTTGAATCGGTTGATAGCAAGAAACTAGTACTTCGAATTATCAGTTCGATTGGTGAAAATACAGAGATTAAATTAGAGATTGGTAGATTACAAGGTTTCAAGAAACTCCTTTCCCTCATGAACTCTGAACGTGAATTGACACTCGATGTACTACGTACAACCAAACAATTCTTGGATCTTAAACAATTGGTAAATGATGAGGAACTTTTAATTAATATGAAGAAATCTTCTTCAATGTCTTCTATTAGTGGTATGTAAAGTGAAAGAGAGAGAGAAAAGACAAATGATTAAAAGGTGGTTTCTATATAATTACTTACTTTTGTTTTTTTTTAGAATTTGCAAGACATAAAATTGGTACAGCTGTTAGTGAAGGATTTAAAGTGATTGTTGGAGAATTCCAAAAGGTATTTTCACCAAATGATATGATTCCTCGGAAAATGTCAATGGAAAAGGCAATCATGATGGGTGGAACGGATATGTTGGGTGCGATGGACGGATCGTTCATTCCAAGTTATGATATCCTCGAGTTGGAGTGGACGACAATGTCTGCTATGGCTGCCGAAGGAGGTCGAGGTTTAGATCAAGACATTGATTTACAAACTCAATTACAAAGATTACAACAACAATTACAAAAACAACAACTACAACAGCAACAGCAACAACAACAACAATCATCACAATCACAACAATCTGTACAACAACAACAACAACAACAATCGCAATCACTTACCAGTAGTAATAATAATAACGCATCATCAACTGGAGAACAACAAACACTTTCAACATCATCATCTTCTTCAACGGGAAGTATGTCATTGTCAGCATCATCATTACCAGTATTCAATGAAGATGAAATATTAAAAGAGTTTATGAGAACACAAGAAGCACTAAGCTCGCTTCTCACAGGTCTCAAGGAAGCCAGTCGACAAGATTCTACGACACCTCTTGTACAGTTGGATATTCTCGAAACCATATGCAAGCTACTATACAATAGCAAAAAGAATCAGGTAGAGTTTGCAAAGTTGGATGGATACCAGACACTCTTTACACTCTTTGACAATAGTCAGTGTGGTGCCATCAAGGATTTTTCATCGGCCGAAGGAAAGGATTTCCTCGAAGATATATTTGGATTGATCTTTATCATGGTTTTAGATGGTAGCAAGAATAGACGTATCAACAATCCAGATGCCCTTCAATTTTTATTTAATATTTTAGAAGACAACAACAATAATAATAGTAACAATAATTCACCAACTACTCAGAATAGTAGTAGTATTAATTCATCATTAATTGAAGTTAAATTACAAGCTCTAACTTGTATACAAGATTTAATATCAGTCAATCCTTTAAATATTGTAAATATTAAATATGTTGGAGGTATTGAAAAATTATTTAATTTATTATTAGATATTTTTAAGGTATGAAAAAACAAAAATTAATCAAATCAAAACAATAGGAAATAATCAATCTAATATTTTTTCAATTTAGGATAAATCAAAAGAAGAAGAATTTTTATCAAGTGAAAAGAATTCAACCAAATTATTATTGGCAACTAGTGAATTAATATTATATCTTGGTGTATTATTTAGTAAATACAATTGTGATGTATTCAAAAAATACATTTCATTATTGTCAAGTAAACCTCCGCTCTATAATACTTTACAATCTTTAATAGTTCAATCTTCAATCACTTTATTATCTGATATTGTTTATCACAAGGTAAATTAAAAAAAAACCAAAACAAAAAGAAATAATTTATTAATTAATTTTTTTAGACATCAATTGATAATAATATGATACCAATATTTATGAAAATAATAGAAAATTATCAAGATCAATTATATGATACCATTCATTTAATTAAAAGTAGTAATATAAATAGTGATGAAGATATTGAAAATGATCATTCACCAATACAAGGCGGTAGCAATACTGCTGCTGCCACTTCTACTTTTACAAATGATGATCATGAAATGGAAGTTGAAATGTCTCAAGAAAAAGTAAACTATATGATTAAAAATCAAGATTTATATGAAAAGAAATCTTCAATTGTTGATAGAATACTTTTAATGTTGGAATTGACAATAATGTATATAAAATGTAATGTATAAAAAAAATAACAAAAACAAAATATTATTTTAATCTAATTGATTTATTAATTTTAATTTTTTAGATTGTGAAGGATCATTAAAAGAATTTATATCAAATCAAGAATATATTAAAATATTTGTATCACTTGCAAAGATTGAATTTGATCAAGAGACTAGTGAAATATCGGATTTATGTTTTTGGATGATCAACAAGATTGTGGAATTGGAACCAGCACCACATGCAACCGTTGGTATGTTGGTGAGTCTGTTGGATGATGCATCATTGTCAAATAGTCGTCGTGAAAAACTGTGCTATGCCATTGCCGACATGATGCATTACTATAATGGTGACCAACAACTCTTGGCAACCAACCTGCAAGGAGACGATGAAGAGTCGCGGTTGTTGCGGTCATTGATCAACCGCAACTTATTGAAAATTAAGTTCCAAGAGTATGGTGGATTAAACTCATTGATCAATATTGTTAGGAGTGGAGGACAACATGCTGAAGACTTGATGAAAGGGTCAATGCAGTCTGCGTCTTCGGCGTCATTGTCGTCTTCGACATTGTCACCGACACTACTCGTGTACTCAGCGTTGGTTGCATTGTGCGAGGTGTGTTACAACTGCGAGGAGAATCGGTCGATTGTCGACATGATGGGATTCATGAAGATATCGAGTCTGATCAAGAGCTCGCATATTGTTGTCGACGAATACTTGTTCCAGCTGTTTGCAGAGCTGGCCATGAACAACAATGTGTTGATTCGTGCACAACGCGACTATCTGCAAAACACATTCTCGGGACGTGTCATGTCGGTCATCTCCAATATTGAAGATCCTCAACCACAGTTTACCTGCATCCTACCACACTCGAAGCGTCAAGTCGACGTTGTCTCGTACAAGTCAACCGATGTCGTCAAACGATCCGTCCACAACAACACCATGACCACCACCACCACCACCACGACAACCACCACCATCATCACTGAAACAAATGGTGGGTTGTATGGCGATGAAATCAATCTTGGTGATGATAACATTGACTTTAATAATACTCATAGTCCACAACATCAACGTAAAATTAGTAATGGTCAAATTCCAACTATCAATCAACCACCAAAATCAAATCAAATTAAATCAAATATGAATCAAGGTCATCACAATCATCAACATAGTCATCATAGTCATCAAAACAAACAAACATCAACTTTAAAACCAACATCATCATATAAACCAACAAATAATATTAATAATAATAATAATAATAATTTCCAACAACAAGGTACAGGAATAATTAGAGTACCAAGTTTTAGAAATTTATTTAATGGAACTAGAAGAAATAGTATTGGATCATGGGCAGGTTCATTTGATGATATGTATGGTATTTATCAACAACAATATCCTTCCAACAACAATAACAACGAATATAATAATAATAATTATATTGAAACGATTAGCGATACAATGAGTAATGCTAGTAGTGGAAGTGGAACTGGTGGAAGAAGATTTATGAATAGTAGTAACAACTCTGCTTCTCATATGAATCTACTACCATCGATTGCCATTGATGACAAGGAAACCATCTATTCGTATACTGTACTTGGTAGAACACGTATTCGTTCACCAGAAGCAGCTCTCATGCTGATTGACTTGCTCCCACAATCACCAGCAATGATTCAACAACACAATCTCGTCTTGTTGATGAAGATCCTAGAATCGAATCCACAAAACAAAAAGATGATGTGTGCAGCACAAGGATTGAAATTCCTACTCTACCTGTCACACCAGTCACCAGAGGAAACGCAATCCTACTATAGTCGACTGATCGTCATTCTCGGTCTCTACGATATCTCACCGTCCGAAGTTCGATTGTTGTTTGATTTGGCTTGTTTCCCATCATTTGAATCTCATCCACAATTGGAATCATTTGATCGTGAACAACAACAACCTCAACAACAACAACAACAACAATTGACATCATCCAAATCAAGAAAACAAGAGTTACAAATGCAGGTGTTGTATGTAATTGGTACGTTGACCGAAAGAAAGACACCTCCACTCTACTTTAACTTTGATGGGTTTGACAGTTCAATCAAGATTGGTCAAATTGACAAGTTCCCATCGATTCGTACTGGATACACCTTTTCGTGTTGGATCAAGACCAACTACTTTATGAGTGAAGAGTTTGGACTGTTTTCGTGGCAAGATATGAGCGATAATAGCATCTTTGAGGTGTATTTCAAGTCACTGGGAAGAACCAGTGCCGGTGCACCGGTTGGCGACCAAAACAAGCGTACATTGTGCATGCAAGCACGAAACTATCCGTCACCACCCGAGACATTTTGTTTTGACAAGTTTGCATTCTCAGAGTGTGGCAGTTGGCATCACATTGTATTGACACAGAGCAAGACCAAGATATCTCTGTTTGTCGACGGCAAGTTTGTGCAACACCACTCTACCAACAACTACCCACGTGTCATTACCAAGGACAAGCCTATCCAAGGATGTATTGGTAAACGTCTCTACACGCCATCAAGTGCCAACAACTCTGCATCGAATCTATCGCAATTGTTGCACACTGGCAATGGCAGTACACCAACCTCTGCACACAGCTCCTTTAACAATCTACCATCATTGCACGAGCTTGAAGAATTACAGTTACAACAACAGACTCTTGGCTACTTTTGTGGTCAAATGGGTACGATTCACTTTTTCGAAGGTATTTGGGAAGCACCTTCATGCCACAAGGTGTACAGTCGTGGTAATCTTTACAACAATTCGTACAAGGCCATTGGTATTGAAAACAAGGAATTCTTGGTCATCAAACCACAAGCATCTCCAAATGGTTATATCGAACCTTTATTAAATGCAGCTGCCGCATTGTCAATGTCTGGTGAAATCACCAATCCCAACACTGTCGTATCAGTATTAAAGGAATCAATTGGTAATTTACCTTCTCCTCCAACAAATAATAATATTATTGTTCCACCACCTACTGGACCATCATCGACCTCCTCCTCTAATAATAATAATGTTATATCTTCACCTCCATCATCACCAACAATGCCAAGAAATTCATCATTTGGTAAAGATCAATTAAATCCAATCGTCCCACCAACATTATTGGAACATAATAATAATAATATTGTACAACCAACTTTATTATCAAATTCAACAGATACATTTAGTGATACATCTAAAAAATCATCATCTTTAATCTCACCAAAAGATAATAATATTAATAGCAATACTCCTACATCTACTACTTCTACCATTTCTTCTACTATTTCTTCTTCAACTTCAAATATATTAACAACTTCAACAATGATACCAATTGAAACACAAGGAGCAAATGTAGAATTCAAGGGAGGAGTAAATGTTCATCAAACTAGATGTTTAAAGGATGTGATTAAAGAGGTTGGTGGTATTCATTTATGTTTCCCATTGTTGGATATGGCGCCAGCTCAACAAGTAGCAGGTCTGCGTATTCTAGCCGGTCTCTTGCACAAGAGTGAGACCAATAAGGCACAGTTCCGTGAACTCTTTGGATTCAGTATTCTCTACCACCTTTTACTTCGTTTCTCATCGTCTTCGTCGTCTATCATCTATGGAGGCAATACCGAATTGTCAATGGAGACATTTGAAATTCTTTTTGATCTCTTGATGGATGGAATGAACAATCAGAGCGACACCAAGCAACTGTGGAGTCACGACTGTATGATCCTCATACTCGATCTCATCACGAGTAGTTGTCAATCTGAAGAACTCCAACTACACGTTTTGAAATACTTTAACACGTTTTTGTCATCATCTTCTGCTGGAGGCAGTGACACTCTCAAATTATGGATTACCAACCCATACGCAACCTCGTATAGTCAGGATATTCAAGCACAGGATCCAACTGCTACAGTCGCACCACCACCCGCCGTCTCCAAGATCAACTATCTTTTGGCATTGTCATTGTCAATGGAGGGAGACTGCACATTCCTCCTAAACATTGTCAAAAAGATACTTCCACACCTCACCCCCGTCGATCTAGAGTCTATCTTTAAATACCTCGTTTACAACAAGGATGGCACATACGAACGCATTGCTGTAAAGTCTAGATTGTTTGAAATCATCTATGAGGAGATGCGCAAGTGTCCCTCCCTTCTCGAGAATCTCCGATCGCTTGGTGGATTCAATATTGTCTTTTCAATGCTCGAGTTGCCCTCTGATGAAATCCGTGTGACGGTCATTAAGCTCATTGGACTGTTGATGCATTCAAACACAAAGGCAGCATCTTTGTTTAGAAGAAATAGTGGGTTTGAACTATTAGCAACACTCTTGTCTCGTAGCAACCCACCATCAGTGGTTGTTTGCAAAGCATTGCTCACCTTGATGGTCGATGGTTATAAATTCGATCCAAAATGTATCATGGAAACTAAACAACGTTCAAGTAGTTGGATATCATTGGATTTCTTTACCAGAGACAAGTCATATGACTCGTTATCATCTCTTACATCACCATTAAATGATGGTGATGAAGATGAAAAGGATAAAGAAAAAGAAAAGGAAAAGGAAAAAGAAAAAGAAAAAGAAAAGGATAAATCAATTGGTAGTAGTAGTAGTAGTCATAGTAGTAGTTCAACCTCTACAACAAATAATAATAATAGTACTTCTACACAACAACAACAACAACCACAACATCCACATGATGATAAAACAATTGTATATCCAGAAGCATTACATACATTGTTTTTAATGTTGTCATGTTTTGATTTTGAATCTATTCAAAACCGAAACCATCATCACCATGTCGAATACCAGTGTCTTAATGAAGTTGAAAAACTACTCGACTCTAGTATGAATATGGAAATACTTTGGAATCAACCTTGGTTCGAATGGCTCTACCAATTTATTGAACAACAAGGTTACCATCATTCATCAAAAGATAATCTAGTCTATCAACAAGCTCTTTCATTATGTAAAAAAATGGTCATCCATGATGTAAACAAAAAAACTTCAAAAATTATTAAAGTTAAAGGTAAATAAGAAAAAAAAAAAGAAAAGAAAAAGAAAAGAAAATATTAAATAATACTAATTTATTTATTTTAAAATTTTATAGAAGTTTGTATTGATTTTGAAGAATTTTATGTTCATATTGTTGATTCAATTTTGGATTATTTTGAAAAAGATTATGTGTTACCACAAAATGAATCATCAGATATTATCAAGAATCTTGTCATTTATTTCAAATCGTTGGATGATATTGCAGTTCCACCAGATACATCAATGAGAATGTTAAATACTATCAACCAATTAGCAGTTTACAACACATCAACCATTCGTTCAACCATGAAATCAAATGGTCTATTTGATATTAGAGATACTTTAATTATTCAATTATTAAGATGTAAGAAAAGAAAAAGAAAAAGAAAAGAATAATATTATTATTTATATTAATTTATTTTTTATTTTCTATTTTTTTTAGGTGATATTAAAAAATTAATTATACAATTTGAATTTGATTTTGAATGTGTAGTTGATCAAAGAGCATTTAGAGAATCAAATAATGGATTATTATATTTATTATACTTTTTCCATTTGTCGGTCAACGATGCTCAATTACAATTCATTATCTATGGTATCTTAAAGAATGTTTTTGGGTCAAGTGACGAGAATAGAAAGATTATTTCAAATATACTCGAGGATAATAATGTGGTTCAAATGTTTTTCGATCCCAACATTCAAAACGGTGATGAATTTATCGAATGGTATTACCGCGAGGAAATGACACCAAAGCGTATCGAAATTGAAACGAGAATTGGAAAGTTGATGGCACCCGTCGAAACCAAATACAACAGTCAACAAGAAAAATTGGTCAAACTCAAGGAAAAGAGAATCAAGCAGAGAAAGGATAAAAACATCAAGCAACATTCCACCATCACTAAACTAGTTCAAGAGACCGAGGAAAAGAGAAAGAACCGTGCCTCTAAAATGATGGTAGAATACACTACAATGTCCAAACTCATACCCATTCATTCTAAAGAACGTTTAAACCTTGGTAAAGAACGTTGGGATTTTTTCAAACAAAAGTTATGGGATTCTGTATTATGGATTGCTAATAGTTCAACTACAACTAATAATAATAATAATAATTCAACTCTAAATACTCATAATAATAATCATAATAATTTAAATACTAACCAACAATTACCAATTCCACCAACTTCAACAAATCTTTAAAGAACATGTTCTTTACCTCTAACCCATTGACCTATTATTTTTGACTTGAAAATAAACCATCCACATTTCTTTTTTAAAAAGATGCCAACTTTAGATGTTGATCAAAATCTACTTTACTCGCTAGCGAGTACCAGTCAGTATCTATTTAATAATATCTTTTCCTTCCTCCACTTCTCGTCAACCGGTATTTCCCGAAAAAGAATGTAATGGCGCCAGAATAAAATTTATCCTGTTCATAGGATCACTAATCAAACAATGAAGATGAGGTTGGATATTATAAAATAAATATACCACGGATAAACTGGAATAAAAAGATATTTTGAACACGGAAAAGACGATAATAAAATGACAGGCATGAAAAGATGGAGGGTTTGATTTTTTGAAGATATTTTAGCAATAAAATTTCTCGTTTCGCCCCAATAAATGGACTATATCAACAAGGCCACCACCCTGTACAATGAAGAATCCATCATCTTCAATTCGAAAGAGAAGAAGAATACGAGCGAATCAAAAGGAAGATAGAGCAGAAAATGAAACAAATTTATCTCTTTTCTATTTTTTTTATTTTTTTCGTCACCCCTTCGTTTGTATTTTCACAGTTGGATACCAATGAATGTATGTAGAGACAGACAGAGAAAAAGAAAGAAGATTATAATATATATAGTGTACAACTCAATACTTACTTTAATATCTATATGATATCTAAATAATCATAATCTATCTCTATTTAAGTGAATTCAGCGATATTCATCATTAAACAATATGGTATACCAGTCCCACTAGATCAATCACTGTGCAACTATGTTTATGCTGGTAGAGCTGTATTTAGTTGTCTTACTATATCAGGTCAAACTCATGTAGTAGATATGTATGTAGAGATATATATATATAGAATCATCATTTAGAATATGAATATATGATCACAAACATCATGTGATATTAATTAATTATGATTCATTTTAAATATTTATCTTTTTTTTCTCTTTCTCTTTCTCTCTATCTCTCTCTATAGAACATCAATATTATTACCATATGTAAATAAGGGTGATCCAGATTATACATTGACATCATTATACTTTCCATCATTGGAGTCTATTGGTTTAATGTACTATGGTAATCCTACAAACAGTTCAATCAACCTGTTGGATCTCTTTGTGGACTTGCCGTATCCCTCTTTGGTTCGATTACATTTGAACGGCTCCCAAGTAAATTATATACCTCCCAAGTTTTCAACCAATATGCCAAAATTGGATTATGTCATGTTGATATTGCCCAACCTCACCACCACCAACTCGTTTTTTGATAGTCCAACGGTATATCCGTCTCTGAGATATCTCGTCCTTGGTTTCTATCCAACCGACGAACTCATCCAATTCTCAAAGTCTAAAATGCCTATCTTGGAATCAGTGTATGTAAAAAAAGAGAAGAGAGGAAATATATTTCACATTGTATATATCTAATAATGATATTTTATATTTTCACTAGTGATTTTGCAATTGGAGATGGATCAAAACTTCATTTTGGATCTGATATCGCTATCACCTATCTTTCTTGTTATGGATTACCAAGAGGAATACAAAATATACAATGTACATTGTCTATTGGTGACCCTTCAAAAATGAATACTTTGTAAGTTGTAAATCAATCAATCAGTCAGCCAAGTGTGATACTGGATTTGAATATATTACAAATTGTATACATTTTATTGACCATTTCCATTTTTTGTTAGAGTTGTACATGGTAGAAATTCATCCTTTTCTCCACCCGTGAGTCCTTCATTCAAGGTATTAAAAATGTTGACAATTAAATTCCTTAATATTACTACCTATCCAATTTCCTTTACATTTCCTCCACTAATGGAATCACTGTATGTATAGATATATTTAAAACAAAAAGAGAAAACAGATTTTAAAACTCATTTTTGGTTATTTATTTTTCTATTTTTTTTTTAGTGCTTTTGAAAATACTCAAATTACACAAGTTCCAAACATTCAATTACCTTCTTCGGTCAAAGTACTCTCAATCCTTTTTAATAATGTCGCTGGAACAGTAGATTATGATTACGTATTTGCAAACAGTACCAATTTGCAACTTTATCTCCAAAGTCCTCTCATCGTTGGATCTATTCCCGATAGTTTTTGTGACAATAGACCATTTGTTTTTGGAACATCAATTTCTTCAATTCCTGGTACGCGAAAAAAAAAAGTAATAATAATAATAATATTTAATATTTTCTAATACTTTTTTATTAGATTGTTTTTGGTGCTATTCAGGAGACAATAGCATTTTCACAACAAGTGCAATTAAACCACCAACCATTACTTGTGATATAGGATTGGATTCAACATTTCTAGTTACAAAGAATGGAAAAAGTATGTAAAATATTAATATTAATATTAATTCTAAAAATAATAATAATTTGATTTGTTAATATTAATCTTTTATTTTCTTTTAGTTACTGTAACTGGTAGAGGGTTAGGATGGGGAGCACCAGATATTAAAGCTATCATTCCTAATCGTCAAATGGAGATAACGTATCCTAGTTTTGCATTACTTGAACCACCAAAAAATGTTACATTTAATTTACAAAATGTAGGACCTGTTGTTTCAGTGCAAGCAGAGATTGCTGAAGGAGGTGTCACTATCAATGATGTTAGGTTTTCTCAAATGGCCAATTATGTTGAGGTCAGAATGTACATGTACAATTATAATCCCTATTTTGTCCCTTTGGTTCAATTCAACGAAATGGCTGCTCTATCAAGTGGAATGACGGTTAACAAAACAATGATCACCTTTGCAGTACCCCCAATGCAAAGTCGACAATGTTATATCAATGTTAACAACCAGTACTACCAAGCTAACTGGGGGACCTATTTTTTCAAAACCTTTCCAACCATCACCAACATTTCAACTCTGTCGTCACCTGGAACCCCTATAACCATCATTGGTAATACTGGAGGTTTTGCAAACTCTGTCATTCAAGTAACATTCAACAATGGAACTTTGAGTGAAACCGATTGTCTAGTATCAAATTATACATCAACCTATATTATTTGTTCAACTCCAATCACTCTACCAGGTGTTTATGGAAATACAAGTGTTAGAGTAAATGTTAATGGTTTCTTTACATTCTCTAGTGTTGTACTTAAAAGTGTTCAAACCTATTGTCAAGAAACTACAAATTATTGTCATGGTAATGGTGATTGCAATGAAAGTGGAATTTGTTTATGTAAACAATCAAATTTTTATGATTCTTGTTCAAAAAGTAAATATAATAATAGAAAAATATAAAAGAAATAGATTATTAATTTTATTATTTTATTTTAATTTATTTTAATTTTTTAGGTTATCCAACACTTAGTTCAGGTCAATATGATTCAAATGATTTAACAATGGTTTCACTTTATGGTGATTTTGGACCTTTACCAACTCTGACCAATGTTTCAATCAAATTGAATAATTCAATTTCATGTACACCAACCATTGTTTCACAATCAAGTATCAGTTGTACACTATCAAGTAATGCACCATTTGGATTATCATCAGCTCAAGTTAGTGTTGATGGTTTTAATACCTCTTCGTCAAATATACTTCGAAACACTATTAATAATGGAGGTGGTACAAGTTTCAAGTGATACTAGTAACAGTAGTAGTGATGAAAATGGAGGAGAAACAGCTCAACAAAAATGTTCAAGATTAACATTTAATTGTTTTGGTAATGGTATTTGTGATACGAATGGAATCTGTGTTTGTAATCAAAATTATAATCCAATTGATCATTGTTTTACTAAATGTAAGTTAAAAAAGAATGAAATAATATAAATATATATTTTTAAATTAATTTATTAATTATTTTCCTTTTTTTAGTTATAAATACAACGATTATAGCAAATTCAACATCACCAACAGTATCATTTGATGTTGATGGATTAGATTTCCAATTTGAATTTAAATCAATTCAAGAATTGGATTTGGATAATAATGTTTTGAATTTATTAAATATTGATGATTATTCTTGGAATGTAAATGTATCAATCAATGATATTAATACAACTGCAGTTTATCAATTAAATACTACCAATACAACCAATAGTAATAATAATTCAACAAGTCAATTTAATCCATTCCAATCACTTCAAGTATCATCAACCATTTCATTCTCATCACAACCAAGAGAAATTCCATTTGGTGATCAAGTCCTTCAAATCAATCCAAACTCTATTAAATTGGCAATCAATGTTAGTGGATGGCAATATAGTTCAAATGTAGCAACACTCAGATTAATATTCACATCAGTGGTAAATCAAAATCAATCAATTGAATTTAACTGTGAAAAGACTGAAATTGGTACACTCTCTTTTGACTCGCTATCAAATCTTCAATACCTAAGAGTTGTAAAAGATAATATTCAATTTAATGGTAGATTTATTGATTATGCCATTTCAGATGGAAGAGTTGTTTATTCTCAAACTGAATTGGTATCATTTACTCCAATAGATGATAAAGATAATGATAATGATGGTCAATCAATTGCAACGATTGGAATAAGATTGCCTCAATGCCAAGAATGTTTATTGGATCCTGATTTTACACCACTTTTAATTGATAAAAGTAATGATCAAGGATGTGGTGAATCATCATCAAAAGCATGGAAAATAGCTGTTGGTGTTGTGGTTGGAGCTGGTGCTGCTATTGCCATTGCTGCTGCAACTGTAATATTAGTATTAAAGAAAAGAAAGGCCACTATTTTCCAAAAGAAAATGGATAGATTATCTTTCAATCAATAAAACAAAAAAAAAAAAAAATATTGTAAAATACTTTTCCCACTGTTCTTCATCACCTCATTACTTTTTTTCCTCACCATATTTATTTATTTGTTTTTATATAGAGATAATGAATAATAACATTTATATTATAACATTTATAGATGTATTTAGAAATGTAATGACTAGGAATGAAATATTTCAAGCATTGGCAAGATTAGATCGTTTTAAAAGATCGTCATCATCATCTATAAATGACATAGGAGAATTCTATATAAAAGGAAAAGAATTAAGAAAATCATTAGAGAAGATGTTTGTTTATGGTATGGATTGGAAGTTTATTTCATTGTCTCTACATCTACCGGTTAAACCGTTTGATGATGTAGTTGTAAACTCTTTACAATCAGGTCTAAACAAATATGTAGCACATTCAAATGTAACATTAGATTCGATTAAAAAGGCAATCGAATGGGTTGGCTCATTTCAACCAGAAACTGATTTGTTGTCTCGTGTTGCATCTCATTCCGAGTTGGATACTCTAATTCATCTATCAACACAATACCCACAATGTGATACTAGAGGTGCATTGGATAACGCAGCAAATCGAGGTAAAATAGATATGGTCAAATGGTTACATTTTAATAGATCTGAACCTTGTTCAACTTTTGCTTTAGATGGGTAAAGATAGTCTAACCAATAAGAATAATAAGTAATCTAAAACTTACTTATATTTTTCTTTTCTATTTTATTTAGAGCAAGTTCTGTAGGATCAATAAAAGTAGTAGAATTTCTTCATTTTAATAGAAGTGAAGGATGTACAATCAATGCATTAAATAGTGCAATTCAGAATGGTCATTTAGATGTGATACGATTCTTGATGGATAATAGGAGTGAAGGATTCTCTAGTCATCCAATTGACGAAGCATCGAAAAGAGGAAGACTTGAAGTAGTCAAGTATCTTGATACACGTCTTGGATCGACAATACCAAGAATATGTTCAATGGCTGCGATGAACATTTCCGCAAAGAATGGTCATTTACCCATCGTAGAATATTTACATTTGAACCGTACAGAGGGATGTAATTTTCTTGCATTCAACGGTGCTGCCTTGAATGGACATTTAAATGTCCTAGAGTATCTTGTAAACAACCGTAAAGAACGTCCTAGTGCCAATGTAATGATAAATGCAGTACTGGCCAATCGATTAGACATTGTCAAATACCTTGATGGTATAAAGGTAGGTACAGACTATTACAAAAAGTCAATGGATGAGGCATGTACTAGAAACTATATGGAAATAGTAGAGTTTTTCCATGGTACAGGTACCAAATGTAGCAAAAATGCAATGGTTGGAGCATCAAGAAACGGACACTTGGGTATGGTCATGTGGTTACACTATAACCATGGTGACGATCTGCTCGACGTCAAGAGCGATGCTGTTGATCAGGCAGCGGAATCAAACCATCTTGAAGTGGTCAGGTTCCTCCTCATCAATCGACCTTCATCCACTGTTTCAGATTCTACTCGTCGATTGATACAAAGGAGCGGATACTATACACATATCGCAGATTTCCTAAACAATCACACCACCACCGCCATCTGAAATGTGAGTCGATGCGAAATGCCGTCGACCGATTTCAAATAAACCAGAGAAAAAAACCCGCAACGAAATTAATTTTACATCACCAAGATATTTTTTCAAATCGAACAACGCGACATGTCAGGACAAATGGGTCTGAACAATTTTAGATATTTGCATTAAAATTTATCGACCCCAGATTTTCTTAAGCTCATCACAATAATCTTTCTCGTCGACGCGATGAAGATGCCAACACAAAAAGGTCGATTGCGATCTTTTTTCAAGTTCATTTTCGAAAAACACAAACACAACATGTATTTTTATAAACAAATAATTTTTAGCCTCCTAGTATCATCGATATTTCTCATTTTAAACAATGAAAAAACACCATCTATTGTATTATCACAAACTTTACCTATTGATGAATGTATGTATTAAATTTAAAAAAAAAAAAGATATAGACCATCATCTGATTTCTAAAATCTTTCTTTTTTTCTTTTTTTTTTTATATTTTTAGTAAACTCTGCAATCTTTTTAATTAATCAATATGGATATCAAATTCCTCAAAATGATTCACTTTGTAACTTTGACATTTCATCAAACAAAGTCTTTCGTTGTAGTTCTAAATCTGGTCAATGGCATATAGATCAAATGTATGAAATAATGATCACCACTTTAAGATGATGATCTTTTCATTTAACTTTTTTTTCTTTTTTTATTTATTTTCAATTTAGATATTCTGAATACACTATTTATACAAATGTTGGAATACCAGATCACACTTTGAAATCATTGACATTTCCAGCTTTGAATTTATTTCAGCTTTGGGGAACCTCTGCTACAAATCTTTCAATCAATCTATTAGATCTTTTTATGGAATCGTCTTATCCCTTGCTCAATACCTTTACAGTAACAAATTGCAGAGTATTTAGAATCCCAGACAATTTTGCAGCCAATATGCCAGTGGTGCAAAACCTACAACTCAGACTCCCAGATGTGACCACCTTTGGAAGTTTCTTTCCAACACCAAATCTTGGACTTGTCATTGTAACTGGCAACTTTACCAAGGCACCTTTAATGGGTTCAATGATCTATCCAAAATTAGACGGCCTAATGTTTACATACAACCCAATAAGTGATACAATCAACCTACCAAAGAGTCAATTTCCTTTATTACGTGTTTTGTATGTAAAAAAAAAAAAAATGAAAAAGAAGAATTGGAGTTTTTAATATATTTTTTAATTTAGGGAAATATCAATTACAACCGGATCTCAATTGGATATTTTTACTGATACTCCCATCTCTGTTGTGTATGTTACATTTTTTTTAAAATTAATGAAAAAATATGTTAATCTTTTTATTTTAATTTTATTTTATTTTTTTCATTTTTTTAGGGGATGTATGGGTACTCCAAGAGAAACATCAAATATAGGTTGTAGTATGCATTTAACAGATATAAGTAAAGTTCGACAAATGTATGTATATATTGACAAAAAAAAAAAATCCATCATTTCCTATTCTTTTCTAATCAAAATTAATTTAAATTTAGAGTTTCACATGGAAAATTTTCTACATTTTCGCCCATGATTGATTCAACTTTTAAAGTATTGGAAGTTTTGTATGTAATAATTGATCAATTCCTTTTTAATCACATTTTATGTTAATAATAATCTTTTTTTTTTTATTATTAAGAATTTTTGCTTTTGGATCTAGAACAACTTATCCATTCCCACTAGACTCTATTCCTCCCATAGTAACTTTAATGTATGTTTATAATAGCAAGATTCAAAAGAGATAAACTTTTATTTAACCAATTTTTTTCTTTTTTTTTTAGTTCAATGGAAGGTAATCAAATGACATCAATTCCACAAGTTCAATTACCTTCAACAGTCAAAGATTTCTCCCTCCATGGCAATCCTATTGTAGGACCAATAGATTTTGATTATCTTTTTGAAAATAATACAAATATGGCATTAAGAGTCAATAGTAATCAGGTTACTGGAACTGTTCCTGACAGTTTTTGTGACAATAGATTAAATATATATGGGACTTTAATTACTGCTATACCAGGTAATTCAAAAAAAAAAAAAAAAAAATCTAATTAATTAATCCTTTTATTCTAATACTTTTTTTTATTTATTTATTTTTAGATTGCTTTTGGTGTTATTATGGAGATCAAAATATTTTATCAACTTCGATTCCTAAACCAGTAAATTTTGTTTGTAGTATGTAAAAAAAAACAAAAAGAAAATAGTTTGTTAAAACTAATATCTTTTTTTTATTTTTTTTGTTTAATTTTTTTTCTATAGAACCAGCATTTGATTCAACATTACTTGTTACAAGAAATGGAAAGGTAACAGGTACAGGTAGACTATTAGGATGGGGTTTTCTTCCAAACATTAAAGCTATCATTCCCAATCGTCAAATGGAGATAACGTATCCTAATTATGTATTACTTGAACCACCAAAAACGGTGTCATTTAGTTTAAGCTCAGTTGTTTCAGTGCAAACTGATATCGTTGAAGCAGGTGTATATATCAGTGATGTTAAATTTGTGCAACAGGCCACTACTATTCAGGTCATTGTCGGCATGTACAACTATAATCCCTATTTTGCCCCATCTGCCAAACTCGAACAAGTTGATTATCTCTATTCAACATGCAACAAAACAATGATCACCTTTTCAGTTCCACCAATGCCAAGCGGTGTATATTATGCTTTTATCGCCAATCAGTATTTCAATGCCTCCCTACCACGATCCTATAGCCAAACCTATCCAACCGTTACCAACATTTCAAAATTGTCGGCTCCTGGAATCAATATAACCATCTTTGGTAAAACTGGAGGTTTTGCAAACTCTGTCATTCAAGTAACATTTAACAATGGAACTTTGAGTGAAACCGATTGTCAAGTAATAGATTATACATCAACCTATATTATTTGTTCAACTCCATTTGGTCAACCAGGTGTTTATGGAAATACAAGCGTTAGAGTAAATGTTAATGGTTTCTTTACATTCTCTAGTGTCGTACTTAAAAGTATTCAAAGTTATTGTCAAGAAACTACAAATTATTGTCATGGTAATGGTGATTGCAATGAAAGTGGAATTTGTCTTTGTAAACAATCAAATTTTTATGATTCTTGTTCAAAAAGTAAAAATAATAGAAAAATAATATAAAAGAAATAGATTATTAATTTTATTATTTTATTTTAATTTATTTTAATTTTTTAGGTTATCCAACACTTAGTTCAGGACAATATGATTCAAATGATTTAACAATGGTTTCACTTTATGGTGATTTTGGACCTTTACCAACTCTGACCAATGTTTCAATCAAATTGAATAATTCAATTTCATGTACACCAACCATTGTTTCACAATCAAGTATTAATTGTACACTGTCAAGTATTGCACCATTTGGATTATCATCTGCTCAAGTTAGTGTTGATGATTTTAATACCTCTTCTCCAAATATACTTGTAAATATGAATAGTGGTAATAGTACAACTCCAAGTAGTAGTAGTGATGAAAATCATACAGGAGAATCAGCTCAACAAAAATGTTCAAGATTAACATTTAATTGTTTTGGTAATGGTATTTGTGATACGAATGGAATCTGTGTTTGTAATCAAAATTATAATCCAATTGATCATTGTTTTACTAAATGTAAATAAGAATAGAAAAAAAAAACAAAAAAAAAGAAATATTGATTATTTTTATTAATTTATATTTTTATTTATATTTTAGTTATAAATACAACGATTATAGCAAATTCAACATCACCAACAGTATCATTTGATGTTGATGGATTAGATTTCCAATTTGAATTTAAATCAATTCAAGAATTGGATTTGGATAATAATGTTTTGAATTTATTAAATATTGATGATTATTCTTGGAATGTAAATGTATCAATCAATGATATTATTACAACTGCAGTTTATCAATTAAATACTACCAATACAACCAATAGTAATAATTCAACAAGTCAATTTAATCCATTCCAATCACTTCAAGTAACATCAACCATTTCATTTTCATCGCAAGAAAGAGTGATTCCATTTGGTGATCAAAGTCTTGTAATCAATCCAAACTCTATTAAATTGGCAATCAATGTTAGTGGATGGCAATATAGTTCAAATGTAGCAACACTCAGATTAATATTCACATCAGTGGTAAATCAAAATCAATCAATTGAATTTAACTGTGAAAAGACTGAAATTGGTACACTCTCTTTTGATTCATTGTCAAATCTTCAATACCTAAGAGTTGTAAAAGATAATATTCAATTTAATGGTAGATTTATTGATTATGCCATTTCAGATGGAAGAGTTGTTTATTCTCAAACTGAATTGGTATCATTTACTCCAATAGATGATAAAGATAATGATAATGATGGTCAATCAATTGCAACGATTGGAATAAGATTGCCTCAATGCCAAGAATGTTTATTGGATCCTGATTTTACACCACTTTTAATTGATAAAAGTAATGATCAAGGATGTGGTGAATCATCATCAAAAGCATGGAAAATAGCTGTTGGTGTTGTGGTTGGAGCTGGTGCTGCTATTGCCATTGCTTCTGCTGCTCTCATTTTTCATCGAAAGAAACTCCGAGCTGGAATATATCAGTCAAAATTGGATAGAGCCAGTACTTCTATGCGATCAATGGGTTAAATTACTAAATAATAAAGAAATATACACTTCAATTCCGCCATTTTAATTCCTTACCAATACACTGTCCTAGCAATTTTATCTAAAAAAATAAATTGAAAACTAATGATGTTATACAAAAACAAGAAAGTCTTTGACAATGTTTTATTAATTTAATCTTTAGGCACCAACTGTTCTCTACTATTGGAAGAGTAGTACACTTAAGTTACAAAGTTTTATTCTTCTTTTTATTTGTTCTAAAAATATATCCCTATTTTTTTGTTTAGTTGATTATTATAATATTAATATTATAATTGATAGATGGAGAGAGAATAGAAGAGGATGATGGTGGTGAGGAGAATTAAAGTGATCGAAAAAAGATAAAGAGTACTTAATCTAATACCCTCGTAGTAGGAGCAAGGGTGATTTGGCTTTTTTGGATTTTGGCTCAAATGACTTTGAATCCCCGGTGAAGGACCAGACTTGGCACTAGTCCCAACCAAGTTTGGCCTGTCACTAGAACCTTTTTACCATACCTTCGTTTTTCATTTTTCTTTAATCAGTTATGCATTTTGGAGCTAAAAGCAATTTTTTTAATTTTTTTTAAAAAAGAGATAAATGTACAGATAGAGTAGAGATAACACATTATTTGTACTCAGATGAATTGATTGATTTAAATTGAATTTTTAAATTTTAAATTTGGACCATATATAGCAACACTGGGAATAAATTAAATTGCTGCCCCCTTAAATGGGTGGCGTCGTGCTCCTCCTCCTCAATAGGTAAAAAAAAAAATTAACGAAAAATAAAACAAATAGGTCCTTATTTCTGACCCAAAAGGTCTGAAATCACCGTATGAACTTTTTGCTCCTGCGAAGAAAAATAAACCAGATTTTGTAGGTGGAAGGGTATCAAATTTTTGGTTATCTTTTTTTAAGTTGTTTGGGAAAATCATGCTTTCAAAAAAAGATTAAAAGTCTTGCGCTCTACCGACTGAGCAAACAAGGAACATGATTTGTTCCAATTTAAACGTTATTCTATTTATCAAAAAACCGCTCAGGGCGCGGGTCCAGATGCGTGAAAATTTTGCTGGTAAAACATGTGCCTTGTTAGCTCAGTCGGTAGAGCGCAAGACTCTTAATCTTGTGGTCGGGGGTTCGAGCCCCCCATAGGGCTATATTTTTATTGTTTTTTTTTTTTTTTGCGATTTTCTGTCCTGCCGAAGCTGTTCTACGCACTCATGGCTATCGTTCTAACCAAGTTTCATCAAATTCCATTGAAACCATAGAGGAAAAAACCTTAAAATGGTTTAACCTAAGTTTTTTTTTGGATAAAAAAAATGGCAAGGGTAATTTAACAAAAAAGTGAGCAAGAAATGGAGAATGATGTTCTCCATACCCTTATCTTTGCAAACTAGTTTTATAAATTTCCATCTTTTTTTTTTTTTTTTTTACAAATAATGTAATTAATTTTTATTTCTTTACATTACCCAAAGACTAGAAAATCTTTGTCTTGATTTAATAACGATAGGATCCTTATTTCCAAGAGTGTCAAATATTTTAAAAAGCAAACGACGAGCAGCTTCGTCATTGTATTTTTTATCCAATCTAATGCACAAAAGTAATTGATCGATAGCATTTTGATATTGCAAGTCTTGATAATAGAGCAATGCCAAATGATAACGAGACTCTATGATTTTACTTTTGTTTTCAACAATCTTTGGATCAATCATTTCCAATTGTTGTAATGTCTCTTGAATTTCTTGTTTTGTTGTTTTTCCCTCTTCTCCTCCTCCTCCGCTTGTACTCTTTGCCTTTTCCACTTCAGATTGTAAATCGATCAATGTTTTTGCTTGAAGCAAAAGAGGAGTAGTGAGTTCCTTTGGATAATCTGTAGTGATGAGTTCAATCATATGTTTGACAGCCTCCATATTTCGTTTTCTAATGGAACAATCGAGGATACCCCTGACAGCCTTTACTCGATCTTCATCATTGTGCATCATTTGCATGTACACTTGATAGGCTTGATCAATCTTTTCCTCTTTTAGAAACTTTTCAGCCACCGAGTTTAGATTTGATTCGTCATTTGATAAAAGGTCATCAACCCATTCCTTTAGTTTGTCGGCTGGAGGATTACCAGTGAATTGTTTCAATACCTTTCCTTTATAAAGTGAAAATACTGTTGGTAATTCTTTAATTTGTAATGATTGTCCAAGTCTTGGGTATTGATCAACGTCAACCTAAATGATAAAGGTAAGTAAATAAAATATTTAAATCTAAAAGTTCTATATATTTGTGTATAGTTTAAGTTTACCTTTGCAACTACAAATTTACCAGGGTTTGATATAGCAAGTTGTTCAGATTGAGTTACCAATTGTTGACTATAAGAGTTTTTATGACTATAACAAATTAACATTACTGGTGGTACGCTATGAATAACAACCTTTTCAAATGTATCATAATTTAAATCATAAATTAATGGTGTTTGTGTAGAAGAAGGTGAAGGAGTAGAAGGAGTAGAAGGAGGAGGGGTAGTAGTTTGTATTTTATGTTGATTCTTTTGTGATTCAAATGTTAAACCTTCATCCTTATTATTATTATTATTATTTGAATAGTATCTATTGTTGCTAATACTATTATTATAACTAAAACTATTACTATTAATAGTACTTTGTCTATTTGTTAAAGAAATGAATACATTTCTTTTTAAACTAGTTGTAGTCAATCTTCTAAACATCATCATTCTTGAAAAGTGATGATCATTGAAATTTCAAACATCTACTTTTTAAGAACATTAGAAAAACAAAAATAATTAAAAATAAATCAATAATTTATGATTCAAGGATTTATACAATTTATTTTATCTCTTTCATTGAGTATTATTATTATTATTATTATTTATAGGAGGTATTTGTTGTTGTTGTTGTTGTTGATGTTGTTGTTGATTTACAGATTCTGATTTTGGTGAAGTTGTATTTGATAAAATGGTTGGTGAAAGATTCGGATTGTTTGATATTGTAACATTATTATTATTATTGTTATTATTATTATTATTATTGGTTGCAGCATTTTTACTCTTTCTTGGACCTCTTGGTTTAGGAGGAGGTTTTGGTTGTCCATCATTACCATTTGTTTCCTTGTTATTCTTTTTTGATTTTTTACCTGTTGTTGTATTCTTTTCATCATTATTACTATTATTGCCTGTTTCATTATTATTATTATTCTCTTGTTCTTTTTTAACTTTTGAACTCTTTTTCTTTGATGGTTCTTTTGGAATGGCTGGTGGTTTTGAACTGTCGACAGATTTGGGAGGTCTACCTTTTGGTGTTTGTTTAACAGCTGGAATATCACTTGGTGAAAATGGTTTATCTTCAATTGGTGTTAATCCTGTTTTACCTCTTCTCTTTCCTGTTAATGGATCAATCTGTGTTTTCACTAAAGAAAGAAAATAAAATTAGTTTTTTTTTCTTTTTCTTTTTCTTTTTTTTTTTTTTCTATTTACATTTCTCTTCAACTTCATCATCATCAAGGAGGAAAGAGACAACTTCAGTAGGTCTCATTTCATTTTCAAATTTACCACCAGCAATGACGATAGATTGAATTTGATGTTTTTGTTTGGCACGTTTAATGACACGTTCCTCGACGGTACCCTTTGTGACGAGACGATAGACAGTGACAGGACGTTGTTGACCAAGACGATGACAACGATCCATAGCTTGTTCATCCATGGTTGGATTCCAATCACTATCGAAAAAGATGACAGTATCGGCAGCCGTCAGATTAATACCAATACCACAAGCACGAGTACTAAGTAAAAATACAAAAATCGATTGATCACTTTGGAAATCATCTACCAAATCTCTTCTATCTTCCAATTTTGATGATCCATCTAATCTAAGATATTTATATTTTCTAAATATTACAAAGTCCTATAAGGTAAAAAATAAATGTTAATTCTATTTCTCTATATTTTTCTTTTTCAATTTCTTACTTCTAAAATATTAATCATTTTAGTCATTTGACAATAAATTAAAACTCTATGATTTTCCTTTTTAAGATTTTTAAGTAATTTATCCAATACTTGAAGTTTACCACTATCGGAAAGGGATTTTGAAAAGGAAGGTACCCAAATGGAAGATGAACCAAAGATTTTAAACAATCCACCACAAAGACCACCATTACTTTCAAATGATGATAATAATTTGGTGGTTGTATTTTGTGATAATAAATTTGTTTTTGCTGTTCCATTACTATTATAATTTGAATTATTAATCAAACTATTACTAGATAGTGCAAGTTGATAAATATTCTTTTCTTGATAATCATCATAAGAAAACATTATATCTTTTCCATTTAATTGTCTTGAAACCATCATATCTTCATCATCATCATCATCATCATCTTTTAATTTTCCTTGTTTATAAATTGATTGATTATTTATACCAAATAATAATAATTTTTCAAGTTGAGAAAATGATTGTTGTTGATCTTGAGAGATTGTAAATTGACGATCTGAACAAAGACATTCAATTGGTGGAGCAATTGATTTTGGATATAATCTATAGACTGATTGTAAAATCGACCAACTTGAAAAACATCTTTGAGTTGGTGACATGACCAATTCCGGTGCTACATTGACCAATACTTGTTCCAAACAATTTGTTATGGTTGGTTCCAACAACATCCATCTTGTTTTAATATTACCATATCGTCCTTTATCCTCTTTTTCTCCAAAGATATGATTTAAAATTGGATATAATTGTTCTTTTAAAGATTCATAATCCAAATATAAATCCAATAATGACATTTGATTTAAATTTGTTAAATCACTTGGAGAAAGATTTATAAATCTTGAAAATGAAAATATAGATGATCCATCCTCCTTTTCATTCTCCAAAGAACGATGAATATTAAAATTATTAAATAAAGATAAATTAAAAAATAATTTACTTTTTGAATCATCAAAACTATAAGAACTAGGTAGAGCTGGTTGACCTTGTCGATAGATTAATTTTGGAAGGGTATAGGTGATGGGGTTGTGGTTGACTGTACGGAGTGTACGAAGATGTTCGGCAATATGCTCGGTATAGGGAGGAGGGATAGAGTCAAAGTCGGGTGGTTCTTGAAAGAGGTAGGGAGAACGACACTCACTACGTTCGAAAAGTTCGGGATGATTGCAAACCTTTCTAAATTGCATGACAAGGTTCATGAGATGTTTCATACCACTCTCTGACAAACTATTATCGAGTAGCTCGGAAAGTGTAATCTTTTCACGCAAACCTGCATACAACTTTTTTTGACGGACCGTCAATGAGCAAGACACTTCGAGTTCGTGTTTTGGTGGCATTTCATTCTCTACATCTCTCTTTATACGACGCAACATGAATGGTTTGAGAATAAGATGAAGACGATTAAGTTGATGTTCGTCAAGACCACCACCAACAGCAGCATGATTCTCAATGTCTTTAGAGAACCATTCAGCAAACTCTTCATGAGAGTCAAAGAGTGTTGGCATGATAAAATGTAATAGTGCCCACAACTCTGCCATTGAGTTTTGGATTGGTGTACCAGTAAGCAATAGACGATTACGACAATTAAATGACATGAGTGTTTTCCAACGATTTGAACTAGATGATTTGATGGCATGTGCTTCATCTAGTACCATGTACTGCCATCGAATACGATGAAAGTATTTTTCATCAAGTACCATCACATTGTAAGAAGTGATGAGTACGTGAAATGGAGAGTTGCGACCATACAACTTTTTGGGATTCCAGTACTTTCGCAATGTAGTACGTTGCTTTTGATTACCCCAGTAGGGAAGAACCTTAAATTGTGGTACAAACTTTGCAAATTCATTCTTCCAATTGTGAAGTGTAGACTTGGGCGTGACAATGAGGAATGGTCCCCAGATTCCCTTTTCTTCGGCCAAATGAGCAAGTACAGCAATCGATTGAATAGTCTTGCCAAGTCCCATTTCATCTGCCAATATACCATTAATACCTTGATCATACAAATTGACAATCCAACTCATACCTTTGAGTTGATAAGATTTCAATTCTGCATTTAACATTTTTGGTTGTCCAAGTAATTCTGATCCACTAATTTCATGTATAATTGAATCTGATGGAGGAATAGAAGAAGAAGAAGAAACTTCTTGAATTTCTTCTTTTTCATTTTCTTGATCTTCAGGATCCTTTTCACTTTTTAATTTTTCAACATCTTGATCGAAATTTTTAGTGATTGCCAATTGTTGTTCAACAGCCTTTTGTGAAATTTTGATAGCTTCTTGTTTTAATCGTTCATCTTCTTGTTTTTCTTCAATTGTCAATTCTTCATCTGAATCATCGTCATCTTCAAAATCGCTATCACTATCGTCGGAATCATCTAAATTTTGTTTGGCAGCAAGATTGGCAGCAGTGGCAGCTGCAGTAGATGTTGTTTGGCTGTCACCCAACTTTTTAGACATGAAATGACTATAGAGTTCAGTTTGGGTAATGAGAAAATTTAATTTCTTTTTCTGTCGTTTGGCTTCTCGTTTTTCTTCTCTACGTTTACGGCTGGCAGCTTCTTCCTTTTCCAAACGTTTCTTGGCTTCTCTTTCATCCTTTTCATATTTCTTCCAATAGAGACCCATTTCCTTGACCAACCTTTTAGATCTCAATTGAAGATCCTTGGTTGGTTTGGTGGCATTTTGCAACTTGATCTGATGACGACGTTTAACTTCAGTTTTCATTAGATACGACACCTTTCTACAATTGTTTAAACCATTTTCAAACGTGGAAACATGTTTTCTTTGTACTTTGGGTAATTCTTTTTTGATTAGATTACTCCATTTCATATCAAATGATGTATCCAATGTTTTAATATATCCATATTTACATCCCATTGAATTACTCTTTTTACGTATCATCTCTTCCCTCTGTAATTCCTTTTCTCTCAACATTTCTCTTTCTCTTTGTAATTCTCTTTCTCTTGCTTCTCTAGATTCTCTCTCCCTCATCTCTCTTGATTCTCTTTCTCTTGTTGTTTCTCTAACCATAGAATTAGATTCACGATCACTACCAGATGTAGAACGAGAACCTTTTGTTGTAGAAGTAGAAGTAGAGGTGGAAGTAGATGTAGTTTCTCTCTTTTTTTGTTTCTTTCTTTTCTTTTCATTTTCCAACATTTCTTCAAATTCTTCATCTGAAAAATCTTGATTTAATAATGGTACTGAAGTTGAAGAAGTAGATGTAGATGTAGATGTAGATGATGATGATTTTCCTTTTCTTTTTGTTGAACTAGATGTAGAAGAAGAGGACGAAGAAGGAGGAATAGAAGAATTTAATCGTTGTTGTTGTTGTTGTTGCTGCTGTTGTTGTTGTTGTTTATGTTGTATAATAGATGCAGGTGGTCTTGAAATTGAACTATATGTTTTTTGTTGTTGTTGTTGAGATGGTTGGAATTGTACATTTGATGGTTGTTGCTGTTGTTGTTTTGATAAAGATGTTGACGAAGAAGAAGAAGAAGAAGTATAGGATGATTTCTTTTTAGTTTTAGTTTGGTCTCCTCCTCCTCCTTTTGAAAATTGAGAAGGTAAAGAATCATCATTTAATTCCTTTTCCAAAATATCTAATAACTTTTTCTTCTTTTTATCCTTTTTATCATCAACTATTCCTTTTTCAAATTCTTCTTCAAATTCATCAATATCTTTTAAATCTTTAAATAATTCCTAAAATTTAAAATAATAATTAAATAATTAATATATTATTCTCTTTTTCTATTTTTGTTTTCTTACATACCTTTCTTTTTAAAGATTTATCTTTATCTTTTGAATGAATTTTTAACATTTTATAATAATCTCCTTCTGTAATTGCATCTTCACTATCACTATCATAAAATGGTATATATTGTTGAGCCTGTTGTTGTTGTTGTAATGATTGTTGTGGCGGTTGTTGTTGTAAAGATAAATTTGATTGTTGTTGTGGTGGTTGTTGTTGTTGATTATATTGACCATTAAATATTTTAGAAGAAGAACTAGTAAGACTTGCAGGGATGGGGTAAGATACTGTATCACTATCATGTTCCGATAGTAAATCCATAATTTCCTTTTTCTGTCTTTTTGAAATCTTTTTACTACCACCACTACTACCGCTACCGCTACCAAGTCCACGTAATGAAGGTGATTGTCTAGGTGAAGAATTTGATTGAGATGATGACGACGAATGTTTATATGATTTTGGTAATAATGGTAAAGGTGGAACTTGACTACTAGTAGTAGATGAAGAGGTTGGTTTTGATGATGACCTTTGTTGTTGTTGTTGTTGGTGTTGTTGAACTTGATGTTGACCTCCTTTTGGTTGTTGTTGTTGTTGATAAAAAGGAGGAGGTTGTAATTGATATTCAAAACTTGGATTTGATTTCATTTCACCATTATTTTCACCATTGTTTTGACTATGAATACTATTAAATATAGATCGAAGTTTTGAATTTGATCTTGATCTTGACCTTGATCTTGATGGTGATCTTTGTTGTTGTTGTTGATTAATCGATGGATAAGATGTAGTTTCATAATTATTATTATTATTATTATTTCTTTCTCTTGATCTTGGTCTTCTTTCATTTTCACCACGAACTGATCTTGCTCTTTCTCTACCTCTTTGTTCGTTATGTTGTTGTTGTTGTTGTTGATGATGGGAAGAAGGAATAGCAGCAACAAGAGTATTGGTATTGGTATTGGTATTGGTATTCGATTGAAATGGATTAAAAGTTGTAAATGGTTGAATGGTGGTGGGAGAAGGTGATCTCGATCGGCTATATTGATTATAAAATGGATCACGTACTCCTCCTCTACCACCTGTTGTCGTTGTGGTTGTCGTTGTGGTAGTAGTAGTTGGTGATGGAGTTGAATAATCACTAATTCTATAGTTGTTTCTCGGTTGTTGTTGTTGAGGTGGAATATTAGAAGGAGGTGGTTGTTGTTGTTGCACTCTGTTACCATTGTCCATTATACTTGGTAACCGTATGTCGATAGAATGCTCTTGTGAAGGAAATGAGGAGAGACTGGGGAACCCGGGTCCCGATGCTTGGAAAGGATGGTGATGGTGATGTCCACCGCTGCGGGCAGACGGTTGTTGTTGCTCATGATGGAGATGGTGATGCTGGTGTTGTTGCTCCTCTAGAGACAGTGGCTTCATATAGGACGACCGTCCAATTGAAGATGCGCCGGTTGCAGACAACGCATTGGTGAATGGCGATGGCAGCTGGCTCAGCTTCTGGCTGTACTTTGCATCTTCGTCGTTGCTGCTGCTGCCGTCTATCGTGTCGTCGCCATAGTAACCCTTGATATTACGTGACAGCGACATATCAATATCGTCGTCATCCAAGTCAATAGGTTTGTCACGTGTCGATATCGGTGGTGGTCTGAACCCCTGACCATGACCATGACCATGACTATGATGACTATGATGACTATGATGATTACTCATCCTATAATATATATTATATATTAATATATATATATATAGATTGATCGATCGACTATTACTATCTATCTATATCTATCTATCTATCTATATCTATCTTGTTTCTATGTTGGTTAAACTTGTGTAAAATATATATAATATAATAAATAAAAATAGAGTGTCGACTCAAAAAGGAAAGATATGGGTGGGGGTGATGAATTTCCAAAATTTGTTTTTTGCACAGAGATAAACAATTATAAAATAAATAGTTTCAAAGAGAGCAGCGATGCGCAGGAAACAATGAATGACACAGAAACAAAAAAGAGAGACAGACAAAGAAACTACAGAAAGTGTTTAAAAAATAAAAAATAAAGAAATTTTGTTGTTTTGGGTTAATATAAAAATTCAAGGAGATAGATAGATTCATTTACCAACCAACCAACTCCGATGCAAGTAGTCATTTGATATCAAAGTTGTTAACACTTACTCTCTCACTTCTACTCTTATTAAATCAATTAATATCTTAGTTTGTATTTTAATCTATACTCTTTCTATTCATCAAGTTTTTGCGTTGTATATTAATATCTAATTACTACGAATGTTTTAAAACATTATATTGATTCCAAAAAAACAAAAAAAAAAAAAAAGGTAGAAGAAAGAATAAAAGTAGTATACTAGTTTGAACTCATTTCATCTTTGTTTCCTCTCCTCTCCTCTCTCACCTCACCCATCATCATCAACATCAACAACAACAACAACAACAAAAACATTAGAAAAAAAAGTTTAATAAATAAATTTTGTGAATGCAAAGATTGTACCCCACAATCGTAGAGGGGGGTTGAAATCAATGATAGATTGAATGTCTTGTGGGTTTGGTGTTTTAATTAATATATTTATATTTTTGTACATTGTTTTATACAAGTTTGTTTATTTGTATATTTTATTTGTTTGTAGGGTTCTACAATTTACTTGTCACGACCAAACAAGACTTTACGTTCTTCATCGGTGAAGGTTTTGACTGGGTTGGCAGCTTTGAGATCTTCATCGTATTTGACGTATGCTTTGACGGCGTCGAGGTTGGCAAGACGAGAATGATATTCAAAGAGTTTTGGAAACTCTTGTTCGGTGAGTTCTGGAACCAATGTGATAAGCTTGCTCCATGGGTAGATGGCAAGATCGGCAATAGATAGCTCGTCACCAGCAACATAAGAGTTCTTTTCAAGTTGACGGTTCAACAAGTGAAAGAGACGTTTAACTTCGGTAAAGTGACGATTGATAGAGTATTCAATCTTTTCTGGAGCATAGTTTTTGTAGTGGTTAAGGTTGCCCATGTTTGGACCTACCGAACTCATTTGTAGGAATACCCAGTTGAGTGTTTCATAGTGAGCTTGTGGACGTGTCTCTTCGTTTGGCAAATACTTGCCCTTTCCATATTTCTTGGCTAAATACAAAAGAATATTACCTGATTCCCATAGAACTAGTGGTTCAGAGGTTTCTGTAATATTGTTTGGGTCTACAAGTGCTGGGACTATAAAAAAATATAAGAAGAAGAATATTGTATTGTATTGTATGAATGATTAGTTCTAATGAACAAGATATGATGATGATTATGTATTGTATCATGTGATTTACATACTCTTGCTATTTGGGTTAATCTTTACAAAGGCATCTTCAAATTGTTCACCCTTTCTAATGTTTACGTTGATTGCTTCGAATGGAAGATCTAACAACTTTAATAAAATCCATGGCTTGGCTCCGTTTGGGGTGTTCAAGGTATATAATTTAATTGGTTTAAGTGCTGCTGACATTGTATGTATGTATGTATGTATGTGGTAGATATAAGATAATGAATTGAATGAAGTTAAGGTATCTCAGCTGATACTTTTATAGAGAACTTTGCTTGAAAGTGAGGGCGCATGAAACTGAATGAATTTTCGATTTTTTCCTCTTCTTTTTTGAACTTGTCATCCGGCTCACTGCTCTTTGGGTAATGGAACCATCCCTCACTTAGAACATTCTCGCATCACTTTGATTCGATCTAAAAAGATTTAATACTATAAACAGTAAATAATAATAATAGTAGTATCCATGAATGTTTATTCTAGAGTTACAAGAAGATGTTGATGATTACGTAATACGTATCATTCTCCGTCTTATCGAACAAAGGAAGGAATAGTCAACTATTTGTATATTAGTGTTGGATGGTTTATCTTTATCTAGCTAGCTAACTGATCGATTAGTTGTGATTCACAAGTGATGACTCGCTCTCTCTTGTCGATGCTATTATTATCTGAACGATAGCTAGCCACCAGATATCAAACAAGGTTGGAGGAGGACCTTAAGCCAATTTTTTCTCAATCATAATGCCACGTGGTCAAAGTGTCTCTCTCGCCGTCATCACTCACAGCTTGTGAAGCCTCACAACACACGTCTCATAGCCATGGACACAAAAGCTCGTTTCCTTCATAGAGCAATGTCTCTATTATTTTACTTTATTGTTAACCTTTGAATGATAATTATAACCCAAAAGTAGGGTAAGTTGGTAATAATAATAATAACTTGAAAAGAATGTGAACACCTTTGAAAATAATCTTTTTTTTTTTTATTTAATACATTAGGATGAAAACATCTTCTTCTTCTTCTTCTTCTTCTTCATATCTTTATATTCTATTAATATTATGTATTATAATATATTCAGTAGAATGTGATGGAGTAAAATCTCGAAAGAGATCAATGGCAAGTAAAGGAGGCGAGGGTAATGATGGATCGACTAGGATAAAGGTCAGTCGAGCCAAACCCGACAAGTTGGTTAGACCTGCGGCAACCACCACTATTTTCAGTAAACGACCCAAGAGTAACCCGAATAGTCCATTTGATGATATACCAGTAATCATCACGATCGGCTATAGGTCCTACCATAATATCGAATTGCCTCCTGCTTTTGCCATTACATTTGCATCGGTTACACCTTCAACAACCACATCTGCCACTCTAATCTCTAGTTCAGCAACAACGTTGAATGAAAAAGGAGAATGGCATGGTGTGGTAAGAATCGATTGGACCATGATGAACAATGTCGTGCGTGCTCGCTTTGATATCAATTTGGAGGTGTGTATGGTTGGTAAATACGTTTTAATGGCCAATCAAAAGCTTCCCTATTTGCGACCAACGAGCCCACAAGCTATGCAACTTGACGAAAGGATCATTCGGTATCCCATCACCTACACTAGCTCCCGCATTAAAAAGGGCTCCATATCCAAGAAACCTTTGACCCATCATCACATATTCTCGGGTGAGGGACTACCGGCGGCTCCCAACAATTTCATCTTTGCCTACAGCTTTATCACCAATTTGGCACTGCAAACCATCAAACACCTCGGTCTCACCAATCTCGAGCAAATTTATGTGCTCATCGATTACTCTTATCGTGCCAATTATTCGCCGATTAGTTATAATGCCAAGGTTTTCGATGGTAATAGCCTCCTCAAAATTAACTTTCCAAATTTGTTGTTGGCACTTCCCATTGCACACGAGTATGGCCATTATGTTCAAAGCCGACTATATCACGCCTCATCGCTCACGTGGGTGCCCACTGAAGCTCCTGGCGGTTATCATGCGCTCTGTCAACGACATCCAAGCGGTGTAACCCCCGTGCCCACCACACCGCCACAGTCGGCCGGCGTGGCATGGACAGAAGGGTATCCGACGGCATATGCCGTGATCATGCTTGAACACCTCGGATGGCAGCGGAGCAAAGGCAATGACTATATCAATTGGGCATCGGGCTACACCAATTCAACCCGTGACTTGGAATATTATTGGTGCAACCTTTTTGACCTAGAGACGGATGAAGGTAGAATTGCTGCCATGATGTACGACTTGTATGATGCTCAAGACGATTCTTTGGAAAGCCCAGCAATAGCTGAAATTATAGAGGATCGTTTGACAAGAAACAACTCCACTCTTATGGTTCCAGAGTGGTTTGGTTCTCCAGAACACGCAGATGACAATTCAGCGTGTCCTCTAACACCCAAGGAAATTTTGGTCGATGCCATCGCCTTGTCACTCGACACCACCTTGTATGGATACATCACTGCTATGCGACTCCACGGACAAGGATGTCAAAGAGAACGTGCAATCAATGTTATCAATTATCATTATGGTTCAAACCTTTTAATTGATAGACCTGATCCTATGGAAGAATAAAAAGAGTGAGAGAGAGAGTAGAAATAAATTAATAAATATTAAAATCGCAACCAAAAGTTTATTATTTAACAAAAATAAAAAAAAAACCGTCTTTTGTATCCGTTAGCTTGTTCTTGCTGTGTGTATTTTTTATTTATCTATTATTATTATATATTAAGTAAAAGTAATATAATGGACGACACAACCAAAGTCATGCAAGTTTTTTTATTTACATTGGATGGGAAGATATCATTCAACTTGACGAGGTCTCCAATGGCCAATGGTACTATGAAGAGTTCATTCAATATCTTGCAACTGTCATTGAAGAATGCAAAAAATACAATTTCAATGTCGTAGGCGGAACATCTGATGGATATGATGTTATAAATACGATTGCACAATCGCTCCAAGATCTTGGTTATACATACTTTCACATTTATGACTACTGCCATTCGGCCAAGAATCTGCGTAATCATTTCCTATCTGCCCCGATCTACACAATCGACGGTGACCGAGCAGAAGAGCCAAAGGTATCCTTTCGTAGGCTGTTCAACGAGTTTATTGAACAAGAAGAGAAACCAAAGGCCGAAAGAGAGTGTTGTCTATCCACTAATCATGTTGGGTATAAAGTATTGGTTTTTATGTTTTGGATTAATCTTTATTGTTTTACCAGTAATAAAGTGCTTTTGTGCACTTGAAAATTGATTCCAATCATTACTAGATTTGACTGGAATCTCTTCAAATACAATTACTGTTTTACCAACAATATCTTCATTGTGTGCATTTGGAAGACAAATATTTGGATCAGATGAAGTATAAACTACATTGTGTCCAATAGAAGCAATAATTATCTCTATGAAAGAGGACTTTCCTGCACCTTGTACACCTCTTAGATAAACCATTGTTTCTTTCCAGATACAACCTTGGCGGTATGACCTTTTAAATATTTATACTCTTCTTGGTTGTTTGAACAAAGGACAATATCAATGTGATTCCAAAGAAATTCTACTCCTTCCTTTGCCATTGCTTCTGCAATTGGATCTACCATTTTTTTGTCAAACTCTTTTCTATCAGTAAATTTAAATCCATGAAACATATTTACATATTTTATTTGGTTTTCTATAAATACTTTTGGTTTTTTTGGATCCATTGTAGTAGAATATCTTTCACAATCAACATCAAAGAACCATTTTCTTATTTGATTGTCATTTCCATTTACTTTACACACCAATGAATTTAAAAAGAATTGTTTTTTAGCATCTTCATATGCCAATTAAATAAATCTTTGTTCTCCATCCATTCCCTTTGGAATAAACATCAATATTTGGTGTATCATGAAATTTCACAAAGTATTGCTTGATATATTTAATAATGTCTTGGTAATTATTATTGGATGTACACTGGTAGCACATTTTTTATAATGTTTCCAAGTTGAAATTATTTTCCAAGTTTAGTCCAAGTATTAAGTTTTCCATTTTATATATATTGGAAAGAAAATAATTTATATCAAATTTTCTATCCAAATTATAAAGTTAGAATTATGAATTTATAATCCAATATCTAAAATCAATCCAATATATTTTTATTTTTCCAAAATAATTTTAACTTTTTTAACCTTTATGATTTCTATCCAAAATATTAAAAGTTAATAATTAATTCTCAAAAATAATAAAATTCAATAAAAATATATATTTCTAAAATAAATTAACTATTTTAACTTATTTAATATATAATGAGCCCTGCAAGGGCGAATGCTTGTAAACTTTTTTGGGAGCGCAGCGATCCAACGCACAACCCACACAAGAGATGAAAAACATATCAACAAATACAGCAACAATACCAATTTTTTGATATTAGGAGAACTCGCTTTCCAAGTTGAAAGAGCAATCCACAAATCGTTCAAAAGAGATATGTGTATCAAGCCCAAGTTAAACATACACATGAGAGAAGAGATTGAAAATCTTGGCAAAGATTGGGAATCTTTTTTATCCACATATCCATTTTTCAATCACAATGCATTGTAAAAGGTTAAAACAATTTCGATTACCAATAACACATCCATCCGTTACGGATCAAATATCCTCTATTACATTTCAAGAGTTGCAAGGTATTGTGGATAAAGTATTCTCATCACAAGATCGAATAGTACAAGAAACCAATTCATATTGCAAACAATTATTATACTTTCTCGATCACCAAAATGGAACAAATCTATAAATCTTATGATGAATAAATATATAAAAAAATAAATATTGCTGTGTATCTTGAGTAAAATACATGCATACTTTTTTTATAATCACGATTTTGCTCTAAAGGGAGAAGAGCAAACAGAGTTGGATAAGAAACAAACTAATGTGATGATTTATTGGTTATCTTTAATGTTAAAGGATTCTTGGTCTGTATCCTCATTAAATAAATAGATAAATAGATAATAATACAAATACAAAAGATGAGAATGATGATGTTTGGAAGGTTTTGGTGGCAGTACTAACATCACCACATTGAACAACTGTAAGAGTGAATGTATCAGATTGACAACCAGTTTCATCAGTTACAATGACAGTGTAATCACCAACATCAACTTGATAGAATACATAGTTGGAGAGACCGTCAACACGTTCGATAATGTTTTGTTGTGACTTGTCAAACAAAGAGATGGTATAGTTGACAGAGTTTCCACCTGTTATTGCTACTTGGACACTACAGTTGGCTGGTGTAAGAGTGGCTATGATGGGACTTTTGGTGACGCTGAACGAGATGGTTTGGTTGGCAACTAGACAAAAGTCGGTACTTGCATTGACGTGACCCGTATAAGTACCTGCTGGCAATTCGATGGTGGATTGGTTATACAATACACCGTTGAGAACATAGTTGAGGGCATAGTTGGGGTCGGACTCATAGATTTGACTGATAGTAACAGTTGCCTTTGTATCTTTACTATTACAAATGGCTGTACCACTGGTTTTGGCTGGTTGTTTGGTTGCATCCTTGTTACCAACATCAAAAGAGAATTCTCCGTAGCATGTATCGGATATGACAGCCAAACGGTAGTCATAGGCAAAGAGACCGGTGAACGTGCTAGTCTCATTGTCAAAGGCAAAATAGATGTCACCTTCACCGAGCATCAAAAAGAATGATAGTGATGGATTCTTGGAATGGATGATAAGTTTGCCATCGTGAGCACCTGGACACGAGGCATTGACAACCTCATAGGTGAAATCGTCGCTGAAAAAGACTCCATACGGTGTGAATGGTTGGTCAGTGCTTTCAAAGGTCACCTTGTGATAGAAATTCAATAGCTCACCGCCTTTGACAATGTCATTGTTGGACAAGACAAATCCAGCGTTGGTAATGGTTCTCCAAGAGTCGGTCAAAGTTTTGTTGAGGACGACTCTCGATTGACGTGTGTTGCATGATGGTGGTATGATCACGGTTGGTTCTGGCTTGTTGTTATTGTTGTAGAGATTATACGACAAGGTGCTACTTGCGCCACACCCCTTGTTGAATGAAACGCTGGTTTGGGACGATGCAGACATTGGTGAAAGGTATGATTTGGACCATGGTTCACTTGGCCATAATGGGTTGGTTTGTTGACTCACATCAACATAGGCATTTGGAAAGGTAACATTATTCAATGCAAAAATAGATCCATTAATTGGTTGTATTATTGGAATTAATTTATATTCTAAAAAAAGAAAAAAAAAGAAATAAAAAAGAAAAGAATTAATTAAATATTCTTTTTTTTTTTAGTTTTTTTTTTTTCTTACCATCAATTCCAAGAGAAACTTGAATTGTCCAAGTACAAGCACTTCCACGGGTTAAATAAAAAGTATAAGTTTGGTTTACCAATCCATTGAAGGTTCGGGATGGGATGTGGTAGTAGTCACCTTGTGAATAGCCGAGTCCTTGGGTTTCACCCAATAGGATGATCTGTCCATCACCTTGGCTTATGGTGGATGCACAATGAGTTGGTATCTTTGTAAACTGTAGATTGATTGGTTCAGTGGGCACGACGAATGAAACTTGACCGATACCACAATAAGCATGATCAAAGTCCAAAAGGTATGGTGGGAATCTCGATGAAACACTCCAAGTTCCAGGTGGAACACCTTCCCCATTTCCTGATATTGAAAAACTTGTAAACACATCGGTATTGGTTGCATTTATCAATTCAATTTGAGCATTTCCTCCAGCACAACTATTCTTTTGTTGTGGTGTAATAATAATATATTTTTTAAATATACTAAAATCTAAATAATAGAAATAGTAAGTATAAAAAATAAAATATAATTAATTATTATACTTGCTTGGATCAACTGGAAGAATAGTAAGATTAAAGGAACGACTACAAGTTTGACTACCACCAGCAATAATACTATAATTGCCAGGATAAAGATTATATGTTGAAATATCTGCCAAAGTTTCACCATTTATAGAAACATAATCAACATTTGTTGGATAATTAAATCTAATAGTTCCAGAAGATTCAACACATTGTGGTTGATTTTCAATTGATATTGTTATATTTGGTACTATGAAAAAAAAAAAGAAATTAATTTAAATGAATATGATTACTTATATTTAAAACATACAAGGAGCAATTACTTTAACCAAATCTTTACATCTTTCTTGATTAATTGGGAAACCTAATACTTGTTGCCAAGTATATTGTACGGTTCTAGTTTCAATGACTTTGTTGTTATAGGTGAATACAGCAGTTGCAGAAGCTTCACCACAATCTTGACCTGTGACATTGAATAGGGCTAGGGTGACATTGGGAGTAATGTCAATGGCAGGTTTAAATTGTTCTTGGAAACTTGGAAAGAGGGTAGAGTTTACATAGAGTGCATTCATTTTCCATAGACGGTCAATGGGTACGTCGTAAAAGACACCAGTGTCGGAAGAGGTGATTGTGACTTCTGTACCTTGATCGTCTGTTGTCATGGTGAGTGGCAATTGGAACAAGTGAGCATTGGTAATGACGACATCCATGGGGTCTAGACAAGTCTTGGAGACTACGTATGGGATGACATAGGCGGGTTGGTATGTAATGTAGACTTGAAAGGGGTCACAAATAGAGGTGACGATGGTCTGACCCACATCCGAGCTAAATGGTAGTGTAACAGTATTGGTGATATTGTCAATGACAATGTCACCTAGTATAGTAGTACTGAGCTGTTGGTTTGTTGCAAATTCGAATCGGAGGTTATTAAAGTCTCCATTGTAGTTGAATTTCAACTTGGTCCGGTTCATTGGGGTAGCAAACAAGTTTTCAACAACCGTGTATGTTGGATGGTTAAATGCCTTGGTGGGGAGAGGGTAGGTTTTGGTCTCTTGAATACCAGTGTCTAAATCCTCCCATCCAATTTCAGGATCCAATATTGCAACATCTACTGCAAATGGAGAGGTGACAGTATTGCCGCCGTACGTGAGCTTGAGGTTGGTGACACCTGCAACCGTTACAAATGCCTGTACGTGGGTAGAGTTACATTGGGGAAAGAAAGTCTTGAATTCAACAGAGACTGATGGTTTGGTCCAACCGACGATCACTGGTACCTTTTGAATACCACATTGTTGAGATTCAACCTCTAGCATGAGCGTCAATGCACCAACGAGTGACTTTATATTATAAAATACACCAGTGGTAGTGTTATAGTCAAATGGCATAGTTGGATCTACTGGACTATACAAAACTAGACTAGTGTAATCTTGAAAGTTGACGATTTGCAATGTACCGGGCGACGACACTGACTGTGGTACAATGACCATGGTAGGCATCTTGTTTGATTTTGGTTGAGTGACATATACCATATCACAGAGTGTTACTGGTCCCTGTGCCACAAACTTTCCAATCTTGTCGTACATTGTGACTGGTTGATTGGCGACGAGATCCACTTGGTTCTTGCTGTTGGTGACCCTTACAAACAATTGGATGTCGGTTAAAAACACAGTGGTGGCGCCATAGGGGCATTGGGGATGTCCGATTTGAAAGGTGGGCTTGGTAATGTCGATGGGATAGTTATTGGTTCCCTGACAAACGGTGGTTCCATCGGTTGCATCATAGTAGGTCCAGTTGGCACGGTATTTACCACCTTGACTAAACGTAAAGTGGAATTGGTTTGCATAGAGGATTTTGTCGGGTGCACGTAGTCCTTGGCTCGCATCCCAACCAGCTACATTGACATCAATCATTGTGTTACCATTCATAGTGTATATAAAGGGATTTCCTGTACTGCAACCGTCAACATTTCCTATAGGGTTAAATGTAATTGGGTATGGTGCTGAACAAGGTATTATTCCACCAAATACATAAAGACTACTATTATACATTTGTATAATCATCATCATCATAATGATGAATGAAATTGATGATGATTTAAATTCCATTCTTTTTCTTTATCTCTTTCTCTCTCTCTCTCTCTCTCTCTACTCTTTATCTAAAAAATAAATAAATAATTAAATAACTATGATACAGATATAAAGTAATGTGTGTGTGTAGGAAGGTAGGTAGATAATAAACATAAAGATTAAAAGCTGTTTTAATCAAGAGGAGCAGGGGGTTGATCAACACATCGTTTGGTTGGTGGCGTGCGTGTGGTACTTTACCAAAGCTACCGGCGAGTGTCGTTATTTATATCACCAAATGGCTTGATTGGGATGATCTTTCTAAGGATCGCACCCCCATTCAAAGTATTTTTTTTTTTTGTTGAAATTTGGTGAAGGTTACAGCACCGATCATGGTATTGATAACAATCTTCAAAGAAACAAACCAATACAAAAAGAAGAGAGAGAAGTATTTGTTAACAGTCATGATGATAGTAGAGCAAAGGTACCCGTACGTGCCATTGTGGACACAAGTAATGTCAATGAAACTCGCAATTTCAAAACTTTAGATTACAACATGGAACAGATCAACAGTCAATCAAGCGATGGATCGTGGACTAACAAATGTAAACGTAGGATAAAGAGTCTTTCTAAAACTCTACATTATTAGGGGGGGCAGGGGGCTATTTTAGGGTCAAAAAAGGACCAACATGTAGAGATGGTAGCGAGATCTAGATACCTAGTCTAGAGAGGTGAGAAGGTAGCGACAGTTTGATTAATATTGGATAGTTGTATGTATTTACAAACTTGATGATGATGATGATTGATTGATTGAATTAGATCAGTTATTTCTTTTCATCGTCGCAGTTTAGAAGGGCAAGATGGCCATGCATTACACATATCTAACATTTTCTCTCATGCTATTACTATTATACAGTGTCAAAGATCGATCGAGTTGAATGGTTCGTTGCGTCCGTGTCTCAAGTCGTTTCTTCGATACCATATACTCTTGTCTGCATGACGCCAAAGCAGATTGCTGTGATATCCATGGTGGTGTCTATTTGGTTGGTTTTCTAGATCAGTCTTTCCACTTGGATGTTGGCAGTCTGCTAGAATAGCAGTGAATTGCGGAGCACCCAGAGAGGTACACTTCTTGGCTGGTTTGGGAGCAGGATCCCTTTACAAATTGGGCTGTGCTGTGGCCTGGTGCTAGGAACATGTCTAGCGTCGTATTGGACTTGTGGTTGGGTCCCATTTGTACAATTAGCAGCTTCTCATTGTAGGTGGTCAGGTTCTCGATGATGTTATGCTGACCATACGCTCTTCTATTGCAATAGAATGATGTACAACCAATCCAAACACTCTTTTGCACATTATTAGGGGGGCAGGGGGCTATTTTAGGGTCAAAAAAGGACCAACAAATCGAAACCTTGTGGATGATTATTTGCAAGGGGGAATAAACGGAGCTGGCTAATTCAAAATATCTTTTTGTTGTAAATAATTCATTACCCTCATTCATTCATTATATTCATTCATTCTCTCCTCACAATAAATATAAATATATAATAATAATAATGTCCAATAATAACATTAATAGACCAATTTTACAAGAACGTTCTAAACATGCAGTCGATTTAACCAACAACTACTTTCCCGAAGTTATCAATGAAGTAGAACAAAATATAAAGGAGCACGATGTCAACAAATATATTACTTGTGAAAAAAATTTTGAAAAAAATTTGTAAATGGACCTTTGAAAAACCTGAAGGCCCAATAGCTCTAGCGGCAGAGCGTCGGTCTTGTAAACCGAAGATGATTATGTTCTAAATTGAACTATTTTCTCGATTTTTTTTTTTTTTTTTTTTTTTTTCGGGCCAGGCCTATAAATTTGTAAATGGACCTTTGAAAAACCTGAAGGCCCAATAGCTCTAGCGGCAAAGCGTCGGTCTTGTAAACCGAAGGTCAGGAGTTCGAATCTCCTTTGGGCCATCTTTGTTGCCAATTTGTTGCCAATTTGTTGCCAATTTGTTGCCAATTTGTTGCCAATTTGTTGCCAATTTGTTGCCAATTTGTTGCCAATTTGTTGCCAATTTGTTGCCAATTTGTTGCCAATTTGTTGCCAATTTGTTGCCAATTTGTTGCCAATTTGTTGCCAATTTGTTGCCAATTTGTTGCCAATTTGTTGCCAATTTGTTGCCAATTTGTTGCCAATTTGTTGCCAATTTTTGATAGTATATTTTAATAGGAAGAGTTGTAAATTTGCAAATAAATCCACTTGAACTTCAAAATCGATCTTGTACACATTTCTAAAGAAGAGACGAGAGAAGATAGTTCCTTGATTGAGTAGATCAGGTCTACCTTGATTAGCTTGTTCTTGTTTGATAATAAAGTAAAATACTTCATTGCAATAGTTTACTATTATCTGTATGTAATTATCTGTTTTATATATCCTTCAAAACAACCTATCAGATTTGACCAAAGTCAGAGAAACTAGATCATATTACAAAATTTATCAAATGTTTATTAAAGATAGTCAATTTAGTTTACATGCACAACCAATCAGAAAACCAAAATACATTAAATAATGTTTTTGTGATATTTGTAAAGTTATTAATAACTAATCATCTTAAATCAACCCATCTTTAAAAACTATACAAAAAATAAAAAATATATCTTTTTTTTCTGCACAAGAAAAAGATAACTTTGGTAAAATCGGGTTTCTCTTATCAAACATTCTTTTTTTAACAATGAATAATATTAGTAGTAATAATAATATCATTATATCATCAGTATTTAGAAATAGATATTTATTAAATTATATATTCAAATATATACCATTACTATCATCACCATCATCAAAGAGTAAAAACTATCAAGAATCATCAATCGATTTCTTTATACGAAATGGTTATAAAGAGTTGTTAAGATATAAACTAAAACGTGGTGATACTATCATATTTGACAAATATGACAAGTATAAACTATACGAGTTCTTTGATGATCTTGAACTATTTACTCTAGTTTATAATAATCAACAACTAGAGTTGATCGATTTACGATGGATGTGTTATATTGTACTAAAAGAAAAAGACAACAACAACAAAAGAAAACAAAGATTCAACATTCTGCAATATATATGTAACAATACTCAAGTTACTATCACATTTGAAGATCATTTGGTCTATCTCAACATACCAAAGCATACACTCGTTGAAAATCATATAGATCTTTTAAAAACTGTATTCACAGACAAGAATACACAACAAATTAGATATGATGATCAACAAAACTCTTCCTCTTCTTGTATTCAACAACCACAACAATCAACTCTTATAAATGAAAAAGATGCAATTGGATATTTATATAAACATTCAAGAGAAGATCAATTTTATCAAATTGTTAAACAAGAGATTATATTGATGTGTCTCGATCGAGATATTATTCGTTTGTATTTTGAAAAGTATCCAGATAGAGATATCGATTCATCAAGATTGGAATGGTCAGATAAAAAAGAGAGATCTTTTAAAATCAAACAATTGGTTCAAATTCTACTTGAATTGGAAGAGGATTTGGAACAAGTAAAGAAATTAAAGAAAAAGGTTATTGGAATTCTTGGAGAGTCGTCGTATCAAAATGATAATGAAAAGATTTCAATAATAATGCAACTGTTACTTTCTACTTTTGGTTACGATTATCATTCCGATTACGAGTATCGTTATGAACACGATTCTGATATAGAATTGTGGCAACAAGTTGTTAATTGGAATATCGAATCGGTAACCAAGTATTTTCTGTCAACACACTTTGAAAATATAATACAACATGTAACATCGATGGATCAACTCGTACAAATCTATCAAGAGTATCCGAAAAAAGAAAATAGATTGGATATAAAAGAGGCTAGACACTCAAAGTACATGCTTCAATATTACATTGAAAAGACTGTTACCCCTCAAACCAAAGAATTGGATTATATTGCTAGTTGTTGCACCACAGCAGCAGCAGCAGATCAATTATGGATAGTTGAAATTATTTTGGATACTTTGGAATCAAAAGGATTGGATTGCTCATTACTATTAAATTCATCACGTTTTACAATGACTGCAACAATGATGGAAAGATTATTAATCAGTCGTCCAGAGAAAACAAAGAATGATCTCATTTCTTGTTGCAAGGAAAAGACAAGGCTTGAAAGTTTCAACAGTCGATATAGTCCAAATGATTTACCAGTATTGGTAAGAATCATGGATCTTTTTGGTTCAAGAGAAGAATTTATTAATATAATTTGGAAAAGTTTATTTGATAGGAAATACAAAGTCACTACCAAACAAGAGTTACAATTGATCAAAGACACCATTGATTCATTTGATATTGTCATTCGAGATGAATTGGTAACTCAAGCTGTCATCAATGCAAATGGAAATGATATTCAAGTGATTTGGGAATTATTTGATTTGTATTTAAAATATGCAATCGACACTAAAAAGAATTTACATTTTTGTCACCAAAATGTATCACCTGAAAAGTTTATAGTCTTGACAAATCTTCCAAACTATTACCCAACAGAATTCCTACTAGACAATACCAACAACAACAACAACAACACCACCATCATAACCTATAATAGTGGTTTCAATCAAAGAGGACCAAATTTTTTTGCACAACAATACATTTATCCAAAATACCTCTACAATGACATTGAACAATCAATCATCAAATCAAATGCTCTTCCAATCAAAAGTCGTCGTCGAAAAATACAACAATTTATTTATTGGTTTGATAGAGATATTTTCCTTCAAGATCGATTAGATTCATTTAAAAGATTATTAGATATAGTTCCTTCAAATAGGTACTTGTACAAAACAAAATACCTTATATTGGCAATCAAAAATAATGCAATGGATTTATTTCAATATCTTTGTCACATTATGAAAGTTGGTCAATCCGACACTAATATTCATATTAACAACCCAGACTATTATTTATTAAATTGGACAAGGTTATACAAAATATTTAGAGATTTCCCATTATCACATCGATTCTTGGTTTATATCCATCAAAATAACCTATTTACATTGACCGATAAAATAAGGTTATCAAGATCATACCACAATATTTATCAAATGCTTAATAATCAAGACAAGTTGAGTCAACTTGTACTTCTTCCAACACCAATCAAAAAAACAAATCATCTAAGAAAATTAAAATGTATTTGTAATATTTGTAAATAATTAATTAATTAAATAAATAAATAAATATTTATTAATAGGCTCGAGAAATTTCTTATTTAATTCTTCACGGAATTGGTGTTTGTCCTTTAAAAAAAAAAAAAAGATAATATTATTCAAAGTTTGTTCTAATTCTCTAGATATTGTTATTATTATTGATTCACAATATAGTATGATGGTTTAATACATACTATATAGTTTATTTGTTGTAATTTTATTTGTATATTATATAAAGAAGAGAAGAGAATGTCATCATTATTAGATTCAATTAAAGCAAAGATATCAAAGTTAACACCGACAGAGGCACCAGCACCAAAGACTTTACAGGTGATGTTTATGTGTAATGGATGCTCGTATAACTTTAAACATGGAGAACCTAGATATGTTTGTACAGAGTGTGCAGGAATAGATCTATGCAAGAAATGCTACAAAAGAGATCAGAAATACTTTCAACAACACCCCAATATCAATCAAGACCGAGAACTTGTAGGACAAGAGCCAACAGACTCTAGTGGTCATTTACAACCTCCACTCTTACACACAGACTCTGCTCCCCTACCTCATTCATTTACACTTGAAACAAAAGCTCAAAGAGAAATGACAAATGATAATGTTGGTAAAACTACTTATGATTCAATGCGGTAAATAAGAAATAATATATATATATATATATATATTACATTTACTTATACTCTATTTCTATTATTTTGTAGTCATTCATTTAGAGATAATAAAAAAAGACAATGTATTGGAGTAAGGGAAAAGGTAGAGATTAGTGAAAAGTATCCAAATGGATTGGGAGAATACAAGTGGATGTTGTTTGAACAATTTGAAGAATTGGTAGAGTATTTTGGACAAGCGTTGCGTGAATTTGTACAAAGACGATCGTTTGTGTCGATCTGTGCCAACAATCGAACGGAATGGTATGTGGCAGATATAGCTTGTATGTTTTATGGTTTGCCAGTTGTACCAATGCACCATCAAGTCAACTCTGATGCCATGGGAGAGATTCTATCCAATTCAGAGACACGTGTGATTGTCTCGTCAATTGATATCTGTGCTAGCAAGGTCGTTGAATTGATCGATTCAAAACGATACGATGGATTGAAATTAGTGGTTGTACTAGAAGACACTAGTAACACTAAACAATACAATCAACAACGTTTGGATAGTCTAAGACAATCACTTCCATCGACGATAGAGATCAAAACCTATGCTGAAATGTTGACGATTGGTAAAAAGTTATTTTCGTCTAGCAAGACTGCTCATAAACACGATCCAATGCAACCAGAAGAGATCATATCGTTGGTCTATACATCTGGTAGTACCGGTGTGCCAAAAGGAGTCATCACATTGGACAAGGAATGGAATGCACAAATATCAGAGTCTTACATGTCCTATCCAAGCTCATCGATTAGTTATCTAACACTTTCACATTCACAAAGACGTTTTGATCATAAAAAACTGTACGTTGGTACTAGAATTGGTATCTTTTCGGGAACTATGGATCTCTTGTTTGATGACATTCAAAAAATTAGACCATCCATTTTTTGGGGTGTTCCAAGAGTTTGGAATTTAATCTATTCCCTTTATCAAAATGAATTGGATCAATTTATTAAATTAAATCCTTCAAGTGTAAGAAATTTAAAAAACAAAAAAAAATATTCAATATCAATTAATATTTATTTTTTATATTTTAGTCAAAAGAATATTGTGAAGAAAAATGTTTAAAAAAGATTAAAAATGTATTGGGTGATAGATTAGAGGCGATTGTAACAGGTGGAGCACCAACAAGTGAAGAGGTATTGAAATTTATGAAAAATTGTTGGCCTGGCGTTGGTATTAGTAATTCTTATGGTCTTAGTGAAGTGATTGGTATATTTATAGATGGTTACATTCAACATGACATTGAATTTCGTATCGATCCAGTGCCAGAATTTGGTTATTATCCAACCGATCTACCAAATCCTCGTGGTGAGCTATTGGTCAAATCAAAGACAATGACAACTGGTTATTATAATAATCCTCAACTTACTGCTGAATCATTCCAAGATGGTTGGTTCAAAACTGGTGATATCGTTGAACAAATTGGTAGTCGTAAAGTTAAAATTATTGATCGTAAAAAACATGCTTTTAAATTATCAAATGGTGAATTTGTTGCGTAAATATAAATAGAAAAAAAAATAGAAAAAAAAGAAAAATATAATACTAATTTTATTGTATTTATTTATATTTAGACCAGAATTAATTGAAAATATATTTATGGGTAGTAATTTAATTGAACAAATTTTAATTTATGGTGATGCAATGAAAACATTTTTAGTTGCTATTATCATTCCTCGTAAACATGTTTTGGATGAATTTGGTTTATCATCTTTATTGGATGCTGTAAACTCTAACAACAATAATAATGATCAAACAGAAGAATCAATTAGAATTGAAAAAGCAAATATTTTAAATCAAAACAAACCACTTTTACAAAAATTATCTTCTGAAATTTTTAATATTTCTTTAAAGAAAAAGGTAAACAAAAGGAAAAATAACAATATAAGCAGAGTAATCTAATTATTTATTTTTATTTATTTAGATGGCAAATTATGAAATACCAAAAATGTTAAGATTAGATTTAACAAAATGGACAACAGATAATGAATTGATAACAGGATCTGGAAAGTTTTGTAGAGGAAAATTATATAAATATTATAAAAATGATATAGATAATATGTATAATGATTTATCAATTAATAATAATAATAATATTCAACAACAACAAATTTCAACTACAAATAATAATGAAGAAAATATTAATTCAACATTGATGGATTATTTAAAAAATACTTTACAAATTGATTCGGCAAATGTTGGAAATTTAAATGATTTTAGTTTTACTCAACTTGGTGGTGATTCTCTAAGTGCAATTAGATTATCAAATTTATTAAAAGGTATAGTAAATAATATTAAATACTCTAAAGTTTACTGACTTTTATATATTAACTTTATTCTTTTTTTAGATAAAGCAAATATAAATATAGCACCATCAATTATATTAAATAATAATAATAATTTAACAAATTTATCAAATTTAATTAATAATAATAATAACTGTCAAGATTATAATGATTCAGTAATGGAAAGTATAAATTGGAATCAAGAATTTATGTCATTGGATAAATCAATTGATATTGGTGATAAAAAGATTGGAGAAATACCAGTAGATTCACCCATTCCAATTGATGTATTTTTAACTGGTGCAACTGGGTTTTTGGGTAGTTTTATCCTCCACCAATTACTAGGTCAAGAAAATGTTGGTAGAATTTATTGTTTGGTTAGATCAAAAGATTCTTTTAATTTAAAAGAACAACAAGATAAATTGTATAGTTTAATGACTGAAAAATATAAATTAAAATTGGATCAAACGGAAATGGAAAGAGTTGTACCAATTAATGGTGACTTGTCACTTACTCTACTTGGTCTACGAGACCAAGAATCATTTAAAGAATTGGCAAACAGTGTAGATTTGATTATACATAATGGTGCAACTGTTAATATGGTGATACCATATGCCAATCTACGTGCCACCAATGTCGGAGCAACCTGTGAGATTTTTAAATTGGCAGCTGCCGGTGAAAAGATTAAACCAGTTTCATTCATCTCGACCATGGGAGTCTTTGCCTACCAAGACAAGGATATCCAAGAGTCGGATGTCCCACCAACCGATCATATCGGTCAAATGACGGGATACAGTCAATCCAAGTTGGTTGCCGAACAGATTGTTAGATATGCCTACAAGCGTGGATTCCCCGTTTGCATGTTTAGACCTGCCACCATCTACTGTGACTCGACCTCTGGTATTGACAATGACCACGATTTTGTCAGAATGATATTCAAAGGTTTGATCGAGCTTGGTGCCTGTCCCGACATCAACACGATTCACGCTGGTGGTGTATTCAACCTTTCACCAGTCGATTGGGTGTCTCAGTCAATCGTCAATCTATCACTCACCAACCAATCCTACACTAGAAAACACCATCATGCTCCAATCCCAATCTACCATATGATCAATGAAGAACATGTTAAATTGGAACGTGTAACTCGTATATTATCAACCGTTCAACCAATGCAAGAGGTTCCATTCCAACAATTCCAACAATTGGTCGGTCAAGTCCAAGATCACAACCATGCAATCTATCCCATTCGATCGGTATTTAAAAATAATTTCCCAGGTCACTATCGTTTTAATTATTATTGTCCCTTTACTACCAAACAATTATTCTCTCTTGGTCTTGACAAATGTCCTAAAGTTTCAAACAAAACTATAGAATTAAATTTAATTTATTTAAAAAATCAATTAAAAAATAATTAAATAAATAAATAAAACAAAGCAAAAATCGATTTATTTTATTTAAAATTGAATTGCATCAATATGTTTTTGTAAGTTCACCCTTTGAGTATCTGCTAAGCCTTGGGTTTGTTTCGTGAAAGAGACGTGTTTTACCAGAACGGTACTCCATGACTTTATCTTTGTTTTCATTGAGTACTTGGAGACAGATCGTATCGATGCTATCCTCAGAGATTTGTGACACACCCAGGCTGTCGACGATCTCTTTGGCGTCTCGGACATCACCTTTCAACATCTCGTCGATAATATCATTGGCAACCTTTGACGAGATGTAGGCTGTTTCGACGAGGTCGATAACATTGGCCATACGATCAATCGAGATGGATGTGGCTACGATTGTTTTGTAGTTGAGGATAAATAGGAGAAGGGTCTTGGCGCTACGACCACCCTTTCCATGTTTGAGGACAACTTCGAAATATGATACATTTCTGGGGTCTGCCACGAGGATGGTAGCCTCGTCGACTGTCAGTCCATACTGCTTGATGATACGTGCCTTCATGGCGTCTGGCAACTCATTGGTTATAGACATTTCTTTCTATCTTTTCTTGTCTTTTATATATTTAATTAAACTCACTTTTTTTTTTGTTACTTTGGCTGTTTTGTTGTAAATGTTATTTAATTAATTAATCATCCCTGATCGATCAGGGACGAGTGTGGTTGGGATACATCGGTGTGGGTAGTGGTAAGCACGTGCATTGACAGAGACAAGCGTATTCCGGTCTCATAGCAGGGTTAGTTGCTGGCGTTTGTTGATGTGCTTGATGCGACAGTTGATTATAATAGTTGTAGTTCTAGAATATATGTGATGAGTATACATTCGATTCATTCTATATGTTTATCATTGCAGTAGTAGGTCTATAAAGATAAATCTGGTGTGCCAAAGGAATAAATATCAGAACCAAAAAAAAAGATATTTTTAACAACACAACAACTTTTTGTTTATGAAAAGACACTTGAACGATGATTTCTTTTAATCGAGCCCTTTAAAGGGCGATAGCCTAGGTCGAAATTTCTTATGGTTACCCACAACTCTCCTAAAAGATCATCATTGCAACAAACTTCTTCTCCTCCTCCTCTTCTTTGATCTCTTTTTGATCATTCTATTTTTTACATTCAAAACAAAAAAAAAAAAAAAAAGAGATAATAGAGAATTAAAAAGAGATGAAATACCAACAGAGATTAGTATTGATCACCTTTTTAGTGACTATTGTTTCAATAGTAAATGCAACTTTACCAGATACTCAAGGTATATATATATATATATATATGTAAAGATTCTCTTCAATTTTCTTTGTATTAACTTTTTTATCATCCTCTTTTTATCCTCTTTTTTTATTTTATAGTTGCTGCATTAAATGCAATTGATGCAGCAATGGGAGTACCATGGAAACCAAGTCCACCAACATGTGGTTCAACTTTTAAAAACTCTGTTGTAGTTTGTGATTCTACAGAGACTACGGTTGTAGCCTTGTCGATTGACCCAGTTTTTACATCAACCACCATACCAAACATTTTGGATCAATTTCCATCACTCAAATCATTGTCACTTTATAATGGAATTCATAACTTATATAATTTAACAACTATTAGAAATCATCCTACCATTTCAACCTTGTATGTATAGAAAAAGAAAAAGAAAAGGAGAAAAAGAAAAAGAAAGATTATATTTATTTATTTTTTTTTATTTAGACAATCATTTGCAGGATCGATCAATGTTACAACAGATTTAACAACAATGTTATCATTGGATACACTTCATATTATTAATGGTTTCAATTCAGTACCATTGGTAAGACCAGGTTCATTAACCTATTTTCACTTTGTTAGAGCAGCTTCTCAAAGTTTGGCTGGTAGAATCCAACAATCTGTATTTTCTCCAAAATTAACTTATTTGTATGAAACCAAAAAAAAAACAGCTATTATATTATTTATTCATTTTAATTTATTAATTTTAATTTATTAATTTTAATTTATTTATTTTTAATTTAGCCATCTACAATCAACAACTGCTCAACCATGGTTAGAACCTTCAAATTCATATTTAAATTTTACCATTTTTGCAGATTGTCCAAATCTTGCTTATTTGTATATTCAATCAAATACATTGAGTATAGATTTATCAATTTTTTATAGAATACCAGCCGCATTAAAATCATTATCACTTTATGGTCTTGCCACTCCCAATAACCATACATTCCCATCCATTCAAGAAGTAGATTGGATGAACCTTTCAATGCTACGTTTGAATAATATTCAATTAAGTGGTACACTCCCAACTCAATTGTTTACCTCTCCAACTTTGAATACACTTCATGTTAGTGGTAATGCAAATTTAAATGGAATTTTAACAACTGATATTGGATACAATAAATTAACTTATTTGTATGAAAGAAAAGAAAGAAAGAAAATTAAAAAAAAAGAAAAGAAAACTCTTTTATTAATTTTTCTTTTTTTTCTTTTTTTATAGTGCAGCAGAAACTACAAATTTAACAGGAACAGTACCAACAAATATTATTGATGGAGGTTTATCAACATTAATGTTGAGAAATACAAAATTATCTGGAGCTTTACCTGGGCCATTTTTATGTTGTGCCGTTCAAAATCTTAAACCAGACAATGTAAAACCAACCTATTTATTTGATAATGCTGTATTTACCAATTATTTTGGACCAGATGCACCAAGATCATGTCAACCAGTTATCACTTCTATCGAACCATTCCCCATTAGTAGTAATTCAAAAATCACTATCAATGGTAATGATTTGGGTGATGTTTATCTTATTCAACTTATCAATTCAATTGGTGATATTGCTTCTGTTGGTTGTTTAAATTCTGAATCAAATTATTATAAATTAATGTAAAGAAAAAAAACAAAAAGAAAACAAAAAAAATAGAATAGAAGAAAGAATTAACACATTTTTAATTTTCTTTTTCTTTTTTTTTCGATTTTAGTTGTACAAATCCAAATATTCAAGGAATTGGAAATATAACATATAGAGTTATAAATGATCAAATACCATATCCAACAACTACAGTTGAATTTGCTTATGCAAATCCAAATATAACAAGTGTAACTAGAGGATCGACGTTGGGAGGTTTAATTACGATTACTGGTAAAGATTTGTTTGGTGATTTACCAAAGGATATGGAAGGTACTTGGGTCAAGATTTATGGTTCAAATTGTACACAAATCAGAGTATTGGAACCATTTGAATCGTTTGAATGTGTTCATGAAGCTGGAGTAACATCCAATGTTACCATTTCACTAGAAAACAAGGGATTGCTGAGCAACGATACATTGTCACCTAAATTCTTTTTCCGTAATCCTCTTATCATTTCCGCCACTGCTGTTTTACCAGACCAAGAAACCATCATTACTATTGCCGGTATGGACCTTTGGAATGATACTTCTATTGTCAGTGTCTTGATTGACGATGGATCAATTCCATGTACCGTCAAAACTGTCAATCACTCTTATGTTACTTGTCTTGTAGCATCCATGCCATACTCTGAAGGAACAAAGACTATTCAAGTTTCAGTCAATGATCAACTATCTGAAAAAATCCCATTATTCTCTTTTGTTGATCAAGTTGTTTGTCCTGATAATTGTGGTAACTCAGACTCTTCCTCGTCCTCTTCCATTTGTAGTAATGGGTTAGGATTTTGTCAATGTCCTATCAATACATTTGGTCCAGGTTGTAGTAGCAAACAATCCACCATTCAACCAGTATTTAGTAATTCATCTGCAATGATTCAATTAGAGACATTTAGCTTTTTCTTGCAATCGGTCATTGAAAATGGTGCTGAAACATTTATCCCAAAGGATCAATGGGTTGTCGATACAACTAGAGGTGCTTCATCAAGTTCCTATTTCTGGTCACTTGGTGGTAAATCTGTATTGGTTGAAATTGCAATGTCTACCGAACCAACATCTGCCGTGGTTGGACATTCTCAATTCCAAGTAGCTGCCAACACCTATACCTATGGTGTAACTTATACCTCTGCCATTCCAGTTACCAGTCTTGCATTTACTGTCATGCTTGAAACTTCACCAGAAGAATGTGATACCATCCCCGTCCAATACGCCACAACCAGTGATAGTCAAGGTTCTACTGTGAATGCACATTGGATGACATTTACCAAAGATGATTCACAATTCTATGCTAGATTCCCATTGGTGGCACAAATTGACAATGAACAAGGTTATCTTGTCAATGAACCACTCGTCGACGACACCAAATCATCCATCCTAAAGGTCAACATTCAATCTGACCAACTCATTACCACCACCTTTTTCCAATTCGACGCCACTCTTTTGGAGGCTCCAGAATCACGTTCCTATGACACCCAAGGTAGTTGTCCAGTTAAAAGTGACAAATGGAAGGCTATTGTCGGTGGTGTCGTCGGTGGTGTTGCAGGTGCTGCCCTAGCTGCTGCTGGTGCTTTTATCATCTTTAGACAACAAAGAAAGATTAATGATACCAAATCTCTTTTAGATAAAAAACTAAAAGAATTAAATCATGATCTCTAAAAACAAGAATAAAAAGAAAAAGAAAAACTAATTTGTACTACTATTTAAATAAATTATATCTATATTATCTATTATATTTAACTACCACGATAAGTTGAATAACCAAATGGTGAAAGTAATAATGGTACATGATAATGTCTAGTTGAATTGACAATAAAATCAATACTAGCCTTTGGGAAGAAATATTCTTTAATGTTTTGTGAAACAAAATATTCCTCTATAAAAAAAAAAGTAAATCAAAAAAAAGTTAATAACTATATGTATGTAAAGTTTTCTATTTCTTTCATACCAGTTTTAAAAGTGATTCTATAAAGTCCATTCTCTAGCTCTGGGAAATCTCTTCCTCTACCATCAGCATTGGTTAAAAGAGTTGTAATGATTTGATATTCTTCTCCTTTAATTTGTTTTTCTAATGTAACAGAGATACCTTGAGCAGGTAAACCATTTTGTGTATCAAGTACATGAGTTGATAATGTTGACTTTTTATCTGTTGACATTTTGTTATTATCTATCTATCTATCTAATTTAGAATTCAAATGATCATAAATTAAATTTTTAAAAAAGATCTTTCAAAACAAAAAAAAAATTTTTTAAACTAAAAATTAATTAAATAATTTAATTATTTATTTGATAGTTTACTTTTGAAACATTTGTTTGTTTTGTTTTTTTAGAAAGAAGTTTGTGATATACGACCAGCATTTTCAACCTTGTCCTTTGTACATTGATCGGTACATTTGATGGAAAAGGTAACCTTGGCATTAATGATCTTGTTGGTGGTTGGATCAAAGATATCGAGGGTCTTGCTGAATGATGAACCTATTGAAGTTGGAAGATGAAATGTTGCACTGCCTATGAAGTCATCTTTTAAGGCGTCTTTGTCCCAAAGTTGAAGGGTCAATTGAGAGCACTTTCCAATGTTGGCAGTAAAGTCGTTGGTGTAGTTCCAGACTGGGTTGAGAGTCTTGGAGACTGATGGGGTTTGGAGTACCCACTTTTTAGAAAAGAGGCCGTCAGAGACTACCTTTCCAATTCTGACGTATGGGTCGGAAAAACCATTGCTGTCGGTAGCCTTGTACAATTCAGCCTTTTCGACGGTCAACTCATAGGCCATCCAATTATCATAGATAATCTCCTTGGTTGGTTTCTTCTTTTTCTTGGCAGCCAAGTAGGCAAAAGGTCCTGTTCTTCCTCCAAAGTTTCCCTAGAAAGTAACATTAGATATATATTAGTAAAAAAAAAAGAGCCTTAAAATCAAACAATAGTTGTTGTGTTGCACTTGTAGTTACCTGTTGAACCTATAAATGTTGAAGAAAATTTTATGTTAGTTATGTGTTGTTTTTCACGTGATCACTCGATTGAGTTTGTATCGTAGGTCAGATGATGAATTCATACTTGAGCTCTAAGAATTTCTTCGTAGATTGACATGTTGACGGAGTGTGATGTGTATTTGTTTGATGAAAGAAATAAAGATGTGTGTTGTTCACTTGGTTGATGATGGTTGAGGAGTGATCAACTGATCAATATTTAAGCCTTGTCTGGAACAGCTACAAGTGCACTGATTTTTTTTTTTCGATTCTCCCACTTATCGCTATGAAAGATATTTTGGTGTGCAGTGGGCATATTCATCGAAGTATTTTATCATGTGGTGGGTTTGCAAAAAAAACCAAGAGGCAAAGGATTCATCAGTTTTGTGCTTTCAGACCCAATGAGGACAGACCCTCTTCGAACACAACTTTCCTTTGGGAATAATACTTCTATATGGGTTAGAGTGATCATTCATATTATAATAGACACCAAAGGGAACATAGGCGGAAAAAACAAGGAGTAAACACAAAAAAGTAGAATAATTTGGTTCAAACTTTAAAGTTACTAAATTTATCAAACATATTATGGATTTAATTCATAAAAAAAAATATATTTTGTCAATATCTTTGTGTGGTTTAAAATATAGCTTAAACGATAGGAAATGAGTTGCAGAGTCGAATGGCAATAGAATAACGTGATCGCGACCAGAGTAAAAAAAAAAAACTGCAAAAGGTATCCGGTTTGCCAGGATTGAACTAGCGACCAGCTGATGACTTTTTGATACAATCTACAGTCAGCTGCTCTACCACTGAGCTAAAACCGGCGATATTCCCCTTTATGGTTTTTCCCCTTTTGTACGAAAAAAATTTTTGCCCTTTTTTAGGCTCTTTTTTAACTTAATCAATGGTATTTTGCCCCAAAACCCCCTGGAAACCTATATATACTGCCCCAGTGATGAATATTTTGATACAAACTATTAGTCAGCTGCTCTACCACTGAGCTAAAACCGGCGATATTCCACTTTTTGGTTTTTCCCCTTTTGTAGGGAATAAATTCTTAGCCTAGACGCGTAGCTATGGGACTTGCCCTTTCGGACAGCCCGACAACCAGCAGCGTCGCATGACAGTTCACAATACTAAAGCCATTTCTCCAGTCAATGTCTATATATGTGCCACCAACATTTTTTTATTGACGATTCTCTACTTTACTTTTTACCTACAACAAATTAAATTATTATTATTTGTATCTGTTTACTTGAATTATCTGTTTGAATAGAAAATAAAGTGAACAACAAATAAAAAAAATAGGAGGATGAATAAAAAAAACAAACAACCCCTTTTCAAAAAAAAAAAAACAAATAAATACATAAAAAATGAATTAATTAATTTTTTGGGGGTTTGAAGACACACGAGGTGTTAAAAAAAGGTAAACCAAAAGAGCAATTTAGAGAGAGAAGAGAGATTAATAATACATATATCATATAATAATACATACGCATGAGTAAACATCAAACATTGTAATAAATCAATCATCACATCAGTAGCATTAGCAATATAGCATTTTTATATAGATCATTTCATGTCATCAACACCTCCTATTCCGATCCCGAGTGTTGCTGCTGGTAGGAGTATTGCATTTGACACTAATCTTCCAAATAGTTATCATGGAGATACAGCAACCTCTAAGCAACACAACGGCAACCATCATCAGAGATCATCATCAACAGACTCGACCAATCCAACTTCTACCACTACAACTACTTCAGCAACTACTTCAGCAACTACTTCTTCAAATACAACTATATCAACTACAACGACTACAACAAAAGATAAAGAAAAACAAGAGATTGAAAATTTAATTAAACTTTATAGTAATGGCAATCAAAAGATTGAATCATGGACAGCCATATCACATCTATTCAAACATTTAATGACTCCAGGTATAGTTGATTTCCTTTGTAATAAATTATATACACTTGAAGATCAAGATATTGATTTCTTTATAACTCAACTTTGGTATTGTATCAAGAAACTTTTAATCAAATCAAATCTATTTTTAATCTCTAATACTTTTTTTTTCTTTTACATTTTTAGTGTAATGTTAACAAATGAACCAAATGATCAAAAGACAATATTATCATCATTGGCTAAATTTGTAATGGATCGATGTGCCAAATCGATGAGATTTGCCATCAAATCATATTGGATCTTTCAAGCATTTGAAGAAGACGGTCATCGAAATATAGTAAACATCGAGACCAACGCACAATACCATCAACAACAACAACAACAACACGCGCAATACCAACAACATCAAAGACAACAAATTACCTCATCATCTCCATCAACCAGTCCAAACGCTACATCTAATAATAACGGACATTCAAACCATTTACGTAGAGTATTAAGTGATGATCATTTAGAACGTGATCATCAACTCAATAATAATCAAAATAATCAAAATAATAATAATACAACCGAATCAACTGTAAATAATAATAATAATAATCAAAATAATAATAATAGTAATATTGTAACAAGTAGTAGTTTTCCATCAACCAAGATATTTATAAATGGTGAAATGTTTTCACCAATGATGGATCCAAACAATAATAATAATAATAATAATAATCATACTTCTACCATTACATCATTTATACGTACACCATCAACATTTGAATTAATTGAAGCAAAAAAGGAATTGGCAACTAGATTAAGAGAGTATTGTGAAATGTCTGTGATTACATGTTCACGTCCATTGATTACTCGACCTAGAACATCGTCTCTACCATCACCTCATATACTCGGTTACTCACTTCCCAATCTTCCTCCACCTACAACTACATCCCCTGCTCCTTCCCCACCTCCTCCAGCTCCACCTATTTCTCTACCATCACCACTACTAGTAGAACAAACAACTCTAACAACCATTACATTGGAAGAAAAAGAACAACACACGGAACAAATGGAACAACCAGAAATTTTAATATCAACAAGTAATGTATGTCAATCCATTTCAGTTAACCTCTCACAACAAGAGACTGCCATACAAACTAGCAAAACACCACCAATCGAATCGAGTCAACCAGATTATGACTTTGAATTTGAAATATCAAAAAGTTATCGATGTGATTATCTCAATTCGATACTTTCCTTTGTTCAAACACTAGGCAACATTAGTAAAAAGTTGATTAGTGTACCGATCGATCTCCGCCAAGCCAAACTCAAAGATGAAATATCAATACTAAACATAAAGTTGCCATTGGGATTGTACTTGCCACTGGGTCAAGAGTCAAGGCATCATTGCATCGTTAGAATACCACCCGAGGAAGTTAAGATTTTAAATAGTCGAGAACGTGTCCCCTTTTTATTGGTACTCGAAATGATCGAGGGCGATGAAGAGGCATCGGCTGCAAATATTCTAAACATTGTATCTTCTTATCTACCATTTACAGTCAACAATAGTTCAATTGTAAATAGTAATAATAGAAATCATTTAAAATTGGATTTAATTAAAAAACATATTAGAAATAATAGTAATCAATTAAATTTAAATCAAGATAGAGATAAAGAAAAGGAAAAGGAGAAATCACCAACTAAAATAACTGAATCAACTACAACTCCAACTGCTACTACGCCAACAACTACTACAGCTACAACTACACCAACTTCTTCTGCTTCTTCTTCTTCTACTTCATCATCTACATCATATTCACATTTTAATTATCCATTTGGTGAATTATGGCAAGATAAAATGGAGAGGTATAGAAAGATATCACCATATGGAGATTTCCCAAGTTGGAAGATGGTATCGGTGATTATAAAGACTGGTGATGATTGTAGACAGGAACAAATGGCGGTACAGTTAATACGAAAGTTTCAAGAGATTTGGGTAGAGGCCAAACTGCCACTGTATTTACGCCCGTACGATATATTGGTGACATCTTCGCAATCGGGGATCATTGAGACTATTCCCGACACGGTATCACTACACAACCTAAAAAAGAATACACCCAACTATACGACACTACTCGCTTATTTCAAGTCTCAATATGGCGAGCCCCAAACCGAGGCGTTTCGCGCCGCACAAGCCAAGTTTGTAGAGTCACTCGCCGCCTACTCAATCGTCACCTATCTACTACAAGTCAAAGACCGACACAATGGAAACATCCTACTTGACAAGGAAGGCCATATCATTCATATAGACTTTGGTTTCATTTTGTCCAATAGTCCTGGCAACATGTCATTTGAAAGTGCTCCGTTCAAACTCATACAAGATTGGGTTGATGTGATTGGTGGATCGGCTCAATCCCCCATGTTCCTTTATTTCCAGGCATTGTGTGTACGTGGGTTCCTAGAGGCACGTAAACACTTTGACAAGTTTGTTTCATTTATCGATTTGATGATGACCGGTCCACGGATGTCCTGTTTTCAAGGTGGACGAGACGTTATCATCGACCAACTCAAACAACGGTTCTTCCTCGACATGACCGAACGCGAGTGTGGAAATCATGTCGAACAACTCATCTCTTATAGTCTTGATCATCGTGCCACTCGTTATTATGATTATTATCAATATTATTATAATAATATTTATGCTTAAAAAAAAAAAAAGACAAACACCAAATATTATATTTTTTTTTTAATAAACTATTTTTTAAAAATTGGTTATATCATCACAATGTATAGAACACATTGTATTGATTATCAATTTAGTTTATATATATACATACATACTTATACATATTTGTAGATAATTAAATAATCAGATTGAATGATCATCAATTTCCAAGAAAAAACTAGTTTTTCAAACCTTTGCATTCATTTAATTTCAATAATATTATATGCATAGGAGATACGATATATAGTTGAGATATTCAATCGATCATATATATATATATATATGATTATATGATTGAGTATTATTTCTTTATATCATGAATCAATCACATAGTAGTACAAGTAGCATTAGTCTCATCAATAATAATAACAAGAGAATCTGTGAGGATCCTCCACTTGTTTTAAAACATCATCATCAACAACCAATCTCATCGATTACCAACATCAATAATAATAATAATGGTAGAATTGACTTTATACCAAATAAGGCTATCAAGTCATCATCAGGTGCTTCGTTATCAGTTTCATCATCTTTGGTGAATAAGAGTAGTAGTGGTAGTAGGACTCCTTCATTAAGCTTAACTACAAATAGCAATCATCATCATGGTGGTGCAAGCTCAGCAAAGATACTTCCACGTCCTACTTCATTATTGGGTGGACAAGTAGTACTGCAACCTAAACCTCCTTCACCACCTAATATTAATAATATCAACAACAATAATAATAACAATAATAATAACAATACTATAAAAGGTAATGTAATTAGATCACCAGCACCAGCACCTCAAACCACTATCAAGAGGAGTTTATTGGATACCAACCGAGGATTAGGAGGAGTTGGTGTTATCTCAAAATCTATGCTTCCTATAATTCCTCCTCAAAATAATACAAATACAAATAATAATACTATTTTGAAATCAAGGCAAAATCAATCACCTCCACAACTTCAACTTCAACCTCAACAACCTCAACAACCAAAAATACAATCATTAAACATGAACCAATCGAAGAAAATATCTTTGAATACCTCAACTACAACTACATCAACTACATCAACAACATCACCACCTATTAATCAAATGAAACCCCCTCCACCTAATGTTAATAATAATATTGGTGATAATGATAGTTTTGATTTCTTTTTTGAAGAAGGTAGTCAATTTTGTCAAAATGATGTACCATTACCGTCAACTCAACATAAATTAAGTCAATTAAAGGAATTGATGGATAATATCAAAGCAGATGAAAATGATGAATTACCAGAAATGCAATTCATTCCAAATTATCAACCACCTCCAAGAAATTCATTAATTAATAGATCTTCACCAAAAAGAAATCAACAATCAAATAATAATAATAATAATAATAATAATAATCAAAATGGTAAAACCAAAAATAATAATAATAATAATAATAATAATCAATCATCATCATCATCACCTGAATGGAAAATGGGAGATCCAGATTCATTTGGATTAGAAATGGTACCATGTTGTATTCATTTGTTTAATTTATCAAAAGCAGCAGCTATAATGGAAGATAAAACAAAGTTTCTTTACGCTTGGCAAAAGGAGTTGCTTTGTAAACCTGGATTATTAGATGGAACTAGAAACTTTATATACTCTTTACCAACAAGTGGTGGAAAAACATTGGTTGCAGAGATTATACTACTTAGAAATGTATTAGAGAGAAAAAGAATATGTTTGTTTGTACTGCCATATGTATCGATTGTCAATGAAAAGGCAGATTCATTTAAATTGCTCTCTCAACAACTTCGATTCAAGGTGGAAGGATATTATGGTAATCAAGGGACAATCCCACCTACTAGTGAACCATCCATCCTCATTTGTACAATTGAAAAGGCAAATTTAATTGTCAATACAATGATTGAAGAGGATCGTATCATGGAGATTGGGTGTGTTGTGGTGGACGAGTTACACATGGTTGGTGACGGAGACAGAGGTGCGTTACTCGAACTCTTTATTGCAAAGTTGATGTATTCAACCAAAGGCAATGCACAGATTGTTGGTATGAGTGCCACTATACCCAATTTGGACGCATTGCAGAGTTGGTTACGTGCCGATCTGTATGAAAACAATTTCCGTCCCGTTCCACTCACCGAACACCTCAAATCGGGCACCAAACTGTTCAAAAAAGTCAATAATAAGCTTGTCGATACGAATCAGACAGTACCAAACGACGACGAAGAGTTTTTTGGTCCAACTGATCAAAAAGACGATACCCGAACATTGCATGTTGGTGTTTTGTAGTAGTATCAATGGTACAAGAGATAGAGCCATTAAACTTGCAAGAAAGCTTAGATCACACACTACCAAAGACACTGATGGCAACGACATTAATATAGCAGATATTAACCGAGATAGAAAGAATCAAATTAAAGCGCGATTACAAGATTCGCTGGGAACACAACAAGATCAAGAAATGATATTCGAGGCAATTGATATGGGTGTTGCATTTCATAATTCTCAATTGTCTGGAGAGGAACGTGATATTATTGAAAATGGATTTAAAGATCGTGTTATCAATATTCTCTGTTGTACATCTACACTTAGTGCAGGTGTCAACTTGCCAGCTAAAAGAGTGGTCCTCACATCAACTAAAATGGGGTTTGATGATATCTCTGTTAGAACCTATCGACAAATGTGTGGTAGAGCCGGTAGAGCTGGGTTTGACTCGAATGGTGAAAGTTATTTATTATCAAAAGATCAGAAACTTCCAACAAGATTAATGACTCAAGAAATGGAACCTTTAATTTCTGGTTTCAACAAGGAACCAGCAGCAGTAGAACAAAAAAATAATAATAATAGAAAAAATAATCAACAATCAAATTTAAATTATGAAAAATTGGCTATTGATTGTATTTCTAGTTTTATTGCAAATACTGTAAGAAAAAAAAAGAAAAAAAGAAAGAAATATAAAAAATAATTAATACTTTACCTTTTCTTCTTTGTAGAAACATCAATTATTGGAATTTTTATCATGTACATTTTATTTTAGATCGATAAGAGTACCACAAGATCATAATGGAACAAAATATGAATACATCAAAGGAAAATTGGATGAATGTATGGGTGTTTTAGAAAAAGAAGGATTTATTCAAAAGAAAATAATAGATGGTGATGAAAAAAAAGTAGATGACCGACATGTTTTATGGGAACCAACAGGTTTAGGTCTTGCTACATTTAGATCAACTTTAAACATTAAAGAAGCAAAATATTTACATTTAGAATTGGATAAAATTCAAAGGAATTTTAATTTAAAAGAAGAATTAAATTCTTGGTATGTAAAAACAAAACAAACAAAATATATATATAAATATTAATATTAATTTTAAATTAGTTATGTAACAACACCAATGTTTGGATCAGGATTAAATATAACAATTAATTGGTCAAACTTTTATACTTTATTTAAAGCATTTGATCAAAGTAGAAAAGATGTGGCAAATCGATTAGGTATTTCATTATATTATATTGAATGTCATTGTGATGAGGAAAAGACAAATGACGTTTATAAAATGGAAACGAATACCCCTAATATCCGACAGATTCACGTTAGGTTTTATTTGGCAATGGCATTGTCAGAGTTGATTCAAGAAAACTCACTTCATTATGTCGCCAAGAAATATGGAATCCCACGTGGTAGTCTTCAATCGACTATGCAGTTTTGTGGTACTTGGGCATGGATGATTGTCACTTTTTGCAAGAGAATGCAATGGTATTCGTTTGAAGCTGTCATTTCAGAGTATGTCAAGAGACTCGATCACGGTGTTCGTGCAGAGGTTCTTCCATTACTCGAAGTCAAAGGTATTGGAAAGGCTCGTGCAAGAGCACTTTACAACGCTGGTATCAAAACTTGTAAAGAAATTGCATCAATCGATCCAGGTAGATTAGCCGAAAAATTTCCAAAAGTATTTGATCCCCATTCAGCAAGAGATATCGTACAATCTGCCAAACGACTTTTAGATGTTCAAGCTGCCGAATTAAGAAAACAAGCTGATCTATTATCTGGAAAGACTGATAATGAAATGGATGGTGATAATAATAATAATAATAATCGTGATCGTATTGCTGGTCTTGGTCATGCTGGATTATTTAGAAATTAAAATCGAATTCTGTTTGACAAAAAAAAAAAAAAAAAAAAAAACGAATCACACGATCGTGAAAACGAATCATTTTTGTTGTAAATATCTTTATTTTAATTTAACATATACACAAATAGAATAATAAGACAATGTCTTCTACTACTTCTACTTCAACTATAATAGATGAACAACAACCAGTTGCAGTTGAACAACAACAAGATATAAAAAAAGAAGAAACAACAACAACAACAAATAATAATGTAGATAATAATAATGTAGATAAATTTCATAGACTTTTAAAGAAGAATTAAATATAATTGGAAAGAGTGATATGACACCAGCATCAAGAAAAGAAGTAAAGAATATATCGTTGACATGTGTTAATTTAGTATTGACAGTGTTGGGAGTAGGATCAATGGCCACGCAAGGCAACACTGTCATGGAGGTACTCGATCAATCAGTAGAAACACTGCTCATTGGTATTGCACCAAAGATGTGGGCTACTCTTTCACCACAACATCGTCAATTGACCATGTATGTTGCAGTCTCTTCCTATATCGTCGGTGGCAAGGCATACATGTGTGATGCTTTGATGACAGTATGTCACAAGGAATTAGAATCAATGATCAAATCTCGTACAATGCCAAACAAGATAAGTGAAATCGTCAAACGTGCAAACGTAATCATATCAGTATTTAAAAAACAAGAAGAAGCAAAAGCAAAAAAAGAAAAAGAAGATGCTAGAAGAGCTGGAAGAAGATATTAACAAACAAAATAATATATAAAGAAAGAATTAATTTATTTTTATTTAAATTGGAAAAGAAATATTCTTTCTAAAACAAGTTTGACCATTATTATGATATCTAGAATAGAGAGAATTAAAATGATTACCACAAAATATATGGGCTAGACCTTGAACACTTATAAAATCAAGGCGAGGATGTTGTAATAGTAGATTTTCAATGTCGGATTTATAGACCATGATAGGGGGATGACAATCCAAAGAAGATAATTGGAGTGTTGCAAGATTAGGATTATGGTCAATCAATGTCTTAAAGAGTGATCCACCGTGATCACACCAACTAGTATGTCTGGTCGATATTCTTAATAGTTTGATATTGTAGGCTTGACCAATCAATTGTTGGAATTGATAGAACCCAAAGAATCCATTATCACAATCAATGTCAAACAATTCTAAAGATAGTTTTAATAATTGACCACCATTGTTATCTAATCTAATTGGACATATTGGACTATTATTGTAATTATTATCAGTTGTTGGTAATCTAACAATTGGAAGTGGTTTGATTGATTTACTGATAATTATCTTTAATTCGGTGATATGTGATGGAGTGGTAAAGGGAAGTATAGAGAGAATAGATTCATCGGTAAAATCAATCTCTATAGTCCACGCCAAAACTTTTGTATTGGTGGTAATGATTTCAATGGTTTGGGAGGTTAACGTCATTGTATTTGATACTCTTGGGACTTTGGTTGTCAATAGGTATTGCAATAATCGACTATTGACTGTGGGAGGTGAGCGAGTGACTATATTAATCTCTTGTAGTGATTTCATACGGTCAAGATTCGAATACTGAAAGGTTGTATCATCTAGACCCGACAAATAGAGGTGTACAAGATTCGGGTAAATCTCATCACCCGCATTACTAGATACATGTCCAAACAACGATGAAGCCAACTGTGGTGTCTGTGTATCAAGTGGTGTCACATGTCTTAGTGTTATAGATTCTAATGAATGTTCAAGTTGACAAAATATATTTGATAATTGACCAGACACTAATTCTTTGGTTTCTTTACTTGCATGAGTAATAGTATTTGTTAAAAACAAATAAATTGATTTTAAATTATTATTGTTATTTTGTTTACTATTATTATTGTTATTTTTGGTTGATGATTTAAAGATTGGAGAAGGATTTAAAAATTGTTGTAATATTGTCAAGACTTTATTCACAGTCTCCCATGTTTGAACGATTTGGATTGATTGCAATGAGTTTCTAGAATGGTGGAGGATGGATTCGAGGGATCCTGAATCGAATATGTTGGTTGGTTGGACATCGGCGAGTGCGAGTGTATCGACATTTGTATAACGATCGATCGTTAGGGAGTGCAAGTTACCAAATATCAATTTCAAATCTTCATCAGTCTTTAACTTGCCAAGTATATCTATAACCACATTTGATTTTGAAGTTGCGCGAGTATAGGATTGAAAGTTGAACCTAAAGTTTGACAATGATTTAATGATACATTGTGGTGACCGTAAATGTGTCTTGTACGTATCCAATGTCGATATCGATGTTCCAGATACCCAACGGCTGTGTACAAGGGGATTAGGAGTGATTCCGAATAGATGGTTATAATGACAATCATTTAAAAGCTTTAATAAATGACCAAACCATCTCTTGCAAACCACGTTTAAATTAAATACTTCTACTCTATTGTATGGGGTGTATAGTAATGTAGACATAGACTTTGAGATTGACGTTGACTTTACAGGACAACCATTATTGCCAAAATACTCTGGTTGAGCACTACCAAGATCTTGACACCCAAATATATTATTATCTGTGAAATAGTGGTCAAGTATCTGGTACTCTAGATAATGTAAAAGTTTTGTCATAATAGACTAAAATATCTATTGATATCTATTATTTCTTTCTATCAAACAAACATAGATACAAGTAAAGTAGCTAGTACATCTTTGTGTTGTGAACATGATGTGAGAAAATAACAATAAAAAAACTATAAAAAAAGAAGTAGAAGCACTTTACTATGAAGGGTGCATAGCAAGTATGATCATTCATTCTTTTGACAAAGAAATAATAATAGAGATAAAAGATAATATTATTATTATTACTTTTATTTTATTATTTATTTGATGAATCAACAACAACAACAACAACATAAACCTATTAATAATAATAATGATGAAAAGATAACAACTATTACAATTAAAACAATATTGAATAATCGGTTTATAAGTAATCAAATATTTCAACATGTTCACAAGATTGGAATAGATATTGTTAGAAGAGTTAGACATTCGGTGATATTAGAACCATATGTTGGATCGGGTGAACGAAGAGGTGCAAGACCGTTGGATGACAATTTGATTGTTACACCCCCCAATTACACCAATGCTGCACATGATCTTTTAAAATACTTTGGTTTGTTGGGTGGTGTTGCCAAGTATAGAGATATATCGAATGCAAAGTGGATGTTAAAGAATGGATATATCGGGTTGCTATTGGACAAGATTAAACGTGGTGACAAGGTGATCTTTGGTCTTGGCTCACTCAAGTTGATGTCACGTATGGGGTTACCACTCGACCAATTCAAACAAATAATCAGTGCCTATCCATTGATGCTAAGCGATATCGCTGGACAGACTACTGACATGGTCTGCAAATGTTACGTAGAGTCTGCCAAAGGTGATGACACAAATTATCCAGTATTTCAATATTTACAACAAAAACTAGTGTCTACTTCTACTACAACCCCTAGTAGTGACCCACATGTAAAGGCATTAGTACAGTTGTTTAATAGTGCTAAACGTCCATCACTTTTAATTTTGACGTCGTTGGTTGAATCTATCAAACATCTACCAAAGGAAAAGTTTTGGTTGGCAGACACAGATGTACTACGTAATCACGACCTCGTTGATTATTGGTTGCGAAATGTCGATCGAGTACCCATCACAGTGTCTAGTCTCGGACTACTCTTGGGAACACTTGGACATAATCATCACCTATTCGTGGGAATGGTTCATAAACTCCAACCGGATAAAGACACTGACAATATTTTCAAAGCATGTCTACTCTACCAGACTGCTCTTGAAGACCAACCCATCATCAATAGAGATCTCTGTCTGTCAGCTCACTACATCTCCACCAGCCTCGTCACTAGGCTACCTCCAAACACTAGTGTCAGTGATATTCGATCGATCGATTTCTACCAATCAAAAGTACTAAAAGATCTCCAACAAATTGACTCTTCTCTCACCAACCCCAATTCAATCCATTGCTATTGGGAGTTTGTCTATTTGGAATATATCGCCTATCTTCCAGGTGTAGTAAATGAATTACAACCTCTATCAAAACATTTAAATTGTTTAATATTATTAATATTAAAGAAAATTAAATCAATCATAAATAATAATATAAATAATAATAATAATAATAATAATAATAATAATAATAATAATAATAATAATAATAATATTGATAATAGTATACAACATTATTTATGGAAATATTTATTAAAATCATATGGTAGTAAATATATTTTATTGGATTTATTGATTAAAGTAGGATTTGGATTGGAATATATTAAAGATGCATATGAAACGTATGGATGTCAATCGTATATAAAGGTTCTATCTAAATGTACAGACCTAGATGTTATGCAATTCATTCAATCAAAGCTTTGTAAACCAAATTCAACCGACTATTATCCTCGTGGACTCAAACCCATCCACATTACCAACCAGTCTACGACAAAAGAGGTAATGGTGATGGCCCACCTTTACACACCACGTAAAAAACTAGACAATGATAATTGGACCACTGAAATGGCTGAACTCGCAATTGTTACCGATAATTATAACGCATTTAAAGTCATCCTAATGAAGACAAAGGTATTGGCTCTAAAATATACAAACCCATTGAATGGTTTAATTCGTCTCAAAGATCGAATCAAAGTGTCTTCACTTGAATTCATTGCCTTTGTCTACAAGTACTATGACAAGTTGACGAGTAAAAACATACTTTTACTAAATAGAGAAGATTATGTTGGATTGTTTATGTATGCTAGTGTACGAGGTGACATTAACATGCTACAGAAAATTCATACATTGTATCCAACCAAAGGTTTGGAATCATTGAAATCATCTCGTTGTAGAATACTAGATATTGCATACCTATGTGGCAATCAAAAGTCACTAGACTTTATATTAGATAATCGTCCATTTGAACGATTATCTAATAAATTATGGACAGCTATTGGTAGAATGAATAATGTTGAATTATTTAAATTGATTTATAATTCAAAAAAGGATGATGATAATAGTTTACCACAAGGAGAAATCAATGATGCAATTGTTCATTATGGTAGTTTTCAACTATTACTACATATGCAAGAAGCTGGTTTACATGAACGAATCAGTTCTGGACAATTGTATTGGGCAATACAAAATAATCATCATGAAATTGTTCAACACTATTGTAACAATTATCTTCAAAAGGATACCAAACTTAACCTACCAATATACCAAAATATTATCCATGGATTTGGAGAGATGGTTCCATATTGGGAATTTATCACTCCTCAAATGATGGATGTATTTATCAACGCCGTACCACTACAAGTCATGCTAGACAAATCCATCTACCTACCTTCAACATTTAATAGAACATCAAAATTAATCAAATACTTAAAATCTATTAAAAAGTTAAATTCATCTAAAAATTCAAATCCTAATTGTACTATAATGTAAAAATTATAATAAATTAATATTATTTTAATTTATTATTACAAATTAATAAACAAATTAATTATTAAATTATTAATTTGTTTATTGTTACAAAAAGAATATATCGTTGACATGTGTTAATTTTGATGTTCTATTAAATGTTCAAGGTAGGATCAATGGCAACGCAAGGCATACATGTGTGATGCTTTGATGACAGTATGTCACAAGGAATTAGAATCAATGATCAAATCTCGTACAATGCCAAACAAGATAAGTGAAATCGTCAAACGTGCAAACGTAATCATATCAGTATTTAAAAAACAAGAAGAAGCAAAAGCAAAAAAAGAAAAAGAAGATGCTAGAAGAGCTGGAAGAAGATATTAACAAACAAAATAATATATAAAGAAAGAATTAATTTATTTTTATTTAAATTGGAAAAGAAATATTCTTTCTAAAACAAGTTTGACCATTATTATGATATCTAGAATAGAGAGAATTAAAATGATTACCATAAAATATATGGGCTAGACCTTGAACACCTATAAAATCAAGGCGAGGATGTTGTAATAGTAGATTTTCAATGTCGGGTGTGTAGACCATGAGAGGGGGAGCTTGATGACCCAAAGAAGATAATTGGAGTGCTGCAAGATTAGGATTATGGTCAATCAATGTCTTAAAGAGTGATCCACCGTGATCACACCAACTAGTATACTTTGTCGATATTCTTAATAGTTTGATATTGTAGGCTTGACCAATCAACGTATGGAATTGATAGAACCCAAAGAATCCATTATCACAATCAATGTCAAGCAATTCTAAAGATAGTTTTAATAATTGTTTGTTATCTAATCTAATTGGACATATTGGACTATTATTGTAATTAATATCAGTTGTTGGCAATCTGACAATTGGAAGTGGTTTGATTGATTTACTGATAATTATCTTTAATTCGGTGATATGTGATGGAGTGGTAAAGGGAAGTATAGAGAGAATAGATTCATCGGTAAAATTAATCTCTATAGTCCACGCCAAAACTTTTGTATTGGTGGTAATGATTTCAATGGTTTGGGAGGTTAACGTCATTGTATTTGATACTCTTGGGACTTTGGTTGTCAATAGGTATTGCAATAATCGACTATTGACTGTGGGAGGTGAGCGAGTGACTATATTAATCTCTTGTAGTGATTTCATACGGTCAAGATTCGAATACTGAAAGGTTGTATCATCTAGACCCGACAAATAGAGGTGTACAAGATTCGGGTAAATCTCATCACCCGCATTACTAGATACATGTCCAAACAACGATTCAATAGCCAGCTGTGGTATAGGCGTATCAAATGGTGTCACATGTCTTAGTGTTATAGATTCTAATGAATGTTCAAGTTGACAAAATATATTTGATAATTGACCAGACACTAATTCTTTGGTTTCTTGATTTGCAATAGTAGTATTTGTTAAAAACAAATAAACTGATTTTAAATTATTATTATCATTATTATTGTTGTTACTATTATTTTGTTGTCTTTGATTATTATTATTATTATTATTAGCCTTTAAGATTGGAGAAGGATTTAAAAATTGTTGTAATATTGTCAAGACTTTATTCACAGTCCCCCATGTTTGAACGATTTGGATTGATTGCAATGAGTTTCTAGAATGGTGGAGGATGGATTCGAGGGATCCTGAATCGAATATGTTGGTTTGGTTGAGCATTGGCGAGTGCATCGGCATTTGTGTAACGATCAATCGTTAGAGACTGCAAATGACCAAATATCAATTTAAAATCTTCATCAGTCTTTAACTTGCCAAGTATATCTATAACCTCTGTGGCCGTGGCTGATGTCGATCGAGTATAGGATGCAAAGTTGAACTTAAAGTTTGACAATGATTTAATGATACATCGTGGTGACCGTAAATGTGTCTTGTAGGAATCCAACGTCGATATCGATGTTCCACCAGATACCCAACGGCTGTGTACCAGTGGATTAGGAGTGATTCGGAATAGATGCAACTTGTTACCATCATTTAAAAGCTTTAATAAATGACCAAACCATCTCTTGCAAACCACGTTTAAATTAAATACTTCTACTCTATTGTATGGGGTGTATAGTAATGTAGACGTTGATGTTGAAGTTGACTTTACAGCATTACCATTACTGTCAAAATACTCTGGTTGAGCACTACCAAGATCTTGACACCCAAATATATTATTATCTGTGAAATAGTGGTCAAGTATCTGGTACTCTAGATAATGTAAAAGTGTTGCCATAATAGACTAAAATATCTTTTATCTATAGATATCTATTATTTCTTTCTATCAAACAAACATAGATACAAGTAAAGTAGCTAGTACATCTTTGTGTTGTGAACTAATATTTGTGAGAAATTAATAATAAAAAAAAATATGAACAAAGAAAAAGAAGTATCCGCCCTATACGACGAAGTGTGAATGATCATTCTTCAAGAAAAGAATAATAGAGATAAAAGATATTATTATTATTACTTTTATTTTATTTATTTGATGAATCATCAACAGATACAAACATAGAAAAGAAGAAAAGGAAATCAAATGAAGGAACACTCTGTCCAACAAAGACAACAACATAAACCTACTAGTAATAATAATGAAAAGATCTTAACGATTAAAACAATATTAAATAATCGATTTATAATTAATTAAATATTTCAACATGTTCACAAGATTGGAATAGATATTGTTAATGCTGAAGAGGTGCAAGACCGTTGGATGACAATTTGATTGTTACACCTCCCAATTACACCAATACTGCACATGATCTTTTAAAATACTTTGGTTTGTTGGGTGGTGTTGCCAAGTATAGAGATATCAAATACGAAGTGGATGTTAAAGAATGGATATATAGGGTTGCTGATGGACAAGATTAAACGTCGAATATCCATCTGAACACTCTCTACCAATCAAAGGTACTAAAAGATCTCCAACAAATTGCTCTTCTCTCACCAATCCCAATTCAATCCATTGTTATTGGGAGTTTGTCTATTTGGAATATATCGCCTATCTTCCAGGTGTAGTAAATGAATTACAACCTCTATCAAAGCATTTAAATTTTTTAATATTAATATTAAAGAAAATTAAATCAATCATAAATAATAATATAAATAATAATAATATAAATAATAATAATAATAATAATATTGGTATTGATAATAATTGGACTACTGAAATGGCTGAACTCGCAATTGTTACCGATAATTATAAAGCATTTAAAGTCATCCTAATGAAAACAAAGGCATTGGCTCTAAAGTATACAAACCCATTGAATGGTTTAATTCGTCTCAAAGATCGAATCAAAGTGTCTTCACTTGAATTCATTGCCTTTGTCTACAAGTACTATGACAAGTTGACGAGTAAAAACATCCTTTTACTAAATATGTATGCTAGTGTACGAGGTGACATTAACATGCTACAGAAAATTCATACATTGTATCCAACCAAACGTTTGGAATCATTGAAATCATCTCGTTGTAGAATACTAGATATTGCATACCTATGTGGCAATCAAAAGTCACGAGACTTTGTATTAGATAATCGACCGTTTGAACGATTATCTAATAAATTATGGACAGGGTAGAATGAATAATGTTGAATTATTTAAATGATTTATAATTCAAAAAAGGAGGATGATGATAGTTTACTATTATATGTAGTAATAGTTGAAAACTACCATAATGAACAATTGCATCATTGATTTCTCCCTGTGGTAAACTAAACAATTGTATTTGGCAATACAAAATGCTTATGAGCCGATAATCAAACAAACATCACGTATCATCAAACATCGTCAAGTTGACGAACTTACAACGAACGACTAACGTTCAAGAATGTACGGTTGGGAAAAACAAGGCTTTATAGGGCCGCAGAATATGTAAAGGAAATTTTCTTTTCCCCAGACTTGAAAGAAGAAACAATCACAAAGAAATATCCAATAAAAAAATATCCGAGGATAAAATTTTAAAAATTTTAACCAATTCGTTTGACCTCTGCGGGATCACACAACATCATTAAACTCCTATGTTGTTGGGGTTGACAATAATGATGATGTTAAAAAAAAAGTTGATGTTCTAACCACAACCATTCTTTTGTTTCTAAATCAACACCTACCTTCTTTCTTAATTTGTTTTTTTTTTGTTAATCTTACTATTTTAAACATAGAGATAATTACAAACAGATAAAGATTATATACCAATATAATAATAATAATAATAATACTATTTTTTTTATCAAAAAAGTCCTCAAGAGTCGAGAGAGTAAACAAACAAACACGATTAGATTATTAAAATAACTAAGATTTAAATCTGCTGCTTTTTTATTGTCAACACTACCCCCACTACTACTCACCCCACCAAGCAAACATTCACTCGCACTCCATTTATACAACATCGAGTACCAAAACACCCCACTACCTCCACTTTATATATACCTTTTTCACCAAACATCAATTCGAGAGAGTGCTACTTTTTTAATAATTTTTATCAAAATTATTATTATTATTAATAATAAACACCAAATTCGAATCATATAGTTTTATATTTATTTTCATACCAACCACTCTACTCTCTCTTTTTTTCTCTCTCCTCTTTGTCATTCATTCTGTATCTCTATATATCATTATTAGTTTTTTTACTAGTATCAGTACTTTCTATATAAATAACAAATCAATCAATCCTTTCAAGTTGGAAAAATAAAAAATATGATATTCAAATTATTAGGAAACAGTCACAATATAGTGTCACTTACTGATTGGGATATAGAGTTGATGACCATATGTCTCTACTTTACAACCTTTCAGCTATCACATTATATTACACCTCTCTTTTATACCAATTTTAAAAAGTTTTCAAACAATGATAAAATAGAATGGAATTCTAGGTAAGCAAAGAAATAGAAAGAATACAACAATCAGTCTTTTCCATGATATTGACATTTGTCTTTTTTCTACTTTTTTATTTTTTTAGAATCGTATCAAATCTAAATGCAGTTTTATGTACTATAGGAGCCATCAAATGTTTGTTTTTTGATAATACTACATGGTCAGAGAATCCATTCCTTGGTGCTACACCCAACAGTTTATATTGTCTCCGTTTTATACTTGGTTATTTCATTTATGATACAGGTGTTATTCTAGTCCATCAAAGTTTATTGGATATTCCAACTCTTACACATCATTTAATGGCTTTATTATTATATTATTGGGGAAAGGTAAAAAACAAAAAACTAATAATAATATTGATAATAATAATGAATTAATATTAATATTTTTTTTTTCTTTTTTTTAGACAAGTTTATATTGTCATTTTGTATTGATTTCATTTATGTTTACTGAAATTACAACTCCATGTGTTAATATTAGATGGTTCTTGTTGAGAACTAAAAAAGGAGAAAGTAAAGCATATATAGTCAATGGAATGATGATGGCTTTTGGATTTTTGATTGCTCGAGTCGTTTATATTACTGCATCGGTTGGTGGTGCATTGTACAAACACTATAGTGTAGCTGTCAATCTACCCTCCTATATATTCTGGGGTACCTATGTTGGATACACCATTATCAATGTTTTAAATGTCTATTGGGCATTCCTCATTTGGAGAGGTTTGCTAAGAGCTGTACTTGGAAAGAAGTCTACCAGGTCATCAGCATCATCAGCGGTTGATGTGAAACAAGAATCTTCAGATCAACAAAAACAACAACAACAAAAGTACCAACAACAAATACAATCACAACAAATTAGTAATATTAATACAATAATTAATAATAGATCTTCTAGAAAACCACAAGAAGCTTAAAGCTATAGAAAAAGTAATAGAATATTGTGATAATATAGATATAGTAGAATAGATAATAATAATATAATAATAATAATATAAGTATAATATTAGAAACGTTAAACAATGATTATTTTAAAATAAATAATTTTGAACAAGAAAGAAAGAAAAGCAAACGACGATTAATGATCATTGATCGCCTCATACTTTATGATGGCTGTATCATATAAATGTGTGTATACCATCTGATGATCTTGTCTACGTTGAGAGAAAGAAGATCATCTGAATTTTCGTCGTTCCCTTTCGAGACTACCAAACACAGAATGACGCAATGAAAAAGAGGACCACTTGCGGCTTAGACCAAGTTTTTTTTTAGACGATGTCCTTTGTCAATGTTTTTTTTCGATTTCTTTGAGCTGTGAGATATTTTTAAACTCTGCTGTTGGCCTATCATGGCTTTATGTTCATTCTATCAGTGTCGACATCAATGGTTTAAACTTTATTTAAAACTAATTAGAGTTGTCTTTTTTCTATGCACATCCATCACCGTTATAAATGTGTTCACTCTTTCAACCTCATTTCAAAAGAAATCGAATATATAATATAATCATATAAAAATGGAAGGAAAAGTTATCGTTGTTACTGGTGCTGGAAGGTAAATAAATTCTAATATACATAGATCAAATTAGTACTATAGTAGTATCACAGTATTAATATTAACACTTTGTTTTTTTTTTGTATCTTTTTAATTTTATTTTAGTGGTATTGGAAGATCAGTTTGTTTAGAATTGGTTGGTCAAAAGGCAAAGGTTGTAGTTGCTGATATTAACTTTGAATCATGTCAAGAGACTATCAAGTTGATGACTGAATTGGATGCTGCCGTCGAAACTGTTGCCGTTGCTTGCGACATTTCCTCAGAGGAAGACGTCACCCGTTTGATGCAATCCACTGTTGACAAGTTTGGCCGTATCGACGGTGCCGTCAACAATGCTGGTATCTTGGGCAAGATGCAACGTGTTGGTGACTATGAATTGGCTGATTTCACCAAGATGTTGGACGTTAACGTCAAGGGTACTTTTATGTGCATCCGTTCTCAAGTCAGACAAATGGAAAAGCAAGGCCCAGGCAAATACAGCATTGTCAACGTTTCATCCATCGCCGGTATCCTTGGTTTCCCATACAACTCTGCCTACTCTTGTGTCAAACACGCTATCCTCGGTCTCACCAAGTCTACCGCCGCTGAATACGGTGCTGCCCTCGGCGTCAGATGCAATGCCATGTTGCCAGGTGCTGCCGATACTCCAATGTTGAGACAATACATCCCAACAGATGCTGCTGCCCAACAACTCAAGGCTCACACCCCACTCGGTCGTACTTGCGAACCATCTGAAATCGCCAAGCCAATCGTCTTCCTCCTCAGTGAACAATCATCCTTTGTCACTGGTCAAAATCTCATTGCTGATGGTGGTCTTTCAATCGTCTAAAAAAAAAACAAATATATCTCGAAGACCCAACAACAACAATAATAATAATTAATAGTAATAATAATAAGTATTTCTTTTATATTATTTGGTTTGTCTTTCATCTTTACCCTCTCGAATTCAAACCAAATTTAAATAAATTTAATAATAATAATTGTAGTAATTATCACATAAAGAAAAAAAGGGTGGTGATGTATTATAAGGGAATTAATAATACATTTATTTTGATGATATTAAATATCATCATCATGATTTTGTTTTAATGGAAATTGTTACCAATGATTCTAACATCTTGTTGTTGAACCTGACAAATGTTTAATGATTGACAAACTGATTCACCAGTGGCACCGTTTGATCTGATTGAATTCATCAACTTTTCAACTCCAATAAACGAACAAATACTATTACAATTTAATTGTTCTTGACTATCCAAATTGCTACATAAATCCTAAGTAGGTTTAAAAAAATAAAATTATCAATTTATGGTCAAGTACTAAGAAGAGTCTACTACTACATACATCACATGAAGATGGTGATAATACAGACTTGAATGTATTCAAGTTATTTCCAACAATAGATTTACATGTTGAACATCTTGGGACATGATCTTTATGTACCCTTAACCCTAAAATGGCTGTGCTAAATAAAAATACAGATAAAATAAATAAGATAATAATTTTCATTTTTGATATATAACTTTGTAATGATGTTGACAATGAATGAAACATTTTAAAAAAGTTGCATTGGGATTGTTGGAAGAGTAAAAAACAATTGATTGTCGGCCCGATAAAATATCTATTTGGGTATTGTTTTTTTTACCCGTTGCCATGGATAAAAATAACTAAATAATTAAAATTAATTATTTTATTTGTTGTAATTGATTTTAATTCTCATTACAGAAAAGTTTAGAGTTATTTCAAGACATATTGGAGAATAATGATTCTTGATGAAACCACCTAAAAGAGAGGATTTTTCTACCATTAAAATATTGTTTGGGCTGACCCTTGTTATAGAAAATCGATAATCACCTTTTGGATGACTGATTCTAAGTGATTGTATATTTGAATGATACAATATATCGTTTAATGGGATGGAATGTTTTTGGATAAAACCTTCGGATGGTAATCTTAGGTGTAGTATCGAAAGAGACGTTGGAATACGACCATCGACAAAGTAATCAATGAATTCAAAATCACTTTCATGATTGATACTTAGTCGAGTTAACAAAGAGTGTTCTGAATATTGGATCTTGTTAAATGTTGATGGATTTGAAGGATTTCCAATTGACAGTCGTCGTAACGTTGGTGGTAGAGAGACTGGGAGATTACAATGATTGGTGTCTCCACTAGAATGTTTAATCCCAAGATATTCAAGTTGATTTGGGAGTGGACCAATGGTCGATAGATCAGCTTTACAATCAATCATGATAAGATTCTTGATGCTATTTGGTATAGAATTTGGTTCGATCTTTGTATTGAGTGATGTAATATGTAAAGTTTCAATTCCTTCTAAAATACATCCCTTTTCAATTTTAAATGGTTGTAAACATGATCTGTAAAAGAGAGAGAGGGTAAATGATATTAATATTAATTAATTTTTAATGATAATTGGAACTTACAATTTTAATATTTTAAGAGATGAAGGATAAACTTTAGGTAAATAAGACGAATCTCCAACCAAAAGACAGAGTGATGTGATATTACCAAGATAGGTTGGACTGGATGGTAACTCGTTGGTACTATATAGTCCAAGTGTAGTGACACTTGGCGGTACGGATTTCAATGTGGCGGGCAATTTTGTGAGTGATAGAGTGTGTAGGTTGCGTGCATTGACGGGAAGAGTTGGCATGTCGGCTGTCAATTTGGCGGCATACAAAGACAATTCTAAAAGGTTGGAAAGATGTAACAAACAGTCAACACCAGTGTCATTGGCAAGAGTATGTAGTGTCAGAGATGTGAGACTATCGGGAAGATAGTTGGCCGGTATCAACTCTTTACATGAAAATGTAAACTGATTAAGTGTCTTTGGAAACGAGTCTTGTGCAAAGTCTTTAAACGAAACGAAAAAGTGTAACGATAGCGATGTAAGTGATGTAAAGGGTAAAGAAGGTTCATTGGTCAATTTAAATGCCGAATACCCATATATCGTTTTGTTGACGACCAGTCTCTCTAGTGACCTAGGAAGCAGACAAACCTTGTCTCCATCATCATCATCATCCTCTTCAAATAAATTATTTTGACAATACAATACTAATTGCTTGAGTGGCGATGGTTGTTGTGACTGTGACTTTTGTTCCTTTTCGTTTTGTTGTTTGAATACATTTCTAGAGAATTCTAATTGAGTTGAATGACCAGAGACCATAATACTTTCAAGTCCTTGTAAAGGTAGAGATTGAAAGGACTTTGAAGCAAATGAATCAGTAATATACAGATTCTTGGTCGACGCAGGTATAAAGTCAGATTGGTACAATACATCTGTGATTTGATTGTGGTCTCTAGAGATGTCGTCAGATGATGCAGGCACTGAGTGGTGGAGGAACATTTGATGATCAAGTGATCGATCAAAGATATGTTGAAATGACTTTAAATGGAGACGACCATTGTACCCTTCAGTGTCTGTTGTGAGTATCTGGTCTGTTGAAGGTACCAAGAATGGTGTCTTTCCACTGACTTGCGACGTTGCATTCTTGTCAATAAGTAGTAGATCAGAGCATCTAGCAATACTTGTATCTACGTGTGTCAAAAGTGTAAACAACTTTTTACATGTAAGAGATAGACATAGTAGATCAATTAAACTAGTTGATCTGTGACGATGATGTAATGACGATGATGGCGATGATGAAGATGATTTAACAACAAAACCAATAATATTTAATAATATTATTTTTGGTATGCGATCATTGATATAACATATATTGTTATCTTGTTCATCCATCTCTGAGATACAAGTATATAACAAACTAACTATTTATAAATATATAATTTAATAACATGTTTTAGATGTGATGATTGTAGTATGAAAGTAAATAAATAAATTTTACGAGTTCAAAAAATATCTTGGGATCGATATTCTGTGTTCCACTTCCATCCAATTCCTTTGGCTCCTTGATTATCCAGAGGGAAGGGAGATATTACAATAAAAGTAAACTAATACTAATTAATAGATTGATCGATAGATAAACTTATAATACTAATGAATTGGAGAGTCTAAGTTTGGTCAAATTAAATTAATTTTTTTTTTTTGAAGAAGTTCAGTGCAGACACCCATTCTTTTTCCTTCTTTCAATATTATAGAGATATATTGATTGATTGATTGATTGATTGATATCTAGATTAAAGAGAGAGAGAGATATGGCAGGATCAGGAGCAAAGAAGAGAAAACAACAAAACGAAGGAGAGATTAAAAAGTTGGTGATTGCATTGGCATCGATCAACGCTTTGTACTTTATATATAGAGTTTGGTATCATTCCGATTCCTTTACATTTGGTAATTGGGTACTATGGTTCATCGTCATGGCAATGGAAGGTGTTGCCCTTTATCTCATTAAATTGATGGCTCAACCTACCTACAATGAACAAGGTGAATTGATTGATGGTGGTTCTGATCTTTCAATGAAAGGTTTATGCGAGTATGAAATAGAAGATAGATAGGAGAAATATATATACAATCATTACTTACACTCTTTCTATTACTATCTAGATATTACTTTGATACAATTTATATTTGTTTGATTGTACAACTATTGGGATTGATTTCAGATAAATTCTTTTACTTTATTTTGGTGATACCTGCTGCCATTGCATACTTTGGTTGGTCTAAAATCGCTCCATTCATCTTCCCACCAAAGGAAGCTGATAAGGAGATGACGGCAACCGAACAAGCCGCTCTCAAAAAGAAACAAGAAAAGCAAGAAAGAAAACAAAACAAGGTTAAATTTGTTAGAAGATAAATGAACATAAGAATGAAAGAATGAAAGAAATATAAAACACGTATATTGTATTATTGTTAGCGAAATTTAGACATTATTATTATTATTATTATTATTTATTATACTTTTATTTAATTTTGTTGTTGTTGTTGATGTTGAAATTGTTTAAGATCATTACTAATATGTTTAAGTTTAGATTCTAAAATTTGGACTACATTATCAACGATCATTCTATCGTTGGCAGTTTTAGTCCATTCTTTGGTGAGGTTGGCAAGACGTGGGTTACGCTTGTTGATACCCTCTACTTCACGGATTGCATTGTTCAAGTCACCTTGCTTGAGGAATTCTTCGGCACGAGCCAATGTACTGTCGATATCGTCACCTTGGACCATACCCTTCTCAGGGACAATGAGTTTAGAGGCAATGGCCGATAGCGCACGGCCGAGGAATGACTCGTCGTCTGGCAACAATGATTCCTTTCTCAACTCGGCCGACATTTCTGCAAAGCTGTCGCGGATCATGTTGATGGATGCAACACCATACTGCGATACGCTGGCTGGCAGTGCCTTGACAACAGTGTCGATGAGGTTGTCCGTGTCGGCCATTGCCAACTCTTTCAACTGTTTGACTTGGTTGTGTAGAGGTGTGTAGGCGTCAAATTCCTTGACGGCACGTTTCAAATCGACCAATGACACGGTGAGTGCGCTGATGAGCTTCTTGTCGGCTTCAATGTCTTGAATACGTTTCTTTTGACCTTCGAAAATACCTGTTAAATTGTCACGTTGTTTCTTAACAGAGTCATTCAATTGGTCGTATGATTGATCCAATGTTTGCTTGAATGATTGTTCCATCTCTTCCAACTTGCCAATCGAATCCTTGGTAATCTCTCTCACCTTTTCATCAAATTGTTCATTATACAACTTTTGAATTGCATCTTCAAATTTCTCCATATATCCTTTTTCACTTGATTTAATTGATTCTATTTCTTCTTTTAATTTAACCTAAATAGAATAGTAATCGGTAAATATATATTATAATCATTAATCAAATTAATAATTTGATTAGAAGACATACATTTTCCAATAATAATTGTTTGATTTGAGTAATATATTGCTTTTCTAAAATAGCAAGTAAATGATCTAAATTATCTATTGGAACATCCTTTGTTGGTGAAGAGCTATCCTCTTGTTGTTGATCTTCAATGGAAGAAGATGGAGTGGTGGTAATGGTGGTTGTATTGGTTTGATCTTGTTCATTTGGTTGAATGGTGATATCTACTTGTTCATTTTCATCATCACCAATAATCTTATCTAGTGTATCATAGATTTTAGTTGTATCTGTATATTCATCAGATGGTGTAACTATAGTGGTTGTAATGACTTCAGTAATAATTGGTTCTTCATCATCACCATTTTCTTTCTTATCTTTTTTATCTTCTTGTTCCTTATCTTGTTCTTCTTCTTGTTGACTGACAATGACCAATGTTTCAATTTCATCCAATAAATCATCAATGATTGGTTCAACTCTTTTCTGGATGATAGCTTCGAGTGAAAGATCAGGGATCTCTTTCTTGTCCAATTGTTCGGTGGCGTCGTTGGCTTGTTCCTTGACAACGTCTTTAATTGTCTCTGCGACCACTACTGTCTTTGGCTCGATCAATTGATTCTCCAATGTTTGTACCAACTCTGAAATATTCTCAATCACATCTCCTTTTGAATGGTGGTGTTCAGGTGTAGTAGTAGTAGTAGAAACAGCTTGCTTATTACCATTTGAAAATGCAGCAGCGATATGATTGAACTTCTCAACCATCTCTTTGTTGACATTACCAATATGTGAAGAGAACAAGTACTCTTCATTGAAACAATACTTGTATCCAACGAAACCAACAGTAAAACCTAACCCTAATGCCAAAAGGTATCCTCTAGCAGTACGACCAAACTCTCCACTACCATTACTACCATTACTATTATTGTTATTATTATTATTATTATTATTATTATTATTATTATTATTGTGACTATTTTCAAACTTTGATAATGGTTGTGATGTGATTGATGGTTGATCCTTATTTAATTTGAAGTTAGAGTAGTATCTATAATTGCTATTGTTATTGCTATTGCTATTGCTATTATTGTGATCGTATTTATAGTGAATACTATTTGATGAAGATGATGATACTAAAACAACATGATTGTTTAGTCTTGATGATGAAATCACCTATATTATACAGTCAGGCAAAGGAAACTATTAGTTACCTCTTCTTCAAACTATTATAGTCAGCGTATGTATGTATGTGTAACCGAACCTACCTTTTTTGCTAATGATGGTGCTTTATTTGATAACATTCTTTACTTTGTTATTCTCTCTTTTTGTTGAAATAGAGATAATTATACTAGTTTGTAAATGCAAACAAACAATGACGCAAAAAAAAAATTTATTTATCTTATCTTTTATTTTTTTTTTATTTTATTTTTTGAACTTCATTCAAATATTACCATATTCATGAATAACCACTGACAATTCCCCTATTTAACACAATGTATAAAGTTAATGTATTCACCATCAAAAGAATAGTCAATGGTCTTGTATCTAAACACGAAAATTGAAACTCGAATAGCAGAAAGTTTAATTGTACATCTCAACTAATCTCAAGATCAAAGCTTCAATCGTTGCTCAGTACAAAGAATCAAGATTTATTATTAGAGTTGGTATATGTATACTATCACAACAACTTTCATAGTAAATACTTAAAGTATGTATTACATCCGATCATCATCATCATCATCAATGTACTTGTACAAATTAATTAGATTTATAGAAATTTATCATACCTTGTGAACAACTTTTCCTTTTATTCATTGGGATCTATCTATTTCTCACTGATTATACGTGCCATCTTGGTTGTGTGATACAGAAAATCTTGTATGTTAGAGAAATGTACATTTCTCCTCCCAATTAGACATATCTGAATATGGTTGATTCAATTGTCATCGCTCGAGTTGACCCAAATCCCTGTTGATATGTTAGAAAACTTTGGGGGACAGTATTCCCTCTTTCCATTATTGGTCTGAAGAAATTTGTAATGACTGATTGTTTGTCTAGTGTATCAGCAATATTCTCCCTTTAATGTATACCGCGCGGTCTATAGAGTATTGAAGGTACACTGGACAAACAATCAGTCATTCGTGCTCAATTGCACATGTGTGTCTGTCCCACCAACACCGTATAGTATACTAAACGTGACAAGCGAACCAACAACAAGCTAGCTTTGCACCAACTACACACAAATAATATTATTAATTAATTTAATTTATTTATTTAACCAAAGATTTATTAATACAAGAGGAACATGAATAACAGCCAACATAATGACAGTGTATAATCTGGCATAGTCTAGTACTGCAACACGAGATGATTCTTCGAGTTCATCGATGATACCAGTATTGAATTGTGAACGACCAGTATTAAAGTATCGTAGCAATGCACCTATATCGAATCCCCAACCAATATAGCAACTAAATAGTAGACCAAGATCTAAAAAGATCATGCCATACTTGACCGATGGGGTTTGTATAGATAGAATTGCTTCGGTTACTGGTTTGGCCAATACCCATCCTGCTACGTTTGATCCACCCAATAATGTTGCCAATATATTTCTTCTCTTTGATGAAGAAGATCCAATTGGTCTCGGGGGTGGCGATAATGTAATCACTGATACATCCCAAAATATTGTACTTATTGATGATCCCAATAAACCATATAATATTCCTTTTAACAACATTATTTATCAATAGAAGTAATATTTATATATAAATACAGTATATCTATCTATTTAAATAGCTTCTATACAAAGGTTGTTTATGATATTTCCTCACAAATAGATGCTCACCTTTTTTTCTTGTTTTTTCATCGTAGTCGAGTCACTGGTGATATTGTGATCTTAATTCTTTTCAAAGTTTACAACAAACAATTTGGGTTGGGTTGGGATTATGACAAAAAGCAACAAAGTATCTAAAGGGGTTGTTGTCGTTTCCTAAGAGAATTGCACTCCTATACCTGCAATGACATACTCTTATTGCTTAGAGCATTACGAATATACAGTACATTACTAATTATGTTAAGGAAACTTACTATACCACTTCTTTAAATATCTTCAATGCATTTCCTAAGAGATTTGCACTCCTATACCGGAAGATTTGATCTTCGGGACATTACTAATTATGTTAAGGAAACTTTTGTTCATTATCAAAAACTAGATCAGATCAAGATATTTGGTCGTTGTGGTTCAAGTAGTATTTTTCTTATGGGATTTATCATTATTCCCTAATTTGAGATATATATATAAAATGTGTTTCCTAAGAGATTTGCACTCCTATACCGATCGGGAGTGTTGAGGTTCACGATCCACAGGAAAACTGCAACTAGTTGCGATTACCTAGATCTGTGTAACCAATCTGATTCCCCAGGGACATTACTAATTATGTTAAGGAAACTTTGTTTCTTTTTTTTTTGGAAGATGTTTAAAGATACCTATGACTTGGTCCATCAAGATTTGCTCAAAATTTCTTTGTTATGGGATATTTGGGTTTGTTTGTTTGATTATTTGATTGTTTGTTTGTTTGTATGATTGATATTAAACATATAATATATTTATATGTTTTATTTATTGAGGTTGAATGGAATATTTATATATATTTATAATTATAAAAGAAAAAGAATAATAGTAAGATGGATTTTGGTTTGAGGGGGAGGGGAAAATTAATTAATTAAAAAAAAAAGAAGTATTGGATAAATGTTTGATTATTGTTTAGCATTGCTTTGACTTTTCATTCTTGGTAATAAGGATCTTCTTTCTTGATCGGAAGATCTAGAGTGGAAGAGTTCTTTGGTTCGTTTAAGACGAGGTTGATTTCTAATAACTGATATGACATTGAGTTGTGTAAGAATGTTTTGGGCGGCCTTCCATTTGCTCTCTGGACGCAAAAGTGGAGTACTCTCTATATCAATGTCGATGGGGACGTCGTTTTGATGGATGGGTTTGACCGATTGTTGCACAGGTACAGAATCCTTGACGGGTAGACACCGCAAACAAAAGCCCCACACCAAGCCTCCCGTACCAATAATCACGCAAAACAACCATTGATAGATATCCAATGGACGTGTACCAAAGAATTCTCCACCAACTTCAACCAATAATATTTGAATACCAATCGTTCCAATGAAAATACCAACAAATAAATAACTTTTGTGAATATTTCTAAATACATTAAAGTCTAAAATAAAAATAAATAAAAAAAAGTAAGATTAGTAAAAGAGTTCTATATATATTATATATAAATATTTTGATAATAATTTTTTTTTTTACCATTATTTAAAACACGACAATTAATTTCATTAAAGAATTGACAAAATACAAAGGTATTAAAGATGATGGTGTGATAGACCATTTTGTCATTGGGAGACCATTGACCTTGAGGTGGTAGATCAAAGAGGGTGGTGAGAGTGGCAGCACCATACATAATGGCAAAGAGGAATGACAATTGATAGATGGACTGTCCAATGATATTTCTCCACATGCGTCGAGTGATGAGCTTGTCAAATCGACCATATGGTAAACGATCAAACAGTGATTCTGTAGGTGGTTCAGTTGCCAATGCCAACGCTCCCAATGTATCCATAATCAGATTAACCCACAACATTTGAATTGGTCTAAGCGGACTCTCTCCACTGGTACATGCACCTGCAAATGCAATCACTACTGCTACTATATTTACAGTTAATTGGAATTGAATAAATTTACGAATTGAATCATATACCTAAAAAAAAATAAAAATAAAAAGAAATATAAATATATAATTATAATTTTGTTTGTTTCTTTTCTTTTCTTTTCTTTTTTTTTTTTGATTCTTTACATTTCTACCCCATAAAACAGCTTTTGAAATTGAATTAAAGTTATCATCTAATAAGACAATGTCACTAGCTTCTTTGGCAACTTCAGTACCTGCGATACCCATAGCAAATCCAACATCGGCTTCTTTGAGTTGAGGAGCATCGTTTACACCGTCACCAGTGACTGCAACCACTTCACCTAGTTGACGGAGTTTGTGGACGAGACGATACTTGTCAGTGGGAGAGCACCGAGCCATGACTTGGAGGTGTGGTACGACAATGTCGAGTTGTTCGTCGGTCAATTGTCTAAATTGTGGACCTTCTAGTGCGACACCACCTTCCTTGAGGATACCACACTCGCGAGCAATGTTTTTGGCCGTGAGGAGATTGTCACCGGTAAGCATCTTGATTTTAATGCCTGCATGTTGGCACTTGAGGACGGCGGCGGGCACCTCGGGACGAACGGGGTCTTTGATGCCTACGAGTGCGAGAAAGGTGAAGCCGTCCTTGTAGAGGTCTTCCTCTTTGAACTTGGCAGCGTCTCCCTTGACATCTTTGTAGGCGAGAATGAGTGTACGCAGTCCGTTGCTAGCATACACTTCAATCTCCTTGGCAATTATCATCTTTTCGTCGCGGGTAAAGTTACGTGACGACCCATCCTCATCAATCGACGCTGTACACTTTTCCAACATAATTTCACTTGCTCCTTTGGCATGGAAACGCAATCCTCCTCCTCCACTATTATTACCGCTTCCATCCTTTTTAACGAGGATACCTGACATTTTCTTTTCTGAACTGAATGGGAATGCACGGACTGCACGTGCTTTGTTGAGGTCACGGTATGTTTCATAGTCGACGTTGAGTTTGATGATAAACTCGAGTAGTGCGCATTCGGTCTTGCTGCCCTTGTGCTCGTTGACTGGTGCACGTACGACAATGTATGCTGTCGAGTTGAGACAGATCGACTCGGCTAAAAGAGAGACAATATGCTCGCTTGGACTTGCAATGTAACGACCGATGGTCGATCGCTCCACCGACATACGGTTCATTGTCAGTGTGCCAGTCTTGTCCGAGCAGATTGTTGTCGCTCCACCCATCGTCTCGCAAGCTTCCAAGTGACGCACCAGGTTGTTGTCTCGCATCATCTTGATCATCGAGTAGGCCAACGAGATGGTGACTGCCAACGGCAATCCCTCGGGCACAGCAAGCACAATAATTGCAATCGCCGTCACCAAGTAGCCCATGATCGTTCCCAACTCGCTCCAAGCCCACACGCGGTGCTCCGTCTTGAACACAACAATGTACTTTATGATCAGTACCAAAAACGTCAGTATCGCTGCAGCCAGACCAAACTTGCCAATCAGCTGTGCAAGATTCTCTAGTTTCTCGGTCAGTGGTGTGTCGCTGCTTGGCGCCGACAGCAAACTCTTGAGTTTTCCCCACTGCGAATGGTCTCCAACTGCAGCCACCAGATACGTGCATCTTCCCTCCAACACTTGACATCCAGACAACATAAATGGTTCCTCCTTTTCAGATTTTGATTTTTGATCAGATTCTCCAGTCATTGAACTTTCATCAACTGCAAAGTCTAAAAATAAATAAATAAATAAATAAATATATTAATATTCAAATTTACAAAGATTACATTTATGTTTGTTATTGATTATACATACTAGCACCATTAATAAAGAAACCATCAGCTGGGATAGTATCACCAGCTTCCAATTGAACGACATCACCGACTACGATATCAGTGGTTGGAACAGAGGTGATACGACCGTCACGCATGACTGATGCATTTCGTTCGTTTCTGATAGAGTTTAGTTTTCTAAACTTTTGTTCCTTGTTGTAGTCATTACCAGCGGTGACCATGACGACAATGACTACGGCAAAGAGGATAGCTGTGCCATCGATCCAACCAGTTGATCGATCTTCAACAGTCAAACCGAGTACGATAGAGATGATGGCAGCAACCATCAGAATGATCAATGTCTTGTCGTGAGCAGCCTCCCAGATAAAAAAGAGCAGTGACTTGGGTGCCACCTCTGCAGTTCTATTCTCACCATACGAATCGATTCTAGCTTTACTAGTAGCCTCTGCACTCGTCAATCCTTGATCTACATTACTCTTTAACATCTCTGCAACACCTCTTACACCTCCATATTGGTGTTCCAATCCATCAACATTTTCGTTTGATATCAAATTTGCTAAATCATCTCTTGTAACTCTATTATTACTACTACTACTACCTCTATGAACTAATCCATTATTATTATTATTATTATTAATATTATTATTAATACTATTTGATTGATAGTATTCTTGTTGTTGTTGTTGTTGAGGTGACAATGAATTATTATTATCGTTGATTAAATTCTTTTTTCCATCATCGTCGTCATCTGATTTATTTTTTTTGTGAAAGAAGTTCATAATTTAATTAAATTAAAATTTTAATTAATTATTTCTCTCTATCACTTTATATATATATCTATATCTCCAAACTATATACTCTCTTCTATTACTATTTATATTATTATGATTGATTGATTAATCTGTTCTGACTATCAAAGAGATAATAATTATTTGATTTATTGAATTATCTACTCTCTCACTCACTCATTCATTGTGAAGTAAAACTCTGATTACAAATTTATTGGTCTAAAATAAAAACATACCTCAGGTATGCTCATCCAATGATATATATCCATTTAAATTTAAATTAAATTAAATTTTATTATTTTTATGTATAAACCAATCTACTTTTGGTGAACTATTTATGTACAGACAGCACTTCCCAAAAAGAAGGTGTGGTCTCCAAAAAGGCATATCATGCTATTTACACACACCCCAACCATCAATCGATTTTTGTGTGAACAGCTCGTTCATTCATTATTGTGTGTTTGCATATATTGTACAGATAATTATATTTATTTATTTATTTATTTAATTTAATTGTTTAATTTAATTGTTGTTTAATTTTTTCATTAAAATCTTTTTCTTTATGGATGATACACGGAATCTGAATGAATTACTGTTACGTAGGTAGAGAGCAGATGCTACGACGAGTGCGATAAAAACGACTCCACCAATTGTTGCACCGACGATGATCTTCCATGTGTTGGATGATGACGACGGTGACGAGCAGTCGACTTGTTGGTTGCCAGCGGGTCGATCAGCAATCAATGCAAAAAAGTCGGGGTCTAATAGACACTGCTGACATTGATTGAGATTGATACCAATCAATGCCAATGATTCATTGGATCGATTGGGTATAGTTGTCTGATTGACCAATTGATTTCTCGAATACGATCGTTTACCATCTGAAAAAGAGTAGGATAGGAATCGACCATAAAATTGTGTGTCATTGTGAATGACTCGAAGATAGCTGTCACTACCAACAACCTCTTGAAAGGTTGGAACACTATCTGACGAGCATGACTCGATAGTAGTTTGTTGGGTGTTGACAATGGTAGAGAATACAACACGGAGATGTGACAAGACCGAGGTGTACTGCCACCCGGTAATGTTTAATCCCACCTTTATACTATTTGGTCCGATAGATACGATTGAATCACCAAATGGAACCTGTCTGTCTTGCAGAGAGTGTTCAATAAGAGTGGTGACATTGACCAATGCCAAAGTAGGGTTCAAAGTACTATTAATCAATAATTTGTAGTGCACCGATGTCAACCCAGCACCATCAGACAGATCAGTGACATTCCATTGATCAACCAACACCTCTTGTACAACGTTATCGTCAATATCCAATTCCTGAACAGACACTAATGCAAAATCAAATCTATATCCATCCAAATCAAATGATGCCACTGGTTTGGTTATATTTGGTACAAATGTTACATTTGGATTCACTAATGAAAAGAAAGATTAATATTAATATACAAGTATTATTAATAATTACTTTTTTTTGTTTTATCATACATTTAAATTTACAATCATCATAATAACCTTGATTACAAACACATATGCCAAATGTAGTACATTGACCATTACCATTACAATTATTGGTTGTTGCTTGGCATTGGTCTTGTAGAGATTGGGATGGTGGTGGTAGGATAACAATCAAGTTGTTGAGGGTGGCTGTATAATTGTCTACCGATAGATTAATGGTGATTAGACCGGGTGGTAGAGTTGATTGGACGGTGCAATCAATAGTTGAAGAATTTCTAAATGTTGGTGTACATATTATACTATTACTATTATTCAACTTGACTGTTACCCATTCAATCTTGTTGCCAGCGGCTCCAAAGAATCCATTCAATCGGATGAGTGGAAGATCTGATTGTAGTGATTGATGGACGGATCCAGAGGTGACCAATGGATAGGTGATTTTACCAAAATCACCAACTGGAGCACTCATTCCAACTTGATTATAACTATTTCTTGCCAAGATATAATAATTACCATACACTAAATCCGATGGTGAATCACAACGTAGTGTACTCAGAGCGTCAATGTAGGCAGTACATGTATAGGTAATATTGAAATGATCAAGATTGATAAAGTATACATTGGTTACCAAGTTTGGGTTGGTTATTACACTGTCAAATGCCACTGAAAATGAATATGAAATTTCCGAATAGGTTGTACTATATACAAGGTCAGCCTTGTAAAGTGTCAATTCAATAGTATATCCCATTACTTGATTCAATGTTACATTTAAATTCAATGGATTAAATGTTGTTAATAATGGATAATTTAATCTAAAACAAAAAAGAAATGATTAGTATAGTAATAATGAATGAAAGGTAGAGAGTGACATCAAAATTTGAGACATACGCTATAATTTTGTTTCCAACCACTGGAATAAGATCTATATTATTACCAAAACCTAGGTTATCACCTACTATTTTTCCAATTCCTTCAACAATCCCTACATTCTTTTCAAATGTGATATCTTAAGGAAAAAAAAAAAAAAAAAACCAATTAAATTAATTTAAAAAAAAGAAATTGTAAACTACGACTAATAATAACATACTACAATAAAAACTTCCAAGTTTTTGTAAACTAGTTGATATAATATTAGGGTCTTGATAATAACACCAATAACAATCTAAATAATAGATAATATGAATAATTATTATATTAGTAAAGTGTAAAAATCCTAGGGTCTATTCAATAGACTGATCATGTTACTTACCTGGTATCTTTGATATTAATGTATTTGAAATACGTAATCTATTGGCACATATGAAATCAGGTACTGTTCCAGTTAAAAGAGAATTATCTTCTAAATTAATAACCGAATTTTTTAAATTTGAAAAAATAGTCCATGGTACTGTTTTTAAAGAGTTTTGTTGGTCTCTTAAATTACTATATATGTAATGTATTAATTAATATATTTGATAAATAAATAACGATCGGTTTTTTTAAAACACTTACTATGAATAAACGGTTGGTGGTAAAACTATATTGGGTATAGTTTCAAAATTGGATCCAGGTAAAAGTCTAGATAAAAATAATAAAATAAATAAATAAGTAAATTGACTATTGTTGGTTTGCTTGCTTTTGGCTTACAAATAAGATAAATTTTCTGGGAATATACCATTCAAGAATGGATAGTTTGTCAGTGTTGAGTTGTATGAACGGAATGAGATCAATTTACTATAGCTATGAGTTGGAATAATAGATCTTCCAAAAATTTCCCTTTTAAGAGTTATAAAATATTAATATTTCTTAAGATATTTAGACAATGAGAATCGTAAATTAGGTTATCTTACAAATATGTAATTTTAGAGGCATTGACAATGGTCGGATTAAAAGATGGTGATTCGGAACCTAATGCCAACAATTTCAAAGTTACAAGTGTTGGAATATTAATTGTAACATTTACTGTAATTCTTCCATTTGATGATATTGTCCTATTTATAAAAAAATCAAATAAGTATTAATATTTAGTCTAAAAAATGTACTGTCATTACGTAATCATAATACATACAAATCAGCTAATACCGGAAATGATTTAGGTGTAAATACAAGAGAATTGGAAGAAGTAAAAGGAGTAGTGGGATTGATCGACACCCTAATAGCTGCTACACTTGGGTAATAGCTGGATTGGTCAATCGTGACACCACCAAGTATATTCTCACCAGAGACAAAGATTTGATATGCACTCGAGCCATTAAAGAAATTCCCTAACGATTCCAAAGCATCACAATCTTCCAAATAAATAGTTCGTACAACTGGCATATTAAGTGAGAATCCATTTGGAATAGATTCCACCGAATCATCATCAGTTATACTAAAAAATAATAATAATAATAGTGTTAACATATTGTAGCAATGCATGATAATTTAAATTAAATCGCATTTGACATACGTGAATTGAATTAAACTGTTCATTATTGGACTATTCAAAAACATTGATAGAATGTTGAGATTGGGATCTGAAATACCATTCGTTCCATTAATAAACAATGAATTTAAATTGGGGAGTGCTAATGATCCGATGGCTGCATCGGGAGCGCCCTGATTTATAAATTCATCAGTTACGGCATTACTAGTCATAATAATATTGTGTAAGTGAAAGAGAGACAGTATTAAATAAAAGTAATTCCTAGTAGGTAGGTAATGTGTTGTGTATAACTTCTTACATTCTGATTACATGGTATCCATCAAGACCTTGGTGACAAGTGAACCTTTCAGAGTCTGCACAGATGGCCGCTTCATTTTGTTGAGTCGGTAATCCATACTGTCTAATCAACCAATAACAAGCATCCACTATTCATCATTAAATATAGATATAGATTTAAGTTAGAAGAGAACGTTGTTGTGTGTTATGTTTATGTTATCACTTACATTCATCAGGGGGAAGATTTTGTGCATAAGCTCTATTTTTCGACTCGAATAGAATTAATGCACTAAAATAAATAAAAATAAATACTTTAAAAGAAAACATCTTATCTGTATCTATTAATTTATACAATATGAGGAATGATGGTGATGAATAAGTTGATGGTCTAAAGACGTTTAAAATTTGGTACAAGGACAAGAGATACTAATATTGATACCTGGTACCTCCTTGTTCAAACAGAGATCTTTTCGATTTTTTGGAAACCTATTAATATCTTTGTTTATCTATTATTTTATTCTTATACTAGGTTATATCTTGTCAAGTTTAATGATATTTTTGGATCGACGACGAAGTTGTGAGATCATTGTACATTCGAATGTACATATTCTTTTTGATGACTGTGATGAAAAGTACTACTAAAATGGCAGCACCAACAACAGCAACTATTACAGCAATCTTCCATGTTTCAAATGAATTCTCTTTTGTTTTAGTTTCTCCACAATCTGATGTATCTTGATCATAATCAATTAATACCGAAAAATCTATTAATGTAAAATAAATGATTAATAAATAAATAATTAATTAAATAATTAATCAATAAATTAATAAACATACCAGGATCAACATCGACAAGATTATTAAAATGAGGGATAGCAGTACGAATAAGTATAGTTGTTTTGTTGGTGTCAGAGTAAGAGACAATGTTGTTGGTCACTGTTTTTTTACCATCAACTAAAATCTGATCAGAGAAACGACCATAGAGTGATAGTTGATTGGCTCCTACTTTGATGTAATGTGCATCTGATTGTTCACCTCCAACATCAATGTTGTCATAGGTGGAGCAGATTGGTACTCCTGGTATTGCTTCTGAACTCCAAACTAATTGAATTGTGCTGAGTGATGATAGGAACTGGTATGACTTGATCGATGCAAAGTATTTGACTGATCGAGGTGGAATCTTGATTGTACTATTCAACCAAACAATCTCACTTGCTTCGGCAAATGTATAAACACTGACTGTTACATTACCAGTATCGTTGATGAGAGGCAGAAGATAATTGGAAAAAGTTTCATTCTTTTGTTGAAGTTGCCAATTACCAAGACTGTGAACTCGTAACAATTCACCTGTGAAATCAAACTCTTCAATAGCAATGAGTTTAATTGTAAATGTTGTCTCTTTTGATTTATCATTGACAAGTTTGGTTGGATCGGTTGGAGTAGTACCAGTGTTGTTGTTGTTTTGAAAACCTGTAAAAGTACTGGTTGGATCACCTGGTGATACTGTTACATTGTATGTACTGTGTGTGTCAACCAGAGTTGAACAATCAGATCCTGTATAATTACTATTGCAACTACAAATAGAATCAATACATTGACCATGACTTGTACAATTGTTTGGACATTGGTAGACAAGGTATTTTGAACAATCATCCAATCCCCATCCCAATTGACAACGGCATAAATTTCCAGCCAAACAATCTCCATGGCTACTACAATTATTTGGACATACTGGTGACACATTTCCACCACCTCCACTACGAATGATAAAACTATACACACTACCAAATGTAACATTGAATGGTAATGGTGGCAAGGCAACATTTGATTGAATAATAAATTGAGTATCTGATTTTGTAAACAAAAGTGAAGCTGGTTGACCATTAATCTTTATATTATCTCTTTCATATCCAAATCCAGAACCTTCCATCTTTATCTGTTTTGTTACTGGATCCAATGAATATTTCCAAATATTTGGTCTCTTTGCATTATCTAAAAATTAAATTAAAATTAATTAATTAATAATAATTGATAAATGATTTTGATTTAACTTGCTGTACTTACAAGACAAAGAAAATAAATTTAAAGGTTGAGGATTGGTGGGAGTATCAGTTCCAAATACACCACCCAAAGCATCAACAATTCTCCAAACACCTAAATTATAACCACGCAAACCCCAATTAAGAGGAATGTTGAGTGTGGCCTCATATATTAGATCAGGAGCTGTACTTTTGATTCTAGATACAAATGAAATTTGATCATTTGATTCGTATTCTGTGAGATAGACAATTGGTGGATTTTCAAAGGTATTTAATACAACTGAAGCATTCTCATGTTGAACCGTAAAAGTATAAAGTACACTTCTAAACTCACTTGATACATCCAATGAACTTTGATTAAATGTTCCACTTACAACTACTCTTTGAGTATAATCATATTCTAAATCACACTTATTAGTATAACCTAAAAAAAATAAAATTAAATTAATAAAATTATTATTTTCTTTTTTTTTCTTTTTTTTCTTTGTACTTACCAACCATTTTATAAAGTGAAAACATTGGGTATGATTCACAATAATTTGTATTATCACATGCTTGTTCAACATACATAATGTAGTGTTGACCACATAGACCAAAAGTGACTGGGAATTGAACTTCTGGGCCAACGGTTGCATTACCTTGGTACCATACTGATCTAGTTGGGTATGGTGATGATGGATAGAGAAGTGCAACTGTCATATTCTTCATATTACTCCAACTGTTGGTTGATATACTGACCTTAAATATATTTGTACCACCATCAGCAGTAAGAATCCATGGAACAAATCCACTAGGTTTAATGTTGATTGATAACTCACTAGATGCTACCTTGGAGGGACCAGATGAATAGGATGGAGTGGTGTAGTAGAGAAGATCGGATGTTGATAGTGTTGGTTGGACCGTTCCATTGACATTGAGGAAAAGTCCAAAATAAAAGGTAGAGGATGAAGATACTGGAGCGAATTGGTATAATTTGGTGTACGTGAAGAGACTATAGGTTGAATATCCCAATGTCAGTGGGACAGATGCAATCAGATTGGTGTTTTCCTTGTCAGAGTAGATTAAAAGAGTTACCAAAGTGATTGTAGTGTATGTAAAATCTGGATTGAGTAGAGTGACTGTAAGCAATACATTGTTGTTTGCTTGTTGTGTTTTATAGTCTACGTGTAGAGGTCTGACACGATGATGGTTTGGACAAGTTGAAGGTACGTCAAATATAATGTTACCACCTGGTGAGGTGGCATTAACACTAATCAAGTTGGAACGGATGTCTTGGAGACTGACATGTGGTGGTACACATTCTACACGTTTGTATGTGAATGGGAAGTAGTATTCTCCATCCTTGGCATCACCCCTGATACGATTGGCCGATGTAAACTTGAATGTCTGACCTGACATGACGACTGTACTGGGGGACGCCTCACCAATACCCGACTGATCCTTGACAGTGACTAAAAAGTATGATACTTCACCACCACTGTTGACATCTTCACAGACTGCCTTGAATTTGAATATTGGGTTGATCACATCAGTTGAAATGTTGTGAGGACGGTTATCTTGTAGTTGATCGAAATAACTGTAGGTATCGGCAATAGTAATTTTGAACTCGGATGCAGCGTAATCGTGAATGTATCGGTACGATAAATCGATGTATCCCTGATAGGTAGCACCCAAATATTGGAATGGATACCTCGATGGAGACTGCGCTACACCAAACGTTTTTTCATTGCCACCCAATACAGTCCTTATATTCATATTCATCTTGGTGTTTGGTATAATTCCAACCATCGATACACCCGATTGATACTTGATCAATGTTCGATAAGATGTTGGTGTAGTTGGCATTAATGAAATGACTGTATAAGATGGTACTCCTGATTTCCCTAAAAGAAAAAGAAAAAAGAAAAATAAAATTAATAATTATTTTTAATAGCAACTGTTGTTTTTTTAATCATTTGATTTACACATACATGTCATTGTAAAACTTCGAGGATTTTGATGAGATTCTCCATCACGTGTAACAAATATTATATTGATATTAACTTTTGAACCCAATACAAGGTCCAAAGGGAAAGAGACACGTTTGATATAGTTTCTTCCACAATGGATGGCCATCTCCTTGTCTTTGTAAATCAAAATAGTTTGATCGACAAAGTAAGAAGCATAAGAGTACATCGAACAATCAAAATTTTGGACTTCAGCCGAGATTGTGTATCCATAGCTCGGACCAATTGACCCAAAGTTTGTATTCCATTGTGGAAAGATATTATATTCATTTAAATCTGTAGTTTGCATGAAAATCCAATTGCCAGTGATTGCTAATAAATAGATTGTGAGAAAGAGAGAGAGAAGATATTTTTGTTAATAAATGACACACACTCTCTCTCTATTTATATATACTTACTACCATTACTATCTAAATTGGGTGTTGCAGAAAGAGTAAAGGTCATAAAATCAAATTTGAGAGCAGGGTCAACCTTTTGTTTCTCAAATTTAATAAAATAGATTTCCTCTCCTACGATTCTCTTTGGGTATGGTACAAATACCTGAGACGAAGCATATGTATAGGATAAACCTACACTTCCAAAATCATACTGTGAATACAACTAACCAATATACACTGGTACATTTAAAACTCTTTGTTCGTACAACATGTTTAATGGACTAGTAGCTAATAAAAGAAAGAGTAAAATGATAAGTAAAAGTTGTGTGACTGAGATTGGATAGATAGATTCGATTTCCACATTGGACTGATAGAGACAAGAACTTACTAATTTGAAAACAATTTAAAACATTGCTATAGTATATTGGGGTATCGTATAGACCTGACATGATATAAGGGGAAATAGAGCCACCAGCAAGTGCATAGGCAATTCCTAAGAGGATATCAGTTTGGTTATAGTCTACGACATAGTTGTAGTTGTCTAGACGAGCATCACCGAGTACTAGTCTGTGATAAGGGTTTGCAAACGAACGAGCATAGTTGATGAGCAGACTATTTCGACCCTCTGGTGCAGCCGATGTCATGAAACCATACGTCGAGGATGATACGGTTGACAGAGCAGAGGGACTGAGCATGACATCGTTTTGTCTCCCGACCGGGTAGAATTGGTAGAGAGGGTTAAAGACAATGTCATAGTTGGTGGCTTGTACGATAAAGGTGTACGGTTGTTCAGTACCAGTAAAGAAATCATTTGACGGCACTACGAATGAATGAGTGAATCCATCAGCTGAAGCCTGTGTAGTATATGATCTCTGTACGGATGATGGTGTAATCGATACCGTCATAGGTATCGTTACTGACGTATCCAACGTTAAATTAAAAGTAAGTAATTCATAGTAGAATGGTGATATAATATAATCATCTGGTTGATTAACAAAAACAACTTTTGTGACTACAAATATATGTTGAAAAAAGAAAATGAATAAAGAAAAAAGAAAAAATAAAAATATATAGGGTTAGGGTTAGGGTTAGACTATGAGTGAGTATAAATCAATTACTTTGAAGGTTGATGACAGCTGTTACTATGTATTGACACCATATAATCCCAAACAAGAAAAGATATAAGATTGGGGATTTACTCAATCTCATCTTGCTAGTATTGAATTGTATCTATTATATATTCTCTCTCTGTTGGTTTAGTTAAATAAAAAATAAAATTATAACTATAAAGAGAAAGGAGAGGGTTTTGAGCAATGGTTGAAATCCCGTGAGGGTTGTCACTCACAGTTGATTGGCCAATGGTGCATGATCTCAAACCGTTGGTTTTTGTTCAAAAATATCTAAAAAATAATTGAGTGGGGATCTTCAATTAGAATTACCGAGTTGTGTCGGGGAGCGTATCGTTACTTAATTGGTGATAGTAGGGTATTATTTGTAGAGTCGACCGAGAGAATCCAACAACCGACTAAGTTGATCAAACCATTTATTTGTTTTGTTGTTGTTATAACTTGCTAAGTTTGATATTTTTAGATCGACGAAGTTGTGAGATCTTTGTTCTAATATACATATTCTTTTTGATGATTGTGATGGCAGCGACTACTAAAATGGCAGCACCAACAACAGCAACTATTACAGCAATCTTCCATGTTTCAAATTTCTCTTTTGTTTTAGTTTCTCCACAATCTGATGTATCTTGATCATAATCAATTAAAACTGAAAAATCTATTTTTAAAAAGATATAAATAAATAATTAATAAATATAAATAATTAATTAATTATTCAACATACCAGGATCAACATCGACAAGATTATTAAAATGAGGGATAGCAGTACGAATAAATATAGTTGTTTTGTTGGTATCAGAGTAAGAGACAATGTTGTTGGTCACTGTTTTTTTACCATCAACTAAAATCTGATCAGAGAAACGACCATAGAGTGATAGTTGATTGGCTCCTACTTTGATGTAATGTGCATCTGATTGTTCACCACCAACATCAATGTTATCATAGGTGGAGCAGATTGGTACTCCTGGTATTGCTTCTGAACTCCAAACTAAATTGAATTGTGCTGAGTGATGATAGGAACTGGTATGACTTGATCGATGCAAAGTATTTGACTGATCGAGGTGGAATCTTGATTGTACTATTCAACCATACAATTTCACTTGCCTCTGCAAATGTATAAACACTGACTGTTACATTACCAGTGTTGTTGGCAAGTGGCAATAAATAGTAAGCATAGGTTTCATTCCTTTCTTGAAGTTGCCAATTACCAAGACTGTGAACTCGTAACAATTCACCTGTGAAATCAAACTCTTCAATAGCAATGAGTTTAATTGTAAATGTTGTCTCTTTTGATTTATCATTGACAAGTTTGGTTGGATCGGTTGGAGTAGTACCAGTGTTGTTGTTGTTTTGAAAACCTGTAAAAGTACTGGTTGGATCACCTGGTGATACTGTTACATTGTATGTACTGTGTGTGTCAACAAGAGTTGAACAATCAGATCCTGTATAATTACTACTGCAACTACAAATAGAATCAATACATTGACCATGACTTGTACAATTGTTTGGACATTGGTAGACAAGATATTTGGAGCAATCCATCAATCCCCATCCCAAATCACACACGCACATATTTCCTGTTAGACATTGACCATGACCACTACAATTATTTGGACATACTGGTGACGCATTTCCACCAATAATAAAACTATACACACTGCCAAATGTAACATTGAGTTGTGTTCCAACTGGAATATTCAAGCCGACCAATGAAATGACACCTTGTGTATCTGATTTTGTGAATTGAAATTTAGCCAACTTTCCATTGACTGTAATATTATCTCTTTCATATCCAAATCCAGATCCAGATAATAGAATCGAATCTCCTCTTTTACTTAATACATATTTCCAAATATTTGGTCTCTTTAAATTATCTAAAAAAAATTAAAATAATAATTAGAATATGAATTTGATTATTAATTTAAAATTCCTATACTTACAAGATAAAGAAAATAAATTTAATGGTTGAGGATTGGCGGGAGTATCAGTTCCAAATACACCACCCAAAGCATCAACAATTCTCCAAACACCTAAATTATAACCACGCAAACCCCAATTAAGAGGAATATTGAGTATGGCTTCATAGATTGGAGCAGGGGTTGTACTTTTGATTCTAGATACAAATGAAATTTGATCATTTGATTCGTATTCTGTGAGATAGACAATTGGTGGATTTTCAAAGGTATTTAATACAACTGAAGCATTATCAACTTTTAGCTTAAAAGTATAAAGTACACTTCTAAATTCACTTGATACATCCAATGACGTTTGATTAAATGTTCCACCTACAATTACATTTTGAGTATAATCATATTCTAAATCACACTTTAAATTATAATCTAAAATATAAATAGATTAATAAAATGATACAACTTTAAAATATTATTTCTTTTTTGTTTTTTTGTTTTTTACATACTAAATATTTTATAAAGTGAAAACATTGGATATGATTCACAATAATTGGTATTATCACATGCTTGTTCAACATATACATTATAGTGTTGACCACATAGACCAACAATAATTGGTAGTTGAATTTCATTTCCAACGGTTGCATTACCTTGGTACCATACTGATCTAGTTGGGTATGGTGATGATGGATAGAGAAGTGCAACTGTCATATTCTTCATATTGCTCCAACTAGTTGTTATACCGACTTTAAATATATTTGAACCACCATCAGCGACATAAAGAATCCATGGAACATATCCAATTGGTTTAATGTTGATTGATAACTCACTAGATGCTACCTTGGAGGCAGAAGAGGAATAGGATGGAGTGGTGTAGTAGAGGAGATCGGATGTTGAGAGTGTTGGTTGAATGGTTCCATTGATAGCTAGGAAAAGTCCAAAGTAATAGGTGGTGGATGAAGTTACTGGAGCGAATTGGTATTGTTTGGTGTAGGTGTAGAGGCTGTAGGTTGAATAGTCATATGTCAGTGGGACAGATATATAGGGAGACGTGTTTTCCTTGTCAGTGTAGATAAAAAGAGCTACAGCGGTGATTGAATTGGATGCAAAATTTGCACTGAGTAGAGTGACTGTAAACACAACAGAGTTGTTTGCTTGTAGTTGATAGTCAATGTGTAGTGGTCTTACACGATGATGGTTTGGACAAGTTGAAGGTACGTCAAATATAATGTTACCACCTGGTGAGGTGGCATTAACACTAATCAAGTTGGAACGGATGTCTTGAAGACTGACATGTGGTGGTACGCATTCTACACGTTTGTATGTGAATGGGAAGTAGTATTCTCCATCCTTGGCATCACCCCTGATACGATTGGCCGATGTAAACTTGAATGTCTGACCTGACATGACGACTGTACTGGGGGACGCCTCACCAATACCCGACTGATCCTTGACAGTGACTAAAAAGTATGATACTTCACCACCACTGTTGACATCTTCATAAACTGCCTTGAATTTGAATATTGGGTTGATCACATCAGTTGAAATGTTGTGAGGACTGTCATCGGGGGATTGATCCAAAAAACCGTAACTATCGGCAATTAAAATCGTGACATTAGATGCAGCGTAATCGTGAATGTATCGATACGATAAATCGATGTATCCCTGATAGGTAGCACCCAAATATTGGAATGGATACCTCGATGGAGACTGTGCTACACCAAACGTTTTTTCATTGCCACCCAATACAGTCCTTAAATACATATTCATCTTGGTGTTTGGTACAATTCCAACCATCGATGCACCCGATTGATACTTGATCAATGATCGATGAGATGTTGGTGTAGTTGGCATTAATGTAGTGGCTGTATAAATTGGTACTCCTGATTTCCCTAAAAGAAAAAGAAATAATTTAAAATTATTAGAATATTATTCTAGTCTTTTTTTTGTTTGTTTGTTTGCTTATGTTTTTTCTTTCTTTACACATACATGTCATTGATAATTGCATTGAAAATTGATATTTTGATCCATCATGTGAAACAATTTCAGCAGTGATAATAGATGTAGGTCCCAAAGCCAATTCCAAAGGGAATGTGACACGTTTGGCATACTGTCCACTACAATGGATTCCAATTTCCTTGTCTTTGTAAATCAATATAGTTTGGTCGATATAGTATGCCACGTATGAAAACAACGAACAATTAAAGTTTGTAGCTTCAACCTTTACACCGAATCCATAACTTGGGCCCATTGACCCAAAGTTTGTGTTCCATTGTGGAAAGATATTATTTACCTGTAAATCTGGTGATATGACTACATTTGGAGTGGTGATACCTAATTAATAAATAGAAAAAAAGTATTTTAGTATTGGTGGTGTACTCTCTTTTCTCTCTCAATATACACACACACTCTCTCTCTATTTATATACTTACTATCATTACTATCTAAATTGGGTGTTGCAACAAGAGAAAAAGTAGTAAAATCAAATTTGAGAGCAGGGTCAACCTTTTGTTTCTCAAATTTAATAAAATAGATTTCCTCTCCTACGATTCTCTTTGGGTAAGGTACAAATACCCGAGACGAAGCATATGTATAGGATAAACCTACACTTCCAAAATCATACTGTGAATATAACAAACCAATATATACTGGTACCTTTAAAATTCTTTGTTCATACAACATGCTTAATGGACTAGTAGCTAAATATTAAATGAATAAATAGTAAGTTAGTAATTGAGAGAGAGACAATGTATCTTGATGATAATTCTTACCAATTTGAAAACAATTTTTAGAACTGCTATAGGTTATTGGAGTATCGTATAGACTTGACATAACATAGGGAGAAACCGAGGCACCAGCATAGGCTATTCCTACTAGGATATCAGTTTGGTTATAGTCTACGACATAGTTGTAGTTGTCTAGACGAGGACTACCGAGTACTAGTCTGTGGAAAGGGTTTGCAAACGAACGTGCATAGTTGAACAACAGACTGTTTCTACACTCTGCTGCAACCGATGTCATGAAACCATACGTCGAGGATGATACGGTTGACAGAGCAGAGGGACTGAGCATGACGTCGTTTTGTCTCCCGACCGGGTAGAATTGATAGGCAGGGAGAAAGATAACTACATCGTTGTTGGCTTGTACGACAAATGTAAACGGTTGTTCATGACCAGAAAAGAAATCAGATGACTCCACTGTAAAGACATGGTTGTATCCATCAGCTGAAACTTGTGTAACATATGATTTCGACAAGGCCGATGGTGCAATCGATACTTTCATCGCTGTCATAATCGACGCTTGCAACGTAAAGTTAAAAGTAAGTAATTCATAGTAGAATGGTGATATAATGTAATCATCTGGTTGATTTACAATAACAACTTTTGTAACTAAAGAGGTTTAAAAAAAAAAAAAAAAAAAAAAGGTTACTATTAAACAAAAGTTCGATGGGTGTGCTGATCGTTCATAGTACAAATACTAAGATATTATACATACCTGGGATGGTTGCAGCTGTTACTATGTGTTGACACCATATAATACCAAACAAGAAAAGATAAAAGAGTGTTGAAACCAATCTCATCTCTCTCTCTCTATCTATCTTCTATCTGTGTCTATCTGTATCTATCTTCTATTGTTATAACAAAGAAATGGATGATGGTTCTTAAAAAGTTTTTAACCGCCATGTTTATACAAATAAATATCTTGTCGGTCTGCGAAAATAGGTTGAAAGAACACGAACTTGTCAAGATCGACAAATAACTTGAGAGAAAGAACATAACATATGGTGTACCAACCGGTACTTCACTTTTCAGTCTAATCTCAACTTGTTTGAATTTAATATATTATTATAAATAACATAATTATAAATAATATTTACAGAATACTATGTTGTTCATGATTATTATTATGATGATAAAAAAAAAGCTCACAGCTGTAACCTCATTGAAACTAGCTTTCTCTCTTTGAAAAAATAAAATTAAAAAAAAACAAATACTTTTAATTAAAGTTGGCTCTCGGCAACAGTCTTCGAATCTTGGGAACCACTAGTTAGTTTAATATATTAATGAAGAAGAAGATATAAAAAGGAAGGAAGAGATAGTATAGATTAAAAAGTTGTAGTATAGGAGATACGAGAGCGTAGAAAGAAGAAGCAAGGAGAGTAGAGTCATTGTACTCCTCATCATCAAAAATGAACAACAACAACAACAGCACTTCGAGTAGTCTCAGTAGATCCCTTCTCGACTCTGATTTAGACCCTTATTCTCCAGGTTATCATAATAATAATAATAATAATAATAATAATAATAATAGTCAACAACAACAACAACAACAACAACCAAATCAACCACCACAACTACAGCAACAACAACAACAACAACAATCAATACCCATCCCTCCTCAACATCATGGAGCTAATCATCAACAATCAATAGAAGAGATGTTTGACAAGATTGATTTATTTGGTGATATTGGTGGTGGTTCCGGTTTAGATACTCCCAAACAACAACAACAATCAACATCACAATCATCAAAAACTATCAATAATAATAATCTATTGGATTTATCTGGATTTGAACAAATATTATCAATTAATAATAATAGTAATAACAATAATAATAATAGAAATAATAGAAATGATGAAAAGGATGAAGAGATAAGATTTAAAGAAAAGATATTTAATAGTAATAGATTGGATTCATTGATTGAACAATTAAAAGAGACGACATTGATACATGGAGAGATTCAATCGGAAAAGGCAATCAATGAGAATAACATTCGATCTTTGTACAGACAGTTATGGATCGTTGCCGATGATGTACAGACGCTTTCGGAAACGTGTCCATGTGGATCGACCGTCAACCACGTTGTCAAGAACCAAGTGTCACGTCTCAACATTGATATTGCCAAGCAGCTCGAAACACTTCTTACCCAGAACCACCATTACAACACCTCTCAATTTGTCGGCTCTCTCTTTTCACAATCTCTCAATGAGTTGCGTGTCCTAATCTATTTGTATAGGTTTGTTTGTCGTGACCTTGAAAATAGTAATAATAATAATAATAATGATTTGATTGACGACTTGTCTGATGCATCGGATACTGATACATCTGCAACATCAGCTGCCAAACTACTCAACACTGAAACGATCATACTTGACAAACTCGTGACTGCCTATAGTAGTAGTGATAACACGACTGTGCCGTCACCACCTATCCTCAGTTTGTTGTGTCAACTTACACTCAAGCTCAAGTCTAAACTTGATACTTATAGTATCAGTGCTAGTAAGCAGCAGCAGTCGTCATCAACCCATGGATTGGATGGAAGTGGTAACCTAATCGACACGATTGATTTTGAAGACGATATATTGACATCAACGACTACACCACAATCACTACTCCAACAAGAAAGTGTTAAACGGTACAACAAGATTATTGCCGATGTTACATTCAACTTTAAACAAGAGTTTGTTGCATGGGGATACATATTGATTCAACCGACCATCGAAGATGTGTTTCAACGCGACTGGTTACTTAAACTATTCCACATACCCGATGTGTTGGCTGCCAACCAAGCAGGTGTCACACCCAACATCAAATATCTCTCCGAACAATCCTACATCAACCTCGTCTCTCAACTCGACTTTAAGAATCGATTTGCCAGACTCACCACCTACCAAAACCTCAACGTCCACGATAAAATACTCTATCCTCTTCAAAAAGCTTTGGAACTCTCCATCTCACTTAAAATGATGCAATTATCTCAAACCATTTGTAAAATATTAGCTGTATGTAAAAAAAGAAACAAAAAAGAAAAAGAAAAGAAGATAGATGTATTAATCTTTGTTTTTATTTTCTATGTTTAGTTGATATCATTTTATTTTGAAGATGAAAGTGAAAAATGTTTGGGGATATTATTCAAGAGTGTATGGCCGTCACAGTTGCTGTCGTGTACGGTGATGCCAATGTTTAATTGGAAGGTGATTAGTTTGGAGAGTTTGCCATTGGTGTTTATGGATGTATACCAGATAACACTGCCACCACAAGAGTACTTGAGATTATCTGATTCGGCCAAACAACCGATTCGATATCAATTCTTTCACACTCTGATCAGCTACCAGTACATTATCAACCAGGTGTACGCATTTGATAATACTGTGCAGAGTTTTAATTCCAATTCACGATTCCCACAATTGCAACTGCTACGTCGTTTGGCACAGAAATCAGTGGCTGATGAAAACACCATGTTTGAACTACTCAATGACGGTGGTACAACGTGTCACCTATCGCGTATCATATTTGACGAGTTGTTTTATTTGGCATTTATCTTTAAAATGCCCAATATGATGTATCAGCAGGGTACGTTCCCTACAAGTCTAGTGCAGACGCTGCGATCAGAGATATTCTCACAACTCCACATCTTGTTGCAGACACACCCATTCTTGGCCAATCGGTTCATGTATAATGTCGCGCAGTCGATGGTGTCGATTGATGTAGAGTCGGTCACGATCTTTCTCGATCCGCAGGGGTCAAAGTCGCCACTCTACTTTTGGGATCTGACGGGTGATGGGCTCAACTGGCTCATCTTTATCGTGAGCCAGCGATTGTTGCCCACTAATATCCCCGACTACCAGATACTCGACCAACCACGCTCCTTTGTACAGCAGTTTGTGATTGACCCGCCTCCATACGAGATCACACAGCAACACGCCAACATAGCGTCGGCGATCGCCAGTCGCGTGCTCATGTCGATTCACTGGGCCAAGGCAACACCGGTCGGTCGCTACAAAACGATTTTGATGTTACTTGGAGGCCGCAAAGTGCTCGGCAAGTGGATGCCCACCTTTGTCAACCACAGTCGACTCTTTACCAACCCCGATGCCGGGTCTATCCTGCGTCCTCAGCTCATTGAAATACAAGAGATTAATCCACGTGCACACATGTACTTTTCACAGGATGGTGGGTTATTACTCTACCTGCAACTCTTGTGCTTTATTAATATGGCCGTTGTAGACGTCCCGGAAATGTCTACCAACGACATTCAATACAATCTGATCAATCGAGTCAAGCAGTTTGTCTATGGCAGCTTCTTGCCAATGATGGGAGGTGGCAACGGCGGCATTGTCCTCAACACCAACAACACAGTCCAATTCGAAATACTTGCATCGACATTGACTATGGTCATGTATCTCGTCAAAGACCATCTCAACCAACCCATCCTCAACGATCTCTCGGAACTATACCATCAAATCACCCAACGTAAACAACAATTCTCCCCAAATTTGAATATTTTATTATTATTTATTAAACCTTGGTTTAGTAATACAATCGATTGTTATTCAAATTTATTAAATAGTTGGATTAAATTATTAAAAGTTAATGTAAGTCAAAATAGAAAGAAAAAAAAAAAGAAAAGGAAATCTATTTATTTATTTATTAATTTAATTTTCATTTAGTTATTTGATGAAGAGAATTTAACAATATTAAATTATTTAGCATGTGGTAGTTATTTAAAGAATTATGGTAATGAGATGATAAGAGAATTAGAATCATCTTCTGTATCAAATCATGATATAAAAGCAATGACCAAATCATTGGAACGTAGACCATGGATTTGTTATATGATATTAATGGCACATATACATACACAAAAGAAATCAATGTCACAACCAAAGTTAAAGGATTGTTTGGTACTGATAAAGGAAATGGCTATCGACCTCAAAACCAATGCCATTTCACTCATCTTTTGGGAACAATTTTGGGTTCTCTATTTTGAATTACTCATGACTAATCAAACTGATCCCATGTCTCAAGACACCAAGAATAATCTATATTCCACAATCTCTCTCTACATGAACAAATATCCAATGACTCCTCCAATTAAAAAAATATTTGAAACTTTTACAACTTGGAACAAACATACTATATTGTAAGAAGAAAAAAAAACAAAAAGAAATATAATATAAATTAATTTAATTCTTTTTTTATTTAGATCATATAATGGAGAAAAATTTATAACACCATCAAATGAAGAATTATATAAAATATTTATAACCAATGCATTATGGGTATTTGCAAAGAATGAAGATAAATTAAATCAAGAACGTAATCAAAAACATTGGTTGTCTGGATTTTCAAAGATTATTGATCCCAAAGTATTGTGTGATCAATTGCCAATGATCAAACCTGCAACTGCCAGTGACTTTAGTTTGGAAGTGAAGAAATACAAAAATTTCATAGAGATTTTAACAACCACCTCTAAAAATCTTTCAAATGGTCATAGACACAGTAATTCTGGTGAATTTGAAGGCATCAGATTATTTAATGATCTAAAATTATATATTGGTCATTCTAAAAGATTATCAAATGATATTTTAAATGATGATAAAGTATTTTTAGATCTTAGTCAAAATTTACATACTACTACTACTTCAAAACAAAATGGTAAAAAAAATAGATATAGAAAAAAAAGAATTATATGTTTACTTACTTATTTTAATTTTTTTATAGTATTATTAAGATGTACAAATGTTTGTATTGGGGTAACAAGTCAATATGATCAAAAAATATCAAAACCAAATACTCATATTCAAATGGAGATTCAAGAGAATAGAAAAAAGTTTAATCAAAATTTCTATTCATTGTTTGAAAGAATCTATCAATTATCACTATTGGCATGTGTTGTAGAAGATGAACATCTTTTAACCATGTTTAAAGGAAGAGAAATTGATCTATTCAAACATCTTGTCGATTTGGTTCAAGATAATCATACTGATAGTATTGTATCAAAGTTGATTTGTACTATTAGAGAGATTGCAATTGACATTGGTAGAGAGATTTTGACCAAAGATCCATCAAATCAACAATTCCTTGTTGATTACTTTTTCAAAAAGGATCCAAAGAATGGTACCACTTCGGGTGACTTTTCCATTTTTATCAGTTTATTCTCACCATCCAACATTACAAACATCAACACTTATTTGGATGTATTAGAGGATTGTGTTCGTTTCAATGGTATATCAAACAAAGAAAAGAGAGAAATCATCGACTTGTTTAAATTGGAAAATCGTATTCAACAATTATTTACTTGTCCAAGTGGTAAAGATCGTCTTGTTAATCTCTTACCTTATTTTATTACTTTACCAATGATGGAATCAACTATAGTTTTAATTAATTCTTTATTATTTGTATGTAAAAAGAAAAATAGATATATATTTATTTTTAAATATTAATATTCATTATTTTTTTTTATTTATTTAATTTTAGATTGACTCATCACATTTAATTAATATAACATTAATGATGGTAAAATATAAAGCATCATTTGAATTGATGGAAAAGGTGTTTGGTAAAAGTAAACCATTTTATGAATTTTTAAAGTCATTGGGTCACTCGGACCAACAGAATCTTATCATTCAGACTATCATCGAGTTGATGACAGACACCAAGTCTGTGAGTGCACTGTTTTTGCTTGGTAATATTATATCGTATGATTTCCTCAACCGACCATTCCTTCAGTCGCTGTTGACCAAGATACGTCTTATTTACATCCAAGCGATCCGACCAATCGACAATGCCACCTCACCAAGCCAACACAGTCAACCCTATGTATTGAACAATACCGAATTCAAACTGTCGTTGGATTTCTTTGTCGATTTGACATTGTTGATCCCACGTGCCGTCAATATGCTCTGGGAGGTATTCTACTATGGTTATATGCCACTTCTCGATCAAATGGAGACACATGGCAGCTCGGGTGTGGCCGATCGTCACACTCAGGAATTGGTCGAGTTGATTGGTAACCTGGCGATTGGAGGTCACATGAACGTGGCCACGTTCCATATTCAGAGCGCCGATGTATTAGAGCAAATGTGTCATGTCATTTGTCAGACCATCTACTCTGATATTGTAGTGGCTATTTTCTCTATTGTCGATTGGAATCTTCTCTTTTCAATGGAAAAGATTCCAGATGTCGTTGCACTACACTATCTCAAGCTATCGATCTACATGTCGATCATGAATGGTCGTTCCGTGTCGGCACCAGAGACTGGATTGGCATTGGCATCGGAAGGTGTCTCTTTGGATTGGTACAAGTGTGGTGATTTGTCTGAAGCATCGGTTGTCTTTGATGGCAGTACCTTTACCTCCATCATTGCAAGTCCCACCCTAAAACTCAATCCCTCACAATCCATCGTCGAAGCATTGACACTATTCAAAGAGATTACTCTCTACCTTGACAATTATTCTCTTGCTATTGCTCTAACCTTGGAAATTCGTTCATTGTTATATTTTATTGCTCAAAGTTTTGATCATTCTTCTTGTATGTCTAAAAAAAAAGAAAAAAGAAAAAAGAAAAAGAAAAGTATTTATTTATTTATTAATTTAATTTTGATTTTGATTTATTTATTTTAGATTGGTATTTACCATTTGTAGATCAATTAAATTTAGTACAAAATTTATTGTTACCATTGATTAGATCATTGGCAGAAAACAAGGCAGCCAAAGATCAAGAACAATCAGGTATTCAACAAAGAATGAAATCGATTTTAAAGATTACCATGTCATGTTTGGAATTCTCTCAACATTTGCCCAAGACTGATTGTCCACTCTTTTACGGATCACTCACTACCGTCGATGAACAGGGACACTTGGATTCATACAACAAGATTCAAAGAATTATGATGGCATTTTGTTCATCTCTATCGATGAATCTTTGTTTACAAATCATGCCAATTGCTCATATCGTTCTTCACGGTACCAATTATTGTCAAGTAATGGAATCTGTTCTACATTCTTTCTTTACCGATGACACTATCCCAGTTTCAACTTTAATTAACAAATATTTAGTATTTACAGACCCTCATTTAATTATTGAAGTAAGAATGGAAATCGAAATCAATTTAATTTAATTTAATTTAATTTATTAATTTAATTTATTTTATTTTAAATTTTAGAAATCAATTCAAAATGGATGTCCATTATTATTGTATATAGTTGTTTTACAACAAATTAAAACAAATACTTTTGATGTAAATTATTTCTTGGATCATATCTGTTCGATTCCATGTGGTAGTAATCGAGAATATGAACTTTGGGTGATATGGATTCTGATTATCAAATTGATTCGAACCAATAGTATCAATCTAAAGAATAACAAACAGATTGGTCAAAAGATTAATACCATCAAATCTTGGATTCAATCTTATTTTGGTAATAGTAATCCTCTCACCTCCTTATTCTCAAAAAACAAAGCTGTCCTACCTCAAACTCATTTAGCTTCACGTGCTTGTTGTGTATTTTTACAAAGATCTATCCTTCAACAAATTGGTGTATGTAAAAACAAAACAAAAACAAAAAAAAAGAAAAAGAAAAAGAAATCAAATATTAAATATTTTAATATTAATTTATTCTTTTCTTTTTTTTTAATAGAAATCAAAAGAAGATGAATCATTATTAAATACAACATCAGATTCATTAATGGAAATGAAAAAGAAATCAAGTCCAACATTTAGTAGTGGAGCAGGAGGTGGTAGTGCAACACAATACCATGCTTTTAATCAATTTTTTGAACAAGCCGAAAACTTTTTATCGCCCATTGTAGAGATTGATGATTTCTCACAAATCCTTGTACAAACTCTTATCCCATTTGCTTCCTATCTATTAAATTTATTAAAGTATGATCCTTGAAGAGAGAGGGAGAAGTAATTAATAAATTAAAATAAAGTAAAAAGTGAATGGAATTTCATCATCTTTTCCTTTTTAGTCCTTTTTCGATCGATCTCCGACTCTACTGGTCCGTGCCACGCTTGCATCGTCTGCTCACGTAGTCTATTTAATTTATTTTAATTTTTTCGGGTTTTTACCAAGAATCGAAGGACACAGCCTCTGATCCCTCAAGAGAGAAAGGTGGCCCTTTTGATTTCATTTTTAATATCTTTTTTTTCTTTTTAACAATGAAATTAATATCAGTATTTATATTAGTCGTGTTGGCTGTTACTACCGTCGTTAATACACAAACAACAGTTGACTCTTGTACATACATTGATAAATATGGGTATTACTATGACTTGCGTGCACTAGCTGGTCAAAACTACCAAGTCGGGCCTATCATATCACAATTTGCGTCTGGCTGGACCCAATTGTTTTCGGTCTGTTCTGTCGACACCCAATGTCAATCGTACAACTACGCAGGTGCTAGTGGATGCTCGTATTGGAATGGAAATCAGCTCCATGGTTTAACTGCTAATGCCGTCACTCAACGATTCGGACCTGTTGCCCCAGGCACTGGAGTGAACCTCATTTCCAACTCTACCCAGAGTAACCTCGTTGTCAATATGGTGTGCAGTGTCTACAATAACCAACAATCAACTTGCGTTGAAAGCCCACAACATACCTACACATGTACCATCTACTCGAATGAAGCATGTCCATTCTATCAAGCTAATGTCATCCCAGCTACCAAAGTCTTAGTGTCTTGTCAACAAGGTGCAAGTGGATACGGTCCAAGTGGAATCCCATACACCAACTATCAATGCGTTGTACTCAATACCTCACCATTATCACAATACGTCATGTTGTACGCTGTCATCGGTGATACCGAGATTGTCAACATTGAAGGCAACTTTTCACCACTTGAATCATCCAACAATGGTACTGGTCTATGGTACCCTTCTCAAGCAGCCTCTCCTCTCCACCCATTCTCCAAGGTCTCCTTTGGTTACACTGTAGAAAATAATGAACAGAATCCTCGTTTCTTACCTGTTGTAGTATCTGATTAAAATGTATCATTTTTTTTGACAAACAAACAAATAAATAAATTAATATTTTGTAAATAAACAAAGAGAAAGAAAAAAAAAGAAGAAGTATACTTGCTCATTTAATATTATATTATAGTTTGCTCTATATTTGATTTATTTTAATTTTTCGAGTTTTTAACAAGAAAGGTACAAGCATGCTTTGCTTTCAAAAACCACCAACTTCTTTTTTGTATTTACAAACAATGAAATGTATTTCAATATTTATATTTGTTGTATTGGTTGTTACTACTGTTGTTGTTAATACACAAACAACAGTTGACACTTGTACATACATTGATAAATATGGGTATTACTATGACTTGCGTGCGCTAGCTGGTCAAGACTTCAACGCTGAAATCAAATCAATTTTTTCTAGTGATTGGACCCAATTGTTTTCAGTCTGCTCTATAAACACCGAATGTCAATCGAAATATAGTTACCCAGCTGCTAGTGGGTGCTCGTATTGGGGTGCAAATAAACAACTCGATGGTTTAACTGCTGAAGCCAACACTCAACGATTCGGACCTGGTGTTGTCCCAGGCACTGGAGTGAACCTCATTTCCGACTCTACCTCTAGTACTCTCATCGTTAATATGGTGTGCAGTGTCGACAAGAAGAATTCGACTTGCATTGAAGCCCCAAAAAAAACATATACATGTACCATCTACTCTAAAGAAGCATGTCCATTCTATCAAGCCAACATCATACCAGCTACCTCCACTATCCAAGTGTCTTGTCAAGGTGCAAGTGGATACGGTCCAACTACAATCCCCTATACCGACTATCAATGTAGTGTACTCAATACCTCACCATTACAATCACAATACGTCATGTTGTATGCAGTCGTCAGCGGTGACACCAAGCTTGTCGATATCAATGGCGACTATTTACCACTTTATAGTAATGGTACGGGTCTATGGTACCCTTCTCAAGCAGTCTCTCCTCTCGTTCCATCCTCCAAGGTCTCCTTTAGTTACACAATAGAAAATAATCAACCAAGTCCTCGTTTCTTACCTGTTGTTTTATCTGATTAAAAAGTAGAACAACCAATACAACTAACTATGTTGTATCAAACATCATCATCTTGAGACAAAAAAGGAAATCACAAGATGGAATTAAATATTTGTAAATAAATTAAAGAAAGATCCTATAGATCTTGATTCTAAGATAATCACCCGTTGTAACCCTTAATCAAAGAATTCATACAGATCAACAGGATATTATTTAACAATATTATTATTATTTTCAGAGTGACAAACAAAAACACAAAGCGCCGACGTCAGCACAAGTGGTTGTTTTCTTTACGATTGTTTTAGAACAGCGAAAGAGGAAAGAGAGAGAAAAGAGAGTGAAGGATGTAGAGACATTGATCAAACAACAAGCCCGCCCACAACACACTGCACTCACACACACAAGCTAGCTACATCAGTGAAACAGCAGGAAATTTCCAATGGTCGTAATGATAAGGAAGGAATAAGAGACATCATTAAACAACACCAATCATCATCTTCATCTTCATCATACTAGTCCAATCAGAATTTAAACTCAACTCTCTTTTTGAGTTGTTCAATCAATATATAGATAATAATAATAATAGATAATAATAGATAATAATATTAATAGATAATGAAACAACAATTAATAACAACACTTTTATTGATATGTGTTTTTTACAACATTCAACCTTTAAATGCTCAATTAACAAGTAACAATTGTACATTTACCGATAGTAATGGTTATTATTATGACTTGACACAATTAACAGGGTTTGTATTTCTCTCTCTCTCTCAAAACTAAACAAAAACAAATTAAAAAATGTGTACTTACTTATTCTTTTTTATTTTCTATTTTTAGGGAAGATTATACAATTTACCCAGTTCAAAGTAAATGGGCATCACAATGGAAACTTGTTTATTCAGTTTGTGGATTGAGTAAATATTGTTCGGCTGTATTCCCAGATGGCCAAGGATGTCAATTCTGGGCACCCAATCCTTCGAAATATATTGGTTTGTCGGGACTCGCCTCAACACAAACCTTTGAAACATTGACAACTAGTGTTGGAGAAGGTCTCATCTTGTCATCGAGAGCCAACCCCAAGACTGTTGGAGGCTGTCAAGATGGAGTATTCTTAAACGTCCATTTCCTATGCTCCGAGTCAACACCCATCACACAACCAACGGCTGTCGAGGACCCCCAATGTACATACACTGTCCAAGTACCAACACTCTCAGCATGTCCATTTGGCGGATCAAACGTTCACCCCATTCCATCAGGTACCGTTGAAATCGATTGTCAAGAGACTGCCACTGGTATGACTGTCGACGGTCAACCCTACACTTCGTATGAATGCACTGTCATCAATACATCGAGTAGTTTCCAAGAAGTAGCACTCTATGCCTACACTGGAGAACAACAATTATCCAAAGTATGGGGTCAATTTAGACCAGCCAATGGTGAAACAGGTCTCGGTATTTGGTATCCAAAGAACGGTATCTCTCCAATGAAGCCTGAAACTGCCGCCTTTTTTGGATACATGACAATCAATTCAACCACTCAAATTAAATTTTTACCTGTATCATTTAAATAATAATAATAATAATAATAATAATATTAGAGATATATATTCGTAATCCATCATCATCTTCATCATGAACCATATTTATTATTCTTCCTCCTCTAAACTGTATATTTTATTAATAAAATAAAAAGACTATTTTGTTGATCACTCCACCAACTTCAAGAGAGAATAGAATGAATGCTTTAAACAATTATTCTCTTTTAAATTAATCTAATCTTGAACTTCGAATGTTTGAGAAAAAAAAACAAAAAAAAAAAAAGAAAATAAGTTTGAAACTTTTTGAATCATTCTCTCTATTCAAAGGTATTTTTTTACTTATTTACTAGCAAGACAGAGACCACCATCAACACACAGATCACTCATTCTTTCAATCTATATATAACTATTTTTCAAAAAAATATTTACTAGCAAGACAGAAGATCACCACCAACACACAGATGAGTAATGCATGAGAATGATGACTCAAATCAACCTCCAATAATAGAAAACAAGCACTTGTATTTATAATTCTTTATATAAGTAAGAAGATAAATGGCTTGTCGAAGGCACTCAAGAAATTAATCCATTCATCTATTTCAGGTATGCATACTATCCCCCCACCCTTTACAAGGGATAATATCGACCTAGAAATAGATGGATGGAGAGACTAGAGAGAGAGAGAGAGAGATGAATGACCAAACGAAAAAGTAGAGTATGTATAAATTAATTTGTTTGTTTATTGTTGTTTGGGTTGATACGATCGATATATTCACAAAATATTATGGCAATAATTCTTTAATCTTTTTAAGTGATTGAACAACACCGATAACAAGTGGAGGGTCTGTAGAATTTGGAATCAATTGGTAACAAATATCCAAAACATTGTCGATATCATCGATCGACGATGAAATCAAATCCTTTAGTTGCTCCAATTTATCATTGCCAGAATGAATTTTACCTGATGACCCTGAATATGGTATATCTGGCATTGGATAATTACTTGGGATCAATGACTTTATAGCTTCACTTTCCTATATATATATATAAAAATAAGTAAATGTATTAATTAATAAATAAATAATAAATATATATCCTATTACTTATCAACTTACAAGTTTAATTTGTTTAATTAGATTTGCAACAGAAATACCTTCTTGAATATTAACACATCTTAGTACTTGAGATTTGATTTTGTTGATTTTTGGTCTGAGGTCACCTCTAATGGTACCAATAGCCCAATTCTTTAATGCAATGGTCTTTGTCAAGACGTCTTGGGGTACTGGCATTGGAGGTGCCTTGTTGTTTGGATTGCTTAAACCAACCGATGGTTTTGGTTGAAAGGTTGATGGTTGTTGTGGTTGTTGTTGTTGTGGTGGTTGATTTGGTAAAGATGGAGATGGACCTGGAAGTTGAGTTGGTTGTTGTTGTTGTTGTTGTTGTTGAATTAATTGTTGAAGAGAGTTGGTAGATGGAGCAGCTTTATATACAGATTTGGGGATATTTCTATTATCTGGTAATTCGTATCCCTTGATGGCCATTCTCTTTTCCAAATAGTCCATCAAATGATCGTTACCAATCTTATATTTTTGTTTGATTTCATCCGATGAAATGGGGTTACCCTCGATATTGATACCTGCACCCAATTTACCAAGTGCATGACAATAACCAATCGATAATGGTAAGTCTGTTAATTTGTTATCCATAATATTTAATACAACCAATCTTGTCATTCTACCAATTTGTTCTGGTAATTCAATCAACTAAACAAAAACAAAAAATAAATAAATATAAATATAAATATTACAAACACTCAAAAATAACCCATCTATCAATATCTATAGTTTACCTTATTGTTACCAAGATTTAATTCCAATAATCTTGTAAGTTGAGTAAATTCATCGGGTAATTTAATCAATTGACAACCATTGGCATCCAAAACTTCAAGGTTTTGTAAACCACTAAATGAAGAGGGGAATGTCAATAGTGGATTACCAGACAAAATCAATTCCTCTAATCTTGCAAGTTCACCAACCTCTTTACATAATGTTGCAATCTTGTTGTTTGCAATTTCCAATTTCTCCAATGCTACCAATTTATTAATTTCTGGCTACAAACAAACAAATAAATAAATAAAAAAGGTTAATAAAAGATTGATTAATTTGGTTTGTTTTTTTTTTAAATTTCTTACAGGTAAAGAAATTAATTGATTTCCATTTAAAGATAAAACTTTAAGTTGAGGAAGATCTAATAGATCACCTGGAATATTCATGATTGAATTACCAGAGAGAGCAAGTTGTTGAAGAAAAGCAAATGTTTTGACAGAGGGGAACATTTTGATTTGATTGAATCCCAAATCCAAGTTTTCTAGCTTTGGCACGTGTTCAGAGAGAAACTCTGGAATGGTCTCTAGACCGATACCAGTGAGATCTAAAAGATCACCGTTTTCATCGTACTGTGAAACACGGTTGTTGACCTCGGTCAATAGATTCGAAGGCAAACGGTCACGTTGTGCATTTGACGATGTGACGATACGTGCTTTGATACAAATCTCACCCTTTACAAAATCATCTGGATGCGATGCTCTTGGTTGAAGAGTATGCCATGTTGGTTGATCGTCCAATGTCGATAAATCCAAAAACACCTCCCCCAAAAAATCATCCGATGACAATGCATCCCAATCCAATACAATTATATGTAATCTTGTATCCATTGGTGATATTCTCCTACAATTCATATAAATAAATAAACAATATTAGGTATATATATTTGTATCAGCGTATTATTCTATACTATTGTACATTGTTACATACATTAAAAAGGTTTCAGCCCATTTAGGATTTAAAGTCTTTTTCTGAACCTTTGTCTTTTTCTTTTGAGGACCTAAAGCTAAACTAACATAGGGATCTGAGAAACCATTACTATCAGATGCACATAAATCTCTTGCTTCGAGAACTACACAAACAAATATATATATATATGTAAGTATTCTTTTTTTCATATCAATCTATCTATCTATCTATCAATCAATCTAGTTACCATTAAGTTGTAATATATTCATTATTATAATTTCTCTATCTCTCTATCACAATCTCTTTCTTTTCTCTTTTGTCTCTATATTTTCAAAAATATCTACTACTCTTTCAATGCTTGTCTTTTAGTTTTATAGATGATAGTTTTGTTTTTTTTTAATGTTTAATGCTTGTGTGTGTTTAAAATCTGACCAATGATCTAAAGAGCTGTTGTAAGTAGTAGGTTGATAGAATGGTTGCATTGTGGTCCGTTCCCCTATTTAAAAAAAAAAATGAAAATTAATTAATTTTCGGATAAGCAGTGGGGTGTGATATCGATCGAATCGACAACGACTCTTTAAATTTAAACATATAGATTTTGATTTATTATTGTTATTAATATTAATAATCATCGAGTTGAATCTTTAATTCAACTTCTGGTGCACGATATTTTACAACCTGTTCACGATGACCTGTTCCAGAGAATGAATATTTACTACTAAACGATGTGGTGAGGTCCATTGCTAAAGCAAACTTGTCATTGTCCTCTGGATCATCTCTTGTATCGATATATGCAATCATATCACCATCTCTAAATAACCATGGTTTACCTCGCAATTCATTGGGGTTGTGTTGAATAGCTGCAAGTTTCTTTTGTTTTGGTGGTGGAGGTGGTGGTCTTGGAATATTACTATTATTATTGTTGTTGTTGGTATCTTGAGATACTTCTACATCTAAATCGACATCTATAACTTCTGGAGAAGTTTCACCATCAACTTGACTTGATTCAATATCATCTTCTATCATTTCATCATCTGATAAGAATTCTTCTAAATTGGTTGTATCTGGAACTTGACTATTATTATTATTATTATTATTATTATTAATTATATCAATAATTAAATCTTTTGAAATTGAAACAGTTGTAGTTGTTGAATCTTTTTCCTTTTCTTTTTCTTTTGACTTTTCCTTTTGATGTTTGATAAATTGTTTTTTAGATTGTTTTTTTCTTCTTGCTTCAATGATTCTCCAAGGATTGATTCTTTGATGTGTGACATATTTGAATATTTTCAAGTATTGTGGTTCTATTTTAGTGGTTTCAGAGATGAATTGTTTCAAATCATTAATATCCTTGCCGGTGAAATAGGCTTGGGTTGGAGGATACTCGAAACTTTGGGATTCTGGTAATCTCTTGTGAATGTACAATAGAATGGGTGGAGGTGTTTTTGACTGATCAACCTTTTTCTGTTTGGGGATAATTAAACTTTTCTTTTTATCCTTTACAATTACCACTTTTTGAGGACGTGATTCCTCTTGATCGTCTCGGCCACTTGATTTATGATGTTTCTGTAGTTCTTGTTCTTGTTGCATAATTTGTTTATCATCATTAAATTCAATAATGATATTTGCTTCTTGTTGAACATGTAGTTTTGCAAGAGACTTGCTCATTCCTGTAAACGATGTGAGTAGTTTTTCATCATTCCACAATCTAATATCCATTTCTTTGGCATCCAACTTTTCCACATCCTCTTTTGATAATAGTTCACGGAATGCACCCCATTCCAAGACCAATTGTTTCAACTGTGAAACCAATGTCTTTTTGTCTACTGGAAAGTCACCAATAGGCGACACAGTGTAGAGATCGGCTGTTTGTGGGATGAATTGTGGGTTGAGATGGAGTGCAGGCGAAGCTGGTAGAGAGAATCTTGTAAACGTCGTCGTACCATTGTTGAATCGATACACACTAAACTTTAGCAATATCTGATCCTTTGATGGCAAGATACCTCGTTCTAAAAACAATGTATCTTCATTTCGAATGGCTCCTTCCTCTAACGTTCTATCTTCATCCACTAGAATCACATCTGGTTGATCAAATACATCTGACGTCTTTAATATATAATTTGATTCATTTTCACTTATATTTAATCCTAAAAATCTTAATAAATATTTTTTCCTACAAATCAAAAAAGTAAAGTAAATAAATAAATAATTTCTTTTTTGTTTCTTTTTTTTTTTAATAACGTACAAAGAAAGAATAGTATTCTTTTTAGAATAATTAATTGAATGTTTACCAAGATCTTCATGCATGATGTTAAGGGTGATGGTTGGGGTAGTGACAGTACCACGTTCGATAATGATGAGTGAACCACCTGAAAGACCGACATGTTGCAGACTAAAGGTGTCGTCAGAGATGATGGTGCCTGGGGAGCCACCAACTTGTGTCTTTCGGATGATGGTTTGAGTGACAAACTCTTGTTTTTGTTGGGTTGATAGGTTGGGACGGACAATGTCGAGGATCATCTCTTTGAGTTGGTAGATGGTCGATCCAGTGTCAACAAAGAGTTTGTGGGGTGGTGGAGGTGCACCATAGGCAAGATTGTCGTTATAGTCGATACGATCAGTCACAAAGATGTGGACCTTGTCACGATGTCTCTCAAACTCTTGCATCAACATGCTTTGTCCGACTGACTTTGAAATGGTGCCCATTTCACCCAACGAGCTATTAGGTGTACGCTCTTCAACATAGAGTTCTGTACCACTGAAAATACGGTCACCAAGAGGTACATTTGGCATATCATCTTCCATCGGTACGAGGTTAGAATTGACTAGGTTATAGACAACTAGTTTGTCTAGAGGAATACCTGATTCTTTAGACAGTAGTTGTTGTACATTGGCAAAGGTTGATTCTCGTTCAATTGACAAGTACCGTTCCTCTACATTAACTTGATTCGTCGTACTATCCTTGATATACATCTTGGCGCAGAATCTAATGGGGGGAGTATGAACACCATGCACTTTGGTGCCATTCCAAATCAACAGTCTTTCTCCTTCACGAAGTCCAGCTTTTTTAATGCCTAGTGACGATACTGATGACAGTGGAGTAGCCAATTGCACACGACCGTCTCTAGTCGATTGAATCTCTTGAATGACCAACACATCAGTTTGACTGAACCGGTCTGCATAGTTTTCACGAACCAATCGATACAATTCCTGAACACTTGTACCAATATCCAACTTTAACTGTTCCTCCTCATCATCTCTTCCTTGGTCTTGTCTAATCTTTACCTTTTCGGCTTCCTTTATCTCTACCAATTGACCATCTACAACCTTGTAATCATGACCAATAAATTTAGGATAAACAAACAATGTATTGACCGATGTTTCATATTTCATTCTTTGATCCTCCAAAGTTAAATTAAATGCTTCAATTTCCTTTTTCAAATGATTTGGTATATCATCATTTTTTAAATTTTCACCTAATTCTTTTGATCTATAAACAAGCATATCTTAAAAATAATAAAAATAAAATTAAAATTAGAAAAAGAAAAGAATACTGATTGATTGTGAGATTACATACAAGCTGATTCATGCTTATTACCAAATTGTTTTTCAATTGATGAATCTGGAATAATCGTAACTGAACTATCATTGAAATCAAACCATCCACTATAAATTGGTTTCTTTGATGATGAAACAGAAGAAGATTCTTTTTCTTCTTCTCCCTCTTCTCCTTCTTCTTGTTCTTCCAATTTATCTTGACTTTCATTATTATTATTATTATTATTATTATTATTATTTACATCTTTTTGATCTTTTGCTTGTTCTTCTTCATTTTCCTTTTGATCCTTTTGTTCATCTTGTGGAATATTAACTTGATTTGATACATCTTTAATATAGGAATGATAATGTCCACCATAAGCACCACCTGAATGAATTAAAACAGCAAATAATTCATAATATTGATCTTTTGGTTTAACTGGTTTCAAACCATTCTCTAAATCCTTTTCATAGGTTGACCATTCAGCTGTATATTTTGTCATATTTATAGTATTTGGGAATTTAAACTTTGATGTAATTTTTACTCTTGATCCCTAAAATAAAATTAAATAATTAATAAATAAAAAAATTGATTTATATTTGTTTCTATCTTACTCTTTTCATATCAAAATCAAATCTACGAAGTGGAATTGTTAATACTGGTGGTAATTTACCCATTTTTACACCGATAGTAGCTTTAACTCGTTCATTACAACTATCACAAAAATATTTGTTATCACCATCCAAAACCTCTGGTGTAACAAAAGATTTAAAACTTTCTTCCAATGTTTTAAAACCTTTAATTGCAACTGGTACATCTTGGAAAAATTCTTCTCTATCTTTAATTTCTATAAATTAAATAAAACAATAAGTTTTAATAATCTTTTTTTTTGTTTAATATTATTTTTTTTTGTTTATACATACTACCACAATTTGTACATTCAATTCTATTAATTAGGACACCACGATATAAATTTACAATTAAATCTTGAATAGTAGTACCTTTGAGAGAATGTTCGACTGCATCGAAAAGAATACGATTCAATTCATGAATATCTTGTTGTTGTACGACTTGTCCACTATCCCATCCAAAACTTCTTGTTAGGTTTTCAGTACTAATCGATGATACATCACCTTTTTGTAACATTGAAAATAATCTTTGTAATTCATATGCAATAATTCTACCTTTTTTCTTTTGTTTTGTTTGATTATTATTATTATTATTTGATACAGTTGCAGTAGTAGATGTTGTTTCATTATTATTTTGATTATTATTATTGTTACCTTCATTATTTTGATTATTTTGATTATTATCTTGTGGCATTGTAAAAATATTTTGTTGTTGTTCTGAATTGTATAATACAATTGCTTTGTTTTGATTATTATCATTGTCATTTTGAAATCCAGTGTTTGAAAATGCTCCAAAATATTCTTCCGAAGTTGCATAGGTTGGTGTTGGTGGATATGTTGATATTTCATTCATATTATAATCATTATCAACATCATTATTATTATTATAAGAATTATTATTATTTTGATTATTATGTTGATTTTGGTCAATAATAAAATCTTCTTCATTTGCAGTTAAAATCCAATCAATTAACTTTTCTTGTTGATAGGTACTTGGAAACTTTTTAAGACCGGCCAATACTTTATACTCTTCAAATCCAAATGCAAGAATCGATTGAACATAGTCTTGGTCATAATCAGCAAATGAAATGGTAGTGTTCATAACAGTATTGGCAATATCATCATTCAAACCAAACACATCGTCTGAGAATATATTTGGTCCGATTGTTGATGTTGCTGAAGATGATGCAGTTGCAGTGGTTGAGGTTGTATCTTCATTCATAAATGTCAGTTCCCTTGACATGGTGGTTGATGTTGTCGACATGGTTGTTGTATTATCACTTGCAACTTCACCTATACTCTTTTGATTTGTTGTTGTTGTAGTTATAGAAGATGAAGTTGATTGATCTTGTTGTTGTGACTGAGACTGTTGAGACTGCTGTGATTGTTGTTCTTCTAAACCTAAATCCTTTAATCCCAATGAATATAAATCATTCTTTAATTCTGGTGTCATATACATCATTTGAATTAAACTGTTCAAGTAACATGTTGCTCCTCTACAACAATGATTGAATGAAAAGTGTATATTATATAAGTACTAGTTTGATCAAAGACTATGAGGTTGAGACATACTGATTTAATAAACCAACAAAACCATTTGGAGTTCTCTTGTCCATAGGTTTTCTATGATATGAACTGGAATAACTACGACTACCAGCATAGGCTGATGCGGCTGGGTATGGTGCCCTATCATCTTCATCTCCTTCAAATAAATTTCCCAACATTCTTCCTTTTTTTTTTGATTATATAAATGCAATGTGTAGACTATGTGTAGTGTATATAAGATGAGAATATGAAAATACAAATAGATAAATAGATAGTTATTAACTTATCTCTTCAAAAGATAGAGATAATAAGACAAGTTGGTGTTTTAAAAATTTAATTTGCAAAGCACTTTGAAGATGACATGATTGAACGCCATTCAAAAAACTTGAGAAAACTTCATTATTTTAATTTCATTACATAACCTTGGTTCGTTCATTCATTCTTTTATGATATACTTATTATTTGTTCGTTATCTATCTATTTATCTATGTTTATTTAATTTATTGGTTTTTGAAGAGATATCATTAAAAACATTGGACGATGAGCTTCAATTGCGAGAGAGGGAACTTGTTTAATTTGATCGGGTGAAGGTGTAAACTCTTCGACCTTTCGAATATTGAAACCAACATTGATGAAGTGATTAATATAACTACTTATCGTACGATGTTGTTTGACAACACCCTTGACAATCCAATTTTCTATTCTATCACCTTCCATTTGATAGTTGTATAATGGCCATACTAATCTTTCTTCTCCTTGTTTGTATCCCAATGTTTCTTTCTCTTCTTCTTGTTGTTGATTAGGGTCAGTGGGTGTTTGAGTATTATTGTTTATCCAATTTCTAATGGTTGGTGCACTGTATATAGGGTGCTCGATGATGACTATAAAATGACCACCAGGTTTAACCGACGCGTAGACAGTATCGAGTAGAGTCGATAGATTGACTATATAGTGCAGTGTCAATGAACTAAAGGCAAGGTCAAATGCAAGTGGTGGTAGTTTGATCGTCTCTAAATCAGCTTGTGCGTATTCAATCGATTCTTCGTGTTGATTTAGTTGTTTGGCACGATCCAACATTTTAACCGATAGATCGTATGCTTTGATACTCTTGACATGTCTCTCTCTTGCCAAGTAGCCACTAAACCATCCATAACCACATCCCAAGTCCACAACACTCTCCAACGTTGGTTGATGCTTTGATTGCAGTGCTTCGTCTAGCATCTTGATCGTCGAATCCCATTCACAGATACCAGCTGCACCCTTTACCGATCTATCCATCTTTGCATATCCATCAAAGAATTCTTTACTATCATATATATTTTGTTTACTCATTCTTGACAAGAATATATCTATCTCTCTCTTTCTCTTTTCAACAATGAATATGAAAGATAGCTTGTCCCGACTTCGTTCGTCATATTTTTTTTTTAACGTTAACACCGTACTTGCATAATACTCATCTTTCTTTCTTTCGCAAAGTATATTTAACTCTCCCTCTTTCTCTTATATCTTGACACATCAATGTGACGATAGTTAACATAGTTTGTTCGCGTCTCAGCTCATCCGATACTAAAGGATGGGCGCATTACCAAATTCGGATACAATAATATAAATCTTTAAAGATTTAAATCTTTTTTTGCAATTTGCTGTGCTTCCCTGCTTGCTTCCCCTGCTTGCTTCTCCTCTGAAAGTCGTTGAGTTTGGGTGTACGCACACTATTCGTAACACACACAACCGAGTACTATAAATACTTTGGTGAAGATGTAGTCATTCAATTCATTCAATTAAAGATATATATCAAATCTATAAATATACAATCATAATATCAATCAATTATACATCTATTTAAACAAAACAATGTCAAATAATAATAATAATAATCAAACTATTGTATTTGTAACTGGTGCAGCTGGGTATCTTGGTAGTAATATCGTTCACGATTTATTGGTCAAGGGGTATAGTGTACGTGCATGTGTACGAGACCATACTAATGAAGCCAAGATTGCTCATCTCAAGGCATTCAAGGATGCAGATCGATTGTTGTCGTTTGTTAGTGCTGATTTGGAGAGTGCAGACTATTTGTCACTCATCAAAGATGTAACGTACATTATTCACACTGCTACACCTTTTATTCATGTTTCACCAGACCCAGAGAATGATATTGTCAAGCCTGCTATTGCCGGCACACTCAGTGTCCTCAAAGCAGCCGCTCTCACACCGTCTGTCAAAAAGGTAGTCGTCACCTCGTCGTGTGGCGCCATCGTCAACTCGATCGACCCACACCTCAAGTCTGACACTTACACCTACGATGAAAGTCACTGGAACACTACCTCTTCCTTGACATCCGGTCCATACTTTTACAGCAAGGTTCGTGCCGAACAAGCAGCCTGGGAATTCTATAAACAAAATCAATTATCATCTGTAAGTCCAACCATTGTCTAAACTAATAATAATTAATTAATACATTATACTTATTTATTATCTCTTTTGTTTTTATTGTTTTAGGAAACAAATAAATTAATTGTAATTAATCCAAGTTTAATTATTGGACCTAGTATGACACCAAATATAAGTGCAAGTTTAATGTTGTTGGTGGGATTGATCAAAGATGCAAAGGTACCATTTCCAACACAGGTGGGGTTGGTCGATGTGAGGGATGTGTCAGAGGCACATGTGTTGGCATTAGAGACGGACAAGGTGGATGGTCAACGTGTATTGGTTGCCAACAAAGTTGTGCCATGGCCAAAACTAGCGTCACTCCTCCAGGCTGAATTCCCTCAATACAAGTTCAACTCGAGTACCGTCGACCAGCCAACCACCGTTGCTCCGTGGGTATTTGACCATTCACGTGCCGAATCTCTTGGTATCAAATTCATCGATATTCATACCACTCTCAAAGACTCTGTCAATAGTCTTGTTCAATATAAGGTTTTTAATCCTATTCTTATTAACCATTAAGTTAAAATAAAATTAAATTAAAAAAAAAACAAAAAACCAATACTGTGAGCAGAGTCGCTCTTTCTTCTTTTGTTGGTCATTCATTGTACAACTATTACAAACATCATTTATTATTATTATGGATGAAATAAAAGATGATGGATAATAAAGAAGAAGAAAGTAAAGATGATAGATTATTTATATATCAAATAGAAACAAAACAACAACATAATAGTAATAATGATTATCAATATGATTTAACAACAACACAAACTAATGATATTGATGATAGCTTAAAAGAAAAGAATATAATAAAGAGATCAGAATCAAAGAAGAAAAAGAGAAGTCATGATGATTTTGAACACGGTCAAGGTATATATATATATATATATATTAATATATACTTATGAACATATCTTGTAGTTCTTTTTATTAACCTTTAATCTTTTGTTCTATATTAAAAAGGAGAAGATATAATTTATACGGAGAATGAGTTAAAGTGTAAAGTGAAAAAAGAGTTGATTGTAATTTGTACAAGATTGGGTATACAATCATCGATCAATCAATTAAAAGATACAATCATTCAACAAATCATAAAACATCAAAATGATCAACAAGAGTTTAAAAGCAAGATGATTGATAATAATCCATTATTAGATTACAACAAAGGATCACTTGAATACTCATTACCTTGGCCTATCATCAGAAGAATAATCAGTCAGCTTTGGCAAGAATCTTCTATTTGTACTTGTTATTATAATCAACAAATCGACAATTTGATTAAAGAAAATCAAAATACGAACCGTTTCATCTATCAAAAGTGGCCACTCTGTTTAATGTTGTGGAATGAATCAAGAATGAAATGTCCAATGCACACATATCATTACTTTAATGATTTGGATCCATCAACCAATATTTCCAAACTAATTGCATCTACTTCAAACCAAAAAAACAAATGGAGATTTCAACTGTTAACCATTTCAAAAAGAATCAATCAATTCATATCATCAAGATATTTGGATAATGTTTTGTTGAGACTAAACCAAGACACATTGAATCACCTCAACAATCAATATTGTCCAATTAAAACACCAAAAGTCCTTTTGTTGTATAATTCAAATGACCTAACATTTATTGGAGACCAAAACACAACGATATTTAATCAAGTTGAAAAGCTCAAAATCCATAGAGTTGACCTCAAACCGCCCAACAACAAGATATTACCTAAAATATTCAAAAATATCAAATCAATCACCGCTACCTATTCAAATGTATTGGGCCATTTGCAATATGACCGATTGTGTCAAAAACAATTCCTATCAAGTTTTAAGAATCTCACATCAATCAATTTACAATCATGTCAACATTTCAACTACAATAGAGATGTATTTTTGACTGCTTTAACAAAAATAACAACAGGAGGAGGAATAACCAAATTATTACTTCCAATTGATTGGTGTGCACTACCAATTGATCTTGACACTAAATTAGCCGACAGTATTGTCAACAGCAACATTATTCCACCACAACAAATGCCAAATTTGAAAACATTTCATTTTTACAACTATCAAATGGTTGGTTACACGTTTATTGATACAAATCTGACAACTATTGTTGACCACTCTCATAATGGTTGTCCAAACATCAATCCATTTATCAACAACATTCCACCAACCATTTCAACAATCAAACTCAAATCTGGTGATGAGATTCTTAAACCTTTACTTGCTTGTGGTTTGTTGATATTCAATATCAACAAAGTATTAATTGACAGTATATACGAAATGACTGATCAAATGATCAATCAATTTACCAAGATTGGATATAAATATCATGGAGCAACATTTAAAAGTCCAACAACAACAAAAAGACAATTCACTTTTATTAAATCAATACCAACTGCACCTAAAATAACTAAAACAAAAACTCTAACAATATCAACAACAAAAAAAACAACAGCTTGTTCAACAAACCAACGAGTAATAACCAACAGCAACAATAATAATAATAACAATCCAACCCTTCCATTTTATTTAATTGAAAAGATTATAAAATACTCTTGGCACAGATATTATTGTACTTGTGAACCGGAAACTAACCAAAATGATAGTCTTTTTAAGAAATGTCAACAACTCTGTAATGCCAAATCGAAATGTCCAATTCACAAGAATAGTGCTGTGCTTGTTAGTAATATCACCAACTTTACTCTTCATCAAAGTATCAATAGACTTCGATTTGGATTGTCACTCACATGCAAACGACTGTTTGAATTTATTTCAAAGAATCTAATCAAGAGAATTACATTTAAAAGTTCTCAAGTCACAAACATTCAATCTAAATTTACGAATCAATATTGCCTTCTTGGTAAATCTATTGAAACTCTAACACTTGATATAGATGATGCCAATTCGGATCTAAAATTCCCTCAACTCGATCACTATTCAAATGTTAGTAGATTAACAGCTGAAATTTATCAGGCAGAAGATTCATTTCCATTGCTTGTTGAATTTAAATCACTGACATCATTGGATATATCTCAAATTAAAATGTATCCCAATGGTTTGGTTATGGAAGAATTAATTGATGGATTAAAGGACATGTCACTCAAGAAACTCTATTTTTGTGAAAATCAGATACCTGAATCAATCTTTGAAGATTCATCTTTATCGCGATCACTAGAATCAATATCAATCAATGTCAATGATATGTTAACATACACCCCACGATTGTTTAACCTGCCAAAACTTAGACATATCAGAATCATCAATAATAATCACCAAACACCATTTTACAAAGATTTACTAACAAAAAATTTTGGCTTTCCTTCCTCTCTCCCACCTGGTATCCAAAAAATATCGACCAACGATGCCATTTGCACCAAAATTTGCATTCATAATCCACAAGTAAAAGAATTGGTAGTATTAAGACAATTAGATGCAGAAGAACACCAAACACTATTCAGCCACCACAATATCCAAAAGATTGTTATTAAAACAGTCAGACACTTTACCCAACCTTTTACATCTCGACCAACTTTCAATTTTGAGTACATTGCTACTTTAGTATCTAGAAATAGTTTTAATTCTCTCTGTTCCAAGAGGGTTTATATAAATAAAAATAAAAAGAACTTACTTTGATCAAGATCTTTGTAGATGTTGCAAAATAATAATAATAATATTTATTGTTTGAAACTACATTACATTAAAGTACATTTATCTTTTTGATTGGATTGACCATTAGCATTATTGTTATAATTATTATCTAAAAACTTTGGGATAGGAAGGATATAACCAAAACCGATTGCCTTTTGAAAGATTATCAATCGATCTTGAATCGAATAATTATCAATCCAATCTACTTTTTGAGAGTTGCAAAACACCTCGATTAGAGTTGGATAGTGAACAAAACGATGATGGTCAAGGGCTAGTATTGAGGGACACCCTATTGGTTTCATCACCGCATTATTATTATTATTCTTTTGACTACTACGATATAGGGTACCATAAATGTCAACCATAAACTTTGCTCTTTTAGGGTTACATTGAATATCTTTTGGAGACAAAATAATTTGACTGATAATACGAACAGTGGAGGAAACAATTCCAGTTTCTGTCATGGCACCTATCTTTGTCCAAAATCGTTCAAACTGTTGGTCATCTGTTATTTGTGCTAAACTCGTCAATGACAAATGATTGGCGATTTGGTAGGTTGAACAATTGTCGAAAAGATAATCCAAAGCTTTGTAATGTCCAGCTTGGCATGCAATGTTGAATAGATTAGCCAATACACTACTCCTATCGCCGTCTAATAGTTTCGATATTGAACTAGGTGTGATGATTTTTTGATCAAACAACCATTCTATATCATTTGCCAATAAAAATATACCAACCAACTGAATGTGATCAATAATGTCGGGTCTATAAACCGAACGAATAACCTTGGCGACCAACACGTAATCGACGGGAGAGGAGGAATCCCAATTGAATTTAATTATTGATGAGGCAATTAAATATTCAATCGTTGGGATAGTATGTAGTGTGATACAATGAATGTCGATGATGGTGGAATCTGAAAGACCTTTGAATCGTGGATGGTGCAGTAGGATGTCGATTGAAGATAGACTGTTACATTCTATTGCATAGCCGAGTAGTTTGATAAAGTTTTCGAAGCGTAGTGGTAGTTGTGGAGAATCCATACCGATCAAGGTATCTAGTTGATTGACTTGGATAGCTGTCGCTAGCATGCCATCGGAAAGCTGTACATTGAATCCCAAACCGACTAATCTTGTGACCAAACCAACTGAAAAACATTCTGGAGGAATATCTCCAATGATAATCCGATCATCTAGTTGTAAATGCTCTTGCTGATATTTTCTAGATAGAATCAATTCAAAGCAATCCAATCGACCATAGACAATAGTATCGACCAACATCCTAATGACATGACTATTATCAAGTGGTGTCTTTAAAATACACTCTACGAAATCTAGATTTCCTTGTCTAATAGCATTTGTGCCGATCCAATCAGCACGGGTTGGATTGTCTGATATTGATAACATTTCTAGCACCTCTTTTTTACCATGTGTTTCGATTACATTTGATATAATATGATCTTGACAATATGCAACCAACTCGTCATTTGGTACATTCTCGACGATCCACTTTATAATCTTCAAATGATTGCTCTCCACCGCTCCAATCAATACATCTCCAATAACATTGATTGAATATCTTTTAAATATATCTATCATTCTAATAAGAGTATTGATAATATCCTTGTTGTTGTTGTTGGCAAATAAATATGAAAATGAACTTTGAAAGGGATGACGTAGTGTTGGTGATGATAGATTTGGGTTAACCAATTTAGATAGATATGATTCCAATTGATCACTGTCACAAAGTTTAACCACTACATTGATCATTTCATTTTGAAGGAACGGTATAACAGTTGAAAAGTTTGAATCTCTTAATACATAGAACATTTCAGTTGTGAATTTATAGCAATGAGTTGTAAAGTTTGGTTTGTATGATTTAAAGTCTAGTAGTGGTTTGGTTGAACCAAGTCGATCAATTAAATATTTCATTGCAACATGATTATTCTTTTCAAATACAACATCAAATATCCAATATAATCTTTCAATATAATTACTTTTCTATAGAAATAGAAAGAGAAAAAGGCAATGAGTAAAAAGATGCTATTTATAAAGTACTTTATATCTGCGGCAGATTAAGTTAAATTATCAATACATACATTTATAATAGAAAGGTCAAGATCCTTTATCTTTCTATATTTTTTTACTTGTAACAATAGAATCAATTGATGTAAACGATCAAAGTGTTTGATGAAAAGATCAGTTTGACCATACTTGATGTAATCATACAATGATTCTAAATCTTTTGATTTAACAGCTTGAAGACCTAGTTGTTGATGAATACCAGTTACATGTTGGAATATTATTACTCTTAGACATTTGTTATTTAATATATGCTTTACTAAACTATCTATCATCTTTTAAACTATTTACAAATAAAAAAAAAAGATTATTTTTTTCGATGATCATCAAAGACATTCGTTGTCTTCGAAGTGTTCTTCGCAAGATTTTGGGGTTCTGTAAGATCTACAGTTGGTTTCGAGAGGTGTCTCTAGAGCAGCAGAGGCATGAGTAAAACTAACTAAAATAATAGATAGTAATAATACAAAGAAGAAGGATTTAAGAATAGTGTGCATGTTATTGTTCTTCTTGTATAACAATAAATGATTAAACCGGTTCAAAACTGAGTTTGTCTCTTTAAGACGAGGTCGAACACGAGAAATTTGGCAGATATTTATTTGTACATTGTTCGATATTCAAATTTCAGGTCGAAAGTTAGATATGTTCTTTCCTAAATATCTCTTTAGAATTACAGTCCATCCATTCCTCGAATCTAGAAATTGATAAATTCAATACTATTAATAATTTTAATAATTAGAGAAGAAAAAAAACTATTGATTTATATAATATAAAATGTATTGCATTTATTGATTGGGAGGTGGTGGTTAATATTTAATTGGAGTATTACTTGGATATAAATTGAGTTCTATATTCTATAACCTCTATAATCTATAATAACATAATAGAGGTTATAAAATGTTATTAATATTCACTGTGTAAAGTTTTGTACACAATCTTTTTCTTTGGTTCCTTGATGATGCGAGTTGGATAGTTGTCCAAAGTCATTGAATAATTTTTGGGATCTCTGCCAGTCCACTCTATATTCATATACAATGGATAATAGTCAAGAATACTTATATTAACCATACTATTGTTGCTCAATCTTTTTTGTCAAACGATTGCTCCATCAAAACTGTCCTTGGAGTGTAACATAAAGTATTCATTGTTTGGTTCCAATCTTCTGATTGTAAATTTCATCTCTCTTTTACTATTTATGATAATTGATAGATCTTGTACATTTGAGTAATTGATGATTGTATCCAATCTAAAACTGAATTTACTATAGTTGTCCACCTGAACCCCGGCGGTCAAATGAGCAACACGTGATGGCAAAACAAAGTGAAATGGATTATCTGCAAGTGGACTGTCATCATTGTTGATGATCATAATCTGTGGAAGTGAGAATACTGTGTTTTGGTATGTTGTCTTGGCTTCAACCGCATCGCAAGAGAACGACTCTATATAGGTTGGCAAGATGAATAGAGTTGGTGTATGTTGATATCTTTTTTGATAGTTAATGGACCGTATGGTTGAGGGATACATGGTAGGAGATTCTGACTCTGGTCTAAACGTTAAGTTTGGTAGACCACTAGGCAAAACGGTATTCATTGGGTGACCAATGTTGTTGATTGTTAGAGTAGTGACAGTGTCTGGGATGTACTCTAGTGTTACTGGGCCATTATAGTTGTTTAATTCCAATGTTTCCAGACCCAATGGAAGTAAACCAGCTATAAACGACTTTTCACTTGAAAAGATCAACTTTAGACTCTTTAGGCTACTTGGGAAGAAGTTGGCTGGTGGTACCTTTTCACAGTTACCAATCGACATTGATATGATTTCCGTTTTCTTTAAAATTTAAATAAAGTGTACGGAAATTCAATGCATTTCTAAATTGTTTCCAATTCTCTGTTGTCAATAGATCCCACCAAAAAATGAGTCACCAGAGTTTATCATTACATCACCATTGTTTAATCTTCTAATATAAATATCAAACTCGTATCTTTTTGAGACGATATGGTAATATAAATGAGGAGGATTATCGTTTGGAGGACTATTGTCATTGTTGATTATTATGGTAGATGGAAGTGAAAACCCTGCTGTACCATTGATCATAATGTTTTTCCATTCAGCAAGTGAATAAGGTATCGAGTGATGTAGGTAGATGACTGGTGGAGGAGGAAGAAATCGATCGAAGAGCAATTCTCGTAGGGCTCACCGGTGGATAATCAGAAGAGTACCGTTGGGTGATTTTGTAAATTTAACGAGTTTACTTGGATAGATGGATTGTTCGGGGTTGGTAGCGTAGGCAGTAAGGGAAACAACTGAATCTGGTATATACTCTGGTGATATAGTACATTCGGAATGATTGATTGTTAGATCTCGAACCCATTTTTTTTTTATCCAATCCACTGATCTTCACTCGTTCGTTTACTTTAACGATGATCATAAAAGGAGTAGATAGATTACAACTAGACAAAAAAAGTAGTAGATAGGTGAAACATAATGTAGAGAGTAGTGCAACAAACAGATATACGTTTCTCAAATGAAACTTTGACAGAGACGAATGAGTATCAGTTTGCTTGAACCAGTTTCTTGACTGAGTTCATTTTAAAACCCATGTGCATCGACACAACTGGATTACCTGATGGGTTTTGACAATATTCTGGTTTAAGCTAATTGTCATGGTTTCATGTATTCATCTAATTAAAACTACAAAACACCAACCATGGTTCAAACAAAAATAGAAGTGGTGTTAAAATCAATCCCATGCTTTTTTTGGATCATCCACTTCCAAACTTTTTCCAAAATAAAATAATATTATTAATATTAGTTGTATTGTTATTATTTATTTAATTATTTTTACAATGAAATTTATCTTTTAAAAAGTCTTGTTGTTTTTGAGAAAGATTTGACAATAATTCGATTGGGAAATCTTCAAAGGCCAAGTTGAATGAGTTGCCAAAAAAGATGGCAGCTTGGAAGGGTATTTTAGAGAAAAATTTGTATTTCTTGATTGTATCAAATCCAATATTGAAATACTTGGATACTACGAGTGCAAGATCGAAATGGTAATGTTTAACCAATTTTGCATATCTCTGTTCCATCTTTTCTTGTGATAATATTCCACTTGGAAGATCTTTGGTGATCAACTCCAAACAATATTCAAGCATTAAGGTTGAACATTCTGTACCCTCGCCCAAACGATCGAAACCCATTTTATCAACAACCGATTCTATTGTTTTTCTTCCAGTTTCGATATCCATATCTTTGGTTTCCTCTTTTAATTTGTCGATGACCATTTTGAAGCAATCTCGTCGGTTGTGTTGCAATACTTTAAAGTCACTTGTTTTCTTGAGGTCCAATTCAGAAAACACTGACAATGGTGCACCATTGTCAAGGAGATAAAGAATGTTCCTTTGTATTGAGAGCAAACGGGTGGCAAGGTGTTGAGTATTTTCATAGGAAGCGCAATTATGGACATGAGTTTCTAAAAACTCCTTTGGGTCAATGTCATTGAGTCGCTCGTCTCCAATATCCAAAAGAGAATCGATTATGTATTCCTTGAATGGTACACCATTATTGTATAGGTAGTCAAGAATTGGCTTGTTAAGTTTCACCTTGTTGTTGTAAATTTTTTGGATAAAATCATCTCGTTTTTCTTCGTCGACTTCACAGACTAGTCGAGTATCGATGATTTGCATGTTAATATCTTGTGAAAATGATTCGGATGGCATCAAACGGCTGATGAGTTTGGTATCGTACTTGAAGAAAGGATCTGAACCTGATGGGATCTTTGATAGGTGTTCTCTTTTCATTTGCTTTAAAATGAAATTGGTTGTTTCATCATCACTGCCACATGTTAAATCAAAGGCCTTTTCTAGATCCAATCCAATATGAATGAGGAATTTGATTGCTGTGAGGGAGGGTCGACATTTTGGTTTGTAGAGTGATGAATCGAATGGAACCTGGAGATCAGAGGACAACAGGTGATATTGAGAGATGGCAAGTGTGTTGTATGCTCTGGAAGTGCAGGTGATGTCATCAAAAGAAAATAACAAGTGGTTTCTGACCTCGTATTTTTGATTTATGATTGAACGATCAAAAAGAGATGATCCTATTACAAGATCTGGACGATAATGTTGAAGATATCTGAGTATGTTAATATTATCAATTTTTTCCAAGTCTTTAGCTGAAAAGGATTCCGTTCTGTTTCGATGAATAAAATCAACCACCTCTATTTTCATTTTGATATGTAGAACTGGTGATTTATCTTGTTTGAATGAATTCACATTGTGATGGTGCCAATCAATAATGTCACTTTTTTGATAGTTTAACCAGTCTTCTTCTTCATCATCGCCATCATCGTCTTCTTCTTCTTCATCTTCATCTTTTTTTTGTTTATCTAAAGATGTTGAAACCATTTCTTTTGGATAGTACCGTGTTGGTTTTTCTGGGATACTATCAGACTCTTTGATAAAACTGGATAGTTCCTTTTCCATAAGCTCTTTGTCAAATAAAACCGATAGTGTTGGATAATGGTAATAAAAGTATGCTCGGTTTTCAAAAGGAGGATAATTCGGGAAATATGGATATGGATCGACTTGTTTGGATAGTTGCTCGAGACTATATACTGTGGATTCGAGTGAATAAAGAGAGAATAAGGAATCACATTTTTCAAAAAAGGAGGAACGATATTGTTCATAGACAACTTGAAAGAGCTCGACATCTTTGGTTAGGACGAGTTTATACGTTGCGTTGTTACCATAAACATGAAGTGGTTCTTTTCGACGAATAAGATATTTGATCCAATTGTATGCTCGTTTTGAAAGTAGCCATTTAATATCCAATCGGATATCCATTGGAATAGAAACTCTGTATCCAGACTGTGTAAACCTTGTCTCTCGAAGAATCTTCCGCAAAAGGTAAACATTACCAAATACGAGTCGGATGCTTCTTTCTTTGGGAAATGACTTTTCTCGGTTGGCTGTTGTTGTGTTGAATCGTAATGACTTTGATTCGAGTTGAACTTTGGTTGATGGTTCCCACTTGCTGTTGAATCCTTTATCGAGTAGGTATCGTTTCATCTGATCTCCTAAATAGTGGTAATTTGAAAACATGTGCTTCATCTGTTTTCTATCGATCAATTTCGGATCCAAACTTTGTTGTTGAATAAAATAATCCAAAAGGACTATATTTTCGATGGATATTAAGTGTAGTTGATCTTTGATAGTGAGTTGGTATGGTGGAATAGATTGTTGTTTTTGTTGTTTAATTAATTCTTGATAGATTAATTTGGTGCATCTTGGGTGTTCTGATCTTATTGAATGTTGTAAAATTGATTCGATTTCATTGATTGTTGCTTGTTTTAGGTACATTTGAATGATTGGTTCAATTCCGTCTCTGATTGTATGTCTAATATTACAATTTGTTAAATTGAATGAAATGATTTCATCTGGAATCATATTTTGATTTAATATTTTCATATTCCCTCTTCGAATTGCAAATTTAGCTATTGTATTGAAAAGTTGATTGTGTTGTTGTTGATTTGTTCCACGAATCATTAATTGTAATTGTTTTACATCTCCACTCTCACCAACATACTTCCAAGATTCTGGACCAAAACCTTCGAATCTATTGTCAATAAGATATTCAACCAAATCATCATTCATCCCATTGAGATATGCATCATCAAATATAGTTGTTGCTATTCTTTGTGGTTGTTGAATCTTTGATTGAGATGATAGATTTAAATTAAGTTCCAACCATTTGAATATTTCTAAATTTCCTTGCTCACAACATTCTGACATTAAATGATAAATAATATCTTCAGATTTGAATATTCCTTTGATACTATCGAGGTTGTTGGTAATGTTGTATTTGTTGATGATATATTCCAATAAATTAATGTGGTTGGACTTGACAAATATTCTTTCAATGATTGATCTTGATAGTATGATTGGATAATCATTTCTTTGTCCATTCTTCTTGTCCTTCATTTTGAATTGATCAATGATTGACTGGTTTTGTTTCACAAAGTTGTCATACCAATTGATGAAATCCAAATCCAATGTTTCGAGAGCTCTTTGATAAGAGTAGTGAGGAAGGAGACTGTTTGGTCTTGTTGAGATGAGATATTGAGCCGTCCTTGCTTGGAAATTGAATCTCGAGACTTTCAAGTGGAATGGAGCAAGTTTAGATTCACTAATCTCGTCTAAATACTTTAACACCTCTAGATTGTTTGATTTTGCAGCTTTCCTTGCCGCTGTTGCAGTGATGAGGAGAGGTCTATTGGCTTTGTGCAATGACCATTGTAATAATTTGTCACTTCTATACTCTTGAACTATTGCATATGCCACCTTGACTTGTTCCAATGTACAAAATCCACAACTAAAATCAAAAAGAGTCGAAGATTCCGAATAGATACAGGAACTGATCCCCTTTTTATAATAATTTGAAAATAGAATTGGAATGACTATCGTTGAGCCAGTGAGTATTGAATTAAATATGGCATTTTTAAATGCTTGGCGCAAGTGTAATGTCTTCATTGCAGATATAACCTCGATTAATATAATCTTGAATGCAATAAAGGTATTCCAATTGTCCAATTCTTGATCATTCATTGTCAGATAGGGGTATGTTGTTTCTTGCGATTGATATTTGAATATTGGTGTTTGTCTTTCAATGAATTGAATATCTTTGAATTGTGATCTGATATCGTCTAGTTGTTGGTAAGATAGGAGACTGTGGTGTAATACATTGACAGTTAAATAGTAGACAATATCCAATTGAACTGTGATAAAGTGGTGGCCGACGTTTTCAAACTGAAAGAATTCTTCATACTCGAGAGACAAGAGATCGTTTAGATAACTCTCTACCACATTCTCCCCAACGTCAATCGTATTTGGTGGGGCCAATGATCTAGCCAATTCAATAGAGTTGACATACTTCCACAAATCTGCTCTCTTTTGGAGATATGGACGACTATTATCTTGAATGTGGTCATCGATGATTTGGATAGCTTTCGATTTGTCTGATGGTGTTGATTCGCCATCCAAAATGTTATGTATGACATTGTATGGACAACCCTCAGTTCTATTGTTGATGAGGTAGTCGACCATTGGCCAATTAGCATTTGACAGGGCTGCTGACAATGCTGCGGTTGTGCAGGTCAGCTGAATGGGTGTGGTTTGTCTCTCCAACATCTTGAATACCTCTACACATCCCTTGGCTGCAACCTTGTCCAATATGTTGCATGATGTGAACACGTCTGGTTGGTGATCATACACTCTCTTGAATAGGTCATAGTTTTGAGTAATTTCACTCTTGCAAAACTGCTCGGCAGATTGACAATCTAAATGAATCGTTTGCACATTGGTTCTGATTCGATCATTCAATAGCATTGTCAGATGTGGATAATCTATCTGTTCAACCGGTTGGCCGAATTTAAATATCTTTGAGCGACGGTAATAAAACCACCACCTACCCGTATTTCTGACAACAGATCGAGTAATATCTCTTGAGTGTTTAAAGATTAGAGTTGTAAGCTTTTCATCTTTGAATAGTACTTTTCTAAACACCTCTATCTGCAAGATTGATGATTTACTATCAAGTGAAGAACTAGACGATATCATTTGTGATACTTTAAAAATGAAAAATGAATATATTAGTATCATGGTGAATTATGCTCTACTACTATTCTATCATACAATAAATTAGATCTATATTATCTCTTTTCTTTCTTGTATTATCTTTTGAATTAATTATCTCTTTATGTATTATGAATTGTTAAGTGTATGCAATAATGAATGAAAAAGATGAAGATCAACATGAATCTTTGCATATTAAAAAAAAAATTAAAAAACTTTTCAGGAGTTGGCGCCAAAATAAATATCTCAATAACTTGTCTTGATTTATTAATTATTTACTTTGATTGGAGTATTACTTGGATAAACATAGATATGATTGTCTTTTACTTTAAAATTCAAATAAAGTGATGGGTAATCTAATGGACTTCTATTACCTATGCTTGTTGTTTCCATTCTCTGTTGTCGATAGATACCACCAAAAAATGAGTCACCAGAGTTTATCATAACATCTCCATTGTCTAATCTTCTAATATAAATATAGTTAAATTTACAACAGAAACCCAATTCAACTCACCGTATCATTACCCACCTACATTTCGTAATTTATTCTATATTCGATGTGATAATCTACCACCAGTCATCTAAATATCTAAAGTCCACGAACCAGAATCTTCAATTGATACGTGTTCAACATTAGATATAGATAGATAGACCTTTATTGGTTTGATAACCGAGTTTGAAAATATTCGACATGAGAGCTAGGAAAAGATACTCTCTTTACAATATTTTTTGAAATAAATTCAAACAGTCGTTTGCAAGTGAGTGTCAATCCAAATCTATATTGATTGATACTTGAAACAAGATAAGGACTATCATAATTTGTGATGAAAGCCGGAATTGAAAGTAAATCTTTGTTTCTGTGAATTGGACATTTAGATTTTGTGGGAAAGTTGTTGTCATTGTTGATTAATGATATACATTTGGTTGGTGGTAATTTTGTTGATTGGTATTTCACAAGTACAATAATAGCTGTTCCAAGTGTATCTGACAATCTTTTCAATTAAATTAAATGGAATTGTTGGATTGTATATCTCCAATTGATTCCATCCTGTTGTTTGCATAGTAGTTTCATATTTTTTTGTTGAATAAATGTGAATTGTCTTTTTTCAGTTGCTCCTTTAAATGTTGCTCCATGATATTGATATCCATTCCTAGTAAAACTATTTATCATGAGGTCAGTCATTTCAAAGTGAATGTCTATTAATATTGTTTTGATATTCAATAAACCAAGAGTAACGTGATCCAAGAAGATTTCTAAAAGGTTGGAACCAGGTTTAAGTTTGATTGTTGAAATGGTTGATGGAATGTTTTCTATAAATTCTTGAATGGTCTGATGAATTTCAAAACCAGTGTGGTCAACAAGTGTTGTGATCTTTGTGTCTTGAAAAGTGTAATGAACCAATCTATAGTTGTTATAATGGAATTTTTTTCAAATTTGGCAAATGTTTTGTTGGAATAATGTTGCTGTTGACAATACTGCTGGGTAATTTAGTGTCAATAACAATTGGGTTTCTGCACCAATTAATTGGAAGTAATAGTTTGGTTATTGCTACATTTGTTTTTGATAAAACATCCAAAAATGGTTCTCTATCAATACTATAAGGTTGATATGATTGTAAATTGATTGATGTGAGATTCTTAAAACTTGGTAGGAATTGTTGTTTACACACTCGTTCATATTCTATTTTTTTTTTCAATTGAATAGGTAGCAGTGATTGATTTGATATTCTTAAAGACTTGTGGTAATATCTTGTTGTTGGTTGTTGGGTGATTTGAGACAAACACTATCAAGTTTGAGCTTTTCAACTTGATTAAATATCGTTGTGTTTTCGTCTCCAATAATGGACAAATTATCATTTGTAGGATTGTTAACTACTTTTGGTGTTTTAATTGGACAATATTGATTGTTGAGATGATTCCATGGGTCTTGATCAAGTCTAAATGAAATATTATTCAAATAATTTGACGATATATATTGATTGACTCTTTTTTGTTAGATTTAGATTGTAAATTAAAGTACAGTTCAATGATTAGTCAATGATATTTCATCTAATTATCAACATACTTAATCCTGGTGCCAAATATAGAAAGTATGCTGGATAAAACTACTAACGACTAAACTATTGTCGGTTAGTCGTCTTTAACAACAAACTATAAAAGACCAATGAAATCAATAAACATTAATTCATCTTTTTATTACTATAATTAATAATCATTACAATCTAATCTAAAGTCATTATTACTATCTATATATTCATATATCTATATATTATTATTATTATATACCTCTCAAACTAATTATATATTTACCAAGTATCTATATAGTTATTACATTTTTGATATGTTGAGTAGTTGAAATCTCCATTTGTTCTTGTCATTGGTGGTTGATGTAAACATAATCCTAGTACCTGAATAGATGTTGATTGATGGATCCAAATCATTCAAATAATGGTATCTATGCATTGGACATTTCATCATTCTTGATTCTTTACTATCATTCCACAATGAAATACAGACTGGCCACATTTTATAGCTCAACCGTCTGGACCATAATGATTTGCCATCAAAGCATTGATAGTATGTTGATTATAATAACAAGTACAAATAGAAGATTCCTGCCAAAGTTTACTAATTATTCACACACACTTGATCCGTCCATCACTCGCAGGCTCGCTTGGGAATTTATTGAAGCATTGGATCGGATTCCGCTTCGCGTCCTCCTATGAGTGATTTAATTCTTATATTTATTAAAACATTTATTCTCTCATTTGTTTCTTTCCAATTATTCCTTATTATATTATATTATTCTTTCTTTCAATAAAGTAGAGAAATAGAGTAGTAGAATAAAAATAAAATAAATAAAATAATAAATGTAATAATAAAAGAAATGTTTAATTAATCGAGGAAAACGGATAAGCATCAGATCTTTGGGACTGTTGACCGATCAAATGGTGTAGCAACTTAGAAACGGATAAGCATAAGATATTTGTGTATTGTTGACGGATCTAATGTAACTAACTGATAAACGGTGTGTTTATCTTATTTGTCACGAAAAAATCAGAGAATGAAAATAATAAAAGTGGAAAGAGGAGAACATATTGTGTAACAGTTTGAACTTGTTTGGAAAGTTTTGTTGCAGCTTTTTTGGCGGTGGTCAGATAGTTTTGTTGTTTAAAATCCGAGTACATGTCTTCAGGAACAACAAAATAGAGATCAACATTGGGTGGATTGCCGAGTTGATCGACAATGTTTGACAGCTCTTGCATCAATGGAGGATGAGTTGAGGAAACTGTAACTTGAAACAATTGTGTTGGTTTGATCAAGCTGTCGACCACTGGGAAGTTGGAGTAGGTTGGGAGGAGATAGGCACCAGTCGCAGAAGATGCTTTTGAAATATCGTTGATGGATTTGATATCTACAGAAGGGAGAGGCTTGGGGATAACAACATCGCTCTCTTTGCCAGTATTGTTGTTGTTCAGTAGTCTTCTTTTGAAAGTGCCGCCTACTTGAAGCTTTCGATGCACAACACCTTCAAAGAAAGATCCTCCAAGTGGAGAATGAAGAAAGCGTGGGACCGTCAGCTCTTTTGTGATTCTGTCCATGTGCAGCTTCTCTGTCTCACGCACTACAATTCGAGCCACGTACTTTGATGAGAACCGCAACTCCATCTGAGAGTATTTGGCAAACCCTGGTACATCTCGTGGAATGATTTGGATGACCTTGTGGCTACCTGGTGCCTGTGGATCCTCTTGACCTACACTCTTGACGCACAAGTCCAAATCCAATGTTGGTATGACTTGGTCAAGTGTTCTTTGGAACTCTTGATCATGTGCTTTCTCCAAAACGAAACGGGGGATTCCGCCCCACTTGTTCCAAAGCTGATCAAGCTCAACCTACAAAATTGAGGTGTTAGAAAAACAAAGATATTGAAATGAGAACTGAACATACCTGTGTTACCGATGGGTATAACAATGGTCTGACAGTATCAAGTTCACGCTTCTTCCAAGGAGGGAGATATCTTCTTGTTGAGTCGGCATCCTTGAGGAATTCTTTGTACTTGCTTGGATCTGGTGACGAGACAACGATAGTTTTGGCAGCATGGTTTGACACATCGAGACTATCGACCAAGTAAAAAGTCTTTTTGTCCTTGAGGTGGGGAAGAACGTCACTGTGCGAGAGAGTTCTCAAGACCACAGGCTTCACATGTTGGTCGTAAGTGTAAACATAGTATGCATCCTTGGTGTCAGAATGATACGAGCGAACTACGATTGTGGCCTTCATTTGCGAGATGACCCACATCATATAGTAGATGAATACCGACTTGCCGATACCAGGGTTTCCTATAACAACAAATGCACTGTTGATTGAGCTTGTAGCAGGGGGTGAGGTTGGTTGATGGTGTTGTAGAAGGAGATAAAGTGGATTCATATCTTGTAAAGTCAGCAAATATAAGTTCCTTTAACTTCACATAACATTTTCGAATAAACAATGATGATCTCTTCTTCTCATTACCCAAAAAATGAACACCACTGGGAATTCGAAGAATCGAGTTGGGATCAACTTTTAAAGTTTGAAGGTGCTCCCAGAATACCTGTGCAGATGGCTCGGCTCGTTGAAGATTTGAAGACACTATAAATATATAAAAGAAAAGAAAAGAAAAAAAGAAACAATAAATGATTAGTAAATGAACATTTTGTAAATTACTATGTGAGTGAGTGTTGTGTCATACCTTGTTGTTGAGGTTGGAGTTGTGAACTCTTAAAGAAATCAACAACTCCATCTAACTTGTGAAGATTAATGATTTGCTTTGCTCTATCATCACTGTTAATGCTTGAAATTGCTTTCTTTTTGATTTCTTTGTTAATGGCAGGGTCAGCATCAAAAGTTGTTTCCATTATAATACCCATTGCTTGATCTTGAACAGATTGTTGTGACATGATTGTTACTTCTATTATCTCTATTATTATTTGTTTTCAAAAAAAAAAAAGAATAATATGAACAACTGGAATCACCTCCCCCTTTTTATAAATAAAAATAAAATAAAAATTAAATTCTTTTATTAATATAATTAAATGTCTATTAAGCATCAGATGTCAAAGGTTGAGCAGTTAAAGAAACAACTAGAAGAAGCACAAAGAGAAGAATCAATGAAAAAAGCAGCAGAAATATCGCAATTAGGTTACTATGGGTCATCAAACGACAACTTTTCATGCCGTGTATTAAAACAAATGATAAGTAAGTGCAATTCAAAGCAAGCAATAAATGGTATAAAGAAATATATTCTAACCTACTTCCTCACAAGTACAACAATAACTATTCCAAGAGTATTTGACAATCTTTTCAATTAAATAAAATGGAATTGTTGAATTATTATTATTATTATTTTCTATTTCTTTTGGTCCTATTGTTTCTGTTGATATTATTAAAGGTAGATCCAATGTTGTTGATTTGATAAATGTAAACTGTCTTTTGTTTGATGTCCTTTAAATGTTGCTCCATGATATTGATATCCATTCCTAGTAAAACTATTTATTTTTGGCAAATTGATTGATCATTTGATCTGTCATTTCTTTATCGTCGTCAATTAATACTTTGTTCAATCCACAAAGAGTTTGGTGATCCATTAGTTGAGAAAGACACGACCCGGTTTGAGTTTGATTGTCTCGATGGTTGGTGGAATAGAGTTGATAAATGCTTCGATGGACGGACCATCATCGTTGGTGGAGTGGTCTACAAGCGTTGTAGTAAGTTTTATATCATTCAAAGTGTAACCAACCATCGACAACGATCAATTGATAGTTGTAAATATGGAATGTTTTCAAATTTGGCAAATCACTATTTCGACCCAAACTTTCAAATCAACATTGTTTGATTGGTAAATCAATCGAATCACTTTCAATCGAATTTAGAATTGACGATACTAGATTTCTCCAAATTGCTCATTTTACAAATGTTAAAAGGTGTAAAGTTAAATTCGTTAATCGAATGCAAACATATCCAACGTTTGTAGACGCTATTACTTCATTTAAATCTCTTACTGAATTGGATCTATCTAAAAATTCTATTGTTCAAAACGTGACCGATGATGAATTATTGGATAGATTAAAAGACTTGCCACTGCGAAAACTCCATTTCAATGGTTATCTACCAAAGTCGTTGTTTACCAATCCAAATCTAACTCGTATCGTCAAGTCATTGAAGCAACTACAATCAATGCCCATCATTTTGAAAAATACCTGCCACAGTTGTTTAAACTTCCAGCACTCAGACACCTCAAAATCGAAAAATATTATTGTCATCAAATTTGAAAGAATTTACTTTTTTCTTTCAATCAACTCTTCCATCTGGTATCAGAAAATTATCTACCGATCATTGTTGGCTTGTCAACATTTGCAACAGAAATCCACAAGTAAAGGAATTGGCATTGCTGAAACAACAAGGAATTGATCAAGACCATCATCCATTTCAATTCTACCACGACAATGTTCAAAAGGTTGTCATCAATCAAACAACAACAACAACGACAACTACTTGTGTCCTCGACCAAAAAAATATCAATTCATTGGTACTTTTGTATCAAGAAAGTTTTAATTGTCTTGCTTCTAAAAGGGTTTAGTAATGCGAAGAATTGGAAAATAGTTGGTATTTATTGGTAATATTATGGGGAAATTTTTTTTTTTTAAGCATCTCATTTCGTGGCATCCACCTGTAGGGTGGAGCACTACTCTTTCGATTGCGAAGTTTTATTGATTGAAGTCTTTGTTTGACCAGCAATGGGAACTGAGTTTCCATAGTTCTCTGTTTCTATCTCTTTCTCTCTATTACAGAAAAATTCCAAACTGATATTATGGGGAAATTTTTTTTTTTTTTTTTTTTTTTAATAAAATCTTTGACGTCTTCATCACCGCTGAAGTCAATTGTTTATTTTTAAATTAATGATTTAATTATTATTGTTTAATTTGGAGTAGTTGTTAGATAGTGGTTAGTTTTAGTTAGGAAGGAGGGAATGCGATAGGGTGAAGCTAGTTTGCCCCAAATGAGAGAGAATTTACTAAAGTTTGCGATCAGTTCGAGATTAGTGACCGACCATCGATCAGGTTGACATTTAGCTAGAATCGACTTGCAGTTTTGGATTAGTTTCAGGTATTCAAGATAGATTATAGTTTTGAATCGTTTGGTGACGATTGCTGCTTCGTTTGGGTCGAGAGAGTAGTTGCGATCGTCATCGTCAAAGTCGAATTGCACATTCAGGTGGTGGCACCATGTGCGATGGAAGAGTATAGCAACAGCATTGACATAGCGTCTGTGATGTGTTCTCTGCTTGGTGAAGTTGAGAGCGTGGACATTCCACTGCACTCTGTTGTCGGTCCAGTCGAGAATCAACTTGCTAAACAGTGGAGCTCGTGGTTGAACGTGTATACATTCAAACAAATGGTGTATGATTGGAGATGTGTGTGTATCCCCATCGAATACAGTGTGGCATGCGTAGCATATTGTATTGGTGTCAGCTGGGGTACGTTTCATTATTCTGGCAAAGAAACGAAAGAGGGTGTCTCTTGCTGTCGTGCATTTGACGCTTGCCACGACGGCAAATATTTGCTCGATGTTGGTACCAAAGAGAGCCTCGATCTCTCTTTGACCGACGGTCTTTTGGTTGACCTTTGGTAGTCTGGTTGCTTGGAGAGCAGAGTAGATTTGCTTTAATTCGATTGGTGTATTTGGCTGGTCGGGTCCCTCCTTGGCAGGGATGTGCTTTGGAAGATAGGGACCAAACTCGGTGAATGGTTTGTCGTACGTGGCACGATACAGCTGTAACCATGCTTCCCAACATGTTTGGAAGTATGTGGAGCTGTTGGTGAGGGTGCCTGGGCGTAGGTACTCGCCGAGTATATGGTTGGTCCACACCCTGCGGTACGAGATGGGGTTGTTGGAAGGGTCGGCAAGGAAACGATTCATCGTCCATGCCTTTTGCGCAACTTGTCTGACGTCCATGTCCCAGAGGCCGATGCCTCCCTTTGTCCAATGTAGTGATGCCCTTGGCACCAAACCCAAGGTATCTTTCGGTGCACGTTGCTACAGGGAATGGGAGGTTGGCAGTATCCATCAAGGGATGGATACCGATCACTATGATGACGCACTTGGCGGGGTTGACTTTGGACGCAGTGGCATCACAAAAGTCATCGAAGTGCTTGTTTGTGCGGTTGAGCTCGCCTCGATTGGCTGCCAAACCAAGCGAGTCGTCGGCAAACGATTGGATTGCGAGTCGAACAGATATGCTCATTGGCATGCCTGTGATGGTCTTGTCGGCGATGATGGTCCTAGGGAGACACTCTATGACGATGGCAAAGATGGTTGGGGAAATTGGATCGCCCTGTTTTGTACCTCGTTTGATTTCGAACGGTTCAGACAGTACGTTGTTGACGATGGCGCGGACCATGGAGCCGCTCAAAAGGCAGAGTATTAGATTGACCATGACCGAAGGTATGCCAATGTGGATTAGCGTATCTCTAATCGCTACATGGGAAATCGAGTCAAAGGCTTTATGAAAATCGTAGAGGGTAATGAACCCTGATTGCCTGGTTCGATTATTGTAGTCGATCACCTCTTTAAGGTTTATGATGTTGTCGTGGATATTTCTACCGGGTACAAACCCGGTTTGATTATCGTTGATGATGGTGGAGTGGAAGCATAATAAACGGTTGTTTATCATTAATGACAAGAGTTTATAGTCTGTATTTAACAGAGTGATGGGACGGCGGTTGCCGATTTCCATTGGGTCACCCTTTTTCATTAGAGAGTGAATGACACCAGATTTGAACTCTGGGTTGATGGATAGTGGGTCTCTCATCAACGAGTTGTAAAAGTCCAATAGTAGAGGTGCGGTTCTTTGTGAGTGTGTTTTGAATACCTCGTAGGGCAAGCCATCTGGGCCTGGGGCTGAGTGTAGTTTTGATTGTTTGATGGCATCTTCCATTTCTTGGATGGAGAAGGGAGCTTGCATGCATTGAGCCGCTCTTGGATCTAGCCTCTCTTTCCAATTTGCCAGCATCTTTTGGTGCAATTCTCTGTTTGTTTCTTTACTTTCATATAGATTCTTGTAGTATGTTTTGAAAGCCATGTCTATGTCAGAATAGACCGGTGTGTGGGGGGGGGGGGGGGGGGGGGGGAAATTGGCGTCAAAACGCTGAAAATTATTTTTTATCATCCAAAAATTGCTCGTTTAGCTCAGTCGGTAGAGCACGGTGCTAATAACGCCGCGGTCGCAGGTTCGATCCCTGCAATGAGCAATCTTATAAGTGTTATCTATGCTGCCTCCGAGGTTTTTTCTGTAATATTGTGTATGGTGTATATAATATCTACTGCTAATAATGACAATGATGATAAACAAGATAACTAGATAACTGACAAGATACAATAAACTAGACTGAACAAGACTCTACACGATAGATATACAATTATAACTAGCTACACGAATTGGGGAAACAAGAATGGTCCACCAAGCTCGTCGCGACTTCTATTTATTTGTGTTTTTCATATTTTATGTATTTTCGGAATGCAGGGTGAACCTTGTTCTCTGACACTCTCGCAGTGACACCAAAGGCATGCAGCGTACCACGCCTTCCTTCATTCCTTCTTATATTATTATCTACTTTAAAGTCCTTCCCCGAAGCTGGAGTATTGGCTAGCGAGGGAGAGTGAGCCTTGGCCGTGATGGATGGGGCAGGAGAAGGTGGTTTAGCAGTGGCGGAAGGAGAGACTGGTTTTTGGAGAATTCTCCGGAGCAGGATGGATGGTGGCAATGGTTTGGAAAGAACGGGGTTGGGTGTGGCGTCTGGAGCCTCGGTGATGACTGGAGATTGTGTAGTATTGAATACAGAGGGAACAAGGTTAACCGTGACGTTGGAGTCGGAAGAGTCGACGTGACCATTCGGTGTAGAGTTAAGGTTTAAAGTGGTGTCGTTTGAAAGTATGTCGGTTGTAGAGTCGTCGGTTGGACTCTTCTTGTTGGTGCTGTTGTGCATCGCATGCTCAGGGTTTAGCTGTTCAAACTCGTCGAGTATGTGTGTCGGTATTTGATCTCTAGTAGACCAGCGGTTGTTGTAGTTGTCGAGACCGGTCCACTTTACGAGATATTGTGGTTTGTTGTAATGCAACCTGAAATCGACAATGGCCTCTATGAGATGTTCCTCGATGAGACCAGAGGTAGGGATGGATACTTGATACGTGGTGTCGCTGAAACGGGATGAGTGGTGGAACGGTTTCAACAAAGAGGAATGGAAAACAGGGTGGATGGCCATAGTATCGGGCAACTCGAGCTTGTACGCTGACTTCTCATCGTTGTGGTTGGTTATGACACTGATAACCTTGAATGGACCTATCCACTTGTTGTACCATTTCCAACTGTGTCGACGCGAGTCGGCGGCAAGAGTGATATTCTTTCTGTTTAGTAGAACCATATCACCGACGTTGAGAGACTCTTGAACTTTACCACGGTCATGGTATTCCTTTTGGCTGGATTGGGCTTCGGCGAGACATTGAGTGGCATGTCTCCAAGACATGATACGGTTATCGATAAAGTCGTTGACGGCTGGTGTGTCAGAGTCGATGTCACTAGAAGAAAGTAAGCGAAGGGGGTTAATAAGCTCAAAACCATGAATGAGGTGGGCAGGGGAATGGTTGGAAGAGGAGTGGATGGTGGTATTGTATGTAAAAGCAAGAGTAGGTAACAATTCTACCCAATTGTCCATCTTGTAGTTGACGTGTGATCTCATCATTTCATTCGTCACCCGATTCATCCTCTCTGACTGCCCGTCAGTTTGAGGGTGAAAGGAGGACGAGAATGATAGTTTGGAACCAAGTAGTTTAAATAGAGCTTCCCAAAAGTTGGAAGTAAATTTAGCATCCCTGTCAGATACTATATTCAAAGGCAGACCATAGCGAAGATAGAATTGGTCGTAGAATAATACGGCGGTATCTTCTGCCGTTGCGTTGACGAAAGTAGGGATGTAGACTACGAATTTAGAGAACTTGTCAACAATTGTCAGTAATGCATTATGGCCGGTGCCTCTTGCTGGTGGGAGATCTACCATGAAGTCAAGTGTGACAGTGTGGAAAGGGCGATGTGGGATTGGCAGAGGGTGAAGTTTGCCCAACGCACCACTCGTCGGCGACTTGTTGCGCTGGCAAGACTGACAGGCAATCACGTACTCCTTGCAGTCCTCGTAGATACCACGCCAGTAAACCGACTGAGAGAGGTGCCAATAAGTCTTGTCGACGCCGAGGTGACCAGTATTGTGAGCCGCTTGAATGATATCTTTTCTCAGATCCGGGTCGTTTGGAATGCACAACCTGCGATGATCGTTACCTGTGAAATAAACTAATTTGTTTGTAGAAACATGAAAATGGAGACGGCTTTTGCCATTAATAATATCTGAATAAAATAAATCTGATTTGTATCCTTTCTTGATACGATCGTTAAAGTGTGGATCAACTATCGGTGATGATATCGCCTCTTTGTAGTCGGGGCGACGCGAGAGAGCATCCGCCACAACATTGAGCTTACCAGGCTTATGCTTGAATGTATATCTAAACTCACCTATGAACCGGGCCCAACGACCAACCTTGTCATCGGTACCAACAGCGTCTTCAATTCGACTGATAGCAGTGTGATCAGAGAAAAGGATAAAGTCCTTGCCCACAAGGTAATGGCGCCACTTTTTGAATGAGTGGTATACCGCCAAAGCCTCCTTGTCACGCGTGGACATACCTCTCTCTGCTTTAGTCATTTTGCGCGATTCAAACGCTACAGGTCTACCATCTTGTTCGAGGACAGCACCGATCCCAAAGTCAGACGCATCAGTGGTGACGGTGAACGGGCCGTCCATATCTGGAATGAAGAGGGACGTGCACTCACAAAGCAACGACTTGATCTTGCCAAACGCGGCTGACAGCGAGTCGCTCCATGATAACGTCTTTTTCGTGGTGGCATCGTACAACGGGGCCGCGTGGTCGGCAAAGTGGTCGATAAAATTACGGTAGTAATTACACAACCCGAGGAAGCTTTGTAGTTCTGTGACGGTAGACGGTGTCGGCCAGTCCTTGACCGCGGCAAGTTTATCTGCAAGGGGACGGATGTACCCAGGAGTGATAAGGTGACCGAGGAACTCTACCTCCTTCACTAGAAACGATGACTTTGCTTTGTTGGCGAACAATTTGTTAGAACGTAGTCGGTCGAGAACTTGCTTGATGTGTTCGTAGTGGTCGTTTTCATTCTCTGAGAAGATAAGAATATCGTCGATATAAATAATTACAAAAGTGTCGAGAATGTCAGCGAATGCCGCGTTGATGGCACGAACAAAGGCGGACGGAGCATTACGTAGCCCGAAAGGAATGACAGTGTACTCGTAGTGACCAGACGGAGTACTAAATGCTGTTTTGTGGGTATGCTCATCCTTAATACGAATCTGATTGAAGCCGTCCTTTAGGTCGATCTTTGAAAAGATCTTGGCCTTTGCGATCTTCTCGATCAGTTGGTCGATTCTTGGTAACGGGAAACGGTCGGCCACCGTCTGCTTGTTTAGCGCGCGGAAATCCACGCACATACGGAGAGTGCCGTCCTTCTTTCGAACAAAGAGGACAGCCGAGTTGTACGGGCTCTTGCTCGGGGCGATCCGACCAGATGCGAGACCCTTCTCGACAGTGGTGAACATGACGTTATTCTCTTCCGATGAGAGGTGATTATTGCGGCGATAGACTGGCTTGGCACCATCCACCTCGACGATCTCCATGTCGTGCAAGCGGTGGTCAGCGAGGTAGTTTGGTAAAGCGTCTACCAAAACGTCTTGGTAGTCGGCGAGGAGTTTGGCGAACCGAGGGTTTGCCGACGAGACGCTGGCGACGTGGGCCAGGCCAGAGTTGGAAGAAGGGGAGGGATACAGTTTGACGATAAAGAATTCATCGACATCGTCGTCCACAAAGAGGCGTTGAATGGCCGAGACCGACAATTCGGGAATGACGGATTGGACGACGACATGAATGGGGGGTGGAACGGGTGGTGCGAGTGGCGACGAGGGGATGATAGGCGAGGTAACAGGTGGTGTGACAGACAAGACAATAGGCGGAATAACAGTTGAAACAATGGGCGGTGAAACAGGAGAAACAATAGATGGTGCAATAGGTGAAGCGGGTGGAGAGATAGAAGGAGTAACATGTATAGATGGTGCAACAGGTGAAACGGGTGGAGGGATAGAAGGAGTAACATGTGCAGAGGGTGAAGTGGTGGTGTGAACAATAGGGTGGTCAAGTAAGGTAACCGATATAGGGCGAGATCCAGCCTGGGCGCAAGTGACAGGTGGCACCGGTACAGCGAGGGTGGCGACCGTGGCCGGGTCCTTGAAAGACAAAGTGCCAGCCGTCCAATCGATAGATGGATTGGTGGCCAGCAACCACGGCATGCCCAGTATAATCTTGTGTGGTGATTCCAAGATCAGAAAGGGCATGTTGACGCTACGTCCCATTACGCTAATGTCCAACGAGATGGAACCGTTGACATGGGTGTGGGAGCCATCAGCTAGCATGATGGGAATGGGTGACTTGGAATATGGAATGTTGTAGAGGCCTAAAATAGATGGGGAAATGACATTGACAGCTGCTCCGCTGTCAATGAGAGAGGGTGAATCAAATAATGAAAAGGATGTATCGACGTACATACATTTTATTGATCGAGAGATCGTCCCAACAAAGGGAGCAGGGGACGACACTAGTTTAAATTCGATGGGTTCTTTTTCTTTGACTTACGAGGGCAATCGATTGCAGTGTGCTTGTCAGACGAGCGGCAGAAGAAGCACAGTCGATGTGTCTTACAATAATCTTGGATGGCTGGAGTCATGGGGCCAGACAACGAGATGGCCGAGATGTCCATGGGAACGACCGTGGAAGGTGGGGCGACATTCTGACCGTAGTGGTGTTGGTCAGAGGCGATGCGGCAACAAACGGAGATGGTGTCGTCAAAGGTTTTTGGGCGGAACTCACCACCGAGCAAATTGAAAATAGACCTGACACCAGTCGAGAGACCATGGAGGTACCGGTCGATACGGTCGTCCTCCGACATGGATGGGCAGTTCGAAACTAGTTCTACAAACGTGCTAGTGTACTCTTGTATGCTGAGTTTATCTTGAGATAATTTCCATAGCTTGGCACGCGCCACATCGGCGGCGTTGACTGGGGAGAATCTGTTCTTGAGAGCCGACTTGAACGCATCCCAAGAATTTATGGATGCCTCGACTGAGATGAACCAAGACGAGGCAGGGCCTGTCAAGAAAGATCTGGCGAACGGGATCCTCTCGTCGTTCGGCGTTTTGTAATAGTTGAACTGGTTTTCGACGGCAGCGATCCATTGGCGCATGGAAGAGGCATCACCGTTGAACGGAGGAGGAGCACCTAATTTGAGACGCTTACCAGAAACAGGCGCTGGTGCTATAACCGGTGAAGGTGCTGAGGCTTGGGCAACGAGACGGTTAATAACAGCGTGTAGCTCATCGAACTTAGCTTGTTGTGTTGCACTCATGACCGACTGTAGTGCAACAAACTCCTTTTGGAGTGACTCTTTCTGTTCTGCTGAGAAACCTGACATGACAATGACAACAATAAACAACTATATATAAAAAGGAAACGATGATGTGATGAATGAACGAGCAATTGACCGATAGACAAAAGCTACCAATGTAATATTGTGTATGGTGTATATAATATCTACTGCTAATAATGACAATGATGATAAACAAGATAACTAGATAACTGACAAGATACAATAAACTAGACTGAACAAGACTCTACACGATAGATATACAATTATAACTAGCTACACGAATTGGGGAAACAAGAATGGTCCACCAAGCTCGTCGCGACTTCTATTTATTTGTGTTTTTCATATTTTATGTATTTTCGGAATGCAGGGTGAACCTTGTTCTCTGACACTCTCGCAGTGACACCAAAGGCATGCAGCGTACCACGCCTTCCTTCATTCCTTCTTATATTTTCCCGGTATGCCCTAGGTTGATTTTTTTTGCACTTTCTTTCCTACCAGTTCATTCTCCTCTCTGTTGCCTACAATTTTATCCAAGTTTCATCGATTTCTATTAAATTCTAACCACCAAAACATACAAAATACTTTTTCCATTAAAAAATAAAAAAATAACTTTCAAGTACCTTTGTTTTTACCCTTTTTCATTTCTAGGTTTGATTTTTTTTTTTTCCTTTTCTTTCCACCAATTCATTCTCCTCTCTGAAGGCCTACAATGAAGAATTCAATATTATCAAATCATTTTAAATAGTACTTTAAAAAAAAAACACAAACTTTTTCAATGAGTCCTAGGATTTTAAAATGTCCCACTTTATTAATCAATTAATTATCCAATTTGATGAATGAATAAATACATCAGAAATAATTAATTATTTCTGATGAATGAATAAATACATCAGAAATAATTAATTATTTCTTTATAAACATTATTCTGGAAAATATAAAAAATAAAACTTAAAGACTTCCCACAAATCTATTTTTTTTCTGTTCGCTCTCTTGATATTTTCATACAATGGTTATTAATCAAAAGTTTTGATTCAAAACAACAATCAGACATTGTTTAAAAATGATCATCAAATAGTTTAGTTTAGTTTTGTTTGTTTAAACTATGGAGCAGCCAACTGATGAATGGATTCAACAAATCATTCATTTATCAAAAAAGATTAAAGAATTTGATGATCTAATCAGTAAAGACAATAATCGCAACTATTCTAATAGAGATAGCAAATCAAAAGAATCAAAAAGAATAGCAGTAGCATTAAACAGCAGCGAATGTATTGGTAATATATTGTTTTATGACAAGAAACAAGATGCAATCTATACCAATCAAGTGGTATCATGGTTATTATATCTACTTGCTCATAATGATAATCTCATTGTATGTATTACATATTTGATACTCTTATTTTGAAATATAAATATATATATATATCTAACCAAGCAATTCTATTCTATTTAAAAGATTAAACAAGTATCAATAAATGTATTGAATGCAATGATGACACCTTTTTGTATAGAGTATCGAGCTCTTTTATTTACAAACAAGACTATCAAATTATTGATAATAGAACTAATCAATCTATTAAAATTACAACATTATTCTGAATCAATCAATGAAAAGATTAGACAATCAATCATTTCACTTGCTTTATTCATTAATAATAATAATAATGATCGTAAGTTAAACAACAAAAAAAAAAAAGAAAAAGAAGTGTAGAATAAGTACTTACCTTTTATTTTATTCTATTAGGATCATTATGGAATGAATTATTATCAATAATATTTATTAATAGTAAAGAAAAAGGAAATGGAGATTTATTTAGAGAGGAAATGTTTTATTTGATTGGAGAGATTAGTTGTCACTTTGAATCAACTGTGGTCGAGAATATACATTCATTTAAAATGTTGTTAGAGGATGGACTGCAAGATACAAATGGTCGAGTTGCAGTGGCTACACTCAAAGCAACGGTGGATATTCTTTGTACCGATGCAATGACCCAAAACCCACAACCTTTACTCTCACTTTTACCATTTGTCATTCCAGTGATTGAAACATCACTCAATGTCAATGAACAGATAACAGAGTACTGTATCCTCACATTTCAACATTTTCTAGAGTTTCAAGATTTCCTCTTTGCTCAACATACCAAACAACTCATCGATACACTATTGCAAGTCGTTGCACATCCCGCCACCAACAATAATATCATTCTAAAACGAGCAGCATTTGATTTTCTATTTTCAACTGCTTCAGTCTATGAAAATGTTTGGAATAGAAAAGATAGTACTAGTCTTGTGACTCACGTCTATGAATGGTTATTTTCAAGTGTTCAAGATATTGATATTAAAGATTGGACATTAAATAACAAATTAATTGATAATGATTTAAATCATGATCAAGATGAAATTGAAATGGAAAGAGAAAAAAAAGAAGAAGAAGAAGAAATAGAAAAAGACGAAGAAGAAGAAATATCTATGGATGATGATGAAGAAAGAATACCAAGAGTAAAATTTAGAAAAACAATTACAAAAGATGTTTTATCATGTTTTAAAGATATAGCAAGAGTTATGGATGATAAATTAATACCAATTGCATTACAACAAACAAAAACATATTTAAAATCCCAAGATTGGAAAAAAAGATATATTGCTTTACAATTTTTTGGAATCATTAGTTTACCATTTAATGAATTTATAAAAGAAAAGGATTTTAAAGATTTATTATTGTATGTAAAAAACTAAATTAAAAGATTAATCTATTTAATTACTTAATTTTTTTTATTTTTTATTTAGGATAATATTAGAAATGGTAAATGATGAAAATCCTAGAGTAAGATGGGCATTTTTTAATTGTCTTGGTGAATTGGTAAAATCATTTGAAACTATACTAGCAAAACAATCTGCCAATGTATTTATTAGTGTAAAGAAAGCAATTCAAGATCCAAATGAACGTGTACAAGCTTCATGTTGTAGTTTTATTCAATCAGCTTTGGTATCTGAAATGATTAGAAAAAGTGACATAACTCTTTTATCAACTATAATAGATATCCTTCAACTACTTTTACAATCATCACGTATCTATGTAATAGAAAATGCTTTATCAACAATATCAAGTCTAGTAAAAACATTTGAAAATGATCTTATTCCTGTATGTTAACAAAAAGAGAAAAGAGAAAAGCGAAAAATATTAAAATGTTTATTTATTTATTTATTTATTAATTTTCTTTTTCTTTTTTTAGTATTATCCAAAAATTATAAAAATAATAATTGAATTACAAAAAAAATATGAAATTAATATAGAAACTAGATTAATTCATAGTAGAGCAATTAGATTATTTGGTTTGTTTGGAGAATTGATAGATATTGAAAAAAAAATATATGAAAAGGATTTTTATACATTGGTTCAATATATTCAACAATTAAAAGGTGATTCGTTTGATTTGGTCATGTACGAGTTTATATTTGTTTGTAAAGGTGCTGCAGAAATACTTGGAAAGGATTTTGTTGTTCATTTACCAATTGCCACCAAATATATCTTTCAAGTTTTGGATCGGCTTATTAAAGTTGGTGTTGTAGAGGACCGACGAAAAATAGTAATGACATTGGAAACGTTGGGTTCTATTTTGGTTGCACTAGAATTGGATCCATTGGCATTGGAACCATACAAGAATCAATTGACAAGTTGGGTATTGCAACTTTGCAAATTACCTTTCAAAAAAGAGATTCGTCGTGCTGCCATCAAGATTGTACCACTCTTTTGCCCTATTGAACACACTGTAAAGATGTTTTTCATCTTGTTTGATGTGCTTGTTGGGTCTTTTCTAAATGATAAAGAGATGGTTGGTGAAAAGCTATCTGCGACGATCGAGCTTATCGAGTATGCTGGTGATAGCTTTTTATCATTACAACAAATAAGAACATGTCTTGATGATATTTTGGTTGTCAAAAACTTTATCACTGCCAACTATCAAATACATGATAAAGACTCATTGTTTAATGCCTATTCTGCTATCACATTACTCTTTTCCTTGCACAGGGATCAATGTGTCAGTAGTATTATCGGCGATCAAATCCAATCGTCATTTATTGAATATGACACTAGCACCATTATAGATGTCAAGGCACTTGCATTGGGATTTATAGTCGAGTTGTGTGCCTTATCCGATGAAGCAACGCTATTGCCATGGCTACCCAAACTAGTTCCAGCCATGACCTCTCAACTTTTGTCAAAGAATGCGTCCATGCGACAAAATGCTGCTCATGGTCTTGGTGTCTTTGCCCAAATGACCCGACATCACATGGCTCCCTACGCACTAAACATCCTCCAACTCTACAAGACTCTCATCGCCGAGCCAAAGTCTAGACGCAAGGAAAACATCGATGCCACAACAAGTGCCATCTCTAGCATTGGAAAGTTTATTCGTCATGTACCACAACTCTCAACTCATGTCGAAACAATCTTTTCCGTTTGGATTGGACTTGCAGAAACAGTTGAAACTGAGGATAAATCACTTTTAGTTTTAGACGACATCTTGTCTATTGTTCAGATTTATCCTAATCAATGTCTTGGCAATGATCAAAACTGTAAACAACTCTACAATGTCATTGACCAATTCTCAAACTTTTCAAATGATCACCAATCCATCACCGATAAGATTTTGGAATTTATAAAGTTTAGAAAATAAATAATTAATTTAAATTAAAAAAAAAAGGATAGGTCATGTCCTTGATTTCTTTTTAAAATCAAAAATGAACATAATGTTGTGATAATCTTTTCTTTTAATAAAGGCCAATATTTTTTGTTTTGATGGTTTTCTCTGTCAGGATTTGATGAAATTTGATGAAACCGAGCTCAATCGATAGGTAATGAAGAGGAGAACACGAATTAAGCACAGGGCTTGCCGAAAAAAATAGTATTTTTTTTTTTTTTTACTACTAAGGTGGGTATCCAGGATCACCACTAGAAACGAATAATAAGTTTCTGTGCTCTTGCTTCTAGGTTGAGTGGTTTTGTTTATATAAATATTTAATGATGTATGTTTGAACAGATACAAGAAAAAAACAACTGAGGTCAAAAAAGTCGCGCTGCGAAAGTAAATAGGAAAAAAAGAGTGCACCAACCGAGAATCGAACTCGGATCGAATCCGTGGCAGGGATCCATTCTACCATTGAACCATTGGTGCTTACTTTTTAGATGTGCTGCATTGGGATTTGTGCCGCTTTATACTCGTGCCGATTTTTTCTTAATCTCTACCTCTCCAATTGGTCACAAGCTTGGCTCTGTTGGGCAGTTGGATGTAGCCAATTGGCACATAACCGCTCATCAGAGTCAAGCCTGCAGCTCCAATACGCCATCTATTAACCACCTCTTCCAATAGGTGCAAGTATTTCAACCTCTTCCAAAGTAAACGACTACACATGTCATCATCACTCGCAGCGTCCACACACTTGTAGTAGTTGAAGTGATCGATTGGTTTCTATTTAGCCCCAATCAAGAGTACTCTAAATGGCAATGACAACCAAAAGGACCATGCGCAAGGAAAGGTCAATCGTAACCATCGAGCAAGACAATAGATCCAGAGCAAAAAAGACCCGTCCCTGAGAGGCTCTTACAAGAGTACAAGAATGGTAAGGTGGTCCTGCTACAGCAATTCAAGGTCGGCTACTTCTTGGCGCCATGCAGCAAGAGCGGGAGAAACTTATGCATCCCCACGACATTAGCAACGAGGTCATTCCCCCGACCATTTAACCAAATGAAAGAGGAAGAGTCCCCTTGAAGCAAGTGTACATCCAACGCAAATGGATGTACTGACCCGTCGCAACCAATTCCATTGGTCAAGACATTCTTAAATGGAAGATTGATGCCCTACCAAAGGGTATTTTTTGAGAGTAAAGAGACATCTATACCAGCTGCAACATATTCCCCGAGATCGATTGGGGATCCAACCTCCTCAATCAAATGGACTACGACGCTGCAGTCTTATGTATATTAGTAGCATGGGAGAGAATGTTAGATATGTGTAATGCATGACATCTTGTCCTTCAAAACAATAACGATGAGAAGAACCAGAAGCAATAACTTATTGAATTCAATCACCATTATCATCATCAACATCACAAGTTTGTAAATACATACGAGTTGGATATCAAACTTTGTACTGCCATCTCTAATTTCTTTACATATAATATTATTATATACTAATATAAACAAAGTAAAAAAACAACAACAAAAATAATCAACACACAAACAAAATGGGCATACCACTTTATGGAAAAAAAAAAAAAACAAAATACAATTTAAAAGTTGATTCTTTTTAATTTTTTTTTTTATTTATTTATTTATTTATTTATTTATTTTTTATTTAATTTTTATTGAGTATATTCATTAACGATAGACAATAAAGCAGGTTGTTGTTCGAGAAGAGATTTGACTTGACTAAAGTATCTTCTAGAGATTGCCTTCATGTGACCGGACAAGATTTGCTTGTCCAGTTCATTGTTGGCAGTGTGATTTTTGAGCATGGCCGAGAGTCCACGGAATATGGCGGCAAAGAGGGCCTGTTGAGCCTGTTGGTTGGCCTCGAGCTTGAGCTGCTTTTCCTCGAGGACAGTCTCGTTGATAAACTTGCTTTCCTTGGACTCGTTGTAGTCGGCGGTAAGGGCATCAATGATAATGTTGGTCTTTTCAATCGAGTTTATGATAATCTCCCAGATATAGTGGGCGGTCACGTCACGCGATGGATCGCTCACCAAGAACCAGTTGATGGGGTCGACTGGCTGGAGGATCTTGAGCGAGATAAACTTGTCAATGGCAATGACAATGTGTTGGTGAGAGGTTTGCCAAAAGCTGACAATCGACTCGAGACACTTTTGACGGTCTTCGGCAGTATGCAAGATCGACTTGAACAATGTAACATAACGTTCAATAGCATGTGACAAGTGAGAGAATGATGTCGAACCAATCTGAAGAATACACTTGGTCACCAATTCTACCACATCAACCGACTCGCCAGTTGGAATCAATGATACTTGATTAATTATACTATCAACTGGTTCTTTAGTCTTGAATGATAATAATAATTTATGTGATTGTGTTATCATTTCCTTATTTTCTTCTTCTAAAAAAAAGAGGAGAAAAAAAAAAAGTATTAGAGTTTGAGTTGATTTTGTTTTTTTTGTTTTGTTTTTTGTTATATATTTTTACCATTTGATTTTAAAAATTTGAAATTTGGTTGAGGTAATTGAGGTAAATAAGGATGATATTCAACTGGAAGTGATTGTTTCATCTTGTCCAAATAACTTAATCTAGTGATAGATTCCAAGAGATGAATGATGAATTTCTTTTGGAGGTGAAGAAGATTGTCAGTGGTTGGGTCACCCGATGGTTGAGAAGTGAGACAGGTTGCCCAATCACCCCACACCCATTTATATTCAAAGTTGGAGAGATGGTGAGCAAACATGGTTGCAAAACGCTCGACAACTTCAGTGTCCAAATGATCGATATTTTCAAACAATGTCGTAATGGCATAGGCAAACACTGGAATAATGGTTTGATGTTGTTCTTTAAATAAATCAACCAACATTACTGAATAATAAATTAATTTAAAATCTGATCCTGGTAATTTAAATGCTTCTGATAATAATGTCTAAAAATAAAAGAAAAAAGAAAAGAAAATTAATATATATATATATTTTATATTTATATATTTTTGTTTTACTTTTACTACATACTTCAACAACAATAGCATCAATTTCAGTTGTTACTGGTAAAGAATAGATGAATTTTGCAGCCTCCTTGTGAGCTCCATTGAAATAATATAAAATATCAACAATATATTCTTCAATGATATATCTATCAATTGGTTTAATTGCATCTTGACTATCATCAAATATTCTAAAAAGTGGTCTTGTAAATGTTGGATAATTAAATTTCTACAAATAAATAAATAAAATATATTAGTAACCTAATCCTTTTTCTTTCTTTTTCTTTTTCTTTTTTACCTCATCATTTAAAGGTAAAACAATTGATGCAAGTGGATGTTGTTGAGAATCTACAAAATCAAATGATTTGTGAATTTGAATGATTGATTCACAATTCCATGAATCCTCTTTTTGCAATTTGACTTGTTTGGACAATGATTCCAAGAGATCATCATTTTCTGCAAAAGTTTGAAAGAATTTCTTTTCTGCATGACTTCTACCTCCAAGATAGGTTTCCAAATCTTCAAATAATTTACTTAATTGTTCAACTTCATTTGATAATGATGATCCAACCTAAAAATTAAAATAAAATAAATATTAATGATCAATCTTTTACTTTTTTCTTTTTCTTTTTTCATACCCAAGGTAAAGTAGTTAAAACAAGATGAACATAGAAATCGGCTCTAGTTTGAGTATACTCTTGTGACAATGGTGATAAAAGAATATCAAATACTTCAAACATGGTACTAGTTGAAACAACATGAGTATTGACCAAACATCCAATACATCTAATCAACAATTTAGCTTGTTTAAACTTTTGTTTCTTTAAATTTTCATTAATATCTAAAAAAAAAATTAAATAAATTGATATAAATAGAATGAAACTAAATGTCGACATTTAGATATATATATAACTGTACTGTACCATGAATAATAGTTTCACAAATCTCTTTACCAAAGTCTGGATTCTTTTGATTCATCTTTCCAATAATAGTTGCATAGATTGGTGTTTTGTATGGTAATTGTGATATGCTAAAAGTTATCATCATATGATTTGTACGTAATAGAGTAATAGTTATGTTTGTGTTAGTCTATTTGTATTTCTATCATCTATCATCTATCATCTATCTTCTTTTCTTCTTACCATTTAAGCAAGATAGTAACAATAGTTGAACGATTGTTTTCAAGATCGGGTAAGAGTACACCGACTAAACCTTCTATATTTGACTCGAGTGTAGCGGTAGTAGTCACCTTGTCACCGATACGTACCATCAAAGAAGTCAACTTGTTCTTTGCTTCCTCTTCTGGTGATATCGGTTTATCCAATGGTGATCTGTGACCACCTCCACCTCCACCCATGTTACCACCGCCCATGCTATTATTGCCTCCTCCTGAGCCTCTTCTATTACCTCCACCACCACCTCCACCTCTTCTATTGTATGTATTGTTTGGTGATCCTAGATGAAATGACATTGTTTCTCTTTCTTTCTCTTTAGAAGTTATATCTATCTATATACAACAACAATCAAACTAAAGATTGACAATCTTTTCATCAAAGCATGCTGAAAAAAAGCGATCATCAGACTTGTCCTCAAATTTTAGTCGTTATTAGCACTAATTTATGTTTCACCCACAAAGAGTGAAGATCAACATAAATATTATATATATCTATATATATATATATATATACCTTATCTGTTAGATATAATATAATATAATATAATATAATAATATTTTTGATACAGTACCATATGGTTTTCAAGATCAAAAGCAAAGTTACAGACATTCATACATAGACATAAACATCAATCAACCAGATGGTCATGAAAGCAACAAAGATAACTCACATAAGACATGATATAGTTGGTATCGAGATGAGCATATGATCGGCACTGGCACTTCACATTTACGTAGATGTGTAATGGCTTTATGAGCAAACATTAAAATTGTTTTCTTTTTCTTTTTTTTTTCAATTTTTTTTTGAATTATTTTTTGTGAGAGCCAAAGACACAAAAAGAACGAATGAAACGAAAGATATTCATTATCTAAAAACGACAATTTGTAAGTTATACATTATTATTTATACAAAGGAGGAGAAAAAAAAAGAGTAAAGGATGTTATAATAATCTCGAGTGATGATAACAAGATCCGTGTTTATGAATTTTTTCGTTGATTAAACAATGGACATCGTTTCAAATAGTCCAGTCTGACATTTTATTATATCATCCTTTACTCCTTAAATTCTCTCTCATCATCCATCTCCTCATTTCTTAATACTAATCATCAACTCTTCTTCTTTAAATAGATTACTATACTTTTTACTTGATTGAACAACTACTTGCCATACATATTTCTTGAAACTTGATACATACACATATAAAACAAACAAATAAATAAAAATGATGATTCTACTACCACTACCCAAACAAACCTTTATTGGTTTTAAAAATATATATAATTTTTATTTATTTGTTATTCTTTTCATACCTTTGTTTTTAGAAGAAATATAAAAAAATGAAACCAAACCAACCAACCATAACTATCTAGATGAAGATTAAAAAATCTTATTTTAGTTTGAAAGAAGAGAGAGAGATAAGAACAAAGAGATAAATATCAATCATCATGACAATAGAGAATCAAGCATTCTTTTCAGTATTTAGAAATATAGTATTAAAGAATGAGATATTTGGATTAGTGTCTGCTATATCAAAGACTGAAGGTAGAAAGGCATTTAGTTATCAATTGGCAACGGTTACATTTATGTGTGACAATGAACACTATGGATTGTTGAGAGACAAGTTGTTACTCGATCCCAAACGTCAAGAATACTTGCCGCTCGTGTATACCGATGCTAATCTCAAGTTGATCGCATCCAATGTAGAGGATCTAGAAGTATTCAAGATCGTGTTTGAACAAGAGACCGAGCAGTTTGTAACACACGGTGCACTATGTATCGACTTTGCCGCGGCCAACAAGAATATCGAGGTACTCAAATACGTCGATACTCATCCACTCAAGTTGGCTGCCACCACCGAGGCCATGGACAAGGCCGCACGTGCCGGTTTGGTTGCCAACCTCGAGTACTTGCAGAATAACCGTACTGAAGGTGCAACATGCCGTGCTCTAGAGTATGCTGCAGACAAGGGTAATCGCGAGGTGATCGAATGGCTGTTTGAGCATCGTACTGCAAAAGACGGACTTGGATGTGCTGTGGATGGTGCTGCACGAAGTGGACACTTTGACATTGTAAAGTTGCTCACTGAAAGGGACCCGGTCAACGGTGCAAGTGCACGTGCAATCGATCACGCTGCACAGGGTCATATGGAGATTGTCGAGTACCTTTTAACCAACCGATCAGAGTTTTGTACCAAGGATGCCATAACCAATGCCGCGCAATCGGGTCGTCTCGATCTCGTCAAGTTACTGCACAAACACAATGCACCTGCAACACGTGACGCAATGGACAGTGCCGCGCGACTAGGTCTCATCGATATTGTCAAGTTTTTGCACGAGAATCGTGTTGAAGGATGCTCAGACTCTTCTATTGGTTTTGCATGTATGAGCAAGCATGCCGAGGTTGCCAAATACCTCATCGAGAATGACTATCCTGGTACTGTACATGCCATGAACAATGCCGCCTTTGTTGGTGACTTGGAAATTGTCAAACTATTACATAAAAAGGATTATAAATGTAATCAATTTGCTATGGATTTAGCAGCTCAAAATGGTCATTTAGATGTAAGCTTAAAGAAAAAAGAAAAGAAAAGAAAAGAATAGAATAGATTACTTATTTATTTATTTTTATTTATATTTAGATTGTTGAATTTTTACATATAAATAGAACAGAGGGATGTACAAAGAGAGCAATGGATCTGGCAGCATTAAAAGGGTTCTTGGGAGTTGTTCAATTCCTTCATTTTAATAGGGCTGAAGGATGCAGTGTTGATGCTATGGATATGGCAGCTCATTGTGGTCATTTTGAGGTGATTCAATTCCTTCATGCAAATAGAACAGAGGGATGCACAGCATTGGCTTTATCAAGTGCAGTATTACATGGAAGACGTACAATTGTTGAATTTTTAGTAGAGAATAGAGCAGAGTTGACAGTACCACGAAATACCTTACCAAACGAAGAAAAGTATCCAAACATTCATTCTTATTTAAATGCAAAAAGAGAACAATCAAAATCAGTAAAAGGAACAACTCAAAAAGCTCGAAGAAATTCTGTTGAATTTGCTTAAAACAAAGAAAAGAAATCAAATCAAAATGTTGTTGTAATAAAATAAAAAAAAGAAAATAAATTATATGTGATTTATATAAATTATCTATTTATTATTTATCATTTATCCCTTGTCTATTTAGGTGATTGAAACTCTTTGAAAAGATTTTTGAATTGATTCTTCTGATGTATCATTATCATTTAAACCTTCAATTATAATTGATGGTTCATTTTCCTCTTCTTCATTTATCCTACTATTATTATTATCATCTTGAATATTGTTCATATTATTTAAAGGTGATTTAATTGGTGATAAAAGATTTATACTATTATTATTCAAGTCATTTGATTTAATTGGTGATAAAATATTACTACTATTATTACTATTATTATTATTTTGTTGTTGTAAATTAAATTGTTGTTGTTGATGATCAACACTTTCACTATTATTATTTGATGATTGAAATAATAATTTGTTTGCTCTTTTATCCCAAGTTTCACCAGAGAATTTATAAACTATTGACCATATATAAGGAGTGATTGATTCAAAACTAGTTGGTTCTTCTTCATATTTAAATCTAAGAGATGATTCTTGATCGCTAGATGGGGCTGAAATCGATTTACTCTTGATTTCTATAAATGTTAGGATCTTTTCCGCCGTCCATTCCTGGGTGTTGGGAGAGTTTAGATCATTTGAAAAGAATGCCAAAATATTTAAAATGTTTGTTGTAATCTCTGAAAGGGTTTCGTCATTTGTCAAACCAGGTAAATAGTCGTGTTGGTGTAATAGTGAATAGATTAATTGTGGATTCTGACTCGGTCGATAGGTCAAGGTATTATTAATGATTTGTAATATAATATAAATAAAATCTGTATGCGTTTGTAATTCATCAGATACTGGTTGATCTGGTGAATGATAAATTCCATCCAATATACTAATATCACTCATACTAATATTTGATATCATACTAGTATTGTTTGGATTTGATGATTGTTGAAATAATCCATGACTTTCTAATATATTTGGTAATGGCATTTTTTTTCTAGAAACAAAAATAAACAGAAAAGGTAAATATATATTTTGTTTGTTCATTTTATCCTTTCTTTTTGATTTCTTACAATTTCATAAATTTTTTACAAAGTACTTCCAATAATTTAACTAGTCTTGAAGAGACATAGGGATGAATATGAGTGATATTGGAAGAAAGATTGGCTAAAATGGCCAATGAATTGGTATGTAAATTGGGATCACGTAGTTTTGAAAGATTAATCATAATTAATTTAATTAAAACTATCATTATTAATCCTCCAAGTGATACATCAACTAAATGTCTTTCTTTATACCAAAGAATTTGATGTATGATCTAAAAAAAAGAAAAAAAGGAATTATAAATATAAATGTTTTCTTTTTTCTTTTTTCTTTTTTCTTTTTTTTTTATACTTACTAATGAATGAACATTTCCATTAAATAAAGAATCTTGAGTTAAAATTAAAATAATGATTAGAATCATATTAACTTGTTGAGGTTTTTCTTCCAGTGAAGTGTAGAGTACTTGGAGCATTGGTAGTACCAAATTGTCTAGATCTGTTCTCGATTGTACGTATTTATAAAAATAGGAATTGTCTTGTAATAAATAATATAATAGTAAAATATTCTTGTCCGATGATGGTGATTTGATAATATGTTCATATAGTTTTGACATTGATATATATATATTTGATTTTTGTTCTTCTATACTATCTATATCGGAAACTAAATAAAAAATAAATAAAATAGATAAATATAATATTCTTTTTCTTTTTCTTTTTCTTTTTCTATTTCCTTTTTTTTTCTTCTTACAATCTTTATCTCTAATAGTATGAATAATTGATCTAAATGGATTTTCAGGTGGATTATAATATTGTACTAAAACAAGTAATGTCAACAATGATATATCTGATAATGTTGAACCATTTGAAAGATTTGTTGGAAAGAAATAATTATATGCATTCCATGGTATTAATAATAAAAATGCTAAAATAAATAAAAAAGGTATTAGGTAAATTAATTTAAGAGTAAATTATAAATTTGTTTTGTCTATATTTACAAGCAGCATTTCCAATTGAATGTAATAATCCACCATCTGAAATTGGTCTAGGTTTGTTATAAATGACATTATTTAAAAGATTATTGATAAACTTTTTGACAATTGGTAGAGGTAATTGATTATTTTTAACTTGATCCATTACAGTATTTAAAAATAGATTAAATGCTCTTGATGGTAATACCTGTTGTTGACTGTTATGACTGTGATGATGATTATCGACTTCTCCACTACTACAACTTAAATAATCTGGTATATCAATCATTTCAGGTAACGGTGTAAACATTTCAGTTGAAAATAATACCAATAAAAAGTGTAATAATACTACATGTAAATCATATGTATAATCACTAAAGTTGAGTTAAATAAATTAGAATAGATCTATATAGTTATTCATATTATTTGATAGTACTATAAATGTACATACTTTGATTCAATTGAAAGAAAATTAATAATTGCAAATAATAAATCACTTGGTATAGATTGAAATGACAGCGATTGAGAAGAAGAAGAAGTAGAGGTAGGGTGGCTATGACTATGATTATTATCATCATCAACATTATGATCACTTTGAAATTGTTGCTCAATTGATATTCGATCACAATTTTCTATAAAGTATTTTGAAAATGATTGTAATAGGATGGTATAGTTGATAAGGTATTGTCTATGACTAAACAATTGTACTTGAATTGAATGATCCAATGGTAATTGATTTGGATTCTGTTGTTGTTGTTGGGATTGCTTTAAAGGAGAGTTTGGCATAGACGGTGTTGTTGAAGAGGATGGAGTTCCATTTTGTTTTGGATGTACAAGTGATACTTTGCTATCAATCAATGTTTGTATTTGTAGTCCAAAGCTTGTAAGGTTTGATATAAAATGTATTATCAATCTATTAAAGTTTTGTGACTTTATATTATTAATTGCTAAATATTAACAACAAACAAGTTTAATTAGTATGTCATTATATATATACAAATATACAAATATACAAATATATATATATATATCTGTCTTTTCATCATACCCAATTTCTTTGACAACTCTTGTAAAAGGAATGCAAGGTAAGTATGATTAGTATTCTCTGAAAAGTCAAGACTAAACAACAACCTCTCCATAAACTTGTCCAACTCTTGTGGTAACGGTTGCTCAGAGATGAGTAGTTTCAATTCATCGTTCATTCGATTACTAAATGTAAATGGACTTGGTAGAGTTGCATTGTTATTATTATTGTTATTGTTATTATTGGCTGTTAAAGGTGATACCGGTGACGGTGATGATAAAGGTAAATGTGGTATAGATGTTGGTGACTGTTGCTGTTGTTTCTGTTGCTGCTGCTGAGAGTCCGAAGATACTAAAGATGAACCTATTCCCATCTTCTTTCTCTCTATCCTATCTATCCTATCTTCAACAAGATTTAGATCGATTCGATATATGTATGATATATATATAAACAAATGTAATATGTGTGAACAAGTTTGTTTGTTTGTTTGTTTGCTGTTCTATCTGTTCGGCTCTCTCTAAAATCGACAAAAAAGGAAATAAAAATAAATAAAACAAAATTATTCATAATTCATTGTTTTTTTGCTGGTGTCTCTCAGTGAATCATCATTTTTTTGAATAATATTATTGTTACATGTAATAATAATACTATGTATACCATATATGCAAAGAAGATGAAGTAGAAACTAAGTATACTTGACAAGTATTCAAATGTCATCAGGTGATATTTGTTTGTATGTTGTGTGTTCAATATTCAAGGACAGACATCCTCTTCCTCTAATGTAATTCATAGTCAATTATGATTGTTATCTCTATTCCTACCAACTTCTTATTTATTATTATTCCTGTATCGTCTCATCTCGCATGTGGATCGATAATGAGCGAATGACACTCATTCGTTTTGAAAAGAAGATATCTTCTTTTGCTTGGTTGATGCACCGATTCATCGAAAATTTTTAAAGATTAATTGCCTTTTTCAAAAAGTTAATTGTAGGGTTCTTTTGGGCTTCAGCTTCATTAAAATCAAATCAGCTGACGAAATTTAGAATCACATTTATAAATACTTTTTAGATAGATAGATACATATACATTATATATATATATATAGATTATTTTAAAGAAAGAGATATAGAATGTATGATTTTCAGTGTTGGGAATGTTTCGAGTTGTACAACTTACCAGTAACTTTGTTTTGTGGTCATTCATTTTGTAAAGGTTGTTTAGAAAAGGCTTTATTAGTTGAACAGAAATGTCCATTCTGCAGGTATATACAAACACATAGATATACACATAACAATAGATAGATATACTAATCAATCATTTATTTATTTCTGATTAGACAACATTATGATTTACCACTTCCACCAGTTGATTTGGAACTTCACAAAAAAGTATTAAAATTAAAAGGAATTGAAGTAGTTGATGATAATGTTAATAACAATAACAATAATAATAATAATAATAACAATAACAACAACAACAACAATAGCAATAATGTTGATTTTAATAATAATGATATCAAGCCAATGGAAGTTGATATTGTTAAACCTAAACCAGCTCAACAACCATTCAATAGATTTGAATATAATTATGTAAGTTTTGAGAATCAAACATGTTTTATAATTTAATAGATAGATTAAGATACTAATTAATCTATCTATCTATTTATTATTAATAGTTGGCCAATTTACCAATGTTAATTTATTTGGATTTATTCCATTATTTCTCACCAAAAGAGATTGTTCAATTTGCATTGGTATGCAAAAAGTTCAAGACTATTACTGAGGATAATTGGTTATGGAGATATAAATTAAATCAATTGTAAGTTTACCCCTAACCCTAACCCCTAACCTTGACACAATAATAATAATATATTAATGTTATTTATTATTTTGATTTAGTTGCCCATTTAATGATGCAGAGAAATATAATAATAATTACAAGGATTGTTATAAATCATATGTAAAGGTTGGAAATAATATGACAAAGGGAGCAGCTGGAACATTCAAGATGACAGCGTTGCGTGGACACTCTGAATACATTACTTCATTTGATCACGTAAACAATACTTTGGCAACTGGTTCGTTGGACAATACCGTCAAGGTGTGGAATTTGGCAACTAATACGTTGGCATTTAATTGTGAGGGTCACACTGCTCAGGTGAATGCAGTGCACCTTAGCTCGCATACGTGTACTTCGTCGTCTCTCGACTCGACTATTCGTCTTTGGGATCTTGAGAATGGTGATAGTTTGGGTGTGTTGGAACGTGCCAAGACAACCGAGAATGTGCGTTCGTTTGCATACCAACCATACCGATCAAATACTTTGGTCTCTGCAATTGGTTCCAATGTCGATGTGTGGGATGTGACCAACCGTTCAATCACAGCGACTGTTCCCAAGGCTCAGTTGACTGGTGTACCCTACAAAGTATCGTTTACACCCTCTGGCAACCTCCTGATCAACACGAGTGAAAGTTTAGAGTGTTGGGATATGCGTCGTCTCGACCGCGCCATCTACAAGTTGCCATCGGCCCATTCCTTCCAACTCAATGCAACTGGCAATACAATCGTTGCATTATCAACCAACCAACGTTCGATTTGTACCTACAACACTGCAAATGGCACGAGAATCGGTACTCACTCTAATAATCAACTGATTGCTGACCAACCGGTCGGAAATCCACACCCCCTATTCCCACCAGAACCTGAAGTTCGTGTCACCACCAACTTTCGTCCACCACCACCACCCACCCCACCACAACCACCTATCCACGCTCCAACACCAAACGGTCATTTACCATACCCCAACCTACATGTGCCCTATCCAATGCCCGTTCCCCATCCACCCATTGCAATGCCTGTACCCCACCCACCCATCTTTTCGACCGACTCACCCATCACCCATTTCCGAGTCATCGACAATGAAATCTACTATGCCCAACAAAACGACGTACATGCCATCAGTATTGACGGACTCACCAGATTGCGTACCTACAGCAACCACACTGCCCCAGTCAACCAAATCCAAGTCAACGACAAGAAGCTCGTCACATGTTCACAAGACAATACCATCAAGGTTTGGAACAAGGATTCCGGTGAACGTCTCTACTCTCTCCTCGGTGGATCACTTCAACAACGTGAAGGTGACCCTATCCCAGTCGTCGTCGGATGTTCTGATATTAGATTTGATCAATCTCGTGTTATTGGTTCATTTAATAATATCATTAGAGTTTATAATTTCAAAATCTAAGTTGGATTGTAATATATTTGTATTGTAATAGATGTAGATACTTTTCCAAAAAGTGATCCATGTTTATTATTATTATTCGTTACCCCCATATCCTTTTAAAAAGAAATAAATGTTTGTTTGCTTTATAAATTATATATACATAAATCATTCATAATGATTAATTTCCCCAGGTAACTATTACCAAGTACCATCATCATCATGAATAATTGGAACTGTAACACTGTCATAGGTTGAATAGGAAGAGGTTGAGGTTGAGGAGGACCGTGATTTGGAATTGGAATGTAATCGTTTATGAATCTTTCTAGAGACACGAAAGATGAGTAACGGTGGTGAAAAGAAGAGTGTTGCAACTGATAACCAGAATCCAGTACTATAGGTAACATTGGTGGCAGTGTATGATTGCTCGGTTGGAGCTTGTGCAGCGTCGATTGTCACTACCTGTACGGTACTTAACATTTCTCTGACTTTGAAATGGTATAATAGTACGACGGTATAGGACAACAGTGTCACAACCGCCCATACAATGCACATGATGAGTGACCGATTCTTAATCTTTTTGATACACAGTCTTGAAGTAAAGATAAATATAATGACGGGGTTGGCAACAATCGAAGCAATCAGTATCAATGCCAACAACAATCGACTCTGTGAAATGATCGATGGCAATGTGTTTAGATAGAGTTGCATGGCAAGTGAGTAGTACACCAAACAGTATCCACCCGATTGTCCAAGATTGTTATTATCGACCTGAGTATAACTACAACTAGTCACTTGCGAAGCGCTATTAGTCACCACAATCGTCTTGCCTGTCGGATTCACTTGATATGACAACAATGCATATTGATTTGAAAGTGTTATATTTTCATCAATCATCGTCTCCAAGTCTAGCCATGGTACTAGTACAAATTTAATAAATATAAATATTAGTCAATTATAATGTCAAGTACTACTACAATAATAATAAATGTACTATTACATACCATTGCCACTCAAAGACACGTAAAACAATACAGATACTATTGTTAATACAATCAACTCTACGATGGCTACTCTCTTGATTGTCACCATTTTGGCTCTAGTCTCTTCTAATTACAAAGAAAGGTCAGTCACTAAAGTGTCAAATCCTCTATTCTGTCTATATCTACTGAGAGTAAAAGAGAGTGAGCGAGTAATGTAAGAGAGAAAGAGAAAGATCGAAAGAGAGTGAGTGATCGTTACGATGAAGGATCAAAAGACATGTCTCAAAAAGCTTGTTCCGTCGCAGTGCAGTCTTGATTGTTTGGGGATTGATGAGCTGGAACGACCTGAGTTTTATGAATTTTATAATATAAAAACCAAAAGATCAGAGGATGAGAAACGTCCTTGGGTCTCTTTGCAAAAAATAATTATTATCTTATCTTTCTTCTCTTCTTTTTATACATACCTATATATATTATATTATACATTACTCTTGTTGCAGATTGCAATGAAATCGACCACTACTACTACTATACTATAAATCAAATCATATTTAAGAAAGACTTATAAATCAAACCAAACCGAAAAAGATCAATCTAGATATTATTATTGTTCTGATGAAGGAGCTTTGGGACTCAATCAATACTTTAGTATATGTAAGATAAAAGATATAAGATATTAATATATATATATAGATATAGATAGAAACTAACTAAAGAGTTTGATTCAAAAAATAAAAGGAATTAAAAAATGAACACAAAAGATGTAATCATCAACACAATCACATGACACAATCACTATTGGGTGAAACCAACTACATAAATAATAATAATAATAATAGCAATGATCAAGATTACAATGTTTATAATAACAATATGTTTTCGTCACCAGAGACAAGACTGACAACATCAACAACAAAAACAAATGAAAACATATCACAATGGTGGAACAATTATCAATTAAATTATATTAATCAAGATCATATTCATCATGTCAATACACAGAGTCATAATCACCATCATCATAATCATAATAATCATCACCACCACCACCATCATATGGATATGAATGATATGAATATGAATATGAACAATACTCACCATCAACAACATAATAATCATGACCAATATAATCATTTAAATGATCATTATACTTCTTCTTCTTCTTCTTCTTCATCATCTTCGTCACCTTGTAGAAATAATAATAATAATAATAATAATAATAATAATAATAATAATCAACCATCATTGATATTGGCTTCATTATCAAATCATTCACAATTAAATCCCTCTTCTTCACCATCATCATATAGTTTATCAACTATATTAAATAGTAGTAGTAACGGTAGTAACGGTAATACATGTCAAAATCATAGACCAACATCACCATGTATTGGAAAAAATCATCAACTTGGATTTATTACAACATTGGAAAGAGTTGTATATAATTTATCGTATGTCACCACTCCAATGTTGTCTGGTTTTGTATTCAAGACACAAGTATTTACAGAAGACGAGTCAAACAATCTCATTCAAAAACTATTCGAGTTGGCAGACCTCTTGTATCATTTCACATTCACTTCTACTTTGGTCTATGGTGGATCACATGCCATCGTAACAAAATTGGTCGTTTTAATTAAATTCTCTCAATCAAGACATGTCATTCTACCCATTGTTAAACCATTATATCAAAAGTTTCTTGAAATGGGTTGTGATATTGTAAGTTAAAAAAGAAAAAAGAAAAAAGAAAAAAAGAAAAGATAAAAGAAAAGAATATTAACTTTTAATATTTTATAGAAAAAATTACATGAATCATTTTTAATTGAAATATCAACATTGGAAAATGAAAGAAGAAGATTATCAAAGATTGATAATCAAAAAAGGTTGAGTAATATTGGAGAGATGGTGGATAATTTAATGAGTGGTCGATATGTTTTGTTGTCAGTTGATTCGATGATTGCTACGATCACATGTTATTCATCTAGTCCCGAGGACACGATTATTGGAGGTAATGGAGTTGGATTCGACCCTTATTTGAGTCGGGTGATGTGGTTGTTTAACGAACGCAAGCTTGACGACAAGCTACTACAGTTTTTGGATCAACCAGTGGCAGAGACGGGATTCCACGAACAGCCATTAAAATATGCCGCCTCACTTTTATTGTCGATTTGTATCTTTTTCCGAAAAAAGTTGCAGATTCAGTGTTATCATCCTGACACGATTCCCGTTACTTTGCGACAGGCTGATTCACCCGACATTCTTTTTATATCGTCAGTGTTGTTTATACAGTGTTTGTATTTGGAGGATGTCGACGTCCGCAACCAAGCACTGGTCAATCACTGGGAGACGTACGCGACGCTACTAGACCGCTTCTCATACGAGCCGATCAACAATGTTGCACGTCGAACACGTCCACATGTGCCGTATCTCACGGGTATATACCGGTTCTTGACGGCCAAGCCGTACCCCGAGTGGCGCTACCTACTCCCCATCATCCCCAGTCTACCACGCGTCATCCCGCAGCTGACAAACGATGAAGAGCTGTTTGACGTGTGTGCAACCATGTCCAACGTCGCTCAGTCACCCGGCTTCTCACTCACAGTCTTTTCCAGTCTTGGTTTTGTTCCCCTCATCTTTAACATCCTTCACAGCAACGATAACCCAGTCGTTCTCAGACCTGCGCTCATGACACTCGGACACATCATCTCATCATCCAACAATTTAAACAATACCAATATCAATACAGCCACCAACAACACTCTTCCAAACCAACAACAACCAACTGCAGTGATCAATAATATTAATAATAATAATGCGACGATTATACAAACTATTATTGGACCAGATTTATTCCAACTCTTACATAGATTCGTTCAGACTACGACAGACGCATCATTTTTCAAGGACATTTTATGGGTCATTTCCAACATTATCCTAGAGGGTAGCCAACAAATCGACAATTGTATAAACTTTGATATCTTTAACTCGATCTTTTATTTATTTACCAACAACAACGCCACCGACGACAACGACAACGACACTAGAAAACAAATCCAACAAATTCAAAAATCAACATTCCTCGCTTCATCACCAAAACATATCATGGAGGTGGTTTGGATCATCAACAATATCTTTCAAACTGGATCACCAAAACAAATATTTACATGTATCCAACAAGGATGTCTCGATGCCTTTGTCCAACTTCTCACCATCCTCCTAGTCGATCGAAAAGGCAAGAGAATCACTCGTGGCATCTACCAAGTACTGTGCCGATGGGTATCTGTTCTGAGTATGATGGTACGAGACGATCCACCAACCATCACAAACACATCGCGTTACCAAACACTTCTCAACAGATCACATCTCATCGAACTTGGTTGTATCGAAATTTTACATCAATTAAAAGCACTTCAACCTTCTCTACCAACTCAAAGTATAATTGATTGTCTTGCTTCGATAGCGTAAAGATAAAAAAAGACACAAACAGATGTAAATAAATAAATAGATTAATTTCTTGGTTTTTTTTAGAGATATGCATCTTGGATGGCGCCAATTTTTCTTTTTTCGATTTTCTTTCTTTGTTTCCCAAGGGCGACAACAGAACCACAAGCCCACCTTATAAGGTATTTAATTCTTTTTTTTTTTTGTTTTTCATCAACAATAGCGAGCACATCGTATTGGACAGACAGTGTTCCGATTCAAGATCAGTAGTGTACGACTAGTAGTTATTAAATTAAATTTATTTATAGATAAAAAAGAAAGATTATTTATTCTTATTTAAGAAATGGTAAAGAAAACATGGCTCCTTAGATATGGGGGACAATTTGAAAGAAAGATTAGTGCAGATGGTGAATCTGTATGTGTAAACGAACAACCGATGGTTATCGAAAAGTTTGGACGTAGAAGATCGTTCCAATACCCTAGTTTTGTGGATCCCAACGTGTTTGATACATATACGATTACACCACAATTCAGTTTCATGTCGTGCTTCCTCAACAAGAGTCTCTTTATCAACAACATCAATGTCGAGAATGGCATCGAGCTTAGCAAGTCGAGTCGTCTCACCTCGCAAGAAATTGCATTTTGGGTGGTCCTCAAGATCCTATTTATTCTCACTTATGTGTTGTCATTCTTCACCCCTAATTTCGTAGCGATTACCGTTGCCATTATCCTCGCCCTCTTTATCTTTGTCAATGTGTTGGTTCGTATCAACGAGACTGTCACTGTCAATTTCCCAATTGGTCCACAAACAGTCGACGGATTTGCACCCATGTCACAACCACCCCTTGCATCCGCCCTCTTGGTGCAACACGACCAACAACAACAACAAGCTGCTTCATTCCAAGCTGTTCAACCAGTAAATGGTCCAAAACAATATCCTTTGGTTCAACCAATCGCTCTACCACCTCCACAACCCCAACAACCACAACAACCATATTATGCTCCTCAACAACAACCATATTATGCCCCTCAACCAGGCCAACAACCATATTATGCTCCACAACAACCAAATCAACAACAACCTGGTCAACAACAACCATACTACCAACCTGCCCCACAACAACAACAACCAAATCAACAACAACCACCTGTAAATCAACAACCAAACCAACAACCATACTATGCCCCACAACAACCAAATCAACAACCAGGCCAACAACCATACTATGCTCAACCACCACAACCACAACAACCAAACCAACAAAAAGCCCCAATGCAACAACAACCAGGCCAACAACCATACTATCCACCACCAATCCAATACCAACAATTACAACCACAACAACCACAACAACAAACACCACCACCTTCATACAACAATATACCACCACAAACTTTCAAACCAACAACTACAACTACAACTGCCACTACTACTACCACCCCACCACCACCAACTACGACTACTACTACTACTACTACTACTACTATTGATGATGCCGACGAACCAACCTTTATCATTCCACTTGATGAACCAGAAGAAAAGGAAGATGCTAAAGCCAAATTGGTTGGTGATAATGATTTTGATTTCTAAAATCATTTAAACTTTTCTATCGAACCATTACCATTAATCTTGTTAAATTTAAATTATTTCTTTATTAATATATAAAGTTAAATAAAATTGTTTTTGTTAAAAAATATACTTAAAATACTTCAAATTATATATCTATATTATTAAAAAGAGATTTGATTTGATTTTTTTATTTATTTATTTTAATTTATTTAAATTGATGGATGCTTTAATAAATAAGTTAACAAATCAATCTTTGTAACGACAGAAGAGATTTCATCATTATCAATGACGATGGCAGAGCTGTGAGTTTCAAAGAACTTTTGGAGACTGGCCAAAGAGGTGGTAGTGTTGATTGGGATGAATTTTTCGCTAGTGTGGAAACGGAACATGACCTTGGAGACAGAGTCGGTTGGGAGAGAACGCTTAGAGGTGATGTATGACAAGAGGTTACCGAGGGTGACGAGACCGAGGGCCTTTTTGTTTTCAGAGATGACTGGCAATTGATCGAAACCGTGTTCTTGGAGCAACTTGACGGCTTCAGAGCAGGTAGTGTTGGCAGTGACGACGATTGGCTTGGTGAGGTGGAGATCGGCGATGGTGGCACCGTGGAACTTTTCCTCTTCTTGTTGCTTGGTCTCGGCGTAGACTGGGTCAACGAATCCATTGTCGACCATCCAGTCGTCGTTGAGATGCTTGGACATGTAGTTACGGATCGAGTCGGCCAAGAGGACGACGCAACGTTGACCTTCCTTGAGCGAGGCGGCAGCCTTGAGGGCACCGACCATAGCACTACCGGCACTGCCACCGCAGAGGAGACCCTCCTCCTTGATGAGACGACGGGCCATGACAAAGGACTCGCGATCGTCAGTCTTGACCCACTCGTCGATGATGTCACGCTCGAGGACGTTGGGGATAAAGTCGTATCCGATACCCTCGATCTTGTAGCTCTTGATTTGTCCGTTCAACGACTCTGGCACGGCAAGGATCGAGCCGTGTGGATCGACACCAACAATCTTGACGTGTGGCAAACGCTCCTTGATCTTACGGGCGATACCAGTGATAGTACCACCAGTGCCGGCTGTGCAGACAACCATGTCCAACTTGCCCTCGCAAGCGGCCAAGATCTCCTCGGCAGTGCCGTCATAGTGAGCAAGTGGGTTGGATGGGTTGGCGTATTGATCCAAAATGTGTGAGTTGGGGATTTCAGCATTCAACTTTTTGGCAACTCCAATGTGCGACTCCGGAGAGTCAAAGGCAGCTTCAGTTGGTGTACGGATGATGGTGGCACCGAGAGCCTTGAGGATGTCGACCTTTTCTTGTGACATCTTTTCTGGCAAGGTGATGATCATCTTGTATCCCTTGATGGCAGCTGCCAAAGCCAAACCAATACCAGTGTTACCCGAGGTTGGTTCAATCAATGTGTCTCCTGGCTTGATTCTTCCACTCTCTTCAGCATCCAATACCATACGATATCCAATACGATCCTTTACTGATCCACCAGCATTAAAGAATTCACATTTTGCAACTAAAGAAGAAGAAGAAGAGAGAAAATAGAAAATAGAAATAGAGATAGAGATAGATAGTTGGTAAATCTGACTGATTCTTTTCTAATTTTGTGTAACTTTGTTTGTTTGATATTTACGCATTTCACACTTGACATCCTTTGAAACTCTGTTAAGTCTAACCAATGGAGTATTACCAATGTTTTGTAAGATATTGTCTAAAATCTTTGGTGATTCCTTTCTTTAAATTGACGAATGAAAAAAAACGATCATATTAATATCTAATTTAAATATACATATACTACAACTCATATGTGTGTATACTACTATACTACTATAAATAACTATACTATTATTATTATTAACTATTATTGATGATACATACACTCTAACGGTATGTGGAGTCTTTTCAGTGGTGTTTGGTTTCCAAGTGCACTTGGCAGGTCCTTCAGTTACGTTTGACATTATTACTATACTATCTATCTCTTTTGATGAAACTGATGATAAAACTAAAAGCTTAAATAAGAATAAGAGTGCGATTCTTTTTCTTCTTCGTTTTGCAGCAAAAATTGATTTTTTTAATTTTCTTTTTTTTTTACAAGTAGAACTTTTACTCTTTATACAAAAAACAACACATCGTTCTCCTTTACTATCTCATCCCCCTAATCTATCCTTTAGAGGGGTGTGATCTATAGTTGCGACATAACACCACGTCAAACCTAGTACAACAGTATTTACAACAATGATAGTATAATATCAAGATTTATTGAAATTTCAATGCACCGTGTCGAGTCACACTGAGCTTGTCGGCTGCATCTCACTTATCAAGAAGGATCTTCATGAATCACCTTGCAAATGTGACTCAACAAAAAAAGATAATTAGTTGCCAATAATATTTACAATAATGTAAGAATAAACATAGGTATATAAATTGGTTACACCACATTTGAGTTTATTATTTTGGTTGGTTGGGTTGGTTGGTTTATGTATTGAATAATGGTGGCATTAATATTAACAACCACCATGGTTATGGTTACTTTTAGAGTTTGTCAATTTAGAACAATAAAGTAGAAATGACTGAAACAAAGACAAGACTGGCCAATGAAGCAACAAGAGTGTTGGAAGAGTTCTCTTCAAGTGGGTAGGTACCACATGGGTAGAGAGAAGAGTGGAGTTCGGTGACTTGACAGGCCGACGAGAATGAAGCACACTCTTGTTGAGTCAAACTGTTGGAAGCATCGACGGTTTCGTTAAAGGAACCTGGAGCTTGTGGGAAAGCGAGATCACAGATGAATGGGTAGTAGAGTTGACGACAGTTAGAGTCATTGTTGGAGAATACCAATGGGTTGGCCAAATTGGCAGCAAACGAGACTTGGGTGGCCTTGTCAATATCGGCAACGTTGGCACCGACTGGCACCATGACAGTCTTTTTGTTCTTCATTGTGCAGAAAGATAATTGGTTGTCAACCTTTACTGGTTCGAGTGGAGCGTCGGTGACGGCTTGACCACAGGCACTAGCTGAAATACTGATGGTACTGCAAGAGAACCAGTCAGAGGTAGATTGGATTTGGAGTGTGCAAAGGTTGCATTCGGTGGCTGGCATGACCACAGAGATTGAGTAGGTGCCAACAGCAGTTGGTGAATCGTCAGTCTTGAGTGTGGTAAAGTTGGCAGTGGTCTTGGTTCCCAAATTAATTCCAATTGTAACTGGTCCAACTCCATCTCCAACTACAACTTGCCATTTAATAGTATACTATAAAAAAATATATAGATTGATAGATATTAATATAATATAATATAATATATATATAAATTATATAATATAATATAAATTATATTTAGGATTGATAAACCAAAAATTAATTAAATAGTATCACACATATACACACACATACATAAATACACAAACTTATGTCAAGGTGTGCACACATGCATATAATACAATCAAAAGATATTTTATCAAATATACTTATTGATTAGTTGTATGTATGTATGTATGTATGTATGTATATGTATGTATGTATGTATACTATAGTAGTTGGTTGATGATGATGATCGATAATATGATAGTTACAGCAGTACTTGGGCAATAGGTAGCTTGAGCAGCTCCTTGTGGTTGACCAGCTCCACAGGATTTAACCTTTGATGGATTAGGGTTCCATGCAGCTGGGACCTTTAATACAGAATGTGACCTATATTACATAGATAGATAATTCAACAATTTTGTGTTAGAATAAAAATCTAGATTCTCTATTTCTCTATTTCTCTGTTTTGTTGTGTGGTCAAGTCATAGTCATTGTCATGTGATGACGATCGCGATCCTATCTGTTTGTTGTTTAATTCTCTCTCTCTTTCTCTAACACAACAACATACTGTACACAAACGATGGCTAATAATAAAAGACTTAGAATTACAAAAGATCTCATTTTTTAAATGAAATGAAGATATATAAATATATATATGTATGTGTATATGTACAAAAAAAAGAGGTAAAAGTAAATAAATAATACTAGCAGTTGGTTGGAACCAATGATGGATTGCGAAAGCTTTGCAGCCTCTCTATCTGGGTTGATGCGATAGCCACAGATGACCGTTTTTAAGTGAAAAATCGGTACAATAAAAGTGGCACCTGTTCTTTGCGAACTGCGAGAACTAACAACTCGGATCAATAGAGAGGAGCCCCCACACTCTTGATATTTTTTGTTTGTTAACTTAAAGGTGTAAAAGTGTAAGAGCGGAGAGTGCAGCAAAGCTTTTGAAATCCAACCCATCGTCATTGGGAATATGAGGGGGTTTCCGCAATTACAATAATGTTAAGATCATCGGACACACTTTATAATAAACGTCACTCGATTGTGGATGATTATGAGATCGACAACATGACTTTTGATCATGGGAAGAGATAGATACTAGATAAAGATATTCATTATTATTATTTTAAATATAACAGTTGTCCATCCACAAACCTAATGGGTGTCAGAGAGACACGTCGATTCACAGACCCACCCCCGAAAATAGAAAGATAGATATTTGTATTTATATGTTATTTATATGTTTATTGTTACATGTTTTGTTTGTTTTAGATTTTAATATAAAACTCTAGTTTTAATTGAAGATGGGATGGAAGAGATTTTCTTTTTAATTTCTTTGGAGGCAGCCTTGTCAACGTCGGCAATGATGTAACCGATTTGTTTGCGGGTGGAGAGGGTTTGAGCAGAGACGTTGAATTCAGAGAGGATAAGATTGATGTCACGGAGCACACCTGGACGGTTTTGGTGAATGTTGAGGATACGATGAGTGTCTGGACGGATGGGCATAGAGATGGCTGGGAAGTTGACTGAACCTTCCGACGAGCCAGCATTGATAAAACTGGTGATCAACTCGGACACTTCAAGGCCAATAGCTTCTTGAGCCTCTTCAGTACTACCACCAATATGTGGTGTTAGGATTGTATTTGGACATTTTTGGAGTATGCATTCCCATTGGTTGTTATTGGCCTCTGGTTCAACTGGATAGACGTCTACGGCAGCCCCACCCAAATGTCCCGATTTAAGTGCTTTGGCCAACGCTTCAATATCGACTACCTTACCTCTTGAAGCGTTCAACAGATAGCTACCAGGTTTCATCAACATGATTTCGGGCTCAGAGATCATGTTTCTTGTTTGTTCGGTGTCTGGCACATGCAAAGTGACAAAGTTGCTTTGCTCGAGCAGTGACTTCATGTCGGGACAAGTACGACTGTTTCCCAACGGCAACTTTCTGGCCGTGTCATAATAGATCACGTTCATACCCATGGCTTCGGCCAACACCGATAATTGCGAACCAATGTGACCGTACCCAATAATACCCAATGTCTTGCCACGAATCTCATGACAATTCTTTGACTCTTTTTTCCAAATCTTATTGTGCATCTCTGAACTACGGTCTCCCAATTTTCTAGACAATGTAATAATCTCTGCAATTATTAATTCAGCTAAACACACATAAAAATAACACACAAAAATACATATTAATAAATATATATGTTTATCCTTCTTTTTTCTTTTTTCTTTTTTTACAAAAACATACCAACACTTCTTGAATTACAAAATGGTGAATTGAAAACTGGAACACCTTTGTTTTCAGCAACTGTCAAGTCTACTTGATCAGTACCAATACAAAAACACCCAATAGCCATGAGACGTTTAGCTTCATTCAATACTCTTTCACTGACCTTTGTCTTTGATCTCAAACCCAATACATGGACATCTTTGATTTTTTCAATTAATTGATCCTCTGATAATGCTGATGTCAATGATTCAACCTATAAATTAAAAGTAATCAATATTGGGTCAGTACTCTGTAATTATATAATATACTTGTGCTTTTTCAAAAAACAAGATACTATTTTTTTTTGTGTTGATTTTTTTAAAAAATGTGTGAAGAGGTGGTATTGTATCATTGCATTGAAGATCACCACTCCACACATGGTATTTTGAAATATGATATGATATGATATGTAATATATTTAACCTACATGAAATCCTTCTCTGTTGAATAGATCGATAGCAGCTTGATGAATATTCTCAACTAATAATATATTAATCTTTTCCTTTGGATAAGATGTTTGTGCTTCTTCTGTTGTCATCATCTTCTTTTAATTTAAAAAAACTGTTATAATGATACAAATAATAAAGGATAAAGTAAGTAAGGAGGTAGATAGATAGTTGACAATGAGATCACCGTATGCATTGGGGGTTGGGGAGGTTGATTTTTTTTAAAAAAGGGCGGTTACAGACAATTGTATAAATCTAAACTATTATTATACAAATAAACTACAAATAAATAAATAAATTATCTCTTCTTCTTTTCTTTCTTGTACAAAAGGATGAATGACAAATAATCTAACGACGGTCAACGACTCTTTTTCAGATGATTGTTCAGGGGAAAATGGGCAATACCTTTACTCTGCAAGGGTCTCTACCTGTCACATGGTATTTTTAAATTAATTTATTTTTAATTTCAAAAACTTGTGCCGCAGTGCCTTTGCTCTCACAAAGATTCGCTTTTTTGTGAAGACGGATCGGCGTTGGGAAAATAAGTTTCGTCATTTTCGTCAAAATGTTCCCGTTTTTGTTTGTAGGTTAGGCGAAGGGGTCAGGTCATCTCTGATGACTGTACAACAACTAACCACTCGGGTGTATCTCCTATCATCTGTCTTCTTCTTCTTTGTCCAGGGATCAAAAAAAAAAAAAAAAGAAAATCTCTTCTTTTTCATTCTTTATTCTTTGTTCTTAATACAAAGAGAAAGAAGGGTTAGGGATTATATAATGATGATATTAGTAATTTATCGAATTTATTATTATCATATTTGATGTTACTAAATTAATTAATTAATAAATTGGAATATGAAGTAGGAGGTGGAGGAGGTTGTATAGGTTGGTTAGAGAGGGGGGGGGGGGGGGGAGTTCTTTTCGGTATTGTGGTAATTATTATTATTATTATTATATTCCAAATCCAGTATGAAATATTATTCTACACTTTAAATGATTGTTGATGTGTTTTTTTTTTGTTATTACTTGATTGATGTGAAGGTGTGTGGAGGATTGGAACAAAAAAAAAAACCATTATTATTATTATTATATAAATTTAACCAACAAAAGATAATCTCCAAGAGAAAAGTGATACACTTAAAAGGATAAAAAGAATCCAAAATGTGAGAACCGAATATTTTGCTTTAAATTTCAATGCTACCAGTGTTGCAGTGATAGCCAATCCAAAACCAAACAAATAAGAATACCATTTGGCCGAAGTTGGACGTGGTAAACTATTTGCTTCTGAATATGAACTTGGACACAAGAATATTAATTGGAAACAAATCGATGGGAATAACATTCTAAAAATATAAAAAGTAAGTATACACGCATACAAATATTTTATATTTTACTACACATACCCATAAACTCTATCACATTTTGACCAAAAATCGACTGGTTTGACAACTGAAATGACAGGAACTACAATACAAATGATGACTAGGATGGATAACATTACAAAATTGATTCGACCAAGAGTTTCAAAGGATAGAGTGCTCTCGGGAGTTTGGGCATAGCATTCATAGTACCAACACGACCCACACCCAAGCATGTCGAGCTTTTTCATTCCACTACCAATGATGCAGACGAGAATGCCTTGAATGACACCTCCTACACAATCCGATGGGTAATGTACTCCAAGATTGATACGCGCAAAACTACTCGCCAGAACCATCACCACAAAAAGTATTGGCATCCACCATTCAATCGTGTCTTTTGATCCTTTATAATACCATGATATCCAAACTACTGCATAACTATATACCACTGAACATGTTACTGCTCTTGATGGGAATGATGATGTTTGATCTTTTTTCATCTAAATAGAAAATAAATCAATAATGGAAGTATATATTTATACTTTTGTTTACATACGGTTTTAGCTCTTAATACCATGTATGGTCTAAATCTCCAAAGGAATCTTTTTGGAACTTGAGACAAGAGAGCAAGGAGGAGTGCAAGGTAGGCAAATTCGGTTGCAAGGGCATCATGGCCAATAATATAAAGGAAAAAGGGAGCTGCAATGGCAATCTCAATTGCAACAAGAGCAGTAATGAACAAACTAAAATATTTTAATGGTTGATTGTTGTATGTCTGACAGAAACGAATGATGGGATCGTCAAACCATCTTAATTTCTCTTCTGCCCAAATTGGGAATAACCAAACAACTATTCGAATAAATAATAATAATGTTAATACATTATTAATTGTGATTGACTTTTTAAAAGTTTGATTTACATACACTTTTTATGATGTTGTTTTGAAAGATTTGCTTCATATATTTTGGCAAAGTCTTTGGTTGGATTAAGAGGGGTCTTATCGTCTACAGAGGGACTATAGAGTGATGAATGGTGTGAATCGGTATCCAAGAATCCCTCTTCGTCATCTTCATCTATACGGTTTTTAAGATGATTATTGTTTATAATGGCTGACATTGAATTTCTAAGATTATTATTTTTAAATTTGTTTATATTATTATTATTGTTGTTATTATTATTATTATTATTGTTGTTATTATTAATATTAATATCTTCGTCTCGAGGTGTTAGTGAATATGATCTATCGATTGTTAAAGGATTGATTGCGTTATTATTATTGTTGTATTCTTCGTTATCGTTAATGTTATTATCTTTATCGCTGTTGTTCCTTCCTCCAAGACTCTTCTTTCCTCTACTATTTTCTTTGCTATTGCTATTGCTATTGCTATTGTTATTATCGGTATCTTGTTGGTTATTTAAAAAGATTGATGAGGTTGGAGGATGAGGTTGAGAAGAAGTAAAAGTTGAATCAAAGAGTGAAAATAAATCGTTGCTATTGTCTAGTTTTTGTTGTTGTTGTTCTGGTGTAGTTTCATAGACTATTGAATCACTACTGCTTCGATATGAATTCCTATTATTCTTCTTGTTATTAAGTTGTTCTTTACTGTTATTATTATTATTATTGTTGTTGTCAGCCACTTCTAATGATTATGATAGAATATAGCAAGCAATTATTACTATATCCAATGTTATTTGTTGTTGTTGTTATTGTTGTTATTGTTGTTGTTGTTGTTGTTGTTGTTGTTGTATAAAGTATTGTATTATCCACAATCAAACCAAATCAACAACCAATCAATCAATCAATCTATCTAGATATCTATTCTATATATTTATACAGTCTTATAATATTATTGCAATGACTCTCTCTCTCTCTATTCTGTAATGATAAATGAAATGATTTAAAGATGTGCAATCAATCAATCAATCGGTTTGTTAGTTTATATAACTATATTCATTCGTCTTGTCTTTCATTCCACATATGTCTCTATATAATATATAATATATATCATGTGGTATGGTATGGATGATAGTTACAATATTGATATTTGATTTGTTGTATTGGTACTACTTGTTTAGAACACTTCCTTTGTTGTAGATTTTGATTGTATTGTTATTATTGGGTTGGTATTACAGAAGATAAAAGATAGAGGATGTGTTATTGTTGTCGTTGTTGAATAGGAAAAAGAAGAGGAAGAAGCAAGCAAACAAACAACACACACAGATAGATGATATGATACTAAAATAATTTGCTACAATTCTGTATCTCTTGACCCAAAAGAAAAGAAAAGATGTTTTTTTTAAAAATTATAAAATTCACTGTTCTTGTTGGGTTGTATCGTGTTTATCTATCTATCTATTTATCTATCTATCTATTTATCTATCTATCTATCTCTAAATACAATAACTAACCACTACTTTACTAAAGATGGGAGAACAGTCGTTGTTTGATTAAAACTAACAGGAGAGAGGAGGAGGAAAGGGGGGTGACGAATTTTACCGGATTTTCTCAGTCTCACTCAGTTTTTGGCTACTTTGCAAACAAGAAAAGAGAGTGGATGACATAATCAACCTCACCACCAGAACAAGAGGTCTGAAGTTAAAGTATTTACCTTGCTCGTGACCTTGAACTTCTCATCGAGTTCGCATCCATTCACAAAAAAAAACATTCACAGATCTGAATAATATCTATTTATCTATCTTGCAAGATAGATAGTATTGTGTGTTTACTCAAAAGAGAGAAATTGCGACTGATGATGATGATGGTCATTAACTGATATTGTACACTCACTCCCTCTTTGTTTAAAATAAAAAGGATATTTCTTCTTTTCAAAGATATTATGATTAAAAACATGTGTGGTAGGTCGGAGCGGAGCATTCTTCGTCCATAAACAAACAAAGGTTCTTCTTTTTGGTTCCGTTCTTTAAAACAATCTTTTTTGAACAAGTTTGGAATATCTCATGTAGGTAGACACATCTAGCTAGATCTATTTAAATGTTTAAATAATAATAATAATAATAGTAGAAATATTATAACTTTAATAGTAACATGTACAACAAGACAATTGGAATTACCTTTTTGGTAATGATGATGTTATGCGGCAGCTTTGTGTATTCATCATCATCATTGTCATCATCGGAACAGATAGTGGTACAATTCGATACATCAGTTGATTGTTCAAAACAATCATGTGATTTTAATGATCCAAGCATGTGGATTGGTGGTGTAGTACCAGATGCAGCTGGATATGTTGCATCGATCGATTATACTGCACCTGGTTCATCTTTGGATGGTGTTCAAGCAATCTCTTCAACTACCTTTAATTTGAAATTGGATTCGATTATTATCAACTCTGTGGTACAGTCGTTGGTGCAATTGACACTCTTGAATCATGTAATGTTGTTTGATACGATGAATGTTGGTGCAGGCTGCACTATACTGGTACTTGAAAACTCGACTCTCACCATTGCCAACAATCTCAGTGTCGCCGACCAAGGTACAGTCTATGTTAGCCAAGACTCTAGTGTGATGGTCGGTACAGCCTCCTTTGACATTGGATCGAGCTACACTCAACAAGTCAACGGATACTTTTCGTCTAATGGCGGTGCCTCGATTTGGGGGGAATTGACATTGGTTGGAGAGACATCGTTTGCTCTCTATGGCACTGGCAATGTGGTTGGTGGACTATTGACGACTGGACTACACGGCATTGCACTCTTTTCAGACGTGTTGGTTACCCAGTTGGGATATGTTGACGTGCAAGGTAGTTTGGTGGTCACGGGTACACTCGAGTTGAGTCGTGCTGCCAGTGTTGTAGTCAATTACAATGTGTCGGTTGTGCCAGGTGGATCGATTGTGCTTGGGGAATACTCTACCTTTAAACAGTCGCCTTCCTATGCCCCCGCACCAGCCCAAGGCCCTGTGATTGTGCAAATCGACAATGTCATTGGACAAGCCAGCAGCCAGATATCGATCGGTCGCGCCGACGAGCTCAACCTCGGCACGCTCGATCTTGACGGTCAACTCCAAATCACCACACTCGTCGATTTCACCGATATCATGGGACCGGCAAACATCTCCCAGCTCATACTCCAAGCAACCACATCGGTTAATGCAGACCTCCATTTCGCCATTTACACAGGTCACGTCAACATCTCACAAATCTACTCGTATTTCACGGTTGGACAACCATCAACCGTCTCGATTGTATTTGACCAAAGTAGTTTACTCGTAGACACTCCCATCACCTTGTACAATACAATTTTGACTGTTTCAATGCAGTCAGTTCTAAATATCACAACTGGTTTCTTTTCGCTGTCCAATGACTCGCAAGTCATTGTCAATGATGGTAGTTCACTCAACTTGTACGACACTCAATTCACAACACCCAATATCACAACTGGAACAGGTTCATCAGTATCTATTACCAACACACAAATGGACGGTAATATCCTACTCAACCATGGTAGCAGTCTACTTGTCAACCAGTCGACCATTACCGGAGACATCTCTGCCGACGATGCCAAACTTTTGTTTATTGGACAAAACGGCAGTCTCTCTTCCGTATCGGGTGGTCTCTATGTCTATTCACAAGCAACCATTGGTATAACCGTAGACAGTCTTTCTACCTCCTACGGAGGGGTACCTCTATCAGCCGGTAGTTTTGAACTCAACGATGGTACACTCTCCCTCAACACACTCCAACCACTCAACACACTCCAAGTTGGACAAGCCTACTTTATCGTACAAGCAACCGAATCATTGATCGTCATACCAACCCAATGTACCATTCAATTCACATTACCAGCAAACCAAAGTTACAAATTTAGTCTTATTCCAAATTTTGGAAATGGTTTGAAATATTTGATTTTCGAAATTTTCCAATCATCCAACTAAATGGAAATAAATTATTAATAATAATTAAATATGACACTCCTTTATTGGGAACAATGGATACACCTTTTGGAAAATTCAGTTAACTTTTTTAGACTACCAACAACAACCACGAACAACAATCAAGTTGGAGAATGATGAATCATCACCCCTATTGCCAATTTAGACATTTTTAGAATTATTCAAATTAATTTTCCATTTTGTACCAGGATATGAATCAAACATAAATAGAGACACCATCTTTTTTTATATTTGTTATTTTCAATCTCATCTTTAGCTTTAAATTCTTATATATATTTATTTATTAGTCATTTTTTTAAGGGTTGTGTTAACAACTATGATGAAGTAGATCTCAACTAAATCACTTTGTCCACCTATTTTTTGTTTTTATGACGAAGGAATTGGTAAAAATCACTCTTCAAAATTAATGGAGATTTTTCTGGAATCAAGATGTGAGAAGCCAAAATCATCATCCTTTTTGACTTTCGACATCTTGGTTTCTATCCAATCAAACTATTGGTTAACCATCTCTACTCCATAAAAAATAAACATCTATTGACAATATTATTAATATCTTGTTTTTATTCAATTAATTGATATGTGTAATAGAAGGTGGAATATCAATAGTACTACCAGGGGTAATTTCATTATTATCCTCTTGGACAAGTAGATCATTTGGATCTGGTACCTTGTAAGGAGCTGGTTGTACCCATGATAAAGGTGGTGGATAGTATAATTGTGGTTGATAATTTAATAATTGTTGTTGTTCTTGAATTTGATAATTATTTTCAAATATATTATTATTATTATTACAATATTGTTGTTGTTGTTGTTGTAATAATATTTGTTGTTGTTGTTGTTGTTGTTGTTGTTGAATGGCAGCATCAATACCATAGGCAGGATAAACATTTGGTAAAGATTGAATCATTGTAATCATTGGATAATTCAAAAAGTCAATTCTATTTCTAAATAGACAATAGGCAACTATACCAATTATGACTATAGCAACCAATGCAAATAGTCCAAACAAGAATCCCAACAAACCAAATAAAATGTAAAGTTTAATCATTGATGTTGATTTTGGATCGAATGCTTCTTGTGTCTCTACATTTGCATCATTCCAATATAATTGATAATCCAATCCCATTGAACGCCAATTTCCTCTAGTCAACGTCCACTTTCCATCATCTGTTCCACACGATAGATTCGACCCATCTTTTTGCATTGCCATTGGTATTCCATTAATCGACAGTCCTACATCATCAACTATTATTTCCTTGTCTGGAAATACAAATGTCTTTTTCATTCTCTAAATAAATATAAATATAAATCTAGAAATAAATAAATAAAATAATATATTTTTTACAGAAAGGAATAAGAGTAGAGTAGAGTAGTAAAGAGATACTAGAGTATTTAAATCATATCATCATATCATACACAATTTCTTGTTTGTTTGTGTGTGTGGAATGAACCACCAATAAAGTTGTAATAATATTATTTTTACAAAACCATTCCATCACACCTCACTCCTTGGTTCCCAAGTGATTGTGAATATTATGATAGGGATGGGGTAGTGCATTATTATTTTAAAAACCAAACAAGATACATATTTTATTTGATTTGATTTTCAATGGTTGGTTGGTTGTGTTATTATTATTATTATTTGTTGTTTTGTTTTGATCAAAAATATACAATGAAACAAATAAGCTCACTTTAAATTAATCCTTCTCCTTTTCTTTAAAACAAAGAGTTTAGAAGTAGTAGAGTGAGGTCGAGATTGAATTGAATTGGATTGGTGTTCGTATACCAATAAATATAGGATGAATTATTATTATTATTATTATTAAATTGATGAGTGATGATTTAAATAAATAAATATTGTTATTAATGTAATGTTTGTTTTGGTTGGTTGGTTGGTAGGTAGGTTGGTTAAAACACTTTTGACTATAATACTTTGTGTGTTGGTTGATTGGTTGTTATGATTGATTGATGTTGTTGTTTGGTATTAAATTAAAAAGTTGGGTAAAAAATACTTATTATTATTATTAAAAAGTAGGACGTCCTACTGCTGGGATATATTAATTAACAGATTCTATCATTATCAGCTAATTGTTTTTGGGTTTGTTGTCCTGTCTTGAATTAATAGATAGATAGTATTTTGTTAGTAAATATATATATATATATATTCCAATATTTATGTTCTTACCTTTTTACTAATTGTAATAGCTTTAACATTTGAAACATGAACTATATCATTGATTCTACGTTCTTCATCATCCAATTGTTGAGCCAAAAGTAAGAGTTGTTCTTCGTTGGTTTTGGAGAGGTCGGCAGAGATTTGAGGTGGACGCCACATCATGACCTTTTTGCCGGATGCCTTTTCTTGGACTTGTTGTTGGAGACGACAGAGTAGTTGTTGGTGGTCTTCGAGATTGTCTCGGAGACGTGAGAGGTCGACGACAAGACTGCGCGACTCTACCTCTTGTACGCGACGCTCGATAAACTGGCGTTCAAAACGTGCATTTTCAAACTCGACAGAGTACATATTGAGCATTTCCTCGAGACGCATGAGTCTAGAGATATCACTGCGTTCGACCTCTGCAAGCTCGGTGACACGGCTCTTCATGAGTTCGACGTCACTCTCTTGTGCTTTGGCGCGACCTTCGTAGGCCGAGTAAAACAAACTCGTGTAGAGCATCATTGTGCGGTCGTCGGCAGTGCCAGCAGCCACGTCCTCGGCATCCAACAATTTAGGAATACATAGGTTCTTCTCGGCAAAGTCAAAGACGGCTTGTAAACGGGCGATGGCGCTGAGATTGGGGTCGCTACCCAACCCGGCCAACTCGGAAAACTGGCTGGTCTCATCGACCAGTTTCTGTGCCATCGCGAGGAATGCGTGACCGTCTCTAAACCCAGTTTTGAACTGGTTGATGGATAACCCAGACATGGTCGAACACCACTTTAGCAGATTCTCCTCGGCTTCGCGTTCACTGGGGTCGCGGTTGTCTGTTGCACCCGCCTCTCCGCCGGCAGCAGCACCACTCCCGTCTGCACGAATATTAGACATACGGAAGCGACGGTACAACGTCCACAAGAACCCAAAGATCATCTTTTTATTGCCATCGTAAAAGTCTTCCGGCGACACACCACGTACCTTCATACCAAGATCCTGTTCGATAAAGGTGATACCGATCAACAAGTTTTGAATCTTGTTGATCTTGTCTTTGGGTTCTTGTGCGTACTTTCTCTTGCACTTCTTGCCCGACAATATCTCTAGAAACTGTATGAATCGAACACCATCTGAAAAGTCTGTAGCCATATTCTCTACCTTTTTATCTACCTTGGCCAACAATGAATTGACCCAATTTGTAAATGCCTAAAAAAAACAAACAAACAAACATAGATAGATAGACAGTCAATATACAATTACAATTACAATTACATCTCTCATCCCTCATCTCTCTCATTGTCATATCATTTATCTCTATCTATATATATATATATACCTTTTCTTGGGCATCTTCCCATTTTCTAGCATTATTTGTTGTCATTCTCTATCTATCTATTTATATATATATTTATAAATCTCTATCGCGATGTAAGTTTGTATATATGTGTGTGTGTGTATGACTGTGATTATCTATCTGTCTATAAATATATATATATACTGTCGTTTTCGTTCTCACCCCCTTCTATTATTATATGTATATGTACACGGGACAATTACTTATCCTCTCTCTCTCTCTTTAACTCTATAACAACAAAAAGGTAACAAAAAAAAGGGATGAAAACATTGGTTTGTTTGTCGTCAAATCAGACTGAGGACCATTAAAAAAAGTTGGCATTCTTTGAATGAGCTGCGATCATTGATTGAAATGGGAGCAGGTCATCATCGATTGATGGATTGTGATACTGTTTTTCATTCAAACACAGCATGCTTAAGTACCACTTTCAAAACCTTGAAGGGGGAGGAGAGTAGGAAACTGGAGTGGTTCTATTTTAATAATTATCTCAACGCTATTTATCCCAACCCTCCCTTTTACCATTTGGTTAGAGTATATATATATATATATATATATATGTTTGTCGTATATTATTACAATATGAATACTAGGAATGGTATTGTATTGTATTATTATGATATAATCTCGTCATGTTGAGTGCATGTTGTTCATTAAAATGGGCCCACGACTTGTTCCCTAATAAATTAAATATCTTTCACACCACAGAATGGAATGCTAGCTATGAATATACATTAGTTATTCACTCTCACTAACTAAACCTTTGTATATGTATGTCTGAAACAAACAAACAAACAGACAGACTCCTTTTGATCTTCAACAAACACAGATAATCCATCCAAAAAAAATAAATTAAAAAAATTTGAAAAAAAAGGCTCATCCTTTCACTCTGATCCTCAATCTTCATATTGAGTACTATCATAAGAAGAAAAGTCAACAACTCTATAATAACTCAAAAGAAGAATAACAAACAACAATAATAACAATCTTTTCAGCACTGACTAGTCCCTAAAAGAAGAGAGATAGAACGATAGATATCTATAGATAGTAGTGTCTTTGAAGAAGAAGAAGAAAAAGAAGAGTGTTGTTCAAAACAAGTAGGAAGTAGGAAGACAAATATTATTATTATTATTGATAAAAGGATTATTTATAAAAGGTAATAATAGCGTGATCATGCAGAGACCGATGCATCTTACAACAAGTCAGACTATAGATATAGAATATATCTTGCACTTTTTTGTGAAGATCAGTATCAGAGGATTGAAGATCATACGATGATGATGATTATGATAATCTAATTTATATGTATATTAATACACCAATAAACATATTTATAGGTGAACGATCATTATAGATAATCGATAACAATAACCAGTAGTAAAGAAAGAAAAAATAGATATAGAATACAAAGATGATAAAAATGAAAGGACTGGAACCAGTTACTATAGATACAGATGAAATTAGAGAAGTATGGGCACATAATCTAGAAGAAGAAATGGCCTTGATAAGAGAATTGGTTGACGATTACAATTATATAGCGATGGTATGTCATAAGAGAAAGAAGAGAAACAAAAGAAAGAAGATAGAGATGAAAAGAAGATAAGAACTATAGATTAATAATAATAATAATGATCGATTGTTATTATTATATTATTATAGGATACAGAATTTCCAGGTATAGTTACTAGACCTGTTGGATCATTTAGAACACCATCAGATTATCATTACCAAACACTTAGATTAAATGTAGATCTCTTAAAAATAATTCAACTTGGTCTTACCTTTTCCGATTCAGATGGTAACCTTGCCTCAAATACCTGCACATGGCAATTCAACTTTAAGTTTAATCTAAAGTATTTATCGCCACAAAAAAGATATCTTTGACATTTGGACATATATAGATCATCATTTGACTGATCTATCCTTATTTTCTATTTATACAGTGAGGATATGTACGCACAGGATTCAATCGATTTGCTATCAAGAAGCGGTATCGAATTTAAAAAGAATGAAGAAAATGGCATCGATGTATTGGATTTTGGTGATTTGTTAATGTCTTCTGGAATCGTATTAAACGAAAAGATTAAATGGATTTCTTTTCATAGCGGGTATGGTTAATAACGACGACGATCGCAACAGGTGTATTTTTGAATATCTTCAATCCCCCATTCAAAATCATCCATTCATCCATCATCGTCATCATCATCATCATCATCATCATCGGTCATTGTAAAACAAAACATACATATGGTGGTTACGTTTGGATTGACAATACAAGGTGAAACAAAAATACATGTTTGTTTTCAAATGTTTATGGCGATAGATAGATAGATTGATAGATTTATTGAAGGAATGAACGGATGAATGAATGATAGATAGATATATATATATATATATATAATCTATGGATGGATTGAAGATATTCAAAAAAAGAAGAAGAAGAAGAAGATTATTGTTGTTTGTTGAACCTACCTTTATTATTTACACTCTTTTCTTTTTTTTTTCTTTTTTTTATAGATATGATTTTGGATATCTTATAAAGGTACTAACTTGTACAGCTTTACCTCAAGAAGAACCAGAATTCTTTGATTTGGTTAGGACCTATTTCCCATGTATTTATGATATCAAATATTTGATGAAGAGTTGTAAAAATTTGAAAGGTGGATTAAGTGAATTGGCAGAGGATTTAGATGTATGTTTCCAAATCTTTAGAAATATTATATCTCTATGATACTCATCTCTCTATGTCTCTTTTTATTTTCTTTTTAGATTAAAAGAATTGGACCACAACATCAAGCAGGCAGTGATAGTTTGCTAACATGTACGACATTCTTTAAATTGAGAAAGATGTACTTTGAAAATCAAATCGATGATTCCAAGTACCAAGGAATTCTATATGGTCTCACTTCATCATTTTCACAAGATAATAGCCAACAAAATAACAATAATAGTAATAGCAGCAGCAGCAGCGGCACCACAAGTACCAGCACCAGCTCGACCACCAGCACATCCACCTCTTCATCCACTTCATCACCATCCTCATCATCACTCCCAAATAACAATAGCTATACTGCATCTGCATCATCTTTAAATGGGCATGTAATAACTTCATAATGGTCCCATTTAAATTTCAAAATAACCTAACATAACAAACTAAATTCTCAATAACAACATAACAACAATAACAACAACAACAAAAAAGGTGATTGATGTATAGATAGATAGATAATAACAAAACAACAAATTCAAACCGAAAGAGGAATATATTTAAATACTATAGGCAGATATATAACAACAATAACAATAGCAACAACAATAATAACAAAAGAGACAAAGATGAAATAAGATAAAAAAATAGAGAGGAGGCACAATTGGTACCAAAACTATTATTATTATTATTATTTATTATTATATTATTTATAACAACACGCACCAAACCCAACCCAACCCAACCAATCCACAATAAAACAAGCAATAATCGCATCAAAAAAAAAAATAATCCTAATAACCAAGTTGACTTCCAGTCCAAGAATCAAATGAAAGTAAATGGAAAAGGAATAGATAGATTCTAATTTGAATGGCAGTAATATAATTATTATTGTTACAACTAACTATTATTATTCCTCAAATCACAAAACTATTATCTCTTTTGTGAATCCAATATGGATTCCATGTGCGAAACAGATCTGAGAGGATGATCTGCAGACCCTGTCCTGTTTGAAATTTTTTTTTTATTTTTTTGATTTTTCTTTTGCCCACCCTGTCTGCAGTGAGAGTGATCATGTTACATTGAGCGCATTCTACTTATTCATAAAGTATAGTAATTACTGTAGATTTTAAAGGTATTGTTGAATGAAAACAACAACTTCAATAGAGAGGATATATCAACAAACAACAACAACGACGACAAAGTAGACAAGATCGAAAATCATTTTAACAATGATAGAGACAAACATAAAAAAGAACGAATAATTCAAGAATAGAGATATACATATACCTATACCTGTACACCAATCATCATATGATGATTGATCATAGAGACAAAGAAAGAAAGAAAGAAAGAAAGAAAGAAAGAAAGAAAGAAAGAAAGAAAGAAAGAAAGAAAGAAAGAGAGAGCAAGAGCGAATCGACTCAACATCACAACAAATGATCATACATACACATACTCCACCTATCAACCATTACTAATCTAATCTATTTATGATACTGTGTAGATGTCTGAACAAGTCACTGCCCCATACAACCCACGTTTCCCAAACATGAACCAAACCAAGCACTGTTGGGCTAGTTATGTAGATTTCAACGGTTGCGTTAAGCATTATGAAGGCGACGAATCAAAGTGCATGGAATTCAAGCAATCTATGAACTCTCTTTGCCCAGGCAAATGGGTATGTTTTAGAATAGAATATAATAGAAGAGATAGACAGAACTTTCATATGATTTACTAACTAACAACATAATCATCTATCTATCTATCTATCTATTTTCATATATTTATAGTTGTCTGACTTTGAAGAACAAAGAGAAGCTGGTATTTTCCCAACCAACAGATTTTAAATTGATATAATTAGAACACATAACATAATAACAACAATACCAAATACCAATACCAATACAGTAAATTCATATTTATAAATATATCCTTCCTTACAACTTTTGATGAATTGAATTGATCTAATGGGAAAGATATTAATATATTATATTATATAATATTTATAATATTGTATACATTATACATATATACATTTACAATTGTGATTATTTATTTTCTGTATATTAATTATGTTTATTATTTAATCCAATTTAATGATACCCCAAACAATTAATTTATAAAATAGACGCATGAATGTGTTTCGGATGGCTTCACCGATGACTCCAACTGGTCTTGCATGCATTCTTTCAGTATTGCTACGAGACATGTTAACAGCTGCAAATCCTCTTGCAAGCATATTGGTTTCATACTCTTGCATGCACAGTGTGAGGTCTTTGCCTTCAGAGACGATAGCTAGAATGATTTTCCCCAAATCCACACCATCTGCAATAGCACAATTTCCACCCATGCCAGCATGTGACACCATGCAATGTGCAGCGTCACCTAGTAGTGTCACTCTAGATGGGGCGGGATAAGTGGTGTGATCAGCTTCAGTAAGGGCCTCGATCTTGTCATAGAGTAAATGGTGTGGTTTGGTCATCTCTACCATCACCTTTTGAATGAGTGGATGGTATCCTGATAGACGACTACCAACTACCTCTAACATTTGTTCACGAGTCTCTGGTAAACTCTCAACTGGTAATGGTCGGTACTCGTACTGCCAAAACAACATGGTTGTATTGGTACTGTCATTATTAAAGAATGATTCCAAATTGTCAATATCAACCAAACCAAAGTCACGAGCATCTTTGATAGAGTTGGTTTTACAAAGGATGATTGAATTTTGTTGGTTTCCAATTGATTTGATAGCTACACTCTCCTCTTTCTCTGGTTTATTGCCCTTGTAGACAACGTCGAGTAGTGGATTGAATATCTGGTCGACAGTGTCATTGGGTACGGCAACGAGTGATTGGATACGATAGACATTGACATTTGCAAATTTAAAATCTGGTAACTTTTGTTTACGAACTGTTGATCTAACTCCATCTGCTCCAACCAAGAAATCTCCTCTATACACATATTTAAAATAAATAAGTTACATATTATTCAAACAATTTGTTTGTTCTCTCTCTCTCTTCTCTCTCTCTCTATTCATTTTTACATACATATAAGATGTACCATCTTCAAATGTGGCAGTTACTTTACCAGCTTGTTCATCTTCAGTATACGATACCAATCTTTTGTCATAGTGTATGGTTGGTTGTAGATTATGAGCATTGATTAATTCTTGACGCAATGTACCTCTATTCATGACTTGGTTTCTTTGGATGGCTAGTAAAAAGGCCAAACTACGATCGGCTATAATGAATTGACTTGGACACTCAAATACCGTTGATTTCAATGCTTCCAATTGCTGATCGCTCAATGATTCTGTTAATGCTTTCATTCCCATTGCATTGACACCAATCACATATCCTTGCAGTCTTGAATCTTCAGATCTATCTCTTTCAAATATTTGAATGTCGATTAACCCATCCTTGTCGTGTGTCTTTATATAATTTGCTAATACTAATCCACCTATACCTGCTCCAATAATCAATACTGTTTTCCTTGATTGATTCAATCAATATTGTTAGATAATCATAAGATTATTATTATTATTACAATACATACTTTGTTGATGTTGTTGTTGTAGATTCCATAGTTGTTAAACGTTTATTTGTTGTTTGTTTGTTTCCAACTATCTATTTATAAATAATGATGATCGATCGGGAGTGAGTGAGGGTGAGAGGGTGGTATTGCCAGTCAAAGATTGTTGACAACCAATTATTATTCAATCACTCGCGCACCCAATGCCTATCATCATTATAATCGGGTATACCCCGAGTTTTGCAACAAGCAAATCGATTTTTAAACCTCTCAATCCCTAAAACCAAAGATAATAATAATAAATTTAATAATAACAACAAACTTTATATATGTTCATAATGTTGAGGTGTCTTTGTATTTCTAAAAGTTTGAAACTCTCTAACACAAAATCTTAAATTATAATTGCAATGACGATATGAGGAAAATCGAAGTTACTCATCTTACAATATATTATATCTCTCTTCTTTGTTGTGTTGAATAACAAGATGTTGTTTATATTATATATATAATCGATAGATATATAGTGCAATACAAATACAGTTGACAGTTTTAAAAAGAGACATCTGATAGATTGTGACAAGAGATGAGGAGCGGAAGAGGAGTTGAGCTCCAGACCAAAATATAATAAAATATAAATTAAAAAACCAATTTAATTTAAATATTATTATTGATGGGGGTGAACGGTTGGGAGGAGATGAAAGAAAGAGGTTTGCTGAACTCAAACAACCCAACCCAACCACAACAAAATAGAAATAGAAAGATATATAAATATAATAATTATAATATTTTAATATGTGTATAAACTACTACAACTATTAGTTAGTTTTAGTGTTACATGACAACAACAACAACAACAACAACAACAAAATGATAGTAGAAGAAGATAAACTACTATGTGTGTTCAAAAATAGGTTCTTGATGCAAAAGATCCTATCATTTGTACACCATGTCAATCTTGCTCAACTTCGATCGAATCTAAATCACCTTATTCTGTATAATGATAATTGCTTATCCTCCTCATCTTCTTCTATATCCTCTTCTTCATTGTCTATTTCATCATCATCCTCTTCATCATCATCATCATCACCTGTAAATAATAATATAAATAATCATCATCATCATCATCATCGTAATAGTTATAGTAGAAATAATAATAATAATAATAATAATAATAATAATAATAATAATAATAATAATAATAATAATAATAATAATAATAATAATAATAATAATAATAATGGTAAACATAATCATAATCATAATCATAATAATAATAGATCTTCAATGTCATCAGTTGATTCATTATCATTACAATTGGTGTCACATGTTAAACCATTGTTATGTTTACCATGGTGTACAAGAATGTATAAACAAATTAATAGTGTTGAATGGATGCTAAAGAATCGACACTATGCATTGCTAGAGTACAAGTTGTCGCGACAAGAGGCGTTGGTCTATTCAGACACCTCTCTTAAACTAATGGCACAACGACTCAAGAATGACCGTCTCTTTTTACAAGTGTATCGTAGTAGAAGACTTCAATTTCAATACACCTATATAGACGTGGAAAAGGAAGCTGCCAACGGACACAACTTTCCAATTCTCTATTGTTTTGCTTATATTAATCATTTGGCCAACTGTTCAATTTATGGTAATAATAATAATAATAATAATAATAACAATCCAACAACAAATATGAATATGAATATGAATATGGATCATCAAAAAGCAGTAGATACAATTATTGACCAAATTCTAAATCATAATCAACACCAATATGTATTCTTTCCAAAAGATGACAAATCATCAAAATCAATATCAACATCAATATCTATGATTAAAGGATATACATATAATAGAGTAAGAGCAAAAATGATGATTGGAGAAGCATGTAATAGTGTTAGGAATGGATCGGTACCGGTTGATATTCGAGTACTTTGGTTTATTATCAATGCTATTCCAAAAGAGTATGTGCAGGAGCTTGACGAGAGGTCGGCACTTAGATCACTCGCCGAGAGTGGGTGTATAGACGCGGTGCGACTGTTACTGGATAGCTTTGAGATGGCTGGATTGCGGTTGTTTGACGTTGCGTTATTTGCGAAATATAGAGTGTTGGATGCGGCGATACTGGGACGTGTGTTGCCCGCGGTCGAGATTGAAGGGACAGAGCGCCACAAAGCGGTTATTGGCGGGTTGGTCGAGACACTTGGTAGCATGGGCGTACCAGACGCGTTGGTCATGGTCGATATGGTGCTGCATTGGGCGTATCGTCAGTGGTTTGGTAGTGGTGTCAAGATACCCGATGCATTGTGGTGTCAAAAGATAGAGGAGAGACAAGAGTGCAATGCGTGCTTTGTGGGTGCGACTACGCGGTTTTACCGCATGTTGGCACCCGAGGTGCGCGTCGCGTTGGTGGCACTAGAAGTTGCACTCGAAGCGTATAATATGGGTGTCATCGACGCCGACCCTTGCATGAATGCGCGGTCTCTGTACACTCGTATTCTAGGTAGTCACGATATACGCGCAACCAAGTACTTGATCGAGCTGCTGTCGCATTATGACTCGGCGACAGGTGCGTGTTGTCTAGTCGACTATATTGCAGAGGTTGGGACGATTGCACAGCTCGAGTTGGCTCGACCAGCCGTGCATATTGGTGGTACCACCAACGCGATAGATAATGCACGGTCTGCACAGATTGCCAAATGGGTGTTTGAAAACCGTACCGAAGGGTATACTGCCGACGTGTTGCGCAAGGCAGTACAACGTCGCGACACACGTCTCGTAGAGTATATCCTCACAAACGTCCCCCTCTCTCAACTCGACGTTGCAGCATCACTCAGCGTCGCCATCAATCTCTTTCACTATGACATCTTTGCATTACTCGCCACCCATATCACGGCACATCAATTTAAAGAGTATGTCACCACCGACATGTCACTCGAAGGGTACCTCTTCTTTTCTCGATTCCTCCCAGAGATGATCAATCATCCCTTGGTCGTCTTATCAAGAGACTCTGAAAGAGTAGTCAGAGGAATGAAACTATCACAGCTATCTTATACAGATAATACCAGCGCAAACTCTTTAGTACATCTATTGACCACTACATTGACTAGTAGCGGTCATTTAGAAGTAGAAGTTTCAGGAGGATCAATCAACAGTGCAGTACAACATGCAGCCGATTCAACTACAACTACTACCACATCTACCAACACAACTGGAGGAGTTACCTTTTCAGAATCACAATTGGCAGTAATCATGTCATTTGCAGTGTATTGTGGATACATTGATACAGTCCAGTTGGTACATAGTATTCATCCAGATCCATTCTATGTAGAGGAGGCAAACGATATCTTTGACAATGCGATACGAGGTGGATGTGCCAAGGTGATGATACCATTCCTGACAAACAATCGAAATGACAGCTTTTCAATGAATGCGTGGATGGATGTTGGTCGATTCGGTGATGGCGATCTCTACAAGATACTCAATCAACACTCTGAAGTTAAACAAACCTACGAACTAATGGTAGAAGCACATGAATGTGGAAATATAAAATTACTCAAATATTTAGAGTCACGAGGAGTAGAAGACTCTTCCAATTCTCAACACAGCGGCGTTGACCACCACCACCACCCATTTATCTATATTAGACGTGCCATTGAATCTAGTCAATTTGATTTGGTAAAATACTATATAGATCAATATAATCCCGATCCCGCCGATATTATTGGTCATCTTGAAAATAGATTGATGGATCTTCGTGTAGTGGATGCTCGTATTTGGATTCTACTGATTGAACATTCCAAAAAATATCAAAAATCAACTAAATCCTCAATCACTGTTCAATCCAATAGTCTTGCATCCCTAACTCTTAATAATAATAATAATCATCAAATACAACCCAAAGGTAGTAGTAATACGAAATCTTCCTCTAATATTACACCATCCAAATATTTTAAATCTTTATATTATAAATTCTTGGGTGGAAATTATAAAGATTATAATAGTCATAATAATCATCATCATGGACACCATAATCACCATAATATATCATCACCAATAACCAATGGTAACCAATCGACATCACAACCAGCAACTCCTTCATCTTCTTCCATTCCCGCTATTGCATCTAAAATATTATCAGTTTTTAAATTATAACGAATAACTCTCCCTCTAGATAGATATCTTATATATTTGTAAATTATACTCTCTTGTAAATTGTAATAAATCCTCAACATTGTAAAAAGAAAGTAAGAAATGAGTACCCAAATTGCAATGAGTACTTGAAAACGAAACATTGCTCTGAATTTGATTTTTTTTTTTTGTTTTTACTAATTTTTGTCGTCTGCACCACAATCATGTGAATGATCAAAAGAGGTAGATTGATAGATAGATAGATAGATTTGAAGAGACGATAACATACTGTGTATAATATAGATAGATCGAATCAACCAATACAACCAATCAATCTCAACAACAACAACAACATACAAAACGAAATAGAATTCTATTTAGTTGGACAAACATAAACTTTATAAATCATGATGATGTTAAGATCAACAGTATCTAGTTTATTAAAAACTAGAATGACATCTTCTTCATTGTATACACCAGCTGCTATTAGATCTTATTCTACATCTCAGACTGATGCAGCAGCTGAAACAACCTCTACAACTTCAACATATAGTAATCATAAATTAGAATCAGATTATGTTCACAGCAAAGATTTCAATACAGTACCAGAATCATTTGCAGTGGTTCATGTCGGTGGCAAACAATATAAAGTGATCAAGGGTGATGTTATCATGTCTGATAGATTACCCGTTCAAGTTGGTGATCACATCGTACTCGACAAGATTCTATTGGTTGGTACCAAGGGGTCGACCATGATTGGCACACCACTCGTCGACGGTGCCAAAGTACACGCATTTGTCGAAGAGCAAACCAAGGCTAGCAAGGTCACCATTTTCAAACACAAGAGAAGAAAAAATTACAAGAGAACTACCTCTTTTACTCCTTTGGCAACTGTTTTAAGAATCGGTGATATTATATTAAAAAAGAATTAGAAATAAATTAATAAACAAAAATAAATTATATATATAATCTAAAAAAAAATATTAATATTAATGTAAATGTAAATGTTTATTTATGGAATTAAATGGAATAATAATAATAATAATAATAAAATAAACAAAATAAAGAAATGAAAGAAAGAGGGAGAGATAATAATTATTAAATAAATATTATAATGACTGTGCAGATCAACCATCTATTTTATTATTATTACTATTGTTGTTTTGGTTATTATTGTTTGTTTGGATGGGTTATTATTGTTTGGATGGATGGATTTATCTCCTTCTTTTTAATCTATCGTCATTTGGATCTTCGGAAGATTTTCTTTTATATTCACTGTCATCACCTCTTCTTGAACGTTCTCGGTCTCTGTCTCTGTCACTACCACTACTTCTTTCACTACGGTCGCTACGACTGCTGCCATCTCTTTCACTACGATCGCTACGACTACTACCGCTACCACTACCATCTCTTTCTCTTTCACGGTCTCTGTCACTACGACTACCGCTACCACTACCACTATCTCTTTCTCTTTCGCGTTCTCTAGTTCCTGATCCACTAGATGTTCCTTCTCTATCTCTTTCTCGTTCTCTTCTTCTTTCGTCTGATGGTGGCATAGTAGGTACTGGACCTTCAACACCACCGCCATAAGGTGGAGGGTATCCACCACTACCACCCGGATAAAAATTACCAGGAGGTCCTCCTCCTGGAGGTTGCATATTTGCTTGCCATCCACCAGGCATACCACGTCCACCTTGTTGAGGTACTGCTCCACGTTTATCGGTTGGCATACCACCTCCTCCTCTTCCACCTTGTTGTTGTTGCTTATTCATTTCTTGAGGCATAAATTCAGGTGGTAGGTCTATCTTTTGATCGTTTCCACCGTTGATCATCTTGTTTGTGCTTTCGTATGATTTGATCTTTCCAAGATTAGCTTGTTCAGCTCTGAGTTGGATCTGTCTCTCACAGTACAGTTTCCAAGTCTCTTCAGTAAAGTTGTAATTAAAGTAATCACTCATATCGGCACCTTATAACAAACAAATATATATAAGTACCTAATCACTTCTATTCAATATTCGTATACATATACATACCTGGTTTAGTCCATGGTCGATCTTCAAAACCTCCAAGATCAAGATCGTATATAGATTTCTGTGGTCTGTTTGGTTGATGCTGAGATGCAGTAGCTTGCTTTGAGATTTGATACTTTACACCAGCCAAGTTTGTAACGGGTGCACTCTTATAAAAGGAAGGTTTGATGGAACCTGAAGAGTTCTTTGTCGATGTTCTTCCTGCCTCCACACTCTCGGTATCCAATACAATATTTACATCTTCATCATCATCGTCATCGTCGTCGTCATCATCATCATCGTCGTCATCATTATCATCTCCATCATCTTCACCACCTCCTCCACCTCCATCATCACTATTATTATTATTATTAATTTGTTGATCTTCATCTCTTTCTCTTCTATTGGTATCTTCTTCCTCTACATTGCTATTATTATTATTGTTGTTGTCATCGTTGGCATTATTTGTTCCACCTTCTTGATCTTCCATATCTCTCTATATATATATAATATAAACGATCTATCTATCTACTTTTTTATTCGAACACAGATAGGAAGGATAGGATAGATAATGAATGAATAAAGATAGTAAAAATATTTATTTCAAAAAAGTAAATAAATTACTTTTATTTTATTACAGCTTTGATGAATCTTCAAAAAACAAACAACAGCGCTCAAGCAGTATACTCACTCAGCTTTACAGTTATATACATGTATAGATATAAATATCTCTTTGAGGGAAAGGTCTAGTGAATTCACTCATTTATCTACCTCACGTCAAATACACCCTTTATATATATATATATATACTATTGTGTCCATCAACTAAGAAGAAAGGATATCTTGCAAGAAAGATTACCTTTCTTATCAGCTATTATATATTTGTTATGTTATCAAGTGTACATATGCTACTAGCAGTGCTTTTGTGTGTCTGTTCACACAAGATAATTAATTGAGAGAATTCAAACCAATCAGATGAGATGATCATGATTCTCATTCTTTGTAGTAAACCTTTTCGCCCAATACTCAAAAGAAAGATTGCCGAACATAATCTTGTCAATCAATTCAATTGAATTGGAGGGAAGAGACGAGAGATATTATGGTCTGCTCAACTAATCGGAAAATTCATTCACACATCAGAATTTACTATATTTGCCGTCCGGGTGTCCCAATTGCTCCCATTGGATTTTGTCGTTTTATTCTAGCCGTTGCAATTGAACTTGCCTAGCACTCTTCAAAACTATCGCCCTCTATTCTTCGATTGTAAAGAGTATTATTCATTCAATTCAATTTCATTTCAATCTCTACCTTGTTATTTTATTCTAACCCCAAACAAGAGATAGAAATATATATATATAGATAGATAGAGATAGATAGATAAAGATAGATACTCAAGCAGCATACAGCAAACAACAAACAGGCAAATAACAACAGATATCATTTTTATGAATACGACAACAACAACATTACGTCCAATTAATAGTAATAGTAATAGTAATAATATGATTTGTTGTTGTAGTTGTTGTCATTGTAATAATAATATAAAGTGTAAAGAATAACAAACAAACAAAACAAAACAAAACAATATTTTATAAACAAAAAGTGTAAGTGATATAAACTATAGTAGTTATTCAATCAACTTTTGACTTGGGAACCAATCCCATCCAGTTGTATATGCATGCGTTATTCCATTCAGCATCTGCCCCCCCCACTCATTCACTTTTTGTGTGTTCAAGTTGGGATCGATTTCCCCCTTAAACCACACACTCCATTCCAACTCGCATAATAATAATAATAATACTAGCTTTGGAGTGAATATTAATTAATTATTAACAAAGTTGACACTACACTATTTTAATTTAATTATTATGATTGGTTGATTGCATATATCTATATATATTTATATATTTATATTATATATTTATAACTAAACTTGGTTGACTGACCAATCAAATTAACACATTCTAATTAATTAATTAATTCATTTATTTATTTATAGATATATAACAAGTACAAGAGAGAGAGATAGAGAGTGAGAGAGAGATATATATATATATAGGAGAGGGAGAGAGATGATTTATAGTTTTAGCAGACTATGTCTGGTGTACGTGCTATCGGTATGGCTCGTTACACAGATGGGATATATACATATAACATTCACTTGGGCACACCCGATTACTTCGGGTACCTATTTATTCGCATTACCACCTATCATTGGATACATTGGTGGTATTGCAGTTCGATCATCTGTTCATATACTACATAAACAACAGCAACCGCAGACTCCTCCTCATCATCATGTTCCTCCCACACCTCAGGTGGAGGGGGGAAATGACGACCAACATCAACATCAACATCCCAACGACATACCAAATATAAAACAATTGAGGAGACAAATTGTTACATTGGGTCGGTCGGTTGAATGCCACCAATCAAAGTGCATGTCCCCCGAATACATGTTTAGCGACCAACAATCAATCAGCTCGGGTATTGGAGGTGCCGTCCACGGCGAGGAGATGCCTCCCCACTTTAATGGACACCATCTCGGTATCTTTGATGCCAAGACACCTCATAATGCATCGGCCGTCCCATTCAACAACCAACTATCTACTAGTAACAACAACAACCATAACCAAGAAGGAGGAGGAGTCGACTCGACTACGACGACCCATACTACAACTACAACATCTACCTCTACAACCAACACACCAATCAACAACACACCAATAGATAATAATGGAGCTCCACTAACCAACATTAACAATGGTGTAGAGAAATCATTAAACTATTCATCGACGAGAAAACTACGAAATGTTGCAAGATGTGCGCATTGGAATGTCAATGAACGTATGCCAAAGAGTTACTATGACTATGAAAACTATTATTTTGCGTGGCAGACACCCGACAATTACGAGATTATCCGAAAGATTGGTCGTGGTAAATACAGTGAAGTGTTCTTGGGTGTACATTTAAATAATAGTTTTCAAGATTCCAAAATATTCAATGACATCAATATCCCAACAACGATCGATAATAATAGTAAAGAAACAGGAGACATTGTAATCAAAGTATTAAAACCAATACCAAAATTAAAGATACAAAGAGAAGTAAAGATTTTAAAGAGTTTGGAAGGTGGACCCAACATTATCCCACTACTCGACACTGTCAAAGATTTTGAATCGAAAACCAAAAGTTTGGTATTTCCATTCATCAACAAAACAGATGTTAGAGAATTAATTAATTATTTAGGTGATGATGATTTACGTTATTATATGTTTGAATTATTAAAAGTAAGATATATAAATATAAATATAAATATAAATATATAATAATAATTAATTTATTTATTAACTCTCTCTCTATGATTATTTTAGGCAATTGAATTTTCACATTCAAAAGGAATTATGCATCGTGATATTAAACCACATAATATAGCAATTGATCATAGTCAACGTAAATTATATTTATTGGATTGGGGTTTAGCAGAATATTATCATCCTTACAAGACATATAATATTAAAGTAGCTTCAAGACATTATAAACCACCTGAATTATTGGTCAATATGCATGATTATGATTATTCTTTGGATATTTGGAGTTTAGGTTGTTTATTTGCTGGTTTGGTATGTATAGATAAAAAAGAAAAGAAAAAAGAAAAAAGAAAAAAGTAATATTAATTTAATTTAATTTCTTTTATTATTTTTAGATATTGGATAGAGATCCATTCTTTCATGGTGAAGATAATGATGATCAACTTGTACAAATTAGTAAAGTGTTGGGAACTGATGGTTTATATGAATACCTAGATAAATATGGGTTAGAGTTGACAGAGGAACTACAAGAACTCATAAAACCGGCACCAAAAAAGAGTTGGGATATCTTTATACCTTTTTCAAACGATGATATTGCACATCCAGTGGCTATAGACTTTTTAGATAAATTACTACGATATGACCCACAAGAGAGATTAACTGCTCAAGAGGCTATGAATCACCCTTATTTTGAATCTTTTCATAAATCAAAGTAACCCAAATAACAACAAAGTAACAACATCGACAACAGGTAACAACAATAATAATAATATTAATAATAATTTATAAAAGTAATGATGATGATGACTCAACGATTGTATAATAAAATCACATTAAAATGTTAATGTTGGGACTGGGAGGGTGGCGGCTATTAATACATCCAGCATCCTGTACAAGTACTTGATCCTCCCTTTTTTTAAAAAAACAATAATATCAAAATTATTAATATTATATCTGTATCATATGTGATCAATCTATTTTATAAATCATGATTGTTTTGATCGGTGGTAGTGGGAGCTACACAGCAACACCAATTTCCAGATTTGGATGATATTAGTTTAAATCTCATTCAGCCGTGGGTGATTGTTTGTTTTTGGGGGGAGATTGAACATCCAGAAAGTTTCGCTGGGACAAGTATGCATAAGGGCTCTCCTCCTTACGATACCGTTAGGTTTGTTATACAATGACACAATAATCATTCTATTCTATTATGATTTCTACATACAAATAATTTAAAAAGATAAATACAAATATTTCTACTAAGTAGCTACTTACTATTAAATTAAAATAAATAATATGAGCACCAATAATAATAATCAAAATAATCAAAATAATAATAATAATAATCATCAACATATAATCATGATTTTGATTATTATCAATGTCATTCAAACTCATTGTAAGAAATTATTAATTATTTGAATTTAATTAATTTAGACATCCCAACAAAAGTACAATACTTATTTTAATCTATCAATTAATATTTAAATCTTAAATTAGGGGAGGAAATTCAAAGATCAAGATATCAAGTTGCCAGTCTTCACAGTCCAAGAGACTACTCTGATGATCTGGATGATTACATTGATCAAACTGGAGGTGGTTTTATTGAATAATTTGAATACATAACATCCTTCATTCATTCATTCATTCAATCTTTAACCTTTTATTTAATCTAGTTCAGAAACTATCCCTTGGAAACTATATTTAAATAAAGAAGAGTTATTTTTTTCAACTTTACTTTTTTCTATGAGTTCTCGTTTGTAGACTTTGAGAATTGATGATGATGATCAAAGAAACACCGAAAAGTTTGATTTCATCATATATATAATATAGTAGTGTTGTAGTAGTAGTAGTAGTAGTAACATAGAAGATGATTCGATCAAAACAATAGACAAGAAGATAATAGTAGTTTGTAAATAATAATATTAATAATAGTAGTACAAAATAGAGAGAGATGCGACATCAATCATTGTTTCATCAATGGTTGATCGCTGTTGTTGTCGTCTTTGTTGTACTATCAATAACAACAACAACAACAACAACAAATGTAGTATATAGTCAATCTATACCAACACCACAACAAATACAAGTGATAAAGATTCGAAATGATATCGATTGTAGAAACAATTATTGTAATTATTTCGATACTTCTTTGTGGCAAGGAGGTGTAGTACCTGTTGGTGATAGTGTCATTGCATCGATTGATTTCTCAGAGAATAGTGTTGCTTCTGGAAACCAAAGAATATGGGTGCAGAACCCACTCACTATCTATGCTGTCAATGTATCTGCTGCCTCCTTACAACAACAATATACCAATGCTGTCATATTGACAGCTTCACAACTCAATATTACCGATACACTGACACTTGGTGATAACACTGAAATTGGTTTGGTTCCACCTGTTTCATCGGTCGGGTCACTCTACATTGGACAAAACAGTACTGTCAGTCTTGGTAAAGGAACTCAACTATTTGTATTGAGCAATCTATATGCACTAGAGTCATCTTGGATATTACTCAATTCTGCAACTATAACTGTCAATGGTAACGCTACATTGAAGGGATCAGTAGGTATCTATTCTACATCGACTATGAGGTTGGGTGAATCGGCAGTGATTAGTGGAACCATGGATTCATCAGGTGATCTCTATTTGGCATCGTATACAGTGTTTGAGCGTGGTAATACATCGATTGGCGGTATAATGACAGTTGGACAACACCAACTTAGTATCAATGCAGGTGCGTGGATATCCATTTTTGGGGACATACATATTCCCCAGTTTTCATCAGTCACCATCCAATCACACGGTACACTAGCTATCTTTTGTCAAACCGTCCAAGCCAACCTACACTCTATCACGTCTCAACCAAACAGTAACCTATACATTAGTGCTAGTACATCCAGTACATTGACCAACATCCAACTACTTGGGACTACAACCACCACCCATCGACCCGTCTCTTTTTTCAATGGAACTATTTCAAATTTACTCATTCGTATGTATCAATATAAATATACATATAAAATAGAGTATACATATTAATATGTTTGTTTGTTTATATTTATATTTATTTAGACTCAATGGAATCACATTTTATTTCATTACAAAATATAGTAGTTTGGAATATTAGTAATCCAACTACGAAAGTACTATTCCGTTATTCATTGATTACAGATGAATATGTGGAGATTGCGAATGCGGCCATTGACAATGTGGCTCTGGTGACAGCACCCTATTCAACACTCAACTTGACTAATGCCAATATTCGTTTGGGTCGGTTTTCATGGATGACACAAAGTTTCAGCTCTATTGTATTGATTGACAATGCAACACTAAGGGTACCTAATTGGTGGTCTGGTGAAAATGCAATGACCAATGTTACCAGTTCATATATAGAATGTCGATCACTTTCTACATCGGATGCACAAATCAATATCAACGGTCAACTTGTATTCAACGGATCAATTTATCTATTCAATAGCAAATTGACGCTTCAAAATGACAGTCTTTTAATGGTTATCAAGGGGTCTATCATTGGAAAGAAACAAAGTAGATTACATATCAGTGTTGATAGAATGCATGATTTTACTTCGCCTCTAAGTGCACCTGTTCGTGTAGATAGTCTATTCCTCTTTGACTCTGGGTCAGGTATACATCTCGAGACTTTGGATGGTAACTCCACAGTCATTCCACAACTACCCTATTATTTGGTATCAGGTCCCGACACGGTCAATATCAATACCTATGCTTGTAAATTCACTCCTGATAACCTTTACCTCTATTCATTCACTTTTACAAACTCAAATAATGGTAGTAATATACATATCGAGTTTAATATTTTATAATTACAAAATAAAGAAAAAGAAAATTCTTTTGATTCTTTGCGCAAAGACATGACTTTTCGAAAATATTTACTTTGCTTGTTTTAGTATTCTTAAGAAACAACGAATAGATAGATAGATAGAAAGAGATAATAGAAGATGATTGATACTATATAGTATAGAATAATTGAACAACAACAACAACAACAAAAACATAGTAGTAATAGTGTAATAGTACAATATATATAAATAATATAGGAAGATGATCAAGTCTTTGTCACCATCATTACTACGACGATTATGGTTGGTTGTAGTTTTGATGATAGTTGGCATAGTAGTAGTCGACGGTCAAACTGTGATTAGGATGAGATCAGATGCAGAGTGTTGGTCGACTGAATGTGACTATATGAATCCAACTCTGTGGGAGGGAGGAGTGGTGCCGCTGGGAGACAACGCGATTGCGTTGATGGACTTTTCACAAAGTAATATTACAGGTACGCAGTATATATGGGTACCGTCATCCCTCAGTGTCTATGGGTTGAATGTGACAACGTCGGACTCGTCGACAACGGTCGCTGTGTCAGTGGCCATATCACAGTTTAACATCACCAAGTTGACTTTAAATTATGGTGCCGAGTTGGACATGACCTATCAAGATGACGGTCCGTCTACAGCCGGGTCAGTGTATCTCGGTACAAACAGTAAACTCATTCTTGATCTTGGATCAAGACTAGAGGTTTCAGGTGACTTTTACAATACACCATTATCGGTCGTTAAGCTAGGTGCTGCCGACTTGGTGATCAATGGCACGGCGATGGTGTCAGGTCCCATCTTTTCGTCTAGTTCCAAATCAAATGTTCAGCTTGGCGAGTATGCTGTCATCAATGCTGCTGTACATGTGACTGGTGACTTGACCCTGGCAACAACGACATTTATTCAATCTGCCAATGTCTCACTGTCAGGTCTGTTGACCCTTGGAGACGGTGTTTTCACACTGGGTACCTATGGTCGCATCGTCGTCACTGGCAACATCTATTCTCCCCCCTCGTCATCCATCGTCATCAAAGCATACGGTGCACTTGTCCTCACCAGCGAATACCACATCAATCTCAACTCTATCACGTCCGAACCATACGGTCTCCTATACACCGGCTCATCACCTCCCAGTACATTCTCAAATATCTCTCTCTTGGAACTACAACCATTTTTAATCACCTGTTTCCTTTTTCAATGGAATCATTTCAATTTTAACAATTGGTAAGCTGAATCCTTTAATTAATTAATTAATAATATTAATATTTATTTTATTTCTTTATTTATTTATATTTGTTTTAGAAAACTTGAAACCAAACTTTATATCATTACAAAATGTAGTAGTATATAATGTTACTTCTACGTTTGCTGAGAGGGGGTACACTGTAATAACCGACGAATACGTTCGAATTTTAAATGCTAGTATGACATTTGCAGAGATTGTAGTGACACCCTACTCTGTACTCAATCTTACCAACTCTAATATTAACCTTGGGTTCGAGTCATCGGTGACACTCAGTTCCAATGCCATTGCCATCTTTGACAATACTTTATTGGTTACACCTATTTGGGTGTCTGAGCCAAAGGCAATGATCAGTGTTGTCGGTGCTTCCTATATCGAATGTCATACACTGTCCACCGACAACACACAAATCAACATTAACAACAAACTAACACTCAACGGCACAATGTCGCTGTCCAACAGCAGAGTAACACTCCAAAGCAGCAGTCTACTAAACATTATAGGTGGGATGTTGGTGGGCAAAAAACAAAGTAGAATACATATCACTGTCAATCGAATGCTTGAAATTACTTCACCCTCGAGAGCACCTGTTCGCGTAGAATCGATGTTTCTCTTTGACTCTGGGTCAGGTCTGCACCTCGAGACTTTGGATGGCAATTCCACAGTCATTCCAGATCTACCCTATTACCTCGTATCAGGTCCCGACACCATCAGTATCAATACCTATGCTTGTAGTTATACTCCCGATAATCTTTACCTCTATTCTTTCTCTTCAACCAATCTCGATAAAAATAATAATATTAATATTGAATTTAGTGATTAAAATCACAACCCAATCACAACCCAATCAACTCTATACTATACTATACTATACTATAATCAACTCATTTTTTACAGGCTAGCAAATCTAAACCTAGATTTATTTTATATTAAATAAATATTTAATTTAATTTTGTATAATAATTTTAGATTGTTACAAAAGTCGACAGGTTCATCATTTTTTCTTCATTTTTTTTTTCTAATGATAGAGAGATAGTAGAGATAAATAATGAATAATCAATTATTTAAACAAGTTTTATTTAATAGATATTTATATGTAACAATAATAGAATACATTAAATATATTAATAGAATAGAGAATGCATTAAAGATTCAACAAGATGTCTGTGGGTATGCTGAAAAGCATGATTTGGTACTCAGATATTCAGAGTCTACAAGAAAGATTGATCACTTTTATCAGCTGATCAACATGGATCCAACGTTTAGTAAAGATTGTCGATTTGTAGGCTCGACGATTGTACACAAATACAATTGGAGAAGAAATACATATATGCCAGAGAAACCAATGCTCTCTAAATTAAGACATCCAACATTTGCTACAAGGACGTATCAAACGGCTCAATGTGTCAAATGGTTACTAAAGAATCGTTATGGTAACTTATTACTTGACAAGTTGGTTAAAAAGTTGCCATTAGACTTTAGTAAAGTGATATGGCCGAAATATGCAACACAAGAATGTTTGAAAGACTTTTCAGATGCTATGCTCAACCTGCTTATCAGAAGAGCAGTAGATTATTATAAAGAGAATAGTTTTACTAGTTATTCTGGTGTGGTCAGTGCAATCATCATTTTTGGTAACAAAAGGTTGATTAAAGCTGCACTTGGAAGTGCATGGGCACCGGAACACATGCCAAGAAAACCATCTAATCAATCGTTGGCTGTTAATGGAGACGTAGAGTTATTCAAACAAGAGGAGAATCTTCATAAAAAGGAACAACAACAACTACATTTAAACACACCCCCAACCATTACAGAGATTGCTATGGTGGCATTAAAGAATGGGAATACCGATTTGTTCAGATACATCTATACAACATTTAAAAAAGAATTGGTTGAAGAAAACTACACAAATACCGATACATCAGATCATTGGACTGCATCATTACTACTATGCAAGGATTTGGAGTTAATGAAAAAGGTTTGGCAAGAGGAAAGTATTAATACGGTTCACATTAAAGGTAAACCACCTAAAAGAATCTCATTTCCCATTACCTATCGTCACTCTTACATTATTGCAGTGTTGAGTAGTATACTTATGGCCAAAGATAAATCAAGCAAACGTTCTCTTCAAAACATTAGACATATCGTACCAACACATAAACATCAATTGGAGACGTTGAGAGTGTTGTTCGAGGTTCACTACAAAAAGACGTACAAGGTTTGTGAAGCATCGGTTCAACGTGATCTCATTGACAATTATTTGGTTAATGTTGATTGGAAGGCAGACTACAAGGAGACAACCTACACCCTTTCAGACTTGTCTCTTGTATGTGCTATATTGGATATATGTAAAGAGGAGCTGGAGCAACTACACTCACATTATATTGCCAAGACACTAGGTCGTGTTCTGTCACTGACTAGTGACGAGTGGATATGTAGATACCTGTCTACTCTGTACCCACCCAACGTCCTATTAGAAGGTGCGTGTCAGTCTCCCTTCCCATCCCACATTCTCTATTTCTACTCAAGACTACCAGATATACCACCCAAACCAGTTGAAGCCATTCCAAATACCATTGAAACATATAATACTGCAAGATCACTTGGTATCATCCAAACACACAACTTGTTATCAATTGCCAAACATGCAATCAAAGCAAATAATTTGGAGTTTATCAGATTGGTTGCAACAGATAACAGCGAGTTTCTCCAACAAGATACTATTCCTTCATTGGTAGTGTATTCATTGGAGACTGGTAATATCAATACAGTCAAATGTGTATTGGAAATGTTTGTACGTAGTGATCACCTGGTTGCATTCAACTCGGTCTACCAATCAAGAGTTTATTATAATCCAACAACTGTCTATTTTATAGTAGACAATTATCAACATCTTCAAGGACGCTTTGAATGGCACTCCGGTCATACAGATAATCTTTTACACTATGCATTGTATTTTGGTAAAATGGATGTTTTACAACACCTTTTAACCAAAAAGTATAGTCGTTACAGATTCTATTTTGATCATTGTTTCAATGTCCATTCAACTAGATTGCTAGAAAAAAGAGAAATGTCAACACAACTAGAACAACTCTATAATCAACAACAAGAACTTATCCAATTTGCATGTAGGTACCTCACAAATGATCATTTGGGTAATACTACAGATAGTCGATTAGGTAGGGCACTCGGTTCAATCGGTGACATTAAACTGGTTGACATGTTAGAGGCTTACACATCACGTATCACACCAGGACTACCAAATTTCCATAAAACTCTGTTACAAACTGCATTCGCCAATGGTCACTTGCATGTCATCAAAAATATGGATTTCAAACACCATGTCTCTAAAATCTACATTCTAGATAATATCAAATTGGCAATTGAAAATAATCATAAACCAATAATAGATTATTGTATCAAAGAAAAGAAATGTGATATAAAAGTAATTAATTTAGAAATAACAAAATTTAAAAACTCTCTTAGAAAATAATAATAAATAATAATAATAATTAATTAATTAATCCTTCGTTATCCAATTCCTACAAATTACTAAATAAATAATAAATCAATAAATAAAGAATATCTCAAGATAATTAATATCTTGAGATATTATTAGAGAGGAGGTTGTGATATTATTTATCTTTTTCTTTTTCTTTTTTTTCTATATTATTTATTTTTTTTCAAAAAATAGAGATAAAGAGAGAGACAAATGGTTATGGATAATGATCAATTATTTAAACATATATTATTTCAAAATAGGTATTTGTTTAGTTTGATTATAGAATATATTGGGTATATTAATAGATTAGAGAATGCTCAAAAGATTGAAAGAGATGTGATACGTGGTGCACAAACAAAGGGTCTCTTGCTACGACACATTGGATCGGATAGAAAGATCAATTTGTTCTATACAATGTTGAGTGCAGACAATCATTATACAAAAGAGTGTCGTGTTAACAAGTCAGTACTCACTCACCAATATGTGAACCGACAAAGTTATTATGCCAATTTGCCACTTGTACATAAACTAAAACACCCGTCGTTGGCCACACGTACCTATCAAACGGTTCAATGTGTCAAATGGCTGCTCAAGAATCGTTATGGTAACCTATTAGCAGACAAACTTGCCAAAGGGTTGGTATTGGACTTTGGAGAGGTGATGTGGACCAAATATGCAACACAAGAACGTTTGAAAGACTTTTCAGAGGACACAATCAAACTGCTAATCAAGAGAGCCATTACATTTTACAATGATAATAAAATGCCGTCTCTAGGTGATACCATGGCAGTGACAATCATCACTTTTGGGAACAAAAGGTTGATTGAAGAGTTGTTAAAGATATATTGGAATAAAGAGTTTAATGGAAAGTATGATGCAATGGCTTCACTTGGTGATGTTGCATTGTTCAAACGTGAAACTCCAACAACAACAACAACAACAACAACTGGGTTAGAGAATATTAATATAACATCGGCAATGGTGGTAGCACTCAAGAATGGTCATACCGACCTGTTTAGATATATCTATGAAACCTATCATCAAGAGTATTTAAAGGAAAACAACAAAATGTCAACCTATGCAAAAGAGTCGGGATACTTGATTGTCGCGGTTCTCTTTTGCAAGGATCTAGAGTTAATGAAAAAGGTGTTGCAAGAGGCCAAGACAACCATACCCAACTACACTATTTTTCCTCAACCCAGTTGGAGTAATTATATTGGTGGTGTATTAAATAGTATCTTGGAAGATCCAATCAAACAAAATAGATACAGTATTCGTCACATATTCCCAAGTCACCAAAACCAATTAGAAACCATTCGAATCGTTTCAGAGATTTATCTCAACGATGAGGAAGAGGAGGAACTACAACAACTACAACAACAAAAACAAGTATTTGTATCACAAGAGTCAGTTGAAACAGATTTAATCAATAATTACCTTGTTTTAAAAAAAGATTGGAGTGGAGAATATAAAGGTACGACCTATACAATTACAGATCTATCTTTGTATTGTACATTGATACATGCTTGTAAAGGACATTTACATATTGAACGTATTATCAAGGCTGTAGGTAGAATACTTTCACTATCGGATGACCAAGGATTGTGTAGATATTTCTCTACTTTTCTATCTCCTAAAAAGCTTATCGAAGCTGCTAGTCAATCTAGATTCCCATCACATATCATCTATGCCAAACAACAAATACCATCCAGTCACAAGTACTACAAGTTGGTACCACGATCCATCGAGACATACAACACCATTAAATCAATCGGGTTGTTGTATGGACCAAACTCAACATTTATATTAAAACGTGCCATCAAAGCAAATGATTTGGAGCTTGTCCGATTGGTTGCCAAGGATCACGGTGTATACGTTGAAAGTCAAGATATCATTGTTCTTGCCTTGGAGACTGGTAATCCAGAGACAGTGGTCTGCGTTTTAGAATCCATCTATTCGCGTAGAAACAACCCTATCAAACTCTTACCAAACCCAAGTGCAAGGATTTTCCATAACCCATCGGTCTGTCACTTTATAGTGTCACATTTCAATCTTCTTGAACGTTATGTTGCATGGCCTCGCGTAGAGCTAATATTAGAATATGCAATGTATTTCTCAAAGATGGATGTTGCTCGCTATTACATTAACGAGAGTAAGAGTAGTACAAGCTCGACAGTGTCAAGTGGTAAATCAACAAGATATGTCTCCAACTATTACTATCAATTGCAGTATGGTTTCAATGTATTCTCGACCAAAATTAAAAGAGAACTACCAGAAACCATCCACCAGCTTTTCGAGCGACAACAAGAAATAATTCAACTTGCTTGTAGATTTATTGAACCGGGTAGGTTAATCCTTTCCATAAACAATATCCCTGTGGCCACTGCCCTTGGGTCGATTGGAGATACCAGTCTAGTGGACACTGTCAAGAGCAATGTGGCGGTAGGTGAATCCCTTTCACCAGGCTTTTATCAAGAACTAGTTAAAATGGCATTCCAGTGGGGTCATTTAACATTGATCAAACATATGGACTATAAATACCATCTATCGAAAATCTACAGCATGGAAAATGTTAAATTGGCAATTGATAACAATTACAAACATATAATCGACTTTTATCTAAAGGAAAGAAATGGTTATAAAAAACAAGTCCTTCAATTAATCGATACTATATCACCAAAAAATATAAATTAAAAGGTTTTAAAAAATATTAAATAAATAGAAATAATTGGATTGATTGATTCTGTTGAACATCAGCATTTGTTTTATTTTATTTGGTCAACAAAATTTTGTTTAATTGTTGTGTGGATATATATATTCAATTTAAATTAAATTGATAGCAACAACAATAATAAATAATAGAGATGGGAGGATTGGTGAGGATGAAGAAGAAAAGTCGCCAGAGTCAATTGACATGTCAATTAAATTACTCTTACCTGATGGATGATCGGTTAATGGATCAGTGGTTCTTGAGCCAGTACTAGAGTGTCTTCCACCGTCATCACATCCACTACTACTTCCACTTCCACTACCACTGCCACTCGAGGCGCTTGTGCCAGATCCAGATCCAGATCCAGATCCACTGGTTCCACTTCCAGAAGATACAGCACTGGTTCCACTTGAAGTTTTACCAGCACTACCACTTGTTATTCTATCTGTTGTTTCTTCGTTAAAAGTGGATCTAGTTGAAGTAGTGTGTCTTTCACCATCATCACATCCACTACTTTTTCCACTTCCACTTCCGCTGCCACTTGAGGCGCTTGCAGTGTCAAAAACACCTCCACTTCCTTTTCCAGAAAAGCCAGCACTTGTTAGTTTGTCTGTTGTATCTTCAACTGTAAAATTTTTTGTTGTTTGAATTATTTCATTGTCGTTATTTAATTGTTGTTGTTCAGCATTGATACTGAAGGCTAAAAATGCCATCATCATTGCAATGGCAATAAAAATATAAATTCTATTCATTGTTGATAATAATAATATTGTTTATCTGTGAAGTGAAAGTTGGGAGAGAGGAGATAATTATCTTTCTCTAAATTGATTGTGTGAAGTTGAATGAACATTGTGTCGCTAATCTAGACTATTTATAAGTTGGCTAGTGATAATTGATAAAAAAAGACGAAAGCCTTCAGAAGCATTCGATCTCGGGGAAATGTCAACGGAGAAGATAGGAGACAGCCCTTTCAAAAATATCTAATGCCTTCAGAATCAAACAAGCCCTAATATCTATTCAACCCGAATAAAAATTTTATTCAAACCGAGTAGCTATGATATTTTGAAATTGAAAATCATTGTGCCACTGGGAAGTGAAACAGCTGTGATGGCAACAACCCTCAAACTAATAATCATTATTAATAATAAGCTCGAGCATTGTTTCTTATCTCTTTTTTACTTATCTTTAATATTTTTTCTATCACCAAGGTTCAACCTCGACCTGCATCCTAATCACATTGTTTGAATGTTTTTTTGTAACCGCTACCCTTGTCTTATACAAACGATTCCGATTTTAATCAAAGGAATGATCTAGTGGCATTCTTTCCTTTGTTTATGAGTGTGGTCTTGTATAGATAGGACTGTCTCATCTTCATGGATGGCTTTGCACCGTGAAAACTAGATATTTTCGTCATCAAAACGAGCTGGGATGCCACGACCAACTTTTCTGATCGCTTTATAGAATTTCGTTCTGTCCATTTCGTTTTTTCTAAAGAAAAACTTCTGAGGTCATCGATAGATATTTTCAAGGCTCGTCGTGTTTACTGCTCATGCAGCACTATATAAATCATTATAATTTTAGTTAAAAATCTTTAATTTCTTTCTAAATATATATACAGATACAGATACAGATAAAAAGATGAAATTTCAATCAATTATTTTAATCCTAGTTGGATTATTATTAGCTACATCATATGCAAGTGATATCTCATTCAAGACAAATATAAATTGTCTTTCTGGTTGCAGCTTTTCAGAAGCTGGGAATTGGGTTGGAGGTGTTGTACCAGGAGCAAACGACAATGCAATCATTGATATGTCTACCAGTGGATTCGCAACTACCCTCGTTCTTGTCACTGATGCACTCAACGTCAATCAACTCACAGTCATTCGTAACAATGGCAAGACTCTCTATGTAGCTATCACTGCCCCAGGCAAGCTTGATAATTTGGTCATCGACGGTACCGCCACCGTAGACATTGGCGACGGTCTCGCTGTCATTATCGGCAACTCTTTGTCTGTTGGTGCTGGCTCAATCTTCTCGATCGGTGTCAACTCTGCTATCGTTGTCGCCAACGCCACCTTTGCTGCTTCCCAGTCCACCATCACTCTCGCTGATGGTGGTCTCTTGTCCACCGAAGGCAATGCCATCTTGAACGGCCAAATCGCTGCCAACCCCACCTCTAACCTCGAATTTAGCCAAAACGTCACTGTTTGGGGTTCTATCACCGCCGGTGCTTTCAACTTTGCAGGATCTGCATTGGTTACCTACCCAGGCAGCGTCAAAGCCACATCTATGCTTCCAAATGGCAACCTTACCATTCAAGGAGGTGCTTCAGTCACTACTAGCGCAATGCTCTGTGACGCCACGGTCTTTGTCATCAGCGGCTCCGCCCTCAACATTGACGGAGACTCTGACTCTAACACTGTCATTGATAATGTCTTTACCGACTCTACATCCAACGTCTACATCTCGTCTGGTCAATACACCTCTATTAGAAACGTCGAATCCTACGGAAACATTACTGTCGACGGTGGCTCTGCCGCACTCACCAACGGTTTCATTGCCAACTTGCGCCTCTATCTCAACGCTGGCGTTGCCCAACCAGACATCACCATCCAAAACACCCAAGTTGGCGTCGTCGTCTGTGAAGCTGCTTCATACGTCTACTTGATCTGCGTCGACTATTGCGAGATTACCGAGATCCAACAAGCCGACAACTTGCAAGTCGTCACCTCACCAGGTGGTGTCCTCAACTTTACCAAGTCTTTCGTTAGTCTCGGATCAGGCTCGAGAATCATTGCCAGCTCCAAGTCTGTTGTCATCTTTAACAACACCTATGTCGAGACCAACGCCATCTATGTTGACACTGACTCGCAAGTCTATATCCAAAACTCCAACATTAACGGCTCGTTCCTCATCGACCACTCTACCATCACTGTCTATGGCCAATCGTCAGTCAACTATATCGAATTGACTGCCAGTGTCTTGAATGTTGCTCAAGGTGTCTTGACCATCACCACCGACCTCCTCGCCTTCCAAGGTTCCACCATCAACGTCCTCCTCCAGTCACTCATCACCGACCCAAGATACACTCCCATCAAGGTCAACGTCGACATTAGCATTTCACAATCCAACGTTGTCGTTCATTCCTCTGCCAAGACTGTTGCCCCAGGCATCCTCTACTATGTCATGGTCACTCCAAAATACATCGACGTTCCATTCACCAACTGTACCTTTTCTCCAGTACCATCTTCACTCACCGCTCCAAACTTTAGCGAAACTTTATACAATGGTTTCATCTATTTAATCTTTGCTTTCCAAAACTAATAATAATAATAATATAACAACTTACCTTAAATTATTTATATATATATATAACAACAAATATAAATGTATATATATATTTAATAAAACATATAATAAAACTCCTCTTTGTATAAACTTTTTAATAACCAATAAAAGAGTATAACAAAAAAAAATAATAATAACAATTATTTTTTGTTCTTGTGCTTGGAATTTTTTTTATCATATTGTCCATTAAAAGAGCGCTATGAGTTATTAGTAGTTTATTTGTAACCATAATAATAATGCATCAACGAATCTAAATCTAACAACAAGTTCAGCCACAAATTCAGCAACACTATTATAACAACAACAACAACAAGTCATTATGATCACATCATCTATCATTTAGTACTTTCTTTGGAGTACCAAACAATGATATTTGTTTGATCTTTTTTGTTTGGCCTACGTAGCATTTAAAAGCTGTTAACACACAACTTGTTGATAATTGATTGGTGATGGTTTGCAAGCAGAGGATACTCTGCTATCAATCATTATCTTATTTCATCTATACTACACAAATATATTTATATATAAAGATGAAATATATTATTCAATTCCATTCAATCATTTTAATCCTCATTGCAACGTTATTCATAGCTACATCATATGCAAGTGATATCTCATTCAAGACTAATATAAATTGTATTACCGGATGCAGCTTTTCAAATGCTGAGAATTGGGTTGGAGGTGTTGTACCAAGCATAGATGACAATGCAATCATTGATATGTCTACGAGTGGGTTTGTGACTACTCTTGTTCTTATCACTGATGCACTCAACGTCAATCAACTCACTGTCATTCAAAACAATGATGGTAAGACTGTCCAAGTAGCCATCTCAAACTATGTCAATTTTGTTAATCTAGTCATCAACGGTACCGCCACCGTAGTGGTTGAAAGCGATCAATCAGTCCAGATCGACAACTCCTTGTCTCTTGGTGCCGGCTCAATCATCTCGATCAATTCCAACTCTGCTGTCGTTGTCTCCAACTCCACCATTGCTGCTGCCAAGTCCAGCATCACTCTCTCTATAAATGCTAGCTTTCAGGGCAAAGGTAATGCCATCTTGAACGGCCAAATCGCCGCCAACTCCCACGGTGCTCTCGAATTTGACGGAAATGTCTTGGTTGGGGGTCAGATCACCTCATACCTCTTCCTATTTGGGTTTGCATCGGTCGTCTACCCAGGCAGCCTCAACTGCGCCAATATAATGTCACTAGGAGCGGGAAACCTCACCATCTCAGGTGCATCGGTTACTGCTGGGTTGGTCGCCACTCCCGCATCGGTGTATGTCGTTAACGGCTCCACCCTCAATCTCATCGGAGACACTCCCACCTCCAACACTGTCATTGGCACGATCCATGTCGACGCTACATCCAGCGTCTACATCTTGTCTGATGACACCTATTTTAGAAACATTGAATCCTACGGGAACATAACTATCGATAGTGTCTCTGCTGCCGGGCTCACCAACGGTTTCGTTGCCTACTTGAAACTCGTTCTTCTCAGCAGCGGCAGTGTGTTGCAACCAAACATCACTCTACAAAACACCAACGTTGGTGTTGTTGTCTGTGAAGCTGGTTCGAACGTCTACTTGAACTGCGTAGACTATTGTGAGATTGGTGAGACACAACAATCTACATTTTTGCAAATCGTCAGTTCGTCAGGTGGTATCCTCAACTTTACCAAATCTTCCATTACCCTCGGACCAGGCTCGAGAATCTCTGCCAGCTCCAAGTCTGTCATCATCTTTAACAGCACCTATGTCAACACCAATGATATCTACATTGACACTGACTCACAAGTACTTATACAAGACTCTAACATTGGTGGTAGGTTACTCGTCAACTACTCTACCATCACTGTATATGGCCAGTCGTCTGTCAGTTATATCGAGTTGAATGCAAGTGTCTTGAATGTTGTTCAAGGTATCTTGACTGTCGTTGCCGACCTCCTCGCCTTCCAAGGTTCCACCATCAACATCATCCTCCAATCACTTGTCATCAACCCAACAAACACACCAATCAGAGTCACCACCGGCGAAATTAATGTTGCTCAATCCAACCTAGTCATTCAATCCTCTGCCAAGACCATTGCTCCATACACTCTCTACTATGTCATGGCCACACCAAGAAACATCGACGTTCCATTCACCAACTGTACCTTTACAGGACAATCTTCATTCACCGATCCATACTTTAGCGAATCCTTATACAATGGTTTCATCTATTTAACTTTTGATTTCCAAAGTAATAGTACTGACAGTAGTAGTAATAATAATTATAACATACCTATTATTGATTTATAACCAAATATGTATACATTTTTAATTAATAATAATAATAGTAATAATAATAATAAAAATAATAATAATTGTAAACTTAATAACCAATTATAATGTATTTAAATGACGTTTCATCCTCAAAAAGGAAATTCTGATTCTTTTGATGATTTTTTCTTCTTTCAATTTCGCACAAAGATGTTCATAAATTGCGCATTATCGCTATCATTCATTTATTTGTTTATTACTAGTAGAGAGAGATAGAGAGAAATGTTATCAGTCAGATCTATTAGAACTTTTTATGTAGGTATTTAGAGTAGTTTATAAACATTAAAAGTTTGTATTAATACGAGTCATTCATCACATGATGTGATCTTTTTATATACATAATTTGTAGAGTGGAGTTCGTTCCTATTCAACCTCAAAGGTTGTATCATCTGCAAAGGAAGCTATTGCTGATTTAAAGGATGGTTCTAAATTGTATGTTACATAAAAAGCTTTAAACAGAACTGCACTGATCATCAGTTTGGAATGATATATTAATTAATGAATGACTCTATCTTTTAGATTGGTTGGTGGATTTGGTTTATGTGGTATACCAGAGAATTTAATTAAAGCAGTTCAAGAAAAGGGAACCAAGAACTTGACAGTTGTCAGTAACAATGCTGGTGTTGATGACTTTGGTTTGGGTGTATTGTTAAAGAGCAAGCAAATCAAACGTATGATTTCATCGTATGTTGGTGAAAATGCCACCTTTGAGTCACAGTACCTCAAGGGAGAGTTGGAGGTTGAATTGACTCCACAGGGCAATCTTGCCGAACGTGTACGTGCTGGTGGTGCTGGTATCCCAGCCTTTTACACTCAGGTTGGTGTCGGTACCATCTTGGTCGAGCAGGGTGGCTTCCCTATAAAATACGCTGCCGACGGCAAAACCGTAGAGATCAAGAGCGAGCCACGTGAAACACGTGTCTTTAACGGACGTACCTACGTGTTGGAGGAGGCCATTAAAGGCGACTTTGCCTTGGTCAAGGCTTGGAAGGCCGATACCCGTGGCAACCTTGTTTTCAGAAACACAGCCCGTAACTTTAACCCACCTATGGCCACTGCCGGCACAATCACCATCGCAGAGGTGGAAGAGGTTGTAGAAGCAGGTGAGCTCAAGCCAGACGAGATCCACTTGTCGGGAATTTACGTGCACCGTGTTATCAAGGGTCCATCGTACGAGAAGCGTATCGAGCGTTTGACCCTTGACCAAGGTCAAAACCAAGTAGGTGCCAAACCAAAGAACGAAGCTGCCCTCAAACGTGAGAAAATTGTTCGTCGTGCTGCCCTTGAATTCCAAGACGGCATGTACTGCAACCTCGGTATTGGTATGCCCACACTCGCCTCCAACTACATTCCAAAGGGTATTCGTATCGAGTTGCAATCAGAAAATGGTTTGCTCGGTATGGGTCCATTCCCCAAACCCGGTCAACAAGACCCAGACCTCATCAATGCCGGCAAGGAGACTGTCACCACCATCCCAGGCAGCTCCATCTTTTCGTCAGCCGACTCGTTTGCCATGATTCGTGGTGGTCACGTCGACCTCACCATCCTCGGTGGTATGCAAGTCTCCCAAGTCGGTGATCTTGCCAACTGGGTCATTCCAGGCCAGATGGTCAAGGGACCCGGTGGAGCTATGGATCTCACCGCATCCGGCTCGCGTGTCGTCGTCACCATGGAGCACAACTCCAAGGACGGCAAGCCAAAGATCATGCAATCATGTTCCCTCCCACTCACTGGCAAGGGTTGTGTCGACCGTATCATCACCGAGTTGGCCGTCTTTGACGTCGACAAAAAGAATGGTCAATTAGTACTCATTGAAATCGACGATTCCGTCACTGTCGACAAATTAAAACAATTAACTGGATGTCCATTCACAATCTCAAAGGATCTTAAACCATTACAACAAGTTAATTTGGATTAAATCAAAAACAAACAAATAACTAATAATAAATAAAACAAACTTTGTAAAATCGATCAAAAATATTAATTTAATTTGAATTTAAAATTAGGCTTCAAAAAAAAAAGGAGGGAAATTTTTTAAAAACGAATCATTTCGCAACTGACCCAACTTTAGAGTAAAGAGTAAAAACTTAAGTTAGATATCTTTAACAAAAAGAAAGAGAAAAAGAAAAAGAGATAAAGACAGGAGAACAATAAAGATGGTGCTAACTAATCCATCTAGATTCTTGGATATCTATAACTTGCTAAAAGATGATGCACTAGCACAAGGATGTGAAACTGTGTTGATCCTAGTTGCAAGAGATTGTGATTCTATTGCTGCTTGTAGAATTCTATCTGTATGAAATCAAACGACTCTATATAAATATATGTATATATATATATATGTACTTACTTTCTTTTATCTATCTATCTCATCAATATAGGAAATATTAAAATCAGATAATATATCATTCAATGTTAAACCAGTTGCAAGTTATAATGACCTTGAAAAGGTTAATGAAAGTTTACTTGCTGGAAATGAAGAGGTATGATACTATACATATGATTGATTATTAATATTAAAGATTAGAAAGATATTAATGTATTTTATTCTTTTAGTTGAGAACGATTGTAATGATTAATTGTGGAGGTAATATTGATATTGGAGAAGTATTTACCAATTTGATAGATGGTCAATTAGTTTATATTATCGATAGTCATAGACCATATCATCCAAATAATGTAGATGATCAAACTTTTGTAAGTGCAGGCAATTTTTTTTTTTGATTGATAATGGTATCAGGTGACTAACCTTTTTTTTTGTTTCTGGATCATGACAGGCAATCATTGTTGATGATGGTAATTTTGTTGATCAAGTTGCAACTGAAGTACAAGATATTAGTATGAATAAGGATGATGAAGATGAAGAGGAAGAAGAATCTGAACAGGATGAAGAAGAGGAGGAAGATGAAGAAGATGAAGAGAAAAATGGATTCGTAGATGATGAAGCTGAAGAAGACGATGATGAAGAGGAAGAGGAAGAGGAAGAAGAGGAAGAAAGTGATGAAGACGATGATGCAATGGTAATGGATGAAGATGCAGAAGAAGAAATGAAAAAGAAAAAAGAAGCAAAGGAAAAGAGATTAGAAGAAAAGAAAAAGAGATTAGAAAAGAGAGAGGAAAAAGAGAGAAAGAAAAAGAAAAAGAAACAAGATGCCAAAAAGAAATTAAAAAAGCAAAAGAAAAATCCAACTCTATCCATGTCTAATCAATCGTCGTATGGCAAGAGTGTATCATCTTTAATGTATGATCTCAGTTGTGTATTGATGAAAGATAATTTAGATGGATTGCTTTGGTACGCTATCGTTGGTATGACCGACCAATTGGTGCACGAACGTGTCAGCACCAAGGTCTACCAACAAGAGTACGATCATCTCAGATCGCTGGTTCTCAACACTTACCCGGCCGACGACTTGGCCAGCCAAAACGTATTAAAAGTGTCGGCAGCATCTGCACGTCTCGATCAACAGCAAAAAGAAAGAATTGTTCCATGCGAAGACTATCGATTCATGTTGTATCGTCACTGGAATCTCTATGAAAGTTTGTACAATAGTAAATATGTTGCATGCACGCTACAGACTTGGAAGGCAAAGGGACGTCACTTTTTAGAGACCCTATTTGCTTTGATTGGAATCCCACTTGACCAAGCCAAACAAAAATATTTATCAATGAATTCCCAATTCAAGAATACCCTAAAACAACAACTAGCTTTTCATGCTCCTCGTTTTGGTTTAAATGAAATTTATTATAATTCATTTTTAAAGGTAAATAATATTTAAATATTATACTATATAATTTATTATTAATTTATTTATTTTAAAATTTAGAAATATGAATGTAGTATTGATATTTCAGCATCTGATACAGTTTATGCTGTTACAGCATTGATGGAATCTGATAATTTGGAAACAGATGCAAGTGATGAAGAAATTTGGGAACAAAACTTTTGGGATGCTTATGATTCTCTTTCAAAGTATGAAATTAGTAATTAGAAAATATATTTGATATTAATATTTTATTTATTATTTTAGTAAAAATGTAGAATTATTAGTTGAAGGATTAAAATATTCAATTTTTCCTTCAAAAGGAAATTACAAGACAAGTTACAGTTATGATTGAAAAAAAGAATGTAATTTTACAAGGACCATATAGATATGCCATTCTCAATGACTCTGTCGAATTAAAGTATTTTACTCATCCAATGGCTCTTACCAAATTGGGTTTGTTTATGATGGATGCTTTGGTATCTATGGGTAAACAAAAGAAACCATTCCTCATTGCAGCTTTAAATGAAAGTAATAATAATTATTTAATCGTTGGTATTTCTGGTTCTCATAGTTCAGATATTCAAAAAAAGTATGAATCAAAAAAAACAAACAAGAAATCATTTATAATTATTAATTTACTATTTTTTATTTTAATTTCTACTTAGTTCATTTGGATTTTATTTCAAGGAAGCTGTTAAATTAACAAATTGTACCTTTAAGTATCAATCATTTGATACATCGGTTGTAGAGATTGCAAAGATCGATATGCCAAACTTTATTGAAAAATTAAATGAAGGTTTAGCTTTGGAAGATGATGGAAATGAACAATAGGATCATACAACCAAAATAATAATAATAACTAACAACAAACACAACAACATTAAACAAGTTAATTTTAATTAATTAACTTTTTATTCATAAAAACAACTCTGGATGGATAGTAGCCAGGCCAGGTCTAGAAGTCTTTATTTTTTAGAAAGAATAATGAGTTCACCAAATTTAAATTCATCAATTATGAAACCAGATAAAGATGCAAGCTCTTTCCATTCTTGTTCTGTTCTCTCCTTTCCACCTCCAACATTTAACATATCTAAAAGTGAAGTATTAGTTTGAATAAGTAATTGCAATTCATTCTCTTGGTCAAAATTATTTAATACATACGAAGGTCATACCAAACTGAAACATCATACATTTTGTTACTCTTGTCAACAATGAAATCGTAAATGTATACTTTTCCATTTGGTTTAATGGCTTTTGAAATGGTTTGTAGGATTTTAGAAGCATCATTTTGGTTCCAATCGTGCATTATTCTTTTCATTGTGTAACAATCTGCTTCTGGAACACTTTCAAAGAAACTCCCTGAAACATCTTTTGCTCTTGCATCATTGTTTGGTCTTTGTTTTTGTTTTAATTCAATTACACTTGGTAGATCAAAATTAATGCCAACTTTAATATTTGAATTATTTTTTAATATTTCTTCCATAAACCTTTAGAGAAAAAGAATATAAATATAATGCATAAATATTAATTAATAATTTGTTTTTTTTTTTTTTTTCATACCATCCTTGTGAACCACCAACATCACAAACCGTTTCAAAAGCAGAGAAATCAGAACGTTTTACAAAACTTGGTCTAGTAAGACCATGCATTGCATTGGCAAATAAAGTTTCATAATCTGGGTTGCTGACCAATTCATTCCAGTATTCTTGACCAGATGTAGTACTATAACCTTTCATCAAGTAGTCTTCAGATTTTAGCCATACTTTGAATTGGAGAGGGTTTGATTCCAACAAGACAATGTTTCTAGTGTTAGTGTCGAGCAACAAGGACGAGAGTGATGAGTTTGAAAACTCTCCATTTCCTTCATCGATAAACACTCCAGAAACAGCAAGTGCTCTCATGACACGGAACAGTGTTTCATCATGAAGACCTACTTGGTGAGATATCCATTGTGACGATTGTTTACCATTGGCTAGGTATCTGGCAATATCAAACTTTGCAGCCATTTGTATAGCCATCGATCTCCAAAACCCAGTTACCAAATTAAATAATTGACGATTTTCATGAAAGATATTCTCTTTTAATTGTATATCTTGTTCAATAGTTGATTGCATATTAATAGTTTAAAATATTATTTAGTTTTTTATGATTTTGTTAAAATGATATTTATTGATTTAGATAGAATAAGAATGATGATAATATCATTTATATAAATGTCATTTTCATTCTGGAATACCTTATTCGGATGTAAGATATAAATAGAAAGTAAATACATCTAGTATCTAGAAGGAGAAGGAAGTGGTGGGTGAATACAAATGTGGTAATAGATTCAGATTACTCAAAAAAATGAACAAATTAATATCATATTCTTCAGTATTCTTTCTTCACTATATCTTCTCAATCATCTTTTACTATATTCTACCAATCTTATCTACAAATTGATCATCATGACGAAAAGAATAAAAAGAAAGTTAAAACATTAATGTTTATTTGATTGAGTATGAATGGATCAAATTTGGAAAGGTGATATTATTTAATAGTTCTGTTCATTGTTGTTGATTTAGAGTCATAATAATCGACCATTTTCATTCAATTGATTAGATTGAACGGATTCCACAAGGATAATTTAATTTGATTCCTCTATCAATTTGATTTGTTAATGTATCCAAGAGAGAATGATACTATTCAAAATCAATATGATTATTTTAAAGAAAAACTTCTATCTTTCTTTAAATGTTTACGGCTGTCACTTCCTCCACCAGAACTACCTCCAATTAAAAAGGAACTATTAATGGGTGAAAAACAATGAAAATGGTTCGATGTTAAAAAGGATGCTGATTGAGACATCATTTCTCCTATTGTATCTTCTGCATGTTGAAGTAATAAAATTTTATGTTCTCCTCCTCTTAGACAAAATCTTGGATCTAATCTCATCATTGATGCTATAGATAAATAAGAAGAAAGAATGTTAATACAGTTCCATATGGATTGGGAGGATGCACAGAAAATTTCATACCCATTATTGCCATTCTTGGATCTTTTTACTTTGAGTCTGATTTGATATATATCAACATCACTTAAAATGGAAACTAATATGATTATTATAATAATACTACTAAATGAACAGTCGGAATATCAAAGGATGAACGTTTATCTCATGTCATGGGGTGCCCATTAAAGTTAAATTTGACCATAAATAGGATATCCCTTCCAATTTTATTGCAAATACAATATATGGATAAAATCAACAACAATAACAATAGATCTATTACAGTCAATAGTAAATTTTATTTGTTTATCTTTTTGGCAAAGATACATTTAGATATCTCATCAACATAATTGCCATTGTAAATTCATTGGTTTATTGTATCACAATGTGTGTACATATCTATGTGGTGTGGTGTGGTGTTGGGTTAATCAATTTTGTTGATAACTATCTATTTCTCTCAATCTCTCATTATGGTGGTATCCGTAAACAGTATTCCTCGTTTTCCACATCTATCTACCACACTGTGTGTGTCTAGATAAAAAAAAAAATTGTGTAGTTGTTAACCACATCAATTCTAATTGATAATCACACAAAAAAAAAAGAAAATTCTATTAGATTTAGCTAACTGCTTTTATTTATTCACACATATATGTGGATTTAATAAATAAATAAATAATTATTTACAAAATATCTCTCTTGATACTTGCGGATTACAATGTTGATGAAGAAGATATTGGTTGGTGGGCAATGATAATATTATTCAGGTGAATAGAATGGCTGCATGCACTCACCTACATCTGTGTGTCCCTATTACTCTTTTTCAGTGATTCATTAAAACAATTCTAATATACTACTGGACAATGTTGATTGTGACGATTAAATAGTACGTGAATTGGATAAATCTCCCAGAATTTACCATGAGTTGGAGTGGGGCTGGCACTCGGAACAGAGTATTGAGGAAACTTTTCTTCTGTTTTAATGGTGTCGAAAAAGTAGAGAATACTGTCATATTGCTTTGATGAGATTGCAAATGGTAGTGATGTTGAATTGATTCTGTTTTCGAAAAGGTAAGGAAATGAATTGACCAATTCAAAAAATGACAAATAGGTAGATGAAATGAGATCATAAATCTGACCAATTGGCAACTGACCATTGAAATGAACCCTTTCTAGATACTTTAATATATCTAGGTTCTTGCTGTAAAGGGAACATATTTTAATGGCATTTGGACTAAAATAGTTCTTGTTTTTGGAGTAAAGCAGTGACACTAGATCCAAGTCTCCTGTACGACATGCGACATCACCAAAAAATACATTTTTGTCTGTGCAATGGTCAATAAGGAATGTGACACCATGTTTAAAGTGTGGTCGATTGTTTTCATCTAGGTACAGTTTGAGACGGGGAAGTTGTGGGTCTTGGGTATTGTTGAGTTTTGCTTGGATGACCTTTGAAAGATTATTTTGTAGACTTTTGATGTGGTCAATATACGATGGTATCACTGTGAATATGGTTTGATCACCATCCCAATAGATGAGTGCATTGACCAAATGCTCCTTGTTAATTAATTTCTTTTCAAAAAAATATTTTAAACAATTTAATGAATCCATATCTGACTGTTGTTGTTGTTGTTGTTGTTGTTGTTGACCACTATTTTCATGTCTCTTGATTGTATTGTTCCACATTAATCTGATGGCTAGTTGGTTTTGGTTTGTTTCCATCTCCAAGGCTCTACCTTCGGGTCGGATGAGTTTGTTGGTGACGAGAAACTTGATCATCTCGACGTTTGGTATGGGTGTGTCGACAGTCGATACGATCGACATTTGTGATGGCATATATTTTAGTTTGGGTAGAGTCAATTGCTTTAATCTCTCCAAGTCACCACGTTTAACCAATTCACTTGGATTAAAATATCTATTTGCCTTTTCAAGTGACAACAAGTTTTCAACAGTCTTTATCCTTCCACTATTAATATAAATATCAATATTAAATTGAACCATTGTACTAAACGGACAGGTTGGTGATAATAAATACAACAATACTTTATCTGACAATTCAATGGTTGGTAGGAATGGATTGGGTAGAGTGAATTTCAAAGCAACATCTTGATTGTAAAAGGGACAGGCTGTCTCCAATACCATGTTGACAATATTCATATCATTAGAGTGTACAGAGGAGTAAATCAACTCTGCGAACCCATGATGATCGATTGGCAAGCGATCTTTGACGTCGGTACCTCCCAACACCAATGCTATGATTTCTTGGTTTCCCAACCTAATGGCATGGTGAACGTGAGTTGCACAGATTCCAGGTGTCCCAATTAATTGAATGGTCGATACTTTTTGATAAGGTGTAATGCGACCATGATCCAATAAGAACTTGACTAGTCTTACTCTACCCATGTTGATGGCAACATATAACGGACTAGTATGATCATCATACCAAACCCAATTAGTTTGATCGTTTAACGATATCTTGTTCTGAAGAAGATACTGTAGCATTTCTAATGCTCTATCTTCATCTTCATCTTTTAATGCACTGCGAATGATATGACACATGGTTTGAGTGTTCCATCCAATTTGACATGTTTGAACGATGAATTTGAGCATCTCTAAATTCAAGTGTCGTCCAGCTTGATAGGTAGCCTCTATTGAAACGAGTAAAGAGGATTTAATACCTTTTGGGATTGACACTGCACGTATGTAATTAGCAATGTCAAGACGATTAGCATAGACTGCAGCATCGATTGGTAGTATGGGGTAGATTGAAGTAATGTCAGTCTGAGCCCTCGACAAGGCCTGTTCAATCAGACTGAAATGAATTTTAGAGAGTGTAGAGATCGCAAACCGTAGATGATCGAATTCACCTCTTGCAGCCATCACATGCAATGGTTGTGATACATCTTTTAAAAATGCTTCACTCTTTAAAACGACATCATCTCTTTCTCTTAAAATCACTCCCAACACATAAGGATTCTTGAATACTTTGGTTATCAATTCTCTATCCTCTTTTAATATTATTATATTCTCTTGTTGACTATAGTCCATTTAACGATACTACTACTATTTATGCATATCTATACATATCTTGATAGACTACTCAATACTTAGCAGCATCTTCACCTTCAAAATTAAATTAAAAAAAAATAATAATTATTTAAATTAAAAAATACTATGAGTATTCTGCACAAAGCAGTATTATTCATTCATTCATTATGACAACGATATTAAATTTATCTAATCTATTAGTATTACATATCATAAAAGAGATAGAAGATAATGCAGATATAATAATAGATTAGATAATGCAGATATGATAATACAAAATCTCAAGACATTCAGGTTGGACGCAGACGATAATACTACTACTATTATGATAAAACTGTTTACAAGTTAACAATAAACATATTATCAAGCAGCCTAACGTCACTCACTCTGAATGTGATTGAAGTACCTCCACGAGACACATTCCTTTCCTTAAAGTCGCTCCGATATCTCAAGATCGCCGTTAGTGTACGCCCAGGGGAAAAGATGTCATGTTTCGATCTCTCCACTCTACAAAATCTCAAGACATTCAGGTTGGACGCAGACGAAACTGCAATCAACACGTTTATCGAGGTGAGGGTGCCTCCCTCTATCACGGTTCTCGATATCTTTTCTCCCGGTCGTATCATATTCCCACGAACAGAGTGGACAATGCCAGTGTTGGAGAAACTATGTGTTGAACAGGGTATCCTGATTGCTGGAGCAATCGATCTAAAGTCATGCCCATCTCTCAAGAAACTCGTTATTCTAGGGTCCTTTCAAAACTTTCCAGCCAACTTTTTCCCATCCACTCTTGAAAAGCTCACTATCATCAAAGAAACGCCACAAAGTTACAAACTTTGTCATTTGTCCAAGCCACCTTTTTTAAATGGCGAGGAAGCGAGGAAAAGACTGATGCATCGGCCACCTGCTTTAATTTGATGAGAGATTGAGGTATTTTGACAGGTTCGTAGTCTCCCTTGATGGTTAGATGAGTGAGCGATTTTGGGAGTACAACCTTTCGAAGTATTTTGTCTGTTGCCAACTGCCTCTTATCCCAATCTTGAAACCCTCAAGATATACGATACCATTGCAGACTATACCATTGGTGGTAATATTCCACCACCTGTCACCAATCTATCAATATCAATTGATCCTGTCTACGATCGTGGTAGTAATAATCTTCCAGTCTATTCAATCGCCTCGCTCTTCCCCAAAAAATCTCAACAACAATGGCTCCCTCACAATACTACTTTTCTAGTTTGCCAAACTTTCAACCAATACACCAAAGAGGCTTTTAGATTGGATGAAATAATCAATCACACCAATGTTAGATATTTATCTATTGTTTTTTGTGACGACTCTCCCGTTAAAAGTGATAGAAAAACGATACAATTTTCAATTCAAAGATTGGATGCAGACAATAGAAATGTATTGGTATTGGAGAAACAATCACTTGCTGGTGGCATAATCACTCAACGAAAATCAATCAACAACAACAATATGATCCAATTTATTTAATCCAAAAGAGTCTCTATTTAAATTTAATTGGTCATTTGAGAAATAAAATATATATAACATCAAATATTATTTCTTTTGAACATTTTTAAATCAAATGTTAAAGATACATTTAGATAGATGACAAACAAGATGAGTAAAAATAATAACCATGATGATGTGATGATTTTGACAAATCAAAAAAAAAAAGAGATAATATTAATAATAATAATAATAAATATTTAGATCAATAGGTGGATTTCAGCGAAAACTAACCTAGATTCAATTTAGATTGATTTGGTGGACTTGCGTTCAATGATCTTTGGTGATGACTCAGCTGCAACGCAAGATCTTTTTCGTGGTCAAAATTATTTTCTTTTTTCCCTTCCTTTGCTGGTGTCGGCGCTACAACAACCAACACAACTAAAATATTATTCTTTTATTTAAACCTCAACAAATAACAATAGAATGCAACCAGTAAAATGGATACTCTCTCAACTTTTAAAGGTGAGACAGAGATACAGAATTTAAAAAGCCAGATACCTAATGTGTCAAGGGAGCTTTCTCAGGCTAAGAAACATTATATAAACGCCAGCATGTCCATTTTGACAAAAGATCCCTTCGAAGGATATCGTGAAATCCAAAAGTTGACAGAAATGCAACAAGAATGTCAAGTTAGTTTGGATGAATACAGAAGAATATCAAAAAAATTGGTCAGCTTTATCGATCTGTCACCTCATTCAAAAGTCTCATTGGACCAAAAACTAGAGAATGAAATAAAAGAGTTGGGCAAAAGATATAAAAAGTTACAAGTTTCCAAAACAAAGTCAACATCCATGAAAAATAAAGAAAAATTAGGTCATAGGATCAAGGTCATCGAAAAGTTGGTTGGATCAATTGATTGACGTGACAAAAAAGCCATCAAATTAAAAGAATCACTATCTCATGTCCCCTTACCAAGTAAAGGTCCAGTACCTGTTACAGAAGCACCTGTTATCGTTCCAGCAACTGTTAAAGCTCCAGTACCTGTTACAGTTCCAACAACTGTTACTGTTCCAGCATCTGTTTCAGTTCCATCACCTGTTAAAGCCCCAACAACTGTTACTGTTCCAGCACCTGTTACTGTTCCAACAACTGTTAAAGCTCCAGTACCTGTTACAGTTCCAGCATCTGTTACTGTTCCAGCACCTGTTACTGCTCCAACAACTGTTAAAGCTCCAGTACCTGTTACAGTTCCAACAACTGTTACAGTTCCAGCACATGTTCAAGATTCATCCAAATTCGATATAGATTCTGTGTTTTCTCTTCCACCAATTGCAGATTATGAAAAGCTAAATCGATTAACTTGTCTTGTTGGAGAAATCAAATCAACCAAATCCAATTTCAAATCCACCAGGTACATCCCTCAAGATCAAAGAAGGATTGAACAAGAGCACCATAAGAAAATTTCAACACTAAGAAATGAAGCAAACAATTTAATTGGGGAATTGGAGGAGAAAAAGCTTTTATATAATTTAAGAAATATAGATTGTCTAGAATCTACAAAAAATATTGTATGTACCAATATTGGTAGTAACATCCTTTACATATTCTACAACTTGATTACTCACACTTGTCTCTCTCATATTAAATTTAATGATACCTGCAGTATGATCGAATAGTTAATCTCTTTTTACGATGTAGACCACAAAGATTAAAAAGATTGGGACTTTATATTCAAACATCTCAATTGCCAGAACAATTAACACTCGATCAGTACAGAAAATTAGTAGTGCCGTTGATGTTTGAAAATCTTAGACGCCAGATTGTTGGCAATATCACAGACATTGGAGCGACAGTTGACACGATCGAAGGTCTATTGGACTTTAAAAAGATCAAATCGGTTGCATCAAAGGCAGTGTCACTCACTGCCACCAAGGATGGAATGTTTCTAGATTTTAAATTCAAGTCTTTGTCAAGAGTCACAGATCTACACAAACAAGATCTAGTGTTGCTTCAGATCAAATCAAAGTCAAAATGTGTGTTTGCTCAAGTCATCTCTGCACCACAGCCAACTGGAAAGTCATATCAATCGTGTAGAGCATACATACTCGATGACCATCTGGATGCCCCTCACACCACCCAATTTAAAAACTCACTGTCTACTACGTCCAAAAAGACAGATCTCCAAGTCTTCAAGGTGGTCAACCTCATTTCATTTAAAAAAGAATTGGACGATAGAAAGAAGCAAACAATCGATATTAATGGCTCGGCTTTAATTAATGGTATGTTTTTATTTGTAAACATTGAATTAATATATATTATAATATTAATATTAACGACATCGTTTTAAAACTTTTTAAAGATAAAGAATCCAAAGAGATTAATCACTCTCACTACCAAATCATTTGAACAAGAATTAGAGGAATTATTTTCATTATCAAATATTGGAGATTACCAAGACGACAATAGCGATGATGACGACAATGACGAGAGGGACGTGTCAAATTCATCATCCGATTATTACTATTCAAAAGATGTCCATGGATTCATAAATGAAGGAAGCAATAATATTTCTTTTTATGACTCACTGAAAGGATACAACCCTGACGGCGCTAAAAAAAGAAATCTGCAATTTAGAAGCTATCTCAGTCAATTGGTTCTCAAACAAAAGGCTAATTCTTTCACTCAACCACTACCTGGAGATATAGTCCATATCCAAAAGATCAATGATTTATTGTCGACCCAATATGACTTTAAAAAGTGTAGCGATCAAACATTGTGGGCCAAGAAAACTAGTCAGAGCGAACTGTTCAGTTTGCTAAAGACTAATTTCCCCAAGGACAATTTCGAGTCATACGGATCATTTGTAAATGGTATTCAATTGGAATCAAGTGACATTGATGTTTGTTTCAAGACCGACTTTAATACATCTGACCCAGTCGGCCGAAAGGATCTAATGAAGAGAATAGCCTTGTGTCTTAACAAAAAGAAAGTCAAAGGCAAACCAAAGTATCACGTGGAGAGAATACTGGACTCTATCAAAGTGCCAATCATTAAGTTCAGGGATCTAAAGCACAAAGTGTCGTACGATATGTGCTTTAACAATCGTTTGGCAATTGGAAACTCGTTGTTGGTAAAAGCATATTCCGAAATTGATGAGAGAGCCAAACAACTCATGTTGCTCATCAAGTATTGGGCATCGAGAAAGTATATCAATGATGCTAGCGAAGGAACCCTTTCATCATACGGATGGTTGAATATGGTTATATTCTATCTTCAAACTGTCCAACCTCCAGTCCTCCCATCATTACACTCCAACATCGACTCATTTCCAGACGATCAGTTGCAACAAAAGGATGACTGGAAGTTTATTGATCCTCGCCACACTGGATTCATCAGTCAAAACAAAATGACCTTATTCCAACTATTCTATGGTTTCTTTAATTTCTATAGCAAGTTTGATTATGCCAATCAATTAATTTGTATTCGTTTAGGTAAACCAACTAATATTACATTGGCAACACAATCGTACAAGGACAACAACAAAGAATGTCCAATTTCCATTCAAGATCCATTCGATTCATCTTCAAATCCAGGTGCTTCTGTTAAAGACACCTCCTCTTTTGGTATTATCATCTTTGAATTCATGTCAATGCAATTAAACTTATTTAAATTGTCCTACAAAAACGACATTATTCAAGATTTCGATGGTCTCCTCTTTGCCAAATCAAAGTTAAAATTAAATGAACTTTATAATAAGATGAAAAGATAATAATAAAAACCAAATAGATCATTTCTAATCAATAATAATAATATTGTAACAAAAGATTTATATTGTTGTTGTTGTTGTTGATGTTGATTAATTATTTAATTATTAGTTGACAACCTTTTCCTTTTCCCTTTCCTTTTTGATCTTTTTCTTTTCCTTTTCATTGTTGGTATTTGTGTTTAATGCTTTTAAAAACCATTTATAATTTGATTTATACCATATCTTGGGAAGCATGGTTCTGGCAAGCCAAGGTACAAGCTTGTCAGTACCACTCTTTACAATTGGGTCGTTGTTGGCAGTATCAAACATGGCACATAGATTGAATCTACTGGTGGATGCACCGTTGGCACGGGTATTGTCTTGCATCTTTTGGTCAAACTTTTCCTGCTCCTTTTTATCGATCGCCTTGAACATGGGTACCAACTTTTCCTCTTCCACTTTGAGATGGTCAACGATAACTTTGATGGCACGTTTGTTGATATCGACCAATGCGAGATGGGTAGACTGCCACCCAGGCGATGATGCCGATGTGAGAGATTGATCCTTTTCAATGGTAGTGAGAAGTATATCTAGCTCACTCGATATTTTGTCCCAGTGTTGATGGTCCTTGTCCAACTCTTGTAGTACCGTAGCAAGTTTAGGATGGTGTTGTTGCAACCAAGGGAAGGCATCATTGTCCTCTTCATTGTGATGGTAGAGTACAAATCCCTCGACAGCTCGCATTGCACGCACTACATTATCAATCTCTTCTCTTGTGGTTGGTGTCCATCCCTCCAACTTGTTTTCAACCATGCCGTACAATCTTCGTATGGTTGCATGATTCCACAACCAACCTTGAAATTTGAACTGAGGGTCATTCATTATCTCTTTATAATCAACACCTGTATTCTCTATACTTGATACATTATCTAATAGTAGTTTACTTGTCATTTTACTTGTTGTTAAAGAAAGAAAGGAAAGAAGGAAGGAAAGAAAGAAAGAAAGATATTAATTAGTTTTGGCTTCTTTGATGAAGATGATCGATCATCAATCAATCATTTTCTGTATAAACATACTTTTTGCCTGTCCTTCAATGATGATATATGATCATCATCAGCTGTTATACAATAAGTTGTAACTAAACATGATGACAATAACTATGTTCAAGATTTCCTGAAGATTCTGCATAATAATTATAATAATAAAAAGAAAAAGGATTTTGAACTTCTTGATCAAGCCCATCTGAGACCTCTATTATTTTTTGATAAAATTATTAATTAAAATAATACATATGTATATACCAATATAATTATACATCTAAAAGACATATTAATAATGGTACAGCATATCTATGGTTTTCTATTCTCACTATTAAGACTGGCGAGCAAAATCCCGCCTGAAACACAAAAATGGAGTAAACTGTATTTAGGGTGTACTCTCGACTATGATGTCCAGTCAGTCTGTCTGTAGCATTATTGTCAACAAATAGAAATATGTATGATTAGTGATTGTTGGAACATTGCGAAAATATATTTTCTTCTCTACTGTTATTTAGTTGGGCTATTCAATAAACCAAAAAATCATGATTTACTCTCTCTTGTTCATTTTTTTGTCACCCCAAAAATATCCTACAAGTGGTAGGTACATGTGCTCTCAATATGAATCTAAAATCTATTCCTGTTTTAGATGAGGCAAGAAACAATCAACTGAAGGCCCCCAACCGGATGGAAGTTGCGTCGGTTGAAAAAAAAAGGTTGTCCCGACAAAAAAACCATGGCATACATAGTGAGTTCGTGGTCAACAAATAGACCAAAAACAAAATTAAAAAAAGTGAAATTCGAAATAATACTATCGAGTCGGTAGTACTCATCCAAATTTGATTAAATATGTTCTCTCTATACTCTCTCTCTCTCTCTTACTGCTTGTTGAGAGTAAGCATATGAAACCATTGTTTTTACCAACCAGTTAACTATAGTTTAATCACTTTGGATCTTGTAGTTTAAAACATATTATTTTATTATAATAGTTTAGCATTTAGTAGTTATAAGTATAGGTAGTAAAATATTCACAAATAGTTTTCTCTAATCAATAAAATAAGTCATTCTTATTGGTCACATGCACATCCACATCCAAATTCACATTCACATTCACTATCTATTAATTAATTATTATTGTTATTTGTCGACGTCTAAAAGTAAGTAAGTAAAGGTGTTGTTTGTATCTGTTCTACCTAACCCTAACCCCCCCCCCCACCTTACACTATTGCCTATCAGTGTCGTGTGGTTCGTTCGATATCCGTGAAAAAAAAAAATCTGACATACAACCCAACCCAACCCACCTACCCCAACCTCTCCCACCAAAACAATGATGATGGATAAAGATAGACAGATATTATTAGTATTACTAATATTACTACTACTATGTTCATTGTACGTAATAAGAGACGAGAGAGAAGGAGGGGGTGAAAGAAAAAAAATAACTATTATCGTTTTCGTGTGAATCTATCCACCCATCCATCCATCTATCCATTCATCCATCCATCTTTATCTGCCTTTCCACAAACAACAACAACAACAACAATTTGTTATCGTCCAACTCCAACTTCATATTAACTAAATTATGATAATAATAATATTGAAAACAGGTTAAATTTAGAATTAGAATATTAATATTTTAAAATTTCCAATTCTGACAGATATAACTTTATACTTGCTCTTGCTTCTACCAAGTACACAAGACGAAACAAAGAATTTTAAATTAATTTATTAAAATCCAAAAAAGAGATAATATTATTTTTTTCCAACAATCAACAAATAAGAGATAGATAGAGATACAAATAAGAGAAAATGATTGAAATTAGTAGAGGAAATGTTTGGGTTGAGAATCCAGACAAAACAGGAGAATGGATATCTGGTGAAATAACAAAAGAATCTGATGATAAAATACATATTAAAACTGAAACTGGAAATGTAAGTTATAACTAACAAACAAACAAACATAATTATTGGTGTTTCCATCCTCCTTTTAATTCCATCCATTTCTAATTATTATTATTATTTCCATCCATTTCAAAATTATTATTTTTGTTGTCATTTGTTGTCTTGTTGTTTCTCTCTCTCTTTTTCTCTTAGGATGTAATAGTAACCAAAGATGAAGTTAAATTCCAAAATCCAGTTATACAAGAAGGTATCGATGATATGACATCTTTATCACATTTACATGTAAATATAAAAAAAAAATAGAAACCTATATTTTTGAAAATTAATTATAATCTTTTTGTTGTTTTTTTAGGAACCTGCAGTTATACATAATTTAATTAAAAGATATGAATTGAATACTATTTATACATACACTGGCACTATTTTGATTGCCATTAATCCATACTGTAATTTACCAATATATACCAAAGAGATGATCGACAGTTACTGCGACCAACCGGTTGTCAAGTTACCACCCCATGTCTACGCCATTGCCGAGTCGTCGTATCGCCAGATGCTCAATTCCAAATCGAACCAGTCGATTCTAGTGAGTGGCGAGAGTGGTGCCGGCAAGACTGAAACGACCAAATTCCTTTTACAATACTTTGCGGCCATGGGAGAGATGCGCGGCCAGTCGACGCAAGACGCAGCGGCCAACAACAACATTGAAGCACAGGTCATCAAGTCAACACCGATTCTCGAGGCATTTGGAAACGCCAAGACGCTGCGTAACGACAATTCATCACGTTTTGGAAAGTTTATTACCATCCGATTCGACAAGATCAAGGGCACCATCGTCGGTGCCAGTCTCGAGACCTATCTCCTTGAAAAGTCACGTATAGTCAGTCCTCCAACCAACGAGCGTTCCTACCACATCTTTTACCAGTTCTTGCGTGGTGTTGACCAGTCTGTGAGAGACACCCTCTCAGTCACCAACGAGCCATCCGACTTTACCTATTTGTCCAATAGCGGGTGTCAAGATGTCGATCAAGTCGATGACTCTGACATCTTTACCAAGACCAAACAAGCACTCGAAATTGTAGGATTCACAGAAGACGACCTTATGGGCGTCTACAAAATACTCGCAGCCATTCTGCATTGTGGTAACATTCAATTTAAAGAAAAGGAAGGTGGTGAAGACAATGCTGCCGACTTGGTATCATCATCTACTCTATCAAGTGTCTCTAAAGATTATGACCCTTTAGAAACCCTTTGTTCACTATTACAAGTTTCAAAAGAAAAGTTAAAATCAACATTTATAACTAGAACTATTAAAGCTGGTAATGAGTCGTATGTATATAGTATATCAAACGAATATTCATTTATTAATGTCTAACTTACCCTATCCTTCTATATTTGTAGATATACTATTCCAATGAATGTAAAACAAGCTTGTGAAGCTAGAGATTCTCTAGCCATGTATCTCTATTCAAGATTATTCGATTGGATTGTACTTCGAATCAACAATTCTATTAACAAGGTTAAAGGTGATAATGTATTCATTGGTATATTAGATATTTATGGGTATGTAACTAAAAATATAAAGATATTAAGATATGAATGCAATGAAACTAAAACTAAAGTAAATTGATCTCTTTTTTTTTCTAACTTGACAAATAGTTTTGAATCATTTGAATCAAATTCATTTGAACAATTTACAATTAATTATGTATGTTTATAACAAAATGGATATAGACTATAGATATGTAGTATGTACTAATATAGATATATTATTGTTATTTTGTAGGCAAATGAAAAGTTACAAAATCAATTTAATCATCAAATCTTTAAACTTGAACAAGAAGAATATACAAAGGAAAAGATCGATTGGTCGTACATTACATTCAATGACAATCAAGATTGTATAGATTTGATAGAAAAGAAACCACTTGGTATTCTATCAATCTTGGATGAAGAGAGTCAATTCCCCAAAGCAACACCTACAACCCTTTCAACAAAGTTGGTTTCAAATCATGCAAAGACCAAACACTTTGAGAAAGCTCGTTTCTCCAACACTCATTTCACTATTGATCATTATGCTGGAAAGGTAAATATATTACACATATGATATCATCGTCATCACCATCACCATCACCATCACTTTCACCCACAAACCACATACAATGCATGTGATATTATTCTTTTTTGGATTGATTGTTTTCCCTCCAAAAATTAATAATAATAATAATAATATTATCATTGCGTTGTTGTTTGTTGTTTGGTTGACTGCTACTCATATTGATAGAATATTTATTAATTCTTTTATTTATTTATTTATTTAATTTAATTTTAAAAAAGGTTGATTATGATACAGAATTATTTTTAGAAAAGAACAAGGATTTTATCATTGCCGAACAAGTGATGGAATTGCAAGCTACAGCTTGGTCATTTTTTAAAACTATTATAACAACTCTTTCACAACCCAAACCACAACAACAAAATGGTACTGCATCGACATCGGCATCGTCATCGTCAAAAGGAGGACAACCATCATCTGGATTTAAATTCATGTCGGTTTCAACACAATTCAAAGATTCACTCAACCAACTCATGACAACCATCAATGCAACCAGTCCACACTATATCCGTTGTATCAAGCCAAACACTATCAAACAAGCCAACCATTTTGAGAAACCAATGGTACTGCAACAACTCAAGTGTGGTGGTGTTATTGAACAACTGCGTATCTCTCGGTCGGGGTACCCCGGACGTCTCGAGTACGACTCGTTCTTGAAGCGTTACAGACTACTCGCAGCAGCCGAGTTGGTGGGCAAGAGTCATCTGTTGAACGAGCCAAAGAAGGGTACCGAAGTACTCATTGGCAAGCTCGGTATAGACATTGACAATGCTCAGTTTGGTGTGTCCAAGATCTTTTTCCGGTCGGGTATTATTGCCAACCTCGAATTGTTGCGTGACGAGACTATGTCCAAGTCGGCGGTTCGCATACAAAAGAGATGGAAGGGGTTCAAGGAGAGACACAGATACACCGAGCTCAAACGTGCGTCTGTCCACTTGCAAACACTCATTCGTCGCGAGTTGGGTAGACTAGAGGTAAAGCAGTTGGTCGATATCCAGATGGCAATTGTTCTCCAGACATACACGCGGTCGAGTCTGGCTGCCCAAGAGTATGCCGACACCCTGTCTGCATCCACCTGTCTGCAGTCCTATATCCGATCGACCATCATTGCCGACGAGCTCAGAGAGCTGGTCAAAGAGCGTGCCGCACTCTCTCTCCAGACCCATGCCCGTGGCTGTGCCGTGCACCAGCATTTCAAGGACATGTTGAATGCCACCAGTCGCATCAAGCGTCAGTACAAGGTCAAGATGGCCCGTCGCATGTTGCAGCAGTTGCGTGCCGAAGCCAAGAGTCTGTCGCGTGCCGTCGAGGAGCAAAACAAGCTCAAGAAGCAGGCCGAGGAGATGAACGCCCGTTTGGAGGCCGAGAAGTTGGAAAAACAACGTATGGAAGAGGAGAGACAACAAACTGCCAAGCGCATGCAAGAGGAAAAGGAACAAGCCGAACTAGAGAAACAAGAGATTGCCAAAAGAATGCAAGAGGAAAAGGAAAGAGTCGAACAGGAAAAACAAGAGATGGCAGCACGTATCGAGCAAGAAAAGTTGGAAATGGCCAAACTTGCCGAACAGGCCAAGGACGAACTAGATGTAACCAAGAACAAGTTTGAACGTTCACAAACAGAAATTGTTGAATTAAAATCAACTATTGATGATATGCAAGATACTATCAATCAATTAAATCAAAAGTTACAACAACAACCATCAACACCATCCAAGCCACTCGTTGCAACTATGACATCTGTCACTCCTCCGCCAACAACTCAACCACAAGAAGACAACAACCCACATACCTTTATTCCAATCAAATCAGATTCGGAATCATCATCATCATCATCTGTCATCCAACCAAGAGGACCAGATACTAGAGTATCACCAGTTCCATCTGAACACATTGATCATGGTAAACAACAAGAGATTGAAAGTTTGAATCAAAAGATACAAGAATTAAAAGATCAACTTGAAAAGGAAAGATTGGAAAAGGAAAGATTGGCAAATAGCAGTGGTGGTGGTATGGTTCAAGGTGTCATTATGGGTAGACCAAAACAAACTAAACAACAAGAAAAACAACAGTTACAGAGACCAATTTCAAAGGATCAAATATTAATTAACAAGGGTATGAGTAAATCATTATCTTATGTTGATTTCCAACAAATTGTAGAGAATAATGTACCAGCTCAATCTCAACACCAACATGGACAAAAGACACTTGCAACTGAACCAAGTAGTAATAATAGTGTACCAGATCTCATGATGGCATTGGAAATCAATAATAACAAAGAGGTTGCTGGTCGTTATTTAGTGGACCAATTATTATTTGCCAAGGAACCATCATTTGTTCATAATATGATGCCAGAACCATCGTACATTATACTTCGTTGTTTCCTTAAAGATGCACTTGGCGGAGTGGAAGAGGACGAGAAAAAGACTGCTGTTGCAAGAGACATTCTATCATACTATGTTGAAACACTTGGTACGATGATTACAAGAGACACTCATTCGTTGGATCTTGACGGTAGTTGTTATTGGCTCTCAAATGTATCTTTGATGCTCTATGTCATTGATCATCAATCATCAACCCCCAATAGTCCTATTGCTGGTCAACAAACTAAACAACCACAACCACCTCCTCAAACCATGGCTATTCTTCGTATCAAGACACAATTACAAAACATTCTTCTCAAGATTTATAATTCACTTGTCAAAAATCTATTAGATTACATTCAACCAATTGTACATCGTTCATTAAATGATCCAAATACTGATATTGATTTAATGGAACCTTTAACACAATATTTGTAAGTCAAATATAGATTATATATTAATAATTAATAATAATATTAATATTCTTTTTCTTTTTTTGTTTGTTTTAGATCAAAAGTATTTTCAACATTACAAAATTATTTTGTTTATGATTCAACAAGAGAGATGTTGTTTGAACAAGTATTCAAATACATTAATTCATTGTTGTTTAATGAAATATTGTTGAGAAAGGATTTGTGTAGTTTGCGTAGTAGTATTCATCTCAAGATGAATATATCAGAGCTCGAGTATTGGTCCAAGGGATATGGAAGCGAATGGGCACAACGTGCATCCAACCAACTATCACAAATCAAGGAAACCATCTATGTGTTGATGGTCGACAAGACATTGGTGACTGACTCGGAGACTAGAAAGCAAGTCTGTCCCAATTTGACAGACGCACAAATCAAACAACTCTTGACCATGTATTCACCAGATCTCGATAGTTTTGAGGAACCTGTTCCAGTCGAGACAATCGCCCTCATCATGGAATCACCAACCTACAACAAATCGGAAAACATCCTATTGGATCTATCCAACATCTTCTCGTTGAAACTTGATCAACTCCATTCCATCACAATGTCACAATTAGATACTATTCCTCATAGTTGTAATCATCTAGTATCATCAATCATCCGAAAGAATATGGAGACTCATAATAATACTACTCAAAATGTTAACAATAATGGACTTGGGTCATCAAACAATCGTGTTATTCTATCACCTCCCAACACCCAATTACAACAACCAACAGCAGTTGTTACAACTATCAAATAAAATAAATAAATCATATATTAATTATTGTTATATTTAATTTCCGCCTTTGGTCGATCAAAGAAAAATCTCAAGAAAAAGAAAAATGATTCGCTTGGTTGGCGCACCCATTCATTATGTTTGTTGTATAGTGATGATGAAGGACAAGACAACAAACATATAGAAGAGTAATAACAACATATAGTCAGATAGGGTTAGAGAGAGAGAGAGATAGGACTACTCTACTTCTACTCGGTCTACGTCAATTATTATTCAAATAACCAAAAAGAATAATGGTGGGTGGCAAGAATGATCATAGATACTAAAGTAGAAATAGAAGCATTGACAAGGATTATTACAACGATTCAACAAGAACAAGAACAAAACGGCAACGTCGACGCATCTTTGGAACAAACCAATGCTTTAAAACAAAGAGTTGAAGATGTATTCAAAGTAGTCCATCAACAACATCAACAACACCAACAAGACACTAAAAACAAGAACAACAAGAGAATTAGGGCTAATGAGCAAGATACCTCTGCTCCCCCTCGTATAGCAAAGATTGTTTATACAGATTTCAAATCATTTATTAAACCACCAGTTGCTGCAAAAATTGTTTATACACAAGAAGAAGGATTAGATCATCCATACGAAGACCCTGATTCTGATTATGAAGATGACAAGTCAATCAGTTATAAACCCTTTCGATCGGTTGCCAATGCATTAATTGCAGCCAATTGTAAAGTTGCAAAAGCTATTTTGGTCGTCATAGAGTATGTTGAATTGATTAATAGATAAATTCTAGATTCACTAACCTAGGTTCCCATTATTATTATAATAGAGATGGAGGATATTATCTACCCGATGAAAATTCAGAGGATGAGTCTCTTGACGAAGATGATTTTGATTGTTGGACTATAACCAGTCACAACACTAAATACTGTCTACTAAGAGTACGTGATTGGAAGACTGATACACTACTCATGGATGGTCGATACCGAATTAAAAGTCATGAATTGATACCAAACAAGAAAGAGTTGGATTATTATGTTGAAGGTCTCAGTAAGAAAAAAATTTTCAAATTAATGGCCAACAACCAAGACAATAGTTACGAAAGATACTATCGAAAACCTGCTCTTGTCATTTTAGAGAAATCCAATGTTGAAAAGCAAAAGGAAGAAGAGGAGGAAGAAGAAGAAGAGGAAGAAGTACAACCACCACAAACATTGTTAACACCAGAACAAGCTTATCAAGCATTGGTGGTTAGACTACATAATATTTTGGCAATACCAAACAATGATCTCTTGGAAAGAGATAACCAACTTTTGAATGAAATTTCAAAATACTTGTCTGGTGTTGATAATGTATTATTATATGCAGTTGAAGATATATTATTCAATTTACTACCAAGATATCAAGTTATCTCTACCAATGCTTTCTCTCCAATCATCCCAAAACTATTTGTAAATTTATTTGAAACCCCAAAAACAAGATTAAAAGATTCACAATCTTTAATTGCTAAAATCATTGAAATATATCCTTTAGATGTTATTTTATTGTATGTAAACAAAAAAAAAGAAAGAAAGAAAGAAATGATTTAATATTATTTTAATTTTTTATAGAATACCAAGTAAAGCATTTATAAATGAAGAAAATATTAGTAAATCATGTTTATCAATACATATATTATTTGATAAGATTAGGCAATTTAGACATGCATTTGGAGGATGGTTAAAAGTGGATCAAGAATTAAAATTACAAACATTGATTACACAATTCTTTTACCAACTATTACCATCGTTTTGTCCGTGTGATGACGAAAGCTATCTATGCAGTCACTACCAAACGTTGGGATCGATTTTATCCTTTCTCCGACAATTTATATTTTCAAATCCAGACATGTTTGTTCCAAGCGTGTTGGAATCGGTCAAAGAATCGCTGGCCAATGGTTTAGAGACCCGAAACAAGATTAGAATCCAGCTGTTAGCCAGCTTGTACAGGTTGTGGGAGAGTGGTGATCAATTCATCGAGAAACCACTTCAAATACTTTTGGATCGATATTGGAAGAGATCAGATTCACGAACTGTTGCCGATAATGCAATGACTCTGTTTCGAGAGAGTATTCCATTGGCACTGATACAGTACTATCGAGGTAATGGTCAGTTTGGTAAATTATTGTCATTGAATGACTTGGCTCTCAAGGTGTACCATCTTTTCGAATGTATATTACGTACTATTACAGCACCACCAGAGGCAGTGTTTGTATTGTCCAAGGCAAGCCAGGAAAAGGTCGATCACATCCTACAGACTTGCATCAACATGTTTTCATTTTGTCGACAACAAGGTATACCGGAATTGTCAAATGCGCTGGTACGTGCATTTCTAGCCTGCAAGTGGCTATCCAACCATCTCGTCTATTCGGTGCCCTCCATCTATGTCGATTTTTTTCACAAGTTGCGTACAGAGTTTTTTAACCCAAACCAACAACAACAACCTCTATCATCGCTGCCACTCGACGCACAACACTATGCTATGAACTTTATATACAAATTATCAGATATGTTGTCTCCGACTTTTATGTTTCCCGATGCCAAATTAGAGTGTTCGGAATGCGAGGGCAAACGACCAAACTGTCTGCGATGGCAATCGGCTGACGACTTTATTGCCTTTCTCCGGTCGGATGAACTCACATTTGAGCTCAAAGCCAACCAAAAGATACGATCCCATTACACACAATATGCAAGCAAGTTTGGACTCGACATTCAAATCATCGCACCCACTGGCAGATCGACAGTCTTCACCAACAAATTCACAAAAACCACCCCAATCATTGTAAATCAAAAAGAAATTACTCAAGTCATAGAACAATTCAAACAATTCCTTTCACCAGAATTACATTCACAATTAATTCTTTTTTCTTACTAATACAAAAAACAAAAAAAAAAAGAGAATAATAAAAAGTCTCTAAACACTACTATTTATTTATTTACATGGAACCAACCCCAAAAAAAAAGAAAAGAAAAATTATCGAAATCTAAATGTGGTTGGATTAATCTAAATTTTAATACTATTCATCTTTTTCAAATGACTAATATCCATTTATTTATTTATCTTAAATATTTAATTAATTAAAAAAGAAATGGTTGGCAAACAAAAAAAAAATATTCCACCAATCACAAAAGAGTTGCAAGAAATCCATTGGGATAACAAAGAAATAGTTAAAGCACTCACAAATCTTCCTTTAAAAGATTTATACAAAATGTTTCCAAAAGTAGATCCAGCGGTGATTAAAAGTAAAAAAACTAATTCTGATTTAGCTTCAGCAAGAGGTATGTATTTTTATTTATCACAGAGGTATTTTGGTATTGTTTATTTATTTATGTAAACTATTTTATAAAAGAACTATTTACAAAGAAGAGAAAGAGCCCATCGAAATCCGATGAAAAAGAATGTTCTAGCGATGATGACGATGACAGTGATGATGGTGATGGTAATACATACGATGATACATATAATCAATTCCTAAGTTCCCGTATTTCATAATAAAGTGATCCTTTGTTGCAGAAAAGTGGCTGGTACCTCAATGTATATAAGATTTGAAGCATCACTAAGAGGAGAAATTATAATGAAGTTTACCAATGTTCAAGACCCCGCATTCTTTAGAAATCTAGGTTTTGACAAGACGTACCCTGAGATGCAGTGGTTTTCAAAAAAACAAGACGATATCATTATTCCTTTCATATTTCCAGAAGGAGTATCAAGAGATTTATCAAAAGTAAAAAAATTAGAGGATAGCACCTTTCATTTATGGATGTTTGAAAGAGTTGATTGCCCAGAATTATGTAAAACAATGAAACTTCCTGGTCAATAAAAAAAATATAAATGAATAAATGTAAAAGTAAATTAAATATTTTATTAATTATTAATTATTAATGGTCTCATGGTTGGTGGAGAAGATAAATTATTAAAAATAATATTTTTATCTAGACGATTTGAAATGATGGGAAGCGGACCATTTTGATTAAAGATAACTGATAGATAATAATTATTGTTGATTGAGAGTTTAGGGTGAATACAAAAACCACCATACATGGAATGATTCTCGACAATAAGTGTTGTATTGGAATCGATTCTTCGAATGGAAAATACAAAATGGTAAATGCTGCCACAATCAATACCAATGGTTTCGATATTGGATTGACTGATAATGTCGCCCAAATAAATTGATTGTGAATGGAATGGTTCATTCTTGATCATTGCATCCAAATGTTTAATGTTGTTGGGTATGTTGGAATCTGGAAACAAAGACGATACGACCAAAAGCTCCTTTGAAACGGGAATAGACAGTGTGGAAAGAGACGGGCAAGACGGGATAGGTCCAGTCATGAGTCCTTGGTAAGAGAGTCGTTCAAGTGTTGGTGGTAGAGGTTGAGGTAGGTCGCATGCACCGTCGACATGCAGAACTTTGAGGTGGCTGGGGAGACTAGTCTGAGGTGTTACACGAGACACGTGTAACGATGTGATAGTGTCTGGTAACAATCCCTTTGTAATATCGTGGTTGTATCCAATTAATTTTAATTTCTCAACGCTGTTGGGAATGACATGGTCACGCAGCGCATCGTTTCGATTGCTAAACGAGATGCGGAGGGTTTGCACGCGTGGAGGTATGTAACCGGGTGGAATGTAGTGTGCTGCTGTATCGAGCTTGAAATGCTTGACACTTGATGGAATGGATCCTACCAACAGACGGTCGCGGTCGTGTTCAAGTGACAGCGAGAGAATGAGGTCGTGTACAGTCGGTGGAATAAATCCAATTGGAATAGGGTCAAACGAAAACAAGAGCAGTTCCTTGAACGACGTGGTGATGGGAAGCCGGATATTTCTGGCTTGTACGCAACCATACCCTCCAAGAGGAGATGTAGTGAACAAAGTCGGACCAAATGGTTGAGGTCAAGTACTGAATCTTCAAACACTTCCTCTTCACCTTCATTGCCACTGAAATCCAATTGCAAGTGTGTCAGTGATGGTGGGAGGGTATGGCCAGCATCTGGTAAAGGCTGGTCAGTCGTAATGAGCAATGTGGTCAATGTGGGTGGAAAGACTAGGTCGTCGTCAAACTCGAGGTTGACACTCGACAGATCGAGTGTGTTTAGAAAGGAGAGGTTGTCTAGATGAAGAGTTGACAAACGGATAGTCTTTTGGTACGACGAAGGAGGAAACTCGCCGTCAAAGTCAAAGTTGAATATCTGACTATGCAACTTGTACAACATGAATGCACGGAGTGACTGTGGCAACGAATCATGCTCCACATTGATACCGGTCGTTATCTCTAGTTGGTTGAGTGAGTTTGGTAAGATTCCAGGCTCAATTGATCCACATCCTTGTAAACTAAGTTCCTCTAGTTGTGGTGGCAAGTCACCTGCATTCAATCTACTCGCGTCACCATGACTGACATTTTCAACATAGAGTCGTTTTGTTGAAGGTGGTACGAATCGTTTCAAATGTCCTTCTCCTCCACAATCTCCTGCTTCAAATAATACATATTTAACATATTTACTATTATTATTATTATTATTATTAACATTTATTGTATCTACTATATTATTATTGTTATTATTATTCTTATTTGTAGTTGCTATTGTAATAGTTGTTGTGTTGGGAGAGGAGGAGGAGGAGGATGATGGAGGATGGTTACAACCAAGTCCATAGATATGGTCATGGTCTATTAATAGTTGGTTTCTTTTAGATCTTGCTATGATTTCTTTGAATGTATGTAGTGGTGTTTGGTCTAGTGCTGTCAGAGGATGAACGATACCATGTCCCTTGGTCAACGTCAAATAGTGTATATATTTAAACTTGATATTGTCATTGTGTCGCAATTCGAAATAAAACCTCTTGCACGTCAGTAATAGACATACGATATCCAAGTTGTCTGTCAGCTGTTCAACGATATTCAATAATATCAAATTGGACAGTCTCTCTGTTATGTAACATTTTTGTCTACTACTATTATTATTATTCATTCTACCTATACTATACTATAGTTTTATCTATCTTATTTATATTAACCATTGGTATCCATTTTCTTCTTTCTTTTTGAAAGTAGTATTACTTGCAGATATGAAGAAGATGAACTTCACAACTTGAAAGTGTAGATCTGCTTTCAAAAAAAAAAAAAAACAAAAAATGAATTTATTTTTATTTCCAAAAAGTATAATGTATAATAATTATTATTTATTTAATTAACTCTGTGAAAAAGGTTTGTGAATATATTTTCCTTTATAATAGGGGATGTTTCTTGTTTAATCTTGGTAATATATTTGAATGTTTGATGAACCATACTTTGATCAACTTCATTGCGCAATTGGGTGTCCAAAGTGTCTTGAGACAAAAAATTGGTAAAGTTTCTAGTATACTCTGTACACTTTGTAAGAATGAATTCTATAATACCTGTGTACTTTATGGTATGGGTCAAACCACCCAGAAACTCTACCGCGACTGTATCGTTGCGTCATTTTCAAAAGAAATTATTGCCAGTCACAGCCATGAAGTTACTGTATTGTAAAGGCAGCAAGGATATGGATGGAATCAATTATTTAAAGGATCTACTCGAAAATACAGTCATCTCAAAGGCCAGACAACAATCGCATTTTGGTTTACAAGGATTGTCGGTTGTTGTTCTTTACATCTTCCAATTGTCATTCCACTAACTCTATCTATAACCTTGCTGATACGTTCAACGGTGTCTGATGCATTTGATTTGAAATATTTAGAAACCAATTGTAAATAAAGGTTCAAATCTTCCTCTTCTTCTTGATGGTAATTGAATAAATGATGAGACTTCTCCAATAAAACCAATACATTTTCATGAATAATTGAACATCCAAAATCTAAACTACAAACATGATCATGAAAATCCATTCTATCATCTATAGAGATAAGATATTGAGAAAAGAAAGGAAGAAGTGGTAAATATTAATTTAGATCTAATTCAAAGGGATATAGATAATATAACATACCGTCTTTTGGTGCCAATTTGAAAAGAAAATCCAATGAATCAATGATAGTTGTCAGCTGCTCAGTTGGTAATTTCAATTTGAACAGATCAGTGAATCTAACGATGATATCTTTACAGTTTGAAAATAAACTTTGGTCATCATCATCATCTTGTACTGTTTGTACTGATGATCTCTAAACTATAAGTAGCAAGCATACTTTTGTTAATTCAAATGATCTTATATTACTTTACAAAGATGTATTAACCATAGAATCAATTGATCTATATTACTTGTACAACTTTCATATTGTTCTATCCATTCTTTCTTTAAAATTAAAAATATTTGATTTGAGGAACACTTGAGGGTTTTCTTTTGATAGATAGATATGGAGATTGATTATTCTAACCCTTCAACAGAGTTTTATCAAGCTGTTGCTTCATTGGCTGTCATTGAAAGGTTTACAAAGGATCAGACAATACAAGAGGAATCAAGCAGTTGCGATTTGTTTTGTAAAGACTATAAAGATTAAAGGGGCCACTTAATTTTTTTAATATGTTTTCAAATAATAATATAAAGATATTATAATACATTTATTTACTTTATTTACATTGATTTATTTATTTACTTGTTCTTTTTCTTCTTGTTTTATAAGAGGAAAAGTATTATCTAATTTTTTAAAAATAAGGTCTCCTTGTTTACTATCTACAATATTTTGGATTATTTGATTGATCAGATTTAGTGTATTTTGTTTGTCCTTGCTATGTTTAGGTGAAATAGTAAAGCATTCTATAGAAAGGACAAGAGAAGTTTCCATACACTTTTCAAGAATCAATTCTATCAAATCTGTGTCCCAAATACAACCTTGCATTAATTCAGTCAATGAGAGTAGTTCTTCAACTTGACTCTTATGGACAATTTCTTTTGATAATCTCTTTGTAATACAGTCACGAAAGAGATTTTGGGTGGTTTGACCCATACCATACTTTAAAATTGATAGTTCAAGTACTTTTAATTTTAAAGATTTATCAATTTCTAGTTTTGGCAAGTATACCGACTCTAGGTATGGACACATCTCCTTGCAAATGGGTAGAGCATACAAAAGATCGAAAAAAGTAGAATCCTTTTCATCTGCTATAAACCTCATGACCACTGGAAGATGTAAATAGCCCTGATGACTATAGTCTTTGACCGTCTCCACAAATGCCCATGCAATGGTTGATTTGTTCGACTTTTCAATGTCTTTGCTTTCAAGTAAACCTTTTAAATGATTGATTCCATCCATATCCTTGCCTCCTTTATGTATGTACATATAACCCCAACATGACACTGCTTCATTTAAACTTTCATTGTCATAATCGTAGGAATTGACATTTTCAGCAAATTCCCAAACAAAAGATTTAATAATTTCTAAAAGTCTTTCTTTTTTCTAGTGTGTATAAATTATAATATTCTCTCTGTTGGAACAAATGGAATTCCATTTGCTCTTTTTAAAACCTTGTTGATCCTTTGGTTTTGAGTGTCAATGTCTACATCATGATCATGATCAAGATGAGATTTGAAACATTTAGCAACCAAAGTATAATAAATACACGTACCATCATCATCGTAAACCCATTCAAGGTAATTGAATAAATAATGTGATTTCTCCAATAAAACCAATACATTTTCACATAGAATGGGACATCCAAAATCTAAACTACAAATATTATTATGAAATGCCAATTCATCATCTAAATGATAATAAATACATTAATATTAATATTAAATCATCCATCCATTTTTGAAAATGTAAATGAAATAAATATTACATACTTTGATCTATTAATAGTTGAAAAAGACAGTCCAATGAATCAATGATAGTTATTAGTTGGTCATGTGGTAATTTCAATTCAAGTAGATTGGTTACTCCAATGATTATATCCTTATGGTTTAAAAATGGACTTTCATTGTCTTGTACTGTTTGTACTGATAATTTATCATAGAGCAAATTGATTGCTTGATCTCTAAACTATAAAATATACAAAAAGGAAGAGTTAAAGATGTATTAACATTAATTACCATAATGATACATACAGTTGTTATATTACTTTTACAAAGATGTATTAACCACATAATCAATTGATCTATATTACTTGTACAACTTTCATATTGTTCTATCCATTCATCTTTTAAATCTTGATAGTTGTTGCAGATATCCGGATCCAACCAATCACATTTTGTTCCTTTATTCTTATTCTTTTTAGTTGTAAACCTTTCAATGACGGCCAATGAAGCAACAGCTTGATAAAACTCTGTTGAAGGGTTACAATCGATCTCCATATCTATCTATCTATCTATCTATCTCTAGATTACTGTATTATTATTTTTATATAATTTTAAACATGTTTTGTCCAACCAAAGATGCTTTTCTAAAAGAAGTGGTTAACCATTAAAAGGCAACAAGTATTTTTATTTGCCCAAACAACTCTATTTATTTATTTTTTTATTATTAAAAAACCATCAAGCGAACTTCATTCATTCATTCATTCATGTGAGCATGCACAGATAATTAAATAACATACAAAGAAAACTGATAGAAAACTCATAGGTTAACATTGAATATCATCATTACGAACATGATACCAATGATATAAAAAGAATGAGCTTCGCGAACACCCCTCGTCATGACGGTTCAAATTTGGGAAGTTCACAATGTTTTGAGAATAAAAACAGTAGGAGAACCGTCGACCGATCAGCGTTGATTTGATTCATTTTACATAAACATAGATTAATCATAGATTAATTATCATTTATTTATATATCTATAATCTATTTATACATACCTTAAGATATGACAGAAACAACAACTGCAGTTAAACCATTACAATTCTATGGAACCTCTTCACCCAATGTATGGAAGGTACAGTTATTGTTAAAAGAGTTGAATGTACCATTCGTATATCACCACTTGGACATTCGCAATGGTGATCAATACAGTGCTGAATTTATTAAAGTTAATCCAAATGGAAAGGTAACAATAACAAACAAACAAATAGTGACATCAGGACTGATTCTAACTAATTGTTTCTATTCTGTTCTATTGTTTAGTTACCAGCAATCATAGACCCAAATATTGAAGGTGAACCAGTACGTGTATTTGAAAGTGGTAATATTTTATTATACTTGGCTGACAAGTACAAACGTTTCATTCCACAAGATATTAAAGGTCGTACTGAAGTATTGAATTGGATATTCTGGCAAATGGCAAACCTTGGTAAATACATATTTAAATATTCATCCATTATTCACATTATTGTTTATTAACTGTTCAGTTCTTCTTCTTTTTATTGTATATTGTAGGACCATCAATGGGTAATTTATACCATTTCTTAGTTTATGCACCTGAAAAGGTACCATATGGAATCAATAGATATTTCAATGAAGTGAGACGTTTACTTCATGTTTTGGATAAACATTTAGACGGTAAAAATTACATATACAACGAACAATATACTATTGCAGACATGGCCATCTATCCATGGACCAAGATTATTAGCTTCCTTCCCGATGTGAACCCTGTTGAAGAGTTCCCCAATGTTTCACGATTCAACAAAACCATTGGTGAGCTTCCATCAGTCACAGAGTTTAACCAAGAACTAGTCCAATTCCAATCACGGAACCCATACAAACCACCAACCGACGATGAAAGAAAATGGATGTTTAATCGTGATGGTCGTAGTTTATCTCCAAACAACAGTCAATAAATTAATATAGTTATTATTATTTAATTAATATTGATTTATGATTATTTGATTAATAATATTTATTATCTTCATCTTCTTCTTCATCTATCCAATACCATTGATTTAGTAGGAATGAATAATCATAGAGAAGAGCAGTTTGGATTTCATCAAACCAGTTGATATGTCGACCCCATTCTCTTGACATCATACTGTACTGATATAATATTCTAAATGCTAGTTTGGATATATTATTGTCTGTCTTATAGTCCTCTGATAGCTTCACTGACACATCGTCTCTTTTAACGAGGAATGAATCGAATATTCTAAACCTAATACCTTTGTCGAGTAGGGTGTTTTTGAATATTGGTAATACCAACTCGCCTGTTTTAGGATCAATTACTTTCTTGTTGACTGTACCAGCTGCAATATGAAAGTTGACATAGATATACATTCTAAGTGCATCTCTCATAATATCTCTTAATCCAAACGATCCTTTAAAATCAACTAAACTATCTAGTATTTGGAGTCTGACGCCACGACCAATCATTGCCAAGATATTAGTCATTTTGTTTCGGTACCATAACAATTTAATGATACTCGACTCGACTGCAAACTGTGTGTAGTTTTGTTGTTTCCATTCATCACCTTCCCAATACGACATGTATTGTGTAGCGTTACCGGGGTGGAGAGGTGAAGGTGCACTGTTTCTAGACCGAACGTATGATCGATCCCATTTATTTAGTTGGTCCTCGTTGTGACAGTCTTTGTCGTCGTACACCATCGTCACCATATACAACTCCTTCTTTGTGTATTTCTTGCGTTCAGACATCTCGACCAACTCGATTGTCTCCATCAACGATTTAATAAAGGTGGTTATCTTTGCCCTATAAGTGTCCAAGAACTCTTGATACGCTTTGCTTTGTGCAACTTCCCTCTTCTCGGCCATTACCACACTCTTTAGATGATCACATTCCACCAATGTCTTCCACGGTATACAACTATTATTATGACATGTCATCTTTATCTTTTAATTCTCTATCACATTGTTGTGAACAACATGATGCTTGTTAAAGTATCAAGTAGGTTGCTTGATGACCCATTCATACTTCTTCCTTGACTTAATTATATTTTTATTTTAATTTTTGAAGACCCAAACTTTTTAAATATCTTTAAAATTTCTAACTTGGTTTTGAAAGAAAGATTTATAAACTTACTTGACAACACGAATGTCATACACAATATGTAATAGTAGTTGTAAATGATTGTACAACTAAGATAGATAGATAGAATAGATAGATATTTATGTTTAGACATTTATGTTTATATATATATAATATAAAAGATGACAACTACTGCTGCTACTACTTCAAGAGACCAAGCGTTTAGGTCAATCTTGAGAAACAAGTTGTTGGTCAATGTGATATGGAGATATGTGAGCGACCACAACACAGAGCTTATCATACGACACAAGTACAGTAATATGGGTACTATCAGTAAGAGTGGGACTGATACAGCACAACATGAACCTATTGCAAGACACTATAAAGACTGGACCGATGTTTCAAAGATCGTTCATCACAAACATTTTGGTTTACTAAAAGATAAATTATTACAATATTATCCAATAGTAATATCAAGAAATAAGAAGAATGATAATAATAATAAGAAAGAAAAGAAAGAAAAGAAAGAAAAGAAAGAAAAGAAAGAAAAGAAAGAAAAGAATCATCATCATCAAGATCAACATAAGATGAAAAAGACAAAAAAAGAAAAAGAAAGAGATAAAGAGATGAATGAATTGAATCAATTGGCTGCTGCAAGATTGAACGTGGACAATGAATTGATTACAAGAGTTTATAAGAATAGTGGATTTACAAATCAATTGTTGGTGAATAGACATCGTGCAGCTGAAGATGTATGTTTGCAAGTGACCGACTTGTCATTGTTTATGGCATTTTATCGTCGGTATACACATTTATTCGTGTCGTTGAAATTGGTTAGGTATGCATGTCAAGCGGGTAATTTGGAGATTGTCAAAGTACTATTACAACAAGTGTATCCTGTGAAACTGTCGGTGATGGGTGGTTTTGCAGGTGCTGCCTTGGGTGGACATTTGCACATACTCGAGTATCTCGCAAACGAATATCAAAATGGAGCGTTGGCAATTGAACTATTGGATAATAGCGGAGGAGGAGGTAGTTGCAACGATAACCTTTGGGAGACGATAGTCAACAGTCTCAAACACAACCACAGTGGTGTCATTCGATGGTTGATTGACCGTTTCGGTGTATCGATCATGACCGAGCTCAACGACATGGTCAACGGCGACGTCATTGTCACGTGTGACATGGACTTGATCAGACGCACGACACCCACTACATTTGACAATGCCTTTATGCCCGACTATCTCAACAAGATTGGGCAGGTCGATAGTATAGACACGCGTCTATCCATTATCGAGATGTTGGTCGGTCACTACAACCAAAAGAATCAGTCGTCTCCCGGAAACAAACAACCAGGTACACCTAAAAAGACAATTGATATGGATGAGGTGCGGACTAAAGTGTCTGAACGTCACTCTGGACTGCGTGACACCCATCCCAACCTATTCAACTCGTTGGTGGTGAATCAACTCATTCTCGCGTTGATCAGGGAGCACCGTGGAGTACCGGGTGTCGCAATGCTCGAAGATTTCATGGATGAAGAGATGCGTGTGTCACATATCAACCCAAATGCAGAGTTTATGAACGAGCTAGGATGGTGGTGTTTGGTCGTCGAATATTGCATGGATATCGGGAAGAGTATGGGTGGTAAGGTCAAGTACCTCTATTTTATCTTGCAACGTGCCAATCTCGAGCAAGTCAAATATCTCTATGAAAGTGAGGAAATTGAACTTGACGCAGTACTACCAACACTACTCAAACGTACCGACGATCACGTACCATCCATTCTCGACTATATATTCCAATTTGATCCGTTGATCATTGAACTCAACGAAGAGTCCAATCTCCCCATTTCATCAGTATCAACTCTAAAATACTTGGTAGAGTATATATACCAACGTCCAGTCATTGATACCAATGAAAATGACGAACCTGAACTTCACGTCAACTTGGATTATTTCGAATACAATATTGAACAATTTAAATATATTGAACGATATTTTATTCCTTGGGAATCTTCTTCTTCTCCATCTCCATCCTCCTCATACAACAAAAATCAAATTCATATTGATATTGAATTGGAAAACAAATTAATGAATTTATTACAAAAATATATATTTATGGCTGATTTGAAGAGTATCCAAGATCTTCAAATTAGACGATCTCAATCGATTAAAATGTTGGTTGATGGTAATCACCCAAAGTTTGATGACTCTAGATCCATCCTAATGGAAAAGGCAATCAAACATTTTGATAGGGAGATTTTCGAGTATTTGTTTGGACCGCTTGACACTACTTTCTTTGTCGATACAGACTACAAGACATTCTCTCATTCTCTTGCCAAATATGCGCCAATAGAGGTATTTGCATTTGCTCTATTCAACAACCCATCCTATCAATTGACATCAGAGTATCTTGTAGAACTTGCCACCCTGTCACACTCTTTTAGTAATTATTCTGTCTATTCATTCTTATGTAGACATGTACTATTTAAATCTTTATCAAATAATAATAATAACAATAATAATAATAATAATAATAAGGCAAGTGGTGTTGAAATACCACACTTTATTTATGAAATCAAAACTAATGATATTTATAGTGACCCTAAAATGATTGATTTCCTTCAACTCTACCTCATCCAAACCCAACATACATTTAAATCAACATCATTGATTGAATCAATCAATATTATTAAATCATTACCTTCTTCATCAACTTTATTATCATTACCAATCATAAAAATCAACAAAGACAAAAAAGAAAAAGAAAAAGAAAAATCAACTACAACAACAACAAGTCCCTCATTAATGGAATCAGAAATGAGTTTATTAAAATATTTAATTATGGAAACAAATGTAATGACAGTAGTATACTTTTTATCATTATTCAACCAGTCTGATTTGGAATCATTAAACCTTTCACAATCCATTGAATTGACTGAAAAAGATATTGCCAAACTATTAAACTCTGCGTCATATGATATGTTAGTCTATCTCTACCACGAGCTTGGATACCGATTCAAATCATCTACTTCTCATCACCCTAAATACACCCAAACTAGTTTATGGGTATACGACCATTTAATAAATACTAAATATTAACCTATTCTTTTAAATTAAAATAAAATAAATCAAACCATCATTAATAGTATATCTAAAAATGTGTATTGGATCATATGTTTTATATATATATATATTTACCAATAGAATCATTCCTTATTGATAAAATAAAGAGAGAGATTGTACACTGATCCCACTGGATACTTGATAGATTCTGGATGGGGGTAATGTATTGATCGAGAATATATAGAGTATCCAGTGGGATCAAGAACCAAGTGGAAATGACATGCTTGGGGGAAGAACGATTTCAATTTGATCGGGATATCTTCAACACAGTTGATAAATACGATTGTGGATACAAACTTGTTGAGGTCGATGAATGAAGCATCTTATATCGTGAATTGATCTTGCAACCAATGAATGTGGTGGTCAAAAGGTTTTGTCAGTAGTGATAACATGAAAGCATGTAATCGAGAGTCTAGATAAAAGTATGGCAACAAAGGATTCAAAAGATGTTTAGAAGTCTCGTAGCACTGCAACTAATCGGTGGATCTGTAAAGATGAGCTCGACCAGTTGATTAAGAGTCTACCCATTTCCATTCTATGCACTAGCGCCACAGAATATTTTAAATCCAGTTATAATACTCGGCCAAGATTCTTGAGTTTCTGATGATACTGTATATAGATGAGTGAATGATTAGTACTTGTGAATATATATTAGGTTAAAAGTACTTGATTTCTTGTATCTCCTTTTTCTGATCGCAAGTAGATAGATATCCTTCCTGCTTCCAACGGGAAATAAGGTAGTTTTGAACCTAATGTTGACATTCGTATATATATTATATATATATATACATATCATACAAACACATGTGTAGGTAGCAGGTGCAGTAACTTGCGAAAGTGTCACATAAAGAGAGAGAGTGAGCAATATTCATTGAAAAAAAATGTTTTGGGTAAAAGTTTAAAATCAAAGAGGTGGGAACCCAAACCAAGGGGTTTGTCTTTGGTAGTGGTTGAGTCGACACACACAAACACACAATCTCGTTGATTAATATTATTGTATTTATCTCTTATATCTATCTGTACATGTTTAATCGCATCAATAATAATAATAATAGTAACAACAATAACAGTATTCTAAAAGTAGTTGATTAGATTAGATTATTAGATAACATAGATTCAATTTAAAAAGTCATCATTTGTGTGTCACCAAAAAGAGAGACAAAGAGATAAAGAGAGAGAGATAAAGTAAAGAATGACTAGTCGGTTACCTCATCCTCCACCTATACAACTTCAAACTTCAAACTCGCTGTCTAACCTCTTACCCAGTTCACCAAGAGGTGGTGGTGCAAGCAGCAGCGGTAGTAGTAACAATGGTAGTTCACAATCGCCATCAGGCTACAATACAATATCTTCATCTTCATCGTCACCTTATAATGTGAATGTAATCAATACTAGTCCTAGAGGAGGAGGAAATAATAATAGTAGCATTAACAATAACAATAGTACTAAACCAGTATTGGCTGCTTCCAACACTTCAACCTCATCGACAACTTCCAACATGTCACTCAATACATCGATAAACAATGCAACTACCAATTCAGCTGAGGAAAAGTTGGACAAACTAAAGGATATCACTACAAAGACAATCGACCAGATCATCCTAAAGATATCAGAGATGAAACGAGAAAAGAACTTTCTTCAATCGTTTAAAGATATTATGAAGATATCAGAGAATCTAGTAGAGATTGAAAGAATTCTTGAACCAATTAATCAAACTCCATTTGGTAGTAGTAATGGCAATGGTGTTGGTAATACTAGTAATAGTGGTAGTGCTAGTATAGCTTCATCTCCATCTTCATCTTCTACATCTCTTGCAACTACAAATAATATTAATAATAATAATAATAATAATAATAGTAATGAACCAAATGGTAGTGGAGGTGCAGATACTGCAGCTGAATTAATTAAACTTGTACATTCTAAATCAAATCTAACTAAACGTGGATCAAGAGGTATGAATTTAAATACAATTAAATATTAAACGATTATTGAATATTTATTTATTTATTGATTTATTAATATTTCATTTCGATTGATTGTTTAGTTCAAGAAAGATCAACAAATAGTATTGATTCATTACATGGTATTCTTCAACAATCACTTGATCATATTAAAGGAAAGGTATTGGTTATGAAGAAACAATTGGTGTTTGAGACGTCGGTACAAGTAGCCATCAAGTATGGAGAGATTATTAGAAATATTAGAAACCAATTGAATTCATTTAGAACATTATCCTTGCCAGAGAATGTAGTACTTTGTGATGGTGAAAAGATTTATCTCAAATCAGAGTGTAGATATCATATCTATGATTCTTCATCTTCTTCAACTACTTCCTCATCATCTTCATCATCATCTGGAAATAATAGTCGTGAAAATAGTCTTGGTCATTCTCCACAATCAACAACTACATCTACCTCTACATCGACAATGAAAAAGTCAACAAATGGTGTTAGTGGTAATAATAATTCAAAAGATGGAGCAAATGATTTAAATGAACAGCAACAACAAGAGGAATATATCAATGGAACTATTTATATTACGAATTATCAAGCCATTTTTATTGGGTTGTTCCAGAATCAATGCTTTAGAAAATCATTTAGTATGCATTCCATTGCTAAAATGTCAAAGAGTGGAAAGAAAAAGGGAGTTGGAGAGTCATCGTATCGTCTCAATTTCCTGTTAAAGGATGCGCGATCATTGTCATTTTCATTTGACAAGCGTGCGACGACACTCAAGGATGTGAGAGGGTGTATCGAGAATGTGTTGGAGCCAAGTCTTGGCGCAACGAGTTTGTTTTGCTTTACGCATCGCAACGAGTTTACACAGCCCGAGAATGTCAACATGGGCTGGAACATCTATAGTGCGCGTGACGAGTATGCGCGTATGGGTGTTCCGTCGCCAGACTGGAAGTTTACACACGCCAACAGCAACTACTTTTTGTGCGACTCTTATCCCACCATGTTGGTGATTCCAGTCACCGTGACAGACGAGCAAATCAAGTCAATTGCCAACTTTAGATCAAAGGGTAGAATACCCGCACTATCGTATCGCCATTGGAGCAACAAGGCCAACATCACACGTTGCAGCCAGCCTCGTGTGGGTATCGGCGCGAACCGCTCCAAGGACGACGAGTTTTTGGTCAATGCGATTCGTTTGTCGGGCACGCCGGCGTCGACGGGCACGGAAAAGTCGCTGTACATTATTGACGCGCGTCCATACGCCAATGCCGTCGGCAACAAGGCCAAGGGTGCGGGCTGGGAGAATATTGCCAACTACCCACACTGCTCGATCGAGTTTATGGACATTGCCAACATCCACGTGATGCGTACTAGTTTGCTCAAGATGCGTGATGCAGTCACGACAAGCGCGCAAAAGGAGGATGGCTACTGGAAGGAGATTGACAGCGCCGGCTGGCTGCAGCACATCAAGCTGGTGTTGGTCGGCGCCGTGCGTGTAGCGCGTCTGGTGCACTTTCAAAACGCCAACGTGCTGATCCACTGTTCCGACGGGTGGGACCGTACCAGTCAGCTGTCGTGTCTGGCGCAGATCATGCTCGACCCCTTTTTCCGCACGATTCGCGGGTTCCAAGTGTTGGTCGAAAAGGAGTGGCTCAGCTTTGGCCACAAGTTTGCGCAGCGGTGCGGACAGGTCAACGGCAAGGAGGAAGACGAGCGCGCACCCATCTTTATCCAGTTCCTCGAAGCTGTCTACCAGATACTCGTGCAGTTCCCCTCCAAGTTTGAGTTTAACGCACATTTCCTGCACACTCTCTATCTGCACACGTATAGTGGCAAGTATGGCAACTTCCTCTACAACAACGAAAAGGAACGTATCCAGACACACAGCTATGGCAAGACTATCAGTTTGTGGCTCGAGATTGACCAGAATCTGGCCGATCACATCAATCCACTCTACGCGATTGCTGTTGCCAATGGTAATGACTTTGGTCTCTCTGCATCAACTGCATCAGCTGCATCCTCCTCTGCCAACAACAACAATGACAAGGAAGTGTTGATTCCAGACTGCTCGCTGAAACGATTCAGAATTTGGAGACAAGTCTATGCCAATCAAATCTCGGATCTCGACTATTACGAGCCCGATGAAAAGTTGATTCGTTGTGCTTTTGAGCGCCAGATTGACGACCGCGCATCAGCCATCAAACTCCAAAGACCACTTGTCCCCTACCGCAGCCATACTGCCTCTATTTCCATGCGTCGTCCTTCCAACATTTCTCAACAAAACCTCCCCATCTTTTCTTCGCAACAAAATGGATCACTCAACAAGAAACCACTCGAGGATTTGGATAATAATCTAATCATTGATAATGTAAAAGACGATAAAAAGAAAATACCTCTTCCATCTACACCATCTCTAAGTAGTTTAATTAACAAGGATAAAGAAACTTCTCCAACCAAACAACAACAACAACAACAGCAATCACCAGATATATCACAACCACAATCACAATCATCGTCGTCGTCATCTGCCACAAACTCACCTTCAAAATCATCGCCATCAAAACCTATAGTTAATAATGGATTTAATAGCCTAAGTAGAGGTTTCTTTAAGAAAAAGAAATAACGAGTATTAAAGACTACATATGTCCCAACAAAAAGACCAAATTTATTTATTTATTTACAACATCATACTTGTCCTAGGAAAAATAAAATAAAATATTAAAGTTGTATTTTAGAAAATTATTTGTCTTTTTATTTTATACCTACCTTTTGATATATCCAAGATAATATTGAAATCCACGAGATTGGATCAGCTAAAATATATAAAATAATCATATTGTATATTACCATACTTTAACTGATCCAATCTCGTGATAATATGTATTCAGTGTACTATCATTGATTCATTCCTACAGTATTAGCTCTGTCTGTCCTTGAGGACATGAAAAATAGTTCTCGGTGTATCGATCACAGGTGGATTGAGCATAGTGATACTGACCCACTTTCAATTGACGTGTTGTCACAACGTGAACCGCCTGTTAAAGATGAGTTCTTTAATATGGTTTCTGAGTTGTCCAATGATAGAATGTGATCATAAACCAAGGATCGAAATCGAGTGTTGTTTGAAAATGATAACATGTTTCCAACAATTGATTGATGTTGATTATAAAGAAGATAAATCTATTGGTGTTGAAATCATTGAGCGCTCTTACCAAGCTATTTTTAATGTAGTCATAAATCCAAAGTTTATACTCCTCATCCGCTGCTCTTGTTTGTAATCGATATTATCTGTTTCTGTTCTATCTGCATAATCCGAAGTTGATGGTTGCTACAAAAAAAAATGAATGAAAAATCGTGCACTGCTTCACTTGGAGTGCAGAGGAGGTTTATTTTGAATAATTAATTATTATCTATATTAATATTAATATAGATCAATATTGATTGCGAACAATAATTATTATTATTATTATAATAGGTCAATAGATTAAATAAGGAAATGGGTAAAAAGAAAACAAACAAATTGGTTGTAACGATGGACCAACAAGAGGAAGATCAAAATACTACTACAACAGCAACATCATCGACCACCAAAGTTGATCAAGTCAATAACGATAACAATGGTGGTGGTGACAGCGATGGCAACGACGACGACAAGGTAGAGAGCAAGGGTAAAATGATTCAAAGACACAAGGCTGAACAAAAAGTATGTCAACTCTGATGTTATTAATACTTGCATTTCATCATCTTGATCATCGATTTATTAATCATCATTATTAATTGTTGGTTGTTAGGAATTACAAAAAAAGATACAACAACTCAATAGAGAAGGAGGAAAGAAGGATAAGAAAGCAAAAGATGAACTTGCTAAAAAGATAACGACACTGGAAGAAGAATTGAATAACAAACAAGCACAAGAACTTAAAGCATATGAGAAAAAGGAAAAAGAAAGCGAGATTGATCTCAATCAATTGATCCTCAATCAACAAACTAAAGGACCTTCAAAAGCATACTTGAAAAAGGCAAAGAGACAAGCCGATGAAGAGGAACGTATGAGACAATTGGAAGAAGAAAAGAAGAAATATGTATCAAAGAGTATAACAGAGTTTGAAGACTTTGCAAAGAAACTTAGACCACTTTCAAAATCTATTAAACATGTAAGTAATCAAAAAAACAACAAGAGATCATGTGAAACAAAAAAAGAAGAATACTAACTATTCTTTTGATTGTTGTTATTCTTTTAGATTAAATCAGATGGAGATTGTTTATATAATTCACTTTCAAATCAATTATTGATTAATGGTAAAATAACTGAATTTGATTCATATACCTATTCAAGAAAATTAAGACAAATGGCAGCTGATTATATTACAGCCAACGCAGAGGAATTTAAACCATTTATCATGGGAGAAGAGGATTTCTCAGATTCAGAGGACCCAGTCACCGAATATTGTCAATTGTCAGTACTCAAAACTGGTGAATGGGGTGGACATATTGAACTTAGGGCTCTTTCCAGTGCTCTTAAAGCACGTATTGTCATTTATCATGCCTATGCTCCAGATGTAATCATTGGTGAAGAGTTTTCTGAAGACTCTTCTTTTTATCTATCCTATCATATGCATGCTTTTACACTTGGTGCTCATTATAATAGTGTAATTCCATCGACCATTTAAATATTAAATTAATAAATAATAAATAATATTTGGATGAAAACTATATAAACAAAAAATAAGATTGTACAAAACAATAACAAAAGGTTCTCTTTTTATATATTAAATATGTTGGATGTGATTTGGATAATAATAAATGTTTTTGTTTACCATCCAGAACCCATTAATTTTCCAACAACATTTGTTGCAAGTTCAGAATATGGTGGATATTTAATTGATACGTCTAACCACTGTGAAAAAGGGATAGAAAAGAAGTAAAGGGAAAATATTGAAAAAAAATGTTTGTTTTTTTGTGATTAGAGATTTGATTTGAATGAGAATAGAAAGAAATAGAAATAGAAACAGAAATATATAAATAATAATTATTATATATATATATATTAAAGATCCTTTGATAGTTTTTTTAGAAATAATTTGTTTGTTTAAAATTTACCTTTTTAGTAGTACCCTTTACAAGAGCACGACGATGTACAAAGGTATCAAAAGTACCCTTTCCATGATATGAACCAAGACCACTGTCACCAACACCACCAAATGGAAGAGAATTGTTGGCAAAATGTAAAAGAACTTCATTGTACATGACAGAACCAGATTGAGTATTTTCCAAGATCTTGTCTTGTACGGCACTGTCTGTAGAGAACAAGTAGAGGGTGAGTGGGTGTGGACGTGCTTGGATAAACGAGATGACTTCGTCAATGTTTTCATAGGTGATGATGGGAAGGACTGGACCGAAAATCTCTTCAGTCATGATGGGTGACTCGAGATCTGGCTCGACAATAAAGGTTGGTGCAACATAACGTTGTTCAACATCGGCTTCACCACCAATAACAACCTTGCCACAAGAGAATAATTTTTGTAAACGTTCAGTATGTTGTTTAGAGACAACACGAGCAAATGAAGGTGACTCTTTAATATTCTCTCCATAAAAGTCTTTTAATACAACCTTGAATTCTTCAATCAAATCATCTACAACTGATTTATGAACTAATAAATAATCCAAACCAATACATGTTTGTCCTGCATTCCAACATTTTCCCCTAAATCATATAATTATTAAATAAATAAAATATTAATATATATGTATCTATCTATTATTATCTTTTCCATCTATTTTAGTTTACCAGACAATTTTAGTAGCAGCCAATTTAAGGTTTGCTTCCTTATCAACGATACATGGATTCTTACCACCCAATTCCAAGGTGACAGGGGTGAGGAATTTAGCGGCAGCTTGGTAGACGATACGACCGACATTGACAGAACCGGTAAAGAAGATATGGTCCCATTTGACTTCGATCAAGTCGGTGATGTATTGAGCACCACCTTCCCAGTCAAAGGTGAATGCTTCCTTGTCCATGTACTGGGTCAATAGTCTGTGGAGAAGCTCACCAGTGCTGGCAGAGTGACGAGAAAGCTTGACATGAGCACAGTTACCGGCAGCAATGGCACCAATCAAGGGAACCAATGCCAAGTTGACTGGATAGTTCCATGGTGAGATGATGAGAACGACACCCAATGGATCCTTGACAATGTGTGAGGTGGCTGGTTTCATACCAACTGGAGTGTACACCTTTTCAGGCTTGACCCATCCTTCTAGCTTGCTAATCGTCTCTTCAATCTCTGCAACGATCAATACAACCTCTGACTGTGTGATTTCAAACACGTGCTTTCCTAAATCTTTGTGCACCGATTTGATAATATCATCCTTGTTCTCTGTGATCATCTTTTTCATTGCTTTGAGTTGAGAGTAACGCCATTCCAAAGGTCTAGTCTTTTGTGCAAGAAATACTGTTCTCAAACTTTGAGTCATTCTAACTATATTTTGATTAACCATGATTAAAACTTTTATCTATATATATATCAACTGATAGATTAAATAATAATAATAATATGTGAGATATTTATAAAATTATATAAAGATAATAATAAATATATTATTGATACTTTTGTTCAACAAACAAACAAACAAATAATAAATTATACTATCAAAAAATTAAATTAAAAAGGAAAAGGTGAACCAACCTTACCCCCAAATTTAATTACGTGTGTGTTTGTGCACTCTCTCTGGGAAAAGAGAAAAAGAATAAAATTTAATTAAAAATTTCGGGAATGCTGTCGGCTCTCTTCACACTCGATTTTTATTTTAATTACAAGACATCATCATCATTATCCTTTTAAAGAAATAATTTAATTTATTTGTCTGTTTGTTTGTTTTACAAAATATATATGTTTTATTTGATTTTCTTTATTTCTTTTCATAACCAACAAATGAACCATCAATAAGTTCAACAGTAAATGGACTGGTAGTTTGGACAAGACCTGATGATTGGAACTCAGCTTCAGTTTCAATTTCCATGCCTGCAGAGTAGATTGCCTTGATGTCAGAGACTGGCTTGTCGAGTTTGGCGGCAATACCTTCGATGACACCGACTCTGGTGACGGTGGTTGGTGTAAATTGTTTGACAATGTATGGATTGGACTTGAAGAGGAATTGGTAGGAGACCTCCTTGTTGGGGGATGGCACTTCATACTCGGAGAGGATACCCATGTCCTTGAGCATCTTGATGCCTGCTTGATCGTTTTCGGCCAACATACGACTCTTGGTAATCTCGACCAACGACTTTGCACCGCTGAGGATGGTTCTCGAGCCAGTCGATGTCTCTGAGTTCCACTTGGAGATGGTCTTTTTGATCACGTCACCATTCTCCAAGTTGAATTCGTATACCTTGTAGACCAAGTCAATTGGCTTGAGCGAGAGGGTCTCTACCGGCTTGCCACCAGATCCTCCACTGACCGACTGATTGGTGATAAATGCACTTGTGCATTCATACTCTGTCACGCTCATCTTCATATCCTTCTTATTAATCTTTAATTGTGTTCTCAAAATAACATTTGGAATTGGTTCATTCTTTAAACAAAAGTAATTAAGTACTGGTGATAAATCATCAACAAATCTTGTTGCAGACTATAATAAAAAAAAAAAGAAAAGAAAAGAATAGGTTAGATTAATGTGAATCATTTCATTCATTCCATCCATATTTGATTATCATCTTACAAATTCACCAATATGGACTTGTTGTTGACCAGCACCAGCATTATCAGAATAGGCTACGTTGTGACTAAAGGACATGACGCTTGCCCACATTGGTGCGGGGGTGATGACTTCAGCAAACTTCTTGCTGTGTTTGTCATTGTTGTTGCCACCTCTGCCGTATCTGCCACCATATGGGTTGGCGTTGGGATCTTCAACCTCTATTGGGAGATCGAGGGCTTTGAAGGCCTGGATGATCGTGTCTTTGGTGTTTTCAATGTTTGGTATCGAATAGTTTTCACTCTTGACATCAACATCGAGTGGTAAGTAAAGTGATAATTCTATATTAATCATTGTTTATATATTTGAGAACTGAGAATGGTAAAGATATTATATTATATACAAGTTGTTTTTGAAAAAATTAGATAGAGATAGATTATATGTACAAAAATACAAATATAGTAAATTAAAGATTAAAAGATTGGTTTAAAGAAGAAAGGAGAGAGAGGTAGACGACGATGATGTCTTTCTGTATTGTTTTTAGCTTATGATTAGTTTCTAAAAGCTATGACGGCAGAGCCTTGAGGTAAATTGAAAAAAAATCAGAATTGAAAATATCTTTTGACCTAAAAATATCCATTAAAGAAGAAATATTTCAAAATAGGTAGTTTTTAATTTATTTGTCGAAATAGTAATAATATAATAATAATATTCTCTCTCTGAGTTAGTTTAGATTAATAGTTTAGAATCTTTTTTTTTAATACTTTAGGTTTTTGAGGATAAAGAATGATGATACTATACTCAATAATAGCCCAAATTTAGAAGTCCCCCGAAGGGTGGTCGGGGAAACCACGGCACAAAAGAATGAAACCCGTTGATTGATCAATAGTTTATGAATAGTTAGATTTTTAATGAAGGGGAAAGATAGCGCTAGATTCGGGATGAATCAATCCTCATTTGCCTTGAGATCAAACAAAATAAAATGTTAAGCCCTTAGAAAGATAAAAAATCATTTCATACATATAATAGATAGATATAGATATAGATAGTAAAGTAAGAGAATTATTTTGTTTTTAATTTTATTTTTTCAGAGACAGACTATTGCAACAAGACACTTAATCTCGACGTAAATGTATTCTCCGATGGCGAGAGATTTGTTGAAGGGACATGACTAGCTTCCCATCTGGGACCCAGACATCTTATTTTACATACATCACTATAGCTCATAGACCAGACTACCTATGGTACCATCAAAGGATGGGATGAGGGGGTGCGTCTATAAATCAACTATCCAATTAAATTGATTTAAATCAAATATTTCACACACAAATTACACACTATAATACCCCCACTCCAATGCAAATCTAACAACCCAAACCCATCCTCTTGTTTTATTATTATCATCATATCTTGTTTTACCATTAGACAAATATATATTATATTTATTATTATTACTATTTGCTGTATGTATCTTATATTATAATATGTGGGTTTGGTTGAGGGATGATGAAAGAATTCTTTTAATTCGAACAGACAGATTCGATTTATTTTAAATGATAAAAAAAGAAAAAATTAATATTAATTTGCAGCAAGGTTATAGAAGGTGTGTGAACCTGCTGTCCATTCATACAGATATCTATCACGCACACCTCATATACACATACATACATCATACAAATACATATATTTAAATTATTATTATAAGATTTAAGGAATTAGAGTTGATTGAATTACTATTCCCTCTCCTCTCCTCTCTTCTCATTACACATAATCCCTCACCTACTAGCAAGTGCCAACAACAATCATTCATCACATCTATTTTATTTAACCTTACCAACCTACCTACCTACACATTCATCTCTATCATACAAAGTGTAGTCTTTGCATTGTAAATAATATCTTTTATTCATTCTTTCTTTTTCTCTTTCCTCATATAGTACTCTTCTCCTTTTATATATATATATATATCTCTCTCTTTTTTTTTGAATAGTTTTATAAATAAGATTTATAGTAGTAACAATAACAACAGGCGCGCGTATATACACATCATAAAGAAATGGATGATAAATTAAAAGAAAGATTAAAAGAGTTGATAAGAAACCCTGACAATTCAACATGTGCTGATTGTGGATCACCAGGTAATTAATTGTCTATTATTCGAATAAGAGATTGAATCAATCAATCAATCAATCAATCAAAGACCAATTATCTAACTCTCTCTCTCTCTTCTTTTTTTTTTTTAGATCCACAATGGGCAAGTGTCAATTTAACAGTATTTGTTTGTATAGTTTGTGCTGGTGTACATAGATCATTGGGTGTTCATATAAGTCGTGTTAAATCGGTTAATCTCGACTCGTGGAAAGAAACTGAAGTGGCAGGAATGGAACAAACAAATAATATCAAAGAGAATAGAAACAAATGGGAAGCTACTCTTCCACAAGATTTTATTAAACCTTCATTTGGTGATTCAATGTATGTTGGAGAAATATATATATAGAAATATATATAATATATATATTATATATATATGTCTCTAACATATTTATTTATTCATTTTTTGTAGAGGATTAAAAGAACAATGGATTATAGTTAAATATATGAACAAAGCATTTACACCTTTTGATTATGTAGATTCAACATTAAAGAGAATAAATGTAAGTAAAATCAAATATGGATCAATCAAAAAATATATATATAAATCAATCGAGACTAATGAATTATTTTGGTTTCTAGTTGGATACAAAAGAAGGATGGATAGTTAAAAAAGGAGATGTAGTAAAGAGTTGGAAAAAGAGATGGTTACGATTGATAGATTCAGAGAGTTTACAATATTTTAAGACACCATATGACACCAAACCATGCGGAACTATACATTTACGAGACAGCGGACAAGTCGACTCGGTGTCTGAAGTTGACAGCAAACCATTTTGTTTTATCATTTCTACACCCAAACGAAGATACCTCATCAGTTGTAGCACTGGCGAGGAAATGTTTAAATGGATCCAACTGATTCGTTTCTCTGTACACAAATTAAATAATAGTAATAATAGTATTGGAAATTATAATAATTTATTAAATAATAATAGTAATGGTAATAATATTAGTAGTAATGGAAGTCATGATAGTTAAAGAAATGGAAACAACAAAAAGTAAGAAGAAGAAGAAGAAAAAAAAAGAACCAACTAGAAAACTATTTATTTATTTATCGACAATGGGACAAATGTATATCCGCTCTTCAAATCTCTTTTTTTTTTTTTTCTGTAATATATAATAATTTTTTACCCAAATAAAAGAAACAAAAGAATGGATAGCTATCATCACAATCTAAATTTATTTGTACAAAAAATTACAATATTATATATCTCTAAAAATTTATTGCGCGATTAATTAATTATTTCCATTTTTTTGATTAATTAGATAAACCATCTCTTGGTAAATCCAAAAAAAAAAAAATGTAATGATACATGTTTGATGTGATTCTGATTCTTCTTTCTTCTTTCTTCTTGTTCTTTTTCCCAAAATAATAATAATAAATATATTTTTTTATACACTTTCCAATGGATCGAATTTCTTAACTTCCCGTCTTTGTAATGTTGGTGCTGCAAACATCCACCATTTACCTCCAGTATTAAAAAATTCGTGAAAGTTTTCTTTAAATCCCAAATCAAATGGATTAATATATTTCTCTCCTCTTGCTTGTGCTCTTTTAACTTGTGTTCTATTATGTAAAAATTCTAGAAATAAAAGAAAATAAAAAGATTAATAAATATTCCATTCTCTATTTGTTTTCTTTTCTTTTTTTCTATTCTATTCTTCTTTACCAATTGTAGTTTGATTTGATAAAATTAAATAAAGTTGCCAAAACATTAAGGCACCCAATGCAATGGATACAGTTAGAGTGAGGACAAAAGACATGAGTACGGTGAATGGAATACCACGTTGACCAAATACATGTGAATAGGAATGATAGCTGACATAGATGCAACACACCCACATGTAGATGAGGAACAACATGAAATAGCGATGGTTACGTAGTCCAACGCAATTGTTGACCCACGGACAATGATGGTCCATTCTGAGAACACACGATCCACAGAGACTGCAGTGATGTGCACGTTCAATCTTGGGTAGTCGACATGTGATACAAAACTTTGAGAAACCTTCGCTACGTTTGATTTGTTTGATGGCTGCAAACTCGTCCAATTGTTGTTCGTTATAGTCTGAACGACTGGGACAATAGCCAGGCGGAGTGATAATAGTCATTATATAGTTGAATACGAGGTTAAATAAGAGTGCCAGTGAAACGAGTAGATGCAGTGTCGCTGCAAACTGGTTTCCTTCGGTGGCCATAAGTGCCGGTAGAAACACTGTAAAGTGTGTATGTGCTATAAGAGATATCAATGCCACTGCAAACAATACAAACAACGGCCCTATACCTTTTAATAGTATAGTCATAAAGTTTTCCAACTTGTCTATAAATGTTGATGAAGAAGAAGAATTCTCTGTCATCTTTTAAATATGAAAGAAGGTGTATATATATATACACTAGTGTGACTTGTTGTATATATATATTAAAGTAAAAAGTTGAGAGAGTTGTACTAACAAGTAGTGTGGTCGGTCTCGTCTTCCTTTCTTCCTTGATGTGAAAAAGAGATAGAATAGATCTGGTGAAGTAGATATGATTATTATTGAATAGGGAAGATAATCGTTACAAAAGAGAGATATAGAGAGATATAGAGATTTATACAACAACAACCGATAGATAGACAAGATAAGATAGAATTAAAAGTTCAGTGAGAGTTAATTTAATTTAAAATTTTTATTTTATAAAACTATTTTTACTTCCTCAAAGAAGAGTCATGAAGTTAGTATATTTTAAACTCTTCACACTGTCTATCTTTCTTTACTTTAGTTATCTTTTTTCAAAGGAATGATATAAGATAAGATAAGAGAACAGCAAACAGAACACACTCACTCTTTTATTTTCATTTGTTTAATTAATATGAATCGAGCTCCTCCCACCCGATCAGCTTGTAAGATGAAAAGACAGACGACAACTCAGAATTAGTTTATAAATAATTATTAATTTCTATTTTTAAGAACAAAGAAACCAAATTCTATTTTCGTTCGTTGTATTGTAATAATGTTAATATCACCATATTACATTAATATTATTGGTGAAATTCAATCAAATCGACTCGTTTCGTCGTTTAGTTGTATTATTATTAATACTCAAGAGTTGCTAGTTTCAATCTTTCTATTTTCGTGTTGGCAACACGTTTTATCAAATTATCATAATTGTCAAGCACATTCCTATGAAGAGAGCGGCCATGTTCGATATTGACTATTGACTTTGGGATCATAGTCGCCCTTCACTTCCTTTGGATGAGATTAGAGGTTGAAAACGAATGATTTTGCGTGAAGCGAGAGATAAAAAAAGAGGTGATTTCATTGCAGATTGTGATCTGATTGTTCACGAGATTGAGATATTGTCGTTCTACGGTTTATCGTTGTCTAATTAGGTTCCCTTCCTTCCTATTGACTTGTCTACGCAAGCAAGCAAAGTAAACAAAGCGAATTAATAAGCGAGACAAACAAAAAGAGAGAGAGGAGAAGATGATGTACGATTGCTATAAAAGATGTTAAAGCAACACACACTCTTAAAACAGCTTTACTCTTACAACCTAAAAGATACAAAAGAGATATAATACACACACACACAGATTTATAATTATAGATATAATAATACTATTAAAAAAGTAAGTAACTTACTATAATAACCCTCTTTGTACCTAACCCCCTTGACCACCCTCACATCACCCCCTATTCTACTACTTTTTCTTAAACGGCACTGGATGGAATAAGTCCTTGTTCTCTTTCCTCTCTTTACAAAATTTTTATTGATATCTATCAACATCGTCGGTCTTTGAAAAGCAATTGAAACACCACTCAATTTGAATGATTGTCACCAATCATCGATTCGATTGATACCATCGCAAGTTGATTTTTGTGGTTATGTTTGTTTGTGTTCTATTTTTTTACATCACCCCCATTCACACTTCACAACAACCCCCCAATCAAATCAAAACAATCAAATCCCACCACCCACACACAACAAATCCCACTAAACCAAAACAAATCATGCTATGGTTTCGTCAGAGTTGTGTGAGGCAGCAAGAATGAAAAAAAAATGTAACGGAACTTTTTTTGGGGGCTGCCAATTGATTGAAATTGTATTTTTAGTAACAACCACCTATTTATCTTGACCCGGATCGAGGGACAGGCACCTACTACTTTCATTTGAACTTGACTGTTTATGGCTCTATGGAGGCTCAAAACACCCAAGAATATAACTTGTCAAGTGAAAATAGAGTTCGTCTATATTATTAGACATTGCGAGGGGTTGATTTATTTATAAATACCACAAACAACAAAAAGATAGAGAGGAAATAGAGTAAGAAGAAACACACACACAAGCCGAGCCACCAACGAATTCTTATTTAACATTCAAGTGGACTTTTAAATTTTTCATCATCAACAGATAGACACATACAAATAATACACACACAATATCATCATCATCAACAAACACACAGACAATTAAATAATATAATTTTTTACAAAGAGATACCAAAAAAAGATATTTCAATTAACTAATTTTATTTTTTTCATTAAAATAATATAAATATATAAATCTCTACAGTCAGTCAATCAATCAATATATATATATATATAAATATAATACTACTATATAATATTACTCATACAATAATAATAATAAGAAATGGATGTCAAGGATTTAATTAATAGAACCCCAGCCAACTTGGTAACTGTCACCAGCATGATCAAGAATTGCAAGTTGTTCAGTGACGATCTTTCCGTTGCCGCTGAATCTACTAGTTTGTCTTCAAGAATCGTTAAAAAGATTAATAATACCCGTGAAAATATCATCTACCTTTGGGAAAGATTAGAAACTTATTCAACTTCATTGTCTGCCTTTGCTGAAGATCTTAAGGGTAAATTTTTAAATAATTATTTCTTTTTTACAAAAATACAATGAAACTAATTATTTTATTATTTTTTTTTCTTTCCTAGGATATACAATTAGCTCTGAACAAACGAATACTCCACAAGCCATTCAAGTAGCTCAAACTTTATATGAAGCTGGTAAGGATATGGAAAGATTATACAAGTCGGTATTGGGTGATCTTGCCTACCTCCTCAAATCACTCCACAAGGAATCACAACATGTCGAAGAGTTACTCCCAACTCTCAAGACCAGCATTGGTAAGAGTGTTTTGGGTGTTGGTATCATTGTCTTGACTGCTGGTTTGGCCGCATCTGATGTCGTTCCAAGAGTATTCAAGCCATATGCTTACAAGAAGAGATTAAATAGTATGTTCAAATATATATATTTAATTCTTTCTTTAAATTTAATATCTAATTAATTTTTTGTTTTATTTTTCTTTTTAGGAATGAACAAGTTAATTCCATACATTGAAAAGTTCACCAATGAATTAAAGGAATTAAAATCTACCCTTGTTGTATCTGGACCAATCGTCTGTGAATTCCTCAAGGATATGGGTCAAAATCCAACTCCAGTCCGTGCCGGTGGTGTTAGTTTTAATTTAACTCCAATGGAAGTTTAAATGGTTTCCAAACAACTATCTCTTTCTCTCAAACATTTCAAACCATCATTTAATTTTATCATGGTTTTTTTTCCCAACCTTTTTTTTTTTGATTACAAAAAATAATAATAATAATATATATACAAAACTCCTAGGATTATAATAACTTTTAGACACAACTAACATACAACTATACAACTCAACCAAACTACACTACACTACACTACACCTCTCTCCTCGACCACGCCAATCAAATAATAATAATCACCAAAAACAATAACAACAATTTTAAATAATATTTCACAACTCCAATCAATCAATCAATCAATCAATTTCAATCAAATACAATACACAAAATAATAGTTTCAAGACTAAACTATTTTAATATTAAAATAACGTCCAAGCAATCAGATCATCGACCACTCAACAACAACAACATTTGTTATTTAAATTTAAATCAAACAAATAAAAAAGCTGTACAAATAATTCATTTTTTTTTCGAACCTACTCGATACTGTAGTCCACTCTTCTTTCTTTCTTTTTAAAATACATTCATTTTCTTTATTATTTATACATTTGATTTAAATGGATGAAGTTGGTGATAATGGTTTAAAAAAATCTTCTTTGTGATAGTAGGTTGTCAATTCGGTAACATCTTTTAAAATAGAATCAAAAGAACCCAATGACAATCGAACTATATTATTTTGTGGGTCAGTGTATTCAATGTGACGGTCTTGGATATTAATAGTTTGACCATCAAAAGTAACCTTGCTAATGATGAGATCGTATTCACCCATTTTGGTGGTAGAGGCCACAAAGATATTGACAAAAGAGGCAGAGGTACTGGTGAAAAAGGTTGAGAGTTTACCAGGAGTGATTGCCTTGGCACCTACAACACATGGCTTGGTAAATGCAAATTGTACATCGACACCTACTCCTTTGGTCTCTAGTTTGCCACCAGCCTTGACAGCCTTTCTTGAATTTGGGTCTGATCTAATCACTACAAAGATTGGGTGTTTTGAGTGGTTATGGATTGCTATGTGGTCAGGCTTTAACATAACTTTATCTTTGATTTTTGATGCAGTTGATTGTGTCTCTGTTGTATCTTCATCTTGAATTGTTTTTGGAGCTCCTGACATATTTAGAATAAGTGAGAAAGATATAATATAAGTTTATAGTCTCTTTTGATGGATGATCATACCCTTTCTCTATGTATCAGCTGCAGAGCAGGACTCCTAAAAAGAATGAATGAAAATCTTTTTTTTTTGATCATAGAAAAGATATTTTTATTGCTTGTAAGTTCATTGCAATACAAACATGTTGATCATTCAAATATTTTAATAGGTATGGATAGACCAGAACTTCTAGGGAGAGGTTCACAAGGAGAGGTAATCAAATGTGCATTAAAGTACTTTGTCAAACAAGAAGGTTCATCTTTTGAAAAGGAACTAGAGTTTTTTAATAAAATAAAGGTATGCATGCATGTAGTACAATAATGCTAGATTTCAATTCATATTCATTTGACACATATACACAAACCAAATAGAAAAAAGGAATTAAAGATGATCATATTGTACAATTATATGGAGAAACAACATTTACTAAAGATGGTAAGACCTATAAAGGACTGGCAATGGAGTTGGCAGACAAAGGAACACTATTTGATTTTATCAAGGTTGAAAACCCAGACTTTTCAGGTAAAGACCTACTAGTAATGTTGATAGACATAGCATCGGTCATGGTCAAGTTACACGAAGCCAATTTGATTCATCGTGACATTAAACCATCAAACATTTTAATATTCTCAAATCCATCGTACAATCCAGAGAGTGCTGGTAGTAGTAAACGGTATATTGCAAAGTTGGCAGACTTTGGAACATCAAAGGATAAAATACCAAATAGTGAAATGACAAAGGATATAGGTACTAGATATTACAAGGCTCCTGTATGTATAAATTAGAAAATAAAAATATATTTATTTATTTATTTAATAAAAATATTTTTTTTACTTTTTTTTTTTTAAAAGGAGATTGGTGGAAATGATTATACATGTAAAGTAGATGTTTATAGTTTCGGAAGGATGTGCCAACTTGTATTAAATATTGCATTGATGTTTAAACAACCACATGAACATGATGTTATAGTCTTTGAGACTTTGGATTCTTTTGTTCAATTGGTTACAAAGTGTACTCTGGGAAACCCAGATCATAGACCAACATTTGTTGATATTCACTCTGTTTTGTGTGATATCAAAGATAAACATCTGAAAGAGTTTGGATTGATGATAGATGGAATGAAAGTGAACAACTTGGCATTGGTCAAAGCAGAAAGTATCAGATGCCACCAAGACATTATTATATTCTTTCAATCATTCAGTAGTATAAAGGTACAATCGGGTACAGCAACAACAACAATATCGTACCCCAGTTTCAAAGTTTCCACTGGGTTACTCAAGAATACCCAATGTGGGACATTGATTGTTGTCGATGGTGCTATGGGATCTGGAAAGAAACACCTAATCCAACATTATCTTGAAGAGAATGTAAAGTCAACCACAACCACAAATCTAGTAGTAGACCAAAGTGTCAGGTCAACACACTATCACGCAGTTGTTTTTGGTATTGAAGACAAGATTGACATATTATGGCCTACTTTTCAATGGGGACAAAAAGAAAAAGAAGATAGGTATCAAACCATTTTAAATGTTTTAGGTGATTCAAGAAGAAGGTTAGTTATAAAATAAAAAAAGAAAAAGAAAAAGTAAAAATAACAACAAATAGAATAGAAACTAATCAATTTTAAAATGTTACATTTATTTATTTAATTATTTAGAGTTGCAATACATTTTGGAAAAAAGGAATCATATAGTATGATTAAGAGTTTGGTGATCCCATCCAATATTAAAATCATTTTTTCAGCGACTACAGATGATTGTCAAGAATTGGAGATTGGTCCCAACAGAGTAACGATTGGCTTGGACGACCAAGATAAATTGGAGTTTGTCAAGAACTATCTTGGACTCAAACAACTATTAGGTGTAGATCTTTCATCCTTTTCGACTCCACAGTTACTTAAAAAGTTATGTGATAGTTATAAATTATTTACAAAAAAAAGTATAACTACATTACCATCATATGTAATTACATATTTAAATCAAAATAGAATAGAATAGTTTTGGAAACTTTTTAATATTAAATTGTACAATAAATGGAAACATATATATGTTGATATAATAGGAATAAATTAATAATTGATTAAATAAATAATTATTTAATTTATTTATTCATTGTGAAGTTGGAAAACTAGATAAGATATTCCATTACCATTATTTGGGATAATATCAAATGTGTAGTTTTGGTTGGATGGTAATGGGAATTGGATGGAGCATAGGGATGGTTGGACAACCAATGAATCGCTACTTGAGACAATATAATAGGTTTGTCCAACTTGGAGTGAGTTGGTTGGTTGCAAAGTGTTGAGGGAGAGTGTACCGTCATTGAGTTCAAAACTACCGGTTGAGATTGGAACCATATCGGGAGAGGTAGCAAGACTGTCTACGGATATACTCATAGCCGATTGGGAGTAGACATAGAGACCACCCGAGACGACGGTGCTTTGGACAAACATGAGTTTGGCATCGTCGACAGAGATGTCACCAGTGATGGACGATTGGTTGATAAACAGACTGCTACTATGACCGATGAGAATGTTACCAGTCATGGTGGTACTGACGATAGATACCGACGAGCCAGTGCCAGTGGTGATATTGGGTGCTGTGAATTCTGAACGGTACAAGTTGAGTGAACTACCATCACCAACGACGATTTGCGAGTCATTGGAAAGAGAAAAGTAACCGGGTGTGGTTATATTGAGTACTGATTGCTTCGAGACGGTGAGGATGGTGTTGTAGAGGGTGATGGGTGTGTCTGTGAGCGAGCTATCCTCATCAAATACAATAGAGACGGTTGATGGCTTACCAACGTGGAAATAAGAGTAGATTTGTGAGATGTTGACTTGACCTGTAAAGATGGTGAAATGGAGGTCGTCGGCGTGGACTGACTTGGTGGCTGCGAGTACGAGTTGGGAGATGTTTGCGGGACCCATGATATCAGTGTACTGCACAAGAGAGGTGATTTGGAGTTGCCCGCCGTCGAGGTCGACCACGCCAAGAAGGAGTTCGTCTGCACGACCGATGGATACTTGACTGGACGACTGTCCAATTAAATTGTCAATTTGTACAATCACAGGACCACCATTTGTAGGAGGAGGGACTGTGGATGGATCAGGCGACTGTTTAAAAGTAGCATACTCGTCAAGTACAATCGATCCTCTTGGAGCAATAACCGAGACATTGTAATTAACTGCAACACTGGCACTACGACTAATCTCTAGTACTCCACTCACCACCAGATTGCCTTGTAAATTGATGACACTTGTTTCTGCAACCAGCACGTTTTCAAAAACGACAATACCGTCGGAACCAGTTTGAATCGATCCTCCAATAACATTGTCATCGCCAAAGACTGCAAGTGATGCGTCTCCAAGCATGAGAATCGATCCATCCAAAAGAGCACTGTTGCTGGATGAAAAGAAACCTCTCACTTGTTGGGTGTAGCTCGATCCATTTTGAAACCAAGCCGATCCAACCGTCACAGTACTGTCTACTGTCACATAGACTGTTCCTTGGTCTTGGATGGTGAGGTTGTTTTTAACGTTGACGGTTGAATTATTGAGTATGTATACGACGCAGCCTACACCGACGACGATCTCATCCAACAACTCTACATTGTTGATAAGATTCAATTGCATCAATGTATGTACCGTCGTATTCAATATGATCGAGTCTAATTGCAAATTGGGCACTGATGAAATGATAGTTTGAACACTTCCCAAATCTGAATCTGAATAATCGATCACTGCGACATACCCAGGTGCATTTGGTACAACACCACCAATCCACATGTTTGGGTCGTTAAAGTCACAATTCTCTCTGCAATCAAACGTTGTATTGAATTGTACTATTATCTGTTGTTGTTGTTGTTGTTGTTGTTGATGTGAATAGCAGTTACCTATCACTACCATCATCATCATTACCAAAAAGGTAATACTAATCTCTTTGTTGTACAACATTTTTAAATGCTTTAGTTCTTGTTAAATAATAAATAATTGGTCTATCGTTGTTGTGAATAGTGACTATTTATCCATTGTCCAGTTAGACTCTAGTCTGGTGTATTTATATAAATTATTGTTCGTGGAAGTAAATGAAAGCTTCGAACCCATCGAAAACTATTGACCCTTCATTCGCTTCATTCTATGGAAGACGAGGAGGTCGTTGTCGTCCCCACTTTTTTTCATCATCGACTTGAGCAAAAATCTTTTTTAAATATCTCTTGGTTGTAACTATCGTAAAACAATCATCTCTTTATTATTAATATTAGTATTATTAGTTTAAACCCAAGGAATAGGAGGAACTGATCTTTCAACAGTTGCATAGGCAATGGTTTCTTTAATTTTTGAAAGATGCGACGGTTTGATGGTGATGACTTGGGACTGATTGACTGGTTTGTTTTTCATGATAATGTCTAGTAGTCCGTCACTGTGAACCGATTGTATGATACAGGTGACGTAGATGGTGTTGGTGGTGATGGGTATGTCTTTGGTTTCCATGGCTTTGATTAGTTGTGCCATAGTAGAGTTGCTCTGATCTGAAAATATGGGAACGGGTGCGCTTTCTCTGAGTGATGGATATTTAGTGATGAGTACATGTACATTGGTGAGGGTGGCGTTTTGTATTCTGACATAATTAATGCCAGTTGTTAAATATTTGGTTATTTTCTCGGGTATTGATGTTGTTTGGAGTGTTGGTACTTCAAATAGTAGTTGATCGGTCGATGATGATGATCCACCAAAAATATTGTTGTATCCAACAGGTGAAGATGTTGGCGTAGTAGAGAGTGGTGATTGTGACCCTCCTCCTCCTCCTCCTCCTCCCGGTAGAATCGATTTAATCCAATCAAATTGATCAGATGTGACAATCCCACCAATACTACTTCCCAAACCACCACCACCACCACCTCCACTAGATGATAAACTAATAGATGATTTTAATCCACCTGCTGTTGCTAATTGAAGTAATCTTGATGGTGATTTAGTAAATATATTATTATTATTGTAACTAATATTGGATGTGAATTGTGATAGAATAGTTGTTGAAGATGAGAGGGAGGATGAAGATTGGGATAGTGTAGTGCCGCCTCCGCCGCTGCCGGTACTAGTAGGGTTTAACTTTCCAAGTTCCATTTTAATAAAGTTTGTAAATGTACATTTGAGTTTAAAATTACTATTATAGTCTTTTAAAAGTTGTGCCAATTTTTTGGGAAGGTTGTTGGTGATGGATGAGATGTCGAGCGTGGGGTCAACTGTCCGTCCTCCTAAAAGGTCTGACATCATTTTAATCGATTCTGGTTGTGATAGTCGTGACAATGGCAACTCGACGACACCGCTGTCGACAGAGGAGGAGGGGGAGATCAATGTCATGTTGGATGGTGGGATAGATACACATGTTATACAAAATAATACATTTGGTGGGGCTGCCTTGAGACTTGAAATGACCAATTCAAGCAACCCAGCATCTTCAACGTTATCAAACACAATAAGAATATTTTGTTTTGAGATATACAACTTTGTGTAGATTGTTTTCAATAATACTGCATTATCTAAAAGATTAATTGAGTTGGAGGAGGATGAGGATATGGAAGAGAAGATGGATGAAGTAGAAGAAGTGGATGAAGATAGTGACGAGGGAGGGGTTGATGAAGATGAAGATGAAGCGCTGCTGCTGCTACTACTGTCACTAGACGGTTTTCTAACTAAATAATTGTTGGTGTTGATATTCAAGTCTTTGGCAAGTTGTGAAATATCTGATACAAATGATTGCAGTGTACTACATTCAATGCAAAATGATGTAGTTCTAAGATCACCACAATAGGCAGCTATCAAACTTGACTTTCCAATTCCACTTTCACCTGTAATAATCACTGTCGTCGTTGTTGTTGTAGTATTTACATTTGATTTAAATAGTGTGTCCAATTGCTCTATGTATCCAGCATAATTAGAGTACCACATCAGTTTGGGTAGTTTGTTTAAAATCAAAGGTACTTCTCCACCACCCATATAATGTTCACTCACAGTTTGATTGATTGGTACCATTATATCCATCATTATATTACATTCATCTATATTTATAGTATCCAAATATCTTTCAATTTGTTCAAATGTTGGTCTTGGCATTTCCCCAATACTAAAAATTAAAATTAAATTAATTAATATTATATTATTTGTATTTATGTATTTGTATTTACCATTTTAAAATTAACTGTCTGTATTCTTTTGGACAAGATTTAGGGATAGCTTGTTTCATATCAACCTTTCTTTCTCCAGATAGATAGTTTTCTAAATTAATCATATTCAACATGATCATTCCAAACGCATATACATCTGCATTATACGAGAAATTATATTGATTTAATTTATTCTCATTTGCTAAATCAATTAGTTCCTACAAAATTAAAAGATTTTGTATGATTAATAAATAAATAAATAATAATATTTATTTTAATTTAATACATACAGGAGCAATATAACCAATTGTACCAAGAGAAGTGATTGGTGATTGAGTTGAACTACCTTGAATTTTACTTATTCCAAAGTCTGTTATTTTAACATTAAAGGTCGATCCTAATAATACATTACTTGGTTTCAAGTCAAAATGAATGATACCATGTCGATGTAACCATTTCATACCATTTGTTATACCTTTGAGAATAGACAGTACCAATTGACCTGTGAAAAGATATGATTCTCTAGTCATTAGATACCATAGCGACCCCTTTTCCATAAACTCCATAACAATACCAAGTCTTCTTTCTTCGGGTGGTGTGACATCATCCAATGCAATGTACTCTGACACACCAAGGAATTGTATGATGTTTTCGTGTTGTGGAGAAGAATCGATCAACTCTTGCACCAGTTTCATAAAGACATACTTTTCATCACGATGTGTTGCAGTTGATCCTACATAGGGCACCTTGATTGCTATTCTCTTTCCACTTGTAATCTCAGTTGCAGAGAATACTATACCAGTCTTTGTATCATAAATCAATCTTTTATCTTTAATCATTGATTCTTTAAATGTCTTTACTTTTATATTATTCGTATTATTCGTATTATTATTATTCTTTTCTTTTACTCTATCATCATTGTCATCGTAATCATCAATATCCATTGGTGTTGTCATTGCATTATTACTATTCCCATTTTGATGATGTTGATGATTATCACTATTATTGATATTAATCATATGATAGAAGAGGTGTCAGGTGACGATAATATTAAAAAGTAATGGTGATGATCACTCTGCTGCTATAGTGTGTTGTTGTTCAAAATTGATGTTGTTGTTGTTGTTTTATTATTATTACAATGATATTTATGATTTAAAAGATGTGAATGTCGTCTTCATTATGAACATAATAATAGAGAAGAAGAAGTACTAATTAAAGATATTTTAATTGTTAATTGCTATTTTTCGATGAACCCAGTTGAAGAGCACTTTCAAACGAATGGTTTTGGGTTGAATAAAAAAGAGAACTTCAGCAGCTGTTGGTATGATAAATTTTATTAATTAATTATTTATTTATTATAATCATCTAATGATTAGCTAATAGAAAAAAATGTGTATGGGTTAGGTGAAGCTAGACCTCACCTATACCTACTAGTCTCATTCTCATTCTCATTAATTAGAGTTGATATATATATATATATCGATAATAATAACAATAGTAGTCGTCGTTTGACACTGATCATATGGAACCTTAATTTTGATCAACTTGATAATGCTAGTCGATGTATTCGTTATTTCAAGTTCATGTGACACCGAGATTCCTTGGGTCGTAGCACATTTCTTGAATCTAATATAACTATTATGAACTAATACATTTTTTTTCAAATCTTATTTATCTATCTATCTATCACTTAATCATCACCTTCACCTACATAATTTGTTTTAAAAGAATATAACTATTGTAATAATAACTGTAATAATAATAATAATAAATAGCGAGCATGCTCAGAAAATTACATCAATTGAATCAAAGGCACCTAAAAAGAAAGGAATAATATAAATAGTGTTGCGCATTTAGAGGAGATAGAGAGACCTTAGATGATAATATTAACAATTTATATTTTTAGTGTAAAAACTAGGAATGAGGTTGCATTGGCTCAAATATACGAGCAACAACAGATAGCAAAAGAAGTTGCAGATAGATCAAGTTATCGGTTTAGTATTCATTATGGTTGGGTGTAATAATGTTATTGGCTGGAGCATGCTGCTACCTATATCTTCGATATGATAGTGTGGTTGCAGTAGAGCTGCACAAAGAGATTGACCGTCAATCTGAACTAATTAAACTACTACAGAACCAATTAGGCCAAGAACAAAATCATCAACTACAACAACTACAAGACCAACTACAACTAATAAAAGACGAACTACAACACCTAAAAGACCAACTACAACACCGATCAAAAAGATGCAACAAGCGGAATCAACCGCTTGATCCACAAAATCCCGCTCAACCGCTTGATCCACATATTCCCGACCGAATAATACGCAGAATTGGTTAATAATAACAGGTTGGTAAATAAAGGAATTATTAATTGCAATAGGAGCTCAAGAATTTTTGGATAGTATTTTTCTCAGCTTCACAAGATCACCAAAAAGAACTATATATTCTGGTTCAAACTTTTTTTTTTGTGATAAACTAATAATTTTAATGCATTAAAATTTTCAAGTGACGATGCACCCAAAACCCAACGTTGGAAAATAAATATCTTTCATCAAACTTTGAAACGCGAAAATCCAGAATTTCAAGTCTTTTCACAACATTTTTTTCTTGATGAACAACTATAAATATAGTTGATCAACTTGCACTTATTGATTTATAGTTTTTATTTGTACAAATAACATAATCTTTGTCAATTTATTTATCTTTATCTAGACAACCTCACCTGTGTTAAAGTATCACTGTAAAAATAATAATACTTGGAGCAATGATCAGAAAATTACATCAATCGAAACAAAGGTACCTAAAAAGATGAATATACTTAAAAACGGATGCATCGACATTTGATCACATTAACGTAACCATCTATATATATATAAATGTTTTTTAGTCCAAAATCTAGGACCGAGGTTGTACCATACAAGGGCTATATACCTGCATTATTAGCTCAAATATACGAACAACGTCAGATAGAGTTTGCAGATAAAATCTATCGATCAGGCAAACCCAGGGCTACGATAAGAATCCATATTGGTTGGCTGCTGGGTGTAATTGTGTTGTTGGCTGGAACTTGCTGCTATCTATATGTTAAATATGATAGTTTGGTTGTGTTTGGACTAAATCAAGAGATTAGCCACCAAATTGATCTAAATAAACTTCTACAGGTCCAAGTAGAAGAGGAGCAACAACATCAAATACAAGTCGAAAAGCTCCTACAAGACAAACTGGACCAACAATATCAACATCAACAAGATGTACAACAAAAAATACGAGACCAACTCGCTCAAGAAAAAGGTCATAGCAAAAAACTAGAACAACTACACGAAGAGTACCAAAAACAAATACAACTACAACACCAAGAACAACAACAACTCTTACGACAAAAACACAGCGAACAGCAACAACAACTACAAAAAGAACTACACCAACTACAACAACAACTACACCAACTCCAACAACTACAACAACAACAACAAAATCAGCCACAACTAAAAGACATACTGCAACAAATACAACAACTACAACAACTACAACAACAACAACCACACCATCAAAAAAAGGGAGGATGGTTGAGAAAAATTTTTAGATGGTAGAAAACTCTTTTAATTTATCCTATTCTAAATACTCTTTGAGATATATTGGCTCCTTGAGATTGACAATTCAAGAACACCTAAAAATTAATATTTAATAAAAAAAAATATTATACAAAAATTCATCAATCAAAAGGGGGGGTGATATTTATATGGTGTTTTTAAAAAAAAGTAAGGGGGGTTTACTTTTTCAAAGTAACCATACTTTAAAAAAGTAATTTCGACTGATCAAATCATATAAAAAGTAGGGTCGCCTATTCGAGCGCCAATTCTATTTGATTGGCGCCGAAAATATGTGACCGTTATAAATAAAATGTTCACTGTTGTATATAACACATCAATATAAACACATTTGCAAAAAAATATAGTGTAATAGTAAAATAATGGTAAAAGATAAATTGTCAATGCCTAATGCGTTCTCCATTGGTTACTGCAAAGAGAAAGGAGAAGTAATAAAGCTTCCATTTATTAAAATTTCAGATAAAAACAAAGGACAATATGCAACAGAAGAGACAGTACTAGAAGAAGGAGTTAATAAGAATAAAGTAACTTGTAAAAGGTGTGGAACAGTATACTTTCCAACCAAAAACCAACAGATACAAAATCATATCAATAATAAGTCATGCGGATTATTATCTGCATTATTATCTAATGGTATAGACAAAAACCTAGTTGATGAAAAGGTTATACTTTTTCTTGTGGATCATTCACTCCCTTTTATCATATCAGAATCTAAAAGTCTGCAAGCTATATTCGATTCTCTAAATATACAATACAAAGCACCTTCTTACTATAGAATCAAAAACGATATCCTCCCTCGAATTCTCACAATTAAAAAGGAGGCTGTAAAGAGATTATTGGACAGAGCAGACTGGATTGGATTAACTCAAGATGGATGGACAAGTGATCAAGATGTCAAATATATATGTGTAACAGGGCACCTTATTACCACTGACACTTTCGAGTTCAAAACCTTTCTAATGGGATTCAATGCAATCAACGGAGCAGAGACATCTAGTGCTGTATCTGATCAATTGCTCAAGACTATCTGTGATGAATGGAACCTCGACCTTCAAACAATTGCTGGAGCTACAACTGACAATGCACATGCTGCCATTAAAGCAATTCTATTATCTGACATCAAATCAAATAGATGTAGTGCTCATACCATTCAATTAATAGTGAGTCACTGTATCGATATGGGCAAACCAGAATCAACAGAGTCTCTCCATCTTATCTCCACCACAATAGCAAAAGAGTTAAATGATAAAAACAACAATAATAATAATGATGGTGATGATGACACAGATCCTGTGGAAAGTAATAGTAATAATAAGAAAAAGAAACCCAACAACACCGTAGCACCTTCTAAACCATCAGCCAAAGCACCTGCTAAACCATCAGCCAAAGCACCTGCTAAACCATCTGCTAAAGCACTTGCTAAAGTACAACAATCTACAGCCTCTAAAGGAAAAAAAACTGATAACACAATCACTGTTTCAACAACCAATCAGTTAAATAATGTTGAGGTTGTATCAACTGCAACTTTGGAAACAAAATTAACTATTCAAGGACTAACACTTTCTATGGTACTAAGAAAGATTAGGAAAGCAGTCCAAATTATTAAATTTAGCAAGCCATTGGCATCTAAATTACACAAACTGGTACAATTAAATCATTTAAAAAATACTTGTTCTGATGATTTAAAAGATGCATTAAAAGAAAATACAAAAATCAAATTTGCTTTTAGATTGAAATTCTACTCTCCAACAAGATGGACTTCACTTTATACAATGGTATCAAGATTTATGGAATTGCATCCATCTATTAAAGAGTTGGAACATGTGGATTTGTTTTTAACAGAGGAAGAATGTTTGGTATGTATATATAAGGATCTTTTGAATAAAAAATTATTAATAATTAATTTATATAGATTGCATACGACTATTTAACTCTTTTAGGTGACTTTGAGAAAGCTACTATGTTCTTGTCAAGTGCTAACAATATCACAATTGACAGCCTGGTTCCAACTCTTATCACTTTGGAAATGGGTCTCAAGCCAGGTGGCCGTCATTACGATAAAATCAACACCCCCCAAGGACACGAATTGAGAAACAATCTGGAGCAACAGTTAAAAATCAGGGTAGATCTATTATTCAAAGATCGTGAAGCCATATTGACACCTTTGTTGTTTTCTCCATATCATAAGGCCCTTCTCAAACACTTGATTCCTCAACATCCAGTCGAGGCGGCGCCAGCCGAAAAGAAGAAGAAGAACAACAAAAGAAATGATCCAAACGTCCAAACCACCAACGAAGAAACTCAAGAGCAAAATGTTTCTTTTATCCCCCTCAATCTAGAGCTCAGTGAAAATCTTCTTAATACATTCTTAAATGATATTAAAGAATCTAAATCACTAAAGTCTATGGACAAACTCATCATTGAGTTGAGGGAAAAAGAAACCAAGATCCAGGCACAAAAGGCAAAAACAAAAAAGGTTGTTCAATCAACAATAGATACATCAAAACAAATTCCAAAAGACAAAGTAGAACAGATAAGACTGGAAAGACAAAGAGCAAAGAACAATGCAGAGGATGAGTCTTTTTCTTCTATTGTGAAGGGTACTACCATCGCTGCCATCTCTACCACATCTACTACATCTACCTCTACCACCTCTACCACCTCTACCACCTCTACCATCCCTACCACCTCTACTACCGATCAGTTTGCAAACATCACTGCCCAGTCTCCTCTCACCACCGAATTGACAACTACAATGATTAAATCCATGATCATTTCATTCTTGGCAATGGAATACCAACTGAATGACAAAGAGCTTGCTAAAGGATCTAGACCAGATCCAACTATATATTGGTCTCAATGCAATGTCAACCCATTTCTTAAATGCCTGGCTCGAAAATATCTCTGTGTACCTGCTACATCAACCCCATCTGAGGGTGTGTTCTCTAAATCAAGTTACATTTTCGAAGAAAGAAGACAGTCAATGAGTGTTTCTACCTTTCAAGATCTTGTTTTCCTATATTGCAACAAATATATTCTATTGGTTGCTATCCTCTTCCTCTTTATTTTATAATCATACTATTATCAACAAACACTATTTTTTTCATCAACTAAGCCAAGACACCATATAAAAGTATCATCGGCACACTTTTTATTTAAATAAATCTTGTTTTTAATTTCAATCTAGGATATCATTTTATTGTACTTATTTTTAATACCAACCTTACTTACTTAAAGTAAGTAAGCATTTTCCATATAAAAACGGGAACTGACTCAGGTCAGGTAACCCCCATACAAACTTAACCATAAAAATACCTCTCATTGTTTTATTTTCTTTTTCTTTTTTTTATGTGTATAATAAATAATAATCAACATCTCAACAACACAAACCATAATAATATGTGTACATATATATTTGTAAATCATATTCTTCAATCATCATCTCATCAAACTTAACCTATTAAACATGGATATGGATGTAGTTGCAGTCTATAACAACAACATCAGCAATCATGATAGTAATAGCTGTAAAATGAATAGTAGTAGTAGTAGTAGTAGTAGTAGTAGTAGTAGTAGTAGTAGTAATAGTAGGATATTGTCTTTGACTCCAAGTGGAGGAGGACTACCTCATCTACTGTTGTTAAAGATCATTGGATACATTGACGACAACCAAGATATCATATGTCTGTTGCTGACTTGCAAGACATACTATTTCCAATTTCGCAAAAAGTTTGCTGCTTCGATGATGTTTAAGCATGTGATGACGGCAGCACAGATGGAGCTGCGCGAATGTATTGTGGAACAGTTTATGGAACCGTTTGGTGAGATGTATGAAGCGTCTTTGGCAGCACATACGTGTCAACATCTATGTTTAGACGCATCCAACAAGTACCAACCGGGCGATCCCGAGTTGACAATAAAGAGCGTGTCGATCGTTGCGACGCCACGGCCTTGGGTGCCGTGTCGCATCCCTCCAACCGAGCGACTCAAAATAACTGGTAGTGTGGACGGTGCGGTGGTTGCAAGACATCTGTCGCACGCTGACCGCTTGCAAGAGCTAGAGTTGGACGACTATGCAGGTGGCGAGTTAAACGACGTGTTGTTTGCGTCGGCACCGCTCAAGACTATAGAAATTGTGGCAACTGACCGCGTGCCAGCGCTGCGTCTGCCGCCAAGCGTGCGGTGGCCGGGTGCACTGACAACGCTGGCGATCGCGTCGGCAACGGTACTGCCGCTGGTGCAGTTCCCACCGACATTGGTCAACCTCGACGTCAAGTACCAGAGCGAGGAACCGTTTCGGTTGGATCTAGTCAATCTTGGTCAGCTAGCCAAGTTGTTTGTCATATCTGACTGTCTGCAGCTGATACCTGTGCACGACATCCGACTACCCAACCCCAGCACCGCGTTGACATCGCTGACGCTGTTGTTTGACTTGGACGGCGCACAGATGACGCCAGACTATTTCCCACTTAATTTGGCGTACCTCGATATCAACGCGTGGGACAGTTTTGGGGTGACAATACCACCTGCTAAAATAACAGAGCTCATCATCCAGTACTGCAACAGTCGTGTGCCGGTCGGCTTCATGCCGGCTGGTTTGCGATCGCTGACGATCACACTCGACTTTGACGCTACGATCGACCCGCACGCACTACCTGCGGGACTGGAGAAACTCGAGCTTCAAAACTACACGGGCACCATTTCACCCGACTATATCCCCGAATCCATCACCGAGCTATCAATCAATATTGAGCGGCCTGATGAAGCCGTCTTTCCCAGCCGTTTACGCACCCTGCGCTCCACACTCAACTTTGAGGCACCCACGCGCCTGCCGCCTCTCCGAGGACTGTCCTACCACGTGTGGCGTAACCCACCGCCCGTCTTTTACGTACCAACATCACTCGAATCATTCTCGTGCGAGATGATACAAATGTATCAGCAGTACCCTATCTACAGTCTACCACCCATGATGATCATCAACAGCGACGACTCTCCACCCTCACACAACCCCCTCCATTTTGTGTTGCCGTCGCGTGTCGAGCAGTTTACAGCACAGATCCACCTCGAAGGTGCAAACGAAGAGTTTAGCTTTCGAATCGACCCCATATTTAATTGCTCCAATGTCAAGCTACTCATCATCCGTATTCACTCGAGTGCCCGTGAATCATCGGAAATTGAATTGTGTATTCGACGTTTGGAACATCACAATGAATACGTTTTGGTTAATACTAAAAGCTCTTTTGACGGTGGTGCAATCATTAGACAACGCAGAATGATCAACACTAGCATTGCCAATAGGAGTATACTCGATTTCCATCCAATGTATCTAAACTTTATGCGACTTCGAGGCAATAATAATAATAATAATAATAATAATAATAGTAATTATTCACCGCACGCCTATTATACAATCAAACAAAGTAGGAATCCAATCAAAACAAAAAAAGACACTTTTATAAATACTGATGAAAATAATGATTAATTATAATCATAATAATAATAATAAAAGAGTTGTGTAAATAAATAAATGTAAATAAATAAATAAATAAATAAATAAATAAATATTTTATTCATGATTTATTATTTTTATTCTCCAAATCTTAAAGAAAATTTAAAAGCATTTGACCAATTAAAATCTAAATAAATTGGAAAAGATGTATGGTGTTTGTCAAAGACTGTTTGTCTTTGAGTGATGATTCCACCGATGAGTGATTGTTTTTCCAAAACCAATACATTTCTAATTTCTAATTTTTCTACATGTATCGCTGACCAATAGATTCTTTGGCACATACAATTTCTCCAACAATGGCATCGTATATTGCGCCGGGATGTATGCGTAATCAACCAAGAGCTTGAGTATTATGAGTGAGGGAGGCACACGAATCTCGATACTGATTGTTGCCCCGCGTCTTCAAACTTGAATAAAGTGAGTGAGGTTAGACTCGAGATCCATTCTTGGTGGGGTTACACCCTCGCCATAGTACTCTATTTCAATAATGAGTTCGGTCAGTGACTTGAGTGACGTGAATGTATTTTGTGGAGGGACTGTGCTCGTAGCAAGAGTGAGTGACGTGAGACTGGTCGGAAAGGTATTTGGTCCAAGAGGTGGGATACCCTCACCCACGAGTTCCAACTTTGTCAGAGACTTGAATTGGGCCAGCGATTGGAAGAGTTCTCTGCGCGTACACCATGATGAAACAAGATCGTATTTGTCAAAGAACAAGTCATCGTGATACGATGTGCTATTGTCATAGATATCTTTGAAAGAGTGGAGTTTGAATCTAGATCGTGCTGCCTTAAACGGTAGTGATAGATATGTCCAAGCGTTCTTCCCATCTATGACTCTTATACCTTTGAAGCGTATCAATCTTCTTAAACCATTATTATTATAAATCTTTTTACAAGTTAACAACAAACATACAATATCTGTATTGTCTTCAGTCTTTGATAATATGTAATAATAATAGATTAGATAACATCTTGTTGTGAATAATATGATAATTTATATCTCTATCTATATTATCTCATACATACAAGCAGCAAATTTAATAAAAAAGAAAAGTGTACCTCAGTAGATCTTTGAAAATGAATTAAAAATTAATTAAAAAATTAATTAATATGCATATGTTTAACGAAGAACTTTCGATAATTGCGTATACCCATTTGTTCATCTATCATCAAATAAATATTATTATTTATTTTAAACAATGAAAGATTCATCATCCTCTTTATCATCTTCTTTATCACTTTCACCTGGAGGAATATCAGAGTTGTTAATACTAAAGATCATTAATTACATTGAATACAATCAAGATATAGTATGTCTGTTGATGACATGTAAAGCATACTATAGAGAATTCAAGAAAAAGTATGCACAGGTTATTACTTTTAAAGATATTGATACTCAAAGCACATCACAGAGATCAATTATTGGTACATACATGAGACCATTTAAAGATATCTACAATGCATCACTTGCAACTATTAGAACAAACAAAAATCACGAGATTGCCAATCCACCACCTCAAACATCTACAACGCTATCGAGGACATCGGTAGAGGCGATAGAGTTTTTAAAAACAATCAAAGACACAACCAAATTGACAACATTAGTTTTGAATGGGTTCACAGGTGACATTAAAGATGTTCTACTTGCATCTGTTGATACTATGGTAATAGATATCAAGGTACATGTACCTCGCTTTCCAACCATCTCTCAATGGACTTGTGCTCTTACCCATTTGACTATCCAATCAAGTAGAATCATCCCAATTGTTCACTTACCACCGACTCTGGAAGATTTGGTCATCAATTATCGCTGCAGGGATATATTCTCACTTGACCTATCCAACTTGGTCGCTCTCAAGCAACTCCATATCATGACCTTGTGTCCTACTCCCATACCAGCCTCCAATATTCTCCTTCCCAATCCCAACACATCACTCACCCTTTTAAATCTAAAAATGCTCCTCGACCCAACAAGCATCAATCAATCGTTCTTCCCACCAAACCTTGAGCGTTTCTTTGGAGATCAATCTCTCTTTGCAACCACCAATATCAAACCCCCTCAAAAGGCCACTTCAATTGCTATTGGTGGCATCATGAAAAAAATACCACCAAACTTTTTCCCACCTTGTCTTTTGGAATTGGATTTGATACTTGACAATGATTCAACCGTACTTGATCCGTGGGTATTTCCTCACGGACTTGAAATATTGGATATTCCCCATTTCAGTGTTAAAATGTCACCAGAATTTGTACCAGACTCTGTTGTTCGTCTGGAGGTCAATGTTGAAAACCCTGAATTTGCTATTTTTCCGAGCGGATTAATTTCATTTACTACGTCAACCAACCACGAATCACCATTCAACTATCCACCCACTTTGCGTCATTTGGAATACGCGAAATGTCAACATCCTCCACCATTCATCTACTTACCAACCTCACTCGAAACATTCCAATGTATAATCACCAATTCCAAAGGTACACCATTTATTTACACGCTTCCATCAACCTTGGTAATCAACAATGATAATACTTCACCAACCGATAATCCTCTTCATTTTATATTGCCCTCTCGTCTGGCGAAGCTAATTATTTACAAGGATGGTCCAGAGAATGAGAGTTTTAGTATTCGCATTGATCCTATCATCAATTGTTCAAATGTCCAACATTTATCGATTACAAATATAGGTCCAAGATTGGATATTCATATTAGAAGATTAGATAATGGTGATGTATTGTTAAACTCTGGTGATACTTTTTTTGGTGGCATCTATAGACAACGTAGAATGGAAAGCACTACCTTTGGTAATCGAAGTCCACTAGATTTCCGTGCACTCTATTTAAATTTTAAATTAAATGGAAATCATTTCAATCTATATCCTAGTAATACTCCAATTAAATCAATTGATACAAATATAATATAATAATAAATTGTGAAGTTTTAAAATGCAAAGGTTTTTTCGTAAGTCTCATCTGACTCCTTTTTGTTTGTCTTTAAAGATAGATTATATCTATCTGTATGTAGTCATAACAATGAATGAAAATAAATCATCTTCTTCATCCTCTTCATCCCCTTCTTTATCACTATCACCTCGAGGAGGATTATCAGATTTAACATTACTACAGATTATCAATGATTTAGAATTCAATCAAGATATCGTATGTCTGTTGATGACATGTAAAGCATATTATAGAGAATTCAAGAAACAATATGCAAAGGTTATTACTTTTAAAGGTATTGAGTATCCAAGTCCTGATGAAAGGACAATGATCAGTTCTCGTATGACACCATTTAAAGAGATCTACAATGCATCACTAATGGCTATTCAAACCAAAAAAGATCACGAGATCAACAATCCACCACCACAAACATGGATATCGCTCACAAAGACATCAGTAGATGCAATGGAGAAGATAAATACAGTCAAAGATCGAACCAAATTGACAAGAATCCATTTGAATGAATTCACAGGTAACATTAAGGATGTTCTGCTCCCATCTATCGATACACTGTCTATCAATATCAAATCGGTCCTTCCACGTTTTCCAACCAGATCTCAATGGACTTGTTTTACACTTACATCATTGTCAATCTATTCAGACAGTGTCCTCCCATCCGATCTCCAATTCCCACCAACTCTGACAGATTTATGCATCTCTTTTAATTACAGAGATCCATTTACTCTTGATATGACCAACCTAGTCGATCTCCGAACCCTAGATGTTTCTTCTTCGTCAATCACACTCATCCCAGCCACCAATATTCGCTTTCCCAATCCCAACACATCACTCTCGAGTTTAACCTTTAAAGTCCCTTTTGACCGCTCGACCATTACACAATCGTTCCTTCCACCAAACCTCGAAGAACTTAACATGGATTACAAGTACTTGGGTGAATATATCAAACCTCCACCACATGTCAAAACGATGAATATGAGCACAAACATTGGCATAGGTCATGTCTATTTCCCACTCGGTCTCTTGGATGTAAAGTTGACTCTGAATGGCATGGCAACACTAGGACCGTGGACCTTTCCACAAGGAATAGAGATTGTCGATATTCCCAATACCCATATCCCAGTAACACCAGAGTTTATACCAGACTCTGTTAAATACCTGTGTGCTGATGTTTCAAACCCCGACACAGCAGTCTTTCCAAGTTGTTTAGAAACATTTGTAACGTCGACCAGCCACGATTCACCATTCAACTATCCACCCACTTTAAAAGAGTTGGAATACCAAAAAGGTGATTATCCTCCACCAGTCATCTATTTACCGACATCACTCGAAACAATTACTTTGGAAATTTTTGATCCTCCTCATTCACGAGTATTTGCTCTTCCAACAACCAAAGTAATCAACAATGACAATAGCCCACCAGAAGAGAATCCTCCACATTTCGTACTGCCATACCGAGTCAAAAAGCTAGAGGCTTCATTGCTAGGTGAACATGAAACTGATTTCAGTTTTAGAATCGATACAATAATCAATTGCTCAAATGTCGAACATTTATTTATTGACAATTTTGGAACGACTTTGGATCTTTACATTAGAAGATTAGAGAATGGTGATGTAATGATAAACTCTGGTGGAAGAGCATTTTTTGGTGGCGTTTATAGACAACAACGTAGAATGGACAATACCAGCGTAGAGAATAGAAGTTTTAGAGATTTTCCTGCTCTCTATTTAACCTTTAAAGAAAAAGGTGGTTATGTTCATGTATACCCAAGTAATATTCCAATAAAATTAAATAATACATTGTAAATAATAATAAAAAAAAAAACAATAAAATAATAATTATTATTAATAAATAATAATTTGTAGTTTGATGGGGGGGTGTGGTAAAAATAATTTGTATACTCTTGTCATATCAATTGTAACAGATATATAAATATATTAGTGTTTGTTCTAGAGATTACATTTTCTATAAATCTTATAAAAAAAAATGAGAAAAAGGAAATATCAATCTTCATCCTCTTCATCCCCTATTTTACTTGTACCAAAAGGAGGATTTCCAGATTTAACATTACTCAAGATCATCAATGACTTAGAATATAATCAAGATATAGTATGTCTTTTGATGACATGTAAAGCATATTATAGAGAGTTTATGAAACAATATGCAAAGGTTATTACTTTTAAAGGTTATGAACTCAACCATTTTGATAATGATGGTGTAGCAAAGTCAATAATTGGATCGAATATGAAACCATTTCAAGGGATTTACAATTCATCAATGGAAATACTTGAAACCCAACACTGTGACGACCAATATACTGAATCATCGTTATCCTTGAAAGAGAAATCCACCAAAGAGTCCATCTTGGAAGCTGTGCAAGATCCTACCAAACTGACATCTCTAGAATTAGAAGAATACAAAGGTCATATCAAAGATGTTTTATTTCCTTCCCTTGAAACTCTTGACATTAAAGGAAAATTAATCTTGCAACCTATTCCACAATGGCCAAGTTCACTTTACAAATTGATAATCAAATTACCCAAGGTAGTCCCAATCTTTCAGTTTCCACCCACTCTAACCCTCCTATACATCATTCTAAAAGATCTAAATTTTGAATTGGACTTGTCAATAATACCTACCCAGCCACCAATCTTCTCCTTCCCAATCCCAATACATCACTCACCCGTATCATCCTTTCCCTTTCATTTGACCCCAAAACAATAACAAAATCATTCCTTCCACCAAATCTTCAGCATCTGCACATGAATTTAGAGAGTTTGGGGAAAACCAATCCCCCATCAAAATTAAAAACCATGTCGATGACCACCAATGAAAGTGTCATACCTCCAAACTTTTTACCAACTAGTCTCTTGAAACTCACACTGTATCTGTATCAAGACAATCCGGCACTGGATCCTTGGACCATACCTTATGGAGTTGAAAAGTTAAGGCTACTTTGTTTCCAAGCCACAATAACGCCCATTTTCATACCAGAAACTGTTATCGATTTGACTGCTGACGTTGACAACACTGACAATGCCATCTTCCCAAGCAAACTAGTTAAATTCACAACTACCACCAGTTTCAATTCCCCCTATACATACCCACCAACCTTGCGTAAATTGGTTTACAAAAGAGGTGATGATCCTCCACCAGTAATCTATTTACCAACATCACTTGAAAAATTCTCATGTCCAATCACTAGAATTGATGAATCTTCATCAGTGTTTGTACTTCCATCGACCATGGTCATCAACAATGATAATAGTCCATCAGTAAACAACCAACCATATTTATTTCCCTCCCGTCTCAAGAAATTGACTATTACAAGGGAATATGAAACCTACAAGGATGATTTCAGTATACGTATCGACCAAATCATCAATTGCTCAAATGTAGAACATCTAGTATTTCATCATTCTGAAAATCATCATGGATACTTTAGATTGGATCTTTATATTAGAAGATTAGATAATGGTGATGTAATGATAAACTCTGGTGACTTATTTTTTGGTGGTATCTATAGACAACAAAAGAGAATGGATTTCAATTGCGCTCTTGATTTCCGGGCAATCTATTTGAATTTTAAAACAAGAGGAAATCATTACAATATTTATCCAAGTCATAACACAATTGTAAATCAAAAATAAAAATAAATTCATCAACCATAAATGAAAATGATATTAATTAAACTTAGCATAAGGTGGTGAAAAAATATTATATTAGTAGTTTCCACATTTATTATCTACATAAATATTTATGTATTGATACAGTTTTTAATCAATCATCATTCACATTAGTACAACCACTATTATAGTATACTATGTGATCTATTTATGGTAAAGGGGGGTTCATTGCAAAACATTAATTTAACTATAAGAGTGAGTGATTAGATTAGAGTGTTGCACTGAAATAATCTTCTCTTTTAATTTATCCAATTTTTTTTTTTTATGCTAAAAAGTATTAACGATAAATCTCTAGTTTTGTCTTCATCCTCATCTTAATCATTCTCTACATCATCTTCATCTTCATCCTCTTCATCATCTTTATCTTTATCTCTATCACCTAGAGGAGGATTATCAAATCTAACTCTACTCAAGATCATCAATGACTTAGAATACAATCAAGATATAGTATGTCTGTTGATGACTTGTAAAGCATATTATAGAGAGTTTATGAAACAATATGCAAAGGTTATTACTTTTAAGGGTATCAAAGGTCATGCAAGTCATCATCGATCATGGTCTATTGACAAGTTTATAATCAGTTCACAAATGAAACCTTTTAAAGAGATTTACACTTCATCATCACTAGAAACAACAACAACAAAAGTACCACGCACTACAGTAACGATCACTGGTTCAATTACAAGAGAGTTGATCATCAAAGCTGTGGAAGATTCTACCAAACTAAAAAATATAGATTTGTATGAATTCACAGGTGACATTAAAGACGTTCTATTCCCATCCATCATAACCATGTCAATTGATATCGAATCGGTCCTTCCACGTTTTCCAACCATCTCTCAATGGAGCTGTTGTAATCTTACGCAATTATCGATTAGTTCAGGAGTAGTACTGCCAGCCGACCTCCAATTCCCACCATCACTGACAGAATTACACATCAATTACAGTTGTAGTGATACATTTTCTATTGATTTGGAAAACTTGATGTTTCTAAATGACCTTAGTATTTTCTCCTTCAGTGGTGCCACTCTAATCCCAGTCACCAATATTCATCTTCCCAATCCCAACAATTCGCTTGAACTCACCATCCTCTACCTTTCAATACCTCTCAACCCAACGACCATGACACAGTCATTCTTTCCACCAAACCTTCAAGATCTCACCATGGATTTCCAATTCTTTGGTAATACCAAACCTCCACCAACAGTCACAAAGATGGACATGGAAACGAACAAGAGAATCCCAAAAGACTTTTTTCCAAAAGGTCTTTTGGATCTATCGTTGGTTCTACTTGGTGGAAGCAGCCTGGATCCGGGGGTGCTTCCCCAAGGACTCAAAAAACTATATATGAATGACCGGTGTTGTAAAATATTACCAGAGTATATACCAGACACTGTTGTAGATCTGTGGGTCAACGTTGCCAACTCTCGAAAAGCCCTCTTTCCAAGTGGACTAGTCAAATTTAAAACGTCAACCAATTACAACTCTCCTTTCAACTATCCACCGACAATGCGTGAAATGTCCTTTCGTAAAAGTCGTCATCCACCACCAATCATCTATTTACCAACATCACTCGATACCCTCTCTTGCTCAATCTCTAGAATCAATGATACATTAGTATTTGTATTTCCAACAACCAAAGTAATCAACAATGATAATAGTTCACCAACCGATAATCCTCCTCATTTTATATTACCATATCGACTCAAAAAGATAGAAGTTGCATTGGATGAAGTCAAAGATAATTATTCTTTCAAAAATGATTTCAGTTTTAGAATAGACCAAATTATCAATTGTTCAAATGTCTAGCATTTAGTGATTGGATTTTGTTTGGATATTTATATTAGAAGATTAGATAATGGAGATGTAATGATAAACTCTGGTGATACATTTTTTGGTGGAATCTATAGGCAAAGGAGAATCGAAAATATAATCAGTATTGAAAATAGAAGTTTAATAGATTTTCCAGCACTTTATTTAAATTTTAAAACAACAAAAGGAAATCATTTCAATCTATATCCTAGTAATACTCCAATTAAATCAAAAAAATAAATAATTATTTATTTTGTAAAAAAAATAATTTGTAATTTGGGGTTAGGGTTGTGGGTTGGAGAAAAAATATTTATTCTTTCTCATAGATATGATTAAAATAATATTTTTTCAATGGAAGGTGAATTTAATAATTTAAATAAATCATATATTTGTTGCCTTTTTTTTTTAAACATTTTAAAAAATGAAAAAAAGTAAATATCTATCTTCATCTTCACCTTCTTCATCATCCTCTTCATCTCTTATATCTCCAATACCAAAAGGAGGACTATCAGATTTAATATTACTCAAGATCATCAATGATTTAGAATGCAATCAAGATATTGTATGTCTGTTGATGACATGTAAAGCATATTATAGAGAATTTATGAAACAATATGAAAAAGTTATTACTTTTAAAGTTAGTGAACCATTTGAAGGATTTTGGTCAAGTGAAAAGTTTATAATCAGTTCTCAAATGAAACCATTTAAAGAGATATACAATACATCCCTAGAGGCATCAAACACAAACAACATCTCTGAATCAAATACAACCACCACATTAACAGTGACACATACTTCGACCAAAGAATCCATACTTGAAATCGTGGGTGACCCTATCCATTTGGAAGAGTTAACTTTGATTTTCAAGGTGACATACCCGACATTTTAGCTTTGTTCTCTTCTATAGACTCCTTGAAAATAGAATTCATGTCGATCATCCCACCATCTTTTCCAAACATCACTCAATGGCCTTGTACTCTGACATCTTTGTACATCGAATCTCCAACAGTCCTACCAGTCGGTATTCAATTCCCAGTCACTCTCACATCATTGATTATCGCTTATTTCCATTTTAGTGGAACATTTTCTCTGGACTTGTCCAACTTGATAGTTCTTGCAGATCTAGATGTGAGAAGTCCGACCACCTCTTCTGATCTCATTCCAGCCACCAATATTCGCTTTCCCAATCCAAGCTCATCTCTCACCAGTCTCAACCTTTGTATTCCTCTTGACACAACCACCATGACGCAATCCTTCTTTCCAACAAACCTTCAAGTTCTCAGAATGGGTTTAAAGTACTTTGGTAGTACCAAACCTCCACCAACTGTGACAAGGATGGATATACGGTGTGACGTTAAAATACCAAACAACTTTTTCCCACCTAGTCTCTTGGAATTAACAATTGTTCTCGTTCATGAAGCCACACTGGATCCTTGGATGCTTAAACAAGGGCTTAAATACTTACATATCAGAAGTGACAAAGCTTTCTCCATAACACCAGAAATTATACCAGACTCTGTTACTTTTCTGTCGATCAATGTTGATAGCCCTAATCAAGCTGTATTCCCAAGCAAATTAGAAGTACTTTCAACAACGATCAATTTCACTTCACCTAGTAATTACCCACCAACATTACGTGAATTGGTTTCTTGTAAAAGTAGTCATCCACCACCAATCATCTACTTACCAACATCACTAGAAGAGGTTTGTTGGTTATTGGTTAAAATCAAAGATACAAACATTTATACACTTCCAACAACAATGATAATCAATAATGATAATAGTTCACCAACCGACAACCCTCCTCATTTTATCCTACCATACCGTTTAAAAAACCTATTAGTTTTAAAATTGGGTGATTTCAAAAAGGACTTCAGTATACGAATAGATCAAATCATCAATTGTTCAAATGTAGAACATTTAGTGGTTGGATCGAGATTTAATCTTAACATTCGAAGATTAGATAATGGAGATGTAATGCTCAACTGTGGTGATACATTTTTTGGTGGTATTTATCGACAACAACGTAGAATGGAAAACATTAGTATTGAAAATAGAAGTGCACTAGATTTCCGTGCACTCTATTTAAATTTTAAAGTAAAAGGAAATCATATTTATATTTATCCAAGCAATACTCCAATTGAAAATAAATAAATAAATAAAAAACAAGATAATCTCTGATGACTGATACTTAATTTCTAATTAAATTAAAAATAGTAAATATATTTCTTAAAATGGAAAGGTTAATATATCTTTTTCCATTCATTTCCTATTTTATAAATTTGTGGTGGTTGTGGGGTGAATAGTTACAATCGTAATAATCGTTCATTATCAAAAATACAACCATTTATACTCTTCCAACAACCAAAGTAATCAATAATGATAATAGTCCACTAATTGACAATCCTCTTCATTTTATATTACCATATCGTCTCAAGATGCTCCAACTTTCAATGGAAAAACAGAAAAAATATTTTAGTATTAGAATAGATCAAATCATCAATTGTTCAAATGTTGAACTTTTAAAATTTAAATTACATTTGAATTTGAATATTCATATTAGAAGGTTAGATAATGGAGATGTATTGATAAACTCTGGTGACCCATTTTTTGGTGGAATCTATCGACAACAAAGAATGAACAATATCAGCATTGAAAATAGATGTCCATTAGATTTCCCAGCACTCTATTTGAATTTTAAAACAAAAGAAAATCATATCTATGTTTATCCAAGTAATAATCATAATATTATTGAAAACAAATTAACTTTCTAAATAAAAATAAAAATAAAACAAAAACTTGCAAGGACAACTCTTTTGATCAGCTCCTCTTTCTATATTTTTATTATTTTTATTATTATAATTATTTGAAGAGGAGATAAGGAGAACAATGAATGAACGAACAGTCATACTTCATCTTCATATGTATATATATAAATGACATTGATATATACAAATATATAATCAAATAGATAAATTATAATGAATGAAAAGTCATCTACTCCATCATCTTCATCTTCTTCATCATCTTTCTCATTATCACCAAAAGGAGGATTATCAGATTTAACAATACTAAAGATCATCACTCACATTGAATACAATCAAGATATAGTATGTCTGTTGATGACTTGTAAAGCATATTATAAAGAGTTTATGAAACAATATGCAAAGGTTATTACTTTTAAAGATATCGACCCAACTTCGATCGCGAGTCCATCAGAAATGACAATGATCGGGTCTTCTATGAAACCATTTAAAGAGATTTACAATTCATCACTTGTCGCTTTACAAAATACAGACGACGATGACCAAGACTTTATAACTCTCACCAAAACATCAACAAAAGAGGATATAAAAGAAATAAAGAATCCTACCAAATTTTATCTGCAAGAATACCAAGGTGAAATCAAAGATGTTCTACTACCATCCGTCAATACTATAGTTATAGAAATCAGGCCAGTCATACCACCATTTCCAACAATCTCTGAATGGTCATCTTGTGCAACTCTTACAAAATTGTCAATCCGTTCACACCGAGTACTCCCAATCGGCCTTCAATTTCCAGCCACCCTAACCGAATTGGACATCAATTACTATTGTAGGGATTTTTTTACTCTGGATTTGACCAATTTAAAATCTCTCACCGATTTAAATGTTGATACTAACCGTCAAGATCTCGTACCAGCCACCGATATTCTCCTTCCCAATCCCAACACGTCACTCACCACACTCACCCTTGTCGTTCATCTTGACCCATCCACAATGAAACAATCGTTCTTTCCAACAAACCTCAAAGAAATTGACATGAAATACGAGTCGTTTGGTAAAACAAAACCACCACCAACCGTTCAAAAGATGACCATATCCACTAAAAGTAGAATACCAACCTTCTTTTATCCAAAAAGTCTCGTTGATTTATCAATACACCTTGATAATACTACTCTAGAGCCTTGGTCGCTACCTTATGGACTCAAAATACTGCTTATCACAAATTATGAATGCCCAGTATCACCAGCGTTTGTGCCAGACACTGTAGTCGATTTGTGTGTCAACGTTTCCAACCCTATCCACTCCACTTTTCCAAGGGGACTAGTCAAATTTATAACATCAACCAATTACAACTCACCTTTAAAGTATCCACCAACATTACGTAAATTGTATTTCCTTAGAGATAAATACCCTCCACCAGTCATCTACTTGCCGACATCACTATATAAATTCTCGTTTTCCATAAAAAGAAATAATGATACATTAGTATATACACTTCCAACAACCAAAGTAATCAATAATGATAATAGTACAATAACAGATAATCCCCTTCATTTTGTTTTACCACACCGTTTAAATAAGCTTGAATTTCAATTGCTAGGCGATCTCGAGACTCAAAAGGATTTCAGTATTCGAATTGACCAAATCATCAATTGTTCAAATGTTGAACATCTACATATTGATACACCATATTCTTCATTATATCTTAACATTAGACGATTAGATAATGGAGATGTAATGATAAACTCTGGTGGATCATTTTTTGGTGGCATATATAGACAACAACATGGAACGAAAAATCAAAGTCCACTAGACTACCCAGCACTCTATTTGAATTTTAAATTAAATGGAAATCACTTTAATGTTTATCCAAGTAATACTCCAATTAAATTTAATCATTAATAAATATATAGAAGATTATTTTCACATTCTCTATTTATAATGATCCAAACTAATAACAGAATATTCTTTTTTTTTTTTTTTTTACATGCAAATTTGCAGAGAGATGGTCAAAAAATTTAATCATCATTATCATTTCTACCTTTATCTTCTTCTTCACAAGTAACAACTAGAAATCTTTTAATTATTCATATAGAGAATAAATAGACATGAATAATGATAAATCATCATCTTCATCCTCTTCATCATCTTTCTCATTATCACCTCGAGGAGGATTATCAGATTTAACATTACTAAAGATCATCAATGATTTAGAAAATAATCAAGATATAGTATGTCTGTTGATGACATGTAAAGCATACTATAGAGAGTTTATGAAACAATATGCAAAGGTTATTACTTTTAAAGGTATTGAACCAAATGATGTTAGATCAGAAAAATTAATGATCAGTTCCCAGATGAGGGGATTCAAAGAGATCTACAATGCATCTCTCGAAGCATCCAAAAACCATATTGACAAATACGACGATGATGCAACTTCGATAACTATCACCAATAGATCAACTAGAGTCTATTAAAGATATAAAGAATCCTACCAAAGTGACATCTCTTTATATAAAAGAATTCAATGGTGACATAACAGACATTCTCGTTCGATTGCCATCTATCAACGATTTACAAATAGATATCAAATCTGTCGAGCCAACCTTTCCAACGATCTCTGAATGGCCTTGTACCTTGACCAAATTGAAAATCAAATCATCAAGAGCTCTCCCAACCGACCTTCAATTCCCAACCACACTGACAAAATTGAACATCGATTTCGATTTTCTGGATACATTCACTCTGGATTTGACCAATTTAATATCTCTTACAGATCTACACGTTGGAACCACGACCACATTCGAAGATCTCATCCTACCCTCCAATATTCGCTTTCCTAATCCCAGCACTTCGCTCACCCGTCTCAGCATTGAATTGTATCTTGATGATGAGTTCATGACACAATCATTTTTTCCATCAAACCTTGAATCACTCGCAATGGACCTGGAGTACTTTGGCAAAACCAAACCTCCATCAAAAGTAACAAAGATGTCCATGGAAACTGGCAACAGAATACCTGCCACCTTTTTCCCAAAGGGTCTGGTTGATCTAACACTGAGATTGGAGGATACGACTCTGGATCCATGGGTTCTCCCACAGGGTCTAGAGGTACTGCATATCAGTGGTAATAAATGTCCAGTATCACCAGAGTTTATTCCAGACTCTGTTAAGGACTTAACGGTAGATGTTTCTAATCCTAGTCAAGCAATATTCCCTAGCGGACTAGTCAAATTGACAACATCAACCAATTACAATGCTCCTTTCAACTATCCACCCACTCTTCGTGAATTGATATTCAATCGAGATAAATGTCCTCCACCAGTCATCTACTTGCCAACATCTCTTGAAGAATATACTTGTTTCGTTGTTAAAATCAAAGATAAATCAGTATATTCGCTTCCAACAACCAAAGTAATCAACAATGATAATAGTTCAATAACAGATAATCCTCTTCATTTCATACTACCACATCGTCTCAAGAAGATTAATGGAATTTTTAAAAATTTCTTTTCCAAAGATAATAGTTTCAGTTTTAGAATTGATCCAATCATCAATTGTTCAAATGTTGAACAATTAACTATCGATGCTTGTTTGGATATCTACATTAGAAGATTAGACAATGGTGATGTAATGATAAACTCTAGTGGTTCATTTTTTGGTGGAATTTATAGACAACAGAGAATATTCATGGGTAATACTCGTATTGAAAATAGAAGTGTCCTCGATTTCCCAGCACTCTATTTAAATTTTAAATCAAAAGCTAATCACTTTTATGTTTATCCAAGTAATACTGCAATCAAACCAAAATAAAAAATAGAAAAGTTTCTTCTTCCCCCTAAATATATTTATTTTTATATATAAATTTTATTTTCTGGTTTAGTGGGAATGTTACTTGGATATAAATTTACAATTCATCGATGACCATTTTTATCCAACACTATCGGTTTTATTTGACAAAGAGCTTATGGAAAAGGAACTAGCCAGTTTTATCAAAGAGTCTGATAGTATCCCAGAAAAATCGACACGGTACTATCCAAAAGAAATGGTTTCAACATCTTTAGATAAACAAAAAAAAGATGAAGATGAAGAAGAAGAAGACGATGATGGCGATGATGAAGAAGAAGAAGAAGAAGACTGGTTAAACTATCAAAAAAGTGACATTATTGATTGGCACCATCACAATGTGAATTCATTCAAACAAGATAAATCACCAGTTCTACATATCAAAATGAAAATAGAGGTGGTTGATTTTATTCATCGAAACAGAACGGAATCCTTTTCAGCTAAAGACTTGGAAAAAATTCATAATATTAACATACTCAGATATCTTCAACATTATCGTCCAGATCTTGTAATAGGATCATCTCTTTTTGATCGTTCAATCATAAATCAAAAATACGAGGTCAGAAACCACTTGTTATTTTCTTTTGATGACATCACCTGCACTTCCAGAGCATACAACACACTTGACATCTCTCAATATCACCTGTTGTCCTCTGATCTCCAGGTTCCATTCGATTCATCACTCTACAAACCAAAACGTCGACCCTCCCTCACAGCAATCAAATTCCTCATTCATATTGGATTGGATCTAGAAAAGGCCTTTGATTTAACATGTGGCAGTGATGAAACAACCAATTTCATTTTAAAGCAAATGAAAAGAGAACACCTATCAAAGCTCCCATCAGGTTCAGATCCTTTCTTCAAGTACGATACCAAACTCATCAGCCGTTTGATGCCATCCGAATCATTTTCACAAGATATTAACATGCAAATCATCGATACTGGACTAGTCTGTGAAGTCGACGAAGAAAAACGAGATGATTTTATCCAAAAAATTTACAACAACAAGGTGAAACTTACCAAGCCAATTCTTGACTACCTATACAATAATGGTGTACCATTCAAGGAATACATAATCGATTCTCTTTTGGATATTGGAGACGAGCGACTCAATGACATTGACCCAAAGGAGTTTTTGGAAACTCATGTCCATAATTGCGCTTCCTATGAAAATACTCAACACCTTGCCACCCGTTTGCTCTCAATACAAAGGAACATTCTTTATCTCCTTGACAATGGTGCACCATTGTCAGTGTTTTCTGAATTGGACCTCAAGAAAACAAGTGACTTTAAAGTATTGCAACACAACCGACGAGATTGCTTCAAAATGGTCATCGACAAATTAAAAGAGGAAACCAAAGATATGGATATCGAAACTGGAAGAAAAACAATAGAATCGGTTGTTGATAAAATGGGTTTCGATCGTTTGGGCGAGGGTACAGAATGTTCAACCTTAATGCTTGAATATTGTTTGGAGTTGATCACCAAAGATCTTCCAAGTGGAATATTATCACAAGAAATGATGGAACAGAGATGTGCAAAATTGGTCAAACATTACCATTTCGATCTTGCACTCGTAGTATCCAAGTATTTCAATATTGGATTTGATACAATCAAGAAATACAAATTCTCTAAAATACCCTTCCAAGCTGCCATCTTTTTTGGCAACTCATTCAACTTGGCCTTTGAAGATTTCCCAATCGAATTATTGTCAAATCTTTCTCAAAAACAACAAGACTTTTTAAAAGATAAATTTCATTGTAAAAATAATTAAATAAATAATACAAGTGAACCCTGCTGTACCATTGATCATTAATGTTTTGCCATTCAGCAAGTGAATAAGGTATCGAGTGATGTAGGTAGATGACTGGTGGAGGAGGAAGAAATCGATCGAAGAGCAATTCTCGTAGGGTGCACCGGTGGATAATCAGAAGAGGTATCGTTGGGTGACGTTGTAAATTTAACGAGTTTACTTGGATAGATGGATTGTTCGGGGTTGGTAGCTTAGGCAGTAAGGGAAACAACTGAATCTGGTATATACTCTGGTGATATAGTACATTCGGAATGATTGATTGTTAGATCTCGAACCCATTTTTTTTTATCCAATCCACTGATCTTCACTCGTTCGTTTACTTTAACGATGATCATAAAAGGAGTAGATAGATTACAACTAGTATAGATATAAAAAGTAGTAGATAGGTGAAACATAATGTAGAGAGTAGTGCAACAAACAGATATACGTTTCTCAAATGAAACTTTGACAGAGACGAATGAGTATCAGTTTACTTGAACCAGTTTCTTGACTGAGTTCATTTTAAAACCCATGTGCATCGACACAACTGGATTACCTGATGGGTTTTGACAAAACAATATTCTGGTTTAAGCTAATTGTCATGGTTTCATGTATTCATCTAATTAAAACTACAAAACACCAACCATGGTTCAATCAAAAATAGAAGTGGTGTTAAAATCAATCCCATGCTTTTTTTGGATCATCCACTTCCAAACTTTTTCCAAAATAAAATAATATTATTAATATTAGTTCCATCTACCATAGTAATCAACAATGACAATAGTTCACCAACAACCAAAGTAATCAACAATGATAATAGTTCACCAAAAGATAATCCTCATTTTATATTACCATATCGTCTCAAAAAGATACGAGTTGTATATTTATATTAGAAGATTAGACAATGGTGATGTAATGATAAACTCTGGTGACTCATTTTTTGGTGGCATCTATTGACAACAGAGAATGGAAACAACAAGCATAGGTAATAGAAGTCCATTAGATTGGAAACAATTTAGAAATGCATATAATTTCCGTACACTTTATTTAAATTTTAAAGTAACGGAAATCATATCAATCTACATCCTAGTACTACTCCAATAAAAAGAATAAAACAATAAATAAATATAAATAAATAAATAAATCAATAAATAGTATAAATCTTTTTTTTTTGAACCAACAAAAAAATATATCTTCGAAGTATCCCTTTTTTTTTCAACAATTAAATGTTGCAAACTACTTTACTAGTAACTTTATCTCAAAGATGAATATCGATAAAGAAATACAACATGAACACCATCTCAAAACAAAAACAACAACAACAACAAATAATACAACTCAAACATTGGCACCTGGAGGTGGGTTATCAAACTTGCTGCTTTTAAAGATCGTTGGCTATCTAGATGACATTCAAGATATTGCATGTCTGCTGATGACTTGTAAAGCATACTACATTGCATTCAGAGTCAACTATACAAATGTAATCACCTTTAAATATGTTGAAAGAGATGACGACTATCATATCATCAAGCAATCTATGAAGCCGTTTCAAGAAATCTATAAAGCAAGCTACGATCAAAGAGGTTGGTTTAATCTTGATCGCATTATCCGCAACGAAACGGAACCACTTGATTCACCTATCGCGATGAAAGACAAACCTATACTTATTAATGCCACGGTCAATCAAAATAATATCACAAGAATACCACCAACTCGCAAACTCACCATCATGGGAAACAACATCGTCGACTGCAATGTTATCTTGTCTAAGCTTGCTGATCCAAGAATACTTGAATCTCTCGAAATAAGCAACCAACATGACAACATTGACCCGCTCCAAGTACCATCGCTAAAGTCATTAAACATATCTTTAACAACACAATACTATTATATTCAATTCCCATTGACACTAGTCGAATTGAGTCTCAAATATATTGACAATGAACGTTTTAGTTTGGACCTTTTAAAACTAGAACAGCTCACCAAACTAAAGATTGCCTCCAATTGCCCCTACTATATTCACGCAAAAGACATCAAGATACCCAAAACGTCTCTCAAACACTTGTCAATCCAATTCATTCTTTACGCCGAGTTTGAAGACTTTTTCCCAGACACTCTAGAGTCACTTGACCTTCAAGACATTAATTTTCTTGGTGATGCATTACCACCACCAAATCTTATCTCAATGTCGATTGGTAACTGTGAAAAGATACTACCAGCCAACTACTTTCCAAGCAGTCTGAAGAGTCTAAAGTTTATCTATTGTTTCAAGTCTTTTTGCGCAGGTGCACTTCCATTGGGTCTCGAAACACTGGAATTTTTCTACTATAATGGTCCAGTAACACAAGAGTACATCCCAGACACTATCACTTCACTAACAATCGACGATACCTTGAATACCTTCGTGCCGAGTGGTCTACAACACCTCACCTTTGGACCAGATTCAGATCAAGATCCCCCTATACATTATCCTTCAACGATGCGATCTATTAACTATCGAAACAGCCATCCTCAAGAACCAAAGATTATAAACTTGCCCACCTCTCTAGAGTCGTTCTCTTGCGATGCAGTATGGGTCAAAACAACAAACAAAAACTCAGAATTCCAACTTCCACCAACTATGGTCGTCAACAATGATGACAGTCCCCTATCAGGTAATCCACCTCATTATGTTTTACCTTCACGTGTCACTCACTTGACCCTCCGCGCTCAGGTGGTCAAAACAGAAAGTAAATTAAGTTTTAGATTGGATACAATCATCAATTACTCAAATGTACAAGATCTATCAATTATCATAAATAGTAAAAGAGAGATGAAATTTAAAATCAGAAGATTGGAACCAAACAGTGAATACTTTATGTTACACTCCAAGGACAGTTTTGATGGAGCAATCGTTAGACAAAAAAGATTGTGCAACAATAGTATGGTTAATAGAAGTATTCTTGAATATTATCCATTGTATATGAATATAGAGTGGACCGGCAGAGATCACAAAAATTATTCAATGACTTTGGGAAACTACCTTCCCACCAAATCATGAGACTGTTTCAAAATCTAAATTTCAGAATTTTAATAAAGGAAATCAATTCCATTTATATCAAAGTATTACTCCAATAAATTATACGACGTTTGTATTTAATAAAAATAATTATTTATTATATTTAATTAAATATCTTTTTTTTTCAAAAACATTGAGCTTGAAAAAAGAAATCAAACAATCTTCATTATTTAATTTGATCAAAAGATGGAAATCTATAAAGAAATACAACATGTACACCATCACAAAACAACAACAACAAATAATAATACAACTAAAACATTGGCACCTGGAGGTGGGTTATCAAACTTGCTACTTTTAAAGATCATTGGCTTTCTAGATGACATTCAAGATATTGCATGTCTGCTGATGACTTGTAAAGCATACTACATTGCATTCAGAATCAAATATGCAAATGTAATCACCTTTAAATATGTTAAAAGATATGGCATTATAGAGCAATCTATGAAGACTTTTCAAGAAATATTTGATGCAAGCTATGAACAAAGAGATAGGTTTATTCTTGATCGCGTTATCGATTTAGAGGACAACAAAGACGAAATGGAAACATCTGATTCACCTATCGAGATGAAAGACGAACCTATACTCATCAATGCCACTGTCAATCAAAATAATATCACAAGAATACCACCAACTCGCAAACTCACCATCACGGGGTACAACATCGTCGACTGCAATGCTATCTTGTCTAAACTTTCTCATCCAAGAATACTTGAATCTCTCGAAATAAGCAACCAACATGTGAACATTGACCCACTCCAAGTACCATCGCTCAAGGCATTATACATACATTTACAATCACAACACTGTCACATTCAATTCCCATTGATGCTAGTCGAATTGCATCTCTCGTACCTACACTATGAACGTTTTAGTTTGGACCTTTTAACACTAGAACAGCTCACCAAACTAAATATTGTATCCAAAAGCCCCTATATTCACGCAAAGGATATCAAGATACCCAAAACGTCTCTCAAACACTTGTCAATCCAATTCATTCTTTACGACGAGTTTGAAGACTTTTTCCCAGACACTCTAGAGTCGCTTGACCTTCAAGACATTTCTCTTCTTGGTGATGCATTACCACCTCCAAACCTCAAATCAATGTCGATTGGTAACTGTGAAAAGGTACCACCAGCCAACTTCTTCCCAAGTAGCCTAAAGAGTCTAAAGTTGATCTTTTCAAGTGAAAAGTCGTTTATAGCTGGTTTACTTCCATTGGGTCTTGAAACATTGGAATTAAACAACTATAATGGCCCAGTAACACTAGAGTACATCCCAGACACTGTCACTACTCTAACAATCAACAACATTGGTCACCCAATGAATACCGTTTTGCCTAGTGGTCTACAAAACTTAACATTTAGACCAGAGTCAGAACCTCCTACCATGTATCCCTCAACCATACGGTCCATTAACTATCAAAAAAGATATCAACATACACCAACTCTATTCATCTTGCCAACCTCTATAGAGTCGTTCTCTTTCGATGCGGTGGAAGCCAAGACAACATACCAAAACACAGTATTCTCACTTCCACAGATTATGATCATCAACAATGATGACAGTCCACTTGCAGATAATCCATTTCACTTTGTTTTGCCATCACGTGTCGCTCATTTGACCGCCGGCGTTCAGGTGGACAACGATAGTAAATTCAGTTTTAGATTGGATACAATCATCAATTACTCAAATGTACAAGATCTATCAATTATCATAAATAGTAAAAGAGAGATGAAATTTAAAATCAGAAGATTGGAACCAAACAATGAATACTTTATGTTACACTCCAAGGACAGTTTTGATGGAGCAATCGTTAGACAAAAAAGATTGAGCAACAATAGTATGGTTAATAGAAGTATTCTTGAATATTATCCATTGTATATGAATATAGAGTGGACTGGCAGAGATCCCAAAAATTATTCAATGACTTTGGACAACTATCCAACTCGCATCATCAAGGAACCAAAGAAAAAGATTGTTTACAAAACTTTACACAGTGAATATTAATAACATTTTATAACCTCTATTATATATTAGATATCGATTCACCTTATCATGATTTGAATAATAATAATAACGATTCACCATCATCAACATCAAATATTATTATTATTACCAATCAATAAATGCAATACATTAAATATTATATAAATCAATAGTTTTTTTTCTTCTCTAATTATTAAAATTATTAATAGTATCGAATTTATCAATTTCTAGATTCGAGGAATGGATGGACTGTAATTCAAAAGAGATATTTAGGAAAGAACATATCTAACTTTCGACCTGAAATTTGACTATCGAACAAATAAATATCTCCCAAATTTCTCGTGTTCGACCTCGTCTTAAAGAGACAAACTCAGTTTTGAACCGGTTTAATCATTTATTGTTATACAAGAAGAACAATAACATGCACACAATTCTTAAATCCTTCTTCTTTGTATTATTACTATCTATTATTTTAGTTAGTTTTACTCATGCCTCTGCTGCTCTAGAGACACCTCTCGAAACCAACTGTAGATCTTACAGAACCCCAAAATCTTGCGAAGAACACTCTCCCAAATGTAGATGGTACCAAAAAAAAAGACTCTGTGTAAAGGGTTCGGGAGAGGCTATTGAACCAGAGGTGGTGATCTTTGAACAATAAATGGAAGAATTTCTCGAGAAATATACAATCATCAAACTCCTAGGATGCGATTGGATAAAAGTCAAATCTTCTTTTTGAAGAATAAATAAACTATTGTACAATCAATAGGTTTCATCTGGAACCGGTTGCAATTTATTATTCATTTAATTAATTAATCTATTTGTATTGAAGTCTGGCAAGAAGAGAATGTAAAAAACGATTAATGCTATTGTTTTCGGTCTGCACATGTTGTTAAAAAAACAATAATAAATCAAATTCATCTTCATCTCTATTTAAATATTAAATTATAAGAAAATCATTTACATATATATCCAAGTATTACTCCAATCAAATATCAACCTACTAAACAATAAATTACAAGACTTTTGTATTTATTAAAAAATATGCCATCTAAAACTTTCTTTGTCTCTTTGCATCTGTTTGAGAACGAATTCGTTCTGATCGTCTTTTTACTGGAGGCGTTCTTGTATCAATGGTCGTTGGAATGCCTTGTTTACGTATTGGTTGATTGTTTTCATCTCTGGTGGGTTGGTCAAAAACAACATTGGAATAAAAGACAGCTTTTTCTCCAGAAATGGCCAAAAGTGTGTTGGCATAATTAATGGCACTCTGCTGTTCGCTTGTGAGCTCTTCTTTCTCTTTTTCTTCTTTTTCTTCTTTCTCTTCTTTCATTTCTAGTTCAGATTCAAGTCCCATTGCATTTCCAATAGCCTTTAAATTCTTGTTAAAAATATCAGCAAATTCTTGAAGTTTGGTTGAACGTGTCCAGAGTAACTTTTTAACATCTACCTTTTCATTTTCTTTAACCCTTATATTTTCCAATGCATTTGCCAAATTATTACTTGCAAAACATATCTAAATTAATATTTAATATATTAATAAAATTAATTAATTTGATTTTTTTTTTTTTTTTTTTTTTAATACTACATACAAGAAAAGCATTTGAACCTTGGTATTTATCTTTTATAGGGTTATATGTATGTAAATTACCACCTGATATGGCAATATTCCATAACCTATCTTTTTTGTCATCAAACAAGTATGCAAATTTTGAATGGTCAGAGGTTGTACCAAAGCTTTCGGCGTTTTCACTTCCAGACACACTTATCGATGTTCGACCCCAAGTAATGGTTTGTTCCATTTCATTAGAGGTGAATGTTTTGGCAAAGGTAGCCAATTGAAGCTTCTCTCGATGTTCCTTGAGCGATGTGTCTACCTTGTTTGAACCACGCCACGTACTGATCCACAACTTTTCACCTTGTCCAAGACAAGGTCTTTCTTGTAAGTTATCTTGGTTGCATGGCTCCTCTAGAATTCCCCAGACATCACTGTATTTGGAATGTATAGACACCATTCCATCTTCCTCTTGATGTCTCTTTAGGGTAGAGGTTGCAAAATAAAATGGTTGATTTTTAAATTGGAAGCATTGTTTTTCAAACTCGGTGCTGTAGTGGTCGTCTGGCCTAAACTTTAAATATTTCTTGTCATCCTCTTCAAGACCGTATGAATGGGTGTATGTGATTCCATTGCCACTCCCTCTTGCCAAAAACTTTAGGAAGAGTCCTATCATTGTGTCCTCGCCTGGTGGAGGGGGATTGTCCTCATCCTTTTCACAACTCCATTTGTCTGGCACCTTGGAATTGGCGTCGAATAGAGTAAGACAAAACAAATGTTGACCGAAAACATTCTTGTTCTCCATTGACAGGGCATAGGGGTTAATGTCCCTTTCCAAATATCTTTTCCAAGTTTACAGTGCCTTTGATTTGTTTGAATGGTTTCTCGAGATAGGGTGTAACGTCGAGTCGACATCTCTTTTGGGGTCGATGGCCGTGTCGTCAAACTCTGGCTTTTCGTCGGTATCAATCTCATGGTCGAGGTCCTCCTCTTCTGGCTCTTCACCGGGTGGCACATAAGCATCGTCGTCCTGTGGTTTAGTCTTTGTTACCAAATCACGATGGCCATTTCGAAACAAAGATGTCTGGGACATCACATTAGTGGGGAAAAAGTTATTGTGCCAACCGAGAAAGGGGAAAATGTCAGAAAACTTGTCATCGATCAGTTGATCATCCTCCATGTATGGAGATGCCCAAGTTTCATGACTCACCCGTCTCCCTTCAAAGATGGAATTGGGAAAGTTTGGCATTGAATGATGAATATAAATACCATCTTCTCCTTGTCCTTTATCCCAAGCAATAATTCCTTTTTCATGTGCATCTAAAAAAGTTAACCAAAAATAATAATAAATTTAAATATTAATAAATGATCCAACAAAAGGAAAGGAATGATATGATATGATGATGGAAGATACAATACTAATTTTAAAAGAAGATTTCATTTTCTTTGTAACTTGATCATTAAATGCAAGATAGGTAACAGTTTTGTCGATTTTAATCATAGTAGCTCCTAATGCACTATTCTTACTTCGAAGGAATCGTCCAACCTAAAAAAAGAAAGAGACTGTAAGTAAGTATACTTTTATATTATAATCATATCTATCTATATGTTCTACATACTTTAAGATCTTCTTCACCCATTAAAGAATCAAAGTAAAGATAGGTATCTGAAAAGCCACGTAGTTTGTGGATAAACCACCAATCAACGGCTACTTCATCTCCTTGAAATAATCTCTGATCTCTAATACATTGAATAGCATGTACAACTTGATGATTATTGATGACGATTGATAATATCAACAATGTGATGATGATTGATAAATATTTGTACTTTATCATCCTATCTTTCTATCTTTCTATCTCTTTTCTAAAATGATTCTTCTTGCATAGCTGTTGGTTGTTCAGTTGTGTTCGCATTGTTTAACTACAACTTGGTGAAGCCGAGATAGACACGATTGTCGTTGCATACAGGCTGTTTGCTCGTTTCATTTTGTACACGCGAAAAAAGGTAAAAGATATTTAAATGGACATCCTATCGCGATGTTCAACGAAGAGGAAAGAGATGCGAAGATTAAGATTACATCTTTATAAAAAAAAATAAATAGATTGTTATCTCTACAAAAGATAACTTGAAATAATCAAAATAAATTAATTAGTTGATTTTTTAGAATCGGTATTTTTAATGGGATTCCGATCATCTCATTTGACCAAAAAAGTTCATCAGAAGATTCATACCAACTTGATGCTCCCCACGGGTCGGGGGTCAAGAGGTATAATTTCCTTTTTCGTGCACTTGTGATTTTTGATGGTGGAAGGGATCATCCCTTTTTTTTTTCACAAAGGTAGTCCAGTCCTTGTGTGAGGGGTCTGTTTGCCAGGATTCCTCCTCCCTTTTATTTTTTTTATTTATTTTATTTTTATTTTTGGTTTGCTATAGTATCAATTTTTCTTTTATCTTGTATCTTTGTTCTTTGTTGTTGTATCATCATACAAAGTAGTCTCTTTTCATAAACTCTGCCTTTCTTTTGTTTTATTTTATTTTTCACCCCAGAAATCTAGATATTGCCACCTGAACAAAATTTCCCCTCACAACATTCTTATTGCAGCATCTTTCTTCTTCTTCTTCTTTGTACATTTTATCTCTTTTATTTATATTTATATTTATATTTCATCATCACATAGTATATACTTTATTTATTACACATTATATAGTCAAGAATATTACTAAGAACATAAATAAACATTTGAATGAAATAATAATTAAAAGATAGATATATTAGATTAGATTAGATTAGTAGTAGTATTAAACGATCGTCATTGATTGTTGTGATTGTGTAGTTTTATCATCATGGATCAACCAATAGTAGTATCTACTACCACCTTGGTATCGACTACACCATCACAACAACAACAACAACAACAACAACAAGTAGCAACAACATCAAATAACAACATAACAAGTAATACTAGTACGAGTATACCCGTGTCAGCTGTGGCGACGTCTATATCATCGTCATCGTCGTCACCTGCCTCGACACCACCAGCATCACCTGCACTAGTGTCTAAATCACCAATGTTGCTAAGCAGCAGCAGCAGTGGTAACAGCAGCACCAGTACATGGAAAGCATCATCTACACTACCTACAAGAAAGATATCGGGAGGCGACTCTGGAGGAACTATCCTCTCTCCCAACCGTAAACTTTTTTCAACTAGCAATAGTAACAGTGCAGAACAATTAATACAACAACAACAACAAAGTAATAATATATTATTATCATCACCATTCCCTTCACCATCATCTTCACCCTCACCTTTTGTAATAGATCATCTTCATCAACAACATACTGTAAATAATAAACAACAACAACAACAACAACAACAAAATGATAATAATAATAATATATCTCCACAACCTTTAAGAAAATGTAATAGTAATGAAAATGTTGGAATGGGATTAGATGGAGGAGGAGGAGGAGATAGTAGAAGTAGTAGTTTGGGTAGTAGTGGTAATGGTGGTAATAGTCCAAATACATCGACACCATCTTCACCATCACCTTCGTTACGATCTTCTATGGATGATCTATCACCACGATTCAAGAGACGATCGGCACCTGTCTCCCCTAAACTGATGCGTATGAACAAGGATGCGCTCATTCCACAGTCACCCCCACACAGTCCACCTGCTACCGACAATGGACAACGTGGCGCCACCATGACACCAGGCGACCGCAATTTATTGCCACCCGACGGCATCCTAGTCAAGGTGTGGATACCAATGGAATATACCGGCCAATTGTACCGAGTCCGCAAGTTTAGTGCCGGCAAATCATCTCAAGAAATTGTACATATACTCAACTCTCAACTGGCACCCATCTACCAGTCACCCAAAAACAAACTGTTTCTCAATAATGCCGATAAACCAATCCCTGGTAATGTCAGTCTAAAGAATTTACATTTAACTTCAACTGTATGTGTACACATATATAATAATATTAGTATTTGTTTATTTTAAATATTTATTTATATTTTTATTTATTTATTATTAGGATATATTATATTTAAGAAGAGAACCAGAATATGAATTAATAGCACCAGCATACCCACAAAAAGGGTCGTTGGTGTTGGACAAGGATATCAAGGTTGGAGAGGTATTGCAAAAGATTGAGCAATGGTTGGGACCTATCGAGGGTGTGACTGATGCCGGACCATCCAATCCACTCAGTCGTAGCAAGGGCGAATACTTTACAACCATTGATCACGGACTGATGAGTGGCGGTGCCAATGGCGGCGACGTCCAAGATTCGCCATACAAGTTACTAAAGAAATTATTTTTACCAACTAAAAGATCCGTTGGAAAGAATTCCCGAGGCTACTATCTACGTCTTTATGACCAAAAACAATTTACAAATTATGGTATAAAGATTAAAGTATGTAAAACGATTAATATATATATAAACATAAAAACTATGTATCTTTTTTTATTTACTCTTTTTTATTTTTTTAGGATACATTAATTTTTAAAAAGAAAGCAGTTAATAGAGGATTATGTGTTGATGATGCAGATGGAGGTGTAGAGATTAATGTTTTATATTCTCCACTGTCAATGTTACCACGGTATCCCGAGATTGATCCGGAAGAGGCGGCAGCAAAGGAAAAAGAAAAGGAAAAGGAAAAGGAAAAGGAGTTGTTCAAGGACTTGTTGATAAAGGTGGAGCGACTACCCATTCAGCAGTACAACAACAACAACATGTTGCATGCCGGCAGCAAGGACGACGCGTCCATCCAGACTGGCTCGCCGCACATCATCGAGGGCAATGGTTTCAAGACGGAGCGTCGTAAAGGAAAGGACAGACGAACACCGTCTAGTGTAGGACTACCCTACAATCTTGTACATAAAACACATGTAGATTTTGATTTCAAATGGACTGGCAAAAACGTCGAGGAAGCATTTGAATTCAAGGAAAAGTTGGGCCAAGGTGGCTATGGCGCCGTCTTTAAGGCGCAACATAAAGAGTCTGGGATGGTTCTGGCCGTTAAAGTATTGTCTATTACTCCTACTCGTATATCAGACATTGAAAAGGAAATTGATCTTCTCAAAAAATGTCGTTGTCCAAACGTTTTATCTTATTATGGTTCTATTTCAAAATTGGCTGAATTATGGGTAAATATAGATAGATAGATAGACATAAGAGTATATACTAACTATGTTTGATTTATTTTATAGATATTAATGGATTATTGTGCAGTTGGATCAATAAAAGATATGATGAAAACATGTTGTGATACATTGGATGAAGATCAAATTAGTTCAGTTGCCGATGGAATATTACAGGGATTGGCGTACCTACACAGTAAAGGTATTGTTCATTTGGATGTAAAGGCAGCCAATGTATTGTTGTCAGAGAGTGGACAACTCAAGATTGCCGATTTTGGTGTGTCACAACAGTTGCAGTCGTCGACTGGACAATCCAACGTGTTTATTGGGTCACCTTTGTATATGGCACCAGAGCTCATCCTCAAGGAGCCATTTAGTAACAAGGCAGATGTGTGGTCGTTGGGCATTACAATGATCGAGTTGGCCGAGGGTAGAGCCCCCAACAGAGGTCTAAAGTCAATGAACCAACTCACAGAGATTCCAAATATGCCGCCTCCCAAACTCACCAATCCAAAGGACTGGAGTCCAGTCTTTAACGATTTCATCGCCAAGTGTCTAGTCAAAGACCCCGAGCAGCGTCCATCGGTCAAGGAACTGCTTTCACATCCTTTTGTCGCCAATGCCAAACCAACCGACTCTTTGAATGGCATGATGAAACAATGTTTACAAATCAGAGATCAAAATAAAGATCAATCCGAACTATCCCATTATGATAAATAATAGGGATAGAGAGGACAGAGAGATAGAGATATCTAATATTCCTTGTATCTAAACTTTAAAGGGGGTTTTTTTTTTAAATAATATTGGGCAAACTACATTATCTTGAGTAGTAACCCCCTTGCCAAGTGTATATTGTAAATAGATTAAATATTAAATCAAAAATAAAATAAAATAAAAAATCATCAAGACAAAAAGTACAACACTGTAGTTTTTGATCAAAAAGTTTAATTTAATTTTGAAAAAGGAAAGATAGTCTTTGTAGTTGTAGAGTTGCAGGAGAGATAGATACTCTTGATTAAAAGAGTTTTGTTATTATCATCATAAACTATTGAAAGATGTCATCAAAGAGTGGTACTACAACTGCCACACCTTCTAAATCATCATCAGTAACATCTACATCTTCAACAACAACAAACAACAATGAAAAGAGTAACAAAGAATTAAAAAAAGAGAAAAAGGAATTAGAAAAGATAGAAAAGGCACAAGCAAAGGAACTAAAGAAAGAGAAACGTGTCAAGGAGAAACAGGCAAAGAAAGATCTCAAAGCAGCAAAGAAACATAGACGAACAGGCAGCAACCTGTCATCTGCAGCCGATGAAGACGACTCTGACACTGACGACGGATCGTTGACGTCGTCGACCAACAATGCCGATGACCTATCTACTAGTGGGACAGGAGTGACTATCTCATTGGAGAGCAACAGAGGTATCTACTCGACACTAGACCAACAGGAAAAGACAAACATTATATCAGAGCGAGAGATCTTTAGCTCTGAATCGTTTCTGATTGCACTCTCGGATACCGATCATTTGGGACCTGCCATCAAATCAGTATTTGAAAACAACAAGGAACAAGAGGTCATCCAAACACTAGAGACCTATATCGAACAAAAGAATAGTGATATTGAAAAGATTTGTGGAGACAATCATGAAGGATTTATTAATTCGGTCACTGCCTTTTTGGCACTCAAGCAAGACAATACCTCTCTCAAACACTCGGTCATCACACTCAACGACCAACTTCAAGACAGTGGTAAACGATTCGTTGAAAAGGCTGATCAGCTATTCACATGTAAACGCGAAAAAGATAATATAAGAAAGACAAAAGAAATCATTAATAATTGTCAATACGCAATCTTGTTGGGAATGAAGATTGAAGAATATATCAAAGAGAAACGTTATTATCTTGCAATCAAAAATATGGATCAATTACATAATGTTTATTTAAAACGTTTAAAAGATTTCCAATTTGCAAGAAATATGGGTAAATATATAGAAAAATAATTAGAATATAAATAATATATATTTATATATATATATTAACTTTTTTGTTTTATTTATCTATTTATTTAGATGCAAATATACCAATATTAAAAGAAAAATTAAAAAGATTGTAAAGGATGAATTTAATCATTGGATGGTTGAAATTAAAGATCAATCATCAAAGATTGGTAGATTTGGTATGATTCAATCTGCCAAGAAATTGGAAAAGGAAAGAGAAATCAATCCTCTTAAAATCAAGACATCATTTGGTGAAAGTGAAACTACTTGGGATAATATCCTTGATATACCTGTAAATGATAATCCAAGTATTATTGGTTATTTATCAACTACTACAAATAGACAAGAAGCTTCATCACCATCTTTAATTAAAAAGGATGATTTAGGTAATGATGAAATTAGTCAAGGTAAGAAATCAAATCAAAAAGTAAATCACAAATTATTAATATTTATTCTCTTTTTAGTTTCACCATTTGATGAAGCAAAAATAGATTTCCATCCATTATATCAATGTTTATTTATTTTTTCAAATCTTGGATTATTAGAAGAATTCCAAGCATATTATACAATGAATAGATTGTTACAATTTAATTTGGTGATTCAACCAAAGGAGATTGGACAAGTATGGGAAAGTTTCTTACAACAAATAGCAGGATACTTTATGATTGAAAGTAAGGTAATGGATTCGACACACCCATACCTCTCGAAAACCACTATCAACGATTGTTGGAATACTGCATTGGTTAAAATCACCTCTCTCTTACAGGAATTGGTTACTCATTGTCATGACACTCAATCATTGATTGCATTTAAAAAGTTTGTTTTGGTTTTCACCAATACTCTTTCTTTTTATTCGTATCATGTTCAACCATTATTCTATCTATTAGAGACTATGAAGGAAAAGTATTGTCAATTTGCCATCAAGGAAGGTGTCGATTTGTTTACACGTATATTGGAAAACGAATCAAATATCAATCTATATATCGAGACGAAACAAGATTACGACACACTCATCAAATCAAACAATTTGGACAAAATCTATGGTTCCGATCAAGAATCATCTGAACAAAAAGAAAAATCAAAAGAAAAGGAATTATTATTAAATACCAATACTAGTAATACTACAAGTCCTCTATTTGATCCAATTTCAAATCTAAATAATGATATTGAAGTTTTGTATGTAAACAAAAAACAAAACAAAACAAAAATAATTATATTAATATTTATTAATAATTGTTTCTTTTTTATTATTTAGATTACCAAAATCATTTGAATTTTCAAAATTGGTACCACAATTTTATACTTTGATTAAAAAGTTTATATCAGAGTTTTACGAATTTGCAGATCAATTGACAGAGAATGAAAACTTTATTATTAGATCGACCGATACATTGATCAAAAAGATCAATGAAGTATTACATAACCACCTCACCCTATCACAAGCAGTGCCACAGGTTTGTCAATTGGTGATCAACCTTCACCACCTATTGCATGCATGCAACTTTTTCAAAGACTATCTCAATTCTCTTATTCTTGGTGATAATAAGGGAGGCATTGAAAACCTTTCACAAAATGTCAAAGTTACTCTTTCCTCTTCCAACCAAATCTATACTACCAAGGGTATTGGAGAGAAATTAATCATCAAACTTTGTGAAAAAAATATTGATGATTTAATGTCATCTTCTGCTAATATTAATTGGGCTCCAAATGCTTCAGATGATAGACCAAGAGAATATGTTGATGGTAAAAAACAAAAAAAAAAAAAAAAAAAGAAAAAACAAATATTTATTTATTTATTTATTTATTTCTTTATTTCTTCTTTTATTATTTTTAGATGTTTGTATATTTTTAGATGTTACTATACCATTTGTATTACCATTATCTCCAACATTGAGAGAAGAATTTATGACAAAGTCATTTAAAAAGATTTCTGAAACTTTATATGTATGAAATGAAATAAGATAATTAAAATGTTATCAATTCAGACTTTTAATTTTTCTTTCCTCTTTTTAGAATATATTATTTAGTGAATCAATTAAAAGAATTAATTTAATTGGTGTAAAATGGTTTAATACAGATTTAAAGAGAATTGAAGAATTTGCAAAGATTAAAGCAAGTGAAAAGGAAAGAAACACGACATCTAGTAGAAATATTGTTGGTTATTTCTATGAAATCAGACAAGTTGTCAATCTCTTATTGTCAGACAACCCAGAAGAATTTGCAGATCCCAAAACAAAATCTAGAAATTATAATCTTATCACCAACATTCCACAAATCATTGCACTCTTTCAAAAATACAAAGAAGAATCAAGTCTTTTTGGTCAAACATCTGGTAACCAAAGAAATACAAAGATTTCAAATGCAATTAAAAAGTTTAAGGAAATGCAATAAATGGATGAATGTTATTAATAGATAGATGGATGTGATACAAGAAAATCAAAACAACGTTCACATCACTTTATATAAAATCACACAACTGTAATAGTATCTCTTTTTGTATTTATATAAATCTTTCTTTCTTTCTTTTTACCCAACCCACAACATAAAATATGGCCGACGTATCAAACGCTGAATTAGACAACAAACCAAACAAGACTTGTTCTTTTTATTTTTTAGTTGCTAAACTGTACAGATAAAAGTCAATAATAGTTATTATTATTACTAAAGTAAAAGAATGGAGAATCAAAACCCCGGAGAATGGCAAAAATCGATGAACCGTTTGATGGTTGCACGTAATTCTGGTTTTGTCCCTGATACAGCTGAATTTGAAGCAAGAAGGAAAGAGATTCTTGATAAAGCTACCAAAACAAACCTACCCCAAACCACACAAGAAGGCAAGTACACAACACCATCACAAAGTGCAAATCGTTCATTTTCCAACCTTTTTTTTTATGCTCTTCTTCAACCAATCATCAATGCCCATCCAATCTACAATGTATGTATAAAACAATAAATCACATCAAGTACATTCACTAATCACCTTAGTTCAGTTAAAGAATTTGCTGAAATTTTTGATAGGGAGTATGCAAAGAGAAAGAGAGAGGAGGTGTTGGTGTACGAGAAAATCAACGATGTTCAACTTGAATTACAAGCATTGGATCTCAGTCACGAACAACAAACTTGACCGTTTTGATTTGTTGGATGTGGCCCAAAATGGCAACCAAAAAAAGATTCCTTATGATGGAAAAAGACTCAACCTCAACATCCTCAGCCACTGATGCCAATAACAATAATAAATAATTTACCAACTCTTTCTCTTGTTGGTAGTACTTGTCCAATTAATTGTGATTGACGATGATTATTATTATATGTAATTTAAAGAAATCTATTCTTTGTCAAACCCAACCCACTTGATAAAAGAATAGAATAATGCGTTTGGTTAGAATAAATAATAATAATAAGTGAAAACTTGATCGATACATACGAGGAAAAGGATAATCTGTGCCAAGTGATTTGGATTTATCTCTGACTCTGTGTTGCAGTAATGCAACCTTTACATCTCTCGAAAAAGTCATCCTGATAAAATATTTTACAACATGAGCTCCACACATGACCCTTCAAATTAAAAGATTAAATAATGGTTACAAGATTTAGATAAATCTTTTCAAAAATCTTTATAACATCTAATTAATTAAAAAGGTTTAATAATAAAAAACAAATAATAATTTGTAAAAATATAATGTAACATTATTTTTGGTATATGCAACCTTAAAGTTGTGCAAATGGGTTAGTGTTGTTCCAACGATTGAATTAGTGATATATATCGAGAAAGTCAGTTTAGTTTTCTTTCCAAAAGGCCAGAGTCTCTTTCTTATGATGCTTTTATTTCTCTTCCTAAAGCAAGTTCAACTCTTTCATCTATTTGCTTGATTTCTTTTGGATAGGCTTTTTTAAATCCAATTCGTTAATCTTCAAGTCCATCCTATCTCTGTGTGTGTATCTATCTATCATGTGTCTGCTCTAAAGCAAGTTCAGCTCTTTCAGATAAAAACATCTGTCAAGCCAACCCTAACAAGTTCAAAAAAAATATCAATAAACATCCCACCCACCTTTGCAAAAGCCAATGAAAAAAAATTTTCAAATTGGGAGAATGAAAAAAAACAAAAAATAAAAAACACACATTCCCCTCTCACCTAACAACAAAATTCATAATCACTTTATATAAAACCACACAACTTGTAATAGTATCTCTTTTTTGTATTTATATAAATCTATCTTTCTTTCTATATAACCAACCCACAACATAAAATATGGCCGACGTATCAAACCCAGAATTAGGTGAAGCTTACAGAGAAGTCCTTGCTGATGGCAATGACACCAACTGGACCCTCTTTGGTTATGAAGGTAACTCTACCATCGTCCTCCAAGGAAAGGGATCTGGCGGTCTTGAAGAGCTCAAGTCCAACCTCCACGACGATCAAGTCCAATTCGGTTACTTGCGTGTTACCTCTGGTGACTCTGAGTCCAAGCGTGCCAAGTTTGTCCTCATCTCCTGGTGTGGTGAAAAGGTTGGCCCACTCAAGCGTGCTAAGTTGTCCGTCCACAAGGCCTCTGTCAAGAAGGTCATCCTCAACTTTGCCGTCGAAGTCCACGCTGAAAAGCAAGAAGAATTAGACGAAGACGAAATCAACACCAAGGTCCGTAAGGCTTCCGGTGCTGACTACAGTGGTAGCCTCGCCAACTAAACAGAGAAAAAAAAGATCTATATATAGTTGCAACAAAAAGGTGTAAAACTACAAAACAAAAAATAATAATAAAACAATAAATCTGTATTATTTATTTATATATATAAAATGTAATCAAAAAACAAATCAATCAAACAATCAAACAAATCTTAAAACTATTGTCTTTGTATTTTATCAACAACATCAAAGTTTGAATATAGTATATGATCATTGTGTGTGTCAGTGGAGAAACATTGCAATGTCTCTATGTTTATAATATTATTACAATCGTTTATATTTATTATTTATTTGTTTGGGTTTGATCAATGATTATACATTTAGGTTTATGGATGAACAGCAGGGGAGACTGGACCAATGTATTGTCTTGGTGGATTTGGCATGATGTTCTTTTGTCTCATGTATTTCTAAAAGTAGAAAAAGAGGTAATTAATACAATGACTATGTCTATGTCTATGTGTGTGTTATACATACGATAAATTGCTTTGGAATTTCCTTTAGTGTTTCCTTGGCAACATTACCCTTGGCAACAGTCTCTTCAAATGGAACAAATTGAACAATATCTCTGAAGAGATTGTTTTTAATCTTGTCACCATCCAATTCTTCCATTGACTTGAAGTCACTTCCCTTTCCAACACCAACACTATAGGTTAATAAATAAATAAATAGAATGAGATGAGATGATTAATAAAACTGTGTGATTTGAATAAAAGGATTATAGTACTAGTATTCGCATGATTTCTTTCTTACATGACAACAGATAATGGTAAATTAGAACCAGTTAAGAGTTTGTTTTTGGTTTCAGTCATGTCACTGATATCACCATCGGTGATAATCAAAAGAATGGTATACTTTTGGTGAGTTGGGTTGAGGAGACCTTCTTGAGCGGTTTGGAGTGATCTTTCAATAACGTCGGCAAAGTTGGTTGGATAGGAGAGACTGATCTTACCAATATTTTGACGATAGATTTGGTGGAGATCAAATACACCGTTGCCTTCCAAACGACCACCTTGGACATCGAATGGGAAACAGTGAGAGGTGACAGAATTGACAGCACCACCGTATCCATAGATTGGAATCAAGTTGTCAGTGTCATAGGGAGCCAACACCTTACCAATCTCCAAGATGGATTGTTCGTATTGGTTAAAGGAACCTTGACCGAGTGTAGCATTGGCATTATTATCAATACGATGCAAGTTACCGGTAGAGTTGGATGCAGTACAGTCGATAGCAACCATCAAACCAATTTCACAACCACCATTGATATAGTCCAAAATCGAGTGTGGGAAACGTGTCTTTACAGTCAATCCATTAAAGAATGCAACACCACTGTTCTTGTACCCAGACTTTGATGTCTTTTTTGGATTAATAATTGGGAATCCTGAATCTTTTGCTGGTGATAATAATACTTCCATTGTTGTCTTTAAAAGAAAAAAAAGAAAAAAAAAAATTAATATCTTTGAAAAATAAATAATATATATTTCTATTTCTTTGTTTCTATTTCCTTTTGTTTCTTTACATACAGTAAAAGTACCAATTAAATCATGAGCAGAGTTCTTATCCCAATCATAAAATTCAAATTTGATTGGACGTTGGAAATTGGCTCCACAAAGTTCATCGGTTGAGAATTTAGCAGTCTCAAAGAATGGATCCAAGTTTTCCATGATAACCTTGCTTTTATAGACTTCGGTCCAAGTAGCATTATCTTCATTGATTCTTAAAATCTTAAAGTATGGATCCGATTTACCAAATAAATCTTTTTTATCCAAACTAAATAAATTAAAAAAAAATATTAATAAAAGAGATATATATATTCATATGATTTGACATACTTTTTACAAGATAAAGCAAAAGTAATCTTTTGACCAGTCTTTTGGAAGAATTCAGCACGGATATCAATCATACCACTGAAACTACCAGCTGGAGTGTTGAGGTTGGCTTCAAGACGACGACCTGGAGCAGAGACGATTTGTCCGAGTGCAATATTGGCAGTACCGATAGTATCGTGCTTTGAGAGCTCCTTGTAAGCCTTTTTAGTATCACCATCGACATCGACCACTACAAATGACAATGTTTGAACAAATTCAAAGTAATAATCAACCTTTACAGTCTTTGTAAAGGTTGGGTTAAGGTTATTCTTGATCTTTTCAGTTTGACCTACTAATTCCCATTGGTCTGGTCCAACATTTTGATAAACTAATACTTGTGGATCTAGAAGAGTAAAGAAATAAAAAGAAAAGAAAAACAAATAATGAGTGATTAGTATGAGTGTATGAGTGTTTATCGATTCATGTGACGATCGACCCCCACCCCCCCCTCACCTGTCACATGATGCTTTATAGAGTAAGTATATACCTGATTTTGATAAAACATCCTTGTTTGCAAGATTTCTACAATTGAATGATAATTCAACGTACAGACGACTCTTTGTGGTTTGCATGATTATTTGTAGATATCTAAGTTAATTTAAAATGATGGTGAGTTGATTGTTGTTGCATCAACCACCCTTATATTTCATCGTGAATAAAAATATCTAATTTTTTGTTTTGGCAGCGGGATCACTTTTTTTTCTCTTTATCGTTGAACGGTTTTGAGCTTGGTTGCTCCTCATAGTTTCCGACACGACTTTATGATCATTGGACACCAACAATCAGAAAATATCGATGTCTCTGACTTGCAAGAATACTAATATATCTTCATATTTAATTTAATTTAATAAATTATTATTATTGTCACGATGAAAAATAAATGAACAAATTGCAATCCATTATTATATCTGTTTTCAAAAAATGTACATTTAAAAAAGTGCAAAGATAATCAGGTCACTCAGCATATTTGAAAAGATCATCCTTCATTTTATTTTATTTTCTTGACTTGAATTAGTCTCTAAATAATATTCATTGTAAAGGTCAACAGAAAATTCTTTTCAGATGTCTGATGTTCGATAGAACGCAATGGAACGATGAACAACTCTATTTTCATCACTGGGAGGGGTATCATCATCATATAAATGGGGTAGAGACATTAATGTTCATCTAGAGATTTTTGTTTTTTTTTCGTATTCATTGTCTGACACCTTGTCTGTTCACTCACATCATCATCTATTTTCATTAATTATTCATAGATATATAATAATAATAATAATAGATAATAAGAATGAGACTTTATTTAGTTTTATTCATAGTATTAGCAATATTTGCTGTATTGTTGATAGAACCAACTCAATCAAAATATCATCAAGAATTGGGTTGGGAAAAGATAAAGATCAATCCAAATCATTTAGTATATAACCAACATAGAAAGAATGCTATCAATGTAGAGGATGACGATCATGAATTGACATTCCGTGTATTCCTAAAGCAAAGCAATGTAGATGCATTGGATGCACATGTCAGAATGGTGTCTGACCCCAAATCACCATACTATACTGACTATTGGTCGATTGAAGAGGTCACCTCCTTTATTCAACCATCACAAAAGACATTTAATGCCGTCGATGCTTGGATCAACAAGCATAACCCAATCAGCACCACCTACCACGCCAACAGAGACAGTGTGCTCGTCAAGATGACCAAAAAGAACGTCGAAAAGATGTTTGCTGTCAGAATGGAAAAGTATGTCCACAAGACTGCCCTCCAACACGGTGCCATCTATCGTTCAGCAGTTGACCCCATCCTCCCAGGATTTGTCGAAAGTCATGTTGACCTCATCACAGGTATCTCTCATTTCCCAGTCGTCCAAAACAAGAAACGTGTTGCAAACAAGGCTGGTACTCAGTTGCCACCACCATTCTTGGTCGATGATGAAGATATGTTGGCTTCCTCTGGCAGTTCATCAGACGCTCCACAAGGATTGAATATTGTCGGTATCAAGGGATACGGAAATAATTTAAAGGTTATTTTCAACCCATCGTGTTCACCAAGCTGTAAGCCAGGCAAGACACTTCCAATCACTGTCACCACTCAGATTGTCACCCAAAACAACAATTACTTTAACCCTACCAGCAGTCAATACCAAGTTACTCCAAACTGCACGGTTGCCAACAATGTCTACACTTGTTTTGCCTTTGTACCATCGCCACTCAACATCCCCATCACCGTGTCCATCACGGATAGCACCGATGCCCAATCGGTATGGCCATACCAATTCGTGTCGACACCCATCGTGTTGCCACAAGTCATCAAGCAATTGTACGGTATCCCAACCAACTACATTGTCACTAATCAATCGGCCACTCAATGTGTCGTCGAGTTTGAACAACAATACTATTCACCAACCGACCTCAACATCTTTTTCGAGCAAATGGGTTTGCCAAGCATTGGCAACCTCGTCAATGTCACTGGTTACAATGACGTTACCAACCCAGGTGTTGAAGCATCCCTCGATATTCAATACTTGATGGGTATCTCTACCGGTGCTCCAACCGTTTTCTGGTCCATCTATACCAACAGCTCTGCCGAAATTGATGATATCTTGACATGGGAACTCTCAATCAACGCCGATCCCAACCCACCTATTGTCAACTCGCTCTCGTACGGTATGACTGAAGGAAACGTCGACTATTACCTCGGCCAAGGTTATCTTGTCCGTTCGGATATTGAATTTGCCAAGCTTGCTCTCCGTGGTATCACAGTCATCATTGCCTGTGGTGATGCTGGTGCCAGCGATTTGGGTGGACCTCCAATGTCTGCTTCTGATTGCAAGGTTCTCCATGCCGATTGGCCAAGTCAAAGCCCATACGTTGTCGCTGTTGGCTCGACCTACTTCACTCCATTGGCCGAACCAGTCTGCTACCAGACTGCTGGCAACCCAGCCTCTATCGACTGTACACACAACCCAGTCGGTGAGATTTCAGTCTCTGTAGACAATGGTATGCTCTGGACCACTGGTGGTGGTATCTCCAACACCTCTTCTCGTCCATGGTACCAAGAAGCCGTTGTCAATGGTTATTTCGATGAATTGTCTGATCGTGGTCTTTTACCACCATCCTCTTTTTACAATGCTTCCGGTCGTTCATACCCTGATGTTGCCACTGTAGGTCATAACCTTTGGGTCATCAACAATGGTGAATGGCTTAGTGTTGATGGTACTAGTGCTAGTGTAAGTAAAAAAAAACAAATCTAATTTCTAAATCAAATTTGAATCTAATTTAATTTTTAATTTCCTTTTTTTTTTTTATTAGGCACCAATTTATGCAGGTTTAGTTACCATTTTAAATGATATTAGATTAAATGCTGGATTAAAACAAGTTGGTTTCATGAATCCACTTTTATATCAAATTGCAGCTGAACATCCAGAAGCTTTCTATGATGTCACTGTTGGTAACAATCGTTGTGGTGTCACTGGATTTGATCCAACTTGTTGCACATATGGTTGGAATGCTTTACCAGGTTACGATCAAACTTCAGGTCTTGGTCGTCCAAACATGGAAGTTTTAATGAAACTTATTCTTGAATATTAAATCAAATTAAAACACAAATCAAATCATTTTCTCCATTAAATTATAGTAGTTTAGTTCTAGTTTTAAAAAAAAAGAATAAATAAATAAATTTAATATTTTTAAAAATCAATTAATTTAATTAATAGAAAGGGATCTTTAATCTATTTTATTATTGTTTAATAATATGGTTCATCAAACATTGATTGCCAATCATCAATTTCTATTTCTTGTTCTGGTTCTATTATTACATTTTGAGATAATAAATAAAGTTCAATTTTCTCTATTGCTGTTAATGAATCACTATCATTATTATCATTTTCATTATTATTATCAGTTGGTTGTTGTTGACTTTGTTGTTGAAATTGTAATTGTAATTCTTTTTATATTTTAATAAATAATATCTAAATATATGATTTGAAGTGGAAGAAATTAAATTTCTAAGGGTACCATAGTCTAATTTAAATTTGTTGTGTGTCAAGAGATAATTGAGGATTGAAATGTTGGCGTATTTGTCGAGTGATTCGAGAAAGGTAGTTACTTGTTTGGTGATGACAGTCGATGATAAGAGTGTAAAAAACATATCGACGGTTGGAAGGTTACCCACTGCAAGTGCCATACCAAGCTCTGTACAACTATCCAAAGTTAGACAAGAATTATTGAATGATTTAACATCCAATTGTATTGCCCAATTGATAACATCTCTGTTTTTGTTGAGCAATACATTTTGATAGAAATATTTGGTAATAACTGTTTTCTTAAAGGCTGCCAGTGGTTTGCTTGATTGTTGTACCAGCGAGTTGTATATCAATATACAAAAGTTTAATCCACGGTATCGAACTGCAAGGTAAAAGTCGGCGGTTGACAAGACTACTTTAATGTCATTGATCATCCATTGCAAGATATCAAAACATTCGTATTTGATAATCTCTTTGATGATATCAGAACGCACTCGGTCGTTGCCAAAACAGTTTGGGTATTCCTTTCGGAATCCCTTGACCAATTCCAACGACTTGCTACGAATAATGTCAAAGAGATTGATGGATTGTCGGTATTTGTAGAGTCGATCCGAAAAGTGGTCTGGCTTGAGCGCAGAGATTGTCTTGGTGTCAGAGTTTTGTCGTTTGGCAGATTTGGCACGTGTGTATATGTACAGTGCCACATCACCTCTATCTTCACCAGTTGCAAAGTTGACCATCTTTGGCGTACATAGATGCATGTCGTCGGTCAGTTCGAGAATTTCAAAGTATCGATTGACAATGGCCAACTCGATACTCTTTTGTGAGATGGACAGTGGGTATTTCTTCATCCACGTCTTTGGAAACTTTTCATATGCATAGCGAATCATTTCGTACTCGTTGTTTAGACACGCCATATCGAGTAGCTCGAAACTTCTGTGTACGTTGTAGCTGTCGTATCCGTCACGACCCTCTTTGGTCATCTTGGCCAATGTCCAATCGACTATTTCCTTGTTACCACTTGCAAGTGCACATTCCAACGAACTAAACCAGTCTTCGCGAATCAGCTTGTTTCGTTCGGCAACAATCATGAGGTCGAGTGACCCCTGCATCGTCCAGTATGAACGCGACTTGATGTTGTGTCGTCCCTCTTTGATGACATGATTGAGACACTCTAAATCGTAGCGTACCGGTTTCTCAGTCTCTGCCTGTGACATTGGTATCTTGTAGGATGGTGGCAAGATAGACATAATCTCCTTCAACATCCCAATGTTGCCATGATGCATCACATCAGATAGACATTGTCTGAGATCGGCATCATTTCCTCCAAGGTATGCGTCGGTTGGTCTGAGTAGATACGTCAACTCTTTTGATGGTGATGCAACCAATGTTCGGTAGACACGCCATGAATGAAAGAATTGGTATTGTCCAGCCAACCCCAGCAACTCGAGAATCTCATCAAACTCTTGTCTTGATTGTCCAAATAGTCGAGGTAGATGATCCAACGCCGGAATGGTCAAGTTGATACCCTTGACACCAAAACGCTTGAGTTTAGATAGAAATAGTTGTTTATAGTTGTTTAGAAACATCCATTCTGCACTAATGTAGTCATTGTAACGATGTCGTCTTGAAAGTGTATGGTTATTAATCACCGACGATGCAACCGATGTATGAGCATTGAGATCAAAGTTTAATGAAAATGATGTAGATGATGATGAAGATGTTGTATTACTAGATTGACTTGCACCACTATTCTCGAATCTTAGAATCTTGTCATGTATCTCTTTGATTGACGGTACTATCTTTGTAAATAACAAGTATTTGTTACATATTACACTTTTTATAATTCTATCTTTACTACTCATACTAATAATACTATTACTACTAGTATTATCTGTCATTGTTATTTATATAAATATATATTTATATCATTGTGTGTATTGAATGTGTGAGTGCTTGTAATCAATGAAAATCTAATATTGGAAAAAACAAAGAATAAAGAATATATTTCTTTATTTATTTATTTATTTTTTAAAAGAGATAGATAGGATTATTAATTTACAATTGAGTAGTGAGTATAGAGATACATATATATATAAATATTAAAATATACAATTATATATTATTAATTATGATTTAGGAAAATTATTAAATTTTGAATCAATTTCTTTTAAATGTTCGATGGCAAGCTTTGGATTACTACCAAATCCTTGTAATCTATAGGATACAGGTGAAATGAAATTATACCATAACATTTTATAAAGATATGGATCTTCCTTTTGAATCTTGTCAAAGTCTGGTAGACATTTAATCTGTTTGGCAAGATCCTCTGAAAATTCTACGGTATTACCATGTGGCCATTGTTTACGTGGTCGATCTGATCTAATTCTCTGTTCTTCAGCTATACCAATGTCAAATTCCTCTTTGGTTGGATAGTCTAGACCGTCTTTACCAGTAAATACCATGGTTGCCCATCTAGATTGAAGCTCAGACAATCCGAAAAAGGGACCTTTAAAAATACCTACAAATGCAATACCACGCTTCCCTGGACAAAATACAGTCTTGTGTAATAGTACTGCTTGAAACCCATCATTGGGATCGTATTGTAAAGCATCCAACATGTCTTGATCAAAGAATGGAAAGGTCAGTTTGTACCCAGTAGATATGTAGAGATGGTCGATTTGGTCTTCGACAGACCCATCTTTAAATTTGATTGATCGTCGTCCAGTCTCTTTATCGACGATGGCATAGTCTACGTCAGAGTATTTCATCACTATCTTTCCTTGTTCGACCAATTCAACAAACCGATCAGTGATGGCTCCGTATAAGTGGTCTGTCGGTTCACCATCGACGCGTACCGACGGGATGGTCTGTTGATGCCCAAATAGTTTTGAAAAGTTAGTATACTTTGCTTTGTTTTGATCTTGTACCGTTTTATAGTGTGATCGTAACATGTGATCGCCATTGCGAGTGAAGAAGTTAATGTCTAGTGGACGGATGGGTGCTATGCCGTCCTTGGAGAATGAGCGCTTCATGTACCACGGACGGTGTCGTGTAACCATCACAATCTGTCCGACTGTCGATGCTAGGTCGACGGCAATCTCGCACCCACTGTACGATCCACCAACCATCACAATCTTTTTGTTACGTAGTGCTTCATCGGGATGTTTGTAGTGTCGCACATACGACACACCATCCTTACCAAACACACTTTCCAGTTGACCTATATTCGATGGTTGATCACATTGACTAAAATAACCCGATGCAATAATAACATAATCATACTCTTCCTTGTTGTAGATATTATTATTACTATTATTAATATTATTTTTGTTATTATTAGTCCACTCTATAGTCCACTTTTCAGTAATATTGTCTTGGTGTACTCTAGTGACAGTGCATTCAAACTTGATGCATTGAGGGTATACTTCAAAGTGAGTTGCATAGTCTTTGAGGTATGCTTGCACTTCTTTACCCGATGGGAAGAGGTCTTCAGCGGCGGGCTTTGTCTTCCACGGGTAGTCAGAGTACATGCAGCTATAGTACGACAAGTTAGTCTTCATTGAATCCCAAGTGTATCCATCCTTTTCATTCCATACACCTCCAATGTCATCATTACGTTCAAATACTGTTGGTACCAGTCCGCACTCTATAGCTGCTTTGGCTGTTGTCAACCCACTGACTCCTCCTCCAACTATACCTACACTCTTCTTCTTCTTCCTTTCATCTGATCTATCTGATGTTGTACAATTTGAATTCATAGTATATTTATTATTAATAATAATAATGTGATTAAAAAAGACAGAGTTGATAAGTTTTTAAAGCACTCCACAGACATCAACAACCGCAGCATTGTCAGGGGCATTGTCAAATGCTAATTGGCCAATGGTCGACTACCTCATCAACAATAGAACTGAGGGTTGTCCATACAATGTCATACATAACATTTTGGATGGCGATTCAACACCATCAGACAAATCAAAAGCTATCCAAATCATCGATGACCACATTCAAGATAATAGTCGTCAATATCTTGAAATTAGATCGGATACGTACAAGTATGTCAACTCTATTGAATTGGCCAGATCATTGACCCCACCAAATACGATTGACGTTGGGGAGAATGTGATAGAGGGTTATCTAAACGATCTCTTGTCTCTCGAGTATGAAGAATTCTTTCAGTTTGAAAACGTCCAACACCACTTTATCACAGTTCAATTGGATATTGTCTACTATTTAATTGTCAATGTATTGCACCACAGTTTCCTATCTTACCAACAACTAGACGATATCAGATCACAATTCAAGGATATTCAATTCATTGAAAGACAAACACCAATATTCAAATATCAATCGCAAGAAACAACAAACCCCTATCTAACAATCGATGATCAAGCATTGGACAAGTGGAATACCTTTATTGCATTCGAGATTATATTAATCGAGGTTATATCTGCAATGAAGTTGACATTAAACTTGCGAGATGGATTTACCAATGCCATATCAACCTTGATATGCACTGGATCAACGATAGTCATTCCAATTCTATTTTCAAATTATTATAAAAAGAGTATCGGTATTTGTATCGATTCAAAGGAACATCCGGAATCTTCGACTCTTTTTGATATAATTTGTAAATATGGTACATTGGGTCAAGTAAAGGCGGCACACCAAATAGTTCAAGAGTATGGAAATGACAAATTATTACAATGGTCATTGCACAAAGCCAATAGACCTCTCCTCATCACTGCAAGAGCGGCAAGTGAGGCAGCAAAAACAAACAATCTAGAGGTGTTAAAGTATTTAGACGATATTAGTGAATCTAAACTTGCTCCATTCCACTTGAAAGTCTCGAGGTTCGATTTCCAAGCAAAGACAACACGATATCTCATCTCAACAAGACCAAACAGTCTCCTTCCCCACTACTCTTATCAAAGAGTTCTCGAAACATTGGATTTGGATTTCATCAATTGGTATGACAACTTTGTGAATCAAAACCAGTCAATCATAGATCAATTTAAAATGAAGGATAAGAAGAATGGACAAAGAAATGATTATCCAATCATATTTTCAAGATATATCATTGAAAATCTATTTGAAAAGTCGAATCAAGAAATCATTAATTTATTGGAATATATCATCAACAAATACAACATTACCAACAACCTCGATAGTATCAAAGGAATATTCAAATCAGAAGATATTATTTATAATTTAATGTCAGAATGTTGTGAGAGAGGAAATTTAGAAATATTCAAATGGTTGGAACTTAATTTAAATCTATCATCACAATCAAAGATTCAACAACCACAAAGAATAGCAACAACTATATTTGATGATGCATATCTCAATGGGATGAATGATGATTTGGTTGAATATCTTATTGAAAATAGATTCGAAGGTTTTGGTCCAGAATCTTGGAAGTATGTTGGTGAGAGTGGAGATGAAAAACAATTACAATTAATGATTCGTGGAACAAATCAACAACAACACAATCAACTTTTCAATACAATAGCTAAATTCGCAATTCGAAAAGGGAATATGAAAATATTAAATCAAAATATGATTCCAAATGAAATTATTTCACTCAATTTAACAAATTGTAATATTAGACATACAATTAGACATGGAAGAGGTGATTTGTTCATTCAAATGTATCTAAAACAAGCAACAATCAATGAAATCGAATCAATTTTACAACATTCAATAAGATCAGGACACCCAAGATGCACCAAATTAATCTATCAAGAATTAATTAAACAACAAAAACAACAATCTATTCCACCATACCAACTCACTATCAAAGATCAACTATATTTAATATCCATCGAAGATATTACACTTTTAGACTATTTTATTCAACAACAAAGTTTGGATCCGAAATTGATCGATAGAAAACAATTTAGTCACATGACCCATCAATTTGGAATGATCGATCAGATGAAACGATACCTACTCGATAAAGGATTCAACAGCAAGTGGGAACCATCAACCAAAGTTCAACTCGAATCAAAGTCATTAAGATTCAACACAACAACATCCAACCGAGAAAAGTCACCTCCCAAAGAAAGAAGCATTCGACTCGTATTCGGCAATGTTTACCTTTTACGAAAGATTCTTCGAGAGACAAGGTTTACACAGTCTGGATACAGAGTTTCTATTCCAATGGATATCCGATTGGATCTTAAATGGCTACTTTCAAAAAAAGCTTACAATTGGATCAAATATCTGGTTCATCGAAAAGAACCACTTCATGTTTCTCGCAACACAACACCACAGCTTGTCAATATCAAAGATGTAGAGCTCTTTCAAGTTGTTTATGACAACTATCGATCCTCCTTTTTAATCAAACCAGGCAATGATGACCAGAGCTGTTGGAGTTCCCGATACGACTACACAGTATATAGTCTCGAACAACTATCCAAACAGGTCGATCCATATCCCTATTTCCAGGACTCCCCTCCTTTTGAAAACCGATCCTCCCTTTATAACACGCTATCGGTATTATCTGACCAAGAGGTGATTGAGAAAGAACTGTCCGATTTTATCAAAGAGTATGATCCATCTAGTATACCAAAGCAATGCGGATATCCCAAAAACTCAACATTCTGTCCAAAAGAACTGGTTTCTACATCTTTGAAGCAAAAAAATTTTTACGATTATCAAAGAAAGGACATTAGTTATTGGCACCATCACTATGTAGATTCATTCAAACAAGATATCTCAATTGATTCATTTGCTATATCTAAAGATTGGCAGGTAGTTAATTTTATCGATCGAAACAGAACTGAATCCTTTACCTCTCAAGACTTGGAACGAATTGAAGATGTCGATGTTTTCACTTATCTTCAACTTTATCGGCCAGACCTGGAAATAGAATCATCTCTTTATGATCATTCAATCATGAATAATAATGTTGGGATCAGAAACCGAATCTATTCTCATGATGACATCAACTGCACACCCAATGCATACAACACACCCCATTCCAATCAATTGGCGTTCCTATACCTCGATCTCCAGGTTCCATTCGATCCCTCACTTTTCAAACCAAGACGACCTCATTTCCCCACATCAATCAAATTCCTCATTCATATTGGATTGGATCTAGAAAAGGCCTTTCATTTAACACTAAACAGTTATGATGATAGATCTACCAATTTTATTTTAAAGCAAACGAAAAGAGAACAACTTGCAAAACTCCCATCAGGTTCAGATCCTTTCTTTAGGTACGATCCCACACTCCTTGGCTGTTTGATGCCATCCAAATCATTTTCACAAGATATCAACATTCAAATCATGGAAGAAAGGCTCAAGGAAGATCGTGATGACTTTATCTACAAATTCTACAGTGTGAAAATTAATAAGCCAATTCTTGACTACCTTTTCAATCATGGTGTACTATTCAAGAGAGACCTAATTGATTCGCTTTTGAATATTGGAGATGACGAGCGACTGAATGACATTGACCCAATGGAGTTTTCCAAACACCAAATCAGTCGTTGCGCTTCCTATGAACATACTCAAAACCTTGTCTCCCGTTTCCTCTCAATAAGCTACGCCAGAGGAGAAGGCAGTGTTTCTCTTGCAAATGTACCATTGTCAGTGTTTTCTCAATTTAACCTCGGGTTTTTTCAGAATTCTGACTTAAGATCGAGCAACCGAAGAGATTGCTTCAAATTAGTAATCGACAAATTAAAAGAAGAAACCAAAGAAATGGATTTGGAAACTGGAAAAATAACAATGGAATCTGTTGTTGATATAATGGTTATCGATCGTTTGGTAGAGTCAAACCCAGATTGTTCAACCTTAATGCTTGACTATTGTTTGGATTTGATCACTAAAGATCTTCCAAGTGGTATTCTATCACAAAAGAAAATGGAACATTGTTACTGCAAATTGGTAGAATCTCAAAGTTTCGATCTTGCACTCGTAGTATCCAAGTATTTCAATATTAGATTTGATAATATTATCAAGAAATATGAATCTAAAATACCATTTCAAGCTGCCATCTTTTTTGGCAACACATTCAACTTGACCTTTGAAGATTTCCCAATTGAATTATTGTCACACCTTTCTCTTAAACAACAAGACTTTTTAAAAGATAAATTTAATAATAATAAATAAATAAATTATGTGTTGCTCAAAAAAAAACATAGCCCCAAAAAAAAGAAATTATGGTCATCAAAGTACACATCACTTTCTTTTAGACAAAAATATATGATGTCAAGTAGTAACAGTTTTAACGAATCAATCGGTGATAGAGTACCATTGCCAGAGAGTTTAGTACAATGGATTACGACAAACAACGTTAAAGTGACTCATCCATTCTATCTTCGTGACACCAATCAACAACAACAACAACAACAATCATCATTCAGTGATCATCAAAGCAACTATACTCCTTCGCACGACCAGTATTCTAATACATACAACTATTACCAAGATCAACAACAACAGTACTACAACAATCAACAACAACAACAACAACAACAACTATATGAAAACTATGATGATTATGATTATTATCAACAAGAAGAAGAAGAAGAACAACAACAACAGTATTATTATAATAATGACGAGGATTATTATTACTATAACCAAGAAGATGAAGAATATTACTATGAAGATGAATACTATGATGAAGAAGAGGAGGAAGAAGAAGAAGAACAACCAACATATGTATTATCAGATGAACTGATAGCTATGTTTGCTAAAACTGAATTAAAGAGAAGAGGTAACTAACTAACGATCTTAGATAGATAAAAAATATAATATATAATATAATATAATCAATAATAATAATTCATTGCTAACCCAACTTTACTCAAATATCATCAATATTAAATGTATTATTAATAATTTAGCTAAACAAAAGCAAGAGGAAGCAGAGTATTTAGCAGATTCAAAGTTAGTTATTAAATCAATCAACCCTGTGGAATCTATTCCCAATCAACTCCCAATCAACTTTAAACAACAATGATCATCATCATCATCTTCAACCCATAACCAACAATTTACAAACAACTTTGCAACAATTGGGATATCTTTTTAAAAAAAAACAAAAAATAGAAACAATAGAGAACAACATTACAACTCAGTATACATATGTATACTTACTAGTCTATCTAATAATAATGATAACAAAAAAAGAAGAAATATACTTTTGGAAGATATGGAAGAATAGATATATAGTGTTAAACATTTGGAATTCAATACCAAAACTTCGAAATGGACACTTGGAAGAGTACAGACTTACATTTCAACTAGTCAAGTACAATGAATGGAATGATGCAACAGAGATGATTGATAATGGTCATTTGAACTTGTTGTTGGACAAGTTGCTGTATCGACCAAACGATCATATCAACTGGACAAACCAATCGATTCACGCACTCATTCGGTCAACATCTCCACTCAGGAATGATGTATTCAATCACATATACAAGGACTTGGCATTACGACATGACCTATTTGACTATGAAAGTTTGATAAAGGAAGCAGTGTCTAATGGTGACGCGGATATTATACGTACTCTGGTCACTCAAACGTATCCGTCAAAGTTGTCAACTACTCATGCCTACCACTGGGCAGTCTTGTATAACAAATACCACGTACTCGCGTTGCTCAAACAGCTCGATGTGCCGTTTGCCTTGAACCCCTTGTCAACACACTACCCAGGGTATGACTTTGTCGATGCTTGTACCGGATATTTGGGTGATTCAAGGTACTTTAGATGGGCACTCGAGCACCAACCTCAACTCGTACAAGACAACCTACAGTACATCCCACCAACCCAATTCTATCTAATGGGTGATGTCGAGTTGATCAACCGGTATGTTCTCAACCCCTACACACATTGTATGCCACCTCATTTGGCCAGTTCAGGCACCGACCAAGATTTCATTGGAGGACTCGATTTTGGGGCCAACCATTCAGGTGATCTTTCCCTTGCCACTCTTCAATCGGATGTATTCAATCAAGTGCTTTCCCAACGAGGTGATCCAATCAAGAGAATAGATCTAGTGCAGACTATAATTGAAAGGACAGAACCTGAATGGCTCAAGCGTCACTACAACAACTCGTTTGCAATGTTTTTAGAGGAACAACAGCAAGAGTTTGATGTATTTCTACCGGCCATTGATATTGGTGTCAATCAAGTAGACGACGAAAAACATATGAATGCCATCACTCATGCCATGGAACTGATCAAAGCCAATAGAATCATTCTAAAGACACTCGAATTTGAAAAGGTCACAGAAAACATTAAATCACTCAATACCCGCTTTTATTGGTTGGTGCTAGAGACATTTATGATAGAGATGAAATACTTGAAATATTATACAGGAATCAAGACATTTATTGAAAAGCATCACAAGTACTCAAATTGGAAAAGTAAATTCTATGAAATTTGTTTCCAATTCCTCATCAATCAAAATGTATCTTGGAATATCATCTTGGATATTTTTGGAGACACTTTATTTGATATTCCAAATAATGATATTTACACCAACATTGAACTTGTCATTAGAAAACAAACACAACCTCTTATTCCAATAGATGATTTAAATTCAATTGATTTTCTATTAAAATTATTAAAATTCAAAAAGAATCAAATAGATAGTAATAATAATAATAGTAGTACTCAACTCTTATCCTCTTCATCTTCTTCCTCAAAGATTGAACAATTTAAAATTTACAATTATAATAGACAAACCAATGAATCACCGTCATTGACAACTGAAAGTATTTGGGAGGAATTATTACAAGATCACAATGAAATTCATTCAGTCATTATTGATTGCCATGTTGTATTTCCTACAAGTCTTGTACCACTTGTCCCCCTTCATCTATTGGATCGTGTATATAGTAGAGCCATTATAAAACAAGACGATGCATTATTGGAACAAGTCAAACTTGTTTATAACAAGTCAAACATGAACTTGTACGGTTCATTTTTAAATGCCAATCATATTCCACTTAAAAGTCGGCCCAAATACCTCCTTGACAACTTTGGAAAGGGACTTGTTACAAACTATCTATGTTGCAAATATGTTGGTAGAAAGGGTTCGATTGAACTATTTGATTTATTCAATCAATACAAGGCCTATGGTTCAAAAGAGCGTTGTCTTGGTTTTGCATTAGGTTATGCAAGACATGAATTGGTTCAACATATATTGTTAAACATGTTTTCAAACAGCGATGCCAAAGTACCTTGGTCAACCGTTTCACCCTTTATAGTAGGTCATACAGGTTTGTCTAGATTCATTATATTAGATGGTACAATTGAAAGGGAAGCAATTCTAAAGAAAGCAATGCAATCTAGAAATTTGAAAATGGTTTCAGAATTATTAGAATTATTCAAACTTGACAATACCTCTTTAAAAATTAAATTCCCATCCATTAGTCTATCATTAATTGATTTAAAAAATAGAAAGAATCAAAATCTACATTTAGATAAAAAAATAAATTTAATTTAATAAATTTATTTCAATATATTACATAATAATACAAGGTTTATCATCCATGACTTCTGATAGATTTACTCTACTTGGACTCATTGGAGAAGGAGGTGGGATTGCATTATTTGTATTTGATTTGGGTGTAGTTGGAGGAAATGAACTTCTATTTTGTGATACAGGTGTTAGAGGTGGTGCAATGTTGTGAGTTGGTTTTTTAGATGATACAGGTGTTGAAGGTGTAATTGATTGATTTGGATTTTGTTTCTTTGGTGTTGAAAATGGTGTAAAACTATTATTATTATTATTATTGTTATTTGTCATTGGTGGTGAAGGTGATCTTAATTGATGAATGGTTTTAATTAATGGTTCAGGTGTAATTTTTCTAATTAATTGTTGGAAATCTTTGTTGTGGCTACTTCCACTACCACCACCTTCATTTGTTTGATTGTTATTATTATTGCTATTATTATTATTTTTACTATTTGCTGTACAGTTTATATTTGATTTTGATTTTGATTCTTTATCTTTAATAAATAAACGGTCCTCGTCTAATAAATGAAAAGAATTGGATCTACGTTTAAGTGGTGGAACAGACCCTGAAGTGATTGTATAGTCTGTGATTTCTGCTGAATGATCTGGTGTTTGGAAACTATCCAAAATGAGTGGAAAATCCTGACTAATCTTTTTCAATCCTTCAAAAGTAGTCTGTGCCTCTAAAGAATCCAACAACTCTTGAGTATTCTTTTTCAACTCGTTTGTAACCTCTTCCGGCATTGTGTCATAATGGTGTTTATAAAATATACTATGTACATGATCAATCATTGATTTTACTTCTGATTTTGTCATAAATGTCTTATTTTCAACTGCAAATGATTTAAATATTACTAAAAGAAGAATAGAATAGATAATATTAATATATAAATCTATGAATATAAATTAAATTTATATTCTTTCTGCTTACATCTTAATTTTTGATCAAAAGAACCATGAGACAAGATAGTGATACCCTTTACCAATTCTTTAAAATTTAAAATCTTGTCATTATCTTCATCCATTGCTTCAAACATTTTTTCGAGTAATCTATTTAAATCACGGCCTGATCCCTCTTGGTTAGCATCCTTCCAATCAGGAAGAAAACGAAGAATAATCTGATGGAATTGTAAATATCCAATTCCAGTTCCATCATGTGATAATACATCAAATTCCTCTTTTAATCCTTTTAATTTTAATAAACTAACTATAAAAATAAAAATATAAATATTAGTATAAATTTGAAAAGACCGTTGAGTATACTACGGTCTATGGATTTTTTTTTGGTCTCTTACAAGATGTATATTTCATTAAATATTTCAAATCTTTTTGATCAGCACTTTCTTTTACTTGTTTCTTTGTAATTTGCCAATGTTTTAACTTTAAATCTTGTATTTTCTTTCTTGATATTACAATACCAATTCTCTTTTGTGAACTGGCAATGATTTCGTATAGTTTTGTAGGATTGTTTTTGAATGATAAAATATTGACTACCTGTGCATGTGATTTGGCCATCATCAGTGCATCGATATTTGCTTCTATCAATGCCAATCCTACTTCTAATAAAACTTTACTTCCTCTTATAAATACATTATCCCATATTATTAATGCATACTAAATAATAAATAAAAATTAAATAAAGAATAATTAATAAATCCAATCATAGGTCAAAGATGATAATTTTCTATTACATACTTGTGCTGGAAGAATGGTTGAAAATAAACAAAGGAACCATTCAATGGTAATAATTTGTATGACTACACCAATACTATTAAAATGAGCTGTCAATTCTGGAAACATTTCTTGCATCAAATCATAAAATACTTGTTGATCGATTTGTGCATCCAACATTGTATGTGTATAGTATTGTGGTAAAACTCTTTCAGCTATACTATTTAAACACCAAAATGCTTGTTCCTCTGAAGAAATTAAATAATAATTAATTAATAATCAAGTTTTGAAATTATTAAATAATAATTAACAATCGTTTAAACCATTACATACCATTATCAATAACAAGTAATAACATAAATGTAACATAATTTAAAGATTGACAATAACCAACCGATGGATTATTTATACTATAAACCAATAAAACCCTATACATTTTCTCTTTAAATTCTTGGTCTTGTGCCAACATGTGTGTTGGAAATGTTCTTTCCAAATCCTAATTAAATAAATAAAAGGTCAATCTTTTGCATTCAATGATGGTTATCCATTCTATTCTTATTCTATTAACATACAAGTGATATCTCTGTCTTGTAATTCTTTAGAGGTAATTCATCTTTTAAAAGTTTATGATAATGAGCCTTTTTGAAATCATCCAAAACGATTGAATCCAAGAATACAAGCCATATGCTCTTACGATGAACAGATGCGATACCTCGATTAACCAAATCATGGAATGTCTTGTCATGTTCGAATCTCTTGATATTGTTAATGTCACCTTGACACTTGTTGTGAATGAATTGATTCCACTCTTCTTTTACAATCGTAGTATCATTCTCTTCCATCTTTATCAAGTATTCTATCAATTCTCCATCATCGCGTCCATCATACTTGAATCCAAATGTATCCAAGAATGGTGTAGTAGTAGTACTAGTATTACTATTTGTTGTTGTTGTTGTAGGTGTCGTTGTATCTTTATTTTTGGTTGTTGTAGTTGTATTACTATCATTATTATCTTTATTATCTTCTTCTTCTCCTATAAACGTATTATTCTCCTCTACTTCTTCTTCTTCTTCTTTTCTATTTATAGATGGTTGTTGTTGTTGTTGTTGTTGTAATTCATGACGACTTGGTGGTGGTGTACTACTACCAGTACTTTCACTCACCGGTGATGACATGAATGAAGAGATAGATAGATAGATAGATAGATAGATAGATAGATAGATAGATAGATAGATAGATAGATAGATAGATAGATAGATTGATAAATAACTATACTAATATATATTATACTTCATTGATATACATATATATATATATATCTTTAGATCATGTGATTTCATCATTAATCAAAAAACAGACATGTTTGTCTCTACGCTTTCTCCTCAGATTTTTTATTGCTGAGCTGGATTCTTTCTTTTTTTTTTTTCAACAGAGACAAGTTTGGGTGATCGACTTTGTGTGTCTTTGAGAACTAGAAAGAAAGAAAGATAACTACGAGTTTATACAACAAATAAAATAGTTTTTAATAGTTTAATATTTATTGCCTTTAAGAGAAACTTTTGTAATCGATACACCTCGTCACTATGGTGTTATTGATAATAATAATATTAATTACGAGAGAACAACCTAACCGTCATGAACCAAACCAGCTCTGCTCTTCTGTTCTTGTGTGCTGTGGAGGGAACCCCTTTTTCAAATTTTCGATTTTTTTCTTTTTTTTTTGTTCTCTCTCATCTCACGCACCAACCCTGAAAAATTGAAGTGAAATTTTATTGTGAGTCTAGCTCTTAATTAATTGTTGTTGTTTTAAACGTTAAAAATTGGATCCAGTCGAATTCCAAGGAAACACGTGGAATTCCATCTACAATCCTATCCCCTATAGCATCTAATAGTAGTACTATTGATTAGAGAGTCGACTTTTGTTATACTCTATTTTATTATTATTTATATTTATACATACATACCTACCTACCTATATATTTCTAAACTTTTAGTTTTAGTTTACCCGTTTACTCCTCGTTATACATATTCATTCATTACATTCACTCATCACATTCATTCATTCAGATAGCATCTCACTACTCACACTCATTGTACATAGTAATAATACAGAAATTTATATATATTAAAAAAGAAACACAGAAAAGAAACAAAACAAAACAGATAAATCAATAATCATTGTATAATAAAGTAACATTACAACCACAATATATAGTATAGTAGTATAGTAGTAGTAGTAATGTCTCCTAGTTTAGCATCTTTTGATGATAGTAAGTAAAAACGAAAAGAGATGAGATGAGCGATGAGGTAAATGAAGATCATCCGTCTGTGTCAGTTATTAATAAACTTTTTTTTCATTATTCTATCTTTAAAGATTCGTCATCCGTATCGATTGAAGATTTATCTATTGCTCAAAAGAAAGATAATGTACTTCACAATTTGATTAATGTATGTAGAGTGATAGAGAGATAGAGAGAGATAGATAGATAGATGTAGAGATAGAGATGTAGAGATAACTAATATTTGTTTGTATTATATTTATATGTATATGTAGGCATTAAAAGTATTAAAATCAAAAGGAGTCAGTGAATATAATGAACAGTATCAATCGTTACTTCAACTCATTCAACTATACTCTAGTAATAAGATTTCAATCAAGGGAACCGATATAGCATATAGTATTGGCAATGGTGTCGTTGAGAGTGAGACTGTCACTGCTGCCTCTGCTGCAGCAGCTGTTGCTGCAGCTCAACCCAAGGTTGTATCTACTATATCCGAGGTCGTAGAAGAAGACATTGATATGAACGACACTCAAACGACATCGACCACTTCTACTACCACTTCGACCAGTGGAGGAGACGTTGACATGATGACAAATGAAGATGATGAAGAACAGACAACAACAAACAAACTCGACGAAGAGTTGAGACTAAAAGCAAATCAAATACCCATTTTCAAAGCACAATTAGAGGCCTTTAAATATCTCTCCAGAAACCTTCCCATTCCAAGTAATACATTGTCCAAGATTTCAAATCTACTCGAATACGAACCAAAGGAAGAGTTTGATGATTTAAAGTTTTATTCTAAAGGTTCAATTAAAACAGATAATTGTATGTACATATAAACATAAATATACAAATATATCAAACAAATATATATATATTAATTATTTTATTATTTAATTATTTTTTAGTAAACCAACCAAATCCAGATATACCAGAAACATATAAAGGATTATATGAAGCTGTTCAATCAATCCATGAAAGAGAGGAAAGAATAGCATCAAAGATCCAATACCGCATTGAAGAATTAAAAGATTTACCATCAACCATTCAACCAGAATTAAAAACAAGATCATTAATCGAAATGAAACAATTAAAAGTATGTTTTAAAAAGAATATTTTCAAAGAGATTGTATATGTATATATTAATATTAATATTTTTAATTGTATAGGTATTAAATGTTCAAAAAAAAGTTAGAAATGATATTCTAAGTGAATTAAATGAAGATATATTTATAAATTCAGTTGATAATATTGATATATTTGTTAAACCAATTCCAAGAGAAACATTTGTAAATATCAATAATATTATACTATTATTATTATATTTGTAAAACACCAATTAATTAATGATTTAATATTTTTTTTTTTTTTAGAAATCTGGAGAAATGATGTATGAAGGATCAACTTCACAACAAAATGTGGAATCAATATTTACAGTGAATAGAAAGAAATTCTTGTCTGCTGTATTGAATCATCACAAAGAGTTTTCAGAGTTTCATAGCAAAAAGGAGAAACAAACCAAGAATGCATTGAAACTCATTCACAGATTCCATCTTGAAAAGGAGAGAAGAGAGCAAGAGAGATTGCGCAAGGAGCGTATTCGTTTGCTCAAGTTGCAAGATACCGAGGGTTACAGAGACCTTTTGGCCAAGACCAAAAACGATCGTCTCGAGATGCTCATGTCTCAGACTGATTCGTTGCTCTCCAAGATTGACTTTTTGGTGCAAAAGGAAAAGGTCGAACAAGAGGAACGCGCCGAAAAAGAACGTGAAGAACGTGAGGAAAAGGAAAAGTTGGATTTGATTGCCAACGCCAATACTCCTCCTTCATCAAACAACCAAGTGGACGGATCGTCAACAGAAGAGAAAAAGGATGGTGTTGCTACAGAAGGTGGAGACAAGACGGTAAATGGAGACGGTCAAAAAGAGGGCGACAGCTCGACTACATCTACCACTACCACTACTACCACTACGACCCTCCACAAACGATCATCATTGTACAATGAAGTTATTGTTCGTGAGCAGCCCAAGTGCATGACTGGAGGCAAGCTCAAAGAGTACCAAATTACGGGGTTGCAGTGGATGGTCAATCTATACAACAACAAGCTGAATGGTATTCTAGCCGACGAGATGGGGTTGGGCAAAACCGTGCAAACCATTGCATTGGTGTGCTACCTGTTTGAAAAAAAGGTGCTCGAGCCATTCCTCATTGTCGCGCCATTGTCGACCATCTCAAATTGGGAGAGCGAGTTTCACCGTTGGGCACCACGTATCCCAGTGGTTATTTACAGAGGCAAGCCTGATGAACGTCGTAACCTTGCCCGCAAGATCCCACGTGACTCGTTTGGCGTGTTGATCACATCGTTTGAATACATTTTGTCGGACCACATTATACTCGGTCGTATCCCATGGTGCTACATTATCGTCGACGAAGGTCATCGTATCAAGAACAAGAGCTCCAAGTTGAGTGTACAGCTCCGAAAGTACCATAGCAAGCATCGTCTACTCTTGACAGGTACGCCGCTGCAAAACGACTTGGGTGAGTTGTGGTCACTACTCAATTTCTTGTTGCCAACCATTTTCAACAGTTTGGACACGTTTGAGCAATGGTTCAACGCACCATTCACAGGTGGCAGCAGTGCCAAACAACCCAAGTCGCATATTAGTGTCAATGAAGAAGAGTCACTCATCATTATCAATCGTCTGCATCAAGTGTTGCGTTACTTTTTGTTGCGTCGTCTCAAAAAGGATGTCGAGTCGCAGTTGCCCGAGAAAAAGGAGCGTGTCATCAAGTGCAACTTGTCGGCCATGCAGATTGTCATGTACCGTTCGATCGCCGAGTATGGCCAGCTGCCCATCGACCCCACCTCCGAGATGTTTAAAAAGAGCAAGACTGGTATGCGTGGCTTCAACAACACACTCAAGCAGATGCAAAAGATTTGTAACCATCCATACCTCTTTTTGAGCGAATGGGATATCAACGAAGACTTGATTCGTGCATCGGGCAAGTTTGACATGATGGACCAGATCCTGCTCAAGATGAAGGCGTCTGGCCATCGTGTACTCATCTTTACACAAATGACAGAAGTTATCAATTTGATGGGCGAGTACTTTTCGCTCAAAGAGTGGGATTATTTGCGTTTGGACGGTAGCACCAAGCCCGAGGAACGTAGCAGATTGGTGGTCGAGTGGAACCGCAAGGATTCACCGTTCTTTATCTTTGTATTGTCCACCCATGCCGGTGGTTTGGGTATGAACTTGCAGACAGCCGACACGGTCATTATCTTTGACTCTGACTGGAACCCGCAGATGGATCTTCAAGCACAGGATCGTTGCCATCGTGTGGGACAGGTGAACCGTGTCAATGTGTTCCGTCTCATCTCGGCCAACTCGATCGAAGAAAAGATTTTGGAGCGTGCCACAGACAAGCTCGAGATTGACGCCAAGATCATCCAGGCCGGTATGTTTAACACCCATTCAAACGACCAGGAGCGTCGTGCCAAGCTCGAGGAGTTCCTCCACGGGTTCCCCGCCAACACGGCCGAGGAAGCTACGACCGACCTTGAAGAGATCAACCGTCTGATTGCCCGTGACGACGAGGAGCTGATCCAGTTCCAGGCCATCGACAAGGAAGCTGCTCGTATCGAGACACTCAAGAACAAGGGTGTCAAGAAGCAGCACAAGTCGCGTCTCATCATCGAGAGCGAGTTGCCCGAGTGGTTGATGCGCAGTCCCGTCGCCGAGGACAAGGAGCCACTCGGCGCACGTAAGCGTACCACGCTCAACAACCTGCCCATGGACGACCTCACCGAGATACAATGGGAGCGTATGATGGAGCTTGGCATGAGTCTGCCAGAGTTTAAAGAGTACTTGGCCAACAAGAAAAAGAAGCGTGTCGACCTTAAAAAGGGATCATCTGCTAAAAAGAGTACACCCAAGAGAAAGAGAAAGGATAGCGAGAGCGACTCTGAAGAAGAGGATGACGGATATTACTCTGACTCGTTGTTGATGAGTGATTCTGAAGACATCACTGTTACTCCTACCAACGATCAAGAAATGGATCAAGATGGTGAAGAAAAAGAAAAGGAAAAGACAAGTACTACAAGCACTGCAACAACACCAGCACATACACCTGGAAAACGTGGAAGACCACCCAAACGTGCGTCGTCAGCTGCGATTACTTCACCACCAGAAAAGAAGAAACCAGCAGCAGTTACCAAGAGACAACGCAATGCCGGTGCTGCCGACACTACCACCACTGAGGATGAAGAAGAGACAAATGGAGTAGCAAGTGACGTTTCTGTTTCCAATGACGACCAACCAATGTCGCCAACACAATCTTCGAGAAGAAAGAGATTAAGTTTTACCCCCAAGACACTTGCTTCACCAGTCGCCGCCGCCTCAGACGACGCTACACCAGAGAATGGTACTCCCTACAAACCAAGACGTGCAAGTACTCGAGGAAGTGCAAGCGTCAAAAAAGAGTCACAACAACAACAACCAAATGGTGATGCTCATGATGCTACCAACAACAACAACACGACCGAATCATCATCATCAGCAGAAAAACCAAATGATGAAATCTTCCAAGGTATCATTGAAAAGATTAAACGTATCAAGGAAAAGACTAGAAAGGTGTCAGAATTGTTCTGGGATTTGCCATCTCGTTCCGACTATCCCGATTATTTCAAGGTCATCAAGAATCCCATTTCAATGAATGAAATCAGTCAAGGTTCATACAAGACACCAGAATTGTTTGTCAGTGATTGGAAATTGATGTTTAACAATGCTCTCACCTACAATGATCCAGATTCTCAAGTTTACAGAGACGCCATCACCCTCTACGATATATTGGCAACCGAAGTTAAATCTCATTTTGAATCTGTTATTATCCCTCCACTATCAAAAGTTTAAAGAAAGATAAATAAATAAATTAAATTAAATTAAATTAAATAAATAAATAAATTATATAAACCAAACCAATCTCCTTTTTTTAAATTATATACATATACATATAAATGTTATTTATTATTTATTTATTAATTAATTGTTTTTATGGACTTGTAAATAATCCACCATTTACATGTATATTTTGTCCAGTTAAATAATCAGATTCTATTATAAACATTACTGTTTTTGATATATCCTAAATATTATATTATATATATATTATATATTAATGAATAAACAAACAATGAGTAAAGAGAAGAAGAAGGGTTGTATGAAGATATATATATTTCTTGTAGTTACATTAACATGACCAAATCTACCAATTGGTATTTTTTCTAGTATTTTTGAAGCAAGAGGAGATTGAATGATTGAGGCAGTCATATCAGTTTCAGTGTAACCTGGTGATACGACATTAGAGGTGATGCCAAAGGAACCGACTTCTTTAGACAATGAAGTTGAGAATCCAACCACACCCATCTTGGATGCACCATAGATGGTTTGACCTTTATTGCCCATCGAACCAACCACACTACCTATAAAGATGATACGACCCCATTTACTTTGTACCATTGGTTTGATCAACTGTCTAGTCAAATAGATTGGTGACACTAGATTAGTGTTGATGATAGATGTTGTTTCTTCGGGATTAGTTCTCATAAACAATGAACTTTGTGCAATCCCTGCTGCATGTACTATAATATCAAATGATGATGATGATGATGATGAAGAAGAATCTTGTTGATCATCAGTAGTTGTAGTTGATTTTAATGATGCCAATAATGAATCGATTTGTTTTGGAGCATTTGATGATGATAGATCAGCTACTAGATTACCATGTCTTTGATTTTGATGTGTCAAAGGTAATGAACCAAGTGCTTCTTTACCTCTAGTTTCATCTCTGCTTAGAATGGTTACATTGCATCCTCGTTCTGCCAGCTCGTGTGCTATACCATATCCAATACCTCTTGAGCCACCCGTAACCAATGCATTCTTTCCTACGAGAGAGATAGGTTCTTGTTGTTTGTAATAGACATTGTTTGTACTAGTAGAATAATTAGATTGGTATTGACCAAATACACTAGTAGTAGCTCTACTAGCAATTCTTTTTAAAAGAGTTGTATTTGATTTAATTAAACATGTCATGATGATGTATTTGCCAAATACAAATTATTAAATGAAATATTTCATTTCATATTGAACATCCGTCATTCATCACTAGACACAACCAAGATAAATAAATAAATTATTTAATATTTAATATAATATTGAATATAATATTGAATATGTTTTCATTGTGTTGACGCTATTCAATGATGAGTATGCCGTCAACACACCCCCCCAACCCTTCACCCACAAAATGATGATGATCACACTCTTTCGATATCATTTTATTATTTCTAAATTATTACTTTTATTTATTTATCTGTTTATCTTCATAGTCGTCTACTACTAGAGGAACCTTTATTTAATTCTAACTATAGAATGCCTAGTAATAGTCACTATCATCATCATCGTAGTCGTCTAATGTCTGAGAGACGATAAAGATGGATGAGAAATGATCTCATCATTTTTTTTTCGAAGATCCCAAGACTGTTACGAGCTTTCGTTGCGACCTCGGTTCGTCCGACGAATGACCGAGGTACGTTGATACGAGAGATATTTAAATATATAGTTTAAATGGTGTGATCTCTCTACTTTTTATTGATATATATTTATATTATATATAAACGAGAGAGAGAGAGATAAAGATGTCAAAATATTATTATTATTATTATTTAATACTTTTAATTTGTTTTTTAGTAGAAAGCATATCAACATCAGCAACAGCATTTAGTACTAGTAGTAGTGGAGAATTAGAGATAATTGAATTAGATTGGGCTGCTTGTGGTGGTCGTTGTGAATACTTTGATAAATCAGTTTGGATAGGAGGTGTGATACCTAGTACCTCAAATTATCATGCTGTGATCAATGTATCGGCCGATGATGATGAGAGTGGACCTATCACCATGTACATCATGTCTGACCTACAAGTTGGAGCCATGACGGTTGTGGCCAATGGACGTTACGTGGTGACTATAGAGGCTGGTACATCGCATGTAGACATTGTACAAGACTTGCTTCTCAGTGGCAACTACCAATTTACAATCGATAGCAAGATGACATTGAATGTTGGTAACAGTATCCAAGCTAGCCAAGGACAAATATCATTCTTTGGTAGCGATATGACATTCGGATACGGATCTTTTGTCGATGGTTGTTCACTTGTCATTCAAACGTCAGATGTCGACGGCTCCTTTTCATCCATCGATGGTATCTACTTTGACACGGCTAAAATCTTTGCTCAAGGTACTTTTAATTTCGGTGGCAAGAGTTATTTCTCCAACCTTGTTGGTTGGTATCTACAAGACACTACACTCAACCTTAACGGTGATGCGGTTATCGCCAATTCAACCATCTCTGTCAAAACGATAGTACTCGACCAAGGCACCTTGGAGATTGGTGCTGGCAGCACCTTGACCACCTACGACAATGTCACTGTCTTTGCGCCTGGTGTGATCCAGCTGGATGCTGGCTCAAACTTTGACACACAACGCTCGGAAAACAATCCCGGCCCGGTCCATCTCTTACTCACGGTCGTGTCGGACGCAGGCAGCAACCTGACGTTGGGCAACTTTGACCTGCTCTCGTTGAACGCGTCGACGTTGCACGGAGATACAATCGTCAACGACTATCTTGACGGAGAAATCTCGTTTGTCGACACTTATTTTGGCCAGCTCACCTACTACATATCGGCATCGGTCAACATTGAGTCGTCAGGCTGCACGTACAACGAGATTCGCGCCGTCTCTAATTATAAATCCGATTCAGTCTACTACATGTTCTCGGGATACAATGAGCTGACCAGCACTGATGGCGTGTCGTCGGCATACAGCACGCAGTTCTTTTTGAATGTCGGCGCCACATTCAACATCTCCAACGGAGACGTCGAGCTCTTGGCAGACGGGTCGTCGATTGTCGTCAGCTCGCACTCGACACTTGTCGTCAGCAACGCGACACTTGTCGTGTCAGACATTAACGTTAGCGCATTGCAAGGCAACGGTCACATTGTGATTGAGAATTCACAAATTACATCTCACTTGGTTCTCCAACGAGTCATCGTCAATATCACCACCAACTCACATATCAACGGTCTCGCTGAAGCTAGTCAATCGACCATCAACATCATCGTTGGAAATGTTAGTCCTGCTGGAGACAACGACGACGTTGTCTATTTTGCACAAGACTATGTTGGATTTGATGCATCGTTTAACATCATCTCCCCCATTCTCCCATCACAGGCTATTGTCAATGTCAATGGCCAATACAAAGACACAAACGGTACCTTTTCATTTGGACTGTTGCAAGACAGCAAAGGATCGTATCCACAAATCACTGCCGATACACCCTACTTCCTCGTATCGTCTCCCAACCCAATCTCAATCAACACGACTCTTTGCTCATTCTCAACACCATCGGCTACATCCCTTCAACCTACCTTTTCAATCATTCAACAACTATCATCAAATAATAATAATAATAATAATTATTTACTAACTCTAACTTTTAATTAACAATAAATATATTTCCATTATTTTTTCAAAGATAAAGAAAGAGATGCGCATTCACAACAAACACAATCTATATTTGTTTATTTCTTTTTTAAAAACAAATTAAATGTATAATACATAATAATAATAATAACAATAATAATAGTATCTAATATGTTGTTACCTGCAACGGTTCAGTTACATATACTATCTCACATAAACTTTAGAGATTTGTTGCAAAGGAAACGAGTAAAGAGTAAAAGTAATAGTACTACTACGACTACTGATGACGGTTGTGTGAAACCAGCTCAACAAAGTCTTGCGATTGCACTAGTGTCAAAGAGATGGTTTGAATACGTTCAGATACAATTGTCGTCGCATCTTATACTCAATGCAGCAAACCGGTCGGTACACGTGTGGTGCGACGCTCCCGACTTGACATTCACCTCATTTCACTCGTTGCCGATAGGGCTTGCAAGGATGATCACAAAGCACAACGACAATAATAATAATAGTCAATATTGTCTCATCAAAGCCGATCTAATACAACTGCTGATGATCGACATGACGCAGACTAGAGATGATCAGTTGTATGGACTACCGTTCATGCTGTTTCCACAGCTCACCAGTGTACGCAAAGTCATCTTTTTGACCAAGCAAGGGTTTGGTATGCCCGGACAGAACAGTATCATCAACCACCAGTTATTCACTGTCTCAGAGGAAGAGGTGGAGGGTAGTGGTTCTGTTGTTGAACGCGAGATCTACCTCGATGTTGGAATAGTCAACGATACACTGTTGGAGGGGATAGAAAAGTTGCACGTGCCGGTCACTCGGACCATTGGCAAGCTCGTTGATCCGTCCGACCTGCTCCAGGTGCTCGTTGCAACACAGTCACCATACGTCGAGATTGAAATGTCAAATGTGGAGGTCGATCACTACGAATACACTGATATCTTGCAACTACCCTTTCTCCGCAACGTCTCTATCAAAGACGACTTTGTCTCTTATAGCGACAGCGTATTGGCGCTGTCCAATCCTGCCATGGAGTCACTGACAATTCAGTTGCCGACACATTGTTGTTTGTTTAAACAAGACTACTACAACACACCATACTTTTACGATGATTTGCAGACACAGATAACCAACTTGTGTAGTCGCTTGCACGGCCACACCTCACTCACCGTGCTAAAGCTGTCGTTCACTCCCAACTTTTCAGTGTCGATGCTCGACGACCCACCAATGATCCCACACTACGCACACTGGGATACTACACGCGAGGAGGCGGCGTATCGCGTGCTGATCGACGGGTTTGCGGGTCTGTTGTCGGCCAATCGCACACTGCGACATCTCTATATTGACAGCGAGTGCTTTCTCGACACACGATTCTACCAATCGATTGCCAACTGTCGGTTGGAGACACTGTCGATCGTCAGCAGAGACACACGCAAAAAAGATGAGAAAATTGCACTCTCCACTCCGTCCTACCAAAACTATCTTATGGTGTCTCGCCAGGGGATGAGTGAGACGGTGATAGTGGATGCATTGTGTCTGGCTATGCTCCATAACCAAACGATCCGTAAACTCAAATGTTGGATGCATATCAATGACAAGACAAGCCATGCCAATCTACTTGCGTTGGAGGACCAAATCAACCATCCGTCGAGGAATAGGTCAGTTGCTCTCACGGTCGACTACCAAAACCAAAGCCGCAGTTTTCACCAACAACAACTGCTGGAAGTCCAGGAAGCCATGGCGAAACTAAAAGCTTCAACAAGAAGAATGAACAGTTGCAAATCACAGTAACCATTGAACTGAACCCATCAAATTTGGTGTCAAATCGATTGAGTAGCCATATCAATGTTTCAGTTGCCCCTTTTGGTGGTACCACCAGATCATTCATGCATAAAATAACACCCATCTTCAACTTGTAGAGCAGAGATTGGGTTCTCTTAAACAATAGAAGAATTCCTAAAATAATAAAGAGTTATTGTAATAATTTAAAAAAAGTATAATATATAAGAAAGATCAAAAGACCACCAGACCATTGGATCATTGGATCATTTGAAACATTAGGATAGATTGGATCTTTTTTGCTTGTCAAAGATCTGGGCATTTTTTTTCTTTTATGGCTCCAACCACAACTCTGGTTTGATTCTCCTCCACAACAAACCCAAAAAACTTCTACAATATATATATATTAACTACTGCTGAGAGTGATTGATACAAGATATAATGAAAACTCATAATCAATATTGGGGTGTGAACATCATAAACAGAGGGGCAGAGAGATATAATCGGCTTTGATAAGTTAATGTTTTCGTTAGATATTTCACCACCAGCCTTCCAAATTCAGACACAATGCCCTTTGATTTTTTAAAAAAAAAATTAAATTCAATTTGCAGTTGGGTTGCTGTTCTGAGGCATCTCAGGTCAAAAGGACATCCCACTTTGCAACACAACAACAACATCGGCAAAAGTCTTCTTGGATTACAAAGTTTTCTATACCTCTTCTCTTTACTATATTATCTATTTTTATTTTATTATCTTATTTTTGTAGGTATTTAAATATTAAATCAACATCAATCATCATAGTTGACAGTGAAACAGATATCAATCAATCAATCAAAGTACACTAGTTTCAAACACTTTACACAACAACAACAAATCAATCAAGTAGAGTCAGATACCACAACTAGTTAAACAATCCATCCATCACCACTAAACACAACCACAGCGATCAAAATGACATGTTTGGTCTCCAGGTTGGTCGCATCCTCATTCAACACTTTAAAATGGTGTGTGAGTGTGTTTGATGCAACCATACGTTTTTTTTGCATTATCATATAACAAGAGAGAGATAAGATAGACAAGATAAGATATATATTTATATATATAATATACTTTACTATAGTTGCTATTATCTTTGCAATCTTTTGACAATCATCATCTTTTTATTTACATGTATCTTTGCTGCTTTGCTCTGCTAATACTACTACTATTACCTTACCGCTGCTGCTACTACTACTGCATATTGTGATTGCTATTTGTTTGTAGTCCATCCATACATACATCATTCAAATCATTCATTCAATTCAACTACTCATTCCTATCATGTCCTCCATCCTCTCCTTTCGATTGATTGATTGATACTACTATCCTTGACTAGTTGTTTACTAATTAACTAATTCTATTCTTATTCCTCATATATCCTCTATTAATAGTTAAACTAGTTTCAACCTATAGGCTCTTTCTTTTCAATATATTATATTGCTACTAGTACTACTATATATACATATATATCAATATCTATTTTGTGTGATTTAAGAGAATAAGATTCAATCTATCAATTTACCTTAATAGTCCAACCATGTCAAATTATAATAGTAACTTACTTTTCAATACTCAAGTATCATATGAAGATACCAATGGTGCATTTGTAAGCTTAAGAATTTCAATAGAGCGCAGAGAGAGAGAGAGAAGAAAGGTTTGAAAATGGAATGAATACATTAATATTAATTGAATAATATTATATTATATTATTTTAGGAAACTGTTGATACTTCAACAAATCCATTCACAACTCCACAACCAGAGGCACCAGTTGTAATTCACAAGATTTCATCACCATCTGCCTACCCATCGGTACCACAAGAATACTCTCAAACCAAGGTACCAGTTGCACAACCAAGTCAACCAACTCCACACAACTCTTTAAATAATATGGATATTAATGTATGCGACACAAAGATTATTGACAATAATGATTATTTCAAAGTTGATTAACCACAAGATTCAATTTAAACAAACATCATTATTATTATTATTATTATTATTATTATTATTATTATTATTATTATTATTATTATTATTATTATAATTATTATTATTATTATTATTATTATTATTATTATTATTATTATTATTATTATTATTATTAGAGAATGAGCACAAGTGTACAAGGAATGAATTTAAATAATAGTGGAAATGGTATTAATAATAGTAATAGAGTCAATAGCACTACAATGTCAAGTGTACCAAGAAGTGTCATTGAGATCAGTGTCAAGGATCCAGAAAAGATGGGTGACAGCATGAACTCTTATGTCAAATACAAGGTTGTCAGTGTTCATCACATGACCGATCGTCCAGACTTTAAAAAGGAAGATGAAAAATACAGAAGATACTCTGACTTTTTATGGTTACGTAATGTTTTAAAGGATACTAGAAGAGGTGTCATTATTCCACCTTTACCAGAAAAAGCTATTATTAGTAAGAAACAAAGAAATAGAAAGAAAAAGCAATACAATATATTTATATTTATTTATTTATTTCTTTTTATTTTAATTTTAAATTTATAGATAAATTCAATAAAGAATTTATTGAACAACGTAGAAGAGAATTGGAAAAGTTCTTGAATCGTATTGCCGAGAGTGAATCATTGGTTCATTCATCAGAGTTTACCGTCTTTTTGACTGGAGATGATCAAGCCATGTTACAAGCCAAGAACAGTCGTCCAGTCAACGACATGGAGTCAAGCCAAATCGTCTCACCACCACCCCAACAAGAGAACAAGGGTTTTGGCAAGATCTCATCCTTCTTTTCCAACACTGTCAACTCGGTCACCAACATGCAACACTCTGTCAAAGAGGTTGACCCATGGTTTGATGACAAGAAGAACTACATTCAACAACTCGACACCAACCTCAAGAAGCTTGAAGAGTGCGTCTCGCTCGTCATCAAGAAGCGTAAAGAGTTGGCATTTGCCCTCTCTGAATTCACCACTGCCGGTTTGACATTCTCGAGTGGCGAGATTGCCCAAAGCCAAGACATTGCCAACTCGTTCCAACGTATGACACAGGTACAACTCGGTGTCTCCAAGGGTATGGAAGAGTTGAGCAACAATGAAAAGGGATACTTTGAAGATGGTATCGACGATTATGTCCGTGTGATTAGCGCCGTCAAGGAATTGATCAACGATCGTTTGGACGCCTTGTTGGCCGTCCAAAATGCCGAGCGTACACTCGACTCTAAAAAGGAAAAGTTTGAAAAGGGTAGAGGCACTGCCAAGGCCGACCAATTGAACCGTGAGGTCGAAGATGCCAGCCGTAAGCTCAGTGAAGCCAAGTCGGAATTTGACCGCATCACCGCCACCAGCAAGGTCGAACTCCAACGTTTCGACGCCAAGAGAAACTATGAAATGAAGCGTATCATCAACTATGTCATTCGTCTCAACCTCGATCACTATCTCAAGGCCTCTGATCTCTGGAGACAATTCCTCACTGAACAACATCAAAATGGTGATCCAAACTTTGAAACCAATAAGGCTTCATGGGGTTCTTCAACCATTTAAAAACAAAACAAAAATCAAAACAAACCCAAAACTAATATAAACCCTCTAATATAATATAACCTATCACCTTTTTCAAATATACTGTCACAGTCTTCTAATTAAAAGATATTTTGGGGGAGTTATGATTGGTCGCACCATCGATCACGTCACTTTGGAAACGAAGGGCTTGTTCAAACAAAAAAAAAAAATCAAAAAAAATGGATTGTCTTTGGGTCCTCGTCCCTGGTCTACACAATTTTCAAAGAGCTCGATTTCTTTTTTTTTCCTCTATGTTCATTTGTTTCATCATCAATCATTAATATTAGTTAAAGAGAAAGATTTCGCAAGATGACAGGATGTGCAATTACAAGTTGTTTAGTCAACTCTTTGAATGGTTTAACAAGCATCAACAGTTTAGAAAGTGCATTTGAACAAGTCGTCGTTGTTCGTAACCCATTGGCCATCCTTTTGGCTATTGTGTCATTGGTTGTTTTGGTCTATCTTTTGATCAAGATTCGTGTGCTCCGTGGTGTCAAGTTGGACGTCAAGGTATTACATGAATGCACCAAGAAGGGTGTCGGTCTCCCACTCGACAAGGCTTTCGATGTCATCAACAAGGAAATCGCTATCAAGTACCCAGGTCTCATCAACACTAACCGTCGTTGGATCCTCTTTAACGGAGGTGGTGCTATGGGTCAAATGTGTGTTCTCCACGCCTCTCTCTCCGAGTACCTCATCTTGTACGGCTCACCACTCTACTCTCAAGGCCATAGTGGTCGTTACTTGATGGACGTCTATGACTTTATGATCAAGGGTGAGACCAAGACCTACTTCCCAGGCGAGTTTGCCCCACGTGTCTTCCCAGCCGGCGAGTACTCTTATCTCCCACGTCTTGTTGCCAAGGGTTACTGTTGCGAACCAGAATCATACATGCTCGAGTATGGCCGTGGTATCATCCCACTTGCTCTCCCATACTTCCTCTGCTCGTCCATCTTTGTCACTCTCGACATTGTTCCATGGTTGACTGCTTGCTATCGTGTTGGTTATCAAGTCACCAAGAACCTCTTGTTCCGTCGTAAGATCTAAACCAAACATGTACATGTAAATAGTTATACATATCTTTGTTTTTGGATAGACTAGGTTTTATCTTCTCCCCAAATACTCTAAAAAGGAGTAAATAGATAGTTACAACAACAAACAACAAATATTATAATTAAAACAAACAAACAAACAAACAAATAATAAACAAATAAGCACACTTTTGATTAGTTCCATCACTCATTCTAGTTGATATTGAACATACAACAAACAATTAATTAAAATATATATTCTTTTTTTACAGTTTTAATTTAATTGATTCTTTTATCTAATACAATTCTAGATTGTTGTTCATCTTGTTGATTATTTATACATTCTTTGATTTGATAGTCAGATTTAATCAACATTAACAACATTCCTTTGAAACAATTTCTAGTTTTAATCTTTACGGTTGTGTAGTGTTGATCTTTTGCCCATTGTTCTTGTGCTTTGAGTAGTTGTTCACCTATTCCTCTCCTTCTGTAGGAAGGAGTCGTTCCACTGAGCCATATGTAGAATGTACTTTTGTCATCTTCACCATAACCAACCTTGAATGCTGCAATCTCTTGTATCGTCTGATCGATTGCTACCAACAATTTGCAATGTTGTTTCGTCGATAGTCTTGCCTTGATCGATTCAATATTATATAATAATGAATCACCAGTTTTAAACTCTGGTATCAATGAATACGCTTGAAATAATTCATCAATATTTGATTCTTTAATAACTATACTACTAGTAGTTGAAGTCATTGGATTGATGATATTATCACATGATAATGAAAAAAAGGTTGTTGATTTTTGGTTGATCAAAAAAATAGAAATAAATAAATAAATAAATAAATATATTGTATTATACATTGGCCAATCAATTTATTATTATTCTATTCTAATCTAATCTAATAATAATAATGATATAATATTATATGGAGTATCTTGAATGGGAGATCTTTTTTGTAAATCTAAATATAATTTCTTTTGTTGTTGTTGATGACCCTTGATTGGAAGGTAACCACCAAACATTGATTCTGAATCAACCATTAAAATATTATTATTATTATTATTATTATTATTATTGTCTCGTCGAATTTTGAATTCAACTTGTCCAGTTTGGTAGAATGTTAATATCAACTTGTCAATATTTGAATGATAAATAATATCATCTATACAAATACGAGTATTGTCGTCAGACTCTTGTTTAAAAACGACGAATAGGTTTAATGTCTTGAGATGTAAAGGAATGCAATCACCTTTGAATGCCTGTGGGATGTTGGTGTCATGATCGACATGGAAATACAAGTAGGTGGTAGTCTCTGGAAGTGACAGTTTCATATCACCTTGGACACTGCTACCAAAGACCAGTTTGGTGAGGGCTGGTGGTAGAGGTGATGGAATAATTGGCTCTTGATCGTAAGAGTAGGTGAGTTTAAGCTTTTGTAGATTACTTGGCAACACAATCAACTCGGGATCGTTGGGTGTCTTCCAAACCAATGATTTAACACTGTCTGGAATATCACCCTTTCTGACGGGTTGAGAGTAGCTTTCAAGAATGAGGTACTCGACACCTTGGGGAATGACCCCTTTCAAAGACTGATTGGTTCGTCCAAGACAGAGACGTAGTCTTTTGATCGATGGTGGAATTGACAATTGTGGGTCTATATCATCTCTTATAGATTGGAGAGTGAGTGACCAAAGCTTGGGAAAGTGTTTAGATAGGTCAATATGCTTGATATTATTATGTGGAACCTTTAAAACCTCGAGATTGCAACACTCCTTTAGTAGAGTAACTGAAACCTCTTCATACGATGACAAATGGGTGAGCAAAGTGACGGGAAAGAGGTCAGAGAGTGGTACCCTACCGTAGGCAGGGTCAAGCACCAATTGACAGAGACCTAGATGTAGTCGAGTGAGACGACTACACTGAGAATACATATTTGGTGCCAATGTGTGTGTGTGGAAATCATCAAACCCGTCAAACCTAAGCGACTCCAACGTTGATGGGAGTGCACCTGGAAGCAGTTGGTTGAGTGTAATATTGAGGTGCTTTAGTTTGGCAGGTAGGTCACCTTGTTTGATAGGTTGTCCGTAATAATCCAGTAGCGTCAATGACTCGATATTTGGAGGGAGGATATCTACACCAAGTGTCTCTGATACCAACGCGTCCTCTGGTATGACAAGATGAGTTGTAGATCGAGGCACATCTCCAAATTTGTTGTAATGAGTGAGAATACAATGAGTAATATCATTGTCATTGTGGTTTTGGTTGACAATAACCTTTGAATCACCTACAACGAGAATATTCGATGTCGATCTTTTGAATAGATTGACAAACGATGTTAGATGAAATCGGTGGATGATTGCATTCATGGTTGGAGTGAATGCCTTGAATCCAAAAGGAGCCTTGGTGGATGCGATCAATGGTGTTCCCAAACACTGTAGTTTAAACTGTAGTGTTTTACTATCTCGTCCAATTCGATAGAACCTTTTACAAGTCAACAAAAAGCATATTAAATCGACTCCATCATCAATCGATACGATAATATTAAATATATTCAAGTTTGATAAATCTATTATTGTCTCTGTTGTTGTTGTTGTTGTCATCTTTTTTATCTATCTATCTATCTTTTAAAAGATGTTTCATTTTCTTTGATTGTTTGTTTAAGATGGACTCCTTCTTAATAAATTCTATTTTTCAACAAAAAATAAAATAATAGGATAAGGATAGATACAAATATTCATTGTATCTATAACTATTTTGTGGGTGAGAATAAATAATAATAATAAAAAGTTAAGCAATGAAAGTCTATAATAGTGAGGGTTTAATTAAATTAAATTTAATAAAAAAGATGAAGATCAGATTTTCGAATAACTTTTGTACAAGACCTTTGAAATTTATCATTTCTCTTTTAGTTCAAGCAATGTCTTTAGCAAATATATTCAACTCTTTAAAGAATGGAGGTGTCATTCCAACACTCCTCAGCAATACTTTTAACCCAAGTATGTAGATTTACATACGTGATGAAGATGAAGATGATGATGATGATCTAATACTATTTTGTGTATATATATAGTCAAGGAATTAACAGTTAGCTATGGTTCAAAGATTGTTCAAATTGGTCAAGTATTGACTCCAACAGATGTTGTCAAGCAACCAACTGTCACCTACAATGCTTCAGCTGGTGAACATTTCACTTTGATTTTAGCTGGTAAGTGATGAGATAGATAGATAGATAGATAACACTTTGATGATACTAATGATTTGTTTGATTATTATTATTATTATTACTTGCAGACCCAGATGCACCATCAAGACTAGATCCAAAATACTCTCCATGGTTACATTGGATCATCACTGATATTCCAGAAAACAAGGTTACTGAAGGTCAAGTGATGGCAGAGTACATTGGATCAGGTCCACCACCCAACACTGGATTACACAGATACGTTTTCATCCTTTGCAAGCAACCAACTGCTCGTCTCAACTTAAAGGGTGAATACTATCTCCCATTGTCGGCTGACAAGAGAAACAACTATGCTCTCAATACTTTTATTAGTAGCAAGGGTCTCGAACCAGTTGGAGCTACCTATTTCGAAGCAGAGTTTGATGAAGCCGTTCCAAAATTATACGAAGTTCTTGGTAGTTGCAAGGAAAAGGTTAGATTATACGAGTAAACTACATCATTGGTGTAATACAACAATCCCTCAAATCAAATGTTATTTTATCCCTTCTCTTCATCTATACTAATAAAATAGGTAATATATAGTAAACAACAACAACCAAAAAGACATATTTCTATTTTCTTTTTTTAGAATCCCATTGGGATTAATTAATCCTAATTATCATCATCATCCATCATTATTACCTTTACAAGTAAAAACAAAATGATGAAGAGGTACGTACACATCTAATCGATAGATAACAAGAGTAATAATAGGAATAATAGTAATAATAATTTGAACATGAATAGATACATCTTTTACAAATGAAGAACAGACAGAAATAATGCTGGTTGGAACAACAATTATTATTATTGATTTATTTATTTATTTTTGGAAACATGGATTCGTGGATCACGATGATGATGATGTTTAGAAAGTAAAAGATTACATGGGTGGACAAGACGAGAAATAGATGGTTGGTTTTATACCTCTGAATTATAATTACATCCAACCATAACCATTACAATTAATCCTCAGTACTATTCTCCCTCCAAAAAAAAAAAATCAATAATACCATCATCACCATCAATAATATGTTTATTTATATTTGCAACATCACGGTTTCTGTCTATCTGTCAGTTGCGTCTTAAAGAAAAGAAAGATACATACATATGTGTGTGCAGACTGAATTGTATTGACTTGACCTGTAGGAAGGGGGGAGGTAATACCATTCATCCATTTTATTTATTTATTTATTATTTCTTTCTGGATTGAATTCCAATCGACACAAAACGGAAAAAATGATCAATCAAACCCTACCCCCCACAATTCAATATTTCAACAACAGCGTTGTGTGTGATATCTCACGAGTAGTAGGTGGGTTGGTTGTCGCGTGTGGTGTGTAAGAGTGAGGAGAGAGAGCAGGGAGAGAAAGAAAAGAGGGTGGATAGTGTTAGCTAAAAAACAATTCCCTCCTTCAAAATGAGTAAGTAGTCTTTTTTTTAAAATTCTCTTTCTACAACCCACCTACCAACTACTCTACTCTACTCTATTACTACAATCCAAATTTACAACAATAACAACATCATCAATTCTCCCTTTTGTTTTAAACAACACAATTTTCACAATCAACAATCAATTATAATAAATTTTTCTAAAAACCATCCAATTCAATTCAATTTATCTTGAACAAGAGCTCCTCTTCTTACTTTTAGTTTATCAATCAGTCCCATCCTTCCTTCTTCCTCCTCCTCTTTGCTGCTTACTTGTTCCTATTTCTCGTTTTTTAGGTGTTGTCATGTTGTTTAGCAACCCTAGATATAGATAGATAGATAGTTAGAGAGTTTATATCAAAGAGAGATAGAGAGATAGATATATTGAACTTCTATCATCACGAGATTAGATAGATAAATATAAACAACAACAACAACAACAACAACATAGTAGATAGAATTGTATACTAGAATATAAAAGATAGATATAGGAGGATAAAATAGAGAGGAATGAAAAGTAAAAGGTTTTGGAATCATTTGGGAAGTGGCAGTACTAGTGCTGGAGGCAGTGGACATCAAATGAGCACATCACCTCCATCTGCTGCTGCACCATCATCATCCAATTCATCTTCATCGTCATCATCTCCGACCAATCAGCAAATCACAGCACACCACATGCACAGTCAGACGGTTGGACACGCCAGCTCTGTCAAGGAAGGACCTGCATTTGGAGTTCCATTAAATGAAATCTTTAAGCGATATAGCACTGTAAATAACGTTCCAAATGTTGTATATCATATAACAACTAATATTCGTCAATATGGTAAGTAAAGTTAACAATCTACAAAAAAAAAGGGATCGACCGATTGATCAATCGACAAAAACACACATACATATGACTAATATACAATTGTGTGTTTGATTTTGGTTTTAGCAATGTCACTTGAAGGTATATTTAGAGTTCCTGGATCGAATCAAGATATCCAACAATTAAAAAAAGTATATGATTCTGGAAAGATATCGACACATGAACAATTGTATGATAGATGCGAAGATATGCATACTCAAGCAAGTCTATTAAAACTGTTTGTCAGAGAGTTACCAGACCCATTATTCACTTTTCAACTTTATGAATCTTTTGTAAAATCACATGGTATCTATCATTACAATTTATATATATATTGATTGAATCGTGGATTATTAATCATAGAATTATTTTAATTTTAATTTAGATAATAGAGATAAACCAAATCGAGTGGCATCACTTAGATCACTGTTGAATCAATTGCCATTGGCACATTACTCTTTGTTGAAACATCTTGCGCTAATGTTGCGAGACATTTCTCGTAATTCGGCGGTCAATAAGATGACCAGCTCTAATTTGGCTATTGTATTTGGGCCAACTGTCATGCGACCACAACATGAAAATATGATCAAGATGATCGAAGACGCAAGACATGTAAATGGTGTATTTTTATTAATTATCGATGAATTTGAATATTTGTTTAATGTTTGTATCCAAACAAAAAAGAATAGAAGAATAGAAGAGAGAATGGAAAACAAATCTAACTTGTATTTATTTATTTATTTATTTATTTATTTAATTGATTGATTTTAGGGTGCAGAGTATCCATTATTTATTTTAAACAATAGTTATCAACAATCTAATCCTTCTATATCTCCTTCACTCATCAATCAATTGCAAGGACAACCTGGTGGCAAGAGAAATGCAGCTCAATTCTCATCGTCATCATTTAACATGGTATCAAACAACAACAACAACACTACTAATAATCCAACAAATAATAATAATAATAATAATAATAATAATAATAATAATAATAATATTTCATCTCCAATTCCAATACCTGGTGGTGGAAATAATGGTGGCGGAAGTGGAAGTGATGATGAGACTAACCCCATTTCACCTAGAGAGTTGGTTTCACCATCGAGTCCTGTGATGCATGACGAATATTTTAGTGCCATGGCATTGCGATCCCCACCTCCTCCGCCCCCTCCATCCCCTCTATCACCATCATCATTATCCAAAGCTGTTGCAACATCATCAATGCAATTGGACCAAATTCAAAATGGTAGTCACCAACATCAACATCATTCCCATTCTCATCATCATATCCCAAAAAATTCACCATCGTCATCTAATTTATCTCGATTTTCCATCCTTTTACCCAATCATAATAATAATAATAATAATAATACTAATCCTACCACTGCCATAAATATTACTCCAACAGTAACAACAACAACAACAACAGTTCAAACAGCTCATTCGCCTACTCTTGGTAGCGCAAATAGACAAAGAGGAGATTATTCACCTACTCTTAGTCCACTTCCACCTACATCGCCGAGATCATCGATGATTCTTGATTATGAGAATCCAGAGTTGATTCGAATTTTAATTCACAAGACTTGTTCAATGTTGTTTGAAAAGGATCTGGCAGTGACAGACAATTTGGAGTATGTTCCTCGTCCAGACGAAAACCACATTGTCCTAGACATGGTGTCATCCTACACCAACATTGACAATGCACTCACCAACAGCACAAGCATGCCAACGCTTGCACCCCTCCTCTCACCAAGATATCTCAGAGGTGCCTCTTTGGACTCGGTCATCACCCACTCCTCATCGGCATCCTCTCCAAATGCATCGGCATTGGTTGCAGCCATTGCAGCAGCTGCTCCATCTTCATCCCCCAATGCTTCACCATCTCAATCAAGATTACATCATCATCATCATCAAAAACATCATCATCATCATAACAATAATCATAATAATCAACAACAACAACAACAACAACAACAACAACAACAACAATCCCCAATTGTAAATAATAATAATAATAATAATAACTTCCAATATAGTAGTAGTAACAATTTAACACATAGCTTTTTACTTGTTAGTGATCATCACAATAATAATAATAATAATAATAATAATAATAATAATAATAATAATAATATTAATAATAATATTAATAATAGTAATCAAAGACAAACCAATAATCATTCACCTCCAATAGGTAATACATCTGATTCATTAATACCTTCACCTAAATTGATGAGGGCAAATAGTGCAGAGCCCGGGCCACTAGAAACTGCCTGGGCACACCTCATCCACGTGAGACGGGAGAGCGGAAGAGCATCAGACCTCAAGGCTCTCACCGCCAGCGAATTAAAAGACGAAAAATCAGCCATCAAAAAGGAGTTGCGAGACTTTGACATCAAGTTTAAAAAGGATCATGGACATTTCCCAAAAAAGAACGATAAGGAGGTAATGAGACCTCTCTACCAAAGATATCGTGAAGTTAAAGCGTTATTGGACCTAGCTCATAATCAACAATTACAACAACAACAATTACAACAACAACAATTGCAACAACAACCTAATAATATTAACAATACTAATAATAATAATCAAACAAATACTTCGATGACGACAATTAAATCTGCGCCTATAACTCCATTGACAACATCACCACTTATCATAACTCCAAATGCTTTAAATAATAATCAATTAAACAATGTCAATAACAATAACAACAATAATCAAACAAATAATATTCCAGATGATGTACAGAAACAACATAATAGACAACAACAACAACAAATGCAACAATTACAATTACAACATGCCCAACCAGCAGCAGCATTGCCACAACCACCAAATTCACCACCAATGGATTCTTGCTCAGAAAATGTATCGATTACCAGCAGTAGCAGTGATCATGACATTGGCACCAAAGAAAGTGTAACAGAGAGATACAATAGAGTAAAGTTGGAAAAGAGGGCATTACAAGTGGATCTTCATAAATACCAAACAGACTTTGTCAAACGCACTGGAAGAAAGGTACAATTTGTCGATGACCGTTTGCCAGTTGAAAAAGAATACGAGAGATACAAATTACTAAAGCAAGAATTATCTGATCTTGAAAAGATTGTACAACAGCAATCGTAGTTTGTATTTTAATAAATCCCAAATTATAATTTGTTAAATTGAGTGAAATGATTTCATTTGGAATCATATTTTGATTTAATATTTTCATATTCCCTCTTCGAATTGCAAATTTAGCTATTGTATTGAAAAGTTGATTGTGTTGTTGTTGATTTGTTCCACGAATCATGAGTTGTAATTGTTTTGCATCTCCACTCTCACCAACATACTTCCAAGATTCTGGACAAAACCTTCAATCTATTGTCATTAAGATATTCAACCAAATCATCATTCAATCCATTGAGATATGCATCATCAAATATAGTTGTTGCGATTCTTTGTGGTTGTTGAATCTTTGATTGTGATGATAGATTTAATTTAAGTTCCAACCATTTGAATTTTTCTAAATTTCCTCTCTCACAACATTCTGACATTAAATGATAAATAATATCTTCTGATTTGAATATTCCAGTTATGCTGTCAAGGTTGTTGGTAATGTTGTATTTGTTGATGATAATATTCCAATAAATTAATGATTTGTTGGTTGGACTTGACAAATATACTTTCAATGATTGATCTTGATAGTATGATTGGATAATCATTCCTATGTCCATTTTCCATCTTGTTCTCTTTTATAAATTGAGCGATGATTGACTGGTTTTGATTCACAAAGTTGTCATACCAATTGAATCTCGAGACTTTCAAGTGGAATGGAGCAAGTTTAGATTCACTAATATTTTCATTTAAAAATTTTAGTACCTCTCAGTTTTTGGATGATGCAGCTCTACTTGCCGCTATTGCAGTGATGAATAGAGGTCTATCGGCTTTATATAATGACCATTGTAATAATTTATCATTTCTATACTCTTGGACGATTGTATATGCCATCTTGACTTGATCCAATGTACAATATCTTCCAATTAAATCAAAAAGAGTCGAAGATTCCGGATGATAATCCGAATCGATACAAGCACCGATACTCTTTTTATAATAATTTGAAATAGAATTCGTTGATCCAGTCATTGTCAACGTTGATATGGCATTGGTAAATCCTATGCGAATTTTATTTGACAACTTCATTGCAGATATAACATCGATTAATATAATCTTGAATGCAATATAGGTATTCCACTTGTTCAATTCTTGATCATCGATTGTCAGATAGGGGTATTGTGTTTCACCAATCTAAAATTAAATACAGGTGTGTGTCTGTCAATGAATCGAATATCTTTGATGTGATCTGATATCGTCTAGTTGTTGGTAATATAGGAGACTGTAATGTAATACATTGACTAATAAATAGACAATATCCAATTGAACTGTGATAAAGTGGTGGGCTATGTTATCAAACTGAAAGAATTCTTTAGACCCGAGAGACAAGAGATCGTTTAGATAACCCTCTACATCTTCCTTTGCAATGTAAATCATTGGTTGGGTCAATGATCTAGCCAATTCAATAGAGTTGACATACTTGTACGTATTCTCTGTCACTATTATTGGGAAATCTTCAAAGGCCAAGTTGAATGAGTTGCCAAGGAGGATGGCAGCTTGGAAAGGTATTTTAGATTCATATTTCTTGATTATATTATCAAACACTTTTCCATCTCTTCTTGTGATAATATACCACTTGGAAGATCTTTGGTGATCAACTCCAAACAATAGTCAAGCATCACAGCTGAACAATGGGGCATTGTCCACACTAAACAATCTTTAGAGTCATGTAAACCATCGTTAACCCATTCCATATCCATATCTTTGGTTTCCTGGTGATCAATTGATGTTCTTTTCCTTTCTTTCTTTCTTTCTTGAAGATGAAGTTATCTCTAGATAAAGTAGGAACAAATTGATTTCCAATTTGATTCGAACCCAAAGCAATGGTGTGTTTGATGCCAAAAAACATTTAATATTTATGCCAGAGAGTGGGTGATAAAATCTTAGTGTACAAGTAACACTCTCGATAGTACGATGGATGATGATAAACCTACCAAAGAATTCATTCAAATCGTAGTTGAATCATTTGACTCAAAGCAAGAGAGCTCTCTATATGATTTAAAAGAGTATACAAGTAGTAGTAGTACCCAATTTGACAAAACAATAGAATGCTTAATCTATCTTGTTAGAACATACGAATCAATTATAGTATGTAAGATCTTATATTGATAGAATAGAATGAATACATAATAGTAATAATAGAAAAAACTATATAATGCTAATCAATCATCATCTTGGTATAGTTACGAAACAATTCATTGACAATACTCGATTATTTGGTTGAAAAGAAATTACAATCTTCTTCTCTTTCATCTCCTCTTGAATCAAATAAAGATGTTGTACTATCGGAAACGTTCAAACTTCTTCAAATAGAACATCTTCCAGAGGATATGGTCGATAAGATCATTAACATTGTATGTAACCTCGTCAAACTATTCCCAAAAGGTAAGTTCTTACTTTCTCTTTCTTTCTTTCCTTTTTATTTATATCACAATGTCATTCTAACAACAATTTAAAATGTTATATTCTCTATTCTATTTAGATGATTGGAATATCCTTATCAATGATGTGTCTTTTGATGGGATGACTTTATTCATTGCTGAAAGATTACTGAAGCTATTGGAACGATCAGAGGTCATACGGCATGCGTACTGTCACTCTGAGTGCGACCACACCGACAATGACGACGCTTTAAAAGGGTTGTTGTCTCGATACTTTAGTGTAGATTGTACTATCGATATTCAAACAAGGGCATTGAACCTATTAGATCAAATGATCGTCAATTACGATGATTTAGAGTACTGTAGAACTGTCTATTCGGTTTACAAGGCTACAGATCAATGTAATCCGTCGACTACTATACTATTGCAAAGACTTTTTGATCGTTTACCATCCACTCCACCACAAGAATTGATCGATTTTATTGAATACCAAATATACAAAGAAATACCCTCTAATCTAATTATAAAGGTATGTTTGACACGAGTACATTCAATCCAATTGTCTCAAACCAGACACTAACTAATATTTATATTATATTATACTTTTTTTTTTTTTTTTTTGATACTATAGTATTCTTGTGGATTTATGAAATCACTTGAAACTAGTTTATTGGAGCAAATGGGTCAAGATAATATAGAGAATACTATTTATTTGGTTAGATCATTTACCAGTATTGGTGGTAGTATGGGTGTAGAGTACTTTGCAAAAAACTATCTATCTAGATTGATCAACAAGATAAGAGGAGATCAAACTTCTAGAGTTATGTTTGGTTTGCATTCAGTCACTCTTGGTATACTACAAATTATAATTGAATTGCCAACACTCATCACTCGGTATCCAATATACATCCCATTCTTTATGAAATATGCTGTGCATGCTCTCAGCACCCAATCACTCTACACACACTCTAAAACAATTATTAGACTGTTTAATACTATTCCAGTGTCGAGTCTGATGTGTCCATACCTCGAATCAGTCCTCCTTCCAATACTCAGACTTTTGCCAATGATGATTGGACACAGTGACGATTTGCCATTCAAACTACTATCAATATCCATTTTAAAATATGGTATTCTTCATCACCAAACACAGCTACTATTTGCTAATTTGGTCAAAATGTCATTTGCATTTTTAAAGTCTCCCTATCCTCCACCAAACACTCTTAGTCATCTAGAAATGATGGTCAGAGAAATGACCGGATTCATTCTCGATATTGATCTAATCAAAGAGATGATAAACAATTGTTTTGAAATCGATCGACGACTTTGTGAACAATTGTCAAGAACAAAAGAAATCATTTTTGCCCACAAGTCTGATATAAATCAATCAATACTAGAACATATTGCATCTTCTTCAAACTATAATCAACATCAACAACAACAACAAAAATCATTAATAGAGTTAATTGTAGAAACAACCAAACAAACATTATTGCAACAAATACAACAACAACAAATGACCATTTCACAGAATGGCCCTATTCAACCGATGACCATCCGTTACCTTGGTCGAAAATGCAAGATGTTATGCGACTATGATCCAGATACTAAAGTAACTGGTGATTTGTTGAAACAATTCATTCCTCTCATATTCAAATACTACCATTCGAAACCACTTGACAATTGTATAGACAAGGTTGGTTATTTTTGGAATGTGATGGTTTATTTTTACAAAGCTGCAACAAGTAATCCCAACAACTTTAGTAAAGAACTAGAGCAACTATATAGTATTGTAAACAATCAATATTCACTTTACCCTCTACCCAACAAAATCATTGTATTAATGTGTCACACATTATCATCAATCCAGTTCGATGATGATACTTTTGTTGATTTTCAATTCAACATGAAATCCAATTTACCATGGTTATATTAAACTATATATAGTGGCTATAAGTAGATGCATCTACAAACCTTTAATAAATAAATCTCTAATCATAAACTTTAATAAATAATAATAAATAATAAATTAATTCCCCACTAAAAAAAAAGGTACTTGATTCATTCATTCATTCTATGTTCAAAATATTACTTGTTTGTGTAAACATGCGATAAAAGTTCTAACTACATAATATTGTCAAGAAGAAGAAGGATATAGTAGTTATTAGTATTCAGAGAGATATGATATCATTCAGAACGCTCATGGTTACGATAGAATCATTGTATCACTTTTACACTGATTTCTTGTTTCTTCCGTGCTTCTTTTCACTCTGCTTCTACATACTCTACTATTTCATACAAAATACCTTCTTTAGTAGCTCTCTCATTAAAGATTCGAGAAGGAGTACCAATGCAGATGTAGATTATGGTTACTATGATAATCTAGCAAAGAAAAGGAAACAATTACAACAAAAGGAAAAAGATACCCCTCCAATACTATCTTCCATTTCTTCATCTTTTACTCCAAATCATTCTACTTCAACAACAACAACAAAAACAACAATACATGATGGATTTACAAATATATTTAAAAACAATGATAATGATAAGAAGAAAAGGAATAAGAGAAGAATTGTAGATTCAACAGACTCTGAAGAAGAGGAGAATGAACAAGAAAGTGAATCATACTTGGAATCTCCAGAATACTCTTCATTAACATTTAAAAGACAATCATCATCACAATCACAAAAACCATCACAATCTCTATCAACTGTTTCCACCTCTTCTTCTTCTCTTTCATCCTCTTTTACAACATCATTAAATCATTCTACAATAACAACATCAGCATCATCTTCTTCTTCTTCTTCTTCAAACAACAATAACAACAATAATGTAAATAATCATATATTAAATTGGTACCAAGCAAAAAAGAAATATGATATATCATATGATCAAGTATCGGTTCCCGATAAACCAACACCCAATATGGTTGTTGACAAGAGTAATACATCAACTGAAAGTAACAATACTACTTTTACAACTGCCTCGTCTTTAGATGAACTATCATTTACTCCATTGTCTTGCTTGCCAACCACCTCCCCTTCTCCATATCCATCATCCTCTCCACTTTCCTCTTCATCGTCGTCTCAATCGACAACCACTTCTTTTATCTCTAGACCTTCATCACCATACAGCACCACCACTGCTACAGGTGGCAACATCAAGAAGAATGATAGAATGACTGTTGAATTGAATGAAGATTTGATTTACTTGTTTTGGAATAGATCTCTATACAATACTATGCGAGGTATTGAGACGGGTGGTCTATTGTGTGGTATTCAAGTGGATCAAGAGTGTGGAGAAACAGCCATTTCAGCTGGACTAGAGGATTTGCCAAGCAAAAACAAGAAAAAGAAATACATTGTGACGGAGCTGATATTCCCTACACAGACTGGAAAAGAAGATAGCTTTGAATGTACAGACGACGAAAAAGTGCTATCCTATCAACTGGCCAACAACCTCATTACCCTTGGATGGATACATACCCATCCCACCCAGACTGTCTTTTTGTCATCTGTCGATATTCACAACCAACATGCCTACCAACAACAACTACCAGAATCTATTGCCATCGTCGTCTCACCCAAACCAACTCCAAACTATGAAATATTTTCCCTCAATTCACCAAAAGGAATGCGTCTAATCTCTTCATGTACTGGAAAAGGTTTTCATCCTCATGATCAATGGTCAGATGATACTATCTATTCAATTTCAAATCATGTCATTGTTACTAATCCAATTAATAATCAAATTAATCAAATTAATCAAAATAATAATAATAATAATAGTAAGTCTCTAAATAATAATAGTCGACCACATCCAATAACCATTAAAGATTTTAGAGATCCAGATTCATTCCAATATTCAACTCCAACTTTTAATAATAATAATAATAATCAACAACAATCATCATTTAATGATGTTGCTAAAATATTGTTCACCAGGAGATAATAATAATAATAATATTCATCGTTTAGGAATCTTAGCATATTTTGTACATATAATAAATATTAGTCCGAAAAAAGAATACACTGTTTAAAACAGTTTCCTTTTTGTAAATTAAACACCCATTTGTAATTATACATTATTATAACATTACTATTTTTAGTTGTTGTTGTTGTTGTTGTTGTTTATTACTATTAACATTCCAAAATCGATATGATTCCATATGGTTAATTTTAAATCAATTATTCAAAAGTCTTTCTAATGTTTTTGATGATTTCAGCCTTGTCGTTTTGAATGTTGACCTTTTGGAGGTTGGCCTTGATCTTTTCAGAGAGGACAGAACCTTGAGTCTTGATCTTGTTGACCAATTGTGGGTTGAATCTACGAGCAGCAACGTGTACTCTTGCTTCTTCGGATGGAACTGGGGCGCAGAGCTTGTACTTGGTGCACAATTCAGTTGAACTTTCACCATTGAACAAAGCATCAGTGATGAGTGGAGCAGTGAGTAACATGAACAAATTACACTATACAAAATAAATAAAGAAATCTTTATGTTAATATCATCAAATATAATGATTTTGTTGTTGTTGTTGTAATCATTTATCTAATCTTACTTCCTTGGTCATATTGGCAGGAACGATGTTGCAAATCTTCTTTAATTCAGTTTCGACTTGTTCTTTGGTGTAGTTTTGAGTCTTGATCAAGTGTTCAGTGACGTTGACTGTAAGTTGACAAAGATCGCATTCTACTGGAGTAGCACCAAGACCGTTGTTGATCTTGAATGGGATAGCATTGATTGCGGTGATAGCAACCAAAACAAAGACTGTAATTAAAAATAACTTGTTCATTATTGTGTAGGTATGTTTATAAATTAATAAATAAAAATAAATAAACTAATAATAAAAAAGAGTAGAGTAAGTATGAGATTTGTGCGAATGGTTGCGTTAGGGATTGAGCGAATCTGAGAACAAGAGTTTAAAGAAGTTTCCGACGTGATCGGATTTTTTGCAAAGATAATTTTTTTAAGAAACCATCATAAACATTGGTTGAATTCTGTTTTAGTTGTATCATATGATATGATATATACACATAATTATAATTTAGTATACTATTACAATTACATCTCTAGAGATAATTGATCAATCAACCTCATGTGACATGTCATCAAAATGTTCTCTCTTTTAAAAGATTGTACTCAAGCTTTTTTTTTGAAAATTATTTTAAAATTAAAGAAAAGGAATGTTTGGATCAGATGCAACGCGGGTGTGGTGGGTATGAAAGTTAACTTGCAACAAAGTAGCTTTATGTTTTCAATATATGATGAATTTTCATACCTATAGATAGAATAGAGATAAGATTGTATAGCTTTAAGAGATGGATGCAATATCAGTGGATGTGGATATTGGTGGAGCTATACCAAGCTCATCGTTGGCAGACAGTGGAGAATTGGCTCCTTCACCTATATATGAACCAGAACACTACGAGATGGTGGAGGTGATGGGTCATACTAGGCATCTTCATGGCCACCACCACCATCAATTTAGAAAAATAAGATTTGAAAGAAGAGAACCATTTCAGGGTAGGACGATGGAAAAGTTCTTTTCTGGTTTTGATCAAGACTATCCTGCTGATCAGGTACTTAGACATACAATAAACGAGCAAGAATTTGAAGACATTATGACAGAGATCAATGAAAAGGTTAGTTCTACTCTGGATTGTCCAACCCTTCGAATTTGGTACACTATCGGAGCGGTCACGATGATCCTGGTAATCGGATTCATTCCCTGGTTGATCACTCTTTTATTATTCAATTCAAAAGAAAGAAGATTTCATCGAGATGTAAGTAGTTAACGGATACGCCATTATGATGCTATTATATTTATTTATTTATTTATTGACATCATCATCCTTGCTATAGATTTATAAACGACTTCAAGTACTGTTAAGAGAGGTTAATGAAAGACCAGAGTTTCAAACCAAAGGAGTTGTTTTCTACACATCCAAGGCATCAAAGTTTGAAAAGAACAAAGTCTCCAAACAAGTTCTCAAGATTAAACTGCCAGTACATCCCACTTCCACCATGGTGGGGAATTCCATCACCCCCACATCCACCATCACAAAGACTCTTTAACAATCTGGTAAACTCTCAAAACTTTAACAACCAACATGCACAATGTGTGAACAACACCTAGAGGACGATGACGACGATGAGGAGGAAGAGGAAGAGAGAGAGAGAGAGTTCAAAACACGTTAATAATTATTATTTTTAGTCGTCATCGTTCTATCCTTTTGGTTCCCCATCCTCCACATGTTGACTTTTACTCCAACACATTATTCGAATGATCAAGATTTTATGCGTGCATTGGGGTGGTGTTTTCGATCTTTACATCTGGTGTCATGCGGATGGGGTGACACACGCGCAGATCACCAGATATTCTTGATCAGAAACTGTTTATAAAAATAAATTATTCGGCCATGGACTCAATAAACAACCTGCAAACTCGCATGCGCAGAATTATTAATTGTTATAAAAACGAATCGAGTACTCCTTTTTTTTTATAAATCATTTATATAAACAAGTTAATTCATAATCAATCATATTTATAATCGTCATTGTTTTAAAAAATGGAGTTTGAAATGAATCAATTCCATAATGGTGATAGTAATAGTTTAAAGAAAAACAAGTTAATAATCAAAAGAAGAGGACCTTGTGGTGATAAGGATATGCTCCGAATCTTTTCAGGTTTTGAACAGGCCTTTCCAGAAGACCCATCATTCCGACAAATAATCAGTGCCCGAGAATACGAAGACATCATCACTGAAATCAATACCAAGATGATGAGAAAACTAGAATGTCGTGGTCTTAGAATAGCTTGGAATATGGGAGCTTTCCTCTTTGTATTTGTTGTTGGAATGATTCCAATGATTACTAGTAGTATAATTTTTGTAGTTAAACAAAAAAAGTTTTGGTCAAAGGTATAAAGACAAAAAGAATTTTTAAATATTGTTCGTCAAATCATTTTCTAATCATATATATATTTAAAAATAGTTGTATGTAGATTTAAATTATCTATTATCAGAAATTAATGCAAGAGAGAATATAAAATCAAGAGGAATCGTATTTAGTACAAACAAGAAAAAGAAATTTATTGAAAGAAATGACATTGCACAAGAATTAAAAATTAGATTCTCTCCATCCCTATCTCCTTTTTAAATAGAAACTGTCAATGTCATAATAATAATAATAAAAAACCCTACTTGTATATATTAATTTCATTATCTTGAATAATAAAACTAAAAGAAGTTCCTTTTGTGTTGGCTGTTTCTTGTTGTCTTTCTTGCTTGAAGAATAGAGAAAAATACTAATTAATTTTATATTTGGGTGAATTATCCATTATAGGAAAAAAAAAAGAAAGATTGTCTTTGTTGTTTGTTTGTTTATATTATTTCTATTTTATTTTATTTCTTTCTTTTTTTTATCTTTTTTGTTTTTTTATCCTTTTTTTTTAAAAAGTTATTTTAGTTTGTATTTTGTTCTTTATACATGGTTGGTTGGGAGGGAGGGAGTTTGTTTGTTGTTTTGTTTGTTGGTGTGGTTCATCTTTTTCCTTTTGGTTGTGATGTGATGATTTAGGAATTTATTATATATAAATAATATTGGGTGGTTGTTGGTTGGGAGGAGTGAAATGACGGTTGTGATTTGGAATTGGTGGCGATGTGTGCAATCGGATGGTTATTATTATTAATAGAGATGGTAGCCATTAGCTCCACCTTATTTGGAAAAAGATACTACATATTGTGCAGATACACGGCGAGAAGGGGTTTGTCCATTGTCTCCCTGATCGTCATCAAAGTGAAGAGTATAATGAGTGGTTTTGTTCTTTACCTTTGTAGAACTGACTACTACAGCCGGGTAAAATGCTGTTGTATCTGGAAACATTGCCAATACCTTGGTACCTGATGAAAAATTATTGGAAACTGATGAAGTTGATGGTAATTGAATAATATCTTTTGCAATAACAAAGAATCGTCTAGAAAAAAAAAAGAGAAATAAATAAATATAAATTCGATTTGTTTTTTTGATTCTTTTTTTTTACATACTTTGGTTCATCTTCATCTTCATCGATAACTTCGTATTTTTGGTTTTTCTGGTTGAAACCATTGACTTTGGCAAGAATCCAATTGACGCTATTGTTTGACTTTTCACGAGCAGCAACGAGTGTTCCGTTGGTAATTTGTTGTTCCTTGCTGGAAGTGTCCTTGTCTTGCTTTGAGTCTGCCTTGCTGCTGGTTGGTGGTGAATCCTCCTTTGGTATTGGTTCAGCTGGTGGCGGTTTGATTCTCTTTGTCTTTTGAGCGGTGGCACTGTTGTTGGCGTACGGGTTGTTACCGTTACTCGATCCTGAGCTATTGCTGCTAGTGGGTGTACCATTGTTAGAGGAGGATGGCTCCTTTGACTTTCTCTTTAAGTTTCTTCTTGGTTCCGTCTCTCCAGAGTCATCATCACTTGAAGATGAAGTTGATTCTTTGTTATTATTTCCATTATTATTGTTATTGTTATTATTATTATTGTTGGCAATATTTTTGGTTATATTTGATGCTTTTTCATGTCTACCAATTTTATCTACAAATTTATTCATTGACCTAAAATTAAAACAAAAAATAAAATAAAATAATTAATAATTAATTTAATCATGATTGGTAAGCGTGATTTGTGCCAAAAATAATTAAGATCGGGGAGAAAATGTAAAAATGTTGACGGAAATCAGATTTCTGTTTTAGGACAAACAAATGTGAAACATTAAAAATCAAAAAAATCAAAAAAATTGTTTTTACTATTTTTAGTTTGTTGTTGCCACTGGTTTTAAAACCGTCAATAAAAAAAGAGAGCGAAAGAGTGTATCCGTCATGACTTGTCTGTTTTTGCAACAAAAAGTGCGTGTTATACATATCGTGTGATACGTGTGAGGAAATTGAGAAGTGTAGAGTGAATATATATGTACATACTTGTCAAGTGACTCTATATATGATTTTGACTCCATGTATACTTTGAGTGCTTTTGCATACATTTCACAACCTATATCTAATGGGAATAATACTAGTAGTAGAGGTAGTAAGTAGGATTAGAGGAGGTAGTTGAATGAAATATTAGATATATGATTGATCATTCTTTGTACAATTGATATACATACATTCATCATCGTCTTCAAAGACTGATGAATTACCTGAAGAGTTGAGAGCTCCGCCCGTCTCTCTTAGGAGGTCTACCTTTTTAGAGTAGACTTCGGTTTCCTTGACAATCTTTTCAATCTTTCGAAACACAGAGATTAACTGTACGTCTGTAATAGCTGACATTGTGACTTTTGTTATTGTTATTATTATATCTGAAAATGTTTATATAAATAAATGATGAAGGTGATGAGAATATTTACAATGAATGTTATAGATGCTGCTGATGAAAGTGACGATGATAGTGATGTTGAACAGTATTAGAGTACAATAAACACATAAAGTTGGTGCTGCTGATAATAATACACTGCGTGATAGAAAGAGTAAAGTAGATAAATTGGATACTATAAGATGTAAAAGAGAGAAGATGACTAAAAGTAGATATGGATGACTATAGTAGTTAATTAATTGATTGTTGTTGTTGATGTTGATCTTTGTTTCTTTCTTTCTTTCTTTGCGCGTTATTATCTCTTTCTCTCTATCTTGTTGTCTTCTTCGTAAAGTAATTTTTAACTTATTTTAATTCATTTTTGTTTTGATTCAAAGGAGACAAACAGAAATTCACAAAAATTCATTTCATTTTCAATTTTTGTTTTTTGTCGATACAGATAATCAGCACACAACACACACACACAACACTCTTGATTTTGGAAACAATCAACATATCCAACGAAAGCAGCTATAGCCTTAAGATAATAATTAAGATTTGTTGGATCAATTATTGATAAATTAAATAGATCACATGAATGAAGATGGTTTTAAATATATTCCAAACAAAAAAAAAAAAAAAAAAAGAGATAATAATAATAATCTTTGGTTATTTATTATTATTATTATTATTCATTGTTGAAACTTTATCTATTGAAGTTAGGATCATGGAAACATTTTGTAATGTTTCAACACCTCTTAATAGATTTTTGATGTTATTGTCGGCATCACTAGCAGCTTGTTGGAGAAGATGTTGTACCATACGTCCCTTTTCTTTGGCATCTGCCAGTCTATTTTTCAATTCGTTTGTTTCGTGGGAGCCTCCAGTTGCTTGGTACGATGACAATTCGTATCGCAGCTGTTCGACTTGCTGCTCGGCGTTTTGTGCACGTTTCTTGGATGCCAAGAGATTCTCCTCTACGTTGGCAATCATATCTTCCATTATCTTGGTTTCATTGGTTTCTTTGATTTTGAATTCTTCTAGACGTCGTTCTGCTTGTTGTACTCGTTGCTCCAACACCTCTTTTTCATTGTCTGTCCGCTTGCATTTCACCTTTAATTGTTTAATATATGTTTTGTATTGGTTATTCTCTTGTAAAAGTTTATCGATTTGTTGTTTCATTGATTCTATTATACTACTATCTACATCTATCTCTACAACCGGTGAAGTAGTTGGTGGAGGTGGTGGAGGTATTGGTTGTGTAGTGGTAGAAGGAGTAACTATTGGAGGTGGAGGAGATGTAACAGAAACAGTGGCGGCAGCAGAAGGTTGGGGTGTTGCAGGTGGTTGCTTCAAACTAGTTGGTAATAGCATACCATTTGATGATGGTGAGTTGGCAGCAGCAGCAGAAGTAGCAGCAGCAGCCAATATTGGAGGAGCTAAACTATCCTCATCACCAACCAGATCGTCATTTTCCATTTGATTACCTCCAAATAATTTACCTAATCTTGAAGGATTTAATTTTTGTTGTGAAGCAGCAGCAGTTCCTATAATACTACTACTTCCAACACTATTACTATTAATCGAACCTACAACACTTGTTGTAGTTGGTGGTGGTGTTGGAGTTGGAGTTGATACGCTATTATTACTTGATTTTAAGTTGGTTTTGTTGTTATTATTACTATTTACAATTGGTTTTGGTTGTGACATTACAGGGAGTTTACTCTTGTCCACTACTACTTCATCGTCATCATCGTCATCATCGTCATCATCATCGTCGTCATCGTCATCATCTTCACTATCAAATAGTTTTACTGCTTGTTTCTTTGACGATGATCTATTGGATGTAGAGGAGGAGGAGGAGGAGGAGGCAGAGGTTGGTTTAGTTGAAGGAGGAGTAAATACAGGTAACGATGAAACAGTCTCTGATGGAGATGAAGATATTGGTTGTGCATTTGATGTTGGTGGTGGTGGCACTCCTCCTGCACTACCACCATCATTATTACCAAAGTTAAAGAAAGAGAATGGATTCTCTTTCTTGCTCTTTGACATTGTATAGATCTATTTATTTATATGATTGATAGTATGATATAAACAATCGAAAGTGAGAATATTAAACAACAACAACAAGAAGAATAAGAATAAGATAAGATAAGATATTTATGTGTAATATTCTGTTTGTGTAATAAATGAAAGAATGAATAAAAAAAGAAATTTCAAGGGAGGTCATGTCTTGATTTTATTGATCGGTTTCTTTGCAGACAATGAACCACCACATCCCACAAACAGCCAACCATCATCAATATATACTTATCATCACAATCATCATCCTTATTTATCTAATTAATTAATTTACTGTATTTGTATATATTAATATTTTAGGAGTCAAAGATGGAACGACCATCAAGGAAACCATCATAGGATAAACATCAAAGACATGAATTGTAATAATATATTAACATAAATACTAATAATAATAATAATAATACTAATAATAATAATAATAATAATAATTTTGTTATGAATTTATATTATAGTAAATACACATTAACCAAATAGATTATAAGAAAATGGATTTTTAATTTAATTGAATTGAGAGGTGACGAACAGTGCTAAGATTGGGTTTCGTTAGAATTAGTAGTGTTGTCTTAATAAATTTAATTTATTTACTTACTCTAGAGTATTATTAATTATCATATCATCAATATGGCATACAACGCATCAAGACTAGCAAGAGACAAAGCTCTAGAAGAGAATGAAAAGAAGATTCAAATCAACCTTCAAGATAAAGCTAAAGTCAAACAACAAGAACAAATCAATTCATTGGTTGAAATCAATCTTGTAAATAAGTTTGTATCTACTTCATGAGCAATCGATCAATTCAATTCAATGTAGTTTGACATAAAGAGACTAATTTACATTCTACTACGACTACAGTAAAATGACAGTTTTAAAATCAGGTAGTTTTAGTCTTGTCAAGAGTAGATTACCATTAATTGATATAGCTAAACGATTTCAAGTTAAAGATCTTGTTTGGGTTGATGCTGATTTACCTCTCACTGCCAATGACGAAGGTTTAAGTGAAATGTGTAAGTATAAAACACAACATACATTTATCATGACATGTGTCACATGATTTTGCAACACAAACTAACCATTTTCTGATTAGCTTTTGCAAGTATGGGTAGAGTCAATTTAACTGGAACTGCATTGTAAATAATAATAATAATAGTAATAATAAATAGTAATAACATAAAATCTATCAACATTTTGTTGATACTCATATATAATATATTGTGGACAATAATAATAATAATAATCTAATCTTTGGTAGGTTGGATTATCATTTATTTATCTTTAGATTTGATTGATATATTTCTCAATGGTATCAATTAAACTTGGTTTCTTTTCACATAGTGGATGATACCAAGAGATTGGTTTTGGTTGTGGTTTTCCTTTGGGTGGAGTGACTGTTAGAACGATAGAGTCGGTTGGATGGTCAGACTTGCAATAGACATCACCAGCATGGACGACGGTTGGATCGATACCGAGGATAGTGTCTACAATCTCTTGGTATATTTGGTTGTTCATGGCCATTTTGAGGTTTTGACCATCGGTACTAGTGATGAGAATCAATTTCTTGTCCAAATCAAATGCAAAGCTTACTGTTCTTGCAGGTGGACCATTCTCCTTTTTAACAACTGTAAACTTTGTAAATGGAACTTTTGGTTGATCACCGTTGACCATAATAGTCATAAACAATACAAAACAAATTACAAAAAGTAAATGATAAAGTTTCATTCTTTAACCAATAATAATAATAATGAATGGAATAGAATAGTTGAGTTTTATATATTTATATATTTATATATTTATATATTTATATATTTATATATTTATATATTTATATATTTATATATTTATATATATATATATGATATTTAGTTTGTTTGTTGGGATGATTAATAATAAGTTCAAAAATATCCAACTATTTATAATTTCATTCCTAACCTTTCTTTTTTGGTTGTGTTGTGGTGGTGGTGCATTAAATGAATTGTATTCTTCTTGACAGATTAGATTATTATTTTTGGCTTTAATAATTAATGGTGAAAATCAAGAAGTAGTTAGTTTTATAGATTAATCTTGTTCAAATCACAAAACACTGCACTTTTTCTTGTTTTAGTTAGTGTTGGTGATTTGATAAACTACATTGATTTTAATCTAACAACAACAACAATACGAATAGTGGTTGGTTGATTGGTTGGTTGATTGGATTATTTTTTGAAAACAGTGTGTTTTGTTTGAAGAGATATTGATATCATGTTTTAAGTAAAATACAACATTTTTTTCCTTTGTTTGTTTGATGCCTTTAGTTTGTCCAATCCAATCCAATCGAAATTAAATTACTTTTTCATTTGTTTGTGTTATTTATAATTTATTTAGAATATGAATGACATTTTGATTATCATTATCGATTGCAAGTTGAAGGGGTGTTTTGGAGTAGGTTGATGAAATGGTTTTAAGTTTGGGGTTGGCGCCGGCTTTGAGGAGGATGGAGAGGATGACGGGTAGCCCGATTTCAGCTGCTACGTGGAGTGCTGTCTTGCCGGTACCGTCGACTTGGTTGAGGTTGGCGCCGAGACGGATGAGCTCGCGCACGGTGCTGGGTTTGCGACTGGAGACAGCCAGCATGAGTGGGGTCTCACCCATTCTGTTGCGGTCGTTGATGTCGCACTTTTTGTCGACGACAAGGTATTCGAGGAGACGTGTGTTGCCGGCTTTGGCAGCAAGGTGTATTGACTTTTCGAGCAGCTTGTTCATCTCCTTGTCGACACGACACTTGCTCTTTTCAATGACGGCTGCAAACTCGGTCTTGTTGGACAGGGTTTGTGCGCAGACGAGTGACACCGAGTCGCCGTCCATCGAGCGGATCGTGTGGTCGATGGTCGCCCCGCGCTCAATGAAAAAGTTGATGTGTGCATAGTTGCCGGCCTGTGCCGCCAGAAACACGGCTGTTGTGCCGTCCGAGTCCACACGGTTGACCAACTCGGGGTCGAGCCCGAGCAAGATACGACACATGGCCAGATTCTGGACGGCAGCTGCGACATGCAGAGAAGTGAGGTTGGCGCCAACCTTGTCGCGCGCACCCATCTTGTGCAGATACTCAACCATCAATGCAGCATCGCGTGCCGTTGCAATGGTGAGTGGTGTCTCGTTGGTGCGCTGACTCACACGGCTCGGGTCGGCGTGTCCCACCTCGATCAGGAACATCACCTGCTCCATCTGCTGGTCTTTAATGGCCGCGATGAGTGGTGTGTCACCCTCGACATTTTCTATATCCACGGTCGCACCACGTCGTATCAAGTGTTGACACAACGACATCATCTGCATCGACGACGCCATTGCAAACAACGTCGACCCATTTGGTGTGATCGAGTCGGCCAGACTCACACCACCCTTTTCCAACAACAAATCGAGTATCTTGAAAGTATCACCAAACCTCTCTCTTTTCTGACACTCCAACAACTGCTCTTCAGTCGGTTTCATACCGACCAACCGTAACTTCTTTTCAACCGATTCTATCGCGTCTCCAATATCCTCTAATTCCTTTTCCATTGACATTGCCACAAAATGAATAGGTGCAAATCCATGTTGATTCGGTGTATTCAATATACCAGTCTTGACCAAACTTTCATCATTCAATATCTTTTGAACCAATCCAAGTGATCTATTCTCGATGGCTGCATGCAGTATCGTGTCACCTCTCGATTGGTTCATTTCATTCGATCCGACCAACACATCAAAGCATTCCAAGTGTTCATTTGCGACAGCTTGTTTGATCGATATGCAATTTGGACAACACTTTGTACGAGGACTACTTGTATTCCCTTTCTTTGTACCAAGAGGCAAGTCACCCTTTACATTGATTCCATGTATTCTTTGATCGAGTTGATTCCTCAACTCTGCCTTTAATTTGTTTTCTTTGTACAATTTAACATTCTTTTTTAATTGTTCGGTCCTCTCTAAACTCTTTATATGTTGTTGCATCAACACCTTGTTATCCTTTTTCTTCTTCTTTCCTCCATCATTTAATTGTTGTTGTAATTGTCTATCATTCATAACCTTTGTTGAATAATAACATATCGATTGTGAATGTGACTGCGACTGCGACTGTGATGATGAAACTATTGATAATCGACTTTTAAATGCATCTTTGATAATATTACATAATATATGATTATTTGATCGTATCATTATATATATATGTCTCTATTCTATGTACAAGCTTGGAAAGAAAGAATGAAAAAGAATTGAATGAATTAAAATATTAATAATAACAAACATTAATATCATCTGACTAATCAATCGTCTTTTTCATTTTTGTTTTGTGAATACAAATAATAATAGATAATACTAGATATCTATATATAGATAATAATGGATGAAGAAGCAATAGATAGAATGGTTGAGAAATCAATGGAAGGATTAGATGCTCAATTGACAGAAGATGGTTTTCAAAAACGATTGACTGCATCCTATACCAATTGGGTAAAGCAACGTGATACTCTTAGATCTGTGTTTTTAGAGTTTTGTAACTCTCCTGCTCGTATACTCTTTCAAGAATGGTGGGCTAATCTTTCAGAGGATATTAGAAATGGTATGATAGATAGATAGAGAAAGAGAAAGAGATATGGTTGACTGACAAAAAAAAATATTGGTTTGTTGATATTATTGTTTGTTGTAGCATTGGTTTTAACATCGGTTGAGGATTTACAAGAGACACCAGCATATAACAAGGTGGCAGATGGTGTATGTCCAGAATTAAAAGATACAGATTCAATGATTAAAGGTGATAGATTAATGATCTTGTTTAATCATTTAAAAGTATGAAATCTTGGATAATAATAATTACAATAATAGGTTATGAAAATTAACTGTCTCTTTTAAAATAGAATTCAAGAGAAAATGATCAAGATGTTTTTAAAGAACAACAAGAAATGTTTATAGAATATTCAAAGGTGTTGACCAATCCACAAGATGCAATTAAACCATTACTTACCATTAGAAGTTGTCTATTGTTAAATTTCATGACCAATATATTGGTTGTATTTGAATCAGAGATCGATCAATTAAATGATTTAAATTCAGATTCCATTAGAGCAAATGAATAAATAATAATAACTAAATAACTAATATCCAACATCATAACATAATAATAATACACAAACAAACAAACAAACAAACAACAATTATTATTTTGGAGATTCAATCAACCATCCATTTATTTAAACGATGATGATCTTATTATCAATCGATTCGACCTCTGACCCTACCATGGAAATTAGAAATATCATCCCGAACCTATGAATGACCTTTATTTTTCAATAATTTTATTTTTAGGCGTTTACTTTTACAGAGGCAGATAAAGTTGAACAAATTGAATCTTGATTCCATTGACCATAATAGGTGTTGCCACATACACTCTTTAGATTTTTACATTGTTCCTGCGATCCACCAGCTGGTGCACTGATTTGTTCACACTCGATTGATTCGTTAGTGTTTGAGCTTGCCACCAGAGTACATTGGAAAAAAGAATTGTTTTTTGTTTCAATCTCTACTATTTCTTCACCATTCTTTGATCCTGTAATGCAACGACCAAACTGATTCCCATCAGAATTTTTGTAAAGGATAATAGAATCGCCACTAACAAATACTATTAAAAGCAAAAAGAAAATAATTTTGGTAAACATTATATAAATAAAACAATAAAACAATAAACAAAATAAGTTGCAAACCCATCCTCACTTGATAAGGAGAACCAAAGTTAATTTCAAACTACCAACCAATCTAAATAAATTAAACCCCCTAATTTCTCTTGGAACAAAGTACGTAGTAGTAAACAAACAAATATGGGGAATTATTGTCCAGTTTTATCAGATTTAAAACCACACCATTTCAACCAGCCAAGTTTATTTATATTAATCACCCTATCCCCTTTTTGAATAGAATTTTTGATGAGCTGTTCTTACTCTGTCTTTGTCAGATAGATTTGTAAAATACATCTAATCTTAAACTCTTTCAAATAATAAATTCTGATTTCCAACTCATCGGATAGAGGTTTTGAATGTATGGGTTGTACCTATATGGAAATTAATAACCAATACAAATAAGAATTCTATGTTTTTAGGGTGGATTTATTTTATTACATTTATATATAAGTTAATTTTGATTTGTGATTTAGGGTATTTTTTATATTGTTGGTGATTATATTTTTAGAAAAGACCTTGAGCATTTTTTAAACTATTCTTTTTCCAAGTTGGTAATTTAGCAAATTCATCTCTTGGCATTTTGAAAAGGGTTGCAAATTCTGCATCGCTTAGATAGAGTTCGAGGTTATTTTGATCCAAGTTGGCTGGCTTTTTCTTGAGTTCGGCGAGTGGGATGATTTGGGAGCCAGCAGCCAATCTTGGTGAGGTGGATTGTGGGGCTGGTGCTGGTGCTGGTGTAGATTCTAATGGTTGTTGAAGGGTTTGGGAGACTGGTCTCTTGGGGAGTGGTTGTCCAGTGGCAGGTGAAACGGGGAGTGGTCTGGCAGGTGAGCCTGGGGCAGCAGCTGGCTTTTTGAATACGATATTGGATGGGGCTGGCTTTGGCACTGGGGCAGGTGCTGGAGCTTGTTCGGGTGGTGGGGTGTTGTCAGTGTTGGTTGCGTATTCATTCTTACGCATGCTAAAGAGTCTCTTTTCAGCTTGCTCCAATTCCTTTTTAAGCTTCAAGATTCTGACTTGTTGTTCCATTTCGTGTACCTTGATGTTGGTAAACGACATGCCAGTTGGGTCAAACGAGGTGGCTTCTGGCTCGTCCTTTCCGACCGACTTGGCAGCTTCGACAAGTTGCGAGGTGGCGTTGGACACTTGCTTGGCAGCTTGTGACAATTGTGAATTGGTGGCAGAGTTGAGGTCGGCCTTGGCACGAGATGCCGAGACGAGACGGGCGGTGGCAGCAGCGACACCACGGGCTGAAGCGACCAAAGTCTCTTCTTCAGCCTTGCCTTGGGTCGAGTCGTTGGCAGACACGACCAAACCTTGGACAGAGCCGGCGACAGCCTTGGCAGCAGAGATCAAACCGTTGGCCCAGGTTGGGTCACGACGGTAGACGCTTCCACTTCCACCCTTGGACTTGCCTTGTACGACAAGCTCGTGTTGGACGGCTGTGGCACAGTTGACGAGGATACCAGTGGCAGAGGTAATGGCACGGGCAGCTTCGAGAATAGCTTCATCGATACCGGCTTCATCGACACCGCTGGCTTGACGACTCTCCTCACGTTTCTTCTTGGCTCTGAGCAAGGCGGCTGTGGCCTCTTCAATGACCTGGGCAGCAGCCTTGAGCTCCTTTTCGGCGATTTCTTCAAGATTCTCACCGGCTTGGAAGAGCTTCTTGGCTCTCTCACCACCTGGCAAGTCTCCGGCGGCAGTAACAACTTCGTTGATGGCTTCGGCCACTTCGGTCGAGGCTTCAGACAACTTTTGTTGGGCGGCCGAGCTGGATGGATCGGTTCTCTGGGCCTTGGCAGCAGAGACGAGCTTCAAAATCTTGTTGGAAGCGTCCTTGGCAGACTCAGTGACGTTTTGTTGGATGACAGCATCGTCAGTGAGACGAGTCGATCCCTTGGCGTTGGCGAGGAGCGACTTGACAGAGGCGATGGTACTCTTGCTAGCACCGTCCAACTCTTCTGGGGCATTGTTGCAACTACCGACGAGATAGGCAATCGATTCGGCCAAAGTCTTGGCACTGCTGACAACATCTTCGGCAGTGGCATTGTCGTTGGATGGTCCGTTTGGAGAGTCATAGACAGAGAGTTGCTTACGAATCTCGGCAGAGACAGAGTCGAGCTCACGAATACCCTTGGTGGTGGTGGACGAGAGAGCAAGACCAGACAATGATTGAATGGACTCCTCCAATTGCTTGGTGGCACTCTTTTGGGCGTTCTTGTTGGCTGGTGATGGGTCTCTTTGGGTGTGCTTGGAGGCAACGACAGAGGCTTGCGATGAAGAACTGACGTTACGGGCACCGTTGAGGAGAGATTGTTGGGTGCCATTGTCAGTGGTGAGAGCGGCACAAATCTTGACGGCGTTGGCAAGACGGTCGTTGGCATTGGCGAGAGCCTTGGAGGCAAAACCGACATCTTCAACAGTCTTGGTTGAGGCATCGACCAATTGGGCGTTGGCTTGGAGTACTTCTTCGGTCAACTTGGCAATCTCCTCTTGGATGGATTGTGGGGTGTATCCTTCAGTGTCAACATCGACTTGACCGGCAGCAGCAAAGAGCGAGGCGGCATCCAAATCAGTAGTGACGTGAGTGATGTTGTTGATGGCAGTTTCAATGTCTCTGTCACCAGTGGCACCAGCCTTGAGTGCAGAAATCAAGTTGGCAATGGCCGTAGTGATATTCTTAAAGTTGTTGTTGATCTTGCCTTGCAACTCGTTGTTGGTGTGATCGGCCGAAGCGAGCTTGGCATCTTGCACAATCTTGGCGGTTCCGTCAACAATACCGGCGGTAGAGTCGAGCAACTTTTGCTTGGCTTGGGTGTCGTTGGTGGCGGCAGCGGTCGAACGAGCAGTCTCGACAAGACGTGGGATGATCGAACCAACCTTGATCGAGTTGGCACCAATCTCTTCTGGTCTAGACTTTGCGGCGTTGGCCAAGGCCGAAATACCGAGGGCAAGAGACTTGGCAATCTCGGTCATCTCGACCTTGTACTCTTGGTAGGTCTTGCCATGGGTGTCATTGGCAGGCTTGGTAAGCATCTCCTTTGACTTGTTAATGGTAGCAATAGCTTCGTCACAGTCACGTGATTGCATAACACCTCCCTTTACACTGGTCAAGATATCGGCAATAGCTTGTGATGCATTGAATGCTTGCTTGGAATCTGAAACATCTCCACTCTTGGCAGCAATCATCAACTCGAGCATATTATCAGCAAGCTTCTTGGAGAGTTGTAATTGAGTTTGTTTAATGTCTGGGTTGGTGGTGAGTGAAGCGAGTTGCTTGGAGATACTGACAATCTTGGGGAGAATGTGTGCAGTGTCCTTGGCACTCTTTCCAAGGTTTTGTGGGTCTTGCTTGGGGGCGGCCAAGAATACCTTCATGGCAGTGGCGAGTTCACGCGACACTTCAACCAAATCTTCTTGACATCCTTGAGCAGTCTTGCCTGGTGGTGCAGTGTTTTCGAGCAAACCAATAGCAGCATTGAGTGAAGCAGAGTCCAAGTCAACAACAGCTTGTTGGATAATCTCAATAGACTCGTCAATCTCTTTTTGTTCTGGACGCATACCATTGATGGCAGCCAACAAACTTTGAACGGCAGCAGAAACTGATTGAGCAGCATTTGAGAATTGATGATGAACGTTTGGATCCTTGGTACCAGTTGAAACTGTCTTGCTAACAGACATGAATTGTGACATGGAGTTGGCAGTTGAACGTGAGGCATCGAGTAAGGCTTGTTCAGATGGAGAGAGAGAGTCGAGGTCAATAGAGACGGTTGAACCAGTATCAACACCTTCAACAACCTTGAGCAATTCACGGATATGTTCAGTGATACCACGCTTGGCTTCGGCGACTTGTTCTTGGTCGGCGAGGGTACCAGAGGCAACAGACTTGGCTTGGTTGATGAGCTTGGTCGAGTCGTTGGCGACGTTTTGGGCAACCAACAAGATTTGCTTGCTGGCTTCCATGTTGCCGGCATTCTTGGCAGTCTCTGAGAGCTTACGTGCAGCATTCATGAGGTTTTGGACACCGAGAGCGAGGTTCTTGGCGTTGATGGCGGCATCCTTGCGGTCTTGGTCGGCCAATTGACGCTTGTTGCACGAGGCAGCCAAGATGGTGGAGGCAGACTCGAGCTTGCCGGCCAAAGTGACCAAACTGTCTGGGTGTTGTTCACCAGAGGTGCCGTAGATGGCAGACTTGGTGCATTCGACAATGTACTTGAGATCCTTGGCTGCAGACTTGCAGTTGGCACCCATACGCTCAGATTGCGACTTGCTGACGACAACTTGTGAGCTGTGATCGGCCAATTCCTTGGCAGCCTTGGCCAACTCCTTGAGAGCGTCCGACACGATGGCATTGTTAATGTCACCAGAGTTTAATTGGACGATACATTGCTTGACAATCTCGATGGCCTCTGCAATCTCGGCTTGACCTGGTACGGCCGATTGGATCGTGTGGATCATAGCCTTGAGTGTGTTTTGTACGGTGGTTTGCGAGTTGGACAACTCGGCTTCACCTTCACCTGGACGGGCGGCAGCAAAACGTGATGCTTGGAGCAACTTGATAGAGTCGTGACCCAACTGTGTCGAGAGCTTGGCAATCTCTGAAGCCAATGGTTTGTTTGGACACGAGCCAGTAGCAACGTTGATAGTATCAACCAACTGGGTAAAGGTTGATGAAGAAGTCTTGGAGGATGCGCCGAGAGCCGATGGATTGGAACGGGCGTTGGCGGCAGTTTGTGAGGTGGCGGCCATCAATGCCTTGCTCGAAGAGATGGCACGTTCAGAGTTGATACCATACTCGCCACCAAGATTGACTGGTGGGTTGTTGATACGCTTCATATCGTTCTTGATCTGCTCGATAGCTTCGTCCAACTCCTTGCCTCCTGGGTCACCTCCCTTGGAGGTGGCGAGCAAAGCGGCAAGAGCCTCGGCAATCGACTTGACAGACGATTGGAGGGCAAGCTCGAGTGGTGCGTCACCTGGGTTGGAGGAGACGGCACGAGCACAACTGACAAGATTGGCAGACTCGGTGGTAATCTGCTTGGCAGCACCGAGTACCGAACGTTGCACGGAACGGTTCTGCGAGGTGGCAGAGACAGCCTTGGCGGCGTTGGTGACCTGAGCGACAGCGCTAGAGAGGTCGCGAGAGGTGTTTCCGAGTTGATCGGGCGAGGTCTTGTACTGCAACAAGACTTGCTTGGCAGCATTTCCGAGTGCACGGGCAGCGACGTTCAACAACTCCATGGCATTCTCACGGGTTTGACCTGGGAGTGATTGGAGAAGGCCGTTTTGGGCGGCATAGGATTGGGCCTCCATTTCAGCCTCGAGGGCTTGTACCTGCTCGAGTGCATCGTCAAACTCTTGTTGACCGACGGCCGAGGTGAGGTCTTGGACAGAGTCGAGGAGTGCCTTGATGGCATCACCGGCCACGACAGAGCTGTTGGTAAGCTCGTTCTTGAGGACTGGGTCTTGTACCTTGGGGATCGATGCCTTGGCGTCGGCAACGAGTTGGTAGGCAATGGGTGCAGAGATCTTGACCTGGTCGACCAAAGCATTTTGTGATGCGAGGTCGTTGGGGTTGGCCTGGCTTCTAGCGATGGCTTGGAGAAGGTTGGTAACCTCTTGGTTGGCCTTGGCAATGGCGTTGCTGACACGGGCAGCGTCAGCGTCTGGGAGAGATGGTGTGACCTGCTTGGAGGTGGTGGCAAGACCAGTGGTGGCAGCACAGGCGAGCTTGGCGTTGGTACGGAGTGCAGTGAATGCCTCTTCCTTGCCAGCGTCACCTACGAGCTGCTTGGTGGCCATGGCGAGACGCTTGGAAGCCTCTTGCAACTTGGCAAAGGCGGTCTTGTCCTCTGGATTCTCGGCAGCAAACTGGGCAACCTCGACGAGATGACGGGCAGCTTCAGCGACAGCCTTGGAGCATTGAATGAGACGCTCACGAACGGCGGGGTCGTCAGTCTTGAGTGTGGCACGCTTGGCACCGGCAATGAGGTGGATCATTGACTCTTCAATCGACTTGGAGGCACCGAGAATGACATCTGGACGTCCTTGTGAACCGAGCAATTGGGCGGTGGCACCGAGGATCGACTTGGCAGCGTTGGAAAACTCAACGTCGTCGCCACCCTTGGGTAGGGCGAGATCGGCCGATTGCAAGAGATGGCCGTAGGCATCGGCGATGATCTTGGCGGCAGCACGCATACGCTCGAGAGCGCTTGGCTCGATACCAGCAGCCTTGGCCGAGGCGAGCAACATGTTGATGGCGTCTTGTGCAGACTTGGCAGATTGGTTGACTTGATTACGACAACTTGGGTCGAGGATAGTGGCAGCCAAAGCTTGTGCCGTGGCCGATGCAGTGACACCAGCACGCATAACCTCGTCGTTGGCACCGTTAAAGTGGTTACGACGGATATTGTCGGCGATTTGTGGGGCATAGACACGCGACTGGTTGACGAGATCTTGGGTGGCGGCGGCGATAGCCTTGCCCGACTCGAGCAAGAGACGGAGTGTACCTTGATCGGTGATATTGCCGTTGCAAGCACCGTCCAAATAGGCAGTCATGAGACGCAACTGTTCGGCAGCTTGTTGAACGAGGTTCTTGGCGTTCTCGTCGTTGGGGTTGGAGGAGATTTCCTTGGTGGCCTTGAGGAGCTTGCTAATGGCCTCTGCGACAGCTTTAGCACCGTCGAAAAGGGGCATCTCGCCATCAGGATCTTCACCCGAGGCAATGGATGCAGCACGGGCAGCGTGGACGAGTTGATCGATGGTGAGAGCAACGTCCTTGGAGTTGGCGTCGAGTTGGCCACGGTCCATGCCGTTGGGGTTGTTGAGGTTGCCGAGCAACTTGCCGGCAGCGGCAGCAACAGCCTTGGCGTGGATAGCCAATTGTTGACGCCATTGTTGTGGGGTGAGTGATGACTTGGCACCAATCACAGAGTCGGGAGCCAACTCCATCTCGTTGAGGAGATTGGCAACGGCAGCCGAAGCGCTGTCAATGTTGGTCACCTTGATCGAGAGTGGACCACCCAAACCACCACGGTAGCCGATTGACTGGCCGGGTACCTGGTACTGACCCTCACGACCGCCGTGTCCATCCATACCAGACAACGACGACGATGTGGTGGTCTGTGAAGACTGGCCCTTGATACGACCAATCGACTCGACCGATGCAATGTCGCTGTCGTTCTCCTCGACCACAACACTCGTGTCTTTACGCTTCTTCATTAAAATCTCAATGTAACCAGACAGCAACTGAGAGATTGCCTCACCTTCGGTGGTAATGACCGACACATAGTCTTCTTCATAGTCACCAAAATCAAGAGTAAACGAAGCTGGCGAAGCTGCCCATCTACGTAGATGGTTCAATGGGTATTCATGCTCAACCTCTTTAGTCTCTGCATCAAGTCTCAAAATAGAGTCTCTAGTAATACCCAATAATTTTGGTAATGGTTTCTTTTGTCCTTTTACTCTTTCCTAAAAAATCAAATTCAAAGTTAATACTTTGTTCATTTCTATCTTTTATCTCTCTTTTCTTTTTTCTTTTCTATTTACCTTTGTTTGGAAAAAAGTGATACCATAAGTTTTAAGGGAACGACAAAGTTGAACATAACGGAACTTGGAGTTGGACTCGGTCATACCAACGAGCTTTCTGAATTCCTTGTAAATGTCTTTTTCAGCATCCTTTTTCTTGTGGAACGATGGTGGCATATACTCTTTGATCTTTAAATATCCGGGCTTGTGAACGGCAGTGTTGTGATTGCCCAATTGAATTTGCGATTGGAGGGCGGCGAATTGGATGGCCTCATCGTACGAGCATGGATGCGAGCCAGAGACGATGGCATCACGTGACTGCACATACACCAAATGCAATTGGATGGGGTCGTCACGGTTGACGTTGAAATCGTCGACAAAGAACTTCTTTTTGAGCAATACAATGGCTTCGTCAGAGACACCCTGTTCGTGGAGTGCTTGGGCATGATTCAACCAATCGTTGCTGCCTTCTGGTTGCAAAGAGAATTCTTCGTGGTTCTTGATACCAATTCTCTTACCAACAATCTCTACAATCTCTCCAACTGTCAAACTGTCATCTACCAACAATGTCTTTAATGTTTCATCCATTAAACGTACTTTTAAGGCTCTATGTTTCTTTTTATAATCTAATTCATCCTATAAACAAATTGTAGTAACACAAAGTATAAGTATATGTGTGTGTGGATATCCTTTCTTTCATTCATTCTTTTGTTTTCCAAACTTACATTCATCTTTAAATCATAGGATTGGAGAGATTTATCCATTTTCAACCAACGTGATGGTCTCTTGCCTTCAACACCCGGTTGAAAGAGACCGTGGTCATCACCTGTATCATTAATTCTTTCACGGATTTGTTGACATGCTTCATGAACAAACATGGTTGGAGCGAATTTCATCGCCTTGACCTGATTGTCTCTAACAATTTTAATCTTTAATGTAAGAGACATTTTATACTTCTACTTTCTTATTATTATTATTATTATATGTTTGTTATATTGATTGATTGTCTTTCAGAAGAGTAGATTTGAACTATTTGTTGTTATTGTTATTATTGTTATACTACTATAGTTATTATAGTTGTTATAGTTGTTATAGTTGTTGTTGTTGTTGTTGTTGTTGTTTTATACAAATTAAGTAATTTACAAGTGTATTCCTACAATATATATACTTTTAATAAATAAATAAATATTTTCTATATATGTATATATGAAGGGGAGAGAGGGTTATTAGTATCATATGTTACGCCGATCGATCCTTCCTTATCGTGATTGTCCACACTAGAGATTGATGATAATAACAAAAACATTCACTCACAACACACACTCTTTCTTTCTTTTTCCACCTGATTCCTCTCTCTGCACTCTGATATGTTATTTATAACTTTTTTTTTAACAAACAAACAAAATGTCGTGTTGTCCCTTTCAGACAAGGTTTGATTAAATTTTTCAAGCAACTTTTGGATGAAAATAAAAATTTTGTTGTTGTTGGGAAAAAAATATTTTGTTTGGCGGTCAACTGACAGATGGTGAAGTAGCATGTTTCAGTTGAAAAGAAAAGAAATCGATCTTTTCAATCGGAGGTGTGATTGATCAATGAATAAAAGCGAATTTTTATAACTAAAATGGGATATCATCGCCTTGACAGTCCGATCTAGTATAGCCACATACACCCAACTAACCAACCAACCACACAATCTATGAATCGAGATAATATAATTGTATATGTTGTTTATACCTTTGAGTTTCTTTGGTTTCCTTCCTTCCCTTTTTTTGTGCGTACAATATATATTTTAAAAGATAGATATCTAGTGTTGTTGAACAAATATGATAATAAAATCTATGATATCGAGAAGAGGAGGAAGAGGATGAAGAGGATGAAGATATAATAATAATAATAATAATAAAATATTGAAAAACAACAACAAATAATACAATTTAAATTAATTACAACCACCAATCAAGAAAGGATACCATCGTGATTATATTATATATCCCCCACAAGTGGGAGGTGATGGTGGTGGGTAAAGGTGGTGATGGTGATGGTGAGACAGTGTTAAAAAGGGGGAGGTTAAACACGTGAGGTTAAAGTATCAGTCAGGCATCATCATATCATGTCTAATGCTGCTTGACTTTTTTTAGTTTTAAATCTCATCATCAAACGAGTGTCTTGTAGTCGATCATAATACTATTGTTTGTTGTTGTTGTTGTTGTGAAGAGGAAGATGAAGACGGAGATGAGGAAGAGGGAATATGAAAAATGATAATGATACAAAAAAAAGAGAGGGAGATACTATCTAGATCAATCAATTATAATTGTTATTATTCTTACCTTTGAAAAAAAAAAAAGAGAGAGAAATGATTTATTGTTTTGTTGTTTGCTGGTAAAGATTGATTGATTGATTTATCTTGTTGTTGTTGTCTTAAATAATAACCACCCTTATTTTATTATTATTTAGCAGCAAAACTTCAAGTAAGTAAGTAAGTAATCTCTAATCTTAAGTTATCTCTTTACTTTTGTAAATCTAATTATATATAAATAAATATAAATATAAACAACAAGATGAGGATGGGTTGTTTTGTTGTTAAGCATGCTATGTGGTACAGTATCCCAATGGTCATGAAAAAAAATCCAATTTTAAAAGAATGTCACCCAATGATCTCTTTCTTTTCAAGTAAAAAAAAAATCCAATTTTTTGCCGGGGTGCACCCCTTTGATAGAGAGTCGGGTGGCCACACTTGAAGAGCCTTTTTTCAACATAAGGATGGTTGATCTGTTAGGTACTAAATTTCCCGATCATCTTGTTGACTCCCCTTTACATCCCCACAAACATAATGTACATTCTTTGTGTTCATTGAACATTGATACCTTTTTCTCTTCTCTTTATGAACCGCCAGCCGAACCCATTTAAATTTCCCGCCTCTCCACAACCAAATCAGCCGATACCCTTACTTTGACTGTGGTTAGTCCTGGTATTGATATTATTTTAAGGATTTTTAAATTAATTTTATAGTATCCTTTTTTTTTTTGGAAAAAAAAGAAAATGGATCGAAATATATTTATAAATAGATTTCTTTCTCATCAAAACAATATAAATACTTAATTTTTGTTTTTGAATCCTTTTTAATTTATTTTATGAATTTTCATTTTAAGAGGGGTGTGATTTTGGTGTGATGCCTATTGTTGTTGTTATATTATGTTGTTGTTATTATTATTATTATTGTTGTTTGATGTTGTTGCTGATGTATATATATTCTCTACTCACCTCCAATGATTTGGGAATGAGTTTGTGGCGGTGGTGATGGGATGAGTTGTTGTGGTTGAAAGTTACTCCAATATGGGTAATTGATTGGTGGGGAGGTTGGCGTAATGTTGGAGCCCGTCGAAGAGGAAGAGATGATGGTTTGGGTTATTGCTACAGGATTGGTAATACTATTTGGCAGATGTTGTTCTGACTTTACCGGAGAAATGTGGTGATGTTGTTGTTGTTGTTGCTGTTGCTGTTGCTGTTGTTGGTATTGGTGATCCGATGACGAGTTTGGTGAATGAGGTGAAGTTGGCTCTTTTTTAATAGTGAGTTGATTCATTTGGTTGATTTGTTGAACATGTACATGGTGTGGTTGTTGTTGTTGGTGTTGTTGATGATCATACCCATTATGTTGTGGTTGTTGTTGATAGTGATGATGCTGTTGTTGATGTTGATTGACTACAGTCATTTGTTGTTGTAATTTAAGAGCATCCAATTCCTTTTTAAGCATTTGATTCTCGTTGGTCAGACATGAAATGTTGTAGATTGCGTCTTGCAACTGCAACGCTATGTATTGGTAGCCATTTTGGAGTGAGTGATTTTCGGTTTTCAACTTGTTATTAATGCACAACAGGTTTTGGTTCTCTGATTTGAGCTCGTTGGCCGATGACAGCAACTGCTTTTGCTTGAGTCGTCTTTGACGCTCATGCTCTCGATGTTGTTCACGACGGCGTGCCAAAGAGGTGGGCGAACGGTTTGGCTTGGCCTTGGTGGTGCCGACCGACGATGTAGAAGAAGTGGACGTGGTCGAGGTGGTTGGCGTGGTCACAACAATGGCACCCCCAGTGGTGGATTTAGTGGGTGAAACCGAGGCAGAGGCGGGGATGGCATCCGACGATCCCGGTGAATGCATAAAAGCGGTCGAGTGGTCAGCTGCTGGTGGTGAATTCACTATATTATTGTTGTTGTTGACGGAAATGACCAAGCTTGATGATTGTTGTGGGGGAGGTGGTGGTGAACCGCCACTACTTGAAAGTTGGAAATCTGGCGGTGACGACATATTTGTAGGTGACCCTGGAGACGACATGTTGTGGTATGGGTGATGGTGGTGATGGAAAAAGATCGTCGATTGTTGTTGTTGTTGTTGTTGAGATGGTTGGGGAGGTGAAAGAGACCCACTATTAATTAAACCAGTGGTAGAACTATTATTATTGTATAAATTATTATTATTATTATTATTATTATTATTATTGTTAGTATTATTATTATTAGGGTTATTATTATTAATTACAGAAGATGAAGAAGAGGAAGGAGTGATAGAGGATGAGTTTGTCGAAGAAGGCTGAGGGGAAAAATATGTTTCAGCTGCGACGACCGATGGTGTAGAGTTGTTTGAAGCATTGCCTATTATTGATTTTCTATGTTGTTGTTGTTGCTGTTGCTGTTGTTGGTAGATAGACGAGGACGAGGAGGTGAGGCCAGGGGGTTGGAATTGTTGTTGGTTAAAGACAAACATATGCTGTGGCTGTTCAAAGATCCCGTTGTTGTTGCTGCTGTTACCGCCTCCACCACCACTGCTACTACTATTACTATTACTGTTATTGTTGTTTGTGCCGCCATTGTACATATAGGAGCCTGTCGAGGACGAGGGCTGTATTTGGAATTGGCTCAAGTAGGATGAGGGTATTTGAGTACCATTGTTGCTTGTGCTACTGCTGGACGTATTCGAAGCAGCTTGGTGATGATGATGGTTGTGGTGATGATTGTTGTGGTGGTGCTGTGGGTTGTGATGGTGTTGTGTCACAATGATATTAGGGCCACCACTAATTTCATCGACACTATTTTGTGATGAAAAAATTTCATTTTTGAGGATCATGATTGGTTGTTGATATTGGAGAATAATTTTCGACTTTTTTTTTTTTTTTTTGAAATAGAAGTTGCTGATGGGTTTTCCTACAGTATCTTCCTCTCAATAATAAACACAGAGTGTGTGGTTGGTTGTATGGTTTGTTGGAATTTGATAAAGGTTGGATGTTGAGATGGAAAGTCTTTAAAGATCTAATTTAAATGAATAAATAAATCAAGAGAGTATTCCAGTGGGAGAGGGAGAGGGAGAGGGTTATGTGGATGTGGTGTGCCGAAGAAGTCTGAGTTATGACTAGTTTGTAAAATCTACATCATAAAAGTATTGAATAAAGATAAGATATGATATAGTTAGTATATATTGAATGTATTTGATTTTGTGGAAGGTGTGGAGATTTAGATCTTTATAAACGACAAATATATGTACCTCAACTTCACATAAAGAATAAATAATGATGATTTAATAGTAGGTGGTTGGTGGTTGGTTGATATGTCGACTAATTATATTATATATAAATATAAAAAGTATTTATGTTATGTGTGTATGTATGTATCTGTGTGTATAATAAATAAGATAATATTTTAAATGAACATGTTGACTATGAATGATTTAAGAGAGTGACGCTCTGGGTAGAGGAAGATGATCAATCAACCAACAACCTCTCATGGTAAAGCTCAGCGGTCTATCACATGATATTAGAATTAGTTTTACCTAGGTTGGAAGGTGGTCAAACACAGAGAGCACGCTGATTGAACAACAGAGAACGGAATGGATGAAAAACACAATACAAGATATAGGGGTGTCTTGGCAGCGTCTCACCTTTTAAGGCAAAACGGATGAAAATAGACTTTTTTGGTTTTCGCCATTTTTGTACATCACCGCTTTGGGAAAAATCTTGGGCGATTTTTTGATCGATAAAAACAAAAAAAACAAAACAATGACGAGCCCATCACAGAAACGCCTAACAGAATTTGTCTGCTTTGGGCAAGACCCTCATCTGAAACATCAGATTAGGCAAAGCGACAGATGGTTGGCGGCATCCTTTAAAGAAAGAAAACCAATAATCGGTATAGTGTAAGCACCATCAGCTGATAGCTATGAACACTATTCGAGAATGATGATTTATCTTTTTTTTTGCCTCTTGGCCGTAAAATAGGTGGAGGGTAAGTGTGTCAATCAATCACAATGGATGGACAATAAGACACACACAAAGTCAACAAAATCTTAAGAGATTTTGTAAAACCACAATCACATATATGTGTGATGGATGGATGGATGATTGATGCGATATTTAAAAAATTAACATCATGGTGGTATTAAGATGATGATGAATTGTTGGTGGGGCTGTTCTCCTCTTGTCTCTCTCTCTATTTTTTATCCGTCTGTCGTTGCCGCGGGAGTATCAAAATGACGGGAATAAAAAAAAAAAAAAAAAAAAAAAGAAGAAATCGAAAGAGATAGACGACAATCGTCACTTTAGAGTGATAACGACGATGATGATGACGATTCATACACCAATAGAATGAATGAATGTTAACTTACTTTGTTTGGATATAGATACAAATGCGGTTCCTCTGTTTACAGAATGGAGACGCTCAGTGATGGTAAATCTTGAATAAAGGTGGTGGGTTGTAGGAAGTTTTGATATTTTATGGATGGATGTCTGATGAACAGTTTGCAGACTCTAGCTAGCTTACTAACTACTAAGTGACCTCCTAATATTATAAGAATTTTAAAATGATGCAAAGGTATGATCTTTCAAAAATAGAAAAGAAAAACATAATGTTAATATTATTTTATGCAATGTAGAGAGAGAGAGTTATTGTTATGTTTCACATTTAAAAATACAGGTACAGTTGTGAAGGGAGGGAGGGAGGGAAGAATGTGCACTATGAGAAAGATTAGGTGGTTGTTGGGAATGTGAATGAATACATGTATGTATTTATATAATGCAAGAGAAAGAATCGGCAGTAACGACTTGGCTGTTGGGGCGTTGACAAACTATTGAGCAATCAACAAACAAACAAAGAATAATGAATTCAATCATTATGTCCAATCACCCACCCATCCACCACCCACGCACCACAAGTAGCAGATTCTGTGCATCATATCATCCATTCATCTACCATGTGGATTAATCTGTCTGCTGCAAAATATCTAGTATTTCGAGTGTTGTATTGACAATGTTACAACATTGATGTGTTAACAGTCGTTTGGGGGAGAGGTTGGTTGGTCAACCACACACAGAAATACCCACACAAAAATTGGTGTTGTTGATCGTGATGATTTTTCTCCTTTCATGTCAATGTTGAGTTTTGCTGTGTCCGGTTTTGATGAATTTGATGATGATGATGACGATGAAGATTAATGATGACGGATCAATTAGATCGTTTTTTCATCATTGTGTAAATTTTCTGATTGATTGAAAATTAAAACAAACACATCAAAAAAGGGTAGGGTGTCTATGGATCCTTTTTTTGTTTATAATCATCTGTGTGTTGTTGTTGTTCCCTTTGTCCTGCTAAAACAAGTGAATCAATTATAATAAGACTAAATATATATTTAGAATAAATAATCTCTATTACAATAATTTTAATTATTATTATTATTATTACTATTTTTAAAATCTTGATTGTGATTTGATTTGATTTGATTTGATTTCTTTGATAATAAAAAATAATTAATGGAAAAAAATAAATAAAAATAATAATAATAATAATAATAATAATAATAATTATAATTATTATAAATACGATAAACGACAATCGATATTTCAAAGGATCGAGTAAAGGAAAGAAATTTCACAAAAGGTGAGTTGGAAAAAAAAATGTGTAGCTTGGAAAAATAATTGAATTTGGAAAAATAGAGAGGAAAAGAGAGGTGATAAAATTAAAGATAAATTGAAATATAATCCAAAAATAAAACATGAGTTGTCTCTTCTCTCTCTTGTCTTTTTGCCATTGTTGATTGATTACAAGATGGAAACTGACAACATCTCTTCCAAAATTAAAATATTTTAAAAAATAATTATAATCTGACAAAAATATGATGCCTTTTGAAAAAAAAAGAATGGAATAAACAATTAAAAAGATATTTACATAAAAGGAAGGATAAGAGACCAATTTTGATGATTGGCAAGTGAAACTATTTTTTTGATTTTTTTTTTACTTTTTAGTATGGTACAATATGGAAAGTGTTGGGTTGATTGGAAAGGAGGGTTGGATGGAGAAAATTAAAATTGATAGAGTTGAGAAAGGAGTTGATTCTTCTTCTTTAAGTTAAATCTTTGATCTTGTTTTTTTTCTTTCATTCATTCAATTGTAACTAAAGAAAAATGAATCCTCCTTTTTCGATATGTTTTAAATAGTAGAGGATTTGCAGTGATATAGCTGTTTGGAGGTGGTGGTGGTGGTGGACCATAGTTGGTTGGACGATGGACAATGTGAACCATTTCACTTAAAGGGCTCGTAAGATTGCTGTTAACTCAACAACAACAACACATTAATATTAATTTATTCTATTGTTCCCGAAGTGTTGTACAACGGTAGAGATGAGCACGATTCAATAGGAATCGAATGCCACTCTATTGAATTAGTATCTACACTACAGTACCGTTGTTGTTGTTGTTGTTGTTGTTGTTGTCGGTGGTGGTAAATGGAATTTGGGTGGGTAAATTCTCAGTGAAACTGTAAGATTTTGAGAACAGGTATTCAATGTCACCCCCACCCACACCATGGAACAACACACTCTTTCAGGTTATTGTTTTGTTTTTTTTGAATGAACTGGGTTTTTCCCAAATTTTGAACACTAGTGTTGTTAAAACCAAACACTCAAACACTCACTTCAATCATAAACTGTGTGTGTGTTTGGTTTGTGAGTGAGCGTGTGTGCGCAAATGGATTGGAAAAAAATTAAAACAAATTGGAACTGGACAAAGCAACAAAACAACATACGCCATACATTACTAATTCATCTTTTAATTCGTTCTTGTGTTCTCTCCCCTCTCCCTCTCCCTCCTCTCTCTTTGATGTATTACCAGAGGGAGAGGGGGATGTTGCAACATTGACACAATTATTAATTGTGTGTTTTTTTTGTTGGAATATTATTATGATTTTTTGTAACAGAGTATTCATAATCAAAAAAAAACAAAACAAATAATAATAATTTTTTTGTGTGAGTGATGAGTGTACTACACGGGGTGATGATGAAAAAGATGATCGGTTGGGAGATTAAGGTGAGAGAGGTAAGATGAACACAACCGAAACTAAAGATGTTTGCTACAAGACAGACAGATACTTTTAAAAAAAACTGCGTGCTGTTGACTGTTTCCAATTCCAATTGATTGCGACTCGGTTTCTATTGGTTAATAATGATGTGTGTGTATGGTGTATGCGTGTGCATTTAGTATAGTATTGTATATAAGTATAGTAGTAAGGACTTTAAGTTAATATTGGGTTCCATACAACAACAATGTATATTCTCTAAAGATTTAAATTCTTTGTCTTTTTTTGTTTGGATACTGTCTCTGTCTGTCTGTATGTCTTTCTGTCTATTTGTTTCGAATGGATATGATGGAAAAATATAGTTTTTATTTTGGAAAACAAAAAAAAGTGAAAGGACAAAACCAATCTATATAATTTTTAAAAAACATGGAAAACAAGATGTGAATCCAATGGACTGTCCACAATGATTATTTGATTGATTATTTGATTGATTGATTGATTGATTGATGGGATGATTTTTACTTGTGATATATTGTGTAGCTATCGTTATACCAACAACAACAACAACAATTAAAATATGAAAATATCTTAATGCTAATTCTTCAGTTTTATGATTTGTTGGTATTTCCCATTTTGTTTTTTTTTCCTTACCCTGTTTTTGCTGTTACAGCAGATGTCAATGTCGTCCGTCAGTCTGTCAGTCTGTCAGTCTTGTTTCTTGCGGTGTCGATGAATGCATAGATGTGCTGATGAATGAATAAATAGTTGTTGCTGCTCTCATATATGTGTGGGTGTGTCTGTGTGGGTGTCGTGGTAGCGCTGCTGGAGAGCGGGTAGGGAGTCAGGTCATCACCTACCTGGCTAGCTACACCAACTACAATTTCATCCAGTCTCACTGGCAAAAAGATTAAAAAAAAAAAACATTCTTCTGAAGGATGAGATAAATGGGGTGGGTGGTGGAGGTGTGGGGTCAGTCAGTCAGTCAGTCAGATTAGTTGTTTTGTAACGAACTGGATAGTTGTATAAATATTACAAGAGAGAGTCAGGACGATTCATCGTCTTCTACTTTTGTTCTTTAAAGATGGTCAATTGAACCAATAGACCTGGTTATTATTATTCTCTTGTTTATCCTTCCCCATAATGATTATTATACTAGTAACAATATATTCTCTCTTACCTATGGGGAATTTGGGTTCTAATCCAATCAAATCCTGAATAATCTTTCTTTCTTTCTTTCCTTCTTTCCTTCTTTCTATTGTATTCTATTCTTTGTTTCTTTCTGGGTTTTTTTTGGAACAATAATATGATCAATAATTATAATCATAATGCGAATCTTGTGATCTATAGCACGGCACAGCATACATACATAACCATCATTACCATGAAGACATGGCCGATGTTAGGATGCATGCTGTGTGTCTTTATTTCGCAAAATATTGATAATATAATTACATTGTTGTTGTTGTTGTTGTTGTTGCTGTTGTTGTGTTGTGTTGTGTCAGTATTATTATTATTATTATTATTATTATAAAACAACTATAGTTTAGTTGGTTCGTTAGTTCGTTGGGTAGTTGACTGTGGCTGTGACTGAGTAGTTAGATATATATATATATTATATGCAAGTTAAAGGTTATAGGAAATAGAGATGGAAAAGGAATAAAAATACAGTTGTGACGGCAGCGGCGGCGGCGGAGGTGGTGATGAGCGTTGTTGTGAAGAGTATACTGCTGGCACTGGATATCACTGTTGTCGTTGTTGTTGATGACGATATACTAGTGGTTGCGCTAGCGCTATTTGTTGTAGTAGTACTAGAGATTGAAGAAGTTACCGATGTTGTCGAGCTACTTGAATCAGTAGTAGTGGTAGGGGTAGTTGTAGTGGTTGCAGTTGTAGTGGTGGTAGTGGTGGTAGTTGGAAAATTGATAATATGAATAGAGATGGAATTGGATACCATCGTCGTATTGACTATCACTCTAAACCAAATAATATCAGAATTTAAAGATGGGAGTGATATTATCAAAGACGACGAGTTTGTCGACATCGACATCGGCGACAACAACACAAACGAATTGTTTGTTAATGTGGTGGTAGTGGTAGTAGATTGATTCATCTCTACTCTAATATTTTCAGGAATATTTCCAAATTTGTAACCTGTTAGTGTTATGTTGTTAGAGTTGGGAACTCCAAAGTTTTGATAGTTGCTTGCAAAGTTGGTGTCGATTGTCGAGATGATCGGACCGGTTGAAAAGGTGGTGGATATGGTCGATTGGAATTGGAGTGATGCCAAGTCGTTGCTAGAGTATCCACGCATATTATTCTTGTAGTCGGATATACCGTAGAGTGACAGGTAGATGTTTCCAGGGTACCCAAACCCATAGGGTACTTTGATTTGAGCAGTGTATTGTGCATTCGTCTTGTTCATGGCGATTGCAGTGGCATAAACACCAAGAGATGTAAATGACGACAATCCCTTTCCTCCAATAACTTGATCAAATACAATTGATCCAGGTTGTTGATCATTATGATAATAATAATAATTACTAGTTGAAATATAAACTAATGGGATGTTTCTTGGAGAAAGGTATCTATTGTCACTGGTTGAGAATTGGATGTAAATGGTTTGGGTTGGGTCTGGATTACCAGTATCGAGTGATTGACGCGACACGTTGAACGAGTCGAGTTGGGGGAGCACAGTGTCGGATGCAGCGGATGAGCAATTAGAGTAAAAGCTGATTGCTCCTCCGAGATAGTTGAGGAGTGGGGATATACCATTTGGGTCGCTGCTGTTGCCGACGAAACCGGCATTATCAACCGTCCACATATAGGTGATGTTATAGTATTGACTCGTGCATTCATTCTTGTCAATGGCGAATTGCACGCGATATGCACCGTTCCATTGGTCGCCTTTGACTCGGTCACTGTCATTGAGTAAAAAGACTAGCGGCACTCGATCATACGTCCCTTGGACATGTACAATTGCTTGTTTGAACCCGTTGAGTCTTTCGGTAATATTAAACTCGAATCCATAAAGATTGGAACTGGCACCGGCCGAATAAGGTATGTAGCCAGTAACAATGGGTGGCATCTCATCACCATTATTCGAGGTGACAGGGATGATCTCGGAAAAGTCGAGCCATGAGTGCAGGTCAATCGACGTGTAGGTGACGGGTGGAATACGCAGTGTGTAGTCGGGTGTGCCCGTAAAGAGGTTCTGGGGCAACGTAAAGTTGATTTGGAATCCAATCTGTGAATTGACATAGGCACCGTAAAATGTCTCGTTTCTGTCGCCATACACCATTGTCAAACTGACCGGCAGATTAATATCGACTGCTGGTGGTCTGAACGTGACTGTCATTTGCTGAATGTTGTTGGTGAGCGAGATGCTGCCGCTGGGACTAAAAAGTGTTGTGCTAAACTCTTGTTTGCTCGTTGGCAGCGACCACAACCCTATGATCAAGTCATTGTACAATGGGAAGGGTTGGAGACGCACAAGGTTAAAGTTGAGCAGTGTGTCGGACCCTCCAAATTGGCGTTGGTTGCCGGCGCGGTCACATACGACCAATGATGGTTGCGCGGGATACTCGAAATAGTCAATGACACGTTGATACGTTCCATTGTAGATGGTTCCCGAAACGAGGTGCAGTGGCGTGACAGCCTGTCCGTCATCCGCGTGGAATACAAGGTGACTAAACCCAGATGTCGAGTCGGTTATGACTATTGTCACGAGTGCGGTTGTTCCCTTGAGCCGGAGGTACTGGATTGATTGGATGGTCGGTGCCTGGGAGTCGGTCAAACTCGCAGTATAAGTGACTGTATTTGAGGGAATAGTCGCGTATGGCAAGACGGGTAGTGTCACGGTTGTTTGGAGTGAGGTAGAGTACATTGACACTGGTATATCAATAGACGTATTATACAATAGTTTAGAGGTGCTACTTGTAGCAGCTACACCAAATGGATAGGGGAGGTTGATATCAAATGTTGGACGTGAACTGACAGCGATGGTCATATACGACCCTGGTACCGCTGGAGCTTGGTATGCTAGCTTTACAGTCCCCACTGCCACAGCCGACACAGCCGCATCAATCGCTGTGGATGCTTGGTGTTGGGGTCCCCCAGGATTAGTAATCGACACGACCGGTGTAATAGACTTGAGTGCAGTCGCATTAAACAACATCCAACTATACGAAAGTGACGGACTCGTCGTCGACCCCGAGAGTGGTAGCTTGGCCAAAAACACAGGGTTGGTCTGTGTGCCGTACACGGGATACGAGAGCACACGGAAATTGGATGGAACACCCGCACCGTAAGCATATAGGAAAGGTGTAGCACCTGACGATGCCGTAAAGCTGACCAACGAGTATGCGGTGGTCTGAGTGGGCACTGTGATGACGCCTGACGCCGGGTAGACGCTTGTCAGGAGCGATGTGATCGTGTTGGTCACTTGCGACGGGCCGATAAAACTGCCTATTGAAAAGGCGGCGAGTATACGTCCTCCACCACCCAGTATCTGCATATTCAACGGTTGTTGGACATTGGTCAGCATAGTTTGGAATAATGGGTCAATCACAACCCTGTAGATATTGGTATAGAGATGTGTGACGGTACCTGCCAATATACCAGTTGTATCAGCCAATGTATAAGAGGTTGGTAGGACACCAGTGCTCGTTGCATTATTCAACCTTACCAAAAACGATGATTCACCTAAACGACCATTCGTGCCAAACAACGAATCGGGACGACTCACATTCCAGAAAGGTGCAACGGCACACGAACAACTAGGTGTGTATGTAAACTGTGTACCCACCGAATTGGTGACTATTAGACGCACTTGTGTACTCGTCGTAGTGTCCACATACATCACTTTGTGCACAGACTTGGTGTCTTGGCGGCCAAAATAGACCGTCGAATTGATCGAGTTGGTTGGCACGGTATCTTGACGTGCAATCGACACGATATCAAAATTATCAGATATCAATAAATAAAAGGTGTACACACATTTACTATCCTTATTTAAATAGATATTATTACTTGATGCAACTGATAAATCACTCACTGTTATTGAATTAACAAAGTTATCTATTTTTTTCAAAAACAATATAATATATTAGTTAACTTCATTTTTTAAATCTTTGTTTGTATGTTTAACATGTTTAAGACATACGTTGAAATAATATTATTACAAGGAAGGTGAAGATGAAAGTGGTCGACACCACCAATGCACTTTGTCTCATTGTTTGAAATGAAAACAATGGGTGATTTGAAGATATCTAGTTATAATAATAACCAAACCAAAAGGTCGATGAGATAGATAGATAGTATGTGTATTATATGAAGATAAAGTTCCGAATGATGATTGCCTTGATCATCAATCAAATCCAACCAACCCCACCCATCAAATTAAATATCTGATATTTAATTTAGGGGGGGCTCTCAAAGTATTTTTAAGGCATCTGTTTTGATCCTACCCATTTTGAGACATTGTGGGTAGGATGAGACCTTGTTGAAGAGAGTAATTGCCGAAACAGGTGACATTCATAAAACGAAGGTGTTGTATTGTCAAGATTGATAGATTAATTTGAATGATGATGATTATTATTATTATTAATTAGTTGTTGTATATATATAATACAGATAAATCTAACAAAATATTTAAAAGTAAGAAGTAGGGTTGGGGGTTTGGGTGTTGCAATATGAAGAGAAGAGGATGGAGTGTTATAGGGTAGTAGGGTAGTAGTTGGAGGGCTGGTGCCTTGTTGATGACCCGTCTATCGATCAATTATTAAATATATTGAACCATTCACACACAACTGTGCGCGCTTACAGAGATCAACACAATGTCTGATTTTCAAAGTAAAAATTAGAATTATAATAACAACGTACAATAATATCGTTAAATTCAAATATTATTATTATGGTTGGATGAAACATTGATTGAGAAGATCAAACCAAACCAAGAATGTAGAGAATATAGGCAATCAATCAACAAACAAACAAACAAACACTACTAAATTAATTTACAAACAATACACTATTTTCTATTTAAACAACCACTGTTTGCATGTGATCAACACCCTCTTCCTTCCTCCTACCACCATCCTCTTCTATTGTCAACAAACAAAAGTATTTCATCAGTAGAGTATTGTGGAGCTGAGTAGACTCAATGCAAGTCATTTGTTAAAAGTCATTTAATTTGAATCAGACCCAACATTATTTATTCACAGAACAGAAAGATAAAGATAGATAGATAGAAAAGACAATAGATAAATAGAAAAGAAACATAATTAGTTTAGAAATGTAGGTGTCAATAATAATAATAATAATAATAATAATAATAATGAATTAATTAATTGTCACGTGATAATACAATACGATGGATATGATGTTCACTTGCAACAATGAAAAAAACAAAGATTGGGGAACGAGTAATTGATTGATCATCATCATCATCATCATCATCATGGGGAAAGAAAGATTTATTGATTACTGGAAGGATTCATAGTATTTTCGATAACTTTGAAAGCCATCCATCTATCCATCCAAGTATACAGATAAAATCATTTATTTATAAAACATGTGTAGTATATTTATTTATATATTTATATATACACACACATATGATCTATATCTGTTGTATCAAACCCCTACCCCCACCCCTACCCCCACCTACCACCCAATCATGATGAACGACGTAAATCAAAATAGAAAGAGTCATGGGGTGGAAAGGAGTGTTTGGATAATAATTTTTGGAAATATGTTTAATGTCAATCAAAGTGACAGAATATAGCAGCATATACACAACATACACACAGCACATAGTAAAAAAAAGAAAAAAAGAAAGTAGTGTGTAGAACAGCAGCAGTAGCAGCTGTGGCGGTATCATGGATGGGTTTGGTTATTTACCAACAACAACAACAACTCTCTATAGTAGTAAACAAGCAAAAATCAAAACTTAAGAGTAGGTGGTGGTGGTGAAGGTGACAAACAAAGTATCATTGAAAATGAATTCCCACCTACCTCCAAAGTATAATACTACTCTCTCTCAATCCAACAAAAATTCATCAATTACTATTATTACGATTTATTATTATTATTATTATCATCAATATTCAAGCGATATATAATAACAATCCAACAACAAGTTGGGTATATAGATAGATAGATAGATAGTTTTCAATAATCCATCAATATATATTTATATCTAGAGTTGGTTGGATAATCTTATAAAGTAAAGTTCATGACACTCATCATCATGTAATCCATCGTCATCCATCCAAATCAAATCAAATCAAATCAATCAATTACTATCAGATAGTTTGTAAAAATAGATGGATGGAGAGAGAGAGAGAGGGAGAAAGATAAAACTATAGTTACAACAACAACAACAACAATACATTTATTATTGGAGCTAGTGGATTACCATTTTAAAATGAATTAATGGATTGGATACTTTTGTTTGTAATCGCGTGTGGTTGTGGGAAGGAAGGGGTGGGGAGGGTGGACAAGTGTTATATCAATCAGTCACTCAACCCAACCCAACCCAATCCTGCCTGTATAATATTATATTTGTTTTTGGTGACTAATTTTGGATAAATCCAGTCAGTCACTTATCATCGTTTAATGTGTATTGTTAGCAATAGCAAAAACAGACAGACAGACAGACAAACATCAACGATAGCCAATCAACCAATCAGATGGATGACTGACCATTTTATTGTTAGAAGGTGTATGGTTGAATTTGGACCTTACCTTATTGTTGTTGTTGTATGAATACATAAAGGTAGTTTTCTATTTACGGTCTGATTTTGGATTGGTGGATACATGGTATACACACTCACTCACTCACTCACCGACACCCTAACCCTACCCACTTTATATAATTATAAATCTCTTCTTCTCTTTGTTTGTCTGTATTCCGTTTTCACTAACTCACTCATCGATCGATTGATTATTAATATTAATATTATTAATATATTGACCGTATTTATTTATTTATTGATTGATTGATTGTATGTCATACTGCATATACATACATACATACATAGTACTGTACTCTCAATCCTCTTTTCTTATCTATCCATCCATTCATTCATCCGTCCGTCCGTCCATCCATTCCATTATTTCACAGTCTGGTTTAATTAAATAAATATTAATATTTATTAATTAATTATTATTATTAGGACTATAATAGTATTAGAAGAAGAAGCTGTTAATACTTCCAAAGAAGAAGAAGAAGAAGAAGGAGATATAGAGGACAACGACGATCAGACAGCTACAAAATCATCACAACAACAACTAACAGCAGCAGTTGATCCAGAAAAAGATCGACCAACGACATCAAAAATGGAAGGATTGATACAATGTAAAATGTGTATGAAAGACACACCAAAGAGTTTAAAGAACTGTCAGCAATGTTCAAACGAGTTGGGTGAGAGATGTTGGCGATGCAACTATTTGTGCAAACCAAATTACAAGTATTGTTTCAAGTGTAATGTCAAACTCAACGATATCACTATCCCACCCTACGAATCCATTGCCCAAATACCTCCATTCAAAGGTGAGAAACGGGCTGTGTCTTCATCGTCATCATTCAAGACATCGTCGTCACAACCAACCTATGTGAGTGCCGTGACACCTAGCCGTTCGTTTGAAAATTCACCGGTAGCGTCGAGTGCGTCGTCTGGCGTTAGCATGACATCTATCCCTCCGATACGATCGATTATTGAGAGTATAAATACACGTAATCAAGGTAGCTCAGTTACAACTATTATAAAGATTAGAAGAGAACGTGATGGTGCATCCAATGCAGCACTTGGAAAAGGGAAACCATATGCAACACTCAAACGTGAAAAGTCTACCCCTACCTCTACAACAACATTAATGTCACCTTCCAAAGAGACATCAACATCAACACCAACACCAACAACCACAAGTGAATCACTCAATACTACACCAAATAACAAAGACCGATCATTTGAGCTTGCATCACCTCCATCCTCATCCATTTCATCATCTCCATCATCTTCATCAGAATCCATTATTATATCAATCTCTCCACCTCCCAATCATCCCATTGCAATTGTTTCTCCCAACAACAATAACAACAACAATAATAATAATAATATAGCTAAACCAACAACTCCATCACAGTCACAGTCAATATTGACCAATATAGATAATAGTCGTACGACAGGTTCTTCTGTGGTTTGTTCACCAGTCCTTTCATTTGGGGAGCAGGAATCAACGTCATTGCAATCGACACCGAGGGGAGAACTAGTCGCCGACTGCTTGGAGGATGAACAACAACGAGATGGCGCGACACCGTTATTGATGCCAAGTGACAGTCTCGAGACAATATCAACACCCAAACGCAAATCATATGGCGGAGAGGTATCAATAGAGTCATCAACATCTCTTTCCAGCTCGCATTTAATGTTTGATGAGATTATCGATGCTTTCCCAACCCCTCCAACTGCATGTTCACCGCCATCTACCACTTCTACCTCCAACAAACATAATTCTAGTGGTACTAATGCACACCATCATCATCACGGTCATCACCACCATAATAATAATCATCATCATCATCACAACCATCACCATCACAGTGGTGGTGGTAAAGGTGTACCAGCTGCCACATCTACGACAACCTCTACTACGACTACAACTACTACTACAAATACCACTACTTTAACTACACCCAACACTGCAGCAGCTCAACAACAATCATCATCATCATCTGTTTCATCGTCACCATTGTCACAATCTAATGGACATTTACCAGTTTTGCTAACAGTCAATACTGCACAACAACAAGCGGCCAGTCACCACCACCGACGTGGAAGTAGTACGACCAGCGGCGAGATTATACTATCACCCAAGTCAAGTGGCAAGACAGACCATCGCACCAATCTAATCAAAGAGATTGTATCGACCGAGTATGACTATATCAACGATCTAGATACCATCTTACAAGTGTTTTATAAACCTCTTCGTGACGAACTCAAACTTATCTCCAACGAAGAGTGTGCAAGTGTTTTCTCAAACATTGAGCAAATCCATCAAATCAACAAAGAATTGTATGAAAAGTTAACTCACAACAATCAATCTTCATCAATTGGTGAGGTTTTTTCTTTAATGGTAAATTACAAAAAAAGAAAAAGAATAATTAAAATGTTACAACTAAATTAATATAATTATTTCTATTCTATATTTATAGTCAAATTCTTTAGATGTATATTCTGTATATTGTAACTACCATCAAAAATCATTAGAAAGTTTAAATAGTCTATTAAAATTACCACAAGTTGAAAGCTTTTTTAACGTATGTAAATTAGAGATGTACATATGTTGTTGATTGACAATATGTATTTATTAATATTATTTTGTTTTGTTTTGTTTTGATTTTAGGATATATATTCAAAACCAGAATTAAGAGGAATGAATTTACATTCATTTTTAATTAAACCAGTGCAAAGAATTTGTAAATATCCATTATTATTAAGAGAACTATTAAAAGCAACGCCAAGTGATCATTGTGATCATTCACATTTATTGTCGGCGGTTTCACAAATCGAACAAATTGTTAATACCATCAACAAGGAAAAAATGGAAATGGAAACTTGGCAACGAACAATGCAAATTATACAATCTTTAAAAGGTTCAGAGGTATGAAAGAATATAATATCAATATAATATAATATTATATAAATATGTATGTATTAATATTTATTTTTATTATTTAGAATTTACAATTATCAAAAAGACAATTAATATCAGAAGGAAATATACAATTGATTGAAGGATATAATGAAAATATATCATTGTTTGATACCAAGAAATCGACGATCAAATATAAAAAAGGATTCTACTTTTTATTTGATGATCTATTTCTTTTCACCAAACAAAAGAATAGTACTAATTTCAAGTTGGTCATGGGAATACCACTCGATACTATTCTAGTACATAGTGTGGCTGCTACGGCCGACAAACATCTGATCAGTTTGGTAGAGATTGGTATCGGAGGTAAACGATGGACTTTTCTACCACCGTCCAAGGCCATCTGCCAAACACTACTCATCACCGTTCAGAAACTAATCGAAAAGAGTTGGGAATGCAGAGTATCCAATCCAATCGACAGCAGCGATCGTGCTGCCAGAGACTTGTTGTCTCCCACTTCTTCACCGGCCAACAATAGTACTCATTCTCCAAATATTCAAAAGAAAAAATTAACCCACAGGCTTGTTAAAAGTTTAGTTAATATTAAAAGTATGTAAAAAAAAAAAGAATATAAAAAGAATCAAACTTTATATCATTTCTAGAGATATTAATCAAAGATCTTTTTTATTATTTATAGTTTAAAAATATATACACTCTACTCACTTTTCAAGGTTAAGAAATTTATTATTTATATTATTTATTAAGTTATTTAATTACAGGTTTTTTTTTCCCCATCCATCCATCCATCCATCCATACCTAATAAACACAAACATTAATTCCATGAAGTGTAGGTTTAATTCCTTACTTCTTTTATTCAAATGTAAAACTATTTACAAGTCTGACAGACATCTTCAATGAACACTAATGGTACAACCATTTTATTATTCATTGATTTATAATTATTATTATTTATAAATAATATTTATTCAAAATTAAAAATCATTTGATAAGAAATTTAGTATTGCAGTTAGAAAATGATCACAGTTCAAAGATAAAGATTACTCAACATGTTTATGATAAAAATCTGTTGGAATAATAGACCTAGCTAGCAAAATGTCTATATTGTTGTTGGTGGTTACAAATGCTAATATAGATTGCAATCTTAAGAGAAAACAAGATAGCGTCATTGGATCAACTACCTACTCACCTCAAGATCACAGTCTATAGGGGGGAGAGAGTCAAATTTATCCTAAAATGGTTAAAATCAGTTAAACACAATGCACACACACACACAGACACACTGTTTTCACCACCAAAAGTGGTGATCATCTATCGATCATCTAAAATCACTACCATGTTAATAACACCAAGTAAGAAAAAGAAGATGGTACCATGCATGCAATCGTGTACTAATGTTTAATTTGTTTTGTTTTTTTTAGTAAAGGAACAAGAGAGGAGGAGTAGAGTATGTATGTATATATGGATGGATGACCAGGTAGCTAGCTAGCAAGCTAGTTGGTAGAGTAACAATTAATTAATTATGGAGGATTACTTTCTAGTAGATGGAATGTTAAATGATGTTGATGATGATGATGGTGGTAAATATTACAGTACTCGTGCTACTACTTACTTGTTACTAGGGAAACAAACATATAGCTTGTGATAACCCACCCAACAACAAAATCAACCCGCAGTAGCAGAAAGCAATTATGTATCTTTTGGTACCAGTAAGCCAGCCATCCAAAGTCAGACCACCAGTCGACATATTACATATCCGTCATGATGCTGTGATTGTCGCAAAATGGTTTGGTTGAGTGACTGATATCAATTAATAGACTTGCTGCACAAATCTGGTAAATATCAATTCAATATATATGCCCATCATTCACTTTTGTCACACACAAAAATACTAATAACAATAACATCAAAAAAATAATAATATTATTAAAATTGTACGAATAATATTTAAAATATTAGAATATCATTATTATTATTATTATCACAAGGATGATGATGATGAGAGGATGAGGAGAAGTGGAACCACATCAGTATCATCATCATCATATAAAAGATAGCTAGATGGGATGGGTGATAATCCATACATATAATTACTTTTCTATACTCCTACCTACTCACTCTACTCTACTCTCTGTGTATGACCTGAAAATTGATTGTTGTTTGTTTGATCAAATACATGGAAAAAACAGGAAAAAAATTATTAAAATAATATTATCCTTATCCTCTTCATACTTTACACTTTTGTTGTTGTTCTTGTCTTGTCTCTCTCTCTTTTGTCGTCCACCTTTTTTTTTAATTGGATCCAATAAAAGGATTATTAATATTACTAATAATTTTAATCTTTAAACAACAACAACAACAAATAATATGAATGTCAATTGGATGTTGCTCATCTTGGACTAGCTGCTATCCATCCGGATTGATTTTAATAATCCCAATCAATCAATCAAATATTCAGACATCCATACATCCATACATCAATATCCATCAATCAATATTTTCAGCCAGTCAGACAATCAATCAAACATTTTCAGTCAATCAACAAATCCAATCAATTTTTTTTGTTGTTGTTGTTTTTGGATTGGCGCCGACCATATTTAATTAATTTATTTGCTTTTGTTGCCACCTCACCTGGACTACTACTCTCTAGAGTATTAATCACACCCCACCATCACCCACCACCACCACAGCATCATCCTCAATCCCTGGTAGCATAGTAGACAACAACTACAATCAATCTTTTAAATAGTTTTTGATTTTAATAACAATAATAATATAACAAGAATAATAATAATAATAATAATAATTTTAAATTGCTGGATTATTCCAGCAGTAGCAATAACAACTCAAATAGATAGATAGATAGCCTGTCCTCACCTACTACTACTCCTCCTCCTCTTCATCACATCAATCAGTTAACTGCCATCCAAAGATATACTGGCATCACCATCTTTACCAAATTTAATTTTGGACAGTGTACCAGCAAACAATAACAGTATAAGCAGTAGCAGGAACATATATACCAAGTCAACAAAAACAAGGTTATCGAACCTGACTGATATTTTTAAACTGGAACAAAAAAAAAGGTGCAGAACTGAAGGATTAATAGAATAACTGCACAGTATACTCCTCCTACTCTTAATCCTATCAAAATTATTATTATTCTATCTATCTCTTTATATTACTTTGAAACCAATAACAACAACAACAATCAAACAAACAATAATATAATAACAACAATATTTTTTATTGTTTCATTTTCCAAAACAATATATCTTTTTTTAGATTTAATATTTTTGTCCTCTCCCGTTCTAAACCATCATCACTATTATCACCCTACCCACAAACACACACCGCTCCAGTCCAAACATTTTTGGTGGTGACTGAATTGACTGCCCGATTGTGTTGATTGATTGATTGATTGATTGATCACACTACCTCCCCAATCAACACAAAATTATATTTATATTTATATTTATCGTGCCGTTCCGTTTTACAACTGTAGAGTAATATTGACAACAATAATAATAATAATAGTAGTAATAATAATAATTGGTTAACAATACACTATTTATATTTTTGTCTCTTCTTTTTCAATAGAATAATAATTATTGGAGCTGCATACAACACCTGCAACCCTTCACTTTTAAACTAATATTACTTTTTATTCTATAAATATTATTTGTCCCTCCCATTTCCATCTGATTAATATTTCTATTTTGTCTGTCCCCCTTCCTTCCAACAAACAAAATAACCAACGAACCAATATATTAAATAATATATAAACACAATAGCCATACCAAAATTATCAAATAATAATAACAATATGAAGATTGTGTTCTATGCCATAGGATCCCGTGGAGATGTACAACCATCTTGTGTTCTTGGTAAATATGCAGCCACCATCACCATCACCACATCTTACCTCTCTCACTCTTTATTTCACTGTTGACATTTATAGAGTGAGTGAGGAATCGGATCAAATGCGTATAGTCAGTCCCTAACTGCTGCAAGTACTGTTTTTTGGGTATGTGGGTAGAGTCTGGATGAAATCAAAAGGACACCCCCTTTCCAACTACCACTACCACTACCACAACCAAAAACAGTGTCCACTGCGCAGAACCCGACCGATCTTTCGATCAGATGATAGATTGATAAATATAATTCCTCCATTTCCAAAATATAGACTAAAATTATTAACTTATTTTACTTTTCCTTTTCTTCTTCTATCTCTCTTTCTCTTCCTCCCCGCTGTATATCTGATCTATATTTTTGGTGTCTATTCCTTTTTATTGGAACATTCCTTTCAACTGCAAATGCTAATTTTTTGTGAACAATCAATGACTACCACCAACTAGCATCCGAATTAAAACAAAGAGGGCATAGTGTGAGAATAGTGACCGAGGAAAGATTGAAATATTTGGTAGACCAATTTGAAGGATTGGAATTTTGGCCGGTTCAAGGTGATGGCTGCAAACCACTATTTGATTGTCAAATGCAGTCGATGCTCAACGATGATGTGAACCGTAACCTGGAATATGTATATAACGAACGCAAGATACTGGATCTATGCACACCGGGAAGACTACAAACATTCTACGATGCATCGACCGATGTCGATATGATCGTTCCATCGGCACTCACAATTACCGAAGCTGTATGCGTGCATGACAAGCTTGGCATCCCCTATGTCCCCCTCCTCCTCCTTCCCACCCTTCCAACCGGATCATTTCCCCATATACTATTCTCTCATCATAGCTATTACTTTAAATTCCTAAACAAATTAACTTACAAATTAACTCATAATTATTTAATTAAAAAGTATGTCTTTTACTAAATATAATGTAATGTAAAAATAAGTATATTAATATAATATAATGAATAATGAATAATGAATATTTCAATCAACTTTATATTAATTACAATTATTTGTATTTTTCTTTCTTTTCTTTCTTTTCTTTTTAGTGAAGTTGAAAGAGTTGAAAAATGGAGAGCAAATGAATTAAAACTTGGCACTTTGAAAGATCCATTTAGGTTCATGTCTGAACAAAATCAAAATGTGATACTTGCCTTTTCAGAGAGACTGTTGCCCGGTGACAAGGTGCCAAGTGACTACTTTAGCAAATGGCATCTGACAGGCTTTTTGTTCCCCAAGCCCAACGTGTTCAAGGTGCCCGACAAGATCCTGAGGTTCCTAGACAATGGCAAGAAGCAGCCGATTGTGTTTAGTCTGGGGAGCATGCCCACGCCAAACCCACTCAACATCTACACGACACTCAGATCGGTGGTGCGCAAGTTGTCGACGCAAGTCATCATCATCAAGGGCTGGACAGTGTTTGACGACATGCAAGACGACGAATCATGTATATTTGTAGATGCCATCGACCACAATTGGCTATTCAAGCAATGTAGTTGCATCATCCACCACGGAGGTGTAGGAACGACTGCTGCCGCCTGGAAATCGGGTACACCAAGTCTGGTGACATGGATGTACTTTGACCAACCATTCTGGGGCAAACGAACCACTGAAATCGGGTGTGGCAAGTCTCTTCGTCTCCAATCAATCAACGAAACCAACCTTTACAACTCTTTGAAGGAGATCCTTCAGAATCCATCCTACAAGGCTAGAGCTATGGAGGTGGCTCATGAAACCAACAAAACCGATGGTGCTGCTCAAGCTGCAAACATTATCGAACAATCTTTTCAACAATATCAACAACATCAACATTTACAATCTGATTGTTCAACTACCTCTAAAATGAATGATGATAATAATATTAATAATAATAATATGCATCTACTTGTTGGTGATAGTAATATAAATAATAATACACTTCAATTGAGTAAATCTGTAACAACTTTAATATCATCATCTCCGGTTGATTCTCCAACCTAACAAACATATATATACATACATACATACATATAGAATACCTTTTACCTTTAAATAAATTAACTTTAAAGAATGACCTTGCAATCATGTTTTTTCAAAGATTAGTTGCAGTGAACTCTCAGCCGTTATTTTTTATAAGTATTAAACACGTATACTAAGAATCAAATCAGATGATTAAAAGTATACTAAATCAAAGATTATACCAATCTTCAATTAGATTAAATCATCATTCATCGTTGTTGAACAATGTAAACAACATTAATCAATCATTATTTAATCATAAAGAATGTTATAATTATCATTCAACAACAAGTACGAGTAAATCAAATGTATCATCATCATTATTTAAATCTTCATCTTCTTCACCTTTATCTTTATTATCTTCATTAAGATTAAACAATAACTTTGGTGGTTTATCTTCTAAAAGATGTTATTCAACTCAACCTTCATCTACAACTGCAACTACAACAACAACATCTCAACAACCAGAAGTTACAACTATTACAATGGAACAATTGATGAGTATATTACCAAAAGATGACCCATCATTGATAGAGATTACTGGACTGCCATCATTGATAGAGGTGTGTTTGAATGCACTTCATACATCGACAGGATTATCTTGGTTGGTGATTGTACCCGTATACACTCTATTGCTACGTAGTGCGTTGTTTCCATTTGCAATCAAACAACGTGTCAATGTAGCAAGAATCATGGAGATTAGACCACAACTAGATGAATTCAAAAGAATATCAAAAGAGAATCGAGCCAAAGGAATATCAAACTATGAAAACTCAAACAAGATTACAGCGCTACTCAAAGAAAAGAAGTGTCATCCAGCACTTTCATACATATTTCCATTGGCCAACTTACCATTCTTTATATCTACCATTTTGGCTATTCGTGGTATGGCAGAGACATTCCCATCACTAAAGGATGCTGGTATGTTGTGGTTTACCGATCTCTCTATACCAGACTCTACCTATATCCTTCCAGTCACTTGTAGTGTCCTCTACCTCGCAATCAATGAATTATCGCTTGCCAAATCAGATTCTCTCATTCTTAAAACTTTATCATGGTTTGCACGTGCTCTATCAATTGCAATCATTCCATTTAGTTATACTATTCCAAATGTATGTAGACCAAAAATACAAATATTCTAGAGTCTATTATTCATTCATTCTAATAATTATTATTATTATTACTTTCTAGTTGGTATATTTCTATTGGATTCCATCAAGTCTCTTTACACTTGGACAATTATTTGTATTCAAGTCAGAGAGAATGTGTAAATTATTAAATGCTCCATACTTTGCAAGCATGGCTCCACCCATTCAACAAATTATTTATACTCCTCAAAGCCCTCCACCAAAGGCTTCTAGTATTACCATTGAATCAGATGTAAATAATATTCAACCAGGTCGAAATAGTCATATAGTCAAAGAGAAATTTGAGAGAAAGAAAAAGAAATAGAAGATTACACTTTAATAAATCATTATTTGTTATTTTACAAGCCATTTTCCCATTGTTTACTTTGGGCCAATTTTCAATATTACTAATGTTTAAAGGGTGATTGATTCAATCAATAGATCATATTCATCATAAATTCGATGATGGACGGTAGGTATGCCATAATAATAATAATAAATACAATGGCGATAAAGATAAAGTATACTAGTTAGGATAGAATGAAAAAAAAAAAAAAAAAAGAATGTTAATTTGTTTTGTTTTATTTATTTAATGAAACTCCTCTTCACTATTTAATAATCATTCATGATTACGATTGGTTCATATTCTTTATTTACATATTTAAATATAATTATAATTATGTCACATCAACCATTTGTCCTCACCAACCAACAACCCCTCAACAAATCAGCCAACACTTGGAATTTGATGAGGACACTCAAAGAATGATTACCATGAAGGTTAATGGAAATGAGTTGTTTTCATGTACATCATTTGGAGACTTCGGATTTTTAGCTGGTCCTACTTCCCTATTGAAAAGTCTTGTTTATGACAACCAACAAGATAGTAAGTAATAATGGATTTAAATCATTTTTCATTAATATTTACTTCTTCTCCCTTTTAGAGATGAACTTGATAATTTTTTACAAATGATATCTGATAGATATGAAGATCAATCAATTGAAAATAAATTAAAAAAGGATATTGATTTATTATTCATCAAAGATTAATAATTCATTCATTTCCAATCGAATTTAAGAACTGGAAAGCAAGTATGAATTGATACAAACAATATTTTATTGATAATATTTCAATAGAAAGTTGGTTACCTAGGTACATATTTTTTCGTAATATGAATAGTTTTGAAAAATACTGTTTGAGGAGGTGATGATGATGGCGATATGGAAGGTGAGCTTGGAGGAGAGGAAGCAGGTGATGAAGAAGGTGACGATGATGCTGAAGAAGAAGAAAATGTATTGTCGAAATCCTCACTCGTTGAGTTATTCATCGTATTGAATACTGTTTGATGCGTGGAATATAAATGTTTGTTGTTACTATTACTATTGTGATGGTTGTGATGGTGATGACTGTTATTGTGATGATTATTATTATTTACAAAGGGTGAGGATGAGGATTGGTGATTATTAACAAGGTTATGATTATTATGATGGTGATTATGATTATGATTATTGCTACCACTACTACTACTACTGTTATGACTATGATGATTTTTATCTGTTGGTGAAGTTACCAATGAATTGCCATCACTGCTGCTGTTCTTGTGTATTCCATTTAAATTGAGATTCAAGTTGTGGTGGCTACCATGACTGCTACTACTTCCATTCATTGGAATGGAGCTTGGAGATAAAGGGTTGGTACCGCCGCTATTCGACCCTCGAGGTGAATAGGGAAGGAATGCGTTCCTCGGAGAGGTAGTGTTGGAGAGTTGGCCGTCGTAGAGTGGTGTACGCGGTGATTTAGACTGCAACGAGAACTGAGACACTGAACGGTTCAGTGGTGGCGGAGACTGCAGTCCCTCACCAGATGCCTGACTATTCATATCATTTAGCATTCTCGGAGAATACTGTAAAGATGATTGTGAATGTGTCCTAGTAATAAATGGAGGTCCACCACCATTTACACCATTTACACCATTTGATCCATTATTTCCACCACTACCGGTAAGGTTAAGATTTAGATTATGATGGTTATTGGTTTGGTGATGATGATGATGATGATGGTTTTTGTTTTTACTCGTCTTTGACCCAAAGATCGAACTTAGTATACTTCCAATCTTGCTGCCCAAATGGTGATTATGATTATTCCCACTACTGTTGCTGCCACCACTGCTACTATTGCTGCCAGTAATACTGCTACTATTGTATGACGCTGTTGAAGAGTATGTACTACTATCGATATTGGACGAAGTCAACTCCAAGAAATTACTATTACTATTTTCCATACTACCAATACTTTCTTCAAACCCAACAGTTCCAGATGGAGAATTCCCATAATAAACTGTTGAATCTACACTTGTCGTTTCATCATATTGATCATCAATATTTTGACTTGTATTCAATGATGGTTTCTTTAAATTTCCACTACTATTATTATTTCCATTATTACCATTATTATTTTCATTATTATTATTAATATTCATTGTCCCCATACTACTAGTAGTTGTTCTATGAATACTTTGACTACTATTTAATCTTCTTGGTCCCATTCTATGATACTCTTGACTGGATGAAAGCTTGTTTGAACTGTCATCCTTGTCGTTGTTGGTACTTGTCGCACTATTGTTTCTCAGATGACCTCTTGCATCGGGTCCGCCGCCAGACCGATTTTCACTGTTGATTAGAGATTCCAAGTTTCCTGTACTTGAATTGGTTGTGCTGTGATAATGATGGTCAGAGCCAGCCGGCGACGAGAATGGGTTGGCAGACGCCGACGGCGCAGTACTCTGGTTACTAAGTGTAATATTATTGATGGGTGTCATAGTGTCACCACGATGATGTGTCTTTTTAACAGGGTTCGCTCCATTTTGTTGTTGCTGTGACTTGTCATTATTTAAATGTCTCTTTAAAAAGTCTAAATGCACCTGATCCACCACCTCCTCATTAGCCTTTTGTTGAGGGTTCCGACTCGATGTCGTAGGAGATGATGCCGATTTCTTATTCTTTTTAGATCCACCATTACCATTAATATTACTTTCATGATTCTTAACATTTGTTATCATTTCCTTTAAAAAATTAAATTAGAGTTAGTAAATTAATAATTACCAATTATATCTATCTACATACTCTATACCAACTAGTGTATCCATCAAAACTTAATTCAATTTTGAAATCATCAACTATATTATTATTATGATCCTAAAACAAAGTAAAGTAGAAGAGTCAGTTATTTGTGGAATGATTGTATTGGATTCATTTAGTTTCTACTTACAATATGTTCTTGATTATTTAAATATTGAAAAGGAGTAACTGCACATGTTAGAGATTGAGCAAAATCAGTTTCTCTTTGCTTTAGTTTGAAATATAGTTCTACTTCGGCGGCATTTGACATCTTTCTATCATGTGGATGTCTTTCGCTTTCAAGTAGTCTCTTGGTTGTTGGGATTGATACAGCCAAGTTCTTTTTTAACTTTCCTTCTCGACTATCAGGTGGTAAATCAAATGTTACATTGTGTCCATTACTATTTGCATGATTACTACTACTAGTATTATTGCTACTGCTATGATTATTACTATTACCATTACCAATTCCTCCAAGACTAGCATTACTACTACTATGTGTTAGGTGTCCATTAGTACTACTACTACTACTACTATTAAGAGTTGATTGGTTGTGGTGGTGGTCGGTCACTTGCTCTTGTATCGTTACTCCTCCTTTACTCTTTTTCTTGTCACTACTACCAGTGAGTTTCTTTCTTGAAAGTAACCCCATCTTGTATGTATCTATCTATGTATGTATCTTTTCTTGTCTCGAAGAAGAAGAGGAAGAGGAAGTCTAATATTTTACAATCGTTGTCGTAAGACTTTACAACAACAACTATTACTTTGATGTTATCTTATTACTGTTGGTTGACTACTATGATACTATTGTATTCTATTTTACACTATACTATAATTCTATTCTATTACAATGTTCTTTGTTCATTACGATGGTGAACGGACGGTAGATCTGTGTATTATCGGACAGTGAGTGTTCTTGTTCTATCTATTTGTTTGTTGTTCTGTTTCAATCTAATCTTACTATACCCCTATGACGGGGGAGAATAAGTCTACTCTAATGAAATAATAATAGTAATAACAAACTATTAATATATATATATATATGATGTGTAATAATAATAAATTGGTACCGCAGTTTTTCCTTGGAGGAAGTTTTTTCCCCCCCCCCCTTTGTCCAAAAATTTTTGCTATTCAATTTCATTGGACGGCAATCAATCAGTTGCCATGTACCAAAGATATGATACTTACTTGATCTACAGGTAATTAAATGTGATTACCTAGGTGTAATTAATGATTCATATCCTCTTAAAGATATTGTTGGATTATGATGATGAAGAGGAGATGGATGGATACATCGATCATTCATTCATCGGAGAATTATGTGATGAAACAATCAAATAATAATAATAATAATAAATGTCAGTATCAGTATCGATTCAAACAATATTGTTACACCTAAATATATAAAATATGTACTTTTATTAATTTAAAATAAGGGTAAAATCTTGATAATAAATTTTGAAGAGGCAAAAACTAAATTGCACTCATTTCATGTTGCAAACCTAGTTTTTGTTCGGTAGTCATCTTGATCCACTAACAAACACATCTAGATCATTGTATATCAATATATAGTATTCAGAAGAGATTAGATTAGATTAGATTCATTCATTCATCATTGTCATTGTCATTATCATTGTCATTATCTATCACATCTAGACGATGCCTTGTATATTAAAGGTTAGAATAGGTGAGGGTAGAGACCTACCGATTATGGATAGGTCGTCTGCCCTTGCCGATGCCTATGTAGAGATAAGGTGTGGACAGACTGATCCTCAAAAGACTGATATTCAGAGAAAGACTCTTAATCCCGTTTGGAATCAAGACTTTAGATTCGAGTTTGCCAATGAAGCTGATCTTCAAGATAAACCATTGGATATTAGGTATGAAACATCAATGAACAAACAACAATGAACTGAAACAATAAGTTACTCATATATATATATATCTCTCTCTCTCTTTATTCATATATATATATATTTTAGAGTTTGGGATTATGATTTAGTTAGTAAGAATGATATCATTGGAACTGTATTGATTGATTTAAATTGTCTTTTAGCATCAGATGGAGCCATTCAAACTATTCAAGGTTGGTTTCCTATATTTGATACATTGAGAGGTATCAGAGGTGAATTGTTTGTAACTGCAAAGTTGGAGATATTCAAGAATGAGAACCCTTTCAAAGATGCATCTGCCGGTGTACAATTCTTTTCAAGTATGTCCAATCATCATTCAATAATTCATTGTATATAGATATTCTAACTTTACACTCTTTTTGATCATATGTATGTAGTATCAACACCATTTTCAAATTATCGAATCTCAAGTATACATGGATTCGTAGAGGAATTGATTGTTGAAAGTGATCCTGAATATCATTGGACCGATACATTCAAAGCTTCAAGATTATCAAATTTTGAAAGACAATTTCTATTATATACTTTATCTGGGTATGAACAAACTATACATGTATTCAATGATTTTAAGAAAATATATAGATACTAATCTATTTATTTATTTATTTTTAGTAAATTAAGAAGACAAATGGGAAAAAAAGTATTGGATATGGGAGGAAATGCAGTGTTGGAGTATAAACAACATTTTGATTTGGAGGGTGACAGTGGTATTGTTGCTCGTGGATATGGGACGGCTGTGACGTTGAGAAGGGTGACAGATGCTGATTTGACATCACCGTCGTTGTTGTCACCAAAGGTGGCTGGTGGAGGTGGAAGGGAGTTGGTGACTTCATCTTCATTTAGTTCGACGCATTCATCGACACACTCTTGCTCGTCAGATGACGACCATCACCATCACCACCATCACCACCATCACCACAGTGACAGTAGTTCGAGCTCTAGCTCTAGTTCAAGTTCAAGTTCGTCTGATGACGATCCGTTGGTTCCGCACACTACCGGTGGGTTGGGATCACACGAAGTACAGTTGTACACACTCAACACGTTTCAAAATCATTTGGTGGTGCATATTGGAGGTGTCGTCAGTGTAAAGTCGGTCAAGTTATTGAAAAAGAGTAATTCACAAGAGAAGCGTGACTCGTTTTGGAATGAGATACGTAACGAGATAAAGACACATGCGCATGCGTTGGGATGCACTCATATTGTGGGGTATACAGAGAGCACGGCCATTCAGCAGAGTGAGGATCTGTGTATCTTTAGTGCGACGGGTACGGCTGTCGTGCTCGACTTGACCCCCATTTATGCGCACTTGTCGCGCAAGATGTCGCGTGTGGACGACTCGTCAGAGGATCTGACGGGCAGCTACAAGAAGCTGGCGATCCAGCCGAGCGCGGGTGCGAGCGTCGGCAGCTACGGCAGCAACCGCAAGCCAATCACCCGCAGCGGGTCGGTGAGCGGGTCGATCGACGAAGAGGGCAGTTTCCAAGAGACGCTCTTTCGTCGCGCGACACACCAACAGCATCAACAGCAGGAGAGCAGCGGACGTGGACGACGCGGTACACGACACACCAAGCATGGACATGGACGAGAGGCTGATTGCGCAGTCTGCCATATCCCGTATAACCACGAGACATCCCCCTTTGGCAACCAGCACTACCGCTGCTCCATGTGTAAAAAGAACTATGTCCCCGAGATCCTCCTCGCGACCATCGAGATACCCCCCGGCACACCCGTCTCGGGCAAGGGGTGTCTAGTGCAGTCGCGTGTCTGTAGAATCAAGAAAAAGGGCACCGGTGGTGACTCGGCCACACAGCTGTCCGACTCGGTCCCCTTTATCGAGTACGACCTCCACAACCAGCTCATGTACAAGCTTAAAGTGCTCGGTATGAACGCTGCATTTGGTCTCAAGACCCAGATCACCTTTAGCGACACGCTCGTCATTGGCGTGGCGACCGCGACCGCCGTCTTTTTGACGCCACTCCCCACCCCACCCGTGCTCCAAATTGCACGAAACATCACCGAGAATGAAGACAGCAAGTTTTTGCAGCTGCTCGACATCCAGCGCAAGATCGAGGAGCTGTGTCGCTACAACAATGCACAACTGCAGGGTGCACCCAAAACCATCACCCCCGATACTTTTGAGCGATACAACTTTGTACAAACCAAACAACATGGACACAACCATCACCACCACCATCATCATCATCGTGGAAAGTCGCCGGCTGGATTGTTGCTGTCAAATAGCGAGACGGAGGGATCGAAACAACCCGCAGCAGCAGCCGGCACAGATTCAGCGACAGTCGAAGAAGGAGACAGTACATCTGAAGGACAACTATCCAAGAGTGACGAGAAAAAGTCTAGAAAGCATCTCAAACAATCCAAACAACAACAACAACAACAGACGACAACATCTAGCAGCAGCAAAAAGAAGAGTAAAAAGAGTAAAAAGTTCTATTACAATCATACATCTTCGAGTGAGAGTGATGATGATAATGCCAACTACAAGAGGAAAAAGGGTGCTGGTGTATTATCATCTGCCAAAAAGAAGCAACAGCAGGCAAAGAACAAATCATCATCGTCATCACGTAGAAAGCGTATCACCCAATCATATTATGATGATGGAGATGATAGTGTTGTGCATACAGGTACATTGTCATCGTCGTTTGACGCAGCTGCGTCGATAACTGAGGATTCGACTCATGATGAATCGCAGACTTCGTCGTCGGATGAGAGTAGCGATGAAGGTGTGGTGCGCCATCACCACCGCTCGCGTCGACATATTAACCAGAGTTCGGGCCCATCTATCCGTACGGCCAGCTCGTCGATCAATGCAGGTCGCAAGTCGTCGTCGTCGTCGAAACACACGTCGGAGCGTCAGATCAAGCAGAGTCGACTACGCGCCATGTCATCATCGTCGGGTGAGGAGGACACGTTACCTTCACTCGACAAGGGTAATGATGCTAGCAGCACGTTTGTCGTTGAAGTGGACGACAAGACCGATGAAGACAAGATGACGACACTACTCGACTTTTACACGCCTCCTGGATTCTCGTTGTGCAACACCGAGGTGCAGCCTGGCCAGGTTAGACCGATCCAAAATGTTCGTCTCATCACTGCGATCCGTCGTGTCGAGTGGGATGTCGACAGTCAGTACCTCAACAAGCAGTTGTCGGTATTGTTCAACTCGTTGTACGATTCCATCATGTTTAAGCTGCGCGAACTTGCCCCATGCATCATTTGCGGGTTGAATGTGGACATTGAAATACCCGAAGACGACCAGCTGCAGATGTTGATCACCGCAATATGCGTCATTGAGAATGAAGACTATCTTTTGATGCCGTCCTCAACATCAACCATGCAGATGCAGCAGTTGTACCAGCAGACACCCCCACAAATGGCCGACGCTGCACTACCCATCCCACCACCCATATCGTTGTCGTCGATGGCCGGTAAACTCAACATCCCCCAGACCATCCACGTGCCTTCCCTCACCCCACCCGCACCTTCCACACCAGCTGTCACGTCGGTCAACACACCGTCCAAATCACCCCACCACCACAACAACCACCATCATCTACTCCATTCACTCGACCAAGTTGCTTCACAGGATCCGGCCGACCTCCAATTCGACATGTCTCCTCCACGGTCACCCATGAAGCGGTCAATCGACGTGTCGACGCACAACGAACGTATCTACGAGCTATTTGGGTCGCAACAGCGTGTCGTCGAACACCGCCATGTCGAACTGACCCCACTGTCCTATCTTCCAGGATGTCGTATGGAAAAGTATCTCGGACGTATCAATATCCATCTCATCAAGGAGAGTTTCTCGGTGCGTGAGAGTGGTGGTCTCGGTGTGTTTAGTCATGTCTTTATCACCGAAGCCAATGCCATCACCCGATCCCAGGTACTCAGTCTTGGAGGCAACGCTCTCGTTGGCTATCACATTGACGAGTTTAATCTCATCCTCGATTCTGGGCCCAAAGGACAAGCCTATTCACTTATTAGTATCAGTGGTGATGCTTATTACTCTACACCAATTATTCAACAACAACCTCAACAACAACCCCCTCAAAGTGGTAACATCAATTCAAGTACAAATCCAACCAATATTGGTAATACATTTACACCTATCAACAATTCATCTGGTATTCCCAATGTTGTATCAACTTCTGGTCTTTTAGTTCAAGAACCAACAAAGAAACAAATGATGGCATCGAAATAATACTTTAATTTAATTTCTTAAATCTTTTTTACAACAAAACAATATATAATATAATATATAATAATATTCCCAAAAAAACATTGTAAATAAATAAAACTCTCTTCATATATTAATATATATAAATAAATATAAATAAATAATAATTAAATTAGTATTTATTTATCTATATACAACCATCCCATTTTGGGTTTTTAAAATTGTGTGTGGAGGATGAGTCATTGGTCACAAACAGTCTGTTCAAATTTTAGTATAATACTTGATATCATCTGAATGATTCACTGTGTATTCGATTAACAACAACAATTAAAGCAACTGAAAGATTACTTTTATTGATAGTATCATTGTTGGTTGTTGTTATTCTCAGGCTATTATCAAAACAGAGCTTTTACAAAAGATTCTTGACTATTTGTCGTTATATATTTATAAATATAAATAGGTAGGTGATTCAGTGAGTAACATGACTCAACCTTTGGGTGATTCATCGACTGCTGTGTTTCAAAGCATTTAAAAGGATGAAGGAATCAACAGGAAGAACATTCATTCATTCATTCATAGTATATCATCAACTTACTCATCATCAAGTTTCTTTACCTATCCCTATTCCCTCTCTCTCTTTCTCTTTCAATATATATACAAATAATGTTTTTATTCGATTGGATCAATGCATTTCTTAACTGGTTAGGGTTCCTCAAAAATGAAGGTAGTTTAATTATAGTTGGTTTGGGTAATGCTGGAAAAACAACCTTTTTGTAAATATATATATTATTGATGAGACAAGACAACAATTAAATTATCTATATTAATATTATTATTATTATTATTAATTGACAGATCAATTATTTCACATGATATACTCAAGGCTCATATGCCAACACTTAGACCACACCAAGATAGTTTTGTAAATATTATTTAAAATATATTCAATGGAAATAATATTTATTATTATTTATATAATGTTATTATTTATTAATCTATTTATTACTATGATTTATTTAGACACTTAAAAATATCCATTTTAATGCATGGGATTTAGGAGGACAACAAAATTTAAGAAAACTATGGAGAGATTATGTTACTACCGATTCGAATGATATTGTTATATTTGTGGTAGATTCGAATGATCGCGATTTATTGGGTGAAGCCAAGTCTGAGCTACACGATGTTTTACAGTACAGTGGTAGTCGACCAGTACTCATTATTGGCAGTAAACAAGATATCAAATCATGTATGACACGCGACGAATTAATCCAAGGATTGGATATTGGCGACTATGTCACCGGTCTAACCACCGCACCTAAAATAGTTGATGTCCTCGTTTGTTCAAATGTTACTCGTCGTGGTCTACCCCAAATCATGAATTGGATTACTAAATGTTTTGAAATTGCCTATATCAAATAATAAATACAAATACATGTACTATCTCTATCTATCTTTCTTTCTTGAACATCACCAACTTTGTAACGTTCATGTCTGAGCAAAGCTGCAGAGAGAGAAGAAATTCGAAAAATAAAAAAAATTAAAAAAAAAAAAAAAACCAAGTGAGACTTGGCACACTCACATTATGATGGTGATCATTCATTCATTGTGTTAAGTAGTGTACTAGATCTTTAAAGATATACATATATATTAGAGAGAGAGAAGAGATGATCAGATCAATCGTTAGCAGAACAAGCAGTTTAATCAACAAGAGCAGTGTCAACACATTCGCCCGTAGAACATACGCCACCGATGCTGGTGCCAACGAGGAGCTCTTGACCTTCTCGTTTATGGTGCCACACCAAGTCATCTTTAAGGACAAGAAGGTTCAGATGATCACTTTGCCAGGTGCCAAGAGCGTCATGGGTGTTTTGAAACATCACGTTCCAAATATTGCAGAGTTGAAGCCAGGTGTCGTCGCCATCCAACACGATGCCAACACCACTGAAAACTACTTTATCAGCGGTGGCTTTGCCTTTATCAACCCAGATGCTTCATGCTACGTCAATGCCGTCGAGGCTGTCCCACTCGACCAAATCGACCCAACCGAAGTCAAGAATGGTCTCCAAAAATATACTCAACTCTACAATGAAGCTGTCGACGAAAAGGATAAGGCTATAGCTTTGATTGGTTTGGAAACTCACCAACATATGGCTCATGCTGTTGGTGTTACTTTGTAAATCTTTCTCTTCTTCCCTTATAATAATAATAACAGTATTTTAATAATAATAATCACAACAACAACAACAAACATAATACAATTAACAAACAAATATCAAATATAATAATAATAGTAGTAATAATATAATAATGATTCGAGAGATATGTACAACGACTCTTTTTAGACAATTCAGAACCTCTCTTGCGACCATCATGATCATTTATCTCTATTACCAATGACGATTATTATACTTGGTAGTGGGTACAACAATACAATGTTTCACTCTACAACAACAACAACAACAACAAAACAACAATATACTAAACCAACCAACTCTTATAATAATAAATTAAATTTATAAATCAAATGTTGTTGTGATCTTCATCATCTATAATCCCCATCATCACCTGGGTGATTAGATTACTTTGTTGTTACATTCCAATCTTTTTTACACTTAGATTTTTTATTCTGGTCAAGTTATTGAATCTGTACATCTCGTGATCAACAATAGGATTAGTAGTAGCAGTATCTAGTTTGTTGATTAATTATTAATTAGTAGTTTAGCAGCAGAAATGTCCTAATTTAGGTTGTGCACGTGACCAAATCAAGTAAAATCCATCAGATCAGAAGGTTGTTTGTTTGTTGGCTTGCAAACGAGTTTAGCCTAAAAACGACCCTCCAAAAGGTCAACCCACACGCGAGCCTCGACTATTGATGGTTTGGTTGACCACCCTTTGCACTAACTATTTAAACATCATCTTATCTTACCATTTGTCAACAAATATAACAAACAAAATATATTTATAAACATAGAAAGATAGATAGATAGATAGAATGAAAGCATTAATTATTGTTGATATGGTAAATGACTTGGTATCAGGAGTACTAGCCAATACTGAAGATGCAAACAAGATCATTCCCCAAATTAAAAAGTTGGTTGATCATGCAAGAGCCAATAAGGATTGGTTGATTGTCTATGCCAACGATGCACATCACGAAGAAGATAGAGAAATGCAAGTTTGGGGTAAACATGCCATGGAAGGCACTGAAGGTGCACAAGTCATTGAAGAATTAAAGCCAATTGGTGGTATGTACATAATATAGATAATATAATATTATAGGCTATTGATTGATTGTTGTTTTAATTAATACTAAATATTATCTTTATCTATATTTTTGTACAGGTGAAAGAGAGATAATTTCACCAAAGAGATTTTATGGAGCATTTGATGGAACTGGATTAGAAGAGGTAATGAAGAGTCATGGAGTTACAGAGACTGTTTTAGTTGGACAACACACTCATTGTTGTGTTAGACATACTGCCTATGGATCGTTTATGCGTGGATACAAGATTGTTGTTCCATCGGACGGTGTTTGTGTGTTCCCAGGTGTCGATAACCAAGCTGCTCTAGATTATTTAAAGAATATTTATCTTGCTGAAATTACAACTACAGATACTATTATTGCTGCAAACTAAATAAACAAAAAGTAAACTTTAATATTATTTAAATTTATACCCTTTTTTGACAAGTTCAAAGACTGATGAAAAAAACTAAAGTTTCATTCTTTCATTTTAGTTTAATATCTGTAGAGAGATAGAGAGAGAGAGAGAGAGAGAGATGAGTAGTAGTAGGAAAGATGAACAACACATTGATGAAGAATGGGAAGATATGATTCCTACATTGAAAGATGCTTCAAATGGTATATTGATATTGACATTATGAATATAGACTCGAAAACTAATCAAACGATCAAACGATCAATCAATCAATCAATTAATAGAAATGAAGATAGGACAATTGATTCATTCGAAATCATTTTATTTAGATAGTGCTACACTTGCACTTGAGATTGGTAATACCAAGTTGGATAGTTCCTATGACCCAGAGCTGTTGGGTGTGACACCACAGTTGTTGTGGGAGATGGGAAAGGTACCAAAAGATACTACTCTATCGATTAAACAAGTCATTGAATTGATTGATACTTTAATGGGATTAGAGGTATGTTATGGAGGATAAACAAATAGTAAATTGATTGTCTAGTTTTATTTACCATTATTATTATTATTATTGATTTTAACTTATTTAGGTTGGATGGATTGAAGGTAACCCTATATCATTTACATTATTCAATTGCATGTATTTACATGTATACAAGAAATTAGAAAACAAATATTTGTCAACCTATATCAAAATGTTATTATTATCTTGTGATGTTTGTTTTACTCATGTATCAAGAGGTGATATTTGTTTGGTAAGTTACAACAAACCTTATAGAAACTATCATTTAGAATGATCCTAATCCTCTAATCTCTCCTTTTTTGTTTCTTAGGAAGAAGATTTTAGTATGGCAACATTTGATTTTGATTATGCAAGTGGAGAGAATGCAATTGAATTAACAAAGAGAATCAATGAATTGGAAAATGAATTGGGTACAGAAATTAAATCTTTGGAAGGAAAAGAAGATTCTTTTGATACCATTAATGATTTAAAAGATTTAGCTGAAAGATTATCATTTAGAAAGGTAAAGTTAAAAAGAAGAAAAGAAACCTATATTATTATTATTTTGATTATTTACATTTACATTTTTATATTATATTTTATTTCTATATATATAGAGTTACTATATTGTATTATTTTCATTATTATCACCAAATATGACATTGGCAACTAAATCATTGGCCAATATTCAAATTGTTTTACAATCATTGAAAACAAAGGCATCAAAGCGAACTGCTGCTGCCAAGGTTAATTTACCCGATGGTATTTTCAATCCACAAGTGGTCAATCAAAACATGTCTTGTATGAAATTCCCAGTCTATGTACCACGTAGTCACAGCGCAGTGATTGACTATTTTGACAAGATGATGAGCGACATTGGATCGGTGTTCAAGATGCCCTATGTGATGGAGTTTTACCAAAACAAGCCAGCTGCATCGTCCAACAAACAACAACCACAGCCACAAAACAATTTGTCGCGATTGGGTATTCTCGAGATACTAGACTACCACTTGTACTTTAGTAAATTGACACCACACATTATCGTGCGATCGATCATGCGTCGTCTACTCTTTCCCAATCCCACCCAACAGTTTTTCAGAGCCAATGACTTGCAACACGCTCTCTTGGACTGGATGGGAGATTTTGGTGTACCCTTTTCGTACTTGACCAACAAGGAACCCGATTTCCAAAAGTTCCTCGATCACTTTTCTGTTGCCTTTCAAAAAATACTCATCAACACTGCACTAAATCGCGCACGTCAACGTAGAAAGCTCCGTTACTGTCTGTTTGACCTTTCGATTCTTCAAAACGAGGCTGACATGATCGACAATAACCTCGCCAAGGACAAGACACAAATCTCTCTCATGTTTGGCAGCTTTATCATGCAGCTCAAGGTCAAGTTGATGATTCAGTACTTGATGTTGGGTTTTGAGCTCGAGCTCTATTCTCCACACGAGTATCAGTTGATCTACTGGTACTTGGACTGTCTCACCAACGTGCAAATCACAGTGCACCACTACACTCACAACCAAGCCATCAAGATTGTCCAATCTACACCCAAGTCTAAAAAGGATGCCAAGAAATTGGCCAAAAAAGGAGGCAAAGAAAAGCAGTCACCAAGTCTGCCGGTCCAAGCAAGAATGCTCCCGCTGCTGCCAACAAATCAAACAACGCAAATCCACCACAACCAGAGATACCACCAGCAACTCCCGAGAGATTATTAATTCAAGCACACAGACTTGTATGCAAGTCAATGTTTAGAGTCATGACTGTTATGGAAATCATGGAAAAGGTCAAAAAACCAGACAGTCCATTCAGTTCACCAACCATGCGATTCCTCAAGCGATTCGACATATTCAACAACCCTCCTTACCAACAACCAGAAGCTCTCACCATCGAACAATTCAACGAGGCCTCTGACCCAAAGGGAAGCAGTGCCTTTTCTATTTTGGCATCTGTCATGGAGTTGACAAAACTTGTCAAACAAACTTTGGAATCTTTTAACAAATTCGAACCTGCTCCTCCATTTTATTTAATTGAAGAGTCTAAATTAATTCAACGTGTATGTATAAACAAAAAAAAAAGTAAAAAGGTAAATAATAATTAACTCTGTTTTTTATTTCTTTTCTTTTTTTTAGGCAAATTTATCTTTAATTTTATTTATTCTTAAATTATTACCAAAAGAACATGAATCATTACCAGCAAATACTGAAATTAATACACCAAAGGGATCATTAGTCTTGGATATTACAAAGGTTTATTATCCAGGTTTAAAGATTGAAGAAAAAAAATAATTAATAAATAAATAAAATAGAAAAGATCGAGTAAGACTTTAACAATATTTAATTAGTTTGAAGCGTTAAAAATATTAAATAAATTTTTATTTACAATTTTGTTGTTGTTTTGTTGATGTTGTTGTTGTTGTTGTTGTTGTTGGTTTGGATGGTCATACAACAATAGTTTTCTTGAAAATGGTTTTTAAAAAGACCATACCAATAAATTTGACTAAATTATTCTATATATTTTAGTTCACTGTGCACAAGGAGGGTTGAGGATGATGAGGTTGATAATTTGTATATATTATTTAATGATCCAAACAACAATTATTATTTTGGTAAAAAAAAGATTAAGCAGTCTTTTTCGATTGCATGTAAAAAATAAATACGGTGAATGTTGTGGTAGTGATTTTTGTTACCAATAAATAATAATTGTTGAATATGATGAAATAGGATTGATAAAGTTGTTGAATCTGTTGGGTTTGGTTACGATAAAATATTTGTGAGTGTGAATGAGAGAGAGAGAGAGAGAGAGAGAGAGATCCTGGAAAATATTTTGATTCTACTAAAGTTTGGACATCAAGTTGCCTTGATTAAATGAAGGACGCATTTCAATAAAAGGAGAGGTTGGTGAACAGTATCTTGGTGTTTGCATTGACCACATTCTAGAACCACTGATGAGAAAATGAAGATGATCGAGCATAAAGTAAATGTCTTGTTGTTGCTTTTCATTTTCAAATGGTTCGAGTGATTTGAGGAACGATTCTTCGTTGGCGAGGTAGTCTTGGACAAAAAAGTGGATGAGGTTGACCATGTGGTTGTAACTGTCGGGAAGATTAAACTTTCTTTGTTGTTGGAAAAAATAAAGAGGATTGAGTGCGCCGGCATTATCATTGACCTCCTTTTCATACGATACCAAATCATTGATAAGCGTTACAACAATGGCAATGTTTTCATTCATCTTGACCCATCTTGGCGACGACCAAATCGAATGATCCAAATAATGATCGATAAATACTTCTGACAATGTAACACATGGATAAGCTCCAATATTAATCTTTCTCAAGAATGAATATAATTCTATATGTGGTGATCCTCCATCCTAAAAAAAATTAATAAAAATAGAAATAAATAATTAATATTTAAATAAAGTAATTAAATATCTATTCTTTTTGTTATTTTCTTACTTTAACTTTGTTAAATGGAATGATTGAATCTATCCATTGAACACAACTTGTAATGAAACGATTGAATGTATCTCTTCTTCTTTTACCACACATTTCAAGACACTTTTGACGGAGTCGGTAGCCAACCTTTTCGGGTCCAGAGGCATCGTCACACAATGTTCCTTCCATGAATACGGCACTCATACGACGGACAATTTCCAAACTCTTGGTGTCATCATAGATTCCAGAGTCAAGGGCATCGTCAAAGGTAAAGAACCACAGCATTAACTCTCCACCCATGACCAATCTTTCAAAGTCGACTGTTGGCCAAAAGAATTTGGAGAGGCTGACTACATTGTTGTGTGCTACGATATCTCTCTTGTTATCAGGTCTCCATACACCAAATTCCAAACCTTCTTGGTATACATGATCGACATACGATGTTGGATTTGGTTTTAAATTCCAATGGACTGGAAACTTGATTTCGTTTAATGATAACATTGTTGAAATGAATGGTTGATTGATGATGATGATGAAGGAGGGAAGGTAAAAATGAATGAAGGAATGATATGATTAATAACTTGATTTTTGTAAAGTAGAAGGAAGCTCTTAATGATCGGGTTTAAGTGATTGATTTGATTTGATATGATATAGGATTTTATATAAAACGTCTCGTGTGACCTAGAGTTACAAACAATCAAATAATAAATAAAAATAAATTAATATATAAATAAATATAATTGAATTCAAGGGAAAATAAATAGACAAGTGTGTAGTAAAGGAGGGGAAGGGAAAGGGTATGGTTATATGAACCAAAATTAAACGAGTGGTCGTGTGATTGACCAAGTCAAGAAGTTGTAGGGTGGGAGAAAGACTTTTTAAAAATGTCTATGTTGGCCACACCCGGGATAAAAAAGGTGATGAGGTTGGATTTTTGGATGGTGTTGATCTTGCGTCAGATCAATCTCGGGGGTTTTTGTGTTGATTTTGCAAAAATGTGGGGGCAAAAAGTGAGTAAACAAGTAAAGAGGAGAAAGGAAACGGTTTTCCAATTGATTCGAATATAGATGTTTCAAGAACCCCCGATTCGATCACTCTAAGCTTGACTAAAAAGTTGACTTGACAGATTTTTGAGGTTCAAACCACCAGATTTTTCACACAGAACCATCGATCGGGTCGGTCGCCTTTTAGTTTCGGAGCAATATTAAACAAGAGACAGATAATAAATATTTAGTAGAGATAAAAAAATGTGAATTGATAATGGTCTGAAGAGTGGATATAAAGTGTGGTTGGGGTTTGAATAGGATATTAATAAATAGCTAAAAAAGAAAGCGACAACAAAAATAGCTGGTTCGGTTGTGATGGTAGGTAATAAAATAATCATTTTGGATAAACATAAATAAATGAATAAAATAGTGTTAAGGTGATGGATGGATGGATGGATAGGGTGGATGGTTCATATCCAACTGACTTTGATTTCTTTCTTTCTTTCTTTCGTCATCATGCCATCAAAAATTTTGATTTCTTTCGAATCACATACCAAATAATGCAATGCAAGTTTAGCTTGCTTTTGGTTAAAAAAGAATCACAACCGTTTTGGGAATATTATTTTTTTAAAAAAGTGTCTAGACTTGCTTGGGGAGGATAAGTATAGAAGGATCGCGATATATTGGTGAATGAGAAAAGGAGGAAAAAAAAGTTTTGTACAAATATCAAAATGAAAAACCAAACTAACCGATTTGATTGGATGATATTATTTTATAGCAAATGCTGATGAAGTTGTGTATGTGTGAATCTGGAGGAAACTAGTCTAAATCAGCTGCTATGCACTACCCACTACCACAATCACCACTATCCTAACGAATATTCCAGTTACGTAGTTGTAGTATAGTAGTAGCAGTAGGGATGATGATAATTGATTAAAACGATAACATAGATTTAGGGTGATTGGTTGGTTGTTGGTAATGTAAGTTGGTTGATATTTAGTCAAGGTTGTAGTTTATACTTGCGTATACTCACACTCTTTTTGTTGATTTACTAGTTTTTCAATTTGTATGGATGATGGAGTGGTGGATGGATTATTTTTTTTTTTTTTGTCTCTGGATGGGAAATCAATATTTTACAAGTTGTGATTTATATTATATTATTTTATATTTCTGATTGGTTATTGTTGTTATTGTTGTTGTTGTTGGTAGGCTTTCTATAGTATTGTTGTTGTTTGACAGTTGTTGTTGTTGTTGGTATGATGAAATGGGTAGACCTCGAGAGAGAGAAAAAACAAACAAACTAAAAATTGGAAACAAGGGTTGGGTTTTGTTATTTGTTGTTATTGTTATTGTTGTTGTTATTGGATGCAGCAAATGAGTAGAAAGAGAAAAAGACAATGTAATAGTGTGTGGGGACAGACGGACAGACGGACAGACAGACAGACGGACGGGTGGTGGGTGGCTGATATTTTAAATTCCTTCCAAAAATAAACTACTATGATGCTTTTTATAACATTACCAACATCATCAACAATATAATAATAATAATAATATTTACTTCTATAGATAGGTATGGGGGATTTTGTTAATTGTGATAATGGTTGTTGGTTAGCTTGTTGATAAGTTGTTGTTGTTGTTGTTGTTGCTGTTGTTGTGTTGTGTTGTTGCACACAACCCGACTTGAAACCAAACAGATAGATGTTATGATATCCACTACCACTTACCGTCAAAGTAGTGATAGATTAATATTCAAACTACTTTAATCGATGCATGCAGAAATATAATTTCTTGGTGCCCATTATTTTAGTTTAAATTTCAACCTACCTCCAATCCTCTTCCTGTTATCTTATCCCCACTCACACACTGTCCGTCCGTCTGTCTACCTGCCCTGCTAATAAAATGTTTTATCACTATATCACAATTGTTGGTGTTAATAATAATAATAATGATAATATTATTATTGGATTATTCTAGTTGCATTGGCAGCCAAGCAAACAAGCAGGCAGATATCACATAGTGTGAGTGGGGTGACTGGACTGGACTGGTTAATTGAGTTGCTGACACTACACCTAATCTTGAGTTACTCCTCTTCCTCTTCCTCCCAGTCTTTATAAATATCGAGTACTAGTACTAGTGGCTGTTTACATTCCTATTGCCAACCCATCCAACCAACCTTGCTTGACTGGTGGTGGTAGTGGTAGTGGTAGAGGTGGCGACTCTCCTCATTTCCTTCCTCCTCCTCCTCCACTTCACACACAATCCGCTACCCTCTTTCTTGGGGATGGATCGTTTGGTAATGGTGTGGTAATGATATTGATAAAATGTGTGATGTAATCTATATTAATCTAATAATATTGTTGTTGTTGCTGTCTCTGTTGATCGTATTTCACAACCAATCATTGAACCCAGTACCAATACTTTAGTTAGTTTCCCATTCTTTCTATTCTTCTATTGCATCTTCTGCCAAACACTAGTGTGTTGTTCCAGGTGGTTGGTGAGCTGGTTAAAGTATGTAGTTGTTGTTGTTGTTGTTACCTACTCTACTCTACTCTACCACAACACAACCACTAGACATACCTAGTAGAATCTATGTGCCAGCATATAGATAAGTTTCCATACTTGGTTTGGTCATTTGATTGATGGTGAAGATAACGATGCAAGAGATTCACACAACCAGATTGAGTATATCACCAAAAAAGGGTGGTGGTTCGTTTTTCCTTTCCTTTTATAGAGCAAGCAGAAATGATGATGATGATGATGATAATGATGATGCATGACACGATGAATGAATGAATCACCCCCAATAATAAATGAGTTGGGGGGTTGTTTTGAGTGACTGTAGTGTGTTTGTCGTATGACAGTTGAGTATGTGTGTGTTAGTTTGTGGTTGTTTAATTAATCTAAAATATTTGTGTGATAGATAGACATAGTAGTATTTATCTCTACCTTTTCTTCCAACAAATAAACGATGATTGGTGGTACTAGTAGGTGAGTGGTGGTAGTAGTGATGGGGGTTCCAGTTTTGGTTGTTGATTGGCAATAGAGAGAGAGAGAGAGTTGGTATGTTAATATGATGGTTCGATGGTATTGACAATATCCAATCCTTTAAAATTTTTCTTCTTCTTCTTTTTCTTGTTTTTCTGCTTCCTTTGTCTTGATTAACCACCCCCAACTTCACCGTCATCAATCTACTGACATTTGGTCATATACATAATGTATAATAATGACAACACCCCTATTTTCGGAACACCATGATCCGAATCATTTGATTGGACCGTCAAACATTGCCGTTGTTACTGCTGCTGTTTCTATATTGTTGAGATTGGTTGCGTCGATATAGATTTATGGTTGAGGATTGGTTGGTGGTTTTTTATTGTTTGTGAGTCGTAGGGATACTACTTTTGGTTTGGGTGGTAGAGGTGTGGTTACATTAATTCCAGAACTCAAATCTGCCAGTCCACCAACATGATTATTATTGCTATAATTATTATTATTATATGTTGTGGTTTTATTCGATGTAGTTGAACTATTACTGTTGCCCATCGTATCGTTGGAAAAGGGATGATCATTCTACAAAAAATAAAAATATTGATTAATTAATTAGTTTGTTTAAAGGTTGATCATCAATCAATCAATCAATCGATCTTTCTTTTTTGCAATCTAATCCAAAGTACGTTATAAATCACACACACACCCATTCACTCCAATCAATATCCATTCATCAACCAACTCTCTCCTTTTACCTCTCCTCTCTTTCCAAAGAGTACAAACCGTCCAGTTGTTTGTGTTGATGGATTGGGATTGGGATTGTTTTTTTTTTTAGTTTCAAAAGAAAGAAATCAAAAAAAAAGAATAATTACACCAAAACTTGGAAATGATTGTGAATATGGAAATGGATGAATTGAAATTTACGATAATGATGAATAGAGTGAATGGGAAATAGTAATAGAAAGAGAGAGAAATAGAGTTTAGAGGGAAAATTGTACCATCCTTATCTGTCCTATATTAATGATTCTAAAAAATACAGGTTAAAAGAAGATGGAGTGAAGTGTATTGATGGGATGAGCATCTATCAACTCGATCGAGGTATATATCCTGCGACAAGAGAGAGAGAGTACTGCTGCTGCTGGGACAAGTACTTGGGTTTTAAGAAAGACAGTGTACGAGCACAAAGCCAACGTGGCGCTTGCACAAGAGGCGTATACCTGGGGGCCAAAGACGTACTAGAGATTTGGAGCTTTGATCTTGTTGACATTGTCATCACGAATAAACGACATCACGGCATAGACAATAAAAATTAAAATAGCCGGCTGATAAGTCTACTAGGAACGGTCGACACTCCTGAGTCCTTGCGGGGCAAAGGGGGAGATGCCGACCATAGACGACCGGTCATTTAATATTAAATTTAATTGTTAGAGTGTGAGTGTTAGAGGTGAGAGTTTGTCTTTTTATCTAATTAATCTAAACATACGCATACCCCTTTCCGTCGTCGTTCCCCAGGTCCGACCATCTCAGTGGTTGCACTGTCGCCTCGCGTCTCGACCCCGTCCTATATCCCACCCTTTCCAACCGTCCAGCAGCAGCAGCAGCATCATCGGACCGATGTTGCCAACACACACCCAAAAAGAGGACCGAATTTCATTGTCCATCGCTACTCGACACTTGGGTCATTGTTGGGTAAATTACGAAGAGATAGAAAACGGGTAATTTCAATCTCCCAGAGTTTACCCCATTCCAATCGACTCGAGATATAATTATATATACACACCTGAGGTATGAATAGATATAAATCTCTGAAACGAATAGAGAAAAGAGAAAAGAGAAGAAAGATAGCATCGACAACAATAAATGACAAAAATAGAATCTATGTTTCCAACGTCCTCGACAAAAGAAAAGGGTTTGTTGTTGTTGAAAGAGATAACAAAGATAACATTGGTAATTGATGACAACAACAACAATAGCCCAACATTAAACTTACACTTGATTGTCTATCTTTTTCATCTTCTACATCGTCTTGTGTAAATGGAACCCATGTTCCATTTTCCAAAGCAGTTACAATATTCTAATTAAAATATTATAATGATAGATACATATAAATATAGAGTGAATTAAATATTAATATAAATATAAAGATAATGATAATTAATATATTAAATTATGTTTTAAAACATACAACAACGGCTTGTGTTTTTCCTAATTTCTCGATTGTACTGATAGAATGTTCCAATGATATTGGAACAATACCTCTTGACCAATTTTCAAAAGTAGTAAATAATGTTGTCAAATTTTCCTAAGAATGAGATGAAATGTTAATAACCTTTTTCTTTTGTCATTGTTTAATCATTCATACTACTTACTCTTGGAGTAAACTTTGAACCAAATTGTTTCTTTTTTAACATTGTGTAGAGTTTTGAAAGACCATATTCCATTTGAAGGTCTTTAGTATCAAATACTCTCTTTTTTAACTTGTTTTTCTTTTTGATCGATATAGACATATCCTTTGTTGTGAGGTTGTTGGTAGTGGAGGAGTTATTGGTTGTTGATCGAGGTGCTGGTATTGTTGTAGGCGGTTTGTTTGGTTTAACAGCATTGTCTAATTCCTCTGGAATGTAATCATCATCTATAAATTCATTCATTGGTTCACTATCATCAAATACGTAATCATCATAACTGATATCATTATTATTATTATTTTTATTCTTATTTACATTATTATTACTATTACTATGATTATTATTATTATTATTATTATTATTATTATTATTATTTACAATGTATTGATCTTGATACTCTTCTTCCTCTTCCTCTTGAACAACAATCACTCTTTTTCTGTTTGATCTGAGAGTTGACAACTCCTCATCGTCACCACCCATAGCTACTATATCTATATCTGATTGTTGTTGAGACATTATTACTATATTGTATTAGTCTACTAAAACAAATCACATAACTATGAATGAACTTATAAGATTTTCGATAATGATGCTCATGAGTGAAGTCTTGCAAATATTGGCGCCAAAAAAAATTAATAAATAATATTATTAAAAAAGGCTATCTTTTTAAAGAAAGATACATTTGTATATACTCTGTGAATTATTCATATATAGACTTGGTCCCAAGTTGGTTCCTTCAATCCAAAGTATTAGACATTTATGGTTGGCAAGTGTGGTGTGACACCTGGATCTAATTTATTTATTTAATTATTTTTTGATTGGAGTATTACTTGGATAAATATGTATATGGTTTCCATTTTTTCTAAAATTTAAATAGATTGCACGGAAATCCAATGGACTTTTATTCTCCAAGTCGATGATGTTTCCCAATCTACGTTGTTGTCGATAGATTCCACCGAAAAAGGTTTCACCTAGATTCATCATCACATAACCATTGTCTAATCGTCTAATGTAGATGTCCAATGTGGTCAAAACCGTAAGGCCTAGATGTATATGCTCAACATTTGAACAATTGATGATTTGATCGATTCGAATACTGCAATCATCATTGTGCAAAGGTACATCGCTACACTCGATGTTGAGTTTCTTGAGACGATGTGGTAATATAAAATGAAGAGGATTATCGGTTATTGAACTATTATCATTGTTGATTATCATGGTTGTTGGAAGTATGAATATTGATGTATCTTGGATTTTTGTGATATGACATTCAAATTTTTCCAGTGATGTTGGTAAATAGATGATTGGTGGTGGATAATCACCTCTTTCGTAGAGCAATTTACGTAGCGTTGGTGGGTAATTGAATGGTGATTCGTAATTGGTTGATGTTGCAAATTTAACCAATCCACTTGGGAATATCGCTTTTTCGGGGTTAATAACATTGACCCACAGATCTTTAACAGAGTCTGGAATAAACTCTGATGATACTGTGCATTCGCAGTGCGAAATATGCAATATTTCTAATCCGTGGGGTAGTGTCCATGGATCAAGCACTGCTCCATTGATGAGATACAACTCTAATCTCAAGAGGCCATGAGGAAAAAAGTCTGGTGGGAGTCTTGAGCTGGTACCCATCGACATCTTTGTAACCTTGGGTGGAGGTTTGGTCGAGCCAAAGAACCGATAGTCCATCGAGAGGTGTTGCAGGTTGGGTGGGAAGAACGATTGTTTCATGGTGTGTGGGTCTAATGGTAGTCTAAGGCAGAGTCTGGTGAGTGATGTGTTGGGATTGGGAAGGAGAATGTTGGTGGCTGGCATGATGGGATCGATGAGCGAAGAGGAAAGATACAAGTCTGTTAGAGATGTCAGGTTGGATAGATCAACCGAAAATACATCCCTACAAGCATAGGAGATTTCCAAATGGGTCAGTGATGGTGGGAATTGAACGTCGACTGGTAGTACTCTATATGAATTGATTGTCAATGATGTCAGAGATGGCCATTGAGAGATGGATGATGGAAATCGTGGTAAGATTGTCTTGAAATGTACTGTCATGGTAGTGATGGATGTGAGCAGTGGCGGAATATCTTTAATTTCGTCAGAGAACTCATTCAATGATAGAGATGTCACTTGAGTAGGATCTTCGACAGATTCCAAGATAGATTCTCTTGTTGGCCATACACTGTGGATCGCCAACGAGGTAGTTGTAGTTGGTTTGGAGAGTTCTAATGCTTTTTTGGTTTGAAAGGCCAGTAACGATGCGTTGAAAATCTCTTTAAACGGTTGCATATGTGAACTAACAACTGAGTACATGTGTGTGCCCGCATACAATCGACGAGTATCATCTGGTTTAATACCTTTAAAAGTAATAACCTGTGCATACATTTTCTTAAACTCTCTATAGTATGCTTTACATGTCATCAACAGACATACTATATCTTGATTACATTCTAGGTCATTGATGATCTTGAGTAATGTTAAATCTGATAATCCTCCTCTCGGTGCTAATGACAACAAAGAAGGGGATGATGAAGATGATGATGATGACTGTTCACTCATTGTTTTATACATCTACATATTAACCATAATATATATGATTGCAACTAACAAACAAACTTTGTAGTTTTGAAAGTTCAAAAACAAATAAAGTAATAATATTTCAAAAATATGAAAGAAGAAGTTGCTGCTTTCATGTCACCTCACCCAATTTATTTTTAATTATTTAATTATTTTTTGATTGGAGTATTACTTGGATAAACATGTATTTGATTTCCTTTAACTCTAAAATTTAAATAGAGTGCACTGAAATCTAATGCCCTTTTATTCTCATTCCAATGATGTTTCCCAATCTATGTTGTTGTCGATAGATTCCACCGAAAAAGGTTTCACCTAGATTCATCATTACACAACCATTGTCTAATCGTCTAATGTCGATATTCAAATCTATAAAATGTAAAATACTCATCTTTAGATGTTCAACATTTGAACAATTGATGATTGGATCGATTCGATTACTGAAATCATTTTCATCAGATACTTGGACACATGAGATTTCTAGATTCTTGAGACGATGTGGTAATACAAAATGAAGAGGATTGTCTTTAGTATTATCATTGTTGATTATCTTGGTTGGGGGAAGTGTGAATATTGATGTATCTTGGATTATGTTCATTTCAATATCCAATGATTCAAGTGATGTTGGTAAATAGATGATTGGTGGTGGTGGATGATCACCTCTTTGATAGATCAATTCACGTAACGTTGGTGGGTAGTTGAATTGTGATTCGTAATTGGAGGATGTTGCAAATTTGACTAGTCTACTTGGAAATATTGTTTTTTCGGGGTTGGTAATACCGTCAACACACAAATGTTCAACAGAGTCTGGTATATACTCTGGTGTGATGGTGCATTCGCCGTCTATAAGACTCAATGCTTCTAATCCTTGGGGCAGTGCTCCAGGGCCGAGGGCTGCTTCATCATTGAGGAGATACAAATCCAATACCAAGAGACCTTGGGGAAAGAAGTTGGGTGGGATTACGGGTGTTTACCGACATTTTAGTCACCTTGGGTGAAGGTTTGGCCGAACCTCCAAACAACTCGAAATCCATCATTAAATATTGAAGGTTTGGTGAGAAGAATGACTGTGTCATGGTTTGTGGGTCGAGAGGGACGGAAATATCCAGAGCAGTGAGTGATGTGTTGGTATTGGGAAAGAGGATATTGGAGGCTGGGACTAGATCCATGCCCGAAGAGAAAAGTTTGAGCGTTTTTAAAGATGTTAGGTTGGATATGTCAAGAGTAAATAGTTGACCGTGATGAGGATGGTGGTTGATATGCAAGTTGGTCAGTGACGGTGGGAATTCAAAGACTGGTATCCTCGGAGAATTTTAACAAGGTCTCTATTGATGGCATCCCAGTGAGTGTTGACAGCGGTTCGATACTGACTTCTTTGTTGTTGTTGGTTTGAAGATGTGATGCAATTTAAAGGAGCTCATTTGAGAACTAACAAAAATGAGCGTGTTCACGTTTGTCGAACCCGCATACAATGTACGAGTATCATCTGGTTTAATACCTTTAAAAGTAAAAACCTGTGCATACTTTTTCTTAAACACTCTATAGTATGCTTTACATGTCATCAACAGACATACTATATCTTGGTTACATTCTAGGTCATTAATGATCTTTAGTAACAACAAATTTCTCCTCCTTGAAAAAGAGGAAGAAGATGATGATGAAGATAGAGAGTCATATCTTTCATTCATTGTTTGAATTTATTATATTATTATTTGTATGCACTTGTCTATATAATACCAAAACTATAGTTTGTTTTCAACCTTTTGTGGACAAACAAAAAAATGAACTTCAAAAAATTCGAATAATTATTTAATTTATCAAAATTATTTTTGTCAAAAGACTGCAAGATTGATTATTATTAATAATAAGCTCGCTCATACTTTCATACTAGTTACAACTTGTTATCATTATCACAACTACTACTATTAATGAACTTATAGTAGAATTGATAGAGAATGAGTAACAGTGATAATAATAATAATAATAATAATAATAATAATAATAATAATAATAATAATAACAACACAACATCACAGTCATCTTTATCATCATCTCCAGCACTTACTTCTTCTTCACTTCAACAACAACAACCTCAACCTATAATCAAACCAATTATAAAGACAAGTTTAGTAAACTCACGATTAGAGATCAATGATGTTGTACTCAAAGATACTTGTGTGTTGAGAAACTTTAAGTTAATCTCTGTCGTCGATTTCGATGTACAGGTTAACTTGCGAACAGATCTCTTGCAGAATGTTATTGCCTTTCAATCGAGCAATGAGAATCTTCAAGACCACGAATCAGAGGTAGCAGTACAAAACGATGACTTTAATCAACTCTTTAATGAAGTCAACTTTATAGAGTCGATTAAACTCAAACCACATGAAACAAAGAATATTGTCATGTCATTTAGACCATCTTATATTGAAAAGGTAAAAAGATAATAAGAAGAAGAAGAAGGAAGAAGAAGAAGAAGAATGATCATTATTAATACATACAACTTCTTTTATCTTTTGTAGAATGAAGAAGAGATAACATCATTTGCAAATAATCGTAATGACAAATTTAACAATTATTTTGAAATGAAGGGAAAGATATACTTATCAACTACACCATTGGATATAATAGATGAACAACAACAACAAACTATACAATCAACAATGCAAAAAGATGTATGTTAAACAATAGAGATACTTATCTCTCTATTCTATTGCTAACAATTAATTATTTTATTAATATTTAGGTGGCAATTGATTTTTCTGCAAGAATATGTAGATCATTATTAAAAGTAGATGTAAATGAAATTATATTTGATGATTGTGTAGTTGGAGCAAGTTATGTTAAAGATATAACTATTTGGAATCGATCAGAGATGCCATTGAAATTCTCAATCTATTGCAAGGAAAAGATTATGAATCTATTCGAGTTGACAGATTATGCAACATCTCTACCACTTTCACCAGACAGTCAAATCATCCCATCCTACTCATCAATGGGCATTCGTCTCACTTACAAACCAATCTCAATCGGTCAATCAACCTATAAAATGAAGATTGAAAATAGAAATAATAATTCAAATTATGAACTCATCGTCATTCATTCTTCTGTTTCTGCTGAACAACAAGTTGTAAGTAGTAATGAAATATTATTCAAATTGTTTCAATAATCTTATTTAATTAATTGATTTATTTATATTTTTTTTAGGAATTAATTCAAGTTAGTAATAATTCATTGGATTTGGGTGATTGTTTTAGTGATATGCCAACATATGGTACATTCACTGTAAAGAATATGTCAGAAGAGACGATTGATATCAATTTCAGCAGTGATTTGGTGGGTGAGCAGGTGACGTTTCATTTAAAGGAGGACGATGATTCGTCGGGCAATAGAAAGAAGCCGGATGGATCGTCAACACTGGCGATTGGCGAGCATAGGGATGGCGACGGCACGTTGTTACAGGGCAAGGGTGGAGAGACGGTCGGTAGCAGCCACAAGGAGAAAGAGCAGTCGATCGAGGAGCTGACGCTCAACCCTGGTGCAGAGCGTGTCATTCAGATTCGGTACTGTCCATCTGCAGTGTTTCCAGGTGTTGATAGTCGCTCGCACAGACTATCACCCAAAAACTTTAGAGTGTTGATAAAGTATAGTCGCGCACACAACAAGAGTAAGCAGCGTAACAAGACAATCAAAGTGACATCGAGTGTGTGCTCGTCGGCGGTTCGTGTTCAGGAAGAGTTTAATCTTGGTGATTGCACAGTCGGCACACTCAAGCAGCCGAGCATCCACTTGCAGAATTTGTCAGATTTGCCAACCACGGTGCATCTTCGATACCAGTCCAAGGTCATTGCGTTCAAGACACATACGGTGCAGTTACCTGCCAATCAGACGGTCGACCTCGTGTTTGACTTTTTGCCGCGCAAGAATAATCCCGAGTACCGCAAGCAGATCACCTTTATCAACGCCAGTAATCCACACAATGACCAGTACCTCGAAGTACGTGCTAATAATGCAGACGAGCAGAGTGTGTCGATCCACAGTCGCTACTATCATCTCGAGACACCCTTCTCACGAAACTACATCGACTTTGACGAAGTCATTGTCAACCGTCCTTCACTGCGTACATTCAACATAAAGAATACGAGCAAGGGTAATCTGGCGCTACAACTCAACACGTCGCTGCCAGAGGAGATTCGGCTGTACCGACAAAACACGTGGACTGACTTGTCGTCACTCGCCAGCACCATCCAGTCGTACCAGCAACAGCTCGGTCGTCAACACCTCATCCACGAGTACATCAACAAGTTTTTCGAAGGTGAAGATATCGAACCGATCGGCAAGTTGTCATCTCGAAAGATTCAATCGTCCAATAGTCAGTACCTCGATCTCGCCGTCTCTGGTAGCAAAGCATCTGCCAAGGACAAATCTTCTTCTTCTTCAGCTTCTATCCAACAATCAAACGATACTAGTGGTAGTGGTAGTAAAACACCATCCATCTCTAGTTCTACAAGTGGAACTTCTTCAAACACTCAACAATCCACATCATCAACAAATACATCATCCTCATCAACCAATAATAATAATGTAAATAGTAAAGAGACATCTTCATCATCATCATCATCTTCTTCTTCACATACTCCAAATGTAATTGTTGGTACAAATAACAATAACAATAATAATAATAAGAAAAAGAGTGTTGGTGACAATTCAACCAATAATTCTAGAACCAATTCAAGAGCAAGTTCACCAACACTTGAACTTGAAAGAGGATTGGCAGGATTAAGAGAGAGTAACGATCTAATGGAAGATAGTGATTTGGATGGTGGTGGTAACAATAGTGGTAGAGGTATATATAATGGCGACAATATCACCCTTTCACAATTGGTACAGTCATTTGAAGACAATGATTTGCCATTGTTTACAGACTATGAAAGTGAAACAAGTTATATCACCTCTCAAATTGAAAAATACAAACAACTCGAAGTATTGATTCAATCGAGTCAATTGGTTCAAGCAAATACTATTGAATTGGCCAAAGATGAAGAAATCACAATCTACATTGTATTTGTTGTCAATCAATCCAAGAGACCTTGGTTGGGTGGTAAATTGAAAAACATGGAAGCTAAATTATTCTTGTCCTTACAAAAATTGGATGAAAATGATATTTCAAATAATCCAAGTCGTGAATTAAATGTAAGAAAAATAGAGATATAAATAATTAAAAAAAAGATATAATAATAATTAATGAAATTAATCTATTTTATTTTATTTTTTTATAGATTAGTACCAAAGTTTGTAAATCAATTATGGATTTGGCACAAAGAAATATTAATTTTGGAAATATTGTACAATATGATTATCGTGCCAAAACATTGGTTATTAATAATTTAACTCAAGTACCATTGATTTATAGAATTAAAAAATCTGGTTCTATTACATCTGGTAATTTAAATATTGTAAATGCTGATAGAATGGGTATTATTAGACCATTTAGAAAAAGAGTAAGCAATTAAAAAATATTAAAATATTATATTTGTTGAGCTATTATTTATTTACTTTTTTTTTAATTTTCTTGTAGGAAGTACAATTTGTATTTAAACCAACATTTTCAGGAATATTTGATGAGAAATTGATTATTGAAAATATTTATGATAATGCCAATAATCAAATTGTTCACATCAAGGCAAATGTAAAGAAACCAAGACATTTCTTCCTCAATACATTGGATGTTGATTTTGGTGTTGTCATGATCAAAGGAAAGTCACCAACCAAACGTATCACCCTTACAAATACAAGTAATCAAAAGAGAACATTTAAAATTATTGATGATACTCCAAGGTATGAAAAAATATTCAAATATCTAATATTAAAAAACAAATGTATTAATAATATTTTACTTTAATTTAGTTCATTTGATAGTTGCTTGAATAAATTATTTTTCAAGTTGGAAGAGAAATTGGCATTAAGTATTTCGAAAGAGACTGAAGTAGAGATTGATTTATTGGAAAGAAAATTAAAGATTTGTAGACGTAAAGGACAACATGAAAAGGCATTAAAGATCAACATGCAAATTGAAAAGTTGAGAAATGTTGGAACCAATACATCGATCCCTGTTAGTCGTGCTACATCTCCTTCAACCGATATGATGATGGATAATGCTGAATCCAAGTCATTGGATCAAGAGGGTGGTGAAGATAACAATTCTTCTTCTTCGTTCACCGTTGTAGAGGTTGCCGAGACTGCTACGGTTGTATCACCACAAAAACCAAACTACAAGATTGGAGACAACTCTATTACATTTGAAGTAGAAGGTGGTGGCATTCAAAATGTACTAGTCTACTTTTCACCCATTCCCAAACCAGGAAGAAGACAATGGTACGGAAAGGAGGAGGGAGGTGGATCGATCCTTGTCTACGAGTCCAAGAATATCGATGTTACCAAAAAGATCAATTACACATCGACTATTTGTTTCGACGAAGAGACATATAGACAAAATATGATGAATACTTCATTGTCTGATGCATTTTCTGGTCAGTCTGGTATACCATCATTGTTGTCGATAAAGTCACCTTCACCAAAGTCATTGGCATCACCTTCGTCGCCAGTCACTGGTATCTCTACTACCACCACCACCACTACTACTCAATTGGGTAGTTCCAATTCATCGGCATTCTCAATATCAAATAGTAGTTCTATTGGTGTTTTACGTCCTCTTGCAGTTAAACCATCTGCCTCTACTTCTACTTCTACTACTAGTACTACAACAACTACTGCTTCTGCTGCAACACAACAAACTATATTAACAGCATCACCACCAAAACTTGAAATGGGTGAAGTTAGAGTATACGAGGATATTCCATTTAGATTTACATTGACAAATCATACAGGATACAAAGTTCCATTTGAATTATCAATCATCAATAATCAACCTTCCAACTCGCAACAACCAGGTACAAACAAATCATTGTTGCTCAAGGACAAGAATGGTGTGATCGATCCATATGGTAGAAAGACGGTTGAAGTCATTTGCCAACCTCAGGTACCAGGTCGCCAGACCCACACCATTTCCATCAAGAGTCCAGCTCATCCACAATATGAAGGAACATTCACAGTCTCTTTGGCTCCACGTCCACCTCAATATGTTTTATTCCCAGATTTACCATCATCTCAAACTATTGAATTTGGTGATTGTTACTATGACAAATCTAAAAAGTTTTCGAAAAATTCATCATTTAGATTAGATAATCTTTCAAACGTAAGAAGACAAATTATATATATAATAACATATCATATTTCTAACTTTTTATTTTTATTTATATACTCTTTAGAAATCACTTTATATTTCAATGAAATCAAATTTATCAATGCAAATATTTGTTTATCAAGATGAGAAATTTACAAAACCAGCAGATAATATCTTTTTAAAGGGATATGAAAAGACAAAAGTTTGGATTTGTTTACAACCAAGTATGACATCTGAGAATTATGTAGATGGACAATGTAGAGAATTGGTTGGTGGTATTCGTATCAAGGTTCAAGATACAGATTATAACTTGCTCTATGAAAACTCGATCAAGTTTACTGCAACTGTTGGCAAGAGTATTTTACGTGTCGGAAAGACACTGATTGACTTGGGATCAACTAGAAGTGCAGGAGATGTGATTGGTGGATCGTTTGGTATTGCTAATCTGACCACTTTGCTTCCTCTCAACTACACACTCACTCCATCCAAGAATATCAAGTTGACCAAGACAATGGGACGTTTGGAAGGATCCGAAGTGCAACATTCACTCTCCAAGGAAAAGATATCGTTTTCTTTGCATACCTCTGTCTATGGATTGTACGAGGAAAAGATTACTATCCACAACCAAAGCTGTACCGGTCAGAAACTCGATGTCATTGTTCGTCTGCTAGTCGATGACAGCTCGTTGCTCACCAACTTGCCACTCAACTCAAATTCATGTGATTTCCTTAAATTTGACGATATCTATGTGGCACCGGCACGTGATGCCAACTTGGTTGACAAGAAATCTACTGGTTTTGCCATTGCCACGTATATGGGGTCAGACGAGGTACTTAAACAACAAAAAATCACGCCATTCACCATGCGTAACTTTTTAAAGTATGATATCCGTATCTACCCCAAGTCCAACATCAACATTTATCTCTTTTTGCACGATCCACAACCTGACGAACTCAAGGGATGCACTTTGACCAACGACAAGAGAAAGTCGATGCGTCTGTGTGGCAAGCCATTTGTCTTGACCAACGACCAAAAGATACTCGTCTATCCAGTACCACCTGACCCCGAGTCGGCACTCACCCCCAAAAAGAAATCGTTGCTTTGGAAGGGTCGCAAGGTTCAGTTTATGGGAACTCTTGTGTTTGAACGTTCCGATTCGACACACTACCCAATCGGTCCAGGCGAGGGCAAGACACACATCTCCAAGCTCGTCAGTATTTCAGGCTCGTTCTGTATGTCATTTGGTCGTCTCCTAACTCCAGAATTGGTTGATATTGGTAGAATCGGTTATGAAAACTCTTGGAAAGAGGTCTATATCAACATTGATATTCAAAACTCTAGTGAAATCCCTCTCTATTTGAAATCTCTTCCACTTCCATCAAAGTCTATGAGATTCCTTTTAACTAAACCAACAACTAATAATAATACCAACAACAACAACAACAACAACACTGCTACGACCACCACTTCTACTACCTCTACTACTACTACTACTACGACTATAAGTATGAGTACTGGTACAAGTAACACTACTAGTTCATCACAACTTGGTGAATTTGAGGAATTCCAAATTCCATCATTAGAATCAAAACAAATTGTATTGGCAATTGATCCAAGATTGATTGAAAAAACAACGGCTGGACCAATATCATTGTCTGTTGGATTTGACAATTTGTACAATCCATTGAACAAGTTACTAGTCAATGTTAATTTATTCCACACTTTACGTGTTCTTGGATTTGGTAGATTAAAGGATAATAATGAATTTGTTATTCCTACCATTTACCATCCTCCATTGGTTGGAGCATCGTCTCAGTCGGATGATTGGTTTACCATTGAAAACACATCGACCAAGTCACTCAAGATCAATGTAGATATTGAATTGTTGCCACATATTGCCGATTTGATCACTGCCGAGATTGTACACAAATCATCCAATACACCAATTCCAAGTTTCCAAATGCGTGCTGGTGAAGTACTCGAAGTAAGATTGCGTGCCAAACCTAGACTCGACCGACGTATGGAAGCACCAATTGAGGAGATGACCCTTTTCGGTAGAATGACCATTGCTGCCAACAACTACCCACTCGAAGTCGTTCCACTTAGAGGTACCATCCTCCCAGGCCAAACATTCTCCCTCTCAACACAGAGAATGAATCTTCACGCCATGTCACGTATTTCAAGAGGTGATCACGGCGACGAAGAGCAACGTTTGCAAAGCTTGACAGACTATTTTAAGATTCGTAATCTCTACTCTCACTTTCCACTAAAGTATCGTGTAGAAGCTGTATTCAAGAGTGATGTAACGACGTTCCCAAGCAAAGAGGTTATTAAAATCGAGCCAGAAGAAGGAGAGATTCCACCAAACGAAACTGGATCGGTCAATGTCATTGTTGATCTACCACCAAACGATGATATTCCTCAAAATAGTACCTTCCAAGTATTGATCACTTCTCTCGACTCTTTTAACAAGGAATCACAAAAGATGATGGTTAATATTTTAGCAGGTAACAAACCAATGTCAACAACTTCCTCTCCATCTACAACCCCTCTCCCAACACAACAACAAAATATATCTTCATCTTCATCAAATAGTGTTAGTGAAATCATTCAACCAACACAAGAAGTAAAGGATAAGACTGTGAGTGATGTCAAACAACAACAACCAATACAAACAGTTGAAAAGGTTTCAACTTCTACTTCTACTACTGCTACAGCTGCTACCACGACAATTTCTACAACACCGGTAATTGAAAAGACACCAACAGTTCAACAACCTCTTACAACAACTCAAACTGTTCAACCTACTGCTACTCAATTAGATAGAGAATCAATTATAACAAGTGGATCAAATACAATTCAACAAGTTGGTACACCACCAATTATAGTTGGAGAACCAAAGATATCATTAAAGGGATGTACACCAATTCCAAAGGCAAAGAATAGTTATGAGATTAATTTGAATCAACAGGAATTCTCATCTGGAAATGTTCAATGGGAATTGACATTGGAAAACAGTTCAAACCGTTCTTCACAATACCTTATGTATACTACCAAACAAACCGATGAATCGTGGCTCAGTATGAGTAGAAATAGTGGAAAGATTGAAGCACATGGAAGACACACTATTACACTCATCTTTTCAACCAAAAAGATGGATATGTATTCAACCTATCTCATCATTGAAAACAAGAATAATCCAAGTGACATGAAATCGATTCATATACAAATGGAGGTTGTCGCCAAACAAAACACTCATTTCACAGTATGGGTCGATGGAAGAAACACAAGTACTCCTTCTATTGATTTGGGTGATGTGTTTTACAATTGCACATACACTGATCGTTCGTTTATCGTTTCAAACACCTCTTCAATGCCTCTGGACTTTGTGATCACCACTTCGTTGCTTCCATTCGATCCGACCGAGGTCTGCTTCTCGCTGTCGCGTTCCTATCTGCGCTCGTTCAACTCGCTCTATGTCGATGCCAACTCGCAAGTCAAGGTGTTTATCTTTTTCCATCCGTCGTCGCCATCGGGCAACAACCTCAACATCACTCCCGACATTCAAGACGCATTTTCACAAAAGGAAATCAAGATATTTGTAAACTGTAGATTGATTCGTGACTATCAACATGTCATCACGTTGAATGCTACTTGCAGATACCCACAGATCCGTCTCTCCGAATACAACACTGTCTTTATCGGTCGTGCTTTTACTCCAAGTTCCAACAACCCACCACAACAAATCAAGTCAGAAGAAGAAGCTGCTGCTCTACAACAATCAGGAAGCAATAATATCGTTGCATTAAAAGATAGAAGTGAACTAAAGAAATCTTATGAAGCTCCAAGTGGTAGTAGTAGTACAAGTGGAGGATCAACTGGAGGAAGTGGAAATAATACGCCACCATTGACTGTAACTACCTCAACAACCACCACACAACAAAAGGGTGGTTCATCTAAAAAGATTGATGTTGAATTTACAACCAATGATAGCCGTGAAGTTGTATTGTACAATAACTTTATCGGTGGTAAACCACTAGACTTTTGTGTAAAGTCTGGCACAACCTTTTTCCTTATTGAAAGCGTCGAATGTGGACGTATTGAATCAGATGGAACTAGTTCGAGTCGTATCCTAGTACAACCAAACACAACAGCCATCTTGGAAAATATTAATATGTTGATCAAGGAAAAATACCTCGAAGAACATATTATCGTTTACAACAAGAATAGATTGTCAGAGAAATACATTGTATCGCTTCGAATCACAATTGGAAATCTAACAGCCTTTTCCTCGTCGTCTGGTATCAAGGGAGGTTACCATTACCGAAATTTGGAATACCGTATCACCAAATTCAACAAAAAGTTTAAAAAGTTTTGGTACAAGATCCAACAACAACACCAACAACTATTGACAAGTTCTTCTTCATTGTCTCCTACTACAAGAGTTGAACAAAATCCAAGTTCATTGCAAACAACACAAGATCTAGTCTCTCAATCCTCTTCATCATTGTCCAATACAACTGTTTCTTCTCCAGTGGCCACCTCAACCTCTGGTGATAATATCATCATTACTAGTGTTGACACCAACATTGATGGAGGAGATTCAAGAGTTCAAATCGAGAAATTAAAGGATTTGATTGAAATGGGAAGCAAGAATGAAAAATATCACACATTGTTATTTGATCTTCATCATGTAACCAATGAATTAATTCTTTTTGGTTTGAAAAAACAAGTTGGTCAATTAACTTCAAATTTAGCTAGTTTATTTTATTGGTAAATAGAAATAGGAATAGAAAAGAAATAATTTAAAAGAGTAATCATTTACTAAACTTTTTTTCATTTTACTTTTAGTAATTTATTAAAACAAAATATATTTAGAATTACTGTATCACCTATAAGAATAGAAGAATTAAGATCAACTTCTATGTTTTCAGCTTGTATTCACAGTCTAAATGAATTCCTTAGTTATATTCCAGAAAAGAGAGAAGATTTGGCTGAATTAAGAAATCTTCAAGACCTTTTCAACAAAAAACCATCACCAAAGGAAAGTGATGATGAAGATGACGATCAAGATAATAATAATTCATTTAAAAAGAAAAGATCTTAAATAAATAACCAATGAATATATTAAATATTAATTTGTTTGGCGCTTTCCCAAAATTAATTTTGATTTAGGTATTGAATGTGATTATAATTTATTATTAACATGTTATATCTCTCCTCTCTCTATTATGTGAACCACCTGAAGAGTTTATAGAGATTGTTGCACAGTTGGCTATAGAACCAAACAACAACTACATAAAGAGTAAACCACAAAAGAAATATGACCAACTAGTTTTACAAAAACTGTGGAACTACGTTGTCTTGGCTGTTATATCTCATTGGCAAATCAGAATTACCAACTGTAACATCCATCCTATATGAATCATTACTACGAGAAAACTTCTTAATAACCTTTAATTAATCTATAGATTAAAGAATAGGCAATCGTTATAATTAATGACACTTTGAGTAAAGATAATAAAGAAAAAGAGGATCTAAAGGAAACAATGGGACAACTCGAAAAGAATTTAGTACATATGGGTATCAATACTGCTTATTTGATTCAATTATTGATAGATAATCGTTATGACTTTTCAAATGAAACTATCAACATGATACTCGACGTTGTAGTGAATCAAGGTAACCTTTATATATTTTTATTTATCAATAGCTTGAACTAACTTTTTAATTTTGATTCTAGATGACGGTGATATTCGTCAAGTTTTGAAACCTTTATTGGAACATGACAATAGAGAGATACCATTATTACTATTGAAAAAATCATATGAAACTTTTGGTAGAGATTATTTATTATCCAATCAACTCGTTTATCTCAATGGAAGTGATATTCAATTCCAACAAAGAATGATTGATGTTTTATTAAAGCAAGCTGAATTGGATTCAAAAGACCGATGGGGAAAAACTAAAGAATACTATTTCCTGTATAGGATTAAGAACCTATTCTCACTAAAGCATCTCACTGGACCACCTGATTTGGTTGTCGATACGATTCTGATAAGATTGACAATGGCATTTGATTCTTTTATTCCCTCTCCCAGTGAACAAGAAGAAGAAATCTGGATTAAAGTTATCAAATTAATTATTACTCCTATTCATTTTAAAAAGGAAAAATTAAAAAAAAAGGATTCTCTAATCTAATCACCCACTTTGTTTTATTTATTTATTTATTTAGGTAACAAGAATATTGATTCCAAAACTATTTGATAATTTTAAACGGTCGAAAAACAAATCAAACAAAAGAAAAGACAAGAGAAATATATAAGAGGTTATGGAAATACATTTGTTAAACTTGGTAATATGGTTGGATTGAAATACTTTAATCGATATCTATTTGAGTTTATGTCTATCTATAGATCATTAGAAACTACAAACCAAATGATTTTGGTTGAATTATTGTTTCATAATAATTGGAAAATTGTAGAAGATGCCAAGTTTCCAATTAATCTACCCACATTGATTAGACCAGTCTCTCAACTTTTAGTAGACCAAGATATTCCACCAGAAGAAAAAGAAGGCATCCTCAGAACGGTGAATTTAAGCAACCCAATCGTTGGGATGAGACCATATCTTGGTTTGTTTGTGACACCAAATATGCCAAATTTTGGGGCAAAGCCTAACACTTATAGTAGTTTTTATAGTTGTTGTGCAATTGTATTGACAGAGATGGTGGATTATTATCATGGTGCCACCAAATTCGTTTTGGACACTTACTACAAGTTTGTCTCATTGGTCTTAAAATCAATTGATGTCACATTGAAAAACTCTGACTCTCACTACCTATGGGCCATCCAAGGGATGGTTGATGTAATGCAATGTAATAACTATATAGATACTTGGCAAATATATAATTCATCTTTTATTATATATATTAATAATCATTTACAATCTAATCTAAAGTCATTATTACTATCTATATATTATATATATTATTATAAAAGATAGGTGACCGTTAGGGGCGACGGTATAACTAAGAGAGATAGCGACGGATCTCATTTGAACAAAATCCGTGGTTCTTTCTTGTAATTCTTTATTGATGGTCTTGATATTGTAAAATTCATTTTTGTACGCCAGTACAAAACTTCGATTGTCATTATTTTCGTAAACACGACCAGCAATGATGGTGAAAGCATTTGTAAATGACGAGACCGTCCACTTGGTATCATAACGGAATTGTGTGAGCACACGGTTCATCACGGCAAGGTCAGTGGAACCGGATGCAAAGACGGTGAGGAACGCTTCTCTAAATGAACCCCAATGTTCGAATTCCAGATCTACCGTATTCCTAAAGACAGATAGGAATCTAGCTGACATTTTCTTGATGGCGACATACACTTAGTAAGGACCAGGTATTGAAATATCGATTTGATCGAGCCAGTGGGCTACATCATCACATTTGCTGATGGTCTCGATGCTGTTGAACAGGATTTTACCAGTACCATTACACCACAATGCTTTGTCGAAATCCTTTCCTTCCACAGAGTTGGATGATACACTAAGAAAACTGGCTACACTCTTTACAAAAGCATCGTCCGTCATTCGATAATCATTGTTTTCCAATAGGTAATGCTTGACTCTATTCTCTGGGTTGGCACTGATTCCTTTGGCTGCAATTTCTCTAGATTAGGAGCAGGATGTGAGTCGTCTACCTTGTTGGATGTTGTCGTCACTCGTACGATTAATGAAGTTTGAAAATTTAAAATTAAAAAAAAATTAAAATGAGTTTCTATATACAGAAATTTCGTTTATAAAAAGATACTTGGCAAATATATAATTAGTTTGTGAGGTATATAATAATAATAATATATAGATATATGAATATATAGATAGTAATAATGACTTTAGATTAGATTGTAAATGATTATTAATTATAGTAATAAAAGATGACTTAATGTTTATTGATTTCATTGGTCTTTTATAGTTTGTTGTTCGAGACTAATTGACAATAGTTTAGTCGTTAGTATTTTATCCAGCATACTTTCTATATTTGGCACCAGGATTAATATGTTGAAAATTAGATGAAATATCATTGACTAATCATTGAACTGTACTTTAATTTACAATCTGAATCTAACATGCAAGGTGAGAGTTTGTCAATGAAACAAACACAGACAATAATGTCAATTTATGACCAGTTGGAACAAAAAATCCAACAACAATGGATAAATATGGAAACATCGGTAAAAGAAAACAATACTACCTGTGTGGCAACATCAATTGGACAATTAATGTTTGAGATTAGTACATCAAGAACCCACTTTTCCAACATGCACAAACAACTAGTCTTTGATCAACTTGCAAATACTTATTCGACAATGACTGAATTATTGCAAAGTTTATCCAAGATTGTTTATAACCTATCATGGTATGCCAACTGCAATTCATAAATTAGAATACCTTGTAAATAACGAACAGGATGGTGGAATTGAATCTTTGTTTAATTTGTACCAATACTTGGTACCATCATTTTTCCTATTTTCACTCTAGAACGTTGGGAAATATCGCATTTTGTAGAGTCAAGAATGAAGTATTCAAAATTCAAACACCTCCTGGTTTTATTGATGAAATTCAACTTTATTGTCCACAATTTATCCTAAAAAAACAATTCAAAAGAAAACAACAACCTTAAAGAAAAAAGGAAAGAATAGATTTTGAAATAAATAATTATTAGTTATTAAAATTAAATTGCGAGTTTCTAATTACTATCTTTTCGGTTAAACTTTTCCATATAGTTGCACTCTTTGAAATTAAATTGTAATACACGATCCAAAGGTTACTGAGTTCCTCAAATGTTTGGTCTTGAAGCTTTTTACCTCCCTCTGTTCTAAAATCTAAAACTACTTTTTTTTTGAGAGGAATATCCTTGTGTGTGGTGTTACATCTTTGCATTGAGAATTTGTTTCCTTCAACCAATAATTCTATACCCCATTGTCTTGTATCATTGACATAAAAGTCCAAATTTGTATCGATTCCAAAGTATTCTCCAACATTACAGCAGTCTAGAAAATAAGTATCAGGTTTGTTAGGAATATTAATTTAAAAATTAAGTTAATTAATTTACATACAAACTTCAGTGGGAAGAGATCTGCAAGCAGCTAGATAAAAAGAATGTACAATCGTATCCTCTGAGAGACTCCCATTTGAATTGATTCCTAATATATCCATTCGCTTTATAGTTTCACTGATAAAAGTTTCAAAATCCAAGTTGGTGGGGATTGAGGTGTTGTCACTTCTATTTCTAGTATCAAAGTATCCTGCTTGAAGAAGAGGTGATGCAAATCTAACATTGTCATCGTCATAAACTGTAAGGAGGCCGAGTTTCACAAGAGAGGTTTGGAGTGTGGTAAAAGAGAAAGGCTTGTGCTGAACAATTGCAAATTGATCAAGGTAATTACGTTGTGTTTCGTCAAGTCTATCAATTCCTGCGAAAGCTCGACACAAAGTAATTGCATTGATAAAGGCGTGTGAGAGGATGTGAGAAATTATCTGTTCGTCTGGTGTTGGTGATTTAAACTTGTTGTAAATATTTCGATGGTAGATAGTGACAAGTCCAGGGTGCCCACTAGTTGATTTCCAAATTATTTTTCGTATACTCTTTGAGATTGTGAATCCTCCATTCTTTTGATAGACCGAGTTACATTTGGTGATAATTTCTTTAAACTCTTCCTTTGAATACCCCATTGTTTCAATTCCCCTAGTTAATGGAAAAGTAGAAGGAATACTAATATCAGATAGAGTAGTATTTTTCTCACCATAAGCGCCCACGAAAAGACAATCTATAGATATAAATTCAGTTAGTTTTGTTTGATCAAAGTACTTTGAAAAACCGATTAATATATTCATATAACATAACTTACAAAAGTTTGGATTTACATTGGTTGTGGTAATACTGTTGACCAATTGCCAAAACTGACCAGGAGATTTCTCTCTATTGAAAATGATTTGAAGTTCATCAAGAAGGATGTATGTTGGTGTGGTGGCTAGACTCCATTCTTTAAAAGTTTTTCCACTATTGTCTCTCCAATATTGATTGAAATCCATGTCCTCTCTCAACTCGAGGAATGACAACGTGACTACATTTCCTTGACCTTTGAGACTATTACCCACTAATTGTAAAAGAGAGGTCTTGCCAGTAAAAGGAGGTGATCGAATATAAATACAATGTTTCTCTCTTAACAATGTGACTATCTCATTTACTCTTTCAGTTCTTAAAGAAACCATGGGATCGTGGATAGATAATCCATTACTAGCTAATTAAATAAAAAAAAAAAAAAAAAGTTAATAATCCTTATTCATTTTTCTTTTCTTTCTTAATGTAATACAATCATACAAGAATGAATGCCATTAAACGTTGAAAAGTAGAATGTGTCTTTGTTCTCTAAGAGAGAGAGAGAGGAGGGAGAGAGGAAATGACAAAAGATTAGTAAGTAAACTAGCTGTGGTTTTATATTTATAACAGTACGTACGTTTTTGTGGATTAGCTAGATCAAAGAGTCTTTGTGCTCTACCAACTGTGATAGAAAGAGGTGGACTTGTCAGATCATCACGGCTTTTTGTTGACAAAATCAGGTATCCATCAACATTGACTCGATGATCTTGCGATCATTGTCTCCATCAATAAGATTCAAGAATCGTACAAGTTGTGATGGTGTTGTATCTCGAGTGAGAACAAAGGTCATTATTTCTAAATGTATCTAGACATAAATTTGGTTACCTGAATAACACACAAAGTTCAAACTATAAAGAAAAATAACTTTAATACAAAAAAAAAAAAGAAATTGGTTTCTTTATTTTATTCAAAAAAAAAGTAAAAGAAATAAGATTTTTATTACAATGAAAAATATATGAGTAATGTTATTTGTGTATATATATATATTTGAAATTTATAATAGTTATTGTTCAAATATTGAATCTTTTAAAATGGCATTTAGTAGGTTTGAAACTTTTGATTTGGCAAGTGCTGTGACATTCATAATTTCGATACGTTGTGATGGGATGGGAGTGTCCACTGAAATTTTCTTGAGAGTATCTTCCATGAGCTCTGAAAGTTGGGTAGTGGTTGATTCGAGATCTTCTTGTAGGAATTCAAAGAGATCTTTGGCAGTTTGGAGTCGAGGTGCCATATTCTTGGTCAACTCGCTTTCAAATGAAAAAAATGCGTATATATATGTGTGTTTGAGAATACATTTGCATTCGAGCAGTTGTTCTATTCCCTTTTCAATGTATTGTGCTTCCAACCATGTCGAAACCTTTTCCATTTCCTCCATCTTGGCTCTTGCCTCTTCTCTAATAACCTTTTCCAATTTTCTTGTACTTTCATGATTTATCACTTTTTCTGAATAATGTAAATATCTTTCTAATGCCTCACTAAATAAATATAAATTAAAAATAATTAATTAATATTTAAATTCTTTTTCTTTTTTTCTTTTCTTTTCTATTTTCTATTTTCTATTTACCTATTTTTTAATTTTTGATCAATTTCTAATTGTTCTTTATGTTTTTTTGAACGCTTCCAAGGTAAAATTGATTTCTTGGTAGTTGGTTCTTTGTTGACTTTGTTACATATATAAAAATTTTGGTGACCTTTCCAAGGTCGCATGCAAACCCAACACCATTCATAGGTGCATGATCTACAGGTCATATGATTACATCCTCCATTCTTTTCAATCGAACTTTGGCATTTTGGACATTGTTTACAATTTACAGATTTCCAATGTGTAGTCTCTGATTCATCTCTACATTTTTGTTCCCATAATGCCATTTGTTCACATGTACATGGTAAATGTGATTCTCTATGACATTTTAAACAAAATCTAAAAATTAAAAAAGAAAAAGTTAATATTAAATTATTTTTGTTTTGATTTGTTTGTCTATTTGATTTACCTAAATAAACATTGGGAACATTGAACTATATCTAATGAAGCATCGGATGAATCAGAAGTGACTATACTTTCGCAACCTGGAGTTGGACACCATCTCATTTCAGAGTGTTGGAGGTATTTCTTGGTTGCAAAACTTTCATATTTCTGGTAGAGGAATGGAGCAATGAGATGTTTGATGGTGAGGTCATCGACGACCGATGTACACTTGAAAAATGGACACCGAATATTTGCTTCACCTTCTACAATCTTCCCACCAAGATATTGTGCCCAACATTCATTGCATATAGAGTGACCACAAGTTGGTAATGCAGTTGCTTCTGTAGTTTCATCATCTCCACAAATTGAACAACCAACTGATGCAATAATATTATTATTTGAATTGGATGTACTAGTCTGGTGGTTGCTACTGCTGGTGGTAGTGGTATCATCGTTGCTACTGACAACAATCAATGCAGCTTGTTGACGGTGTTGAGATTGTGATTGTGGTTGTGCCTCACTACCACCTGAAAACTGTGCATGATGATGGTGGTATTCAATACCAGCCTCTGTACATACTTCTTGAGTTGATTCAAAGTATCTAGTGAGTAATTTCTCACGTTTCCAATTAAAATGTTTGAGTAGTGTATGTGACTGGTTGAATGTAATCGAGAGAAGTTGAGCTACTTCGTTGATCTCTCTTTTTTGTTCTTCGATCAATTGGTCAGCATCTAATGTTCTACTGCCAATTCCTCGACTACCAAGTTCAGTCTCTACATCTCTGAATCCATCGAAAACGTTGACATCGTCGTCAGAGTCAGAGTCAGAGTCATCATTATCGTCGTCGTCGTTGGAACTATAAGATGTGTCATCTTGTTGATCACCACCATCTTCATTGTCGTTTGCGTCGTCATCGCTACTGCTATACATATTATCTACTTGGTCGCTACTTGATTGGTCGTCGTCACCGCCTTTGGGTTGTTCATCCTCACCGTCATTGTTGATCAGAACTATATTGAATGAGTCTCCACCACCACCACGACTATTATTCAACTCTGTCTTTGGTGAAGAATGTAATGATATGACAACTTGCTGTTCAACAAGATCGTCGTCGGCGGATGAATGATTCAAATTGATGGTGTCTTCCAAATGTAATTTTTGTATCTGGATCTTTGGACTCTTTTTTGATGATGAAGATGAAGTCGGAGATGATGACAATGATGATGAAGAAGGTGATGGTGTAGTTGTAGTAGATGCAACAGCCGACGATGACAATGTCGGTGAAGAACTATTACCATTACCACTACTACTACTAGGGTTATTGGTTGGTTTTCTCTTTTTAAATAATTTTGTTACCAACATCTCTTTTTTTTTTCTATCTCTTTTACAGTAGATGAAAGGTACAGAATAGTATGTATTATATTTATATTATTAAATAATGAATGAATATATGACTGAATGAGAGAGATATATTATAAATTCATTGAATACTTTGTGTGTCAATATAAATAAACTAGTTTAATAAATAAATAAAATAAATAAATAATGATTGATTGATCGACTGAGAAGAAAGAGTATTATTATTACTATTATTACTTTCAACGCATAGACACACGAACACACCAGCACCCAAACAAACACACACCACTTATAAATAAATTGTTTTAGGGTGATAGGAGGGAGAATATTATATTGTGTTGGAGAGGAGAAGGACAGAGGGGGGGAATGTAAATATAGATTTGCTTATTCTATTCTATTCTATTCCTATTGACGATCTCGCTTCCCCTTGATTGTAATATGATGAAGAAGAAGAGGATGATTATGTATGTGGATGGTTGATTGTGATTGGTTTGATTGACTACTGCACTCAAAACTTTATCTCTCTCTAGTACTATTATTATTATTATTACATCAACTTTGTGTAAAAACGGAAATGATCCAATGATCTTTATCGGTTCCCCTTTATGAATGAATGAGCCCATCATCATCAGCATCACGATGGATCAACAACTGTTTGTCTTTGTTCTTCTTTCCAAAATCTTGAAACTGTTTTGGCACCATTTTTTCGATGAATTCATTTCGCTATTAATTGTTTTTTTTTGGCACCAATATATCTATTTTTGGCCCAGCCGGGAAAAAAGATCAATGAATCCAATATTATTGAAAGACAGACAGACAGACAGACAGACATCTATCTTTATATCGTTCTCTTTTATTATTATTATTATTTTATTGCTTTATACTAATATAATCATGACCATCTTTAGTTGGTATTAAATATTGCTTATAGAGATGATAAAGTTCGTATTCTCTGTCGGTGTTGGGTGTTGTGGGGATTCCTCCCTCACTACTATTAAATACACTTTTGTCTAGTAATTGATTAGATAATACGTATTCCAAAGTTTGACAATATTCTATTGATCCATCTCTAAAATATGGTAATCGTTGAACAAGACCTTCTGTTCTATTGAGATGAAGGAATCTAACTGTTTCCAATTGTCCGCATTCAACTGCATTTGTCATTGCTCTATTAGTACACCCTACTTTTGTTTGGTGATCATGTAGAAACTAGTTTTTTTAAAAATAATAAATATTGATTAATATTGGTTGTTTTGGGATATCCATTGATGGATGATTTGAATGATTTGTATGATGATGATAACAAACCTTTACAATGTCAATATATCTTTCAGCAGCTTTATCCATTGCATCAGTTGTACATCCCTCTGTTCTATTAAAATGTAAAAACTTTAAAAATGTAAATATTAGTAAGTATGTAGGTACTCAGCTTTTTTCAAAATTAAAGAAAATATATAAATAAATAAATAAATAAATAAATAAATAAATATATACCAACCTTGACAATATCAATATATCCATTCTCTGATGCTTTATCCATTGCTTTTTTTGTCCAAATAGGTGAAGTTGGTAGGCTCTGATGAATATATTGAATGATATCTAATCGACCATGAGTACAACAATTATTGATCAAAACAGCGGTAAAAGGTATTTTGTAATAATCATAAAGAAACTTTATGATTTCAAAGCCATTTTGTTCGGGTTGTACAACTCCAACATAATTCATTATATGGTTTGAAGGTCTTTCTGTCCTATTTAAAAATAGATACTATTAATAGAGAGAGAGAGAGATAGATTAATATTGAATATAGTTATATTGTGTATATATATATATACCTTTAACATATCAATGTGACCATTAACAACTACATTATCCATCCCACGTGTTGTACAGCCTTCTTGTCTATTTTGATGTAGGAATTGAACTATATCCATGTCACCTCTTGTAACTGCATGATTCATGCAATCAGTAGTACATCCTTCAGTTCTATTGTAATGTAGGAACTGAATCATTTGTAAACTCTTTGCTCTATCCATTGCTTTAGAGGTGCAACCCTCCGTTCTATTTTGATGTAGGAATTGAACTATATCCATGTCACCTCTTGTAACTGCATTATCCATGCAATCAGTAGTACACCCCTCAGTTCTATTGTAATGTAGGAATTGAATCATTTGTAAACTATTTGATTTATCCATTGCTTTAGTTGTACATCCAGCTGTTGTATTTTGATGTAACCATTCAACAATAGAAAAATGTCCATTTTCACATGCTAAATCCATATCATCGGTCGTTTCTTCTTCATCTGTATAATAACTCTTTAAATACTAATTAGGGGATAAATAAATATATATAAGTATAATAATAATAATAATAGTTTGAGTGTTGTTGTTTCATTTCACTTACCTTGACTATTTCAATATGACCACCTGCAATAGCTCCATTCATAAACGATTGATCTGCATTGATATCGGGTCTATTTTGATGGATGAGCTAATATATATATATATATATATATTGATTGATTGATTATTAAATGAATTGAGTTAATTAAATAATTATTTGTTTGTTTGTTTGTTTCTTACATACCTTTACCAAATCAAGATCACCTTGTTGACATGCCAATTCTAAAGAATGATCAGTGAATGATACACCTCTATCTACCAAAAATGTGATTATAGGATGGTGTTGATTGGATACAGCCGTTTCAAGACACTCATGGTCAAAGTCAATAAAAGGCTCTAATAACTTTAGCATTGGTAAATGTCCATTCTCTGCAGCTACATCTGGGCAAGAGTTAAACAGAATGTTATTAGAGTACTTGTTGATCATGTAATCTAATATATCGACATGTCCATTTGAAGCGATATTGTGTGCCAAGTCTTGGTAGTATGGTGGATATAAGCCTTTTGTATTGGGATTAAAATCTGGTGACCATTCCAATAGATGCAATAGTGTATCCAATGTTGCATTTTGATGTGAACAGTATCTAGTGATCGTATTCATTCTTCTTTCAAACAAAAAGTGGTCACTTGATGGTAAATAGTGTTTGATAAACTGCCATGGCATTGCATATTCTGTAATCATACCAAGAAACTCTAACTCCTTTATATCTCTTCCTTTTAAATACCTATTCTCTAGAGAATAGATTCGCTCCGATATCTCTTCAACATGTTTGAATATTAATTGTCTAATATACCCAACTCTAAATATTGTTAAATATGTTGTTGTTGTTGTTGTTGTTGTTGGTAAAGAGGATGAGGTCATGACTCTCTACTCTACTCTACTCTTGTTGCAAATACATTCTAGAATCAAAGTGAAACATAGACAGTAAGACAAAGAAATTATTATCTTTCTTTATTTTTTTAATTTCTATTTTTTTTATTTTTTGGGCTTTATGAACTGGCAAATGCCCAGCAGCAGAATGTTCTTTGCTGCGCTGGTGTCTTTGTTAAACCATGATTTGCATACTGGGTAATACATCGATTCCCATTTGATATCACATGGGGAATTTTGTTTGCGGAGAAGAACCATTGTTTCTTTGTTGCCAAGAGACTTGCCAGATTCATAATCATGTGACGAAACATAGTCGCTATTAGACTTGTTCCCATCCTCTTCATTATGAATTTCATCAAGTTTTCTTTTTTCACAATTAGTTGGAGTTGTTGATGGTGATGGTGGTGTTGCTGGACAAAATATTCTCAATGGACGCTCTCTTTTCTATAGAAAATTTCAAAAATACCATTGACAAGATCTTCATCCAACTTTTGGCCAACTACTTTAAGGGGTATTCACTTGACCAAGTCTTTAATATATCTCTCGTCCCTATTCTCTAAACCTCCCCAATTGTTTATTTTTAATACCAATGGTCAACTAAAAATTAAAGTTTTAAATTTGTAGTATGATAACTCGGCCACTCCCTCCTCTTCATCTCCTGGCCTACATCTCTTTCATCCTCTCTGCCTCCTCTTCAACAAACAATGAAAAGAGAAAGAGTTATTCATACACACACAGTTGACAGATGACACGTTGTGGATATTTAATGGGATTCTCAAAGTTGGGGAACAAATCAAGTATAGTTTGAGTGTTGGTGGGAATTGATCGATTATGAAGCAATGCTTGGAGTGCGGATTTGTTTCGGTAGGTATATTCATAAGTTTCCAAACAATGCAATTTGTTTACCGCGCGAGGGCAAAGTTGATTGGTCGTCGATTTCTTCTTTCATAAAGATTGTATGTGTTTTCTTTCTTGATGATGGGTTTTTTATTTTAAATCTATAACAAGTCTGTATATATTGGTATTAAAATTAAACAACAAAGTTCATCCACCACCACCGCCACTACAAGAGAGGTCGCCAAGTTTCAATCTCGTATAAATTTTCATAATTTATATCAAGTTTGACCGCTCTTGTGGCCCACCAAAACATCCACCTAGTAAATTCATCACAATTGTCAAACCCTCAACTAATCATATTCATGCCATATATATTATACTTTAAATAAATCAATTGATTAAAGACGAGTTGGTCCATTTTTAAAAACTATAAAGATATGTATCTTGTAAAATTACTGTCATAAATACTGTTTACCAATTATTACTTATTTATTATCTTTTAGAATGGGTGGTTTTGATAGAACGAATGCGAAATTGTCCATGACCACTATAGCCTTGATGGGTTTTAAAGAGCTAATTACAATAATACTAGTATGTACCAAATAAATAACCATGATATCGATATAAGATTAAGCTACCATTACTCTTGAGCATTCACAATTGTTTTGAGATTGACCACTTCTGAATTATTTGATTATTGATCCATTCCAAATATACTAACCATCTTGTCTAGCGTTGCTGGATTGAACACTGCTGACACCAGTGCATATAATGTTGAAGATCCAAGGCGCCTACACCTTTTGTGTTGGTATTTGTCTTTTTATTTGATTAATCGTGATCCAAAAGGTATCGATCCATGTTGCACGTAGTTTTATACAATAGTACTATGAGATTTGCTTTGAATACCATTTTTTTTGTTTTAATAATCTTTGAAACGACGATCCAATACCAACAATAGATACAACTCTTTGTGCTCTTTCTGTTTATATCATTTGTTTTTCCAAACAATGCTTTCTAGACCTCATCTTAGCCCATGGCTAAAGGCGACTTTACGGAAAGTACTTTTTAGCAGGGTGAATCTCTCGCAAATTTTTTTGGCAACCATTTGATAGATAATTAAAAGATCTATCGATTGGTAAAGAATAATTAAAAATAAAGAAGACCATAGAGAGAAATAAGTTTTACAAATAAATAGATTCTGAGGTACTCCCAACCAAAAATTTTCAAAACCCCTCAGAAAATAAACACTCATTTCTTACTAAAAGCATTTATTGTATACCCCTAACCATCAACCTCGATAAAAATATATACATACACACACGCAGCACCCTATGTTTCACTGCGCATCGCATCGCACCAACTTAAAAGTGTAACTTAAAAACCACTATGCAACACAACATTCTTTCATTCAAACCACTCACTCTAGTGTGTATGTATGGATGATGGTTGTGAACATACATCAACCAAGAGATATATAGATGGGTGGTTCAACTTGACTGGGAAGGAGGTTCATTCATTCATTCATACAACTTGTTCACAATAGAAACAAAGATAAATGGGATAAATTTGGGTTGGTTGAGGTGAGTGAGGGGAGAAGAATAGGGCAGCACATTTGATCAAAAGTGGGATCGTTGGCTCGCCAATGTATGTATGTCCATCTTTCAATTCAAATCATCATCATCATTTCCTTTCTCATCATCATAACCACAAAATTATTTATATATATAAATATAGAAAGAGTTAATAATAATAATAATATTTATAAATAGAATAATCAAAAAAAAAAAGATCAAAAGGGGAAATAATAGTAAAAAGAATTAATACTTACTATTATTATTATGTATCGACCATCAATATTACTACTCATTGTTGTTCTATTTTTTCTGGGAGTAAATGGATCAATATTAGAAGACAAGAATAATTGTACATACACTTCAAAAGTGTCTGGCAACTATGAAGATGCACAGAGTTGGTCTTGTGTTCCCACATTTGAAACCAATATGGTGATCAATACAACAGTGGTAGTGTCTACCAATACTACCAACTCTAATATTTACAGTGTCAATCGATATGTCCAGAATGGAGGTTCACTCGTACTAAAGTATATTGCTCAATCGATTTACGATCAGACCTTTATCGTTGGTGAAAACTCTTCCATCGTCATTTCCAACAACAAAACAACAATGACTATTGACAAGGGAAAGGTATTATCCATTACACAAGGTGCTACATTCTTAATTTCAAAATCATCAATCTTGATTGAAACACCATTGGTTAATATTTCAAATTCTGGAAAATATATTTTTGGTATGCATATAAAAACACAACATTTATAAATATATTAAAGAAAAAGAAAGAAAGAGATTAATTATTATTGTTTATTTAATAAATTTAATTTTAGATAAATCAAAAGGAATCATTCCACCATTTCACATGTCATATGGTAGTTTATTCAATACCACACCATCATCTGAAATTCAAATCCGTCCAGTTGATTTTGAGAGTAATGATACATTGACTTTAGATAGTGGATCAAGATTCATTTCAATTCTATCAAATATCTCTTCTAAAGTTGAAACAAAGATATCTGATTCCCAAGTCACCATGATTGGATCTTTTTTTAATCAAAAAAATTCAAACTATACAACTGTATGATGCAAACAAACAAATATTACTAACATAATAATAATACTAACTATAATTATTATTATTATATGATATATAGAAATTATCAAAGATATTGTTTAGCAATTCATCGATTACTTTTAGAAATGTATGTTTCCTGAAAAAAAAGAAACGGGAGTATTAATACTAATTTGATTTCAAAATCCACTTCCATATATATATATATATAGTCATCGTTTTCATTTATAGATAGTAGTATTACATTTAATAATTCAGATATACATTGGGATCAATTAACACCTCCAGAAGAAGGAAATGGAAATAGTTCAACAAAATCTAATTATACAGATTATACTAGAATCAATCTATTCAATTCGACTATTATTAATATTGGTGATGGTAGTAATGGTGCATTCCATCTTGGAAGAGTATTATTGACTATAGGCCAAGTCAAAAACTCATCTATTTGTCAATTGATCAATAATGCCAGTATGACCTTATCAAATGTATCCAATATAAATAATAATGATGTATGTATTACAATATATATATATATTTTGATCCCAACATAATTTAAACTAACAATCCTTTTGGACTTGTGTATACTAGTTTTATATTTATAATAATGGATATTTAGATATTAGTGGAGGTGTTTTAAATGCAAGTCTTGTACCATCAAATTCTATGGCTAGTAGATTAGTTTTAAAACGTGCTACACTCTCTTCAAAACAACCAATTATTCTTAATAAGGGATCGATTGAAGGTATCGGTGAAATCGATGGATTCTTGAATATTAGTAAATCAGCATCACTAGGTAGATACCCAGAACCATCAATCATCAACTTTACCAAACCAGTAGCATTTGAATTTAATTCAACCATTCATGTCATTTTGAATTCGAATCAAATGTATCAAACTAATTGTATGTGATGGCCATCCCATCTTTGAGATGATAAATGATGAATAATATTATTGTTATATTCTAATCAATCACTCTCTCTCTATTATATGTCTCTCTCTAGATACTTTCAATTCTACGATTGAAATGATGAATGCAACGATGAATCTAACAATAGACGTATGGTTTTTGCTAACGAAATCAAATGAAAGCTTTGCTGGAGAGTACTTGGTGGTGGGATTTAACTCTACGATGGAAGGACAACGCGTCAACAATGTCAAGCTTCTCGTCGACTTGGTTGGATTCCCCGAACCATATAAAGCTACCCTAAAAAAGGCTTGTAGATTTAGTACTGAAATTGGTCCAAATGGTTTGTCGATCACATGGAACAGTTGCAGCATTGCTAGAGAAAAAGAGAAACTCGTAGGCTCCTCTATACTCTTTTTGTTTATGTCTCTAATCTTGGTAGTTGTCATTGCATTTATAGGTTATCATTTAAATACTCATCATTTAATTTGACCTATAACAAATAACAAATAACAAATAACAAACCTAGATAGTGTACGCACTCACACCCACACACAAGATACTAGTCTTCTTCCCTCTTTTCTTCTAAAGTTTAAAAAAAAATAAAAGCTCAAGCAGAGTATTAAATTTTATTTGTATGGGCGGGCTTTGAGGTTACAGTTCACCTCAAATCTTTCTACCGCCTTCTCTCTTGCAATGAAGAGAACACCGACCCTAGCGCAACGACATGTGACCACTATTCTATTATCTTATAATCTTCTCATAGATAGAGATAGAGATAGATATAGAGATAGAGATAAAGAAAGAAAGAAAAAGAAAAAATGACAACTGTAGCAAATACAACATCATTTGAACATCAATTGAAAAGTGGTCAATTAGTTGTATCAGATGTCGTTGAACTGATCAATAGTAATAATAACCAAGCTGGTGGTAAAGATATACACCTATCAGAGACATTCTCATTGTTTACTGACGCTGTCAATGGTATTGATAATAAAACTATTGAATCAATTAAATCAAAGCTATCAAACAGTATGTGTATAAATTAGACAAAAATAAATCAAAACAACTAATCAAATCACATGTGATACTAATTATATATATATATATATATGATTCATTATAAATTAAAAAAAAAGATAAACCTGTAACATATTATATTAGAGGAAGTGATATTGAAAGTAATGGACAACGTCAGAGTAAAGTGATGCAATCACTTTTCAAACCTGATTTGGAAAGTAATTGTATCACAGTTCCAAGTCAATACACAATCGAAACCATTCAAAAAGTAGCAACTTACTTGAAACGATTGGTTACTCCTAAAGGTGAATCGTTTAAATCCGTAAGTAATAGTTAATCATCATCATCATACTCATATCAGATGACCATCCTAATCTTTCTTTTTTTTTTTCTTTTTTTTATACTTTACTTTACTTTAGGCATTTAATTGTAGACATGAATTTAGTAAGGATTTGAAGGCCTTAACTTCCAAGACCTTAACAAGTGTAGATTGTAGAGTATTGTATTGGGATACATCAAACATTATCAATTTTAATGTTGTACGTAAGGTAGTAGGAGTAGGTCGTAGTAACCACCCGAGTTGGAAAACTAATTAATTTATTTAATGTATTTAATATATTTATTAATATATTTATTTATTTATATTTATATATTTATTTTTAATTTAAAAAGGAAAACAATGAATTGGTTCATGAAATGCTTAGTAAAGATGAAATTAAAGAGTACTGTGATTTAATTGACGCTTTGAGCCAGTTCAAGTCTGTTGGATTTGCCAATGAAGACCAAAGAGAGCTACCCTATGATCGCCAACTATTTGAAAATTTAGGGATTGATCCAAAAGACAAGAGAATCATCGAGTACCTCACGACCAAACAAATCCTTAATGATTATTGCCCAGATATTGACAATGCCGATTTAAAAATAGACAATCTATTCAAAATGATTAATCATTCTCTTTTTTTAGATATTCAATCCAAATTGAACCAAAGGATGAATGATTTGATTGGTACTAGTAGTACTAGTACTTCCTCTTCTTCTTCTTCTTCTTCTTCTTCCTCGTCTACAATTTTTTTAAATATTTTAGAGTATCCAGAATATCATACTGTATGTACTGTTCCACTAGTATTAAAAGAGTTTGCAAGTTAATATATTAATATTATTATTATTTCATTTTCCAATATTATATAGGAATGTAGAGATATATCATCAGCAATGATTAATAGATTGGTTGACTTTATTCAAGACAAGTTGTATCTTTCATTGCTTGGTGAATTCACTGCTATTCCTCATTGCTCGCCAAATGACTTCCCAGATGACTTCCCAAGTGCCGCATCGTCCAATGCCGTCCTCCAAAGTTTACTCAAGGATGCAAAGCTAGACTGGCCAAACAAATTAAATTTACTTGATGTTAATGACCAAACCCGAAAGTGCCTAGTCAAACACACACCCACATCCGATGGCAATACAAGTAGCTTTGAAATTATTCATGATGGTCATGTATGTTTTAATAATCAAAATCATCAATTCATTCATTTACTCAATTTATTTATTTATATATTTATTTATATTTATTTATATTTATATATTATAGATCAAATGTACTTACTATAGTTTGAAACCAAAGCAATGGTCTATTCCTTCGTTCCATTCTGATTGTTCAGACAACAAAAAAAAGTACTTTAATCCAGAAGCTCAACTTTTATTAACAGATTTTAATACAATTTCAAGGGAATTATGTTTAGAATCTACTTTTAAAATATTTGCATTTAATATGACTCCTGCTGTAGGTAGTATTAGTAGTAATCAACCATTTTAATATTAATATCATTCATTTATCAACCTATAGATTAACCCTACAGAAACAGAGAAAAAGATTGAGAAATATGGTCTAGTGCCATTAATTAATTTCCCAGCCATTCGATTCCAAACTAGGGATACCTATCAAAATTTTTGTCATACTTACTACAAACTTTTGGCAAAGTCCGATAATAATCTCAGTCCCCAGGAGAAGTGTCATCAGCTGCTACAGAAAACGTTTACAACACCTGATCTCTTCTACTCTTGTGGTCGTTCAATTGTATTCCTAAGTAGTGCTGCTGTATGTTTCAAAACATTAATATTCCATTTTGTATGATATAAATATATTAATATTAATATTTTGCAATTTATTCCTCTACCTAGGTTGCTAAATTAAAAAAAGATGTCGAGAATAGCTCAAAACAAGATAACAAAGGTAATCCCATTTATACTCCAAAGCAATCAAAAGGTTTGGGGTCTGTCAATACTTATGAACACAGATCACCTTCTGATTTATCAAAATCTAATCATACCGGTTTTGGTGGTGGTGATAAATCCCCATTTACTCAATACTCTTCTTCGTTGTCTCGTACAAAAGAATCAATTGATCATAGTTTACAAGGAGGTGCTATTAAAATGATGGATTTACAATCAGCCACCACCACCACCACCACCACCGCTGTTTATCAGCTTGATATTTCCAGAGAAGAAATCGACGCACATGAATACCAACCAAAATTACCAACTAAACAACAAATGTAAGTTATACCAGAAAAAATATTATTTACCTTTTTTTTTTTAAAATATTATTAACCTTTTTCTTTTTGTTGTTTAGTGATCAATCAAGTAAAATATTTGTTGGAGGGTCATTGGATGAAATCAAATTGGAAGAAGAGCAGCCTATTCAATATCGCCAATCAAATGTGACCAAAGATGATTGCAAAATATCTGAAGATAGGGAAATAGGAACTAAATCAACCTTTGGTAATATTATTTATGCTGGTACATTCCATAACCTTCGTACCTTGATTCTTTTTACCGATCAATTTAATTTAGAAAATCGTATGTCCAAAAATCCTATCCATTCATTCATTCATTCTCATTCATTTCTAATCAATTTTAAATATTTTTTATTTCTCAGCTGAATCATTTATTGCTGGATTAAATCAAAGAGCTATTGAAGAATACTTGTACATGTTGGACATTTATTATAAATTCCATCTCAATCATTCAAACTATTTAAAAAAGGATATCAAATCTTTTATTGTAGGTTTGACTCGTTTCCTTTTGTTTACCATTAAGTCAAAGCAACAATTGGGAAAAGAACAAATACTTCACAAACTGTTGGTTAGAACTAGAATCAGTGAATATGTATTCAAGAGTCTTCAAGCATTAATGGTTAATCAAAAATATGATACTCCTACACTTCATATTTTAACCAATTATCTTTTATATTTCTCTCAAATTGAACAATCTTGGGATTGGGTAAGCTAAATAATTATATTTATATTTATATATTATTTATTAATTTTATTTAATTCTTTTTTAGTATTCAGAAGGATCCGGACTAAGAGTATTGTTCAACTTTTTAAAAGATTTGAATCAACAGAAATCACTTTCAAACAATCATAGAATAGCTTCATACCAAGTCTATCTATGTTTTGTTCATATGACTAAAAGTGAAAAGTTGGTTCAATGTATTGCATCTGACAAGATCCAATTACATAGCAATCGAAGCATGTCCAATTTGATTGTTGCATTGTCAGATCTGGTTGTAAAGTACAAGGCAGATACAAGAATCCAAATTGCCAGTATGCAAATCACCAACAATCTCTTTAAAGTAGAGTCTCTTCACCAACTGCTACTCAGCTCGTCACTGCTGAGCACCTTTATCAGACACTTGTCAATGGGTAGCCTTGAACTCATCCAAGAGTTTACCATGTTGGTTGACGATATTTATCCAACCGTCCTCAAACCAAAAGACAAGCAACTTGGTGGAGTCGCTCACACTCTTACCAAATACTTGTTGACTCTTTCCGGTGACTCTGATGAATTTAAATCAATTTCTGCATCACTTGATAAATTGATTAAACTATCAACTACAGTCGATCAAGATTGGAAATCAATTACGTCTAGTGGTATACTTAATTACTTTAAATCAATGATTGTCAACAAAAACTCTTCTGGTGACCAAACAACCAATATTAGTGATCAAATCAATCAAACTACTACTGGTTCAAACTATGCAACATTTGTTGCATGGAGACAAAACCTATCTAAAAAGCAACTAACTCAAATGAAACAATCATGTGATCAAGGTTTAAAATTAAGAAATATCGATTGGACTGAATTATTGATTCAAAAAAAAGACAAAGTAAACACAAATAATAAACACAAATAAACACAAACAAATAAACATAAACAATTACAAAAAGAAAGGTATCATGTCATTGCTTGACTACTTAATGTCAACAAGCCCCACAAGGTATCAGTGTACTTTTTAGGTTACAAAGGTGGGATAAGCTATTTAGATGGAACTTTTGAGGGTTCAGTTTGTTTAATCATCCGATACCTTGAACAACAATAAAAATAGCTCACAAAAGAGAAACTGTATCACTATACACACTTGCATAGAAATGTATTTGAATTTTCACCATATGAAAAGTTATGGGTCATAGACGAACGAATGACCAAAAAGAAAGAAAACGAAAAATAACTTCCTCCTCCTGGGTATGGAAAATAAATATTATATTATATATTAATATTTAATATTAATTAATTCATGGTTATTATAAACGATTAGGAGGAATGAATCTGATGGATATCTCTCCCCTCTATTTTCGAAAAATGTGGTGTCATCGGTAATTTCAAGATTGAAGGTGGAATGACTTGATATAGGTGTCTCTCTCCACTCGGACTGCCGATTGATTGTTGATTAAGGTGGGGTGAGTCCTAGAGAGAGATAGAGAGACGATAAACGAAGGATTTTGATTCGATCTCTCTTTGAACAAGCAAGGGAAGGGTAAATTAAATTAAATTATTACTATTATTATTCTTATTTACACTGGTTAGGGTTCTTCATGGGTCGTATCCCCCGTCCGCAAAACATCATCCAAGTGTCATTCTCGCTCACTTCTTCTTCTTCCTCTTTCATCTTATTGGCCGCCACCTCGTTTCGTTACCTGAACAATCATCATCATCGAGTGACCTGCACCTCGAGCAAAGAGAAAGTTTATTGTTTTTTTTTTTTGTTTTTCTTTTTTATTTTTTTCTTTGTCCCTGTTTTCTTTTTTTTGAAGATAGCTTGAAATCGAGATAATATTAGATTTGCGACCAGACCAAACAACAAACAACAACTTTTAGAAATATTCATAGTTATATATCATATCACACTCGACGAGTAACTAAAAATACCACCACCGTCACATCCACACAGAAAGAGTAGTAGTTCTATGCGAGAGCAGCATTTCATTATTTCATAGGCTTAGCTACTATAGTTCTTCTATTAGGATACAAAGACAAAGACAAAAAAAGACAGACAAAAGTCATATCGATTAATAGAATACAGATTTTAAAAGGGTATGTGTTTATCACTCTGCAGAGTAGTAGTATAGTGGTAGTAGTAGTCAGAACAGTGGTAGTAATAAGAGATTACAGTAATAATGCATTCAAAGTAAAGAAAGAAAGGGGACGGACAAACTCGACGCGTGATAAAGATATTATTATCATATCATATATATCTATGTTGTATATCACCATACAACCAGTTTGGAATGTATTGGTTATCATGAAGTAATAGATAGAGTTTTGAGGAAGAGTAGATAAAAGAAGAAAAGGGAGTAAAGAGAGAGATGTACCAACAACAGAACAACAATTGGAGGATTGTCTGTCTGCTACTGTTGTTGTTGTTGCAATTAAATCAATAATGAATGCGATGCGAGCAACCCAACAACCCAACAACACTCCCACACGACTACATTATACAATCCCAAATTTATCCCTCTTCCTTTTCTTTGTGTACCCCCCTACCCTGTTAATGTTGTTGTATAATAAAATTATATTATCCTCATACCATCTACACACCACACATATAAATATAAATTGAAACAGCGCAGCGCAGCGGTAAGGAAGGAGGGAGGGATGATGTGTGTGCATCACAACAGAACACAAGGAACGTGCCAGCAGCATTCTTTTCTTTTTAAAATAGTTTGTTAGATTAAAACTATTGTTGTTATTGCATCATCTTTACCTCTCTTACTTTTACCCCCCCCCCCCCCTCCCCACTCACTGCTGCTTGCGCAGTTCATGTTCATTCATTATCCACCTCCCTTTATTTCTTCTTCAGGTTTTACTTTTAAACAACAACATCAACAACAACAACAACTAGTTAATCGTATCATCGTCTTTGTCGTAGCAGAATAGAATAGAATAATAGAGTAGAATCAACAAATACTTCCTACTTTTGACTACTACTCTCAGGAAAGAAAGAAAGAAACAATATACTTATACCCCCCTTATTATAATATATCAATTTGCAGTTCAGTTTTGACAATAACTTTATAACAACTACACTATTACGAATCATTGGTTACTCTTTCTTGTTGGAACACTTAAAAAGCAATCAAATCAAAAAAAAAAAAAGGTAGTGGTCTGTTTGCAAAGGATATCCATCGCACATTTGGTAGATTGATTGACAGAGAGAGATAGATAGGATCAAACCTTTTTTTATTGTTTGGGCAAATGTCTACTATTAAACAACATCAAAGGTCAGAAAGTGGTAATGGGAACATATCAGGTACAGTGGCCCAAGTGTCTTCAACCACAACAACAACAAACATAACCACATCTTCATCCTCACTTTCTTCTTCATCTGATTGGAAGAAATATTCTTCAGGTAAACTATAAACTCTAACATATATATAATATATATTATTGTTTGTTCATTATTATTTATAAATCCCTTCCTTTTTTATTTATTTATTTTTAGATTTAATGGAACATCAACCAAGTAGTCATTATTCACCACCTCAATCACCGTTGAGTGTTTCCGATCCTCTTGGGGGATACTTTCAAAATCTTAGATCACCAGATACCAATGTCCGTAAATCGGCCGTTGAGAATATTATTAGTCTATTGACCGCACCAGAAAATGAAAAATTATTAAGAACAAACATCACAAATATAGTAGTATTGGCAACAGAATCACCATTTGAAGAAATTACAGATGCATTTTCAACTTTATTATCAACTATACAAGTAAGCAAAAAGAAATAGATACAAGACTATCTATAATAATAATATATTTATACTTGTTTACTTTCTTTCTCTCTAGGAAAAATATCATATACCAAAACAAAAAACAACATCATTTATAAATGAAACACAATTACCACCATTAAATAGTAATGATCAATTAACAAAGAGATTATTTCAAGAAGCATTTTTACAATCGGGAAGAGTCAACCATATCATACGATTGTTGGGCTGGCATCCACAATATTTGGAGAGATTTTTAGCATCGTACAACAAGGTGATGCGTGACCAAGGACCACTTCCACTGCCATGGAGAAACTATATAGGGATTTTGGCATCGGCAAGATACAACTGTGGCTATTTGGTGGCATTGCTCGAACACGAATATCTGCATAGTGGAGGCGACCCCAAGTGGTTGCAAGGCGTCGATCACATCCCACAAAAACTAAAGAACCTCTTAAAGATTGTAGAGATGATGGCACATCAACCATGGCTCTTGCCCAACGTCGATATCGAATATTTGGTCAAGGGACAGGATGCCTGGTCAATAGCAGAGCTCGTGCACGCGATGATATTGATTTGTACATTTTTATCGTTGGCAGGTTTTGTCTTTTCGTGCGGTATCCTGCCCGAATATGGACTAGCCTCGACAACAACACTCGACGAGAGAACATCGTTCTCGCTCAACGAAAGCGACTGCGAAGTGGAGGATTTGACAGCGTCGGAAAACACCATCAAGGTGATGGAGCTGCTCAAAAAGAAAAAGGAAGAGCAAGAGGAAGACGACTTTGAAGACGGCGGGCCCGAGATTGATCGTCAACAAGAATTTCACAATGCAGGCAACATTGACGCCGACAATAGCAGCAGCAGCAGCAGCGGCAGCAGTAGTTTGGCCACCACCTCGTCGTCGACTTATGGCGGCATCGTAGACATGTCTCGCTACAACTGCAACAATCAGCTGACACACACCGACTTTGATGTCTCATCAAAGGATTATACCATCTTTTCCGTTCAAGACTACTCGTGGAAGGAGCACGGCTATGAATTGGTCAGTCGTATCTTTCCCGACGCCGCTCCCCTCCTCGACGAGGAGTTCTCTTTTGTCTATACAATGACCTACTACCGTTTCAACAATAGCACCGACATTGACACTCTCCCCTTCCGTAGAGCCGTCTGGTACTATGTACAGCGTGTCAAGGGTATGTGTCACGACGACTACAACTACCAAGAGGTCAACATGTTCCTCAGTCGCAATCTCAAATACTATGTCAAAAAGGCTGTCTGCTTCCCAGACAATATCTCAAAAATCGATTACTCCAAATTGGGTTATGATCTCAAACCAGATGAAAAATGTCATTTAGCTCTCTTGGCTGTATGTTCTCATAAACAAGCAGCTCTTCTCTATGGTCTCTATACTGTAATGTCTTATCAAAATCGTAGATAGAATAAAAAAAGTAAAGAGAATATTATATTTAGGAAAAAAAAAATAACAAATGATAATATAAATATATTTATATTACTTTTTTATTTATTTGGTTTTTGGAGCACCCATACCAAGAGTAATTTCATTTAAATCATCACCATAGTCTCCAACATCTTCATCTCTTTTCTTTAGTAGGAATTTATCTTTAATTTTATCTTTTAATGTTTTCTTTTCAACTTTTTCATGTGTTGTTATGGTTGTAGTGGTTGAAACAATTGGATCAACAACGGCAGGTGAAGTTTTGTTACGATGATCAAAAAAGTGATGATGTTTACTTCCAAGACTACCACCACCTCCAAGAGAAGAAGATTTGGCTGACATTTCTTTCTTTATGGTTGTTGTAGTTGTTTTGTTATTATTATCATGATTCAAAATATCATCTGTCAATTGAACAGTTTTACTTGTTGGTGATCTTATAGATGAATAATCATTTGATTGTCTTCTTGCTCCATATAAAATACCACCCATTGATGGTGAATCTTTGGTCGAGGTGGTTCGGTCAGGCAAGACACCTGTTATTTTGGACAAGGCAGGAATCATTGATGCACCATATGGAATGAATTGATGGATAAATGGTAGGATTGATTTGGTACGATCCAATAACTTTGGAAGGTTGGGTAGTACCTCTTCCATGTGGGGTACGAGGAATTCAAGGTACGGTGCGAGATAGTCGAGTTGTGGGATAATGACGTCGATGTGATAGACCAGAGTACCGAGATGAGGTAAAAGAGCAGGTAGGTATGGTGAAATTTGATGCATATGTGCTGCCAATGCATCAATGTGAGGGAGGAGGTATTTACAGTGTGGCAAGAGTGCTCCGGCATAGGGCATCAATACTCCAATAAAAGGACTGAGCTTTTTAATGTGAGGCAATAGCATTGATGTGTATGGGAGGAGCAAGTGGATATTGGGGACGAGTTGATCAATGTAGGGAATGAGACTGGCTTGTGAATCGAGTAGTTCGTCAATGTGGCCAGACAGTAGAGTAAAGTGGGGCATCAACACTGGAATGTATGGGTAGAGCTTGTTGATGAGTGGGATGAGACGATGACTGTGAAACATTAATAGGGCCGAGTGTGGCAACAACTGGTCGAGATAGGGTATCAACTTTGGTGAATAAGGTAGTAGTATTTTGCATCGTGGTGCGAGTATATGTGCGTATGGCAAGAGTTGTTTGGCGTGAGGGATGAGGATCTTGATGTATGGCAAAATTTCGTTAATGTGAGGCTCGAGAATTGGAATATAGGGGATGAGATCGTCACCATGGACCAGTAAAAGGTCAATGTGAGGTGAAAGTACTTGGAGATGTGGCGCCAACAGTGGAATGTATGGTGATATTTGTTTGACTTTGGGTATAATCAAACGAGCGTGAGGAATGATCGAGTTCATGTTGGCGAGAATGATATTGATGTGTTGCATGATAATATCCATATCTGTCATTATTTGTGGTAGAAATGGTTGGAGTTCGGCTAGTCGTGGCAAAAGCATATCAACGTGTGGTAATAGTTGGTCGATATAAGGTATAAGATGGTCAGTGTATGGAAGTAAAAGGTACATGTGTGGAAGTAGTCTTGGCAGTTCTGGTACCAATTTTGGTACATATGGCATTAGAGAACGACATTTTGGTAGTAGCATGTCAATATGAGGTGCTAGAATCGATGCTTGTGGTGCCAAATAATCGATATAGGGTACAATATCATTTAGATAGGGTGTCAACTTTTCAATGTTGGCAGCGACCACTGATATATTTGGCATTAAAACGTCGATATGTGCCATTAACAATCCAAAATGATTCGATAGTTTTGGAAGGTTTTGTAGTAATAGATCCATGTGAGGTTCAATCTTTTCGAAATTAACCAATAATACATCCATATGTGGTGCCAATATATCGATATTATCCATCAACATTGGCAATCTCTTTTCCAATTGTGGATATCTATCCAAAAGTGGATCTCTATAATAAATAAAGGTTCTAAAATTTGGTAAAATCTTATGTCTATATTTTAATAATACTGGAAATAATTTTATCAAATTTCTAAAAAGAAAAGAAATAAAAGAAAAAGAAGAAATTAATATTACTTTTGTTTATTTATTTATTTGTTTGTTTATTTATATATTATTTATATTTACCTTGCTCTTGATAAAAGTTTTAAACTATCATATGGATATAATATGATATAAATGATTGATATTATAATAGTCGCCCATAATGTAGTTGTTAAATAGATACTATTTGTATCAACAATTATTAAATTCATTGTCTCGAGTATTCTTCAAACTATATATGTAGTTGTACAACAATTGTAATAATTGATATTTAAAAAAAGTATAATACTACTACTATTTGTCAACCAGAGAACAAAAAGGTTGATTTTTGTGATGAATTGGTTGATTGGTATGTATGTTATTGGGTTGTTTGTGGAGTGGAGTAGTGAATAGATTGTTTTATTGGATCTACTTTTATAAACCACAAAGTAAGAAGAAGAGTATGTATGATACTCTTTAATTGTTATTGTGTAAACCACACACTCTTTTTAGTTTGATATCTAATAAATGATTGACTGTGTAGTGTTGCTCTGTGTTGATGTTACGTTGTTAATCTATTTAATATCTTGGATGCATGTTATATAAACTACAATTGTAAAATAAAACATATAATTATTATTATTATTTAGAGATCAACATTAAATATAATGGGTGTGTTTTAAATGACTACTATGAAGATAATGATAGGTGTTAAAGAGTACTACTATTTCTTTTAAAACTCTTTAATTAACCCATTAAAAAAGGTGTGTAATAATAAATAAAAAATCAATTGTGTTGTTGCATTGGAATAAAAAGATGTTTTAATATTTTTAAATAAAGGGGTAATAATTTGGTCACACCGTTTTTCGTCTCAAATGGAATTACTTTTTATGGATGGTATGGAGAGAAAATTAAATAAAATAATTATTTATTATATTATTATTATTTGAATGAGGAATAGGATTATTATTATCACTATTATCTTTTTTTTTTTGACTTTTGTTTTGGATTGTTTGTTATTGTTGTACAAATGGGTGTGTGTTGGAGAAATTAAATTATCCGTTATTATTATTATTAATAATGATGAATTTGGTATGGAATTTGGTATGGCATGGTACCTTTTACCCTTCCATTGGAAGTTTTGGTCTAAATCTATCTATATAATTATATTTATATTTGATTCGATTTTAATGTTTTTTTCTATTGCTACAAGTGGAAAGATATTTTTGAAGTAATTCTTTTGGTGATTGAATGACTAGATTGTGATTTCCACTGGCACGAAGAACGTCATGAAGTTCTTTAATGTCTTCGGTACTGAGTTGCAATGAATCGATTTCACTAAAGTCAATTGGCTTGTCAATGTTTAGTTCTTTGAATCTACTGTTGAGTAGAGGTGAGCAACATCTCTCGTGATTGGCTGGACTGAGATTAGATGTGTGTCCGGGACGTGTAGCATGTTGGTGTTGGTGGTGAGCATGTCCTGGGTGTCTGTTGGGTGATGAGGTGGAGGAGGAGGTGGAGGAGGGGGATGAGGTGGAGGAGGATGCGTCAGTGTTTCTGTCCATTGGCGGTCTATGCGATTGCTCAAAACTGTCACGAATAGCCATATCATATGGCACGTTAATGTACATGTTTTGTTTATTCTCCACCTTGCTGTTGATATCCAACAATTGGTTGTGAAGTAGTTCCAAGTAGTTGATCAAATCAATGATCTTGTTTTGTGTAAGCTTTCTGAATTTTCTTAACTTGTGTGGACCATATCTAGCATCTTCTTCTTCATCAGATGATGAGTCAGATGAAGATTCAGAATCATCTGAAGAATCATATGAATCATCGTCATCATTATTATTCAATTCAGATAATTTAGTTGCCAATAAATCTGAATGAGATATTTCAAGCTACAAACCAAACACACAAACAAATCCAAATATTTATATTAGTCGTCTGTAAAAATATCTATATTTCTATTTTCTATTTTCAAACATACCTCTGATTCTTTTTTATGTTGTTCTGTTGTTGTTGTTGTTGGATGTTCTATACCAGATTTCTTTTGTTGTTGTCTAAGTCTTTTTCTTTCTTTTCTGGCACGTCTGTTGTGTTTGAGGTGACCTGTGATTTGGAGACTGTCCAAGATGGCGAGTACTTGAAGTAACTCTTCAACCTCCAACGATACAAAATAGACCAATCTCTTTATCTTTCTGAGACAATGTTCGAAACCTTTATCTGGCTGGTCAACGTTGATTGAATCCTTTGCCATCTGAATCGATTCCGTAGCCTTTATACTATTTATCAATCTATAATTACAATCTTTGACAATGTTTAATTGATCATTTAATATATTGGATGACGACGACGATGTTGTTGTCGTTGTTGAAGATGCTGTTGTTGATGTTGTTGCCATTTCTTTATATTATATAGATATATACACACAAAAGAAGATATATAAATAAAATGGTGAAAGAAGGGAGGACGGTTTTGTTTGCAAAGCTTTGCCTGCTATTTCTGTCTTTTCTTTTTTTTTGGTTTTTCTTCTTTGTCAGAAGTTCTTGTTTTCTTGTGACACGACTACTATTTATAGAAGATATTTTCTTCTTCTTTTTGGAGTAATAATAATAATATGTCTTGTTGCTCTTGTCTTTCTCTTAAAAAAGTATATGAATAAATAATTGTTTGTTTGTTCACTTGGTTTTTGTTTTTTTACTAATACCTCATACAAGTATACTCGAGAGATGAAAGTTTGAAAAGGTTCAAGAGTAAAATATTTAATTAATTATTTTTATTTTTTATTTTTTATTTTTTTTTGGGTAGCCTATGGTGAGTGGGTTATTATAATATAAGATTTTTTTTGTTCAAAATCTATCTATATATCGAAATATGAAATATATATATCTTTATTTGAATCAAAAAGGACAGAGGTGATAATTATGATCAATCTTGTGAATATTATAATGACAACAAATTTGTTTAAATGTTTATTTATTTATTAATGACTCATTCATTCATTGGTTTTGTACAGACCAAATAATAATGGTTCTATCACCACTTCCAGTTGTTACAATGTATTTATCATCCTTTGAAAACATAACAGATGTAACATGTGATGAATGTCCTTTGTAAATTCTTTTGTTTGTCTAAATAATTAAATTAAATAATTAAAATAATTAATTAATAGGTATACTTTTTTTTATCTTTTCTTTTTTAATATTTCTACTTACATTTTCATTATTGACAGGATATTTAAATAAATTAACATTAAATGTATCATCACCAGTAACAAGTAAATCTTGAGAGTTTGATCTATAGACACTATTGATATCTGATCCATCTTCACCTTTACTCCATATTCCTTGGACTGGCCATCCAAGCTTACAACTCCAAGTTGCCCATTCAGTGTCTTTGAGTGTATGAGATTGAGTGATTTGAAGACTTGTTTTAGCGTCCCAGAATAAAAGCTCGTATGCTTCACAATTGGATTGAAGATAGTTTCCATCAACAGACCAGTCAATGTGGAGTATAGCACTCTTGTGACCTGAGCAAGTTGTAAACTTTTCAACCAATTTACCATCTACATTTAGGTTAGCAAGAACAATATCATCATTGTGACTACCAATTGCCAATCTAGATCCATCAGGTGAGAACTTTAATACACTTATTTTCTTTGCATCTTTTGAAATCAATACTTCTTGAATAAATGTAGCTACAGCACCGCTGTCTTGACGTTTATATACTTGAATATAACCATTATTTAAACCGACAACAATAGTTTTAGTGTCAGGTGATAAGGTGACTGATTCAGATGGACCTCCAACCTTTATCTTTTCAACTTGCTCCCAAGTAGACCCATTCTTTTTCCAGATGCGTACAGTCTCGTCGGCAGAGCTAGTTACCAACTCGCCGTTATTAGCAAAGAATGCACAGTTTACATCTCCACCATGACCATGTGCAATGGATTGGAATTGTGGTTCTTGCTCATTGAATGAGATAATGACAATATCACTTGTTTGTGTACCGACTAGTATGTTTCCATCGGCAACTCTCAGCGAACGGATAGGAGTGGATGAACTGACATCTGGGATGACGATCTGAGCGTGTCCGTGATAGGTGGTGCTTGTGTGATCTGTCGATGACCAGAAACTCACCTTTCCATCACCTGCAGACGCATAAATCTGGTCAGTCACCTTGCACAGCGACATGACTGGTCCATTGTAAGCAGACTTTGTGATATGAGCGATATTGACTTGTTCCATCACAAGAATCGTTCCATCATTTGCACCAAACACTGTAGTGCTAGGTGACAATGGTAAATAACTATGAATAGCCGAGATAGTATTAGATGTACCTAAAATACCCTTTTTCTTGGTCCATGCAGCTGCAGCTGTTGTAGCATCACTACCATCAATAGTCCAAAAATTAATATGTTTTTCACCAAAACTAACAAATGATAGGTCTTTTTTACTTGTTATAAAAGGAGAGAATCTAGCACTAAATACACGATAAGAGTTGATTTCAGATTTGATCATTGTCTGTTTCTTCCAATCCCAAAGTTGAATGGTTGATTTGTCGTCTCTGAAAGCAGCCAACAAGTATTTACCATCTTTGGGTGAAAAGGAGAGTGATGCAACACCTTGTAGTTTGCCAGCTGACAATTTAGCGATCACCGATAGATCTTTGGCATTCCAAATGTATATAATCACCTCTTTACCAAGTTGACCAGTTGCAATAATATTATGGTCGTCTGGATGAATGGTCAATGCAACAATATCATCGGTATGTTGATTAAAGAACTTTTGTTCACCAGTCTTTGTATTTTGAACTACACCCAAAGCAGCCGATGGATAAACAACATGATCTTGATCAATTTTAAATAGATTATTTCTACTATCATGTGATCTGAATCCCAAAACATGACTTGGTGACAATGTCACACTTGGTTCTTTACCATCACTTGTCTTTGGATTACTTGGACTATGAATAGACCCTAACCATGAATGAAATGCATTATTAAATGTTTTTTTTGTTGATTTAACTACAAAAAAAAAGAAATAAAAGAAATAAAAAGAAAGAGATATTAATATTAATATTAATTGATTTCAACAAACTATTTCAACAAACTACAAATACATACCACCTGATGAATTATCATGAATTGATAATGATTCCATTTCTTTTATTTATTTAATAATACAAATACAAATAACACAATTACAACAACAAATATAAATAACTTAATTAAAGGGCGATTCTTTCTTCTTCCTACACCATCTAGTTTGAAAAAGGTAAAAAGATTAAAATATCTTCTTCAATTTTTTTTTTCAACATTTCCTCTTTCATAGTGTTTGCGTGTTATGTTGAGAGCAATCATATTATTATTTGTGTATAGGTGTGAATATTTTAATATCTTCAAAACTAACATTTTTACAACACGTAAATAAATAAACTATAACTTTTTACTTGTATCTGATTAACATATGAAAGTAGAAGAAGACTAAGAACTAAAGTTTTATAATGACGATTTTGAGGATTATTTTTTTATTTTAATTTTTTTTTTTCAATGATCATTCACACTCTGTGTGTGCAGAGTCTCGTTTCATTATCATCATCATTGCTTTAGTGTTTGTTTAGATATCTTTAATATATAAATTAAAAGTAGAAAGTAGAAATGGCACAACAATTCTGGAGAGTCGCTGGTTTAACTTACCTCGAATACGTCAACCTTACTAGCTCACACCTTCGTAACTGTCTCAAGGACAAGTTCAAGGTTGCTGCCAAGAACAGAGAAGCCTTTGCTTCAACTTACACCTCCTTTGCTAACGGAAAGGAAGTCAGCACCAGTACGTATTATATAATATGTGATACATACAAACACACATATAATCAGATGAGCAACCCCACCTCTTTATATAGATCTATTTATGAACAAAGATCACTAACTAATACAATCACTACCTACTACTTACTACTTACAACTATTATACTATAGTCAACATTACTTATTCTGATGTCATCCCAACCCCAAAGAAGAACTAAATCAATTAATTAATTAAATAATAATAGATAATAGTATAATAATTTGTAAAGCAGACATAGAGAGAATGAATAAATAATATAGATTAAAAGATATTACGAACTAAACAAACAAATCAAATCATATTCGTATCAACAAACAAATCAAATGAATGAACAAAATCAACAAGAAAGATGGATGGTGATTAATTCAATTGGTTTAAAATAGATGATTGATTTATTCTTTCTTTAATCTATCAATATAAGAGCCAGAATTTCTTTTTGTAAGGATTTCAACACCTGTTTCAGTGATCAACAAAGTTTGTTCAAATTGTGCAGATCTCTTACCGTCCATAGTGACGGCAGTCCAATCATCTGGCCAAATGGTATCTTTCCATGAACCTTCATTAATCATTGGTTCAATTGTAAAGATATGTCCTGCTTTCATTGTTCCAACTGCTTTGTTATCTTTTAAATAATAATAATTAATTAATATTGTTTGTTTGTTTAAATATGTTTGATTTGTTTGATTTGTTTATATCTTACTAGCATAATGAGGAACAGTTGGATTACAATGGAAAAGTCTACCAACACCATGACCACAAAAGTTTCTAACGACAGAGAGGTTGTGAGCAGAAGCATGCTTTTGAATGACATCACCGAGTTCTCTATACATTACACCTGGTTTACAGATGGCAATTGCTTTCTCTAAACATTCATAGGCAACACGGACAAGAGTTTGACCGGCTTCATCAACATTACCTATTAAAAAGGTTTCATTGAGATCAGAGTGGAAACCCTTGTAATAGACACTGACGTCTACATTGAGGATGTCACCGTCTTGAAGTGGACGGAGATCAGGAATACCATGACAAATGGTTTCATTGACCGATGTACAACACGATTTTGGGAAACCAAGATAGTTGAGAGGAGATGGGTATCCACCACGTTCAATGATTGCATTATGTACAATAATATCAATTTCCTCGGTTGTCATTCCAATCTTTGCTACATTTCCTGCAATATCTAATGCTTCTCTACCAATCTAAAAAGTACAATTAATATATATATATAAATCATCATTATATATATCTTTGATACAAACTCTACAAGCTTCACGCATAGATTCAATTTCTTCAGGAGTATGTACTACGATGGGAGTCTTTTTACGATCGGCTTTTCTTTCACTATGTGGAATAGAATCGATTGCATAGTCTGGTAAAAGGGTGCCTTCAGGTGCCTTTCTTTGTGGTGTCACCTTGAATGGTCTAAGTTTACCTGTAAAGTTGTATCCCTTGAATTCATTTCCTGCTTGTTTACGTTCTACGTCGGAATCTATCAACAACAAATTTGAATCAATACATTTTCATTCTTCACATTCTTCTATCCTTATCTTCTTATCTTCTCTTCTCTTCTTGTCTTGTCTTGTCTTACAATGTACGATTTTATGTAAATGCCATAATGATTTGAAACATTCTTGTGAACAAAAGTTTGCTACTGGCAAGCTAAGCTTTTCACAATTGGGACAATGGAAATTAGATTGTTTGCCACAAGTTAAACACTTGTCTTCTTCAGTTTTTGCTGTAGTACTAGTACTCATTATCTCTTTCTAGTAATATATATAAATAGAGTGTTTGAACTAAAGTGTTTTTTGAGGTTGGTGGATGAACGAAAGTGACAGAAACATCGTTATTCCCTTTTTCGCCTTTTTTTATTATTTTTTACAAACTCCAAGTCGACATGTATGATTGTTTGAGTTCATTTTAGATAGTTATATATTATATATATTTAGAAGAGAGATAGAGAAGAAATGTCAAAAGTTAGAGACCCAATTACAGATACTGCATGTCATATTTTAAAGGGAGCAGTTGTGACTGTTCTAGGTACACCTGTTACAGCATCGGTTGAATGTAACAACAAAGTCAAGGGTAGATTGACAGTCGAATACGACTCTGACGTCAAACCATCAGACGAGAATGTAAAGAGAATCGAAAAGGAAGCAAACAATATTGTCAAGGCTAACCTCCCACTCAAAGCATTCTCAATGGATCGTAAAGAAGCTGAAACCAAATACACTGAATCTAAAGTTAACAATACTTATATATACGATAAATTCCCTGTTCCAGAGTAAGCAAATACAAATACACAAATGTATATTTAGAAAATGTATGATTATTAATATGTTTAACTTTGCTTTTGCAGATCAGTGACAACATTAACATTGGTAGAAATTGAAAATTGGAATATTAATTGTTGTCCAGCACAACATTTGGAAAAGACTGGTGATATTGGATACATAAAGATTATTGGTACTAATCATCGTCCACAAAAGAAAGAGTTTGAATTGAGATTTGAAATTGTCAGCAAGGAGGCTGTCGAAGCTGAACAAGCAGCTCAAGATAAATCACGTTTGGAAAAGGAAAAGAAGATCAAGGATGAACAAGATCGTCTCAAGAGAGAATCTACCAACATTGAATTGGTCACCAAACGTGTCATGGAAATTACTCTTGCCAATCAACAAGATAAATCTAAAGCAATCACTGAAATCTCTACTCTTTTAAACATACTAAAAAATAATTCTTATATGAATGGTATGAATTGTACTATTTCAAAACAATAGTAATATTAATATTAATACTAATAATAATAACTATAATAAATAATTTAAATTATTATATATATACAAAATTTACATATTTCTTTATTATTATTATTGTTTATCCCTCCCCTCTACTATTATTATTATATTATTGTTGTAATTCTGGTGGTTGTTGTTGTTGATTTACAATTGGAATTGGAACATTATTATGATTAATATCAACTATTTGATGTGAATCGTTCATTTGTTCTTGTTGTTGTTGATTATTATTATTTTTCGGTTGATTTTGATTATTATTTTGATTATTACAATTTGATTGTTGTTGTTGTTGTTGTTGTTGATGTTGTTGAGCCCATCTCCAAAACCAAAAGTCGGCAACTGAAACATGATTGTTGGCACCGAATAATGATAAAAAGTTGAGTCTGTACATGGAGAATGCAGTGATTGTGCCAATGAACCAACCCTCTAATACATTCATAAAGGTGTGACGATAGTCGACTATACGAGAGACACCAATTAAAAGTGCGGCAGTGATACAAAACATCACTAAAACATATATGATAAGATGACCTCTATTTCTAAAGGTCTTGAGACGTGCGTGTAGGAATAGTGCTAGATATACTAGTCCACCAGCTGCCAATCCAGCATGACCAGATGGATGTGAAGACATTGCATCATTGACATCACTCTTACTACCTCTACAAATATCACTAGAATAATAAATCCCTCCATATCCAGTACCAACTGTGACACCAGGTATAATTAAAGGATCACATCTTGATAAAAAGTTTGGTCTCAAACCTCCAATAAAACATTTAAATATTGCTACCATCATTAATGTTATTGCTATAATCAATCAAACAAACAAACAATAATAAATTAAAAGTAAGTATGTATTAATAATATATTTTCTTTTCTTTTTTGGATATATATATACGTACCAATAGTTTGAACTAGACCAAGTTGAGCATGATGAAAATCATGCCAATTACGTTTATGAGCCAAAGTTGTTAGAAAGATGATTACTATTGGTATGACCATAGAGACGGTGACTAGGATTGGAAAGGGTATTAATTCGGGTACGACGGGATATGAAATGGTTGGATCGGTCAGAGTAAAAAGTCTACCACGAACAGGTAAGAAATAGAACAAGAATGCACCACATAGAGCTGCAATCAAACTAAACACCCAATCGAATAGATACATTGCCAATCTATACCTCTTTCTAAATCCAAAGTTAAACATTGCATCTCGATCATATTGAAATAAATCTTCTTGTTGTTTTTCTTGTCTATGTTGTTGTTGATATTGTAATTTATGATGTTGTTGTTGTGATACTTGATATTGTTGATATAAATGATCCAATTCATTTTTACATTTTGAACATTTCGATGTAGTTGATGATACATCTTCATTATTTATATCTTGTCCCATTATTTATTATTTATTATTTATCTCTCTCTATCTTTTGTTTATATATATATATGATCAAAATAAATAATGATTAAAAGTTTCGTTGTTTCAATTGTGTTGTAGTAGTCGATGTGGTTGTTTGAAAGGGGGTTCTAAATTCGATCCCGAAGAAGTGTTCTGTTGTTGTTTTTTGCGATTACACCCCAATAAACAGCGTTAGTGATTAATAAATGAATTTTTGATATTCTCTGAATTGTTGAAATGAAATAAATTAGATAACGTTGATGATAGTGATAGTGATGAGTAGAGAATGAATGAAACGAAACGAAATGATCTTTTCTTTGTTGTTTATATAGACAATAATGATCTAATTAATTTAAGAGCAATATTCTTAAAAATCAAAGAAGTTTATTATCATAAAAAACCATGGACTCCGATGCAATTGGCAATTGCAAATATAAAAAAAATTAAATCAAAAAAACTATAATTAATTATTATTATTTCTTTCTTTTTCAAAGTTTTTTAGTTTTTTAGTTTTTTGTTTTATTAATAGATGGACACAAACAATAATTTCCTTGATTTTTAAAAAGGTAGTTGAGTATTGTGTTATTGCACCAAATAAAAAAAAGAGGAGCACTGTATTTGTTTTAATTTAATTAAATTTCTTAGAGACCATAGTTATGGCCACCATGAGAGTGTCCGTGGTCTCCTCCACCGTGAGAGTGTCCATGGTCTCCACCACCGTGAGAATGACCGTGGTCACCACCACCATGAGAGTGTCCATGATCTCCTCCACCATGAGAATGTCCATGGTCTCCACCGTGAGAGTGACCGTGGTCTCCTCCACCGTGAGAATGTCCATGTGAATGTGCACCACCACCATGAGAGTGTCCATGTCCATGTGAATGACCATGTGAATGACCATGACCACCACCATGAGATTCAGTAGGAATATTAATATATTCTATTTTTCTAGCATTTGGATTTAAAGTATCAGCAATAAATGCTGCATATTGAGCAATACCAATTGGATACTCTTCAAGCATCATATAATCAACTTGCATCAATTGAGAATAAGAAGTTCTAATTTTAGATTGGAAATAATCACTCTATAAAATATATAGTAAAGTAAAAAGGTTAATATTATTATTAGATATAAAATGGTTATTGTAATCTATTCAATTCTTTACATTATGACTTTGTAAAATTTTAGTTGATAATAAAACTTGTTTTACAATGACAGAATCATAGTTGATTCTAGAGTTTCTAAGATTATATGAAGCTTGAGGATTCATTTGAGATTGTTGGATCGATTTGATATAATTATTTATATTATTTTTGTATCTTAATGAATAGGCATAACTATCAATAATCTCTCTTGTAACATTAATATTTGAACCTTGACTAGTTATATAACCATATCTCAAAGATGAAAAGATTGAACTTGTTGCAAGTTGTACCAATTCTCTATTAATAAATGGTAATCTAAAAAATAAATCAATTAATAATGAATCCAAGTTGGAATGTAATTAATATATATATTTCTTTCATACGTTGCATATTTAATATAAAATGGTTGATTATCAATATCAACATCTAGGGAAGGGTCAATAAAGGAAAGTGATTTGACACGATTTGGGTAACGATCAAATAACATGCTACCAATGACAGCACCAGTATCGTAGAGGAAAAGATGAGCCGACGGCATTTGAATGGCGTCCATAATATCGGCGAGACGATCTGCAAGATTAGAGTCTGAACAATTGGCAAGACTGTTTGAGAAACCAAAACATGGTAGATCAATCGCAACGGCTCTAAGATTTTCTCTATACATGTGTTCCATGACATTACGGTATGCAAAGCTAGTAGATGTTCTACCATGAACGAGTAACACTGATTCATTGGCAGGTACACGTTTACGACCAAGATCCTCCTCGTAGACTAGACGACCATCTTGATCACCCGACTGAACTACAAATACATTTATAATCTTTCTAGTTGATTTATCATAGACTGGTACCATTGTACCACTTTGATAATGAGCCAACAATGGAGGTGGCATATCCTTTAAAAATACTGATGGATCGATAACATCATAATCAACTTGATTAAATTTACTCCATGCAATAAATGTTATGATTATAATCATTATTATACCAATGATTCTTATACATGTTGCATTCTTTGGTTGAGATTGTTGTTGTTGTACTCTTGTCTTTGTAGTTGGTTTAACATTCTTTTTGTCTGCTGTCGTCGTAGATGGAGAAGAAGGAGATGGTGAAGAGGTAGTTGTAGAAGTAGAAGTAGAAACCTTCTTTCTATTTTTAATATCTTGGTGTTTATCTTCCATCCTTTTTTTGCGCTATGATAAAATAATAATAAACATGTGGTTCATTGCATCTTCATTCTTCAAAATCATGATCTTCACAAAAAAAAAAAAAATTAATTTAAAAGATAATATAAATAAATCTTTACTAGTTAGAACACACTTGTTAATTTATCATCTATACCATATATAATTAATAAAAGTATTTATATATTTTAATATTAAAAGATATCATTCAGATGGATATTTATGTAGTTTTTTTTTGTTGTGTACATGACGACCTAGCTCGGTCTCCCCTTTTTTTTGAGACAATGTCTTGTTGTTTGTCTTTTTTATTTATTTGTTACAAAGAGAGAGAAAGAGATATAGTATATATTATATAGTATAACATATTATAGAGTTAATCGTGATGGTAGGAGGATTACCATCATCAAAGTTATGGGAGATTGAATATAACGAATTAATATTTAAAGAGGTGATTGGTAAAGGCAACTTTGGGTGTGTCTATAGAGGTCTGTATCTATCGACAGAGGTTGCAATAAAACAAATTGAACCTACACTGTTTGAAGATCCAGACTATGCAAAGTATATTGAAAGAGAAGTTAAAGCTCTTAGGTATATCAGACACAATGGTATCGTCTATTTCTATGGAGCGTGTCATCATAGTACTGGCTTTTATCTAGTGACAGAGTTTGTAGATGGTATGGATCTACGTCGCTACATTAAAACCTTTGTTTCATCTCCTCCAAGTTGGTCAACTCGTATCTCTTTGATGTTGGATCTAGCAAAAACTTGTTACTTTCTTCACTCTAAGGGTATTCTTCATCGTGACCTAAAATCAAAGAATATACTTTTATATTTACAACCTGATTGTAAAATTCAACAACATCAAAATAATTATCAACAACAAAATAATATTAGTCAAAGTAATAATCAAAATAATAGTAATAATCAAAATATAAATTATAGTATAAAATCAAGTAAATTATGTGACCTTGGATTTGTTAGAATTGGTTCACAATATAGTAATGGAGAAGATAGTAGTAGTAGTGAAGAAGAAGAAGATGATGATGATGAAGATGAAGAAGAGGATAATGATACTAAATCATCGGTTTATAAATTTAATGGTAATGGAAAGATGGCAAAGAATAGACTTAGAAGGATGAGTATTTGTGGTACACCTTCATTTATGCCACCAGAAATATTACTACAGAAACGGTATGATTGGACAGCCGATGTATTTAGTTTTGGTGTTGTGTTGGCAGAGATTGTTACACGTCGTCGACCTGGTAAAGATCTTTGGGTTCGATCATCAGAGAATGGATTTGATATTAGTAAAGAGGAATTGGTCACTGGTCAAGATTTTGATTGTCCACCATCTCTCTTTGATCTATGTCTCAAATGTTGTAGTTATCGATCGATAGATAGACCAAAATTCTCAGATATTGTTTTCATTTTGGAAAATTTATTACAACAACAAATTGATCAAGAAGAACTACAACCAAACTCGAATAATGTTAATAATTTGATTGGTCAAAATCAAATCATTATCGAACCAATTTGTTATTTTAAACAATCTTTAAAATCAAATTATAGAAAAAGTATTAGATTACGTTCTGAATCTATTTCTAATCATTCCCCTATTCAACAACAACAAGAGGGTATATTAAAAATATCAAAAACAAAATATTTAAATGGTTGGAAAGATTTTGGTTTGGATATTTCAAAATTGGATCAAATTTGGATTATTTATTATTTAAAGTAAATAGAAAAAATAGATAGATAGATAGATAGATATATATTAATTTTAATTTGATTTAATTTTTTTAATAGTGAAAAGATTGAAATGACAATTGGAAAAATTAAATCAACAAGTGGTAAAAATAGTCTAACTATAAGTTATATGGATAATAATTTAATTGATAATGTATCAATTATAAATGTTAAATCATACAAGGAACAATTTCCTCATACCATTGACACTACATATATCCATTCCCATTCATCTTTTACTATTTCAAAGACATTTGGAAATATGACAATTTCAACAGTTGATAAAATATTGTGGCATAAAAATGTTGATCTTTTAATTCAAATACAATCAAATATTAGAAAATGGATTGTACAATCTAAATATCAACAACTTTTAAAAAATTGGAAACAAGATAATAACAATAACAATAACATTGTCCAACAAACTAGTTCTACGATTAAAGAATGGATGACAACAATTGATCAATTTATACAATCTGAAAAAGATTACAAGGAAAGATTAGATTTTATTGTTAAAGGTTATTTGGTACCTTTACAATCAAAATTTAGAATTAACAAACCTTTATTAAATTATAAGGAAATTACTGCAATCTTTTCAAATATTGAAACTATTATTGAAATTTCAAATAACCTATTATCAACTTTTCAACCAATCAATCAAGAATTGAAAAATACCACCACCTATCAACAACAACAATCATCTCCATCTACTTCACAATCACTTTCAACTATAGATTTTATTTTTAATAATAATAATAGAAATTTTCAATTTTTAAATTATTTTATTCAACATTTTGAAAATATCAAATCAATTTATGGAAAATATACCTATAATTTTAAATTTGCAATGAATATATTGGTTTGGTGTAGAGGAAATCCAGATTTTTCACGTTTCCTCGCTCAATCAAATACTCTTGGTGGTGATGAAGAATTTGATTTGGCTGCATTGTTGGCGTTGCCAGTGAATCGTATCCAAACTTATAATCTTCATCTATTGACTCTTACTCGTTTGGTTCCTGTCAAACATCCAGATTACAAGGATATCATGGCTGCTCATACCCTCATTACAAACCTAAGTAGTTTTCTTCAAAGTCAATTGGAAATGTCTTTAAATTATAGTTCAATCATGTCTACTGAAATTATGTTACAAAGTAGTAGTAATAGTAAAAAAGAACAAATTACATTATTGGCAAGTGGTAGATCTATTATTCGTCAAGGTCTCGTAGAACAATCTAGATATAATAATAATAATGTAAATGGATCATCATCATCATTATCTGCTTCTCCTTCTCCTTCACTTTATAATAGTTCTGGTAATGTCGGAGGAGGAAAGAAAAAATATCAATTAATTTTAATGACAGATTTAATTATTTTGGCAAAACCAATTCTTTCAAAGTGTAGTAATAGTAATAGTAAACCATCATCTTTATCCTCTTCTTCAACCTCGAATACAAAATATTATTTAAAAGAAAAGATGGTATTAAATTTAAGAATAGATCAAGTTAATTTGAAATTATCTGGTGATCATCCTTGTGGTATTATTTTAACTTTTGGTGTCAATGGTTCTAAATCTTATAGATTCCTTGCACCTACAGATGATGATGCTTATCATTGGGCATCTGATTTTGTTCGTACTATTCATTCAACTAATCCAATCTCAATTGATGAAAGTAATAATAGTAATAATAATAATAGTAATAATAGTGGTATAATAGATCAACAACTAGAAAAGAGTCCATCATTTATTCAAAGATTTAGACCAAGATCAACATCTATTCAAAGTACTCCTGATAAAAGGTCTACTGTTGGTACTGATCCATCTGGAATATTTAAAGTTCCCGATACTCCTCCTTCTTCACTATCATCATCTTTCAACACTCCTGGAAGTGAAAAGAAAAAATTCTCTACTCTTGTTAAAAGTAAATGGAAAAGAATAAAGTCTAGAGGAATACAAGACGATGACTTGATTTAAAAGAGAGAGAGAGAAAATGTATAAATAAATCTATAGAAATGATATTTATGAAAAGAAAGAGATTTATTTTCTGTTGGGCAGATAATCAGGAAAGCTTAATACTTTTAATAACACCATCTATTATTACATGAATGAATAAAGCAAAGTGAAAAATTGTTTGAAAAGAGAACAATCAAAAAGGAAGTTTGACCAAATCCACAAATGGAACACAACAAAATAAAATAATCAATTAATAAAAATAATTAAATGTACCTAGTCCAAGAGTAAGTCGAGTCGAGAGGAAATAATAGATATTTTTAGAGTGAGAAAGTAGAAATAAATAAAATAGAAATTATATTTTAATTGGAATACTCTACACTATAATGTGGGTACAGATGACTTCAAAGTATCTCATAAACTTGAGAGAGAGAAAGAAGTCTAAATCATAGCAATATTTAGTTGTCATGTTGAACAAATGAGGGGCCACCTTTTTTATGTTGTTACCTTTTTGAAAAAATCTATGACAGGTTTTCGTTGAACGTGACCCCAAACACCAAAAAATCTTGGTGGCGATAGGGGCAAGAATCAATACAAATTTTTTAAAACCGTCTTTTGTTGATCAGTTTTAAATACAAGCCAGTTTGTTTTATTTATAACTATATATTTTAATCCTCAAACAAATACAGAAACATGTCAATTTACGAAGATATTCTTAGAGCTCAAGTATGAAATAATAATTTATTCACATCTGACCCACGATACAAAATCAAATCGAGTGATCACGTGACTATAAATAACAACCACACATAACTAACAAAATTTCTTCAACATTTATAGGTTCAACAGGTAAACTAACTACATTGCAAGCATATCAACAACATCAACAACTACACACCAACAACCAACATCAGGAAACATAATAGTCAAAATGTTTGATTTTAAGGAACATTTTTTTTTACTATGGCGCCCACCCCTTTTATGTTTTTTACCTAAATACTAATATATATATATATATCTACTACTACTTTCTAAATACTTCTTATAGGGTAATATGGGAGGTAAAAAAGGCCCATTCGGTTACCTTGCTGCCAAGAAAAAGAAGAGACCAACCAAGGAGATCGTTTATGACAACTGGATGGCTTATCAAATCACTATCATGTCTGCTGAATTGTACAAGGCTACGTATGTTTTAATCAAATCCCTCTATTGCAATTCAAACATAATTCTAATCCAACTCCTCCTCCTCTATAGTGACAGCAATGGTCTATCTGATCCATACGTAAGAGTTGGAAAGGTTGTATCTGATGGTCTCTTTTCCAAAAAGTGGGTCACCCAAACCCCATCTATTTCCAAGACTCTCAACCCAGTCTGGAACTATACTGACGAATTTTCCGTCAACACTGGCAAGAGCTCTGCTCTCACTGTTGAGCTGTAAGTTACCATTATTTAATGTGGTATCAATACAATTAAATTAAAATTAATTAATTATTATTTTTTATTTATTTATTTTTCTCTAGCTGGGACAAGGACGCCCTAAAGGATGATTTCATCGGTAGGGCCACACTTATCATCCCCACACATCTTGGAGGATCCGAGAGCAAGACTTTGGAAATTTATGATCCAAAGAACAGCAAAATCATCAACGCCAAGGTCAAAATTTCCATCAAATGTACTGACAAGCTCACCAAGGATAAGTTCAATGCCTTGTACAGTTCCTCATCTATTTAAACTTAAATTAATTTAAAGTTAAAATAAAATATTTTGATTTACATGGTTTTATGAAAAAAAAAGAAGTGTCATTCCACAACAAATTTGTTCCTCAGCGCTTTTGTGACCATCTTTTTGAAATGGTCCACTTTGAATTATCTCAGCCAGAATCCAATGATATCGATTATTCGTACTGTTAAATCGTTCAGCCGAGGACTATGTCCAAACCTACTTCTTTATAAATAATAATTGAAAATTCAATTGAATCGAATGTTTCATTTTATTTAGTTGATTCAAATTATTCTCCCTGGTCATCCCACCAATAGCAAGAGAGAACAAACTCTCTCATAGAGTTTGTATTAAATATTTAAACATCTCCTCCTCTATAAACCTCTCTCTATCTCTTGAAATATTGATTAACATTGGTCCCAATAATTTTAGTAGAACAACTATGAAGTTACAGAATATTATTCTATTGCTATTGGTGATTGATAAACACCCGGGCTATGAATGCGGTGGGTGTTGGGGGGAGTTGATTTCTACTACTAAACACCCTTATCAAAAAGTTTGTTGTTACTACTCTACTACTTTAAAGAGGTTGAGGGGATGGTGATTAAAAAGAGGGTGGGGGAGTGATGCAATTCCATCTAGCCATATGATAGCAAATGCTCATGATGGAGCATTATTATATCCTCATATACCAAGTACTTTTTATTTGTTCATTACAGATAGTCATAATATAACATATCTCCTCTGCTATTTTAGTTGAACCATGATCAAATTAGAGTCGACAGGTATTGTTCTATTGCTATGGTTGGTGATTGGTTCCAGTTTTTTTGCCACAGTACACTCTGTTGAATTCATTAGATTAGGTACTTTTGATAACCTCAAACATATTAAAGCCAATTATCAAGATATCATCACTGTGCGACTCTATCATCTCCAAGGAATGTTTATACTCTCTCAACCCGAGTGCAGTGGACTAGATGTAGTGACACATAAATCAAACCATCATTTCGTGGAAACGACATTCGAAGTCCAAGATCCGGGTTCCTATGTCATAACTTCAAATGGTACTGGCATTTGTTCTCCTCCCACACATTGTGATACTATCTATTACTCGTTTACCATTGATGTTGAGGAAATATAAATGGTGTTCCAATCAATCATTTAAATAAATAAAGTATCACTCCAAGCACCAAAGTTCAATATATATATTAGTGATGACTTTGAAATGTTGCAATAGTGAACATTTATTAACCTCTCTGGTGCTGATCAGAATTGATTTCCAACCTACAATAAAAAGGAATTGATGGGCTCGTTGATACCTCAATGATGTGAACAGTAAGTTTGACCTATGTTTGAATCACCAGTTGGTACGTTTGAAGCCAAAATACCTGTTCCAATTATATCAAATCAATATGCAAGAAGAAAAAAAAAAGATATCTTTTTGCAATTTATTTATTTGTATAAAAATTTAAATTAAATTAAATTTTTCTAATTTACATTTTTTATTTATTTTTTTAGGACTACAGTGACTGAAGAAGAAAATGTAAACTATTCTACTACTATACCCAATATATTTATTGACGATTGATTAACAATGGACAGAGCTCAATTAAGAAAAAAATTTGTAGAACGAACCACTCTCTTAAATTTCAGTCTATTGATGGTTAAACCAGTGACTTTATTCCAACCAACCATTTAATCATTTCAATGTAATCACCAGAGTATTTAACTCAGGGCATATGATTATTTAACATAGTATGGTCACATTTGAAATGATGAATCTCACCCTGCTCGATACCAACTCTTTTTTTTTTTGTAGGTTGACAACATGATGATGGTGATGCGCAGGTAGTAATGAACTGACTGGTGTGCTGATCATTAAAAAAACTTTGTTACAGATTCCCAATACCAATTTAACCCTTAATACCTGAGTGGTAGTGCAGAGTTTTAAACCTCTGAAACTTGGCAGCCCGACATTATTCATTTTATTATTTTCAACACCCCCACCACATATCAGAGCTACCCAACATATGTTTTTTTTGGTCATTTGGCCAAGTATCAGCACTCTGATTTTGTACTAGACTCACATATGGGTTTGATACTTCATTTTAACAGTGGGTTTTTTGTGACATAGGTATTTGATAGCTCTAATGAGTTGAGTTGATCAACTTTTTTCTTTTAAATTGATTTCATTTTCAAAAAGTAGTAATCCCACAATATAATTATTAATTCCCCATCTCGGCAGTAAAGTTTACTAAAAGAAATAATATTAATATTTTTCGGTAAGATATCACAACATATCTTGAATAATAGTATGTGTAATTCGAAACATATACGTATCTGTTTGTTCAATTCTTTTTCTCCAATCTAAAAACCATCTTTTCCACCTCATCCTCTGACTATTATTCCTAATCTATATAGTAATTTACTCTCCTCCCTTCTATAAAGGAATAATTAAAATATTATCATTCAACATAGTTTCAAACTAATCATTTAATTTCTAGTTCAATTCCTTTGATTTTTTTTTAGACTGTACTGTAATTAAAAGTAAAAAATGACTATTTTATATAACTATTATAATATTGATACCTTAAATAAGTTCTTTTCTTTATTTGGATTTAAATTTAGTTTAAAATGAACATAGGACAACGAATTATTTTTCTATCTCTGTTGGTGATTGTTTCTTCTTTTGCGCATCGCAAGTCGATGCATCCTTTTTAGCTCTCAGTAATGTAGACAACCTCAAAACTATTACTGTAGATAGAGGTGATTACATCCAAGTCAGACTCAATCAAATCCAAGGAGAGGTTAAATACGCTCCACTATCATCCGATGGATTAAGAGTAATTTCACGTCTCTCAAACGATTATTTAGAAGAAGCAACATTCCGCCCCGTAATGTCAGGTACCTATTCCATTACCTCAACTGGAAATTGTGACATTGTCAGTGAGTGTACCTATTACTCGGTTACCGTTAAAGTTAGAAATTAATTAATGAAAGAAACCAATCACTCATTCAATCAATAAATCAATTTAATATTCTCCACCTTGGTGAAATAAAACTAAATAATCATTTTAACGTTTAATACCAAAAAACACTTGTCTAGTATTGGTAGAATCATTCGATACGTCCCTCAAGTGGCCGACAACAATGCAAGTGACATTATTCAAAATTGGTTTAATCATCTACCCATCCATACCGACGAGGATGAGACTGTCTTTGTCATTGATAACCTCGATGCCATCGTCCGTCTCTATACCAACCGAACCCTGGGTAATGATTATCAACATGTTGCTAAGGTACACAATATCATCAATCAATTTATCAATACCTGTCCACAAGTACGACCACAAGAAAAAGAACAGCTCTATCAAACATGGTTATTTATCAAAGATTCATTCAAAGAGAATTGGGATAATATTCCAAAAGATACAAGTGTTGAATTATTAAATTTAATCATTATTCAAAGATAAAAAAAAAAAAAAAAAAAAAAAAAGTTAAAATCATTTGGAGTAGTGTTGACAGGTAATATATGTAGGAGGAAATGGTTTCTTTTAACTGGAATAGTGACAGTCTTGCTATTGGAAACTGAATTAAATAAAATGAATAATTGCAAACTTTCTTATTCATTAAATCATCTCACGATAGTCGACGGAAAATTAAAACAAAAACATACAATATTTTAAAAATATTGTGTAGCTCACAACAGTCAATTTCAATCAATTTCATGGATGTTGGAACCATCTTGGATGATGATTTGCATCAAAAATAAGCAAAAAATGAATTGTTTCGGCGCCAAGAAAAAAACAACAAAATATACGACATCTGCAGGGTTCGAACCTGCGCTCCCGAAGGAAACAGATTTCAAGTCTGTCGGCTTAACCACTCACCCAAGATGCCGACTAAAAGTTATTTGGCTCTAGGCCTTTCTATACCCAAAAAAATTCGTCCGCTTTTTTACTGGTTGATTTCTGGTTCGGCTCCCCAGGCCTAAAAACTTTCTCCTTTTTTTGATTGTATTAATTTCTAGTCAATCGGTTAGACTACTTGAAGGTTTTTTTAAGAACTCCTTGTTTTAACAAAATTAAGACTCATTTCTCAACCCGACAGAAGGATACCACTAAAAGTGATTTCTTGAAAAAGATGTCGATCTTTTTAATTTTAACTTGCATCTATCTTTAAATCCTTTACACAGACGAATTCCATTGATCAATTATAATATTTGTGGTTCAGAAAACATGATGAATTCATGATTTTACTTTTTTTTTTTTGAAAGAATGTAATGTAAAAAAAAAGTTATTTGTTTTGATAACTATTATAACTAAATAAATCTACTATTAATTTAATAAAACATATTAGAATACACAAAACAAAAAGACTATTATTATAGATATTTTTTTTTTAAAGAGTTTTGTAAATTGTAAACAATTAATTAAATAATTTATTGAATAAATAGCAACATTATATTAAAAAAACAAATTATCAATCGTCATTAAATATTGCACTACATACAATAATGCTTTGTGATCCATTAATAACAAAAAACATATAATGATTAAAGTTTAGAAATATCACAATACAAAGATTTATACTTTATTTAATTCAAAATAATAAATTTATTTCTTAACCCCTTCGGCTTGTTGTTTTTTTGACTGACTCTAAAAAAATTTATTAAATTTTTAACAGTTTCGTGTTTTTTTTTAATTTAATTATAAATTAAATATTATTGTCGTTAAAACATATTCTTTTTCAAACAAAATGACTCTCACTTTATTCAAATAATTTTAAAAAGATTAAAGGTTATCTATCTATCTATCAATCTATTTGTGATACTTGCTACGAAGATATGAGAGATTTATTTTTAGAACAGTGTGACAATGGTGGTGTTTTAAAAAAAACAATTGTGTTAAAGGGGTTAAAAAAAAAGATTTGTTTCTTTTTAAATCTGTATCATCATTCACAGCAGCACAGGTGTGTGGTGGTGACAACGACAGAGTCGAGACGATAAATCAACAACATATGTTATTGTGATTATTATTTTTCATATTTGTGTATACCAAGGGTTCACAATTCAATCAACCGCAATCCTCTCTCTCTCTTTTCTATGTTTCTTTTACTTTCATGATGTTGCAACGATAATAAACAAATAAACAGTAGAGTGTGGCGACTAAATAAAGAAAGAGTTTGGTTCATACCCGTTACTGTTGTTGACATCGCACCCAACCCAACCACCACACATATCGACCTAAACAAGAATATCTAGAAAGAATCAGAACTATGGATGGCTACTTGTCCGTTTTGGTGGCCTTTTTATGAGAACTGAAAGATTTGATTTTTTTTGTCGACCCAACGCCACAGGAGGTTAAGATCAAGTCCATCGTTTATAAAAGCCAACTGTTCACAAATACACTGTTCAATCAGTTGTTATTAAATTTTTAATATTTTATTTAATGTATTACCAATAGTCTTGTAAAAACTATAAAACTATAAACAACAACCAATCATTCATTTGTACAATTATTTATTTCCTATATACTTTTTACTCTTCTTATTAAAAAAATGTATTTTAAAAATGTATTAATATTTATGACCTTATTGGTCACCCTATCACAATCACAATCAACGATCGATTATTGTCAATTACTTTCAAACTCTTTAAAGTTTTACAAGGCACAAAGAGCAGGATCTCTTCCAGACAATGATATACCATGGCGTAACAACTCGGTGCTACAAGATGGACAAGATGTTGGCATCAACCTTTCAGGAGGCTATTTTGACGCTGGAGATTATATCAAGTTGGCCTTTCCAATGGCCTTTACCATGACCACACTCGCCTGGACCTACATTGACAATGAAGACAAGATCAAGACTACTTGCCAATTACAATCGAGCTACCTCTCTGTGTTAAAGCAGGGTACCGACTGGTTGATTGCTGCCCATCCATCCGACAATGTATTTTACACTCAAGTCTCTGACGACGGAGAACACAACGTCTGGAACAATCCATGGGAGATTGACCAAGCCGCCAGAAAGAGTTACAAGATTACTACCGCTGCTCCAGGTACCGATATGGCCATGGAGGCTGCCGCTGCACTCGCCGCCACATCCATTGTCTACAAGTCGATTGATCCAACCTACTCTGCCACCTGTTTGGCCCACGCCAAGTCACTCTACAACTTTGGAAAGACCTACAAGGGCAAGTACTCTGATTCTTTGCCAGAACGCAAACTCTACCCATCCAGTGGTTATGATGACGAGATGGTTTGGGCATCCGCTTGGATGTATATTGCCACTGCCGAGCAGACCTATGCTACCGATGCCACTGCCAACTTTAACGCATACCTAAAGTCCAAGTCATTCACTGATCTCTGGTCAGCCGTCTACTCGTGGGACAGCAAGTATGCCCCTGCCGCCGTACTCATGTACAAAAAGGTCACCAATCTCGGTCTCGACTATACCAACATTATCAACCAAATCACACAAACCTATACAACCGCCTCCAAGCAATCAAATGGCATCATCTCCAATAGCGGTTGGAAATGGGGTAACAACAGATATGCCATGGGTGGTGCTTTCCTCATGTCCATGATTGGTGGTACTGCCGCCAATGCATTTGCCGAACAACAACTCACCAGTGTTTTGGGTAAATCCAGTACCAACTCTGTTTCATTTATGATTGGTTACAACAATGGTCCAGTCAATCCACATCATCGTTCATCTCATAAACCAACGGGCAAAGACATCAATACTCCAGTCAATAATGTAAACTTGCTTGTTGGTGGTCTTGTAGGTGGTCCATCACTCGAAGGTTCTTGGGTAGATTCTCGTACAAACTATGAAAATAATGAACCTGCCTTGGATTATAATGCTGGTTTTACTGGTCTCCTTGCTAGATTTGTTAGTCAACCAAGTGCCTCCACTACTACTAGTACACCAACTTCTACTACTTCATCGACTACTACCAATACACCAACTGGTACTACTTCATCGACTACTACCAATACACCAACCTCAACTACTTCATCAACAACTACCAATACACCAACTTCTACTACTTCATCGACTACTACCAATACACCAACTTCGACTACTTCATCGACTTTGACTACTTCCACTTCATCGACTGCATCATCTACCACTACCGACGGCGAAGAAGATTCATCACAGTTGGGTTCATCATCAACTGTTTCAGTCAACCTATTTGTATCATTACTTGTATTACTTGTACCAACATTCCTTTTAATTTAAACAAATTGTATTTAATAAATAATTAATAACAAAACTATCGAAACTCTTTTTAACAATATAATTCCCAAAAATGTCTTTCTTGTCTTTTTTTTTAATTTAAATTTATAAACAAATGTGTATAAGTGATAAAGAAGAAGAAGTAGAAACAACTTCAACAACTTCAACTTTAACTTCAAATACTATCAAAGAAGAGGAAGAAGAAGATGATGAATTATATTTAAAAGATATTCAATATCAAGAATCAAAACATTTAATAATTGATAGTCATTGTCATATTCAAGAGGATCAAGAGATGATATCAATGGTAGAGAATCAATCAACTTATCCAATGCATTGTAGTTGGTTAATGGGAACAACGGTAGAGGATTGGGATAGAGTAGATAGATATGCAGACAAGATGGGTGATCGTGCACTTCGTTGTTATGGTATACATCCTTGGTTTGCTTATCAATATCATCCACCAAAGGAATTAATCGATCAAAAAGATAACGATGGTCAATATCGAATAGATGATAAATGGTATATAGAACTTGAAAAGAGATTAATTAAATATCCAAATGCAATGGTTGGTGAATTGGGTATAGACAAGGTGACAAAGGTAAAAGCTACCGGTAAAAATGATCTAGACGGTCAATGGGAAGTACTAAAGAGACAATTTAAAATTGCTGTCGATCATAATCGTCTTTTAAGTTTACATTGTGTACAACTGCAAGGTAAACTATTAGATTATTTCATTTCTCTACCATTGGATCAATTTCCAAAAAAAATTGCTCTTCATACTTTTAGTAAGTAAAATAAGAAAAAAAAAGAAAAAAGAAAAATAAAAAAGAATAGATCTAATATTTTTATTTGTTTGTTTCTAGGTGGAAAACCAGCAATGGTAAGATCATTATTAAAATTAAAAGATAAAGGAACAAGATTATATTTTGGTATATCATTTATCAATTTATCATCATCAAAAGTGTTAAAATTGATAGAGGCCATTCCAGATGATCGATTATTATTGGAAAGTGATCAAAATACACCAGAATATGCTGAATCTAGTATTTATAAAGTATTGGTTGCCATTTCAAAAGCTAAAAATTGGTCTATAAAAGTTTCAATTCTAAATACTCAAAAGAATGCAATCGCTTTTCAAAATAATTAAAGAAATGTTTTTAAATAAAAGTTTAGTGTAGATGTTTTATTTAAAAGGGAAATAGGAGAATAATGATAGTTTAATATCTATTCATCAACACAGATATGGTAGGTATTTATTATTTACCACCATCCATTACGAGCGCCACGACCACCAAATCCATTGTCGATACAAAAATCAATATCAATATCGATATCGATGTTGTTACCACCACCACAACATCCACGACGACGTCTACAAGCAACTGAATTAACAGAATCACTTGATACATCTGAATAACTTTGGTTGGTCACATTTTGATTGGTTCCATGATTAGAAATTGGTGATAGTTTTGATAGGTTTTCTAAAGAATAAGAAATATAGAATGAGAAGAGATAGTTTGTTAATAACTGTGTAAATAATATATTTAAATAAATTATTTATTTATGTTCATACTAAAGATCATTTTGGAGATTTTGATGATTTGGTGTAAAAAGAATTTAAAAGATAATTGTTTATATTATTTGTATACTTTGATTTGATGAATTAAAGAGAAAAAAGTTGAGTATTTATAGCTTCAATGTTCTAAAAAGGTTGTTAAAATCAATCAAAAATCCTAAAATATTATTCTAAACTAATACCCCCCAATTCTAAAATAGGAATATTTAATACAGTTTTGGATTTTGATATGATTTTTAGAGAAATAATTGCTGGTTGCTAAACTATAAATATTATCGCTAAATACTATTTAATTCATCAAATATTAACAAATATTAATTAATTATCTCTTTCTTTTACTATTTACAGTTCACAAAACCAATTATTACCAAAATGTTATTCAGTAAGTTTTAAAAAAAATCAAATAGTATTACATTCATATCTATAGTTATGTGTACATACAATACATATTCTAACATTTCAATTTCCAATTTCCATTTCATTTCATTTTTCTGTTCTTTTAGAGAATCTTTCTCAACTCTCAGCAGTCTCTGGTCAATCCATCCAAAAGTCATCTTACCAAGGATCAAATCATTCAGGTGCGTCATCTGGTGAATCAACTATTGCTCGTAAAGGATGTTGTGGTGGTCGTCGCGGCCGTGGTAATAATATTGATATCGATATTGATATTGATATTAATATTGGAGGTGGTCGTGGCAATGATTGGTGTTAAATACATTATTATCATCTAACAATCAAGTCAACCATTTACGACTATTAATAGTCCAAAATAAATTACTCTTGACTTTTTGTCTGTCATCTAAATATTGATTTATAAACTCTAAAGATTACAACCACCTCTTGTAAATGAAGAAACTAACCAAGAGGATATCTTTCTTTCCATTCATTATCATCTTTCGTCAAACAGTCGTATTTGGTTTCTATGAATCTGATATTGCTTCTTCACTCTTCTTTCCAGCTATACCAAATCATTATTATTGACCGATTCACACATCGAACAAGATGAACCAAAGAGTTGATTCGTTTGTTTATCTCTTTAACATGATTTCGATTGTTGATAAAATTTTAAAAATTTTCTTGCAATCTGTTTGGCGATTCTTGAGAATAGTCAAAAAAAAAAAAAAAAAATACAATATTAATTTTAAATAAAAGTTTAGTAGATGTTTTATTTAAAAGGGAAATAGGAGAATAATCATAGTTTAAAATCTATATTATTCATCAGATATCATATGGTAGGATTACCACCATCCACTACGAGCGCCACGACCACCAAATCCATTGTCAATACAAATATCAATATCGATATCGATATCGATGTTGTTACCACCACCACAACATCCACGGCGACGTCTACAAGCAACTGAATTAACAGAATCACTTGATACATCTGAAATACTTTGGTTGGTCACATTTTGATTGGTTCCATGATTTGAAATTGGTGATAGTTTTGATAGGTTTTCTAAAGAATACGAAAAATGGAATGAGAAGAGATAGATAGTTGGTTAAGTTAATAACTGTAAATAAAATTAAATAAATTATTTATTATGTCATTACTAAAGATCATTTTGGAGATTTTGATGATTTTGAGTAAATAGAATTTAAAAGATAATTGTTGATAATATTATTATTTGTATACTTTGATTTGATGAATTGAAATAGTGTAAAAAAGGTTGAATATTTATAGTTTGAAATGTTCTAAAAAGGTTGTTAAAATCAATCAAAATATTATTCTAAAATGATTACTAATAACCCCCCCAATTCTAAAATAGGAATATTTAAATAAAGTTTTGGATTTTGATTTGATTTTTAGAGAAACAATTGATGGTTGCTAAACTATAAATATTTATCACTAAATACTATTTAATTCATCAAATATTAACAAATATTAATTAATTAAATTATCTCTTTCTCTACTATTTACAGTTCTCAAAACCAATTATTACCAAAATGTTATTCAGTAAGTTTGTAATAGTAATATATTCATAGAATGTATATATATAGTTGTGTATAATATTCTAACATTTCAGTTTCCAATTTCCATTTCATTTTTCTTTTCTTTTAGAGAATCTTTCTCAACTCTCAGCAGTCTCTGGTCAATCCATCCAAAAGTCATCTTACCAAGGATCAAATCATTCCGGTGTATCATCTGGTGAATCAACTATTGCTCGTAGAGGATGTTGTGGTGGTCGTCGCGGCCGTGGTAATAATATTGATATCGATATTGATATTGATATTAATATTGGTAATGGCAACAACTGGTGTTAAATACATTATTATCATCATCTATCAATCAAGTCAACCGTATATGACTATTAATAGCCAAAATAAATTTACTCTTGTCTTTTTGTCTGCCATCTAAATATATATATTGATTGATTTATACACCACTCTAAAGATAACAACCACCTCTTGTAATAAAGATACTACATTGTTGATTAGAATTGAGTGTTTGGAAAGAAAGAACTCTTGGTCTATTAATTTGGTGACATACCTTTATATCAGTGTATCTCATCGAAGGATGTACATATTGAGCAAACCAAGCCAACGCCATGATCCTGCGTAACCAAGAGGATGTATTTCTTTCATTCAATACCATCTTTCATATGTCAAATCATTATTGACTGTTTCACTTATTGCAACGAGTTGATTCGTTTGTTTATCTCTAAACATTATTTCGATTGTAGAGAATATTATTAAATTTTATTTCGATCACACAGAAGATCAAAGGCAAAAAAAAAAAAAAGAAAATTAATTAAAAATGTTTTTAAACAAAAGTTTAGTGTTGATGTTTTATTTAAAAGGAAGAATAATGATAGTATAATATCTATATTATTCATCAACACAGAAATGGGAGGTATTTAGACATTACCACCATCCACTACGAGCGCCACGACCACTAAAACCATTGTCAATACAAATATCAATATCAATATCGATATCGATGTTGTTACCACCACCACAACATCCACGACGACGTCTACAAGCAACTGAATTAACAGAATCACTTGATACATCTGAATAGCTTTGGTTGGTCACATTTTGATTGGTTCCATGATTTGAAATTGGTGATAGTTTTGATAGGTTTTCTAAAGAATAAGAAAAAAAAAAAAAAGGAAATGGAACAATAGATGGGATGGTAAGTACTAAGTAATATTATTATTATTATTATCATTTTTTTTAATGTCTACTATTATGTGTGTGACATACTAAAGATCATTTTAGATTTGATTTGATAAAAATAGAATTTGAATAATAATTTAATTGTTAATTAATTGTTTGTTTGAATATTTGTATTTGTTTTGAATGATTTTAAAAGGAATGAACAAGTTTACTATTTATAGTTTAGAATTGTCTAAAAAGATTGTTAAAATCAATCAAAAATCCTATATTCCATGATGACTATGCACCCCCAATTCTATAATAGGAAAAACCTAAAATGGTTGGATTTTTTCATAGTTTTTTTAAAGTATTCATTACATTTATTAACTATAAATAATGAGCATTGAATAGCAGTAATTCATCAAATCAAATCAAATTAAATTAATTATCTCTTTCTTTCCTATTTACAGTTAATACTATCAAATCAATAAAATGTTATTCAGTAAGTTAAACAAGAATCATAATCATAAAAATACCAATTAACAAGAATTCTTTTCCAAAACATTTTTCTTTTAGAGAATCTTTCTCAACTCTCAGCAGTCTCTGGTCATTCCATCCAAAATTCTTCTTACCAAGGATCAAATCATTCCAGTGTATCATCTGGTGAATCAACTATTACTCGTAGAGGTTGTTGTGGTGGTCGTCGTCGTAATAATATTGATATCGATATTGATATTGATCTTAATATTGGTAATGGCAACAACTGGTGTTAAATAGATTGATATTATCATCTATCAAACAAAAACATGTATACCATAAAAATAAATGTTTTGTTTCAAGTGCTATTATAAAATAGACACCATCAATTTAAATTTAGATAATTTATTATTTTCTTTTAATTTCTTTTATTTTCTTTATTGGTGTGTTTCAATACCTTATTATTTTATTGATACCTTTTTTTTTTTTGTTTGTTTTTTGTTTAATTTGGTCTTTGAATAAATCTTATTGGATTTACTTTGGTTAATAGAATTGATAATAAAACAAACATTACCAAAACCAAACCAACAAGTGAGAAGAAATTTTTAATAAATAGGTATGATTTACTTGATCCATTCAATGGGACTAGTTTGACCTGATGTGAAGAGGAGGAGGTTGATTTAATAGCCAACTCATTTTGTTGTTGTTTAATTGTTTGTTGTTGTTTTTGATTTAATTGTTTACGATTATTTAGATCATTGGTCAAGTGTTTAAATTCCGTCATTTGTTTAGTGATCCATTCATCAATCTCTAATTGTAGTACCGATATTGTTTCATTAAATGATTCCAAATGTGGTTCAAGTTGTGGTTTTGATTCTACACCTCTTAATAATCCATTAATCTCTAATGTTTGTAATCTTTCTTCTTCCAAAACGCGTTTTTGTTGTTGATGTTGTTCGTCTTGTTGTTCAAAATGATTTTGATCTTGTTTTGTTTTTAAATAATTAATTAATCCTTGAATAGTTGATACCATTTGTTTTACAATTTCATTGTATTGCAAGTTTGCCAATTGTTTTTGTTCCGTGTATCGTTTGGTGAGCGTTTCTATTTGATTATTGTAATTTTGAATTTCATCGGCGTGTTGATTTAATGCGAGTTGGTGTTCTTTGGTAGCACTTTCAATAGTCGCTTTCATTTCTTGGTTTACTTGATCAGCTTCTTTTAATTTCTTGACAACTCCCATGGCTCGTTCAGTCAAGGTCGTGTGTTTGGTTGCCAATTCATTCTTTTCTTTTTCCAATTGATCATATTTTGTCTTTTGTTCAGCCGATAACCGTTCATATTCTCTAGTCTTTGTTTTTAATTGTTGATCATAACCATTTTTCAAATTTTCAATCGATCCAATTTGTAGACTTGACAATTGATCAATTTCATTAACTGCTTTAGCCAATTCATTTTTCAATTTTGTATTTTCCAACTGAATAGTTTGTTCATTTTGATTTTTCTTTTCCAATTGTTCATCCAAACTTTTCTTTTCATTAATTGCTTTTTCCAATTCCTCTTTTAATTTTATATTTTCAATATTTGATTGATCACTTGATTGATCATTTTCCAATTTAATCTTTTCCAATTGCAACTGAATAGTTTGTTCATTTTGATTTTTCTTTTCCAATTGTTCATCCAAACTTTTCTTTTCATTGATTGCTTTTTCCAATTCCTCTCTCAATTTTATATTTTGAATATTTGATTGTTGACTTGATTGATCATTTTCCAATTTAATCTTTTCCAAATTTGATTGTAAATTATTAATCTCCAATTCTTTTAATTTTTGTTCATTTTTAATAGTGTCCAATTGATTTTGTAAATTGTTCAATTCCATTTCCTTTTCTTTTGTAATTTTTGTAATTTCTTGTATCTTTTCTTCTATTTTTTCTTGTTGTTTTGATAATTGTTGATTTAAATTTTCAATTTGTTGATTTAAATTGTCAAGTTGTGTTTGATGATCAGTAGTTGTAAGTACTTGAATTTGCATTTTTAAATTATCAATAGTTGCAATTAAATCTTCACTATTATTATTTTCCAAATGATTTAATTTCTTTTGATCATCCAATTGTGATTGACCAAGAATTGAAGAATTTAAATAGGTATTTTGAACTATAATATTTTGTTGTTCTTTTTCAACCAATAACCGTTGTTGTTGAAGTTCTTTTTGATGTTGATCTTCTTCTTGATTCTTTAAATCTTGTAATAGAGTTTCAAACTCTTTGGCATTTTTCTCCAACGTGGCAATACGTTTTCTTAATCCTTTAATCTCTTGGTCTTTGGTTTCAATCTCGTCAGATAGATTCTCTTGTTTTTGTTCATTTTTGGCAAGTTCTTCCTTTTGTTTGGTGATTTGGTCAGTCGATCGTTGTTTATGTTTTTTTAAATCATCCACTTCCTTTTGAGTGTCCAACTCTCGTTGTTTACTCTTTTCAAGTTCCGTAGTAAGATTTGATTTCTTTTTCTCCTTTTCTCGAATGACTTGAGCTTCTCTTTTCACCTTGGCCAATTCCTTGTTACTACCATCCAATTCCTGTACAACCTTTTGGTATCTTTCTTCGGCCTCATTTTTAGATGTGATTGCTAGTTTTTCATTGTCCTTTGATGCAATCAATTCTCTCTCTAATCTATTCACCTCTAATTGTAAAAACTCTTGTGTACTAATCTCTGTACCATAAGTTCCTACTCCTTCAAAATCTCCACTTGGTGGTATCATCTAAAAAACAAAGATAAAGAAACAAAAAATAAAATTAGAGACAAACATTTTTTTCTTTTTCTTTTTTTTTGATTTACATACAGATTGAAATAATCTATTATTTCCTTGTAAAATACGAATTGGATGATCTTCAAGGTCATAAGAGGAATCATCAGTCATGGTTGAAGTATAACCTTTTTGCATTTCCAAAAACTCTGCATTGGAACAAATACCATCTCTAAAGGGAAGGTTACCAATGATGTATTCTTGATGTTCTTCGTTATAGGCCGCTAGGATTTCCTTCATTTCATTGATTGTAATGTATCCTTGAGGATCACTTTCAATTCTCTTGTAGAATGCGTGTAATTCATTTTCTTCGTTTGGTGGTGTTTTCAATTGATCGTCAAATGAATATTCATCATTATATTCTTGATCATATTTATATGATCCATGTTGTTGAGATTGTTGTTGAGATGGTATTGAAATGGGAGTAGATGGGAATTGAGTCATACTTGTCAAATAATGATTTCTGCGTACTGTGAAATGTGGTGATGTTGGTCCAAATGATGAATTGTTATTTGTTGAATGATCCTCTTGATTATTATTATTATCTGTTTGTTGATTTTGTTGTTTAAATATAGATTGATGTATCTTTTTGTTATTTTCATTTAATTCATTACTTATCAATTGTTGTTGTTGACTACTACTATTACTACTTGACTGTAATAAATGAGGTTGTGAAAGTGATTGTATCAATGGTTGATGTCTACTGTCAGAGGCAAGAGAAGAGTATCCACTAAACGTGTTTCTACTATTACCACTACTACCAATATTGCCATTCAACAATGATGCGCCAAGAGGTGTTCCCGAAAGACTGCTACCACTCCAAGTACCAGATTTCTTCGAGCTGTGGAAATGTGCCAATTGCTGTATAGACCGAGCAAGCTTTGTAGGAGGTGTCAACGTACCACTCACTTGTGGCGTCGATAACAGACTCGCACTAGTATAGAGATGATGTTGTAATTGTGATCCTTCAAATTGCAAACTTCTACGATTCAATGATTTATTAATCGATGTAGTTGAAATGTTCGATGATGATGAAGACGCGTTATTTATATTACTTATATTAATACTATTGATATTATTACTATTACTATTACTTTGATTACTATTACTATTATTACTATTACTACTATTATTTGCAGTATATAATTCAGATAAACTTAATTCTTGATGTTGTTTATTACTAATACTAGTAGTAGTAGTAGTAGTAGTATTATTGCTGCTGTTATTATTATTATTATTATTAGTATGATTTATGATACTGATATCATGATCGAGATGAGGATTATTATTATTATTGTGAGTATCGTCGATTAGGTCAATATCGACCCCTCCTCTACCACTATCTTCATCATGACTAATATCATGATGAACTTCCATTTTTTATCTAAAGAATCGATTCTTCCTTCTTATTCTTCTTCTTCCTCTTTGTTTGTGTCTTGTGATTGATTGGTTTATTAATAAAATGTATAAATTAAAAAATAATAATGAATGAAAGAGTCGAACCCCTCCTTTTTTTCCCATTTTGACTTTTTGGGAAGGTCAAGTTCATTGTCCGTGGCATTGATTTCCCCTCCTTTTTTATACCAGTATATATGCGTATAAAAATATATAGTTATATATATAAATTTTAATTTTGTTTGAATCTAATTAGAGAAACTAGTTTGTTTAAGATATATATTTTTTTTTTTTTTTTTTTTTTATATTTTTGGTGTACCAACGCAGATGACTACTAAAACTTTATTAAACCACCCCCACCACCCTTATCACTATCATTATCATTATCATTGTCTTCTTTAGATGAGATTATGTCAGCTCTAGATATATAGAGAGAGAAGGAGAGACAGAATATATAGTAATCACATAAATAATAGTCATATATATAGAAAGAGAGAGATGAAGATATTTCTAAGATCAAAGACACAATATGAAAGACCAAACACTGATGGTAAAACGTTGATAGAGATTGAAGTCAACCCTACAGATCATATAGGTCGACTACATGACACTAAAGGTGCAAATGCTTCAAAATACCTATTCTATCTACACCACAAACATCTACCTTCTCTTGGTGCACCAACTACCACATTTGAACAAATGGGTATCGTCGAAGGTAAATATGACCGTTTACAATCAACAAACAAACATATATCCTAATCACTTTCTCTTTTTTTTTAGGTGATATTATTGAAGCAACATCAAACCCATTAATGATGGTATTTCTATATGCATTGATGAATCGGTTAAAGAATGAAGAATTGAAATTCCCTGCTCATATTGCAAGTTCATCGGGTAATTCGTTGATTCACGTGAAAAAGATGATCAAAGATCTATTTGCTCGACCAATACCCTATTGTGGAACCGATCTTGCAAAGGTCAAACAGTACACAAGTAGTCCTATCAACCTATTTCACTTTAAGAATGATTTGGAAGAGTATGAACTATTTGATCAGAATCATATCGATCCAATCGGTCATTTTGTACTTAGGTGTGCAGATGCTCTACCTGAAAAGGAAATGATCTATATTAGACAGGCTATTGATCAAAAAAGAGGTGTAAAATCAATGCCACCATCTAGTAGTAGTAGTAGTAGTAGTAGTAGTAGTTCAACTTCTTCAACCACTTCAACCACTACAACCATGACAACTACAACAACTACAACAATGACAACTGCAGCTGATGTTGATGCCGACGTTGATGTTGATGTAGTTGATATCGATGAAATGTTGACTCAACCAGATACAGATACAAATGCTATCATTTCCTATGAAGCAGTAGATACAGATTTTGATTTCGATGATCATGAACAAGAAATAGTTTTAATTGCTAGTCAAGATAATCAACCAATGACGAATCAATATAATCAAAATAATCAAAATAATCAAAATAATAATTATACTATTCATCATTATAATCAAAATACTAATAACAACAACAATAACAACAATAATAATAACAATAATAATAATAACAACAATTATAATAGTAATAATAATCATAATAATAGTCAGAATAATCATGATCGAGATCACACAGAGAATATATTGGGAAAAAGATGTACAATTGAAATAATGTTAAATAATGGAAAAGTTGTACATAGTAATGATTATCAATTTTATAAAAGAATGAAGTTTTTAGAGGATGAAAACAATAGATTTGTGAAAATGTGGCCTAATTGCGGAATACCCATCATACCACGTATGGCAATGATTCCATTCATAGAGACAAAGAGTGAGTATTTTTATAAAGATACTGATATTGTAAATAATAATCAAAATAATAATAATAATAATAATAATAATAATAATAACAACAATAATGGTGGTCAGAATAATAATAGTCAGAACAATAATAACAACAATAATAATAATGGTCAAAATAATAATAGCAATAACAATAACAATAATAATAATAGCCAAAATAATAATCAAAATAATCAAATTATCTCTAATAATTTTAATATTAATAATAATCCAATGGTATTATCACCCAAACAACATTTATCAACTTCAACTACTTCAACCTCATCCTCATTTTCTCAACCAACTCCATCAAGCCTAAGTAGTGATAATCATTCATCACCACCAGGATCACTAGCTTCATCTTATTCTGGAACAACAACAACAACATCACCAATTGTAAATACACCACAAAAAACAATATCACTCAAAATTACACCAAAATCAACTGTATCCAATAATAATAATAATAATTCATCAAATATTAAAATGAATAATGGTTCTACTTGTTCTTTATCATCTTCATCAACGATGGTAACACCAATGAAATCAATGATATCTAGTACCATTGGTACTCCATCTACAGCATCATCTACATCGGATCGATCATTTAATTATACACCACAACCATCAGATCCAGACTATAAACTATTATCAAATTCAGTTAGTCCACCTGGAAAATTATTCTCTACCTTTTTAAGTAATTCCACCAATAATAGTCCAACTTCTAGTCAAAATATTTTTGATCCAAATAATAATAATAATAATAATAATAATAGTCAGAATAATAGTCAAAATCAAAATAATAGTCAAATGGATCCTCCTCCTCTTCCTGCTCCTGCTCCTGTTCCACCTTCAACACCAATGAATTCAAAATTACAATATTTATCATCTCAATCATCATCAACTCTATTGAGTACACAGAGTGCACAAAAAGCAAGTAGAAAATATATTCCACAATTTCAATCATCAATGTTTGCCAATATCATAGCATTGTATTTGAATGGTGATTCAATGGCAGAGAAACAAATGAGTGTTAAAGCACAGTCATTTACTCCTATCGATGTTGTCAATGGTGAACAATCCAAAAAGCACAACACTCATTACTTTATGCGTAATCTCAAAGATAAAAATATCATTGAAGGAAATGAACACAGTTGGTGGCTAACGTCAGAAGGCTTTGATTATGGCAAACATTGTCTCGATTTTCACAATGATAAACAAAAATTTGAAGCAATTAATAATATTCAATTGAAATTGGATCAATCCAAAGTTGTTGTTGTAATTGATCAAAGAGAAGGAAAATCAAAACAAATTGAAGCTGTAAGTAAAAAAGAAAAAGAAAAAAGAAAAAAAAGAATAATTTGTTTATTTATTTTTTTATTTTTTAGACATTAAAAGAATTTGGAGTAGATTGTTTATTAAGAGCTTTACCAACAGGTGATTATGCATTTATTCAAGCCTCAAATGACAACTTGTATTCACATGATCTTTCTGAATGTCTAATGTATCCATACTTGATTGAAAGAAAGACATGGCGTGATTTTGATCAAAGTGTCAAAGATAATCGATACCTTAATCAAAAATCAAAAATGGTTTCTCTGGAAATTCTTAATCGTCGTGGTTTATATTATCTCATTGAAGGTGATGAAAATGTTTATCGTGAAAAGAATCCTCCTCCAACTGGTATTCCATTGGAAGATTTAAAAAAAGTAAGTAAAAATGAAATATTGATAAGATTATAGTTTATTTAAAATTTTGTTTTCTTTTTATTTTTCTTTTTAGAGAATGGATACAATGATATCAAATGAAAAGTTTAATTTAATTACTACTTTATCATTATTGGATACATGTAGACATTTGGCAATGTTTGCAAAAATGTTGAGTGAAGAGTGGTCAGAAGCAAGAGGGTTAGTTCACTTTTCAGTGTTGAAAGAAGCAAAGTCTATCAAGTATAATCCACTATCTGACAATTCAAAAATGGAACCAGTATTGCTACAAGACAAGGAGCCCCATATATTGGTGGAATGGGAAAAGGAAACTTTTTTCGAGTACATGATGAATGCACAGTACAGACCACAAGCACAACGAGAAATATTGCGTACACCAACAGTTAAAATCGTCATGCTAAAGGACCATTGGACCGCAAAGACACAACTCGGTTCTATCGCCAACAAGATGCTCAAAGAGTATCTGCGATACAAGATGTGTAGTCAACCTCTCACAACATACTACAACACGGACGATCTAATGATGATTGAACATATCGACCCACTTTTATTCGACTATTATCGACTACATCTACAGGTGATTGGGTGCTGCAAAGTCTTCCCATCACCATCGTCTGACTCTCTCCTCAACCTCAATGCATACAACGACTCTGATCAAGGTCTGACAGAGGCATTTAAGCTTCCAACCACAACATTTAAAGATTATCGTTCAGTCGGTCTAAAATCTCTATCTGATCCCGAAACAATGAGTTATTTTGGTATTAAACATCAACCTCAATTACCTCCTCCTCCACCAACACCATCTCAACAACAACAACCACCAGCAGTACATTTAATTCAACCAGCTTCACAAAACACCTCAACTACGACTACAACAACGACTACAAACAATCAAGTTATTCCTAATTTACCACCTCCAACCACTATTCCTCCTTTACAACCAACCAATCTCAATCCCGTTCATTTTAATGGTAATACTAATGGTAATAGTAATGGTACGACGACAACAACAACAACGACTACTGTTTTTGCTCACAACAATATACCTCCATTGTTGGCAAGCAAGTCGCCAGTGCCAAATGATGTTTTGACACAAAATCGAATTAATCAATTAAATCCAATTGATTTGGAATAAATTGACTCTGTATTAAATTAATTTATTTCTTTTTTTTTTTTCCATTACTTTTACTTTTACTTTTAATTTTTATTTATTAATGGATTGATAAATAAGAGGAATAAGATTATTTAATTTTTCGATAATATTAAAGTTACGGAAAAGAAGTAATTTCCTATCTTTGTTGGCTAGTATTTGGAGGGCACTGTACCCACCGGCATCGACAATATGGAGACTATAAATATTTTGTTGGTCTTTACGTGTGGTCATGAGTCGTGTACCTTCACCTACTAATCGTGTCATTAGATCTATAATATTTTCAAAAGTCGATAGGATGATACCTCGGTATCGTGACGTTTGATCGAGGTGTTGGTGTATGTTTAGATATCTACAGACCAATTCGATTGCGCCAGTTTCGAGTATTTGATCGATATGATGAGGTTCTCCAAATGACATCATACACACAATACTAATAGAACAAGATATGACGGCTTGTGCATCATTGTCATAGTCCATTTGCATTTCTGGATCATAGGTCTGATGTGATAATATAGTCTTTTGCCTCGATATACGATTGATCATGGTTTGTAAAAATGTAGATTGATAAATACTATCTATATCGGCCAATGATTTAATCATCGATGAAAATATATCAATTGATACTCTTAATTGATCAAAATCACCTTTTTCAACAATTCCAACTACTTTATCAATTACTTCTTTTGTTACAAATGGGTAGATTTCTAAAGAAATAAAATAAGAAAATGAATAAAATATTATTCATATTTGTTTTTGTTCTTTTTTTGACTTACGTTGATTTGCACGATGATGATCTAAATAAGATAATATAACATGTAAAGAACCAAGGATTTCACTTTGATCTTGACTTGATAGAGAATCTATAATTTTTCGAATGATATTGACACCATTCAAATGAAGTAGATCGTCCATATCGAATCCTGGGCAATCTTTAAAGGCTGATATCGCAGAGAGGCATTTTGCTCGTACCAATGAATTGGGAACGTCATAGAGAGACACTACACTTCTAGCAAGTGGGAGACATGTCTCCCATGCAATTCGCTCACGACATAATGCAATGACAAAGAAAATGGTAGATTGGAGACTTGAAAAGGATAGTTTTTGAGATTCCTTTAATTGGTCACTTATAAATTGTACAATTCCTTGTTTGTTTACCAAATCTTGTTTGTATTTTGGGTCATTTAAAACTACATCTGATAGTGTGCCAATAATATAATGAATAATATGTTTGTTGGTTGTATTTTTCAATACATTCATCACTGCTTCATAATATCCCATCGACAACATCTTTTTAATATTTTCTTTTGGTCCTCTCATTATTGATGACAGTAATAATATTATTTCTTCCTACAAAAAAATTGAAAATATTAGTAATCTAAAGAATATTTAAAAATATATATTGAGCTACCTACAAGATAAACAGTTTCAACCTCTTGAAAATGATTTCTAACAATTGTCAATAAAAGTGCAACAAAATCTTGATCATTTAACAATTGTTCCAAATATTCTTTTAAACTTTTACTATCGATTGTAATGTTTGTAAGAGTCATCAGTGACAATAGATCCAATGTTTTCGTATCTTTATATTGTTTCTTTATCTTTGCCATGATTTTAGGTACCAATTTAATATGTGATTCTACAATTTGTTTTGAAAATTCTCTTCTTTTCTTTTTATATTCTTCATTCTCTTCAATTAATGATAAATGTTCCTATATATTGAAAAATAAAGGGATAAGTATAATATTTATTATATGATTATTTTCTTTTTCTTTTTGTAATTACATTCTCAGCACCAAGTAGAATCAATTCGTCGATCTTGTCTTTTAATAGTTGTTTGAGGTATTCACGTATTTCAACCGATTGCATGACACGAAATACAAGTAATAGACAGTATTTTGAACATGCATAGATCTCATAATTATCCAATACATATGATTTGAGAGGTAAAGCAAGTTGCATTACTTTTGTGACCAAATCTTGCTTTTCTGTAAAGGAGAGTGTCCTGCCATCAAATACCAAATCCACTGTATTATAATCTATTCGTTCAATGTGATACTTTACTATCTCTTTGACAATCAAATCTAGTCGATGTACCCATTTTTCTTTTGTTTCACCATTATTAATACTCTTAATTCGATTAAATAGTTGATGATTCAGTTAGTTAGTTTGATTGTCAGCTGATATGTGATTGATCGATTGATGACGACTGCATACATTTAATATATTATCTATTAGACCAAATATAACATCCATTCATTACAACTAACTACAACTACCAAAGCAAACAAATAAAAGCAACACCTTTTATTTATTAATAATTTTTTTTTTTTTGCTAAGATCATTCGTTATGTAAAGTGCATCAATGAACAAGAACTCTTTTTATATACATATTATTCGATTACTCTTATTAATATTTATTCACTATAATAGATGGCAGACAGATAAACAGGTATGTTGATATGGACTAGACAATGTTAAAAGGATTTGTTCATAGTAGACTCAAAAGGCTTCCAATGTCCTTTTCCATTTCGTAAATGATGGACGACACCTCTCGATCTCTTTCGCGACCTTTGATCAAAGGGAAGTGAGAAACTTTGATGGTACCTCATCGTATCGAATTCTAGAGACACAATGTTGCTCTCTACAATGACCCAATGATCATCGTTAATGAATTTTTCAGAACAATCAAAGAGAACATTACGCACTTTTTACTGCCACATTCTACTTTTCTATATACTTGTATTGGTTAGAAAGAAATGCGACAGTAAAAAGGGCGTTTATGTATCTCTCCCAATTAGAATAGAATCGTTCCCACCCTTTCCTACCTTATTGTAAGATTGAAATATATTAGATATTAAATATACTGATTGATGGATAATATTAATGGAACAGTTTTACATTTATTTTATTAGTTTTTTCTTCTTCTTGGTTTTCTATCTTCCTCTGAACTACTGCTACTACTACTGCTATCGCTATCACTACTATCCGAGTCACTACTATCACTGTCACTATCACTACTATCAGAGTCACTACTACTATCCTTTGATTGAGGTTTTGTAATTTTTGGCGCATGTTCAAGATAGTGACGAAGTTCATTGGTGACGGCACCCAAGTTAATGGAAGTGAAAAAGTTGATAGAGTAACGAGTGTTTTTGGGATTGTCTCTTGGGAAGATGCCGGTAAAGTAGGACTGGAGGTTTGGATCTTGGAGACGAGCATTGAGTTTTTGGATACCGATAAACTCGCTAATCTCTTGAAAGATAATCTTGATAAAGATACGACTGGCACTGTTGGTCTCGTCTGGGTTGAGATGGATGTATTCGAGGATGGTCCAGGGAAGGGCATCGGTGTAAAGAAGATGTGCATACATCTTGGCAATGTTTCTGAATTTGTTGGTCTCGAGTCTGTGCACAGTGGCATACTGCTCGACAAAACATTGCTCAAAGTTGTCGCGATACACTCGTTTGAGATTACAGAATCGTTGTGCAAGATTGCCATAAAAGTTGAGGTATGTACGTTCTTGTGCACAACATTGGATGATCATGTTAGCAACCTCTATCTCTTGGCCTGGTGGGATCACCAACTTGAGTATCTTGTGAGCGCATTCTTCAAAGTCCTTGCTACTCATAATAACAAGGTAGATAGTTCTCTTGAGTGTGATAAGGTTGGTCTCTGTCATATCTTGTACTTCAACAGTCTTTGATTGACTTTCAGTTGATACTTCTCTGTATGCCATTTCTTGATCACTTCCATCTTCTTGGTCGTCATCACTTTCTCCGCTACTTTCTTCCTCTTCACTTTCATCACCAAGAATACTACGTTTAATTTCCAAATATTGTTGTTGATGTTCAAGAAAATCTTTATCCTCTTTAAAGAAATTAGTGTCTTCTTCGGTATTGTAGGTTTCTTCGAGTGTGAGATACTCGTGCGTGATTTGGTCGTCAATGTCGACCACGTCGAGATCGGCGACGATCGCAGGATGATCTTTGAATCCGGTTCGGATCACCTTGAACAACTCCTCGATCATGTACTGCACACGCTTGTCAATCTCTCCTTCATGAAGAATAGCACGCAAACGGTCATAGATACCGCTGAATCCTTGCGACGACACTTCTTGTACGATCTGTCCACAGTCCTTGAGGAACTCGACAGCTACCTCGACCGAGTCGTCTGTGGGACGTTCAAGCAGCAACGTGATCACCTCGAGTGGGATGAGCACACCCACCACCTGTTGATTGGTCAAATGAGCCAAGAACCGAGCCGACGCAATACAGGTGGGCTTGTCGTTTCTACGAAAGGCCTTTTTGAAGCCCTCAATCAAACGTTTGGCAATCAACTCTCCATTATCGGGTATCTTGGTATTGATAATCGCCACCAACGCTGCATACACATTGGTAAACATCGGTGAGATTTGTTGGGCACGGATCAATGAACGTGCCAACAATCCACGTCCACGCACAACATTCTCGCCAAACAACTCGACTGCAATGTTCTTAATGTTGGATACCGACACCTTGTTGATGAGACCATTGATCGACTTTTTGAGTGCATCCCATTCCAAACGTTGGTATTCCACCGATGACTTGTCATCCACCTTTTTCTGCATCATTGCCAATTTAAAAGGTGGTATGTACACACCAGCACTTCTTTCCTTTACCAATGCTTCTTGTACCTTTTCTTCAACTCTTTGTACTCTTTCTTCTTTTTCTTTATATTCTCTATCTCTATATTGTTTCTTTTTTTGTTGATTATTCTTTGATTCAGGTTCTGAAGAATCAGATGATGAAGATGGTGATCTATCTCTATATCTTTTCTTTTCTCTATCATTATTATCTCTTTTATCTCTATTGTCTCTGTTGTGGTCGTCATCTCTTCTACGATGACTGTAGTTGTCTCTTCTATCTCTATGGTTGTTATCTCCTCTTCTATCGTCTCTATCTCTTCTATCATCTCTATCTCTTCTATCGTTATCTCTGTGATAATCATCTCTTCTATTATATTCTCTTTTTCTATCATAATCTCTATCTCTATCTCTTTCGTTGTTGTTTGATCTGTCTATAGCCATTTTTTCATTGTTGTCTTTTTCCTTTCTATATTTATGATAGTATTCATCTTGATCTTCTTCACCTTCTTCTCTATCATCATCCTCCTTTGGTCTACGATCTACAGCAGAGTCATTGTTGGCAATGTCTTCCTTTTCAACTTTGACTCTGACAGGTGATGCCTCTCCATTATTTGAATTATCTTGTTTACGACGACGATGATGTGACTCATCCTCGCTACTACTATTACTACTGCTGTCCATCTCTCCCCTGCAAGTACTTTAATCGAATACCTTAATTAACTTTTGAGGATAAAGAATAACTTAAAGTTATATCTTTCGCTTTTTCAACTTCATTTTCAAATTTTCTCAAGTCAAAGAAAAAAAAATCTATTTTAATAATTACAAAAGTATCACTTTCCAGGTTTATTATTATTATTATTTCTTTTCTAGAAATTAGAGAAATCACCAAAAGATTTTAATTTCTTTTGTTGTTGTTGCTGTTGTTGTAATCTATCTTGAATGATTTGATTTTTTAGTTGAGTAGATGATGAACTAGCTGATGCTGCAGTGGTGGTTGTCGTCGTACTACTACTACTACTACTTGATGCCAATTTCTTTGGAGCTGCAGAGGTCTCTTGAATATATTTACCAACACCAGTTTTAGTTGTTTTAATAGGATTTGGATTTGGGTTGGAGTACCATTGACCCTTTTCATAGTCGTCGTCTGTAAATTTCAATTGTTGTTGGTTAATCTTTTCTTGTTGTTTTTTCTTAATGTCCAATTCTTCTTGATCTATTTGGTGGAATGGATTCTCAAATACTTGTGTACCTGTTATTTTAATTACACCTATTGGTCTATCACCTTCATCTGTTTTAATCATCTCCATTAATTTTATAACATCTAATCCTCCAACTACCTTTCCAAATATCTAAAATTTAATTTAATTAATTAGTTTAATTCATTTTTGTTTTTTTAATATTTATAGTTACATACAGTATGTTTACCATCTAAATGAGTACATGGTCTAAGAGTAATAAAGAATTGTGAACCATTTGTATTTGGACCACTATTTGCCATACTGAGAATACCGCGTTCACTATGAGTCAGTTTCGATTTCTCATCTTTGAATGGTTTTCCCCAGATTGATTCACCACCTCTACCTGATCCGGTAGGATCACCACCTTGAATCATAAAGTTTTTGATCAAACGATGAAAGATGACATCGTTGTAATATCCCTTTTCACAATGTTGTAAAAAGTTTTCACATGCCTTGGGAGCAATATCGCAGTGTAGTTGAATGTTTAAATCTCCTAGATTGGTTTTCAGTCTTGCATATCCTTTCTTTTTAGTTATCTTTCCTGGTTGATCTGCTATATGATCCTCTACAACCTGTCCCAATGAAAATCCAGTCGATGTAAATGATGGTGCTTGTCCAGATTGTTTTCTTTGATTTTGTAATTTTGTTTCTTTTTCTTGTTTATAATCTTTTAATTCCTTTGATTCAGTAGATGAAGTTTTTGTTGTTGATGACGTAGATGTTGAAGGTTGAGTAGTTGTTGTTGATGTAGATGATGAAGATATTCCTTTTTCTTTTAATTCATCAAATATTCTTTGAGCAGTTTGATTTACATTTATATTTGATGTTCCATCTAAAATTAAATAAATAAATCAATTAAATATTTGATACATTATATTGTATATTCTAATCTTTCTTTAATTACTTACCATTATTATTATTTTGATTAATATCTAATCTATTTTTAATAAAATAAAAGGTATCTAATTTTCTATTGGAACGATCCTTTGGATCTTGGATAGTAATGATATCATCTTTTGTGAATGGTGTGTCGTCCAATGGATCTATCAATTGTTTTGGTTCAAAGCACAGCTTTTCAATTGCTTCATAGCTAAACACATTGCCTGTTGCACGATTGATAACAATGTGACTGTAATCGGTAAATGATTTCTTCATGATAGGACATAGGTAATCTCCATCTTGATTGATTGTAAAATTTGCTTTAAATAGATCTTTCATCGTTGTCTTCTTTCCAGTCACTGGATCAATACCATGTTTCTTTATAAATGGTATAATATTACTATATAAGAGTAAAGTAAACAGTAAAGAGATATAGATAGATAGGTTAGTCATAATACTTATAAAGTACACTATATAAATACTATTAAATACATACAGCATATCATATAGATGACCATTATTTGTACACATTGCATCTTCAAATGGTTGAAATGACATACAACAACATGAGAATGGGAGTGGACGCTCTGCACCACGTGTCTCTCCTTCTCTCTTTCCACCAAACTCATTGATCCATTCACTAACGGTCATAAACACATTAGCTGTTCTTCTCTTTCTTCCCATCTCTCTCTGTAGTAATTTATCTCTAAATTGAATGAAAAATATAAATAATAAATATTTGAAAATTAATGATTGAATGATCAAGACGAGACGATTCCCGATAATTTACTCATTTTTTAGAAATATTGGTTTAAAGATACAGATAGATAGATAGATAGAATGGAAGATATCTCAACACAATCAGCAAGTGATGCAGCAGCTACAGCTACTGATATACCATCAAAGAAAGTGATTAGAAAGTTTGTTGGTAAAAAGAAATTGGCTGCAATGAAAGAAGAACAAACAGCAACTACACCATCAACTACATCGTCGTCAACAGATATTACAATTAAAGAAAAAGTAAAACCAAAAGTATATGGTAGAAACTTTATACAACAAATACCAGATGAAATATTACAAGACCCAATATTGAAACAAGCAGTCTCTGTACTACCGAGTAACTATAACTTTGAGATTTACAAGACGATTTGGAGAATCAAACAAGCAAAATCAAAACGAGTAGCTCTTCAATTCCCAGAGGGATTGTTGATGTATTCGTGTATCATTGCTGATATATTGGAGCAGTTTACACAATGCGAGACTATCATTATGGGTGATGTCACCTATGGTGCCTGTTGTGTAGACGATTACACTGCCAAGGCTCTAGGTGCCGATTTCATGGTACACTATGGTCACAGTTGTCTCGTACCAATAGACGTTAGTGAAATCAATATGCTCTATGTCTTTGTTGACATTCAAATCGATCTTCAACACTTTATCGACACTCTTAAATTCAATTTCAACCTAAACCAAAAAATAATCCTAGTATCAACTATTCAATTTTCTGCTTCTCTTCAAGTATGTAAACAAATATTTGTTAATAATAATTAATTAATTAATATGTTCATTTTTAATCTACCTATCAATAGTTTGCAAAAGATAAAATAATGGAACATTTTAAGAATATTTATATACCACAAGAGAAACCGCTATCACATGGTGAGATTCTAGGTTGTACATCACCAAAGATTAATGCAAATATATTCAAACAACAACCAGGATATCAAGAACAAGTGGATGGAGAAGAAGAGCAAAGTGAAGTATTGGTGTATCTTGGAGACGGTAGATTCCATTTGGAATCGATTATGATTTCCAATCCAACTTTAAAGGCATATCGTTATGATCCATACAGCAAAGTATTTTCAATTGAAGAATATGATTTTCAAGAAATGTATAAAATTAGAAAAGATGCAATCACCAAGAGTAAAGATGCAAAGAAATATGGTCTCATTCTTGGTACTCTTGGTAGACAAGGTAGTCCAAATATTTTAATTGTTTGTATCAGTGAAATTTGAATCAAGATATTCAAATCAACATTACTAATAATATTTAATATTTAATTTATATTTTTAGCATCTTGAAGAATTATTAAAGAAAAATAATAAGGAATATACTATAGTTTTATTATCTGAAATTTTCCCAACCAAATTAGATTTATTTAAAGATATTCAAGTGTAAATAATTTAAACAAACAAAAAAGATGATGGTTGATGTGATATTAATATTAATATTAATATTCATTAATTTTTTTATATTCCTCTTTTTTTAGATGGATTCAAATAGCATGCCCAAGATTATCAATTGATTGGGGATATGCATTTACAACACCATTATTAAATACTTATGAAGCTGAAGTTGCTTTGGGAGGTATTGAATGGCAATCAATTTATCCAATGGATTTCTATTCTAAAAATGGTGGAAAATGGTCAAATTATCATAAATAACAAAACAAATAACTCTTTTTTTTGACTAGTATATACAATTTTGTTTTTTTTTATATTTATTATATTATTATTATTATTAATTATTATGTATGTGTAAAATAATCTTTAATTTAATTTGAATGTTTAAAACAAATTAAAGATTTGGCAGCATCTTCTTTTTTTGGTTTAAGGATACTGTTGCTACTGTATGACAGGCTGTTACTAATACTACCAAGACTGCTGATGGGACCACCGCAGTGCAACTTGGAGAATTGGATGTTCATTGAAGAGGTTGGGGTCAATGGTGCCACCAAATGTTGCATGCCGTTGCTGTTTGGCGATGGTGGGGTGGTTGGCACGACTGAAGCCGATGGTGATGGGAATGGCGATGGTACAGACACACGTGGTGATGAAGATGGTGTTACAGGTTTCTTGTAGATCCATTGGATCTCGTCTCCTCCTCCTCTCTTGGCCGACGACGACGACGAAGCACTAAACAAAAAGTTTGGTGATGATGGACCGGTGCCGACAGTGGTGGGTGAGTTGGTACCAGTTTGGCTCTGACTAAGATAACGTTTGCCAGAGGATGAGATTGGTACTTGATTATAATCATCTTCGATGGAAGCCTTTGAAAAGATTTCTAGTTTGGAAGTGGACAATGATTTGCGACACACAAATGGCGATGATGATGAAGAGTGATGGTTGTTGGAACCCTCGAATGGTGGTGAAGAGATTGGTTTGTTGTTGCCAAAGGTTGGTGAGAGGAGGGGTGGGGAGATGACGCTGATCGAGTTGACGCCGTGGCTCGAGCCGATGGGACTTCCACATTTGGTCGATGAATTGTTGACATTGACGGTGAGGTTTTGGTAGGACTTTTTGCTCTTGAGTGCTGGTTGCAAGGCAATTGGTTGAGTGGAAGAGGAGGAAGACATGTTCAAACCACCAGACTTGATACTATCTTGAAGTGGTGATAGGTTGGGAGTCGACTGGGACGAGTAGAGACATGGGGTGTTTTGGAGTGATGCGAGGGGAGGTGGTGAGCATGGGATACGTGGGTTATTGACAGAGGACTTGGGGAGGAATGGTTTGAGCTCCTCTTTAATCTGGTCGCCCTTGCGCTCATGCTTGGCAATGTGACGCGAAAAGTTGGTCAACATGCGCAATTGGCAGCCGTCGAAAAAGCAGAGATACTTGCCCTGGTTGTCTTGACGAAAGAGGTTGAGACCATAGTGAATCATTTGGTTGCGTAGTTGGACACCACGCTGCGATGGCTTGAGTGGCGTGGTGAACTCTTCCTCCTCGCCTTCCTCCAAGTTGTTGATGCCGCGCGACTCTCCCGCCTCGGCATCCAAACGTCTGTGCCAACGGAGATGAGACGACAAGTTACCCTTGTTACCCTTGATTGTCTTGTTGCAGGTGGGGTATGGGCAGCTGTAGGTGCCGTCCGTGTTTTGCTTGACCTGCTCACTCTTGACCTTGTAGTCGAGTGTTGGGAAGGGACGTGATGGCGTGCCAACGTGTGACTTGGGTGTACTTGGCGTCGACGACGAGCTGCCTGGCACACAACGGAAACGTTGTGGAGATCCCAATGGCGAGGCCAAAGGCGACCCAACAGGCGATGGTGCAACAATCTGCAGCTTCTTGGGAGAAGTTGACGAGCCGGCTCCATTGGACGACGAGCCATGTTGCTTCATCTCTTCAAATAGTGATTGTAGTTGGTGGTGGTTATGGTGTGGTTGTTGATGATGGGAGGCATAATGATGGTGGTGATGGTTTTGGTGTGCCCCCGCACTGTTATTGTTAATGTTGATATTGTCCAAACGGAACTCTTCACCCTCTTCATCTTCGTCGTCATAGTCGTCGTCGTATTCCTCGCCAAACTCACCATCATCAATCTCTTCGTGATCAATGTAGTTGTCGTCGACAGTTGCCACTTGTTGTTCAGTAGTCTCAAAACTTTTACTCTTGGTCAATAATTGTTGATGACCATGACTATGATGATTGTGATGAGATGAAGAGTTGGGAGAGATGCCGTTAAACTTGTAATAGTGAAGATATTCGAGAGATGGTGGCGAGGATGGTGATGGACATGTGTGATCGGCTGATCCTACCAATTCAGAGTTGACCTTGGAACTGATGTATTCAGGTGTATATAATTGTTTGCTGGTTGGAATGATCTGACTCTTTGTGAGCAATAATGGAGGTGAATTGGTTGGACTAGAGTGGTGATGATGATGATGATGATGATGTTGTTGTTGTTGATGATGAGATTGTTGTTGAAATTCGTCATTGTATTTTGTTTTCTTTGGTGATTTGATGAGTTCCTGTTGTTGTTGTTGGAATCTGATCACGTCTTCGTCATCATATCCCATCACTCTCTTGTGGTTCAACAATGATGGAGAAGATGTTGATGATGATGCTGTCAAGTTGGTTGGTTGACTAGTAGTAGTGTAGTGATGATGTTGTTGAGCAATGTGTTGGTTTGGGTTGGATTCCTCAATAAGATTGAGTAACATTGAGAATTTAGACATTTTTTTTGTTGTTGTTGTTTGTTGTTGGATTTATATATGAAGGTGAATTTACAAGTTGAAAATTATATTACACAAATGTTATATGTTATATATTATTAATGATTAATATTACAAAAATAAAAGGGTTATATATATATATATAAATATATATGGAATTATATTTTGATTGATTGATTGATAATATTTCAATAGTTTAAAAAACCAACTTAAAGTTCTTTAAATACTAGAATATAATTACGATTGTTTGATTGATGAATGGAATAAATCTAACTTCTAAAGAATGAAAGAAATGGGAAAAAAGATATATTAATTAATATAAATATTTAATAATGATTGATTGATTGATTAATTGATGATTGTTGATGATATTTAAAAAAGAAATATGTATGTATTTATATATAGAACAGATTATGATAATATATTAATTAAAGAGTTTTTGGTGTTGGGTTATATATATTTTTGTTTGCTTGCTCTGTTGTTGTAAAAATATATATATATAAATAAACACGTAGCTTGTTATATAACTCCAATATGTCTCATTTACAAAAAGTAGTAGTACTTCTTGTTGATTATGATGATGATGATGATGGTGTTGGCAGAAAGAGAGAGAAGGAGAAAAAGAAGAAGTTGTAGAAAAAAAGGAGGAGGAGTATCATCCGAGCCAGATAGATAGGTGACTGGTTAAAAGGTGTCAGTCAGCTAAACAACCGGCCAACCATCTCCTACAACACAACATTAACAGTTGTTGTTGTTGTTGTTGCTATGTTAGGGGTAGCAGTTTTTAGAATTCCATACCCATGAGAGAGACTGTGGACTATTGGGGTGTTGCGATTGATTGATTGATTGATTGAATGACTGTGTGTTGGGAACCAAAAACACCATCCATCTACAATAGGAGGAGGAGGAGGAATTATAGTTTTCTATTGATTGGAGGATCACTTGTACCCCGCATATCAATCAATCAATCAATCATCGATATTGGCTTGAGAAAAGTGCCGATACCGCTTCAATAACAACAGACGATAACGCTCCTCTGCTACAGTCTCATACCATCTTCGACTACTACTCCACCGCTCTCCAACCCATGGTATTGATCCATCATTGTACTTTTTCTTCTTCTTCTTCCTTTCTCTCTCTCTCTCTACACAATATATCACACACAACACACAATCAATCAGTGCACACAATGCAAACACACACCACACATATTCAGCAACAACACAACGACAGCAATGCCAATATTTACATGCATCACCTTCTTGGTCGTTGAAAAAACCACAAATCCAAGCTTGTAATATTTTTAAAGTGGATATAGTGATTGCATCTGATGATGATGATGATGATGATGCTGAAGGTGTAGATGGCAGTGCACTGATATAATGTGCAAATGTAATGTAATGCAATGCAATGGAATGGAGAAGAATTGGTGGTGAGGTCGCCATGTTGGTGGTGGTGGACACTAATTATAATTAATTGTGTAAGTTTGGAAGATAAAGGAGCTGCTGAGCTCTTCGGCAATAAATAAATACATATGGGGTGGTTGGTGGCGTGGTGGGAAATATGAATGGTGGATGCATTATTAATATTAATTTTTGTTTTTGTTGAATGAGGGGGTCTAATGGATCCATTCTCCATCTTTGCCATGCATCCACACAATAGATGGATGTAGATGTAGATGCAAGAACTACTGGATGGCATGGCAAATTTGAAGTTTGGAAAACAACAAATCATTGACAACAACAATAACAAAACAAAACAATTACAAAACAAACCATTTAAACAAACTACTACTACTTCTACACCTATACTACTACTACTACTATCCTATCTAATAGTTGTTGGTTTGTTTGGTTGGTTGGTTGGTTTGGTTGGTTGTTTGGTTGTTTGGTGATTCATGATGATTTCTCTTACCTTGTTGGATAGATCTAATGGGCGACGACGTTGGTAAGTTTGTGGTGTTACTTCTCCTGCTTTAAACAAAAAGGCGAATTTAACAATGAAGATATATAGAAAACCTTTGGTTGGTTGGTTGGTTGGCAAATAAGAGAATTGAAAAGAGAAAGAATGAGAATAAATAAGAAAGAGAGACGTATAATTAGTATTAGCCAGTATACATTTAATAATCTTATTCAATGTATGAGATATATCTAGGTAGGTAGGTGTGGGTGGGTGTAGGTGAGGTGTGGGTGGACCATCACCGATTGACAATTGTGTGATTAGATGTTTTAACGGTGGTTGGGTGAGACCACTAGTAAGCGAACCCCACATGTGGGTAGGGTTGATTGGTTGTCTGATACCAACAGATATACCAACAAGAGTCTTCCATTGTAGAATACGACAGAGTCAAAATACTACAAGAACCTACTGGTAAGACTAGGACATCTATAGATTGGTTGGTAGATCTCTGTAGTATAACGATGATGAGGAAAGGATGAGGGAAGATGAAGAGGAGGATAAAGAAAGTTGAGGGAAACCAAACATAAAGATTGTTGATGACATACAATTGTGTGCAAGCAGCAATGCTAGTCGAGAGAGAGAGAGAAGTATAATGTTACAAGTAGTTATAAATAAATAATGTTTGTTGTTGTTGTTGTTGAACAATGGTCAAACCATGTCCTTTTATAGTTTCTTGCATCATTGTTCATCCCCTCTTTCTCTCCTTCCTCTAGCTAGCTGAAGTACCCTCTTTCTTCGGTCAGTCAATAATGATTGATCATGAGATGTACGACTAAAGATATTCAACTTTTAATTAATCTCCTCACCCAACAATTTTTTTTGGGCAAAGAGGATAGGGTGAGCTGGTGATCCGGATTGGGCTGAACGATGTTGTTTTGATAGAGTTGAATGAATTTTGAGTTTGACACATCTTTAAATTGAATGCGTGAGTGGGGGGGGGATGTGCGTGCGAGCAACAAAACTCATTGAGAGAGAGAGACCCGCACAACAACAGTGAGAGTTGTTGACATTTGTTTAATGTTTTATCAATTGCACTGAGATGTGTGAGAAAGGAAAGGAAAGGATGTAAGGAAGAAAAGAAGGGATGAATGAATGATGGCGATAGAGTTGTGAATGAAACAAGTTTACCTTTTTTAGTGTAGAGATGGGGGAGAGGTGAATTGGTAGGGAGGTAGGTAGATCTTTTAAAATAAATAAATTAAATAAATAAATAATAAATGCAGAAAATAATATTATTTTCTAAAACCAAAATTAAACACTACAACAATTAAATAAATAAATGTTTGATGTCAACTGATTGTTGTTTGATGATGATGATGATGATGTTTGATATTTTGGTTGTTGTTGTTGTTAATAATGGAAGATGACAATTATTTGCGGCATTTGGAATACGAATTCCAAGTTTAAATATAAAAATAAATGGATAATGATGTTTGGTTGGTGTTTGATTGGTGGTAATGATGATGATGATGATGATAATGATAATGATGGGGATTCCAATTGGTGGTAATATATAAAGAGAGAGAGTAGAGTAGAGTATATAGTAGTAGTAGTATAGGATGATATCAAAATTATAGTAGATGTAGTAGTTACTGTTGACTTTTATATTCCGTTGAATGAAATACAGGCGTCGCGATGGTTAAATATGGATGATGATGAGCTGGATATATGGATTTGGTGGTACGTAGACGAGTATACTTACAAAACCAATTAATTTATATCAATATATTCGAGGTAGCAGTAGGGTGAATTGAGAATGGTCGACGATGGTGTGGGGGGGTAGGGGTAGGTATGGTGGTGATGGATGGTAGTGGTGGTGGATGGATGGATGGTGGTGGTGGGTGGTTGCTGTCTGTTGTTAGTACTAACTAATAACAACAACAACAGCAATTATTGATTGATTGATTATACGATTGGCATACAATTGCTTTATATGTACACAGTAGTAGAGGTAGAGGTAGTAATAATAATAATAATAATAAATAAAGAACAACTTTGATTGATTGATTGTTTGATTGATTGATTGATTGATTCCAACAATATGTTTGATGATTGTTAAAAATTGAATTGACCAAACGTGTAAATGAATGATTTAAATCTTTTGATCGAGTATTATATTCCATATAATTCCTTTAATTTAAATTCTGTAATCAGTCTGTCAGTCTGTCAGTCAGGTAGGTAGGCAGCTGTCTGTCGGCTTGATTGACAGCCGGTCTGTCAGTGCATGTTGACACTAGAAATTTTAAAATAAAATGTTAGATAAGTGTTTGGAGGGGGTATGTCATGTTGTCTTTTGGCAAGTGTGTTTGAGCAAGCAAGCAAGCAGCATCATTCATGATGATGATAAAGATGATGCTGCTGCTACTGCTGCTGCTGGATGCATGGACGGACGGATGAGGAGGAGTATAACCAACAAACACTGTTGCACAATAAACAGTAGCAGCAGCAGTAGCAACACATATTGTTGTAATATCTACTGGATGAATGAAGCACTTGTGCCAGTTGTTGGTATTACCTCTTCTGCTGCTGCTGCTGCTGCTGCTGCTGCTGCTACCACTGCTACAGCAACAACAACAGCAGTAGCAAAGAGAGAGTGGTAATGGTAATGGTAATGGTAACAGCTACAGCATCGCAGTAGCTGCAACAGCAACAGCTGTGATAGAGATATATGTATGTATATATGTATGATGAGCGAAGAGATTGAATTGATTGGAAACTGCTTACCACCATTACTACCACTACCACTACTATCAACAACAACAGATGTTTGTGGTGGTGACGAATGTAGTAGTAGTAAAACTAGTAGTAAAGATGGGAAAGATGGTGGGAGAAAGGTGAAAAGCGGGCGGGCACAGGCTATATGTTGTACCCTGTGCGTGTGGTCAAAAGTCAATCCTGCTCTACTCTACTCTACTCTAGTCGACTTCTAGAGCAATCACCACATTGCCACCACATCGATAGTGGCAATTGTGAACTAACAACAAATGTGACAAGTTGTCAACACAATTGTGACAAAATCAATCTGTCAACCTCCCAAACATGGAAATTAATTTGGAGGAGGAGGAGGAGGAGGAAACAGGTTCATAAAATTTAATACTTCCCCTACACAGACTCTAAACAACACACACATCCTGACAAAGAGGAAGAGGAGTAGCAGCGGTTGAATATCATGGCTTGCTACTATTGTCGTTGTTGTTGGTGTTGGTGTTTTGGACAAAAGTGGTGGATGGCTGGTTAATAATATTAAATTAATTAACTCAGTACTAGTAGTACTCACACCCGTCAACAACATCTAATTAGTAAGGTTGTAGAAAAATGCTACAGCCACAAAGAGAGAGAGTGAGAGAGAGAAACTCAATTTTGATTGAGATTGTCATCGTTGCAACACACTGGGGTACTGGTTTAATTAACAAACGATTATTACAACATGTTGTTCAATATAAAAGTGAGAAGGGAGAATGAATGAATGAATGAATGAATTATAATAGTAATGGGGTGGTAGTAATAGTAGTAGTAGTAGGTAGCATTGGCAACAGAGTCAGACAGACAAACAGACAGAGAGACCGTTCTGTTCAGTCAGTCAGTAGGCTGAGATATTATTACCCACCTCCCAGGATGATTCATTCATTCATTCATTTCACCCATGGATTTGAAGAGGAGGAGGAGGAAGGTGGTAAGGATGGACGGAATTGCAATTCCATTCAAATGGAATTGGTAATTCAATTGACTACTCTTATTTTAATTTCATCATCATGATCCCCCTTTGACCGACTGACTGACTGACTGACCGACTGACCACACACAACAAGTTTAGTTTGGATGTTGAATCCATCTCCTCGAACAATATACCACAACAGTAAAAGTTACAGTTTATTGCAATAACAAGAACAAACAACAACAACAACACCACCACCACCACCACAACGATGAATGAGCTCCTCCACCTCTTCTTCTTCTTTTCTCCTCTTCCTCCTCTTTTGATCTACTCGTATCGTTACTACAAATAGTATCTGGTTTGAATGCTATCTATCTTGACGATCCCTATTTGGGACAAGTGGTATAGTATAGAACAACAAACAAACAAACACCAACCATAATTATGGTTAGTGGTTCTCTCGGTAACATCAATCAAATAACACGGATGATGATGTGATAGTTATAACAACCAACCTGGAAAGGTGTGTAAGTGTGTGTGTGTGAGTAAATCCCAAAAAAAACTGTTCCCCTAAATTTTGGGTAGTTATTGCTATCTAAAGCTGCTCTCGCGATAGATGATCATCAACCAAGCAATAGTAGTATCGGCGTAAGTATTTTAACAGCTTTGGATAGTGGTGGTTGCTTTTTTTGTGGTGATTCACAAAGAGAGAGGAGAGGAGAGGATTGGTTTGGTTGGTTGGTAGTTCCGACAAACTGTGAAACTGCCTGCCTGACCGACCGACTGGCCATGATCATATGGAACATAGAGAGGATTGTCAAATCAACCACCAACTAACCAACCAACAACCAACCAATCTATCTCTCTATCTATCCATCTATCAATTTCTTAATCTATCTTTTATCTTTTACCAACTCTAGAGTAGTATTAAAGAAGAAGAAGAAAAAGTGTGGTGGTTGTTGTTGTTGATTGTTTTTCTACTATCCCCCATTCCACACCAAATTTAACCCCAAATTTTTTTGTCTGTCAGTCTGTCAGTCAGTCAGTGTCAGTCACCATGACTACAATCATATTTTATCATGATTGCCAACAACAACAATAACAACTGTTGTATAACACCCTCTAATTGATTTATCGTCGTCATGAATTAACACACACACACACACACATATTGATTGTACTAGTGATTCATTTGGATGATGGTGAAATTTGCCAATTCCCAAGTTTGTCATTCAATACAAAGTGTATTAAATCTATTAACTACTTTCTCTCTCTCTCTCTCTTTGATGGTTGGTTAATTAACCCACCACCACCACCATTGAATGAAGAGTGTCGGCAATAAGAAACAAAGCAATAGCTTTGTACCCCCCACCTAGGTCAACCAACCAAAAGATTTATATATTTTAAATCTTTATCTGCTCGTTGATTATTATAATAATGATCACAAAACTAACATTGGGTGGAGGGGGTGTGGAAATGGTAGAATTGCGTATTATTTCCAATGCTGGTGTTGGTTGCAATCAGTACAATGTTGGATTTCTTCTGTTCTCTTGTAGTTGCAACTACAATCAACTTCTTGGAATTATAGGCACCATACATAATTAGAACAACATCACCTTCATATTGTCTATCTCTCTCTCTCAAATTCATTATTAGCATTGTTGTTTGTTATAAAATTAAAACATATAATCCCTAACCAAATCATAGCAATCAATATATTTAATATTTAAAACTCTATATTCCTATTGGATGTCCAATAGGTGTGTGTGTGCGTTGTGATGGATTGGAATAGATATTGTATTGTATCACTTCCCACTTGTTTTTTTTCCCCAATATTTTATAATAGATTGATTGTATGCTATGCTGCGCGGTTGACCGACCAGACAGACAAAGAGAGAGAGAGACCGACCGACCGACCGACCGACCGACGATTCTCCTCTCCCCCTTTGTTGGTAAATTTAAATTAATTGACCGCAGACCGTATCATGGTAATATACGCTATTCGAAAAGTGAGTGATGGGTGATGGATGTGTGTAATTTTAAAACCGGATTCCATGAATCCAATATTATTTTTTTTGTATGACCATTGGTGATGGATGGTAGGCAGAGAATGATGATATGATATTTTTGGGTTGGTAGTAATTTGATGGTTTGACAACAATTGTTTAATAATAATAACAATATTTGGATTTAAAATTAGAATTTCAAAATGCTATGAAATAATTAAATTATTCTCGACACTCGATTCTATAATTAGAACCAAGAGTTCATAGTTGAATTGATTGATTGATTGGATTGGATTGAATAGATGTGGTGATGATGATCAGGTTTGGTTGTTTATACAACATGGTATGTTTAAAAAAAAAAAAAAAATCCCAATACATACTATTGTCACATTCGATCAATGTTGTGTGGATGGGAATGTATGTATGAATTGAATGGATACATACACTAACAAACAATGATTTGATTTACTATAGTAAGTGTGTATGCACAGCTAGGTTGGCACCCGCCCGAAATATAAGTAAATAATGACCCCAACAATGGTGATATATAGTGATATTGTCAATAGTTACCTTTTTCGTGGTGATTAGAAAAAAAAGGGGTGTTGTGGGATTGTTTCAACAACACCATTCGTCATCAATTGTTCGAACTTGCCAAGATGATGGTTACCATGCCATCCATATCCACCTTTGAATTTTGTTTCAAAAAAACAAGAAGCTGAAACCTGCTATAATATAATATCTGTTATCTGCTGCTACTACTGCTGCTGTTGCCTGCTGCTGATGTACTTTTACTGGCTCACTGTTCACTACTAGTTGTTACTGTCTGTTACACTACTGTTACTACTGCTGCTGCTACCTCTGCTGCTACTGCTATATATGTGAAACTTGTTTCCAAAAAATCTGGATCACGTCAAAATCCATAACCATTTCATCCACAGTTCAAAGTGATCGTTTCTAATAGTAGATGCCATATAGATTGTAATGTAACAGTAAAAATGATGACGATGATTAGTATAATCTACAACCACTCCAGTCATCGTCATCGTCACCACCCAACTCTGTTGGAATGGCAATGGGATGAATGGAAACCATTTGGTTGGTTGGCTGGATGGCTGGGATGGCAGGTTGTTACACGTCATCTTTTAAACATTGGTTTGCAATGGCAATAGACTATGATGAAACCTACAAGTATTTTTTTTGGGGATTGTTATTATTAGTATTATTATTGTGCCCATTCCCTTGTTTTCATTGCCAACCTGGCACACTCTCTGCTCTCTCTTTCTGTTGCCATTGCAATTGTTGGCATGATGAACAAACAAACATGGGATTGGATGGATGGATGGATGGATGGATAGATGGATGAGATATCGTGTAGGTGGCACTATTATTGTATCCTTGCCGGTGACCCCAATCACTGCACTCACTACTGTTTCTTGTTTACATACATCGAGGTATTTTTCTATGCTATGGCTGCAATGCTACCAATACCTATAAATCTTCTCTTGTTCTTCTCTTCTCTTCTCGCTGCTGGATGCTCCAACAACAATAATTACACAGTACTGTTGTTAACAATTATTATTATTATTATTATTATTGTTGTTGTTAATGAGCATGAACATGAATGACAGCCAACAAAGAATGGCTGGTGTATTGGGTACTGATGCAGCAACAACAGCAACAACACAACAAACAACAACAACAGCAACAGCAACAACAGCAACAGCAACAGCAACAACAACAACAACTGTTGTAAACGTAACAGACAAATTTAAATTTAAATAATTCAATTGCAATTGGATTAGGTAGGTGAGGATTGGTTGGATTGATGAGGAGGACAGCAACAAAGCTGATGTTGCCGTTGTGCTGTGGCGGTCACCTACCATATGTTCCTACGCTTGTGCAACACAACACAACACAACAGCAACAACAACAACAACAACAACAACAACAAAAAAAAATCAATCATTTGCCAAAGCAATGGCCGATTTGCAAGCCACTGCCATAGTGATGGGTAAGAGGTTTGGGTAAATCTTCCATCCCTCACTAGTTGTGTCGTAGGGTTTCCGGTCACCCCTCATCATCCCCATCCACCCCCATTGCTTTCAGCTGACAAACTTCAATTTGCCTATCAACATGGAACTGTATAAAAGAGGAGGGGGGTGGTGGTAGGTGGTGTGTGGGGAACATCTACAACATTAACATCAATGATGGTAACACTATTGGTTTTGTGGTGGTGGTGGTGGTGTGTAGTGTCAATCAAATCGTCTTTGCAACAACACTCTATTGGTGTTGGTTGTGTTGCATACAACATGAATATGATATTTGTGTTGTGTGGGTGTGTGCAATATTTAGTCATATATGTACTTACGACTACTATACGAGTTGAGGTATACATGATGATATGTTATCTTTTATCATTCTACACTACTACATTTCTAAAATGGCGGTTGCTGGTGGATGGATGATCATCATTTAAAACTAACCAATAACCGTTGGTGTTATTAATGGCAATAAGAAGAGGAAGGATGGATGGGGTAGGTGATTTTTATATTATGTACATTTCTAGTCTATAGACTGAATCAGACAGGATGAAATAATAATATTAATCAATGTACAATGATTCAATAAATTGAATTACAAATTTAATGTCTGATTGTGTTTGCATGACCGTTATAACTCATGTGTTTCATTCTTGGCGCCAACAAATAATTTAAAATTCAAATTAGTTTGGATTGTCCAATCTTACAACCAAATCAAAAGGAAGGATTAATCATTCTTTACAAAGTTGGGTAGTAGTAGTTGTTGTTAATGATTGGTTCTTCATTCCAATCAAGTTGGGGATTCAATTTTTAAACACTAACTATCTCAAAAATGGTTGAGGATTAAAATGATTGGAATGAAAAAAGAGATTCATTGGAATCATTGGTTTCCCAAAAGAGTAATTGGTTGGAATCTCGTGTGATGGTGTAAACAGATCCAATCAAATTCCAAGAGTTGCCAATATACTAATTAATTTTAATTGTAACTTGGATCTGTTGAGATCATCATTTCAAACATGTGGGTGTACGTCGTTAACAATGTATATCGGACGGAACCGCTTCAAATGTAAATCGGTCTCTGATTGAGCTAATAGATTGGTTGGGTGTGGTGATTTTTATTGCCATTTAGAGTCTAGTAGTGGGTGTTGGCGATACCCTTACGGAATTGGTAAAGCTTGGCTTGTTTGTGGTTGTGGCAATCTACTCCCTCCTCCTCTTCTTTTCTTACCAAATTATTGCATCTGTTTGTTTTGGGGTGTGGGAAGTGGCTGTTGTGACTGTTGGCCGAGAGGAATGGGTGGTTGTTGCAACAGCTGGTGTTGTTGTTGTTGAAGAGGAGGAGGGTGTTGGAGTGCTGACGCAATTGAAGAGAACGATGAAGATTTGGCAAAAGACACTTTCATGACATGCTCGCCAATTGGATGTCCGTGGAGTTTTACCAAACTATTGACCGACTCTTCAAGGCTGGACATCTCAATCAAAGCCATCCTGGCGTCTTTGCTATATGGAGTAAAAGTAATAGTGTTGGGAAAAGCGAAGTGATGGTGATGTTAGTAAAAGGGAAAAGGGGGTTTGGAGAATAATTGTGTAGTTTGGTCTGGATGGTGTGTGAGTCTCAAAGGGGAGGGATGGGAGAGTGAGTGGGTAAATTGTTTGTTTGTTTGTTTGTTTGCTGATTCCATTCATCTAATCTGATTCAGGTTCCTAAACGCCATGAAGTAACCCTTCTCTTGGATTGGTTGTTGTTGTCATCAATCTTTACTCGCACACCATCTTGTAGATAGATCAAACACACTTTGATTTTATCATCAGTGGAATGTGGGTGGGGTAATAAAAAGTGAGGAGGAAGGCCCTAGCACCAGCAGCGGCAGAAGATTCTGATTGCTTTCTAGCAACGGCAGCAGAAACTTAACAGGAATTGCCCAATCAACAGCTGATAGCCCTGCCAATTATGGAGCAAGATACTTTCGTTTGAATGACACGAGCAATGAACTGTTGTCGGTTTTTCCCTCCTTTTTTTCAAAATATTTAAAAAGTTTGAATTTTTGGGAGGGTGTTTGGCCTTGTGGCCTGCCATTGTCGGTCGTTTTTGGCTTGCCTTCTCTTCTTTTAATTCCAATGGAGGTTGGGGTAGACGTTAAATGAATAAACAAGAGACGGATTAATTAATTAACCCCTTCCTTTGTTTCTTTGCCCTTTGAAGGGACTAGTACCTCCTCCTCTGTCTCTCCTTCCCCAACCTTGGTAATCGAGGGATCTATTGGTATCCGAAATTCCTTGTCAAGATCTTGAGCTGCAGTACCCCTCATACTCGAGGGTATGTGGTGACTACTCTACTTAACAAAAAAAACAATTACAACGATGAAGAAAAATTGTGTTTCCTGAATAGGAGGAGAGAAAAAGAGTAAAAAAGGAAACATAAAAAACAGGCTAGTTCCTATTAAAGAACCCAACAACAAACAAAAGATTGAGAGATAATGATGGAGATTTGTTGTTGTAAACACATCACACAATCACAAGAGTTTTTGGGTTACAATTGTACCCCTTTGAAACTTTATAGCTCCACAAAACGACGATGATAGTAGATAAAGATAGATGAAGACGATGATGATAGCAAAAACATACTTGAATAAATGAAAGGAAACAACATTGCCAAACTTTGAAAATAATTCGGTAATGCAAGCTTCTATATCAAACCTTGGGGGTAAGTTTGAAAGATGGAGAATATGCGATGGTGGATGGATGTTTTGGTAATTCTTTGACCCTGGCTGTTTAAATCTATGAGAAGCAGAGCCAGTATAATCTTTGGTGAAATCACTCTAAAATAAAATTGTATAAAAAAGGAAATTTAAATCTATTAAAATCGATCAAATCAAAACCAAAATAAATTATTTTTTTTTGAACATACTTGAGCATCACCAGACTTTGGCATGGAAATAGATGCATGCCTTGAAAGATTAACTCTTAATATACTTCCTCTAAATGGTACATTATTTAAATATTGTAATGCTAATTCTCTAAAAAAAAAAAAAGATAAATATAAAAATAACAAACAAAATTAATTAATTATCTCTTTTCTATTTTCTTTTTTTTTCTCTATTTTTTTATATTTACGCTTGTTGTGGTAAATTCATTTGAATTAAAGCTGTATCCTTTTTGTTAAACATGATTTTAATACGTATTGGGTCACCGTAAACACCGAAAAGATTAAAGAGGTCTTGTGGAGAAGCCGAAAGAGGAAGACCGCCGACGATTAGAACCGGAGTGGATATGTGTGGGAAGAGGGTGGCCATTGCCTGTGGTTGGAGACCTGTCATACCAAGACTTTGTGCAACCGCAGCAGCCGCTGCCGATGATGGGCCAACGCCCATATTGGTTGCCGGATTCACAAGATGTGGGTTACTAATTGCACCTTGATTGACAATCGCCGCAGCAGCTGCTGCATGTTGCTGAGACATTAATTGCCCAGCAGAATTATTGCCAAATCCAATTGTACTAGGAATACCCGACATTAACGTCGGATTAGTAAAATCACGACTCTTATCATTATTGTATTTAATACGTAAGTTACTAAGTGATGAATATTGAATTTTCATTGTACAACATCCACTATAAATACTTTGTCCATCTAATTCCTAAAAAATAGAAAAAGAAAAAGAAAAATTAATAAAATTACTCTCTATCTTTTTTTTCTTTCTTTTTCTCTCTCTCTCTCTCTCTCTCTTTCTTTACTCTTTTAGCTTGAATAGCAGATTCTAAAGAATGTAATTGAACAAGGCTTTGGAAATTACCACTTTTTGAAAAGATTAAAATCTTTAATACACTTCCATATTTACCAAACAATTGATATAATACTTCAATCGTAACTGGATAAACTATATTTGAAATAGTAACAAGTAAAATATTATTTGGTGTTTCCTAAAAAAAAAAAAATTAAATCAAAATTATTAATAAATAAATATATTTACTTTTTTTTTCTTTTTACTTACAACAGCAGAAGTTGAAGTGATTTCTTCACGATTTGAATATTGAACAAAGAAATTTTTAGCTCTTATACAACCTTGAATGGTTGTGTAGAATTGAATAAAGGAAGAGGCAGAGGTGAGTTCCAAGAATTGAATAAAACCTTGACTCTTTCCTTTGAGAATCAAAATGTGGTCCACCTGTCCAAAAGGGGCAGCAATGGCCATAATCTCGTGTTCAGTACAATCGATTGGAAGATTTCTCAAATGGATGACCTTGGATGGTTGTGGAGTCGTGTTTTTGAGTTTCTTTGCTTTGCTCTGCTCGAAATCCTCATTGGTTTCCAAGCTTCTCTTGAGATTTAATTCATTGTTGTGGTCGAGGTCGCCTATATTGTCATCTTCGTGTGGTGGTGGAATACGTTGTGCTTGTTGTACAGGTGCTGTTGAAGGTGATGTTTTAGTACTACTACCTGGTGTCATTGTTGATGCTAATAATGGATCTTTTCTTAATACTTCATTAAAATCTGTTGCGGCAGTAGAAGTAGATGTTGTTGTTGTAGTAGTAGAAGTAGTTGATGTTGTTGTTATTGGTGATGTAGAAAAAGGAGAAGGAGAGGAAATCTTTTGTTGTTGTTGTTGAGGTTGATCAGATGATAACAACTCGGTTTTAACTTCTTCTAAAACTACTTGTTCTTGTTCTTGGTCTTGGTCATCTTCCTCCTCAACGCTGGTATTGACATCTTCTTCATCAGACTCTGTCTCTGTTTTAACCATTTTTGGTGTCTTTATGTTGTTGTCAGTAGTAGTTGTAGGAGTACTACTCAATCATCAAATCATCATGCATGCCATCAATAACAATAATAATCAATCAATTCATTTCAGAAATAATCAAACAAGCAAGAAAGCAAGCAATGAAGAGATATATATAGGGAGGGGGTTGGGAAGGAGGGATGGATGGCAACACAATAGCAGTATTAAAAGTAAATTAGGTGGTGGTAGAGAGAAAGAGAGAGAGAAAGAGAGATAAGAAAGGCAAGGTTAGGTTAGGTAGAATCTAGATTTTGAAAAGAGGGGGGTTGCGATAGTTTAGCAAAGATACATACGACATGTCGTTGATATATATGATGTGGTGTGATGTTGAAATAAATAAATGATAGATATAGGGGAGAATAAAGCTTAATTGCAACGGAAAAGATTGCTGCGCTGTTTGATTGATTTGATAGATAGGATAGATATAATTAAGTAAGTGGTCACCTGCTTGCTTCTCCTTCCTTCCTTCTTTATATATATCTATATATATATATATATTATATATCTCTTTATAATAATAATAATAATGAATCTGATACAAATTCGTTCGTTTACTATGAAGTTTGTCATTGACAAAATTTTCAAGTGTGTTGGGGGACCAAAATTTAATTATTTTTCTTTCCTCAAAAGAATATTAGTTTAAAACACATCACTGGAACAGGTAAATTCTTATAAATTAATTTAGTCTTTATTTTAAATATATACTCAAAGCTTTGATCATTTTTTTTTCAATCCATAGCTCAAACTCTCAAACCAATTAAATATTTTTATTTAGATAAAATATAAAATATAAAAAATTAAAATTATTTTGTTGTTTCTAAATTTGGAAACATATGAGGATAATAAATACTCTTGCAATGTCATCATTGGAAGTGTATTAATGTTTCCCCCCTTATTTTATTGTATTCCAAAAAACCGGGTTCTCTAAAATACTAATTCGACCAAGAAAATCACTATTTATGGATTATTTAGATTGTTGGGATGGGATGTTGGGGTTGTGGAAATGAAAAGATGATTTCAAAAAAATACGATTCGTATTTCACTCTATAGGTGTTTGTGTGTGTGTGTGTATGTGTTTGATCACTATGAATATTGAATGACCAATATTACCCTTAAATCGACTGGACTGTGTTTGTTTTTGATGGATTATTTTACTTTTTGTTTTTGAGTACCCCCTCCCTCAGTTGTCTATCCATCATCAAATTTTTAACTAAAAAAGATATTATTATAATTATTTATATTTAATATAGTATTACTACTACTCTCTCTATCTCTATCTATTTGTTTACCACTATCTATCTCACCACCCACAGTAGTCTACTTATTCAAACACCCACTTGTGCACATACAGACAGAGATACATTCATACACATCACGAGTTTGTGTTGGTTTGCAGTGAGTGACATTGTTGATATATAGTAGTAGTGAAGAAGAAGAAGAGTTGACTGCAGTGACAACAATAGCAAGAATACTACTACTTTCCACAACTACTAAAATATATATATATATTTATATAAATTATATTATATACTACTATACTGTACAGTACACTATACTTCATCAATCAACGATTCACAACAACAACAACAAATTAATTAATTTAAATTGTGAGAATAAGAGAGAGAGAGAGAGTTATATTTAAACACCACAAACAAAACAACTATTAGAGAGAGATAGAACAAAGAGCAATAATATAATTTAATTAAATAGAATAATCAATCACGTGATGTCAAATAATAATAATAATAATAATAATAGAAGACAAGGACTATCTCCAACATCGTCGTCATCATCATCATCATCATCAAATAACGGTACTAGTCCAGCTGACAAGATCAATGGAGGAATCATTAATATCAACTCTACACCAAACAATGAGAATATAATCAGTCCAACAAAGAGAAAGGAAACTGTTAGAATAGGTGAATATGTATGTAGTAATCATCATCATCATCTCGTTCATCATTACTAATCTATCTATTTTTTTTACCTATTTTTCTACTAGGCAATAGGTGATAAGATTGGTAAAGGAGCATATGGACAAGTATACAAAGGATTGAATAGTAAGACTGGTGATTTTGTTGCTATTAAACAGATTGATCGCATCAAAATCGATGCCAATACATTGCAAAGTGTAAAGAGTGAGGTTGAGATCTTGCAAAAGCTCAATCACAACAATATCGTCAAGGTGCTTGGATGTGTAGAGTCGCAGTCTCAACTCAACTTTATCCTAGAGTATGTAGAGAATGGAAGTTTGCGTGACGTCGTTGAAAAGTTTGGACCGTTGAGTGAAGAGTTGGCAACAGTCTATCTCTACCAACTATTACAAGGCTTGGCATATCTACACACCAACCGTATCATCCATCGTGATATTAAATGTTCAAACATTCTCATCACCAAAGAAGGTGTCATTAAATTGGCTGATTTTGGTGTTGCCTCTCAACTCTCTGACGAAGTTCAATTAAGATACAGTGTTGTTGGTACTCCTTATTGGATGGCTCCTGAAGCTATTACTGTATGTTATAAAAATAATATTAATATTATTGACACAAAACTAATTCATTCGACTACTTTTTTTTAGATATCGGGACAAAGTAGTTCAAGTGATATTTGGTCATTGGCATGTACAATGATAGAGTTGATTACTGGACACCCACCATATTATAATCTACAACCAATGAGTGCAATGTTTAAGATTGTACAAGACCCACATCCACCCTATCCAGCCAACATCTCCAAGCAATTTGAAGATTTCCTCAATGTATCTTTTGAAAAGGATCCAAATAAGCGTCCAACTGCCGCTGAATTATTACGTCATCCAATTTTTAAAACTAATCAAAGTGGTGTATGTACAAATGATAATATTAATAATAGTTTCAACATTTTATTAATATTTTTTTTTCTGCTAGCAATTACCAACATTATCAGAATTACAAGATACATTGAAAACATTGAATGGAAAGAGTAAACCAATTAGAGGATCAGTTGCATCAATTGATTGGACTGGAAGTACCAACAGCAGTAGTAGTGGTGGTATGGGTAACAGTGGTAGTTCGATTAGTACAAGCAACAGTGGTGGCAGTGGAAAATCCACACCATCTCCATCAACCTCTTTGAATAATTCACATAATGGAGAAAGTGAAGATATCCTAAAGTTACAATCTCTTGTCCAACATCAACAACAAACCATCTTTACATTATCAGAAGAGATTGCAGGTCTTAAAAAACAATTAAAAGATAATCCTTTTATGGAAGAACAACAATTTTATAGAGAGTATGCATATATATTAGAATAGAATAGAAAATAGAATGGAAACAAGAGATGATATGATGATGATGATGATATTAATATAGTTTTATTATTTTTTAGATTTTTCATGGCATTGGCTATTAGTGTAAAAGTAAATCAATGTTATTTGGGTAAAAATTATGAACAAGTCAATATACAGGGATTGTATGAAAATGCTAGAGCACAAGATATCCCATGGTACAGTTTGATTGAATGGATTCCAAAACAAATCATAATTAAAGAAGCTGAAGAGAGAGAAATTCAAAATTGTCATAAAAAGAAGGATAGTAGTACAAGTAGATTTTCAAAAGCTCTTGGTATATTCTCAAGTAGTAATAATAATACAAATAATAGTAATACAAATAATAATAATAATGACAAAGATAAATTAAATAGTAGTAATGATTCAACTAAATCGTCATAATATTAATAATAATATTACTAATTTTTTTTTTACCAACTTCACCTTATTAACAAAACAAATTAATAACAACAAACCAATCAAAAACTAATCTATTTATTTATTTATTTTTTAAAACAAAAAAAACAAAACAAATGTAAATAATAATAATAATAATAATAATAATTTTATCAAATTATATAATTATACAACAATTGTTAAAACTGTAAAATAAAAAAAGAGAATCTCTTTTTAACCATTATATCTTTTTGTTTGTTTTAGAATACCAATTTGGTAAATTGGTATTTTTTTTTTGTATATCTTTAAATTTATTATAATTTTTTAGATATACAAGTATCAGTGAATGAATTTACTCTAATATTCTATATTTAATAATGAGTAAGAGCTAATAAACCATTTGATTGACTCTTTGCTTCGAATGATTTCAATCTCTTTAACTTTTCCATTTCGTTTCTGTTGATTTCATCGTCGATAAAAGCTAGTCTTTGTCTGACTCTGTTCAAGTCTTGGACAAGTTGGGCTTCTTCGTGTTTTAGGTTAACTTGTTCTTGTTGGTATGCAATGAGTTGAGTGCGGTTGGCATCGTTGATTTCGTCCAACTCTTGTTTAAGCGAGAGAAGAATCTTTGTCTTGGATTCAATATCTCTTAATTGTTGATCGATCGAACGTGAAATGGTGCCAACAATTTGTTCGGGGTGCAATTGTTGCTGTTGTTGTTGATGGTTTTGCATAATGATAAAGTGATCGGGTGATTGGTGTTGTGATTGTTCATAGGTAAATTGTTGAATGGTTTGTGTAAAGTGGAATGGTTGTTGTTGTGGTGGTTGTAATTGTTGGTGGCTATTGTTATTGCCACCTGTCTGCTGCTGCTGCTTTTGAGTAGTTGCAACAAAACGTGTCTCTTCAACAACCTTTACCTTCTTTTTAATAACATCACTCCAACTTGTTGGTTTATCTAGTACAAACGAAAAAAAGAATGTAAAATGGTAAGTAAAGATAAACATATATACATATATATTGTATTAAGTGTATTATTAGTTTACCTTCAATCAAAGTATCCAAAGCCTTTTGTTTATCGTTATCATTGGCTTCAAGTGCCTTTCTGATATCAATCTCTTCAATTTTTGGTAATACTTCTTTAATCTCTGATACTGCCTTTACAGTCTCATCAACTGGTTCCTTTTTCTTGTTATTACCACCTCCATTTCTCTTGTTATTGTTGTTGTTGTTATTTCTGTTGTTTCCATTGTTATTGTTGTTGTTGTTATTATTTTTTCCGTTTGATTGTTGTTGTTGTTGCTTCTTTCCACCATTTGATTGTTGTTGAGTGTTAAAAGTAACAGTCTTCTTTTCTATTTTTCATCAACAGAGATAGATATATTAAATGTGTCAGTACTAACTAGTTAATCATCACCTCACTTCACTACATACCCTTTTGTTGTTGAGTGCTCATTTTCAATATAAGTTATAGATATAATATGTGTGATTGATTGATTGATTGAGTAAAGAAAGAAAATTACGATATCTTTGAAGAAGATAGACAAAAAAAAAGATGAGAAAAAAATAGATTGTTAAAGGGAAAAGACATCCTTTGTCATCTTTTAATTAATTTCATCGAGTTTTCGATCAGTTGGTTGGATCTTTTCAAGAATATCTCTATCCCCCAAATATCGATATGTTTGTATTATCGGTCTCGATAAATAAAAGTAAAATCATATAATTTGATAATAAAATAGTTATTAAAATAAAATTAAATTAAAAAAACTAAAATCTAATTTCTAAGTATAATAAAAATCTGATGTGGTTGGGTTTCGAAGAAGTGTACCAGCAAAGTCAACTCTCATTTCCCTCCATTTTTTTACTCTGTTTGGTTGTTATTACTACAAGTTTAGTTATTTGTTAAACAAATAAACAAACAAATAAGAAAGAAGAATGATATCAGCTGAAAGTTATGCAGAGTTAAGACAACAGATCGAGTATAGCAAGTCAAACAGATCGTCGTGTAAAGGATGTAAAAAGACGATTGCATGTGACGATATGAGAGTTGGTCATGAAACAAAGAGTAGACTATTCGATGGTTATCAAGTTGCTTGGTATCATTTGAAATGTGCCAAGTTCTCTCAATGGGGAGTCACCACTGCCACACAATTAAAACACATAGAGTTGCTTCGTTGGAACGATTACATCAAGGTAAAGGAACTCTTAAATGATCAAACTCCAATTGATAATGCTTTAGAGAAACAAAATGTATGTATAAATAAATACAAATCATTGATGTAGTCATGTGATTACTAATCGATCGACCTTTTAACTTTTTAATTTTTAGTACAACAATGATGTTATGGCAATCAAGGATAAACTTGATTTGAAATTGGCCGGTCAAAAGGTTGTGTATAGTGCCAACTATTGTTTGGAAGGTTTGTCACCTGCGTCTGTCATTCATGCCGTTGCCGATGGTTTGGCTTATGGCAGAATAGGTCCATGTCCAACTTGTAACAATCTCTCTGTTCAATATGATGGTACTCATTATTATTGTCGTGGTTGGGTTACAATGTAAATTAGATAACAATCATTAGAATTTATTTATATTTATACTAATTGATTTATTTATTTTTTTTAAATTTAATTTTAGTTTTACCAAATGTGATTGGAGAGGATCAAGTATTAAAAGATATAGATTTACTATTCCAAAGGTACCATCAAAATATCTTGCAGGGTTTGAATATTCTCATAGCCATCCATACGAGTTGTTGACTGATTATGTTGCACCGGCTACCTCTTCTTCCACTGCTCCATCTTCTGCCAAGGAAAAGAAAGCAATACCAAAAAAGAAGAAAATAGAAGATGATGAAGAATTTAGTGGATCTGAAGATGATGATAATAGTGCAGAGGATGAGGTGGATAATACTCCAGTCATCAAGAGACCAATGCCACCAAAGGGATCTGCTTACCTCAAGATTGATGAAGCATACAAGGGTAAAGGAGAGATTGCCATTGAAGATTCACCAATCTTTGGATTTACACCATACAATGTATCACTTGTCTACACTGATATGATCTATGGTACCAATAGCTTTTACAAAATGTCAATCATCAAGGTGACCAATTCAAAGTTTGTACTCTTTAGAAAATGGGGTAGAATCGGTACATCAGTTGGTGGTGACACCCAACACAGTCACGACTCGTTGGCTGATGCTCTTGCACAGTGGTGCGAAGTGTTTGTAGACAAGTGTGGATACCAATGGACCGACAGACACAAGAACCGTAACACCAAGTTACCAGGCAAGAGTTTTATGGTTGATTTGGAAGAAGATCATGACCAACCATCTGGATCATCCTCCACTACTGCCGACTCTGACAGTTTCTCACGTGATAGTGACAAGTTGCCAGCTGAGACACAGACATTACTCAAGTTATTGTTTGACTTTTCGAGTATTCGTGAACGTCTTGCTTTGATGAAATTTGATACTCGTAAGATGCCACTTGGAAAGATTTCTCGTACCCAAATCAAGGCTGGATACTCTACATTGACTGAAATCCAAGATATCCTTTCTCAAGAGACCGTCGTTAGATCCAAGTTGATCGACGCATCCAACCGCTTTTACACACTCATTCCACACGACTTTGGATACAGTGTACCACCCATCATTGACAATATCCAACTACTCAAGGAAAAGATTAGAATGGTCGACACGATCGACGATGTTGAAGTCGCCAACAACCTCAAGAAACTGTGTCTCCAAGCCGGTAACTCTATGGACACTAGCTATGACGCACTCAAGTGTAACATCGAACCTGTCGATCCCGACTCTTATGTCTATTCGTATTTACGTGAGTTGGTACTCTCTACCAACGACTCGCCACAAGGTATCGCCATCAAGCACATCTTCCAAGTCGATCGTCAAGGAGAAGCAGAACGTTACCAACAATGGGATCACAATGCCAACAAACAACTCTTGTTCCATGGATCACGTACCCAAAACTTTATCGGTATTCTTGGACAAGGTCTCAAGATTGCTCCACCCGAAGCACCAAAAACAGGTTATCGTTTCGGTAAGGGTGTCTATTTTGCCGATTGTGTCAGTGTGTCGAATGGATATTGTGGTGCCACTCCCAACTATCCCTACACTATTGTTGCTCTTGCTGAAGTCGCACTTGGTACATCTGAATCGTGTCACATCGATACCTATATGGAAACTGCTGGTTTTGGTTATCAATCCACCAAGGCTATCGGTGAAAGAACACCAGCCCTCTATGATAATTTCCAAGATACCAGTGTACTTCGTGGACCCGTCGTTGCCAATGGTCTCACTACCAGTTGTACTCACAATGAATATGTCATCTATGATACAACTCAAGTTAGATTAAAATATTTACTTTTAATTGAAAATCAATTTAACAACTAAAATCCAAATCACAAACAAACAAATTAATAATAATAGATAAATATATAAATAGATAGTTATAATTATAAGAAATTATAATCCCACAAATTTTGTATTCAACAATATAATAATTAAATAATAAATAAATGAACAATGTAAAGAGAAAATAAATTTATTTGATCAAAATATATTTGTTTGTTTGTTTTGGAGAGAGAAAGAAGGTTATGATCTATAACTGATCTGTCTACTAATTTTGTTTGTTGTTAAAAAAAATAAATATATATGCGCGTGTTTGTTTGTTGTTACGAATCTGTAAAAGATGATGAAATATAAACTGGATAGGAAGGTAATAAATGATGTTTCTTGACATTTCTATTTTTGATAAATATACTATTAATAATGACCAATGCAATAATAAACAATACACACAGCGTCATTAGAATGACAGAGGTGACTGAGAATTTATCTGCTCCAAACCAATTAACACGTTGATAATGATCTTTTTGATAAACACAACTTGATGTTTCATTTGACTATTGGAATAAAATTAATCAATTAGAATGAAAGATCATAAATTGACTGAATCAAAATACATACTTTAAATGCAGATAAATAACCTAAAACCCATTTAAAATTGGTATTCCAAGTTCCAGAAATATTTGAAGAATAGGTTTGATTATCTATTACATAACTAACTTCATATAGTCCTTGGTAACATATTGTTTGATCACTACTACTATCGCTTGAACTACTACTACTACTACTATTACTACTACCACTATCGCTACTAGTAGTATTGGTATTATTATTTGTTCCATTATTATTGATGGCATTGTTAAAGAAATTAAAGTTTTGATGTTGTTGAGAATCTTGATGTATAGTTGAAAATATAGTTGGTTTGGGACGATGATCATAATAATCACTATCACCATGTGAGACTACATGATGATAGAATGCATTCTGACCCAAGATATGGTACCACCAAATCTGTGAATCTAAATCAGCACAATCATAGTCATAGCTTTGTATTGTCATGTTGATAAGATGTTTATTTACATAACAATCGATTGGTATAAACTCTTTACCTAGTTTAATCTAAATATAGAAATACTTTTAGTAAGTGTCAAATGATCAAAAGAAGCTTTGTTTAACATACACTTGGAAGTAGGTTTAAGAATAGAATAATAAGTATTGACGCAACTGCCAACAAGGTCATAAACGATAATAGATAGATAATAATAATATTTCTCGAATGTTTTGTGTATCTTGCCAACAATGGTGTTGACGTTGATGATTTCATTTGTTTGTTGATGTGATCAACGATGATGTTTGATCGATCGTTTACACCTTCTATCTATATATTTATCTATTTATCTATAAATATGAATAGTAGTAAGTTGTATTGTATTCTTTACTTTATTTATTAATACTTTAGAAAGCTTTGCTCATCTCACGTAAGTAAACAAATTTGTAAAACAACGAAATTCGGAAGAATGCAAGTCTTTTTTTTTGCAAAGACACAAAAATTTTATTGTTTTATTATTAATATCTAGATTGATTATCTATGTGATGATAGATGTCTAGATGTGTCTATTATAATAAATATACATGTTTTATTTATTTGTTTAAACTTGTTGTTGTCAGATTGTTATATAATATACAAAGGTGGGGGATTTAGAATTTTTCAGTAAATGGTCTAAGATCAAGTTCTTGTGTCCAAGTAGTCTTGTCTTGTTGATATAAAGCAAAATAATTGTTGGCAACTACAATTAATTGAATTGGTGTGAATGAATTAGTTAGTTATCAAAGTTTGTTATTATTAAAATATTATTAATATTGCTTGTGTTGTTTGGTTGACATACTTTCATCTGGATTTAAAAAGGAATCTTTTGGTCTTGTTGAATAGTCACGATTAATGTCAACTTGACCATCGATAATAACGTGTGCAACGTGAATTCCTTGAGGCGATAGTTCACGTGCCAATGATTGACTCAATGCACGTAGGGCGGCCTTACCCGATGCAAAGGCTGAAAAATTTGCACCACCTCTTAAACTGGCTGTGGCACCGGTCACCAAGATGGTACCTTGTTTTCTATCGATCATACTTGGGATGACTTGTTTGGTGGTGAGGAAACCTCCCAAACAACAACTCTTCCATGTGTTTTCAAAGTCTTGAGCAGAGAGTGTATGGAGTGGTCCGTACTTGAATCCCGATACATTGTAGACGAGTACATCGATGGGTCCGAGTTGCGATGAAATCTCTTTAAAGCCTTGCTCGACCGACTTTTCATCAGACGTGTCCATCGACACTGTTATACCATTACCACCCTCCTTTTTAATATCATCCAAGTATCCATCCAACTTTGACTTGTTTCTAGATACCAATGCAACCTTGAATCCTTCCTTTGCAAACTTTCTAGAAACTGATAACCCAATACCAGGTCCTACTCCAATAATAGCTGCTACTAAATTCTTTGACATTTTTTAATTAATTATTTATATATATATTTGATGATCGATTTTATACTTCATCATTGCTATGGTTTTTTTCCTTTTGTGAACATACAAACAAATTAAATTAATTTTTTAATTTTTGTTTTTTTTTTATGTGGAACCGCGTTCTATTCTAGAAGAAATAGCTAAGTATATTATTATGTCATACTAGTACACTCAAAGACAACAACTAAAACTTATGTATTCATGATATCTTCTTCTTTATCTTCATCTTCTTCTTGCAATCATAATGATGACAATAGTAGTAGGCTTGTTCAAATTAGACTAGTATGGGTATTGAGTAATCAATACCTAAGAACTAAAATATTTGAATATGTCAGATGGATTCATAGAGGGTTTGAAATAGACCGATCTGCATCAAGACACAAAGAAGAGAATATTAAAAAGTACTATTACTTTTGTAATCCAAAGAGCAATGCCCAACTAGAGAGTGGTGGTCAATCACTTACTGAAATGCTTTGTTATGGTCGTGGAGACCTCTTTATCAAGTACTTGCCAAAGTATCTGGAAATAGTACCAAAAGATGAAGCTAGAAAGGCAATGCATCATTTTTGGCAATTGGCAATTGCTCGTGTGGCCAGTGTCACTGTGTTGAGGTGTATCATGACTAGTGAATTAATCTATTTGGATACTCATCAATCACTTCGAACATTGTCACAATGTGTTCATCGGTATTACAAAAAAGTACCAAACAAAGACTTTCAAAGGTTGGTTGAATTTATTGGTCTATTATTGGAACTGAAATTAAAGTACACCAATGCATTGGTATATCAACAATCAATATTTAATTAAATTATTATTTAAATTTTCAACAAAATTATTAAATCATCAAATAATAATAGACTTTATTAATCAACAAGAAAAACAAGAAAAACAACAACAACAACCATCGACTACATCATCATCCACTTCTTCTTCATCTTCTTCATTAAAATTAATTCAAATATTTGAAAAATATAATATAATTAATATAAAATGGAAGGATGTATGGTTTAATGCTGTTACAGTAAAAGATTATCAAGTTTTGGATTATGCAACTGATCGTTTAAAGAGTGCTACGGTGATCACTGCAAAGATGGTTAATTATATTATAAAGTATGGTGATTTACAATTGTTAAAGAGGTTGTTATTAAAGTATACCCTTACAAAAGACCAGAATACCATTCACACTATACTACATTCCAAACTTGCAAGCCAACATGCAAAAGAGTATATAGACACTCTTTTCGCGTTGAATCATCCAAGGTTGGCTCAAAATAATTGTTTTGGTAACCATATTAGATCAATTGACTATAAAATATTGACAACCGACCTTTTGGATTTGGTTCTAAACCCTTACCCCGACCCAACCGACCTTTGGGCACATGTCAATGTAGGATTAGTTCGGTCATTTGCGCGCTCTTCAATCGAGTTGTTAGAGTACTATCTAGATTTGACAAAAGATAAGTATGTTGACCACGATTGGAGCCAACTACTCAACGAAACACTCAAATATGGCAATGAAGAGATGTTTGGATGGGTATTGACTCATCATAATGCATACCCTTTTAAAATAGAGTATATCCCCAGTGGAGCACACAACGATTGTGATGACCAGGTAGTGGCAAAATACATGAAGATGGTTTGGAGTGTGTTTGAAAAAGCATCGAATTTACAATTTGATACGATTGATATTTGTCCATTCCTCAGTCACCCACACCCCATCATGTGGCAAATACTCGACATACTCGGTACCTTTTTCAACAAGACTACCCACAGTTATTTCAACGGCTACCGTATTCTAGAGGCTGCAGCATTACACTCTTTAGAGATTTATCAAAAGACGACCAATCTATTTGCTAATCAGTCTAGATTAATCCGACCAAACTGTCTCATTGCCAAAAGCATCGCCAATGGTAACCAAGCCCAACTGCTCGAGATGATCTGGCACTCAAATGAATCTCATTGGGAAGAAATCATCAAACTTTGTTTTCAATTGGCACTTGACAAACTCGACCGAATCAATCGACAAATCATCCGACACTACTATGAACCAGCAGCACAAGTACAATTAAAACAGGCACTTTGTGAAAGAAAAGCTACCATGACCTTGTTTCCAGTGATTTTCAATCATCTAGTACCTGGCAAGGAGGTTTGTAGATTCATTCATATACCCTATACTATTGAAGTGGAATCTGTTGAAAATCTATTCAACGATCCATCCGAAAATGATAAATCATTTTGGTCAATGTTTATAGAGTACCTTGACAGTAAATTCAGGATTATAAACTCTGAACAATTGCTAGATTTCATTCTATACTCTTCCAGTTCCATCATCAGACGATATGCACTCAGTCGCACTGTAAACCCAAATCAATGGGATACAACCCGAAAGGGGACCTATCGATACCTTTTCGTTTCTGGTCTGTATCATTGCATCAAATCAAATTATATAGAATCCGCCAGTTTTTTCACATTCGATCATATGGTCCCTGAACTCGTCCATTTAATCGACATGTCTAGGAAATTGGGTCATATCAAAATGATTAATCTACTTTCCGTTGCACAATTAAGAATATTAACTTTAAATAAAAATAATAAAACATAAAAAAAAATAATAATATAATAACAATAATGATAATTTTAGAATTAAATCACCAATAAGAGTAAATAATACAAAGGACTCAGTTATAAATTATTGTTTTCTAGTTTATCTTGGATTTATTTATAAATTTCTTTGAACATCACAGATACTGTTTGTACACTCCTTTTTTTCCCGAACTGATATTTTTTCACTGATGTGCATTTGCGGTATGTGGAGTAGTATTGCTAAAAGAGATATACATCTATATAGATAATGATTGATATCTAGTATAAAAGTATGATTGTTATGACCAAGTGACGATCTTATTCACCTAGCTAACAGCTGTGCAGTGCAGTTCAAAGATGAATTTTATAATTATAATTTTTTGGTTATGATTGGATTCTTAATCAAGTGAAAGGCTCATCTATCATCTATTCATTTGATATATTCCAATCCCTCAAAGAGATAGATATAAAAACAAAAGAAAAATAGAATTAAATAATCAATGTAAGTTAACATGGCAAGAAATAGTAGTAGTAGTAGTTTAACATGTATCATGATACTAATATATTCTGTTCTTAGTTTTTTAAATGATCACCTCTTCTCCTTTATCTTCTCCATTAGAGAGGACATTATTTTCAAAAGTATTCAAAGATGAAAAGTTGACGGATCTAATATTTAAACATGTTAGAGTGCTTACTAGAGACACTATCAGAGAAACAGTAAGATACCCTACTCGCTACCTTCTTCAATTTATCAAAAAACATGATCAACATGTCGGGTGGCTGACAGATGAAAAGAGTGTAAAGATTTTGGAGGATCGTATCAGAGTGGATGTACAATCATTGTACCCAAGTTGCCCAGAGGTTGATGAATTTTGCAAGAGCAGTATTACTCAAAACTATGACCTCTTTAAGATGGTGTATGATCATCGTCCCGAACTATTCGCGAACGGTGATATATTGGACAACGTTGCTGCCAAGGGATGTGTAGAGACGTTCAAGATGTTGGAGAGACAAACCACACCCATTCAGCTGACCTGCACAGCCGCAGCATTGTCAGCGGCATTGTCAAATGCCAATTGGCCAATGGTCGATTACCTCATCGACAATAGAACCGAGGGATGTCCATTTGATGTGATGGCTAGCATTTTGACAAACGGGTCTACACTACCATCTGATAAATGCAAAGCTATTCAAATCGTCGATGACTACATCCATGAAAATAGTCGTCCCAATCTCGTATTGGAACCAAGTGCATGGAAGTATGTCAACTCTATTGAATTGGCTCGATCACTTGCTCGACCCAATCAACTTCCCATTGCCAAGCTTTCAGTTGACGACTATCTATACGATCTCTTGTCTCTCAAAGCCAGTCGATTCTTTCAGTTTGAAAACGTCCGTCACCATTTCATCACGGTTCAATTGGATATTGTCTATTATTTCATGGTCAATGTAATGCACTACAGTTTCCTCTCATACCAACAACTAGAAGATATCAAATCACAATTCAAAGACGTCCAATTCATTAACCGTCAAACAAAAATATATCCAATGAAATTAAAGAATAACCATTTTCAACAAGAAGAATCAGAAATTGAAAAGATGACTAAAAAGTATGAAACAATGGATGATCAAGAATTGGACAAATGGAATACTTTTATTGCATTTAAAATCATATTGATCGAGGTTATATCTGCAATGAAGTTGACAATTATAGACTTGGACCTAGCATTTATCAATGCTATATTATCATTGACAAAGACTGGATCAACTGTTATCATGCCAATACTATTCTCAAACTACTACAAAAAGAGTATTAGTACTTCTCGCCTCACGACACAAAGACCTACACTTTTCGATTTGATTTGTAAAAGATGTACTTTGGATCAAGCCAAAGCTGCCTATTCTATGGTTCAAGAGTATAGAAATGACGAATTATTGCAATGGGCATTACACAAAGGCTCCGAACCCAACTTTATCACTGCAAGATCGGCAACCTATTTGGCAGAGTTAAACAATTTAGAGGTGTTAAAGTATTTAGATGAGGTTAGTGAATCTAATCTCGCTCAATTTCACTTGGAACACTCACAATTCAACTACAACCCAAAAACAACTCGGTATCTCCTCGAAACAAGACCAAACAGTCTCCTTCCTCACTACTCTTATCAAAAGGCCCTAGAAACTTTTGATTTGGAATTTATCAATTGGTTTGATAACTTTGTTCAACAAAACCAGTCAATCATTGATGCATTCAAAAAGAAAGAAAATGGTTTTCAAAGAAATGATTATCCAATCATATTGTCAAGGGAAATTATTTCAAATATTTTCACAAAATTAAATGGAAATCAAAAAAAAATCATTGATTTATTGGATTATATCATCAACAAATACAATATTACCAACAAAAGTCTAGACATTGCAACTGGAATATTCGAGTCTGAAGATATCGTTTATAATTTAATGTCAGAATGTTGTGAACAAGGAAATTTAGAAATATTTAAATGGTTGGAAATGAAATTAAATCTATCACCTCAATCAAAGATTCAACAACCAGAGAGAATAGCAACAACTATATTTGATGATGCATACCTAACTGGATTGAATGATGATTTGGTTGAATATCTTATTGAAAATCGATTCGAAGGTTTTGGTCAAGAATCTTGGAAATATGTTGGTGAGAGTGGTGACAAAAAACAATTACAACGAATGATTCGTGGAACAAATCAACAACAACACAATCAACTTTTAAATACAATAGCTGCATTTGCAATTCGAAATGGAAACATGAAAATATTAAATCAAAATAATAATAATATTATTCCACAACAAACCATCGTGCTCAATTTAACAAATTATAATATAAAGCATACAATTAAAAAGGGAGTTGAACCAATCATTAAAATGTATCTTCAACATGCAACAATCGATGAAATGGAATCGATTTTACAACAATCATTAAGATTATACCAACCAACATGCACCAAATTAATTCATCAAGAATTAATTCGACAACAAAAAGAACAATCCATTCAACCATATCAACTCGATCAAAGAGACCAACTATTTTTAATTTGGAGAGAAAATATTCCCTTGTTGGAATACTTTATTCAACAAGAAAGTATGGATCCAAAATCAATCGACAAAAAACATTTTAGTCGTCTAAACACTCCAGAATTGAGAGATCATATGTATCAATACCTACTCGATCGAGGATTCAACTCTTCCAAGTTTCAACCATGGTCACAAGTCCGACTCAAATCAGTCTCTTTACAATTCAACCGAGCCAAAAAAGGAGAAAAGACACAATTGATCAATCAAGAAACCATTCGATTAGTATTTGGTAACAAATATATTTTGCGAAAGATTCTTAGAGAGACAAGATTCACAGAGTCTGGGTACAGAGTTCCAATGCCAATGGATCTCCGTTTGGATCTCACATGGCTTGTATCAAATGGTGGATCCAATTGGATCAAATATCTGATTCGTCGAAAAGAACCACTTCATGTCAGCCCCAAGGCAGTCAGCTCTCTTTTCCAAGTCTCTGATGCGGAGCTCTTTCAACTTGTCTATGACAATTATCGGTCATCCTTTATTTGTATTCCTGGCCCACCTCTTTTTGACTATTCCGTTTATATTCAAGAACAACTATTAAAACAGGTCGATCCATTTCCCTTTTTACCTTTTCCCCAAACACATACCTACTATCATTACCATTTTCCAGCTTTGCCTGGTTTATTTGACCAAGAGGTAATGGAAAAGGAACTAGACAATTTAATCCAAAAGAATCGATCAGAAAAGTCAGACCGACAAGGATATGACAATGTATTTTCCTACAGTCAAACAGAAAGAGTTTCAGTGAATGACCAAGAAGAATTTGATATTGAAAACATTGACGACATTCATTATTGGCACCATCATGTAAACTTGGACCAACTAGACACAAAATCTGAATGTTTACTGGACCGTATGGAGAGCATTCTCGGAAAACAAGATATTATTCTAGTCAATTTTATTCATCGAAACCGAACAGAATCCTTTACCACTCAAAACCTGGAACAAATTCAAGATTTCACCGTTCTCCGTTTTATTCGACATTGTCTTCCAGACCTGCTGGAAATAGGATCCCCTCTTTATGACAATGCAATCATTGATCGATGGGATCTGATCGCAAACGAACTTTATCATACATCAGACTTGGAATGCACCCCCAACGCATACAACTGCCAGGATCGATTGCAATTTCTATACTACGATCTCCAAGTTCCCTTTGACTCGGAACTCTACCATCCAGTCGACACTCCTTCCCTTGCCAATATCAAATTCCTCATTTATATTGGATTGGATATCGAAAAGGCTTTGGATGTAACAATTGATAACCAATGTGTCAATTATATTTTAAAACAACACAAAAAACAGCAACTCCAACTCGTCGATGGGAACAACCCGTCTCTCTTTAGGTACGACCCTATTTTTATCTATGGTTTGATCCCGTCCCATTGCTTTTCACAAGATATCAACATTCAGATCATGGAAACTGGCCTACGTGACAATCGAGAAAACTTTATCAACGATTCACTCTACCAAGGTGGTATAATGGATAAACCTATTCTAGATTACCTACACAAACATGGAGTTCCTTTTAGGAAAAACCTCATAGAATGCCTTTTGGACAATGTCGACGAACGACTCAATGACATTGAAGCATGTCACTTTTCCAAAGAACAAACGATCCGTTGTTTTTCCTATGACAATTACCAACACCTTGATACCACCCGTTTCATGAAAGTCTATTCAAAACAATTTGTTCTTTGCCAGGCACCAATATCAAGTTCACTTTTTGATGAGTTGGACCTCAATGCTATTCAATATTACGACTTTTTATTCGAATTCAACCGCCGTGATTGCTTCAAATTCCTCATTGACAGGTTGCAAAAAAAGGGAATGGATAACAAAATAGTAACAGCCAGAATCGAATCGATGTTTTATCACACTGCTATCACCCCATACCTCCAGACTTGCTCAACTGTAATGCTTGACCACTGTTTGCAATTGATCACCAATCTTTCAAACAAAATATTACCACAAAACAAGATGGAACGCGTATATTCGGAATTTCTCATAGAGACAGATGAGACATCGGCTAGATTTGATCAAGCAATGGTCATAGCAAAGTATTTTAGTATTAGCTTTGAAAATATTCTAAAGAATTTCAAATTTAGAATATCATTTCATACTGCTGTCTTTCTTGCCAACTCTCTCAACATTTCAGCGTCAATGTTTGATGGTCCACTATTTTCTCTCCTTTCTCAAAAACAAAAGGACTTTTTAAAAAATATAAAAAAATTTTAATTAATAAATAACCAAGTAAAACTTTTAACATTTATATATTTATCTATTTATTGTTGTTGAAGTGATTGTAATTTTGCATTAAAAGATTTTTTTTGAGCTTTTAATAGTCTTTGCTTTTTGATTAAAATGGTAGTTGCGATGGCAATAGAGATTGCTCCAAAAACTCCAATCACCACTCCAACAATGATTTTCCAATTATTATTCTTTTCACATCCTTGATCGTTGCTCTTGTCGATGAGTAATGGTGTAAAGTCTGGATCAAGAGAACACAGTTGACATTGAGGCAAAGAAATGCCAATCAAAGCAACAGAGTCCATTTCTGAAATGGATAGAACCTCGGTTTTTGAATAGCTTGGCCGGCCATTGGCAAGCACATAGTCTAAGAATCTACCATTAAATTGAACATTTTCTTTGACCACACGAAGGTATTCGAGTGTTGATGTCAACTCATCATATGATACTGGTTCAATTGGAATTTGTTGGCAGTCATATGAAATGGTTTGGTCGATTTGGATAATGGTTTTAAATACAACTCGAAGAGTAGCCAAGTTGGAAGAGAATTGCCAATTGTTAATATCCAAAGATAGTTTGATAGAGTTTGGGTTGATTAATAGTTGTTGTGGACCAAACTGGATGGTTCTTTGGTCTCGAGAGAAACTAATAATGGCCGATATATTAGTGTCGGCCAACAGTACTGTATCATTTGGTATAACCAATTGATAGTTTGCAATGGTCAAACTATCATTACTAAAAACGTTTGAAATCCAACTATCTGTAGGCAATTCTTTTAAAATCTGATCATCCATTCCCAATTCTTGAATTGATACAATTTCAAAATTAAAATCAACATTGTCAATTAAAAATGATGCAATTGGTTTTGTTGAATTTATAACTGGTAATGTAGTATTTATATCTAAAAAAAAAAATTCAAAATTAATAAATAAATTATAATATAATAATAATTTTACATACATTTAGTTTTACAATTATCATCTTGATTATATCCATCAAAACATATACATTGACCATTATTATTACAATTTCCATGACCAAAACATTCAAATGTTAACTCTTGACATTGATCAAAAGGTGATGTAGGAGTTGAACTAGTTGTAGTAGTAGTAGTAGTAGGAGTTGAACTAGTAGTTGAACTAGTAGTTGTAGAAGGATTGCTTGGATTTTTAAAATTGATAAAGTTTAATTTATAAAATCCCAATGTTGTGGTTGAATTGAAAAAGAGTGTAATGTTTAATGAAGCCAAACCAAATGCTGGAGATTCAACAAGCGTACAATTAATTAAACTTTGTGAAGCAAATTCAACAAGACAATTAATCTTATTGATAGATATAATGATCCCATCTTGACCATTTAACCCATAATCTCCGTACAATGTTATATTTTTATATTTATTTTCATTATAATAAACTGAATAGGTTGTTGGATATGCTACAATAAAAAAAAAATTGATAAACATTTAAATTATAAAAAATCATTATTATTATTTTTTCTTTTTTTACATACGAATAGAACAATTATTATAAAAACCAAGAGTATTACAAACACATAGACCAATATTGCTACATTGACCATTTCCATGACAACCTCTAGTGTCACTAGTACATTGATCTTTGAGTGAAAGAATTTCAAATGATTGGGTATTGTTGAAACCATCGACACTAACTGTAATGTCAATCATACCACTTGGTAAATCAGTTTGTAATGTACAAAATAAATTATTTCCGGTTGGTATTTGATCCAATTGACATTGAATGGGTTGACCTTGGAGAGGATTTCTAAAGGTGACCAAAACGTTGGTCAAGCTACCAAAGTCTCCAGTTAATTTAAAGGAAGAGTTGTTGGTAACGATAGTTGTATCATTTGTATGATCGTTGATTGCGTTGATTAGAGGGTATTGTTGGATAAAGGATGATTCAACCGTAACCGAGTTGTAAGTGTTGGAAATGGTAAAATTGTATTTTTTACGAGCGTCCAACTTTTTGGAGTCTATTTTACACAATACATTGTATGGGTAGATTACTATTCTATCACATTGAATGTTATTGTCAATATTTACAGAGTATATCAAATCAATGTTGACAACTTTAAGTGTAAAATTGAATACTGCCAATCCACTTGACTCTTGTTGTATTGTAGTTTCTACAAATTCAACACCAACCTCCGTAAGAGAAAATATAAATGCTTGACCACCACTTTTAAATGATATTGATACATTTTGTTTTGCTCCATTTATATATCCTGGGTATGTTAAACTAAATTAAAATAAATTAAAATAAATTAATTAATATAAATAAATATTTAATATTTAAAACAAACCTTAGATTCTTGTTTGGAATGTTGTATTGTAATTCATAACTTGGAAGATTATAATATTTCCAACCTAATCCATTCCCAATTATATTTGTTACTCCATTAACTGTTATCAATTCTTGTGAATCCAATGTAATATCTTTTTTAAAAAAAAAATTTTTAGTTTTAAGCTGCTTATTGTTTTTACAAGTACATACCACAATTAAGAACCGGTGGTTTTGTTAAACTAGATGAAAAAGAGGCACCTTGATATTCATAACACCAAAAACAATCAGGGATAGATGTGATTCCTGTATTATAGACATAAAGGGTGTCGGCAATGCACATACTGTCAGGTACATCTCCTGTCACTCCCATATTATTGGCCAATCCTACTTTCATTCCAGTCTTTTCAAATCTACTCCATGGAATGGTCCCAGTCAATAGATTATTTGTTAAATCAAATGACAAAAGGCTTGGTGGAAAGTCTGGTGTTACTGGAATGCTTTCGAAATTTGAAAACATAGCTGTACTATAAATAAATAAAAAATACACCTAATATTAGTCTTTATAAAAGAATATAATAAATTATTATTATTATTATTTAATCTTACAATTCAACTAGTTTTGGAGGAAACGATGAAAAAGGAAATTCTGTGAGACTTGCATAACGCATAGTTCTAAAATAATAATAATAAAAATAAATCAGTTTGGGTATAAAGTAAATATCATATATATATATATTTTTGTACTTACAACTTCTCCAATGATAAGAATTCTTCGAGTGTAGGTGTAACAGAAGCTTTATATCCATCTAATTTTCTATATATATAAAGAGAAAAAAAAGGTTTTGTTAGTAATTAATTATTTTCAATTGTATAAGAAGCGCTTATTGAATGCAACTTACAAATCCTTCATTTGAGATACATTTGTAAAAGTGGTAGTGTAAGAAACACTAAGATCGGTTGTAGTGGCAGCTAAAAGCTCTAAATTTGGAATATCAATGTTTAATGTATAATTTTTGTTGATTGAACTAAACTCTCTATAAATAAAGTTAGAAATCTGTTTCTGCTATCAATAACGTATATAATGAATTTACTTACATCTGAGTTAATTTGGGAAAAGAGGATTTGGAGATGGTTAATGGACCAGTTATAGAGTCAACAACTAATTGTAGTCTGACCATTTGTGGAAGGTAAAGACTATTGTCTATAGTAAATTCTATGGGTGGTGTATTTTGAATGATACCTATTGTTAATAGATTGGTTCCATTAAAGAAATTTGGAATAGTCGATATAAAACAGTTCAACAATGAAAGTTCTTCAAGTGCTTGATTTGGGAATCCAGATGGAATTGTAGTTATACCAAGATCTTTTCCAAAACTAAAAAAGAATAAATAAATAAATAAATAAATATAAAATATTAATTTTTATACATACTAAATAGTTTTTAACTTTGGGGTATCTTTAAGTAGTCCAAGAATATTAATAGAGGTATCGGTAGTGTTGAAAATATTGACATATAACTGTGTCAGTTCTGGGAATGCCAGTGATGTCAAAGTTGTAGATGGTTGTCCAACAAATGCATATTCAGAAACAAGAATAATACTATAATTTAAATAATAATGTAAATACAATTTAGTATTCATTGAGTAGAGATCTGATGATGGCGAAAAAAAAAACATACATTGATGTAAAATGTAATACCGATCCATTATTAAATGGTTGACACTGGAATCTGGGATATGAACAAACTGATTGATCTTGAGGTGCAGCTAAACCATACTGTTGGATAATAAAAATAATTGAATCAACTACATATACAGACAAGTAATTAGTATAACTACCCATTGGTTTTGGTTTCCAAACTTTGTCAAAAAAACTTACGTTCTTCTTGAGGTAGAAATGGTTGAGCCGAGACCTGATTGTTGGATGTGTCTGTTAAAAATAATATTGTACTCAAACAAATAAAGAGATAGATATAATTTTTCATCTTGCTTTGTTGTTGAATATTATGTGTATGTATAGACTCTTGAAACAACGTTGTTGTTTCGTCACTTCCTCTTTGTCTTGGTTGATCGATAATAAACCAAACCCAATAAATTCGTAAAAACCCTTTGCAAACAAGAGTAGGGCCAGGTCATTAGACCATGTGTGGTGTAGTTCACTGGTACAAAGTCATTTGTCGTCGATGTACATCAAACCGACGTTCGATTCACACTTCGTCGTCGTTTCATTTCAGATAATATCTTGGTTATCCTATTCACATGATAAATATCTGGTGTCAAAATATCGGTTTGCAAGATATTATGTCCTCGAGTTCGACGTCAAACCCTTGTTTGGTTTGGAAACTAAACGGACCGTGGCCCATGCGTTGCATTATAAGAGACAATGATGTTGACGATTGTGTCGGTATTATCGTTGGTTCTTTTCAAACACTAAGAATTCTTAAGAAGAGCATGCTTTTGATAGTAAGATAGTATCGGCAAAGGTGTTTGATAAAGTTGATTTGACCTTGAATGAATGGTTTGGTTTGATTAATGCCCTCATTATCTGATACCTGTTTGTTGATTGGGTGTTGGACGTATCAAATTTACACTTCACATTCTTATTCTTGAATGTGAACATAATATTATCTTCTTTTGACCTATACTTTCTCTACCTTTACTACTCTTGAATCGACTTGTGCTATTCTCCTTAATACAACTAGTACTATGGTAAGTACTATTAACAATATTACAAAAGGATAATTATTATTATTATTATCTTTGTTAAAAAAATTTTTAGTTTGAAAGTTCAGTGTTTTAGTCGTTTCTCAAAAGACATCATCATTACTCTCAGATGATTGAGTGATAGATATTAATTATATATTAAAGTAGTAGTAACAACAAATCAATCAACCAACCAACTCTTACTCCTATATATATTATATATATATATTTATTTATTAAAGTTTTCTCTACTGTTGAATTACAGATAGACAATAGATAATGGTTGCATTTAAAAATGTAGAAAAGATATTTAGATTGATTAGAGGAACAACAAGAGGAATGGATGAACATATGATGGGAAACAAAATGAAGGAAAAGGGAATGAGGTTTGAAGAGCGTGTGGCCACGATGCTCAGTAATCGATTGGAAGCAAATATCAAAAGAAACGTTACACTCATCGATAAACGAGGCAATCGGTCAGAGATTGACATTGTATATGGTATCTTTTTCAAGACCTATGTCGAATGCAAAGACTATAGTGTACCGGTACCCCTAAAAGATGTGGCAAAGTTTAAAGAAGTACTTCGACTCAATAACATTGGTATAGGCCGTGGACTCTTTATAGCGTCTGGTGACTATGTACCTCGCGCAAAATTTGTAGATATCAAACTATTGGATGGTGATCAACTTCGTCGACAAGAAATATTGGCTCCTTTTATTGGTATCATCAAATTTGCTTCTTATCTTTCTCTTACTCTATCTGGTTATTTATTTATGATTTTTGGTTAAAATCTTAATACAAAATAATCAAATAATAATAATAATAATAATATTGTAAATAATAATAATAATAATAATAATAATACTCAATCAAGTTGATTAATCTTCATGAATAAAACGTAGCGCTACCATTTTCCATCCCTCCTACATCATTGTTCAAGACAAATATGAAAGACAACAATCAAGAATAGAATATATTAATATTAATACATGTAGTTGGAAAAAAAAAGAAATAATCATTTTTCAATATTGTGAGACGACAATTTAAAAAGACGAGTCATTTGCATCTTATCTTTGTGTATATATTAAAAGAAAGAAGATGTTAAAAAGAATAATAATAAATACATCTAATAAACAACATATATCATCATGTCTATTAACATCACAAAAGACATCGATATTAGTTCAACAAAGATATCACTTTAATGGCAAATCGGCGAAATGGTCGGGTTCAGACCCAGACACTGCAAGATCAGTCATCAATAACTTTGTAAAGAATAAACAAGTTATAGATCAATCATCACAAACAAATAATGATAGCAAGACAAAAGGACAAAGGAAAAGAGGTGGAGGAGGAGGAGAAGTAAAAAAGGTTGCAGTAGGAGACAACATTCAGAATCAAGTGATGAAACAAAAGCAATTGGATCGATTACAAAAGAAAGCAATGACAAACTCATCAAAGACACAACAATACGCTAGCATAGATCAAACAAACACTACAAACTATGATGCAGATCTACTCTATCCAACTACTGGTACAGATAATTTACTCTTACATCATCTTTTGAAAAGAAAGAATAGTGACTACAAATCAGATTTTGATCAAGAAGAAGAAGAAGTAGGAAAACAAGACGACTATGACAAAGAAGACAACAAACATACATTCAATCAATCAGATACTATGATTTCAAAAGAATTGGTACAACTATTAAAAACAAAGGGATTGTCAATTGAACCGAAAGAGATTACTCCATCTTTGATTTCAAGTTTAACTATCCATCCTCAAACTTCTGATGCTCAATTTAACAAATTTACTTATTTGGGTAAATATCAAAGGATTACAAACAAGATTACAGTCAATGACTAGTAGTAGAGCTGGTTATTAACCATATCTCTCTTTCTCTTTATTTAGGAAATGTTATATATAATTTAATAATTAAAGAATTTAAAGGAAAAACAAAAGAAAAGGATTTTCAAGAATATAGATCCTATGTCAATGGAAGATATTATCTTAGAACAAAATGTCAAGAGATGGGATTGGACAGATTGATTAGAGTTTATCAAAATGATTGGACTGAACCAATACAACCATACGTCGATCGATACTATACATCCAAAGGATTGATTCAATTCATTGGTGCACTATTTATGGAAAAGGGGTTCCTTTTCACCAGACAATTCATTCTAGACAATATCTTGAATCAATCAATTGAAAAAGTATTGATTGATAATCCAGAATCTTCCCTATTTAAAAAATTCTCTAGTTTTAAATTACAACCTCCACGTTTTGAGTAGGTCAAACTTCATCAATAATAATTATTTATCAAGAATCCAACAAATTAATTAATATCAATATCTTTTATTTTAAAATTTAGATTTGAATCAATTAATATGAAATATTTCCCATTATATAAAGTTAAATTATATTCTGGTTCAGATGTACTTGTTTATTCTTATGGTGAAAGTGAAAGTGAAGCATTTAATAGTGTAAGTATTAGTATATAAAAAAAAAAAAGATAATGATTTAAATAATAATAATAATAATAATAATAATTTTCTATTTGTATATTTTTTTTCTTTTTTAGACTGTTGAATTATTTAATGAAAAATGTGATTCATTGTCATCTGCATTACAGATTGTGGCATTAGCACCAATGACAGATGAAAGATCTATGCGTACTGAACAATATCAAGTTGATATTGAAGCTTTAAGAAAAAACACTAGACCATTCAAAGATAATGATAATCGTCAACTACATGAACGAAAATAAATAAAATAAAATAAAATAAAAGAAATAATATCTTTCTTTTCATTGACCCCGGCATCGAACGAAACGAAATCTCGAGACAGATATTTAAGTTTTTGAAAACTATAAAGCCTTAGCCCCAGGGAAACCAGACGATGCATTTCATTTTCATAGCACCCCCTCAAAGACGGAATGCGCAAAAGAGAAATTAAAAATTATTTTTTTATAATTTTTGTTGTGTGTCTCCGTTCCCAGCTGTTGGGATCAATCAATCGGACACACTCCATTCAACCCCCCAATGTGAAATTTACTTTTTGTTGTGTTGTTCATCCCTCATTATTTATTATTTTCATTCAAATAGATAGATATACATCATCACCATCAAAATCAAATCTAATTGCTTAGAGTAGAGATTTTAAAGTGTATAATATTTATATATCAAATGAAATCAATTACTTTGTTTTTATTTGCATTGATTGCAATTATTGCAATTGTTAATGGACAGTCACCAAACATTGTACCATTACCACAATCATTAAATTATGGCTCGACTAGTGTGTCGGTCAACCCAGCAGCCTTTAAGATTGCCACCACTTCATCGTCGACCTTGTTGGGCGTGGCCATCAAGAGATACCAAGGCCTCTTTTTCTTGTTTGACGGAGCCGTCCAAACAGCCCCAGCCCTCACCCTCAACGTGCAAGTCGCCAGCGACAACGAAGACCTCTACCTCGGAGTCGACGAGTCCTACACGATCGTTGCCAACACGGGTTCGTTGACTTTGAGCGCCAACACTGTGTTTGGAGCCATGCGTGGTCTCGAGACCTTTGCCCAACTCATCTCATACGATCCAATCGGCAACGCCTACTCGATCCCATACACCCCCATCAAGATTGTCGACAGTCCCCGTTTCCCATGGCGTGGGTTCATGGTCGACTCGGCCCGTCACTTTTTGCCCAAAAACTTTATCCTCCATATCATCGATGCACTCGGTTTCAACAAGTTTAACGTACTCCACTGGCATTTGGTCGATGCTGTATCGTTCTCGGTTCAGTCTACCACTTACCCCAACTTGACCAAGGCTGCCTACTTCCCAACCGCCATCTACACGCACGACGATATCGAAGAGGTCGTTGCCTATGCCAAGACCTACGGTATCCGTGTGATTCCCGAGTTTGACATTCCAGGCCACACTGGATCATGGGGTGTTGGTTATCCCGAGCTCCTCGCTTCCTGTCCCAACTATGCTGCCAACGTCAACAACCTCGCACTCAACCCATCGCTCCCATACACCTACAACTTCCTCCAAAACTTGTTTGCCGAGATGACCACTGTCTTCCCAGACGAGTACTTCCACGTAGGTGGTGATGAAGTCGTCTTTGGATGCTGGCAGGAGGATCCATCCATTGTCCAATGGATGAACAACAACAACTTTAACCTCGTCGACGTCGAACAATACTTTGAAGACCAACTTGACACCATCCTCGGTACTCTCAACCGTACTAAATTAATGTGGAATGATCCATTCCAAAATGGTGTAAACATTAAACCTGGTACTCTTATTCAAATTTGGGATAGTTGTAAGTTAGGAGAAAAAAAAACAAAAACAAAAAGTTAAAAAATAATATTTATATTAATATTAATATTTCTATTTTCTATTTTCTATTTCTATTTTCTATTTGTTTAAGATTCAATTGTACAACAAATTGTTGATGCAGGATTTAAGGCATTAGTTTCAACTACATGGTATTTGGACAAGCAAGATCCAGCCAACAACATTCACTATGAATGGCAAGATACTTGGAGAGACTTTTATGCTGCCGACCCATACAACAACATCACTACCAACCAAGACAATATCATTGGTGGTGAAGCTTGTATGTGGGCTGAACAAGTCCATCAATTAAATTGGGACGTTAGAGTATGGCCACGTAGCATTGCCATTGCCGAAAGATTGTGGTCTGACCAATCTGTCAACAACCCAGTCACTGCCCTTCCACGTATCGAACAATACACCTGTTTGCTTGGCAATAGAGGTGTTGCTAGTGGTCCATTAATGCCAGACTTTTGTTACATGTCAAATGATTTCTCTGGTCCTTTGGTTAAAGCTATCGATCCACTTCCAAAGCATTTAATCAAAAAAATCCTTGGAAAGAATTAAACCAAATCAAATCAAAATTATTTTAAACCATCCATCTTTTTTTTTTTAAAAATAAATAAATAAATAATTTATTTTTCTCTCTTAACTATCTGTTGTTGTTGTTGTATTATTAGTTGTTGTTGTAGTTGTAGTTGTAGTTGAAGTTGAAGTAGTACAATTATTGATATTTTGATTTTGATTTTGTCCATTTAAATAACCAATACCATCACAAATAATGATATTAACATCTTTTTTACCGTCGGGATCTGGGATGACTTGGAATTTAGCACCAGTCATGAGTGAAGTGAAATGAATACTAGTTTCAGTGTGTAGAGAGATGAGACCTGTTTTAATTTTACTTGTTCCTTTGGCGAGGGCCATAAAGATGATTAATTGGTCTTGAAGGAATTCATCTACACATCCTCCACCATTTAGATCATTGATTAATTGGATGGTGGCATCTTCTGCAACCTTTTCAGCCGGTACTTTGATTTCACCGATTGCCGATGCACCAAATCTACATCCCGTAGAAGTCTCTGCCATGATAAATATATAGGCACAATCTCCATAACTCTCCTTGGCAACATCTACACTACGTTCTTCAATCTCTACCTTGAACTCTTTTTTCAACAACTTTCTAGCATGTTGACACATTCGGTCTGCCACCGATGGATTGATTCTAGTCGATGTAAAGTAGGATGTGATGATGATCTTGGTGACTTGACCACGATCCAATATCTCGATTGGTTTGAGTGGTTCGGTTGTGAGGGGTCTGGTGATGACGGTAGTCTGACCACATCCACGTGGATAGTAGCCACGCTTGTCAATGGTGATGTCCATGTCTACACCCATCAACTTGGCAGCCGGTGCAAAAACCTGTGCAATGTAATCAATCATCGGAGAAAAGGCCACATTGGTGCCACCACCCAACACCAACTTGGTGGAACTACCAAAAAACACAAGACACGGTAACGATATTTGAAGTAAAAGCGTGATGCTGCCAGCAGTACCAGTGTCAGCTTCGATACTAGTGTCTTTGATTTCGTGTGCTAGTCGACGTGGATGATAGTATAGATCGGTCGAGCCAACCTTGCAACCACTGGCATGTGCTCTAAACAAACGTACCAATAGATCGACACCCGATCGATGTTGTGCCTTTAACCCAGGTTGATCTCTACCGTTTCGTATCTTGTTGATTCGAATCGGTTTATTAAACAACGATGCCAATGCAAGACAGTTTCTAATGATCTGTCCTCCACCCTCCAATATTGAACCATCTATTGTATACTCTGGTGTCTCTTCTCTAATTGTATCATCTGACACCACTTCACTTGTTCCACTGCCGTTGCTCTCATCGTCCTTATTTTCTGGTGTTGGTTTAATCTTTGATGTTTGTAAATGAGGTTTATAGTTTCTCTTTGTTTTTGCCATTTTTAAAAAGTACAATAATAATAAATAATAGAAAAAGGAAGATATATATAAAGTTTTATACAACTCAGCAGCGATGTGATGAAAAGTAAGAAAGAAACTGGGAAATTTAGATGAATGTTCGTTGTCTTTGTCTTTTTTTGATATTTAATATCAAATGAGATGATTAATAGGTAGGAAGGTAGTTGAGTAGTCTTGGTTTCACAAAAGTACACATATTGAAATACTGCAGATCAATCTTGTTTTGCGATATATTATATTAGAAGAAGGAAGCGCATTTAATTTATATATTAGTTATTTATAATTATAAAAATATAAATATAATGCTGATGGTTGATCGATTCGATTAGTGTCATTAGGTCGGTCATGTGAGAGTAGTGCGTAATCTTTGATAAGACGGATGAATATAGTGATGAACTTTGATTTCAAATAATTAGGAGCACCTAATGATCTGTTCTTGAGAAAGAAGGATAAAAACTCACAGTTTTGTCTAATATAAACTTGCAGCTTTTGTCATGTATGACCTTTTTTTTTTATTAAAGTGTCTCAATTTTATTCCTTCTTCTACTTTATCCCTTCTTTTTTTCATTTAGTTAGTAGCTGGTGTCAAATATAATAATAATAATATAATACCTAATACTATTATTATTTGTATAGTTTTGTGAATATTAAATCAACTTATCAATACCACCATCATCTATCTCATTCATTCATTCATACACACACATTTATATATTATAGTATATATATATATATTACCTATCCTATCCTATTCTATCATCATATTTAAAATATAACAATACATTTAAAAAATGTTATCAGTAGATAGAAAGAGAACTGAAAAGGTTGATGTAATCAAACCTTTGACTAAATATATCAAGGAGCAATTTAGTAAAGAAGAAGCTGCCGATCATGAACAACAAATCAATACCTTGAGTTCACTTCGTGAAGATGTACGTAATCTTCAAGACAAGACAGAGACTTCCAAGGAAATGATTTGGAAGTATTACTCTATTCTCCAATCTTTAGAAATGAGATTCCCAATCTCTGAAAATAATGTAAGTAGTAGAAAAGAAAAAAGAAATAGAGAAATAAAATAGAGAGAGAAAACAAAAAGAACTCTATACTAATCTAAATACTCTTGTTTCTATAGGTCAGAATTCAATTCCCTTGGACAGATTGTTATAAACAAAGAAAATTTTCATTGTATAGTGTATTTTTTGAAAGAAGTTCAGTATTATTCAACTATGGTTCAATTATTAGTCAAATTGGAGCAACTCAAAATCGATCGACTGTTGAAGGTATCAAAAAGGCATGCAATTCATTCCAATCTGCATCTGGTATCTTTGCACACCTTAGAGAATACATTTCATCGCACCCAGAATGTTTCAATAGTCCAGATTTCTCTGCAGACTCACTTAGTCTATTATCAAATTTGATGATTGCTCAAGCTCAAGAGTGTATCTATGAAAAGGCTGCCATTGACAATATGAGTGACTCTATTCAATCTAAATTGGCCATGCAAACTGCTGAATACTATGATACTGTCTACCAATTAACAAATTCAAATGCTTTAAAAAGTCTTGTTGATAGAGTAAGTAAATAGTAAACAAATGATTGACTATAGATAGAGTCATTAATTTTATTTTTTTCTCTTCTTTTTCTTTTTTTTACTTATTTAGACATGGACAGCAATTTCTTATACAAAATCATTTATATTCAAAGCACTTGCATTCTACAAATATGCAACTGGATTGGAACAAGCTGCTCAATTTGGTGAACAAGTAGCTAGACTCACCATGGCAGTTGAATCTATCAACCAAGCTAAAGTTAATATTCCAAAAACTGCTGTTGTTGAATTTAAGGACTTTTTAGATAAAACTGCAAATGTAAATATAATTATATAATAATGAATAATAATAATAATAACTTTATATGGAAGAGTTTGATATTTATTTTCTATTTCTTTTTATAGATTATTATAAAAGCATTTGAATCTGCTAAAAAGGATAATGATACAATTTATCATGATGTAGTTCCACAATCACATAAATTATCAGCATTGGAAAAGAAACCAATGGCAAAGTCATTACCAATTCCAGAAATCACCTCTAGTGATCCATTCTCTCATCTCGTACCATACTCTGTAAAGGAAGATGCTGCTTTCTACAATGATCAAAAAGAACAATTAATCAAAAAAGAATTGGAAAATATTAAATATCATAATGAATCAGCTAAAGCGTAAGTAAAAAAAAATTATCCAAAGAGATAGATGAATTATTTTATTTATTTAATTTATTTAATTTTATTATTATTTTTTTTTTATAGAACATTATTATCAATGAATTTACCAGGAGCTATTGAAGCATTGGAAATTGGAATTCCAAAGGCATTACAAGAAAAGATGGATTTGGTGAAATCAGAAAGAGGAGTAGAGACTGTGAGTGATCTTTTGAGATCACTACAACAACTCTATGAAGAGGATCATTCGATTTGTCAATCGTCGAATAAATTGTTGGACAAGGAGGAGGAAGAGGACAATGGAATGAGACAACAGTACCAGTCGGCATGGCACCGTACTCCATCCTACACTTTGACGGCCAATCTCCGTCAAGACTTGGCCAAATACACTAGCAACTTGTCGCACTCGTCAAAGAGCGACGCATTTATCCGCAAAAAATTTGAGGATGCCAAGTCGTTGATTGCTGCACTCGAGTCACAAGACGAGGTTGTACAATTGTTGCCATCCAACATTATGCCACTCAACCAAATCCCAGAGGTTGCCAACCTCAAGGCGTCGATTAAATCACTCGACAATCTTATGGCTGCTCGGGAACAAATCGGTGAAAAGTTCAAGCAATTGTCACTCAAGGACGACATTACTGTCAAGCTTATCAGTCCTCCAGGTCGCGACCGTCAACAAGTGTTTAATGAGGAGATATTAAAGTACGAACCACTCCAAACACAACTCAATGACAACTTCCTCAAACAAGAACCATTGCTCGAGTCAATCCGTCAGGAAAACGAAAAGTTTGTTCGTACCAACAGCAAACACGGTAGTCAACGTGAAGAGATTTTACAAAGATTTGCCAATGCCTTCAAGACCTACAACGAACTCAAATCCAATCTCGGTGAAGGTATCCAATTCTATACCAATTTCCAAGAGATTTTATTAAAGTTTAAGAGTCGTTGTGAAGACTTTGTCAATGAACGTCAAAAGGAAAAGAATGAACTTGTCAGACAGATCTCGGCTGGTGTCTCTCCCTATGGCGGATCTCCATCAACCAATGTCGATTACAACAAACCACCAGTCCCATCAAATGTACAATTAAATTCACCCATTTACAAACAACAACAACAACAACAGTATCAACAACCTCCACCACCAGCCTATACACCATATCAACCACAACCATATGGTGCTCCACCTCCAAATTCCTATTCAGCTCCACCAGTATCTTTTGGTGCTCCTCCTCCATCTTTTTCAGCTCCACCAGCTTCTTTTGGTGCTCCTCCACCTTATACTTATAATCAGAATCAACAACAAAATAATAACAATGGTAGACAATATTAAAATTAATAGGTAAATCAAAATAATAAATAATAAAAAAACAATTTTCTAAAAAATCATTTCTCTATCGCGATTGTACAAAATGTTAGTACTAAGCCGAAAAGCTGCAGTCAGAGGAGCAGTTGTTATTGTAGGGCTCTGCTCGTCTTAGTCTAATAAAATACTTATCTCGGCTCTCTCTCATGTTCTTTTTTTTTCTCAAAAAAAAAGTGGGGGTTTTCCACTGATTTTCTCTACAAACTTTCAGAATTCGATCACATGGATCATCAAGTTTAAAAGATCAAAATTTTAATTTACAATTGTATTAACATTTATATTTCTGTTTATTTATTTATTCCAACATTCAATCGATCTATATTTTCTCTCTCTCTCTCTCTCTCTCTCATCCCATCCATCCATTCAATCACCTTGATATCAAACAATTTTTAAAAAAAATGGCATCACACAAACAAACCCAATCATTATACGTAGAATGTCAATTTCCAGACATTAGAAAGAGAATTTATGTTTCATTGGTTGATGAAAATGTAAGAATCCCATATATTACTATTACATTCACTCCTTCTTATCTTGATGATTAATTAATTAAAAATTATTTTAATTTTTTGGTTTTAGATTTTTCAATCAGTTGTTGTTCAACAAGATTGGACTTTAAAATGTTTATTAAATTATTTAAAATCATCATTTAAAGTTTCAGATTCTATTAAATATGTATCATTATTTACAACTGATAAAGTAATGATTACATCATTGGATGTATTGGTTCATAATCAGGTACTTAGATTGACACCTGGTATTGAAACTCCAATCATCCCATATGTCATTCAACAACAACAACCAGAGAAAAAACAACCAACCTCTACTCTTATTCATGATAGATCAGAAGTTGATCATTCAGATGATAATAAGAGTTTATATGATTTATCATATGATTGTAAAAATCCATTCCTAGATATATTCTATGAATTGAAAAGACAATACAAACATTTGATTCAAATTGGAGAATCAAAACCATATACTGCAACTCTCTACCTTGCCTCACATTGTGATAGAACTGATTCATCGGCATGGATAGTATTCAAAAATGACATGCAACCCGATCAATTCACCTATTCCATCCATATGGCCTCGGCCATTGCACTAGAGTATCGATTGAAACAAAATTTCAAAAATCTTACATCAGTCTATCAACTCCCACAAGTATTGGAAGCAGTCATGTTAACCTTTCAAGATTACTATCAAAAGGCACCTGGTAACGCCAAGTATCCTGCTTATATGGATGGTGAATTAGTCTCTTTCTTCCCATCAGATTATATTGAAGTTAATTCAATTACTAAAGTAAGTGTCAAAACAAACCCAAAAACAAATAATACTTTGTTTTAAACTTTTACTTACTTTTACTTTGTAGTCACAATTCATATTAGAATGTAAGGAGATTGAAAATAAGATTAGTCAATCTTTGGGAGTTTGTCAATCAATTATTAAGAATTTATTATTCAAGTTTAAATTATCAAGTATTAAATGTACTGGTTATATCAATAAGAATTTAAAAGGACATCTTGACAAGAATGATGTTCGTCATTTGAAATTCATTGATACCGACGGTCAATCATGTCCCATTTGTTTTGATGATGATTTGACAGTTGACCAAATCGTTCAATTGGCATGTGGACATTACATGTGTACACCATGTTTTACTCAATTCATCGATACTGAAGTTGAACATGGCTTGGGCAATGGATTCCCCATTCAATGTCCAGATGTACATTGTCCACTCATTATCGATTCATCAACCATTTCAGCAACCTTGACCAAGAGTAATCTATTTGAGAATTTCAAGACTCAATTATTTAGAGATTACAAGATTTCATCTGGTAGTCCTCAATGTGCCGTTAAAAATTGTAAACATATGATCCTAAATAATCCAGATCTCCAATTGGTGCTCCCATTCAGTGGATGTACATGTCAATCAACTCTATGTTATCATTGTGGTGCATCTGCCTATCACTGGCCACACTATTGCAAGGGTAACCTCAATGAATTATTCAACGAAGATTTAGAAACTATTAAATATCTCTTGGCAACTTCAACTCTTTGTCCATCTTGTCAATATCCTGTTCAAAAAACAAGTAAGCATAAATATAGAATAGAAAATAGAAAAAAGAAAGAGTAGAGATATTAATATTTATTTATTTATTTATTTATTTATTTGTAGCCGGATGTAATCATATTAAATGTGGAATATGTAATACTGACTTTTGTTATGTTTGTGGACTAAAATATGTAAATGGAGGTCATCCATTGATCAATGGAGCGTATGGGTGCCCTGGAGACCAAAGACGTAAGCTATTGATTGCCAAGGGTGTTGAAAAGTCTGTTGGTTTAAAGGCAAGTACATTGTTGGCCTTGCATGGAAATCCAGATTCACCAGCTCGATTCCTCATTGTTCAATTCCAAGAGTTTTCAAAATCTTTAGAAGGTAACTTTGCTAGAAAGGATTACCAAGGGATCAAGGAAAAGGCCGATTACTGTGTTTCGCTATTCAAAGAATACTTGGAGGAAAAATTAAAAAAGAATGGAAAGAGAAGAAAGGAGATCGTCGATGAAATTCAAAAATGTACTCATGCCATTGCCTCGAGATTCCAAATTAAAAAGAATGGTCATAGCCATATCGAACCTCATGTTGATGACCGTATCAAGATCAAGACAGTGTCATGTACTCTATCAATCAATGGTGTGTTGGATGAAGGTATCAATCTCTTTGTAAAGACAAACATGTCTGAATGGAAGATTGATATTTTAGAATCACTCGGTCTCTCTATGACAAAAGACAACGAATCCAAATTTACAAATTATCTCAACAAAATGATCATCTATAATCTTGGTGGAAATATCATCAAGTCTTCCAGACACGTTGTATTGGGTGAAAGAATCTTTATAGCTCTTCAAGGTGAAGATTATCTTGATCCACAAATCCCAAATGAAAATGAAATATCACCAAGACCATCCTCATCTCCAACTGGTTCATCATCAAACAAGAAACGATCCAATAAGAGATCATCATCTCCACCACCACCACCACCACCTTCATCATCTCCATCAAATATCTATCAAGAATTGGAGGATTTAAGATCCAACCCAATTTACAGAGATGCTGCTGTCTATAATAATGAAGAAGATGAACAACTTGCATTGCTCAGACTCCAAGTCAACGGTGAATTAAAACATCTTTTAGTTGATCAAGAACATGGTGACAGTGATGATGATGACATTGCCGATCAATGGGAAGATTGTTTCGACCAAGGCGAAGAAGAAGATTGGGAATTGATTGAACAACTTGAACAAATCAAACAAATGGAAAAGATGGAAAAGATGAAACAAGAAAAGACCAATCATCACGAGTTTCAAGTTGATGCTCTTGGATGGCAAGTATTCCCAGCTATTCCAAGTTCACCAAGTCGACCACTCTCTATTCCATGTGGTTTGTCGGCAACCAAGAAGAATATCAGTACCAACCATAATCATTTGGAAGATTTCTTGGATGATGATTTTTTGGAAAAGTATGATTCTGTTATCGAAAATTTTGAAAAGGTTCATAAGAAATTACTCTACCCATTACCACCATGGAATTAATCAATTAATAAATAATTAATAATACCCCTCTGATGACATTCCTCTCTCCAACAAAGAGAGAGTGTGTCATCAGTAAAATTGGGAGTTTGTATGATTTTTCATACAAAAGTAAACAAAGAGTAAATTGAACAACAATGGTAAATTATTTATTTATTTGTTGGGGGGTAATAAAAATAGAGTTGAATCGATATTAAATCTAGATTGGTTGGATGATCAAAGATCTATTGATTGATTGATATCATATGTCTCTATCTCTCGACATTCATTCCATTTCTCTTGTCATCTAGAACCCACATATATGGTATATATGTGTATGACCCAGATTTGGTAGTGTTAGTGTGAGGTTGTGTTTGATGGGAAAATACGATTGATTGGTTTACACAGAAGTGGTGTGGGAACGGTTTGGTTTGGATAGTGGTGAACTCCATCCATCAATTTAAATACCCCCCCTATAGTGTGACTGTAGAATGATGGATGAAAGTGGTGGTTCTAAAAAGTAAGTGTTGCAACGGGTAATGTTTATATACAACAAACATTGCTGCTGTTGCTAAATCGGGGTGATGCGTTGTGGCAAATGAAACTTGTTGCAACATCTATCTATGGCAATTCTTACTTTTCAACTTGTTTGTTGTTGCTGTTGTTTGTTGTTATTCTTGTTTGATAATCCATCCTCCTTCATAAATCAAATATATTTAATATATCCACAAACAACTATAACTATAATTATCCTCCTACCTCTTTGTCTGGGTTGATATCAAAAAAGGACACCACTTCACTTTCATCATTGTTGATATCATCACATTGCACTACATTGACACATTGTTTAATCACCAATCACATTGTTACTGTAAACAAAAGAAGAAGAGAAGAAGGTGATCACAACAAAAAAAACCAACACAAATTATTATAATCAAATAATTAAATTATTTTCCTCGTCGACTGCGACCTTGTTCTCTTGTTGTTATAATAATTGCCAATTCATACATTTTAAAGAAAAAACAGAACATCAATCAGAGTGCTCTAACTTGTCTATCGTTTATTCATCGAATTCTCTCTCTTCTTTAAAGAATTCTTACAAATAATATTCAATTAATCATTCCTCCTCCTCTATCTCTTTAATATTACATTGCAACAATTGTTTGTTTCCTTTTTTCAAAGTATTTTTTTTTTTAATTCTTTTAAATATTTTTCCAAGATAGATAGAATCCAGCCAGCAGCCAGACCTTCCTTACCTTATTTAAATGATGGAACCAACACCAAAAGCAATGTCGTATGATGGCAAAGTAGTAATAGCCTCTTCAACCCCAACCACTAATAATCATTCATCTTATTCCTCTTCTTCTTCCTCATCATCGTCATCAAATTATTCTCATTCACACTCCAATTCAAATAGTAATGGTAGTTATATGCCATCAAAATATAATAGTAAAGCTAAACCACCTACCTCCTCTGCCTCATCCTCATCGGGTATTTCTGGAACGTCATCATCATCATCATCAAGTTCATCGACCAAAATAACATCACCCAATCAAATTGAAGGATTTACAGCACATCATTATAGAAGTACTAAAACATCTCCCCCAAAGAGTAGATTCAACCATAGATATTCTCAACAATATGCAACATCTCCACTACCATCATCATCATCATCATCATCACATTCCTCACATTCTCAAAACAAAGGACCAACATCAATTTCCAATACATCCATTTCATCCAATGGAAGTGGTGGTGGTAGCAGTGGAAGTGGAAGTGGAAGTGGAAATCAATCACCAACTTCATCATCCAAAGATGGAAATAATAAATCAAAAATGAAGAGACTGTCACTCACCGTATCAGTATCAACACAAAAATATTTAGAAAAGATTGGTCGTCAATCAAGTATTGGTGCCGATACCGATGACATTAAAGAATTAAAAGTATTACTTCGAAACATTAAACAAGATATTAGAAATATGAAAACAAAAGGAAAACAACATATATTTTCAATTGAAAGTATGTAATAATTAAAATATTAAATATTTTTTATTTCTTTGGACACTAACAAACTCTTTTTTGTTTAGAGGATATGGCAAGAATTCAATTTAGTGAAGTAATGAAAATCATGAGTGATAATTCATTACATAAGACCGATGTAGGTAAAGCACTCAATGAATTGGGTGAACAAATATCAACGTTTGAAGAAAACACCAAAGAGGATTATGTCAATGGTTTGAATGGTCTATTGGAACCATTAATGGTATTTTATGAAAGTGAACTAAGAAAAACAAGAGAATTAAAAAGAGTATGCAAATATATATAAATATATAAATATTTATATAATATATATACCAAATGTAATATGTAATTATTAATGTATATCTTTATTTATTTATTTATTTTCTAAATTTAGAAACAAAATATAATTAGAATTAGATATGAACAAGCATCACAAAATTTACATGAAATTAGAAAGAAACATGATCCAACATCATCTAAAACGAAACAAGCTAAAAAGGAAGAAGATGATATCAAAGCACAATACAATCAAACAACACTAGAGTTTATAGAATCAATGAAAACAACCAAAAAGAAATTACAAGGAAATCTTGGAACAATGATAAAAGAATACGCTGAAATGCAAATCGATTTTTATAGAGAGGCAATGGAAAGTTGGGAAGGTAAATATTAATTAAACCATATTTTAATATTTAATGATATTAATTTCTATATTTTATTTAATTTTTAGAATTCCAAGAGGATTTAGAATCAATTATACCAGATAGAGATGACGATGAAATAGTTGATGATGCAGATGATGAAGATAAAAATGATGAATCAAGTGAAGAAGAGTCAAGTGATTCAAGTGACTAAATCAATTAAACCCTCAATATATATTTTTTTTTATTTATATACACCAACAACAACAACAACAACATTACTAATAACAACTACGCACATAATAATAATAATTTGGATTAATATTATCCACAATAATAACAACATCAACACAACCAGAACACATCATCATCATTTAAAAAAAAAGGAATTGGATAACTACTTGTTCCTTTTTTGTATTTAATTTATTTTATTTATTTATTTATTTATTATTTATTTATTTAAAAATCACATCAAAACTATAATAATAAAACAACATTATATATATATATTTAGATATATAAATATATCTTTCTTTCTTTCTTTACTTGGTCTCGGTTTTAAGAGTCTCCCATTGCCCGTTGCTTTGAATGAAAAGTCGCCACCAATTTCGATTTTGTGGTTTTTCAATTTTTTTTTAATAAACAGAGAACTGGGAGAGAGAATCATTATTCGAGAGAGATATTTGTTGTTATAGAGTAGTACTACTATTGATAGCTATTGTTATCTCTTACCTACTATCATTATAATTGTTTTATATATTTGTAACAAGAAAGATATACATATATAGTTTAGTATAGAATAGAATAGTAGAAGGGATGTCAGAGTCAGTCTCTACCCCAGCAACAGCAGTAGCAGCCGATGGTGCTGCTTCCTCAGAGACACCATCATGGAAGAAGATTTGGTCATTAGGTGAAATGAAAGATGATTCAAAGACATGGACTTTAGCATCTGATGCAGGTGTATGTTTATAAGAGGAAGAGAATGAAGAACATTAATGTTAAATGTATAACATATCCTTATTTATCTTTCTATCTATCCTAATTATAGTTATTAAATTATATGCAAGATTTTGCCAATAGATTGATTAATCAAACAAAGGAACTTGAAAATCATGTAGATAGTTTGGTTCACGATGTTAAATCAACTCATGTTAAAGTACACAATACATTTGACCAATTCCTTATGTTGTCTCATTCACAATTTATTGAAAATGTTTGTCCACCTGAATAGTTAAACTATATCATTATCTCAATTATATTGACCTCCTCCTCCTCCTCCTCCTCCTCGTCCATTTACATTTTCTAACTATATTTAGAGAGTATATGAAGATAATTCAGAGATTGAAAAGGTTGAAGAAACAACAACAACAACCGAAACTACACAAGAACTTACAGAGGAAATGTTGATTCCAAAGTTTACAAGAGCGATTGCATTGGGTCTTACTGCATTGGACAAGGCAAATTTAATGAACTCTGCGATGGAACAATCTGAAACTACACCAACCGATATTGCCAACGGGGTCGATGGTAGCAATGTCGATTTATTGCTTGCCGATGGATCTGTATCACCAAGTGCCGCTACAGCCGCTGACAAAAAGGTTGAAAAACTTGATCATTATCTTAGATATCCATTACCACATATCATTGGTTCACAACAATTTAAAGATGATGATTATTGTGGTCTTTTCATTGAAGGTAAGAGAAAGAAAAAGAAATAACCATATGACCAAATACTTATTTAATTAATTTAGAATCAGATACTGAATCTAGTGAATCAGAAGTTAGTGAATCTGAATCTGAATCTGAATCTGAAATTGATGAAGAAAAACCATTAGAAGGAACGGATTCATTACCCATTTCTACTGGTGGTGTTCCACCTCCATTCTTTGGTGAAGAGGATGATATTAGACCAACTACCTCTGGCATGTTTGGTGATTCTGCTATTTCAACTCAACCAGTAAGTTTTAAAAAAAAAAAGATTTAAGATTGTTTATTATTTGTTTATTTATTTATTTCTTTTTTAGGAGGAACAAGGCGAATCATCATTATTTGATGATGATATATTTGGTGGTGGAGGATCAAGTTCAAATTCAACTGCAAACAAACCAAAATCAACATTTACTTCATCACTTTCAGATATTCTTGGTGATGATGATAATGATATTTTTGGAGATAAAAAACAACAACAAGCTCCTGCCGAAAAGAGAGATGGATTCCAAGACGAATTGGCTGCTGCCATTGGATCAGGACCAAAGAAACCAACCAAGTCTGAAGATGAAGAATCAAAGGATGGTTTATTCGAAGAAGAGGATAAACCAGCTGCCAAACCAAAGAAAACAAGATCAATCTTTGATGATGAAGATGAAGATGATTTGTTTGCTCCCAAATCCTCCTCATCATCTGCAAAGAAAAAAGTTACATTTGATGATTCAATGTTTGATGATTCCCCAGCAAACAACAAAACAACAACTACTTCCTCCTCCTCCTCAACCACTCAAAAGAAATCACTTGGAGATCTTTTCTCTTCTGAATTTTTGGATGATGAACCAGCTCCAAAGAAATCAACTTCCTCTTCATCCTCCTCCTCCTCGTCTACTAAAAAGTCATTAAGTTTCTTGGATGATGATGGTGATGACTTGTTATTTGCACCAAAACCAAAAAAGAAAGAAACTATAAAGGTGGAAGAACCAGTAGTTGAAGAAGAAAAACCAGCAGCTGCTACTGTATCTTCTCCTCTAGGAGATATAGAAGAACCAGAAGTTAAACCACAACAAGAAGTTAAAAAGAAACCAATTGGTGGAGTTAAATTGTTTGACTTTGGAGATGTTGGAGAAGACGAATTGTTTTCAGCCAAGAAAAAAGATACCAAAAAGAAAGACACTACATCTGATATTTTGGGTCTCGATGGTGATATGTTGGATCGTCCAAACATCGCAGCCAAGAAGCACGTACCAAAGAAATACGATGACTCTTCTGATATTTTGGGACTTGGAGGTGCTGCACCAGTAGCAGCAGAGAAAAAGGAAGAAAAGAAACCAGCTAAAAAGGATTTCTTTAACGATCTCGATGATGATGAAATCATTAAACCAAAGAAAAAAGAAGAAGAATCAAAACCAACAGCAGCAGCAGCAGCAGCAGCAGTTCAAGAAGAAAAGAAGATTGAAGAACCAACAAAACCAGTGGTTGTTGAAGAAGAAAAACCAGTCAAGAAAACAATTGGACCATTGGGTGATGTCATGGAGGAAGAAATTATTGTTAAACCCAAAAAGGTTGAAGAAAAGAAGATTGAAGAACCAACAACAACAAAACCAGTGGAAGAAAAGAAACCAAAGAAATCATTTTTCGATGATATCGATGAAAGTAATCCTTTGGGTACAAAGGAAACAACCCCAGTCATTGCCACCAAACCTAAAGAAGAAGTTGTTGTTGCCGCCGCTCCAAAGAAATCATTCTTTGATGACATTGATGACAAACCAACAAAAAAGACAGAAGAAAAGAAAAAGAAATCATTTTTCGACGACATTGACGATAAACCACTCACCAGTGGTTCAACAAGTGACTCTGATTCATTATTTGGAGGTGTTTCAAAGAAACCATCGTCATCATCACAAGAAAAGAAACAAGTTGTATCAGATCCATTTGATATCAAGGGAACAAATGATGATAATAGTTTATTTGGAATTGCAAAGAAACCAGCACAACCAAAACAACAAGAAACTGCAGTCGACCCACTCGGAAATGGTTCATCAACCCAAGCTCCAGCTGCTGCAACTACAACCAAAAAGACAGACTTTTTCTCTGAATTGGGAAATGACAATCACAAACCATCGGAATTGTTTAGTGATGTACCACAAACCAAAAAGCCAGTCTCATCGACCAACAAGCCAAGCAAGGATTTCTTTGCCGACTTTGACGAAAAACCATCAACCACTGCCTTGGCAAGTAAAGATGATATTTTCGAAACACCAATCGATTCCAAGCAATCAGCTTTTACTCCAATTGTAAAGGAGGCCGACAGTTCATCTGAAGGTTTAGGAATCCCAAAGAAATCAACCACCACCGCCACCACAACTGTTGAAAAGAAGACTGGTTCTGGATTATTTGAAGATTCAACTTCTTCTCCATTACTTGGAGTCAAACCAAGCAGTGTAGCCAAAAAGGAAATGGCTCCAGTTGAAGACAAGGAAGATAGAAACCCATCTCCAGCCACCATCCAAACCAGAGAAAGAACAAAATCGATTGGATCAATGTTTGAACAACAATTAAAGGAAAAGGAAAAAGAAAAGGAAAAGGAAAAGGAAAAGGATCTTGGTATAAAGAAGGGTGCTCCAAGTGGAAAGATCTCTAATCTCCTCGGTGTATTGGCTCTCGATCCATCCAGGATGGCACCAGGCGCCAAGATGCCAAGCAAAAAGAAAACTGAAACCGACACTGAAGAGAGTGGAACTGAAGGAAGCAGCCACGAAAAGAGTGATACTGAATCGGTCGCCGCTCCAACCAGCAATGGTACTAGATCAAGAGCAAGCAGTGTATCTCAACCACCCGCCAGTGGAGATGACAATGACGACGATGAAAGTTCTAGCAAATTGGCACATGCAACAAAGGGTCGTCCCAAATCTGCCGGTAGAAGATTACCAACTAGAAAGACTGCTGGAAGAAAACAAACAACTTCTGAATCATCAGATTCTGAAAAGAAATCCTCCTCCTCCTCCTCCTCCTCTGAACCATCCATTTTCGATAGTATGCCATCAACTAGTAATGGTAGTAGTAATGCATCTGATTCCAGCTTATTAGGAATCCCATCACCAACAAACAAATCTAAACCATCTTCACCACTTACCGTTATTGATCCTCCAACAACAACAACAAATGATAATATCACCACTACCACCACCAAACCTAAACCTGTAAAATCAACTACCCCTGCAAATGCCGACTCTATTTTTGATGATATTCCACAAGTACCAGTTCCAACAAAGGCCAAAACAGCAACCACCAAAAAGGCTGCTGCCGCTGCCGCAACTACCACCAAAAAAGATACACCCAAAAAAGAATCAGCCTCTGCCGATTCACTCTTTGATGATGTCCCTACCACAACCAAAACATCAACTAAAAAGAAGACTACTACAGACGATCTATTTGGAGAAGAAGCTCCATCCAAACCAAAATCATCCACATCCAAAAAGGCATCAGCAACTAAAAAGAAATCAACAGCTGTTGACAATCTTTTTGATTAATCAACAAACAAATCAATCTAATAAATAGATATAATTTTTTATAAACAAAAAAAAGTAAACTAATTTTTTTAAAAACCAAATCGAATTGGTTATTTGTATTTATTTATAGTACCAAAATATTTGTTTATTTAACTAACTTTGGTTGAAGTATCTGGAGTTGAGATAACAGAGGTGGTGGTGGTAGCATTAGTCTTTGAACCCTTTGATCTTTGTCCTTGACTACGCTTCTTTCTCTTGTTTTTGTTTTCTTCTTGTTTTTTCTTTTCTATTGCTTCAAGATCTACTGCATCGCCAATGACAAGATTATTTCCAATTTCACTCAATTCGGCAAATTTTCCTTTATCTACAAATGAATTGACACATGCTTCTAATTTATCTCTTGATTCACATTGAATTGGTACAACTATAAAAATAAATAAATAAAAACAATATTAATATTCATTCTTTTCTTTTTTTTTCTTTTTTTCTTTTGACTTACGACAATTATTTGATTGACAATGTTTAATTAATTCATTCCAATCCTTATTAATTGATAAAGTTTTAGCATTACCAATAACCAATAGAGAAGAACGAGGACGGGTAAGGGCTACATTCATACGACGAACATCAGCCAAAAAACCAATTCCTGCACCCTCTTGATCAGAGGCTCTTACACAAGAGAATATAATAATTTCACGTTCTCGACCTTGGAAACCATCGACTGTATCGATTGAGATGCCTGGACAATTTTTAAAGAATTCACGCAAAGTGAGAACTTGTTGACGATAGGGAGAAATGATACCAATACGACCAGTAAAATCTTGTTCTGGGTAGGTTCTGAGGATAAGTTGATAGAGATAAATGGCCATGAAACATTCATCCTCGTTGAATACAGAACCACCGCCATGTTTGATTTCACGAGCAAATGGCAGATCGTAGAAAACAAGTGGACCAAAGAATGAGTTTCCGTGATAGTTTGTGGCACGATCTGCAATGTTGGGACCATCCTCCAAGAGGTCATTGTAAAAGTGACGTGAAGGGAATTGACGAATGGTAGAATGCATACGATACTGGGTGGTGAGCATAAGTGGTGGACACTTTTCTTGGAGACGTTGGAAAAGTGATTGATCGTATTTGTATTTGATGGCAATTGGTGAAATGATGGTAGCTGGCAATTGTTTGGGATCACCGACAAGAATAATCTTTTTGCACTTGTGTTGGATGGGTACAAGGGTAGATGTTTCAACAGCCTGTGCAGCTTCATCGATAATAACAATATCGAATCCATTCATCTTGGTCAAGAGTGAGCTACCACTAAATGAAAGGGTAGTGGCGATAATTTCGGCATCGTCCAAGATGATTGAACGGATTGAATTGGTGTCCATATTTCCCTTACTCGAGGTAGTGGCAGCAGCAGTGGCAGCCGATGACGATGGCATGGCAGTGTTGCTGTTCATCAATTGTTGACGACAACGTACCATATATTCCAATGTAACTCGCTCGACATCCATTTGTGAACCTGGACCAACACGCACAATGTTTGGTTGATACTTTTTACCCTCGTGGTTCAAACAACCGTCTCTAATAAGACGTCCAACAATTTCATCGACAGCACCATTACTTGGTGCACACAATAAAATTCTTCTCTTTCTTGGTGGCTCTCTAATACTACCAGTCTCTCTCAACTTTCTCCATAAATCTCTCTTTCTCTTTTCTTCCTTTTCTTCAAATGTATAATCAATTAAATCAAAATTATCTCTTTTATGTTTTACTTGTTCATTAAACCAAGGTTGTGCTCTAAAAAAAAAATTAAAAAATTAATTTTAACAAAATATTAAATAAATAAATAAATATTTTTTACATACATATTCCACCATTTTTCTTTTTCATGATCCATAATTTGAGATGATTGAATTGAAAGTTGATTTACAAATTGTTCAGTTTCTTTTGGTATTTCGGTACTATGTAATAATACACTGATTAAACCAAGAATTACATGAGTTTTACCAGTTCCTGGTGGACCTTGAATCAATGTAATGTTTTTACCTTCCAATGCAGCCTCCAAAGCACTAAATTGTGATGAATTAAATGCTTGTTTAAATTTATCATACAATATTGGTGGAATTTTCATTGATGCTCCATTTTCCTAAAAAACAAAATAAAAATAAAAAATAAATAAGTAATTGATATCAATCATACTTTTTTGTTTTTCTTTTTCTCTCTCTCTCTTACCTGATCATCAGTTAATAATAAAGTTTTCATAAAACTTGTATTTGAGGTTAAGTAGAGGGCAAGGAATTCTCTTTGAATAGTTGAAAGATTACATAATTTAGTAGTCCACCAATCCATTTCATAACGCAACAAAAGATTCATTTGTCTACCACGATCGTCGTGGATATTTTTTAAACAAAACTTTACTTTGATGCCACCAGTTTCAAATTGTTCGACTGTACCAATGAGATGGAGATATTTGTTTTCTTCAGTGACTGGTGTTCTAGATAGTGGAATCACCCTTTTCTTTTTCTTTAATAAATCATCAGTCATGACCACTTTGTTTGGATCCTCTTCTGGTACCACTGGTGCCTTTGGTGTAATAGTGATTGGATTTCCATCTTCATCCTCATCTTCATACTCGCTATCTGTCATTTCATCTTCCAAACTACCACCAAAAATCAACATTGGGTGATGAAGTGATACCATCATCAAATCATTCTCGTGAAATTGAAAAGCATCAGCCTCTGCTGCAAATGTTAATCCAACTTCCAAATAATCATTATTCTCTGAAATATATCTAACTCTACTAATTGTTGGTGTTGAAACTAAAAAAAATTTAAAATAAAAGGGGTGGATGTTTTAGTAAACAATCCAATCAAATCCAATGTGTCAAATAAACCACACCAAATCTTATCAATCATTACCTTGTTCATTTTCTTCGTGGATAGCTCTTTCCAATTGTGCTCTACATTCTTCCAAAATCAATGGTTCAAATGTTTGAATATAATCATTTTTATCGGTAAATGTTGCCCTTACAGGTCTGAGTCTCTCCTACAAAAAAAAAATGATGAGGGGCATAAGTACAAAAGGTAAAAGGTTGTAGAGGAGGGAATTGAATTGATCAATTTGATCAATTAATTTGACATACAGTCATTCTATGAATTCTAGAGGCATCCCAAGATAAAACCTTTTTATAGAATATTGCCAATACTTGATCATTGTTTAATGGTTTATCATCTTCATTCTTTTCAATGGTTTCTTGTTGTTGTTGTTTTGGTTGTTTTTTTGTGGTGGCTTTTGTTGTTGTTGTTGCTTCTTCTTTGTAGACATTCTTGTATGTATATATATATGTATATATGTGTGTGTGTGTTTAGTTTATATATGATCTAAAAATAATAATAATAATATAGACTACTATGAGAAATAATAATTACATTACAATATAAATATAATGTTGTTTGTTGTTAATAAACCATTATAGTGATATGTATCAAATATTGATATTTTGACAAACAAGTCTGTAGTTTCTTTTCCCTTTCGCTTGCTTGCTTGTCGATTCTTATTTTCTTCCTTTTGTGTTGTTCTTACCTTTTTATGTTTTTTTAGAATTCTTTATCTCTCTCTCTCTTGGTTTACCACACACAAACAAACAAACAAACAAACAAGCACGCCTACTCTACTACTGCTTCTACTAACTCTACTTCTACTACTCTCTACACCCTAACAAAGATTGATTAATATGAATGAATGATCAACACGAACTGACTTTTAACTTTGTGATCTCTGCAGAGCCAATCGATTATTCGCAAAATTGAAGCATATAAAAATAATTTTCTTTTTTTTGTTTTCAAAATAGTATTGCATTATATTGTCTACTTTTTCAATATAAAAGTTGTATAACCCTTTATTATTAAAGTTTTAATATAGATATATAGTACCATACTATATATAATATCATTTCTAAAAAAGATGGCAGAAAGAAGAGCAATGAACAAGTATATCCCACCCGACTATGATCCAAAGAAAGGGTCGATGAATACACAACTTGGACAACATCATCTACGAGACCGCATCAAAAAGAATGGAGTGATGGTAGTTCGATTTGAAATGCCATACAATGTTTGGTGTCTTGGTTGCAACAAACATATTGGACGAGGAACAAGATACAATGCACACAAGAAACTCATTGGGAAATACCTTTCATCTGACATTATATCATTCAAGATGAAGTGTCGTCTATGTAGTCACTCTTTTGAAATACAAACAGACCCCGAACATGCTCAATTTAAATTGGCTGATGGTTTAAAAAGAAAAGAAGAAACTTGGGATCAAGGTGGAAACGATGCAAGTGATAATATTGCTTTAGGTGGAGAAATAGATGATCAGAGTGATCATGATGATGACAATGATAGACAACAAAAAAGAACTAAAAATGAAGATAATAGTAATATTTATGGAATAAATTTAATGGGAGGAAAAGTATATAGCGACGAGGAAAAGAGTAGATTGGAAATAGATCCAATGTTTAAACTACAACATGTAAATAGAGATAAAGAACGTGCCAATCAAATGGCACCAACGTTAAGCAATATGTTGGATACTATGAAAACGAGAAACGACAATTACAAAATGTCTACGATGCTCAGGAAAACCTTTAGAGAGGAGAAAAAGATAAGAGAGGCTGAAGAAGAGGATCTAAAAAAACGTGGTATCACTATTCCACTTTTACCTCTCTCTGAAGCTGACAAGGAAGAAGCTAGACAAACTGATTTCCTTGGTTCATTAAAAAGAAAAGCAAATCAATCAAAACAATTTAAAATTGATGATTTAAAAACAAGTTCAATATTTCAACCAAACAACATAAATAATAACATAAATAATAATAATACTAATAAGAAACAAACGACAAGTGAAGAAAAAAGAAAGGAAATATTAAAAAAGAAATCAAAATTGGATCAATCATTATTTAAACAACAATCCAAAACTAATTCTAATAATAATAATAGTATAGGTTCCATATTTTCATCTAATCTATTTAATAAATAGTTATAATGATCCCTTCATTCAATATGCAAAGGTATCCTTTTTGTACATACATATCCACAAATAGTTACTACTCAACTCGTTGTAAAGGTTATATATTATATTTTCTTGTCTTGTTTTATTATTATTATTAATATTATTATTTAAAGTAAAGTTGAGGTTGTAGAGGAGGAGGAAGTAGAGTTATTTTCGATAGCCATTTGTTGAGTAATTTCTTGTTGTTGTTTGAGTACGTTCTTTAATACAGACTTTAGATCAGTTCCCAATTCGGATGCCATATCCTTGTTCTTTGTCTTTAAAATATAATTGTCAAATGTTCCAGCCTTGTCTATGCATCTAATTGTATATGTAGTAACGTTAACTTTAACCTCTGCGTCTAATAAATGACTAAAGTATGTCTTTGCTTGAACATTTGGTTTCCAATTTCTTCTTGTCCTATAATCCATCAAAACAGAGAGTTAGATCATCATATATTGATATCTATCTATTCATTGTATTCCTTTGTTGCTGTGTGTTGCTTCATCGATGAATGACCCTTCTGTTCTTTCTTTCTTTCTTTTCTTACTTCTTATGTGAAAAACTGATAATGTTGCCATATTGAATGAGTTTGCCACCGTATAAACCTCTTTGAGATCTCTTCATGAGATTAGCATAGTGTGGATTCAAACTAGCTGCTTTTGTAAAGCTAGATACTATATTTCCTAACATTGACATTCCTCTATTTCTTTCTTGTCTTTGATCTAATCTACAAAAGTACTCTACTTTGCTTGACCACCAAATATGCAGATGATCAACACCCAAAAGAGAGTGCACGAAAAATGTAAAAAAAATCAAAAAAAACGAGTACCATTCATTCTTGCAATGAGTATGAGTACTTTTAATACTACGACTATGTAATATATGAATGAATGAATGAATTGAATGATGTTATCACAATTATTTAAAGGATATCATCCATTGAAATATAATTATCACAATACGGTTAGATATGTATTGTCTTCATCATCATCAATAAACTCGATTCATCAACATCAAAATAATAGACAACATTATTGTAGTACAACTAATAATAATATAGATAATAATAATAGTAGTAATAATAATAATAATAATAGTAATAATATAGATAATAGTAATGTAGAATTATCAAGTAAAGAAAGAAATATATTAAAGAGAAAGAAGAAAAAAGATGATTTATTAAACAACTTGACCAATGAGTTGAACAATAGCAACAACAACACGACGTCAAAGGTTGATCAAAGAAACAAACAAATCGATGAACAATTAAATCGTATGGAACACGTTAAACTTGATAGATGTACTGGTTGTGGATGTACGATGCAATACGAAGATACAAACACACTTGGATACATACCAAAATCGGTTGCCATTCGGTACATGTTGAATAAACAAGTACGTGAAGACTTTATCAAAGAGGAAGAGGAAATGATCCTTAAACTAAAAGAACAAGAAGAAAATCAATTGGAACAACAACAAGATTATGATCCATATCTTAATCAATTTAATGAATTAGAAGAAGAAGTAGTAGATAATAATAATAATAATAATAATATTTTGGAACATCAAGAGGAAGAAGAAATGATGGGAGAATTAGATGATTTAGATCAATATGGAAATAAGAAAACAAAAATAGATAAAGGTCAAATTTACTTTGAAAGATTCTTTGGTCGTAGTAAATTAAATTCATCCTCATCTGATACAACAACTGCAACAACTGCAACATTGGATACATTCTTGAAAAAAGAAGTATGTCAAAGATGTCATATGTTGAAAAACTATGGAAAGGTTGTACCAATCAAGATTCCAGTCAACGAGTTTAAGAGCAAGTTGGCTAATATTCGAAATATGAATTGTGTTGTCATCAAGGTGGTAGATATTATGGATTTCTCTGGAACGTTTATCGAAGACTTTAGACACATTGTCGGTAACAATCCAGTGATTGTCGTCTGCAACAAGATGGATGTCTTGCCCGCCGACATTCACAAACATCGTATCGAAGATTGGATCAGAAGAGAGTGTAAAGCCCGTGGAATGGTAGCAGCACACGTCAAACTACTCAGTAGTGCCAGCAAAGAAGGTATCACAGACTTTATCGTCGAGCTGGAAAAGATCAGAAGAGGTAGAGATGTTTTCGTAGTTGGATGTTCCAACGTTGGTAAATCAACTTTCCTCAATGCTCTAGTCGACGAGTACTCTAATAAAGTTGAATTTGGAGATCAACAAGAAGAAGAGAATGGAGGAAAGAAGAAAAAGAATGGTAAACAAGAAGTCAAGCATAAAGAGGCAGAACCACAAGAAACACCAGAAAAAGAAGCAGAAAGAAAGAGAAAGTTGTTGGCTAGTCGTGTAACCACCTCGATCTTTCCAGGAACAACTTTGAATGTTATTTCAGTGCCACTGTGGAACAACTCGACGCTGTTTGATACTCCCGGTGTTGACAACCCATCACAAATCATCAAACTTCTCAAACCAGAGGAACTCAAGGCCGTCATCCCAACCAAGCGTATCAAACCATCTCTAGTGCATATGATCGAGGGTAAGAGTCTGTTTTTAGCCGGTCTAGCTCGTATCGACTATTCCGGTGGTTTGGCAACATTTACAGTCTACACCAACAACAATCTCCCCCTTCATCTTTGTAGAACCGATAAAGCAGATGCTCTATTCCAACGACAAAGAGGTAAAATGTTATGTCCTCCTATTGGTCTAGAAAATATTAATATTAATAATAATAATAATAATAATTATATTGAAAGTGACATTATTGGAAATGGATTAGTATTTGATGAAAAGATGGATCTTTCACAATTAACTAAATTTTCAATTACACCTGAACAAGTAGATTTTAAACATACCCATACCGATCTTGTTATTTCTGGATTGGGTTGGATTGCCATCAAACCGCTGTCCAAACAAGCCAAACCCTTTAAACTTTCAATATACACGCCTAAATTCATCGATGTTTCACTTAGAGCTCCTTTGGTTCCTTTTACAGATACCTTTAATATTGTTAAATAAATAAACTCAAACCAAGTTGGTCGAATAAATTAATTAATTGTGTCGGTTGGCGATAAGCTATTCAAAATTTGAATTCACCCATGAGAAAAAGACGCGCCAAATTTATATGTTGAGGTTGGGTTGTTGTAATACTAAAACAACAATTACACAAGTATACAATTTACTTGTAATACAAACAAGAAATGGGAGATGTAATGGATATTATTTCTAAAGAGAATACTACTACTACTATCACTATATTACCTCCTCACTCGTCTAATAATATAAAAGATCTGATTAATCACAGCAATAATAATAATGATGATAATGATGTTATAATACAAGACAAGTCTCCTGTCACAGTAGAAGGTGAAGGAAAAGGAGTAGCAATAGCAATAGATTCAGAGATGAGTAACAATAATAACAATAACAACACCATTGAATGTAATAGTAGTAAAAGAAAACGATCAGAAGAAGAAGTGACGACTGCTGAAGCGGACAACAACAACAATACTAAGGATAATAATAATAACATTATTAATAAAGATGATAATAGTAATATTACTTCTACAAATGGATGCAATGAAAATGGCATCAACCAACATACATCGCCTCCATCTCTATCACCCTCCCCTTCAGACGAGCCATTGGAGAAACAACAACAACAACCACCAAATCAAGATGTAATGGATAGTAGTAGTAGTAGTAGTAGCAGTAGCAGTAATACTTCTACTATAAATGTCATACCTCCATCAACAACAACAACAACAACAGAGATATCAGAGTCAACGCAAACACCAACATCATCATCTACGACTACTCCAACCAAGGATACAAATGATAAAATAATAAGGGAACAAGAACAAGACAATGACATACAACCAGAAGAAGAAGAGGAAAAACAAATACAACAAACTAAAAAGAAACAAAAGATAGATCCACAAACAACATCAACAACGACAACAATGGAATTGGAAAACCAAAATGGAAATAACAGCAATAATACTACGGATAATAACTCATCAACTATTAATAATATGATAACAAGATCACCTCCAAGAACAAGGTCACCAACAAGAATGATATCACCTCAAACGACATCACCTACAAGAACAAGATCACCTACAAGAAGGATATCACCTCCAACGGCATCACCTCCAAGAACAACATCACCTACAAGAACAATGCAACTTAGACCCAAAAAGAATAGTGGTGATGATGGAATGGAGGAATTATTTTTTAAACAATTGATAGATTTTAATCTTGCTCAAGCGTATGTATCGTACCATTTATATTTATAAATAACAACCTATAATATTTATATTTTCATTTATTTAGATCATTTAAATCAACAAAAAGACCAACACTAAGAGGCAAAAAGGTAGAACTATTTAAAATATATAACAAGGTGATTGATGATTATGGAGGTTACAACTTGGTTAAAAATGGTTGGAATGAAATTGCTGCCATGGAAGAATTTACAGGATACAAAGGTGCTGAAATCCGTAAACTTTATTTGGAACATTTATTGGATTTTGAAAAGTAAATATATATACACTAAATTGTTATGCATTGTTGTTGGAATATATAATATTTATATTATCTATCTAACCTCTTTTTCTTTTTTTAGAACATTTAAACAACCAGCAGTTGAACCTATATCAGATATAAATGAATTGGTACAAGATCAAACCGATCAACAGGGAACACTGAGTGATGTACTCAAAACCAATTTACTTGGGAAAAATCATAAAAGAAGATTGTTGAATACGCAAACACCTCCGTCTGAAAGGTTGATTAGAAAGGGAACAGTACCGGCTTTTCAAACCTATGAACATGATTTGGTTGGAAGTAAAAATATAACTATTTTTGACAAGAGATTGTTTGTTCAAGCTTTAGAGGAACGTGTATCAGAGCTTGCCGATTCAATTACAACCAACAAATCAACATCATCGAAAAAGAAGAAACAGGCAGCTGCAGCTGCTGCAGCAACAACAACAACAACAGCAGTCGCTACTACGCCCAAATCATCATCATCTAAAAATAATACCAATCATTCCACTCCAAAGCCTACACCACCACCTAAATCAACCGATACCCCAACCACCACAAATCGCAAGAATGCTGTTGTTGAAACACCTGTAAAGTCTACCAAACCATCACCATCACCATCACTATCACAACAACAACAACAAGATACTATTCCAAAACCACCAAAACCACCAAAACTTAAACCAAGTCAAAGAGAGGCAATGGCAAGAGAGGAACAAGAAAGAAGAGAAAAGGAGCGAGGCCAAAGATCAAGACTTGAAAGAGCAGAAAGAGAAAAGATGCGTGAAGAAAATAGAATGCAAGAGTGTATGCGTCAAATTGAAAAACAAGAAAGAGCAATAGGAATGGTAGGAGGAGCAGGAGGAGTAGGAGTAGGAGGAGTAATGGTAGGAGGAGAGATGAAATTTGGCGACGATATATATGAATCGGTATACAACGAAAATACCAACTTTGGACATCTAACAAAGGAAACTTTACAAATTAGAATGAAAGAATTAGAGGGTATCATTGCCTTTTTAAGCCCTATTTTAGATGGAGCAACAAGAGAAAAGGATCTCATTCTACAAAGATATAATCAAGCTACTGATAAATAAAAATAAACAAATAAATAAATAAACACAACAAGATGAAAAGACAATCATTGTAATAAAAGTAAAAAGACTTTCTAGTATTAGACACAAATTTGTGTGATATCAAGATTGATTTCTTAATTTGGTCATTTACTTTTTTGGAATATTTCCATTTTTGAATCGATACGGGCGGGTGGACTACAAACAGTTTTGGTAGACTGTCGCCCTTTTGCCCCCCTTTTGTCGACAATTGATTGATTATAACGGGGCCTCGATTGAAAAGATGCAATACGATCTTTTGATTTTGTAACATTCAATGAATTTAGAAAAAAAAGGAAGGATATTAACAATGATCGTCGTGTTTTTTGTAACTCGAAAGAGTGAGAGAGTCGTGTTCACATAATGCTAAAGGCAGGAATTGGACCTTACCTCCCCTACCATTGTATACCCGTCGCACATACGACGAATGAATGATCATCATCATTTTAAAAATGAATCCTCCCTTTTTGTTTAATTGTTGTTGGGGATCGAAGATGATGGTTGATGATTTTCTTTTAATTTTAATCGATGAGACAAAAGACAGTGTTAACACTAAATGAGGCTTGGAGGTAAGACTCCCTCCCTCCCTCTTGAATGAGCATGATGTCAGTTGGTTGTGGGAATGGGCACCCACAGAACAACAACACCAAAAAGTCGTAAGTATGCATCACTGCCATGAAGGTGTGATGAAACTCGCATGTGCGACAATTATAACCGAGCAACATCTTGGCTAGCGGGAGGGCATAGCACGAGGCGAGGGGGGTCAATCGAAGATTGTTTTTCAAGCCAACTTTGGTAGGAGGATAGAGGCATGGCCCTCACTACAGAGAGCGCAGCACACAGACACACAGAAACAACAAAAATGATCTTCATTTTTTTGAATTTTTTTGTAATATAGGATCAACCAAACTCAAGCAAAAGGACAAGGAGACGAGAAAAGAAAAGAAAAGAAAGAGAAAGAAAAAGAGAAACCAGACCCATCCAGACTTATTATTATTATTATTAACAAACCAAACACGATATATCACTACCACTACCATCCATCATCAAAGCAAAGCAAAGCAAAAGTATGAGAGACGAGAAAAGAAAAAGAATTAGATAAATATTTGCAGTAGCCCCCAACAAACCAAACCACCACACGCCATCACACTACTTTCGCCGCAAACAAACAATTGTGTCAAACTACCTAAATTAAACTTTTATTCTTCTTATCTTTCCAACCTACCTATCATACCATATTATATTATATTAACATTGTTTACTTATTTTACATCTTCTATAAATCTATCTATCTATAAATCTATCTATCCATCTATCTATCTAGCATCATCAGTCATTATACATTGTATTACTATATATATAATCATTTATATCTATCTATCCATCAGTCTATCAACAAATATCTATATCTATTTAAGAAAGTAAGTGTAAATAGTTAAAGCAGATACAGAGATACAGATACAGATACAGTTAGTTGGCTAGAGTTATTTGTTGTGTGTTTGCAGTTTGTGTTCACGTGATGATCATATGATCGCCAATTTTCAACTTTTGTTCTTCTCCTTAATCACTATCAATCAATCAATCAATCATCATTGTTTAATTTATCAATTCATTCATTCATTCATTCAATCAATCATTTGATTGGATATGTACATATCAATATATATTTCTGGTTAAATTAATTAACGACGATTAATTTGGCAGTTTCCAGTTTCAGCTCAGTTTTCCCTCCATAAAAATTTAAATTTTGAAAACCACCAGTCGCGTGGAAACCCCCAAGAAGATTCTTTTTTTAAACGCTGTTGTTTGTGACATTTTTTGATCTTTGCGATCGAGTTTTTTCAAAAATCAGTTCGAAAAAATAGGATTTATGATTTGATTCCTATAACAACAACAACAATTAGAGACAGATTGGAACCCTTCGCCTTTCCTTTTATTCTCATTCATTCTCTCTTTTTGTTGTAAAACCCTCCCCTTTTTCTTTTTTTTGTTTCCTCCTTTTTACAAATCTTTTTTTTTCTTTCTTTAAAAGAACGCGAGGAGGAGACAAGACAAGATACTAATCATATCATATGATTGGTGGTTATGGTTTGTCTTTGTCCGATCTAAATTGTAATATTATCTATCCTTTCCTATCCCATACCCATACCCATACCCATATCCATCTATTATCTGTCCATAAATTCAATATTCGTAACCCCTCACACACACAAGTTTAAAAATGTAAGTGTGTTTATGTTTATAGTTGATCGATCAACTATAATCTTCACCTGACCTGTTTATATCTTCTCCTCCTCCTCTACTCATTTCCATTTCCATTTCCAATCAAACAAATATCATCATCGGTTCATTTTTGTAACAAATAGAAGAGGAGGAAAAATTAAACTGATTGATACCTTCACCAAAAACACGTGCATGTGTTTCCCAAGCCAATTAATTAATTCCAACCTATAGTGATTTTTTTGTGGTTGGCTCCCTTTTTTTTGATGGGTGAATGGTTGGTTGGCTGGTTGGTGATGTTCATCATCTGGATGTGAATGGAGGACGATGATTTAAATTTCACACCCCACAACAATCATTCCGTCCAAAATCTTTATCTCTCTCTCATTCATTCCATTCATCATTCAAATATTATATAATATAAATCTCTCTCTCTCTCATTTTTTATTGGGCCGTCGTCACATCATTCTCTCTCTCTCTCTCTTGTTATTGTCATTGATTGGTGAGCCAAGAAGAGTCAATTTACAATTATCATATCAACAACAACAGCAACAACTCTACTACTCTTTTGTTTTTTTTGTTTGTGTGAGGTAGGTAGGTAGTCGAAAAAACAATGCAATCCCAATTTCACTACACTATTACCTACTACTCTGTTCTGTTTAAAGAATGTGGTGGGGTCTCAGATGGTGGTGATCATCATGATGGTCGTGGTCAGTTTCCAGCTTGTGCACAATAATTATAGTACAACCAGTTACTGTACTCTCTTGCTCTGCCCTGCCTACCACCATTATTATTATCCCATGATTCTAAAATTAATCATCATCAAGATGATTTGATTGGGGATGATCCTTCACCATCCAGTTTCATCATCAATGCCATAGACATCAACAACACTCAATCATCACCACCAATCAAACAACAACAACAACTGTTCACATATTCATTCAATTGAAAAATCAAGATCTGATTTCATTATGTATTATATATATGTTTTATATACATATGGGCAAGAAGATGAGATGAGATCAGTGCTGGCTGGCTGGCTGGCTAGCTAGCTAGCAGTGGAAACAGACAGGGTGAAAAAAAAAAGAAAAGAAAAGAAAAAGGGTAAGGTTTCATACCTCCCATCAATTTGATCATCTTCTGCTCTCTCTCACTCCCCACTCTTCTCGTTATCCAATATCTAAATCTGCCATCATCATCATCATCCACTACTACAATATTTAAATATATATATTTACTAACCAATCATCCTATCCTATCCTATTTATTATATTTAGATTTTCATGCTCAACCATTTAACTACTCTTACTACAACAATTTCAACTACAACAATCATCATTGTACACCGATTTGAATCATAATCATCATAATCAATTAATCTTTCTTTCTTTATCCAGTTTTTTTTTCTTTAAATCCATGTTTTAGTTTTAGTAATATTACATTGTACACATTTAATCAATAATAACTCTTTATAAACATATATAAATAATAATAATAATTAATAATGGTAGTTCACCAAAAAGATTTACAACAACAACAACAACAACAAAATATTAACAATAATAATAATAATAATTCACAGATGACATTCCATTCATATCCGGTTGGTGGCCATCATCATAATCATAATCATCATCATGGTCATGGTATGATTGATTCCATGCAGGTATCGTCTTCGAGTGCTGCCGTTGCTTCTGTTGCCGCTGCAATGTTGTCGTCATCGTCGTCATCGTCGAGTGCAGGACTAGACATTGAGTTGATTGACAATGACAAGGAGAATCTTTTCAATAACAGTAATACCAACATGGTTATTGGTGGCACCAACTCGACTGTCAACCTCATGATCAAACAACAACAACAACAAGGTGTTCCAATTGGACACGGTACCAATTCATCTTCACCATGTTTATTAAACCCATTTACAACTGCTGCCAATGCTGCTGCTGGTTTGAATAATCCTTCTTCTCTCAATAATTCCAACTCCAACTCAAAATATAATAATAATAATAATAATAGCAGTAACAAATTAAAAAGAGAAAGTAAATCATTATCAAGTTCATTACCAGTCTTGAGTATATTGATGAGTGGTGGTGGTAATAATATTCATGGTGGTAGTCTTGGATCATCATCATCTAACAGTGGAGGACAACAAACACCTCCAACTACACCAAAATTGTTTCATTTTGATGATCATCATCTTAGTACTGCATCACCAGACCTACAAAACCTTTCAACAACATCATCATCATCACTACTTGCATCAGTTGTAGTGGTTGAAGAAAAGTCACAACCTGTAAAGAAACATAGAAACTCTCAAATCCTTTTCAACACTTTTAATGGATTGTCAATGATTGATCAAGAGGGCATTTCATCGCCATTGTCGCGATCCGCCTCTGATCTATCAACTCTAAACTTGAATAGCGGCGGTAATCATCACCACGACTCTGACAATATTCCCATGTCTAGATCACGTACATTTTGTTTCGAGTCTACTCGTGGTGGTGGCAATGGTGGCGGTAGTGCACCTTCATCGGCCAGTAACAGTGGGTTCATCCCATCGTCTTGCAAAAAGTTGGATTTTTCAAATATTTCCAGTTCTCTTTCATCCATCAATACTGGTAATAGTAGTAGTAGTGTCTCTACACAACTACCAGTATGCTCATTGTCATCACCACCTTCACCCACATTGTTTAGTATTGGATCGAGTTGTTTGATGCCTATTAGTTTCTCATTGTCCAAGAGTTTGACCAGTTGCACTACCACCACTACAACTACTACTGCTACTGCTACAGCTGCAACTGCCTATCCTGATAGTCCAGAGCCATCACCATCACAGACACCTATCAAGGCACAGTCTCCAATGAAGCTAGTACGGTCTAGTCCTTCTATTGCCATTGTCTCTCATCATCATGGTGTGTCCTCCTCTTCGTCAATGATAGAGTCATCATCATTGTCATCAGATATGATGAGTCAAAGTAGTAGTCAAAGTACCAATGAATTTCTATCAACTCAACCATCCCTTTCACCACCTATTCCTTCAACACCTGTGATGCAGCAGCACCACTCCAACACACCATCATCGTCATCACAAGGAATGAACTTTGAGTTTTGTACAACATCACCTTACAAGACACCATCTAAATCTGCCATCTACCTTGGTACCACCAAATCACCAACCATTCACAATTTATCTTCATTGTCCAACTTTCATAATAATAATAGTAACAATTCTTTATATCAATCTTCCGACTCTGTTTTTAATGTTAAAAAACGTACATTGACTTGTTTACTTGGTCAAAGTAGTAATGGCATTGGTTTGGGTATGGGTGGTGGTATGGGTGGAACAGGAACTACATCTAGTTCATCATCTGGATTTATTACCCCTTACTCTACCAACAAACATTTGGATGCTACTGATGAAAGTGATCATTCAGGTATTAGTATTCTTGGTGCAACAACCACAGCAACCACTTCAAGATGGATTAAAGCATCACCTGATATTGTTAAATCCAAACCACTTCCATTTGATAATCCATCTCCATCACCCTCATCACCTTCCTCCTCGAGTCAAACTGAAATTACAAATAATAATATTAATAATATTATCAATTCTTTACATAATGCCGATGAATATAAATTAAGATTACCTGTTTGTATTGGTAAATCTGGTTTTAATAATATAACTCCAGAAACTGTAAGAAAAGAAAATGGAAACAAAAAAATAGAAACAAAAAAAAAAGAAAAAGAAATATTAATATTTTTATTTCTTTTTTATTATTAATTTAGTTATCAAAATTAATGGATGATAGAAATAATAATATAACAATTGTAGATTGTAGATTTGCATATGAATACAATGGAGGACATATTATCAATGCAATTAATATTCCACCTAGTTTTGCCATTGAAACTTTGAAAACACACTTTTTCCAACAAGAACATCTCTCGAAAAATCGAAATACCAAACCAAGTATTATCATCTTTCACTGTGAATTCTCGTCAAAGAGAGCTCCAGAATGTTATAAAAACTTTAGATGGTTGGATAGAAAACATAACCCCTATCCAAATATTCATTACCCCGATATTTATTTATTAAGTGGTGGTTATAAAAGATTCTTTGAAACTTTTCCTGTAAGTTTTAAAAAAAAAAAAAAAAAATCAAAATCAAATCAAATCAAATATTAATTTCTTTTTATTTTTATTTTTTTAGGAAAAATGTTCAGCAGATTATATTAGAATGGATGATCCAAGATTTATTGATGAAAAAAGAAAAGAAGATGAAAAGAAAAAAGAAGAAGCAAAGAGAAATAGATTTGGTAAAGAAAGATCTCAATCATTCCATATTTAAATATATAAAAATATTGTATAAAAAAAACAAAAATAATAATAATGGAGGAAAAAACAAACCAACAACAACAACAAAAAAAAAAAAACAACATACATACACCAGACAATCATACTTTAGATAATCCCTCCAATTCCAGATAAATAATACTCCAACAACAAACAACATCTACACACACATACATCACTAATCTCATCTCTCACTCACACACATCATTTCATTGTAATCATTTTTTCAAAGATAAAAAGGCCCTCGATTGGATCTTGGTTGCTTTATTTTATTTTTTTGAAAATGATAATACACAAAACACTCATCATTCATTTATCACATATTTCATAAATTATTTCCTTTTTACCAAAGAAATAAATCAAATCATTTTTTTTAAAACAACTTAATATTTATTAAACAAGAATAAAAAGGGTTCTTTTTTATTTTGTTTAAATTATCATGCTTTTTGTTTTTGTTTAAGCATAGATGACAGCCTTGACAAAGAGGTTGGCTGGAGCAGCACCATAGATGATGTAACCAAAAGTGTAAGAGGCACCAGCATTGATGTCTTGGTGGCTTGGGAGAGTGACAAAATCGATAAAGTTGCCTTGGACAATGTTGATGTTCCAGATGGAGCTGTTGTCACGGAGACGGCAAGTGGCATCAGTACCAATGACGATTTGCTTGATGTTTCTGGTGGCATAATTGGTGATGGTAATATCCCATTGAGAGAAGGTTTGACCATTGGTTTGCCATGTTCCAATCATCTTGTGTTGGATACCAAGTGGGTGACTTGCAGCTACAAAGGAAATGCAAAGGAGCATAGCACATACAAAGATTAATGATTTCATTTTTTAAAAGTTTAGTTGAGTTTGGATTGGATTATTAATTAAATATTTAGAATATTTGATTTGATGATTTAATTTTAATTTAAAAATAGAGTATTTATACTTTTTGGACAAAGGAACTCTGGAACATTGTCAATGTTGTTTTGTCAATGTTGACATTATAATATATCGTTTACATGATGCACTCTTGTATTTGTATATTGTACAATCTATAAAAATAAATATTTATATAACCCAATTCTAAATAATATTATTTAAATAATTACGTAATTATTGTTTTAAAAGTAGATTTTAGATTTAGATAGATAGAGATTAAAAAAACAAAAAAAACAAAAAAAAATATAAACACACAACAAGTCATAGAGGTGTTTACACCATAACATTTATAACTTTTAACAATCAAAACAAAAATAATATTTATACAAAATGCACTCCACCTTTCTTCTTTTCTTTACTTTCTTGTCTTGCAATCTTGGATGAGATATGTTGTCAACGATTTGAAAGATATTTTCAGTCTCAAAAAAAAAGTATCTTGAATCAAGCAAGCTCGAAAAAAGCAGCATATTGCGATAAGGTTCGATCATTTCATTGCACCGTACTTTTATAACTTCTTCTTCTTCTTCTTTGGAACCCACGCTCACAACAATGAAATAATATTAATATCTTTTTGTTATCATTATCACATTCGCACATATTCTCTTCTTCATCTCTTCTTCCTTTGTTTATAATAATAGATAGATACAGAGAGATGAAAATATTATTATTATTATTATTTTATATATTATTAGTAACTAATAATAATATTGTTAATTCAATATCAACAGTTGGTATAACATTGGATAATGGTAGATCAATAGTATGGAGTGACTATTTAGCAATCAATTATCAATTGTTGTGGTGGAATACTACAACGTTGGACAAGCAAAACGAATATATCAGAGGGTTGGGAATAGAGACGGTTCGTGTTGACGTACATTGGGATCAGTTTGAACCTACCCAAGGTAATCGTCTGTACAGTCAATATGACCCACTCTTTGCAAAGTTAAAGGGGTTCAAGAGTTTGGTCAACCTCGTTGGTACACCGAGATGGGCTAGTTCGTACAACCAGTCTGTCGATGGCCAATGGATTGATACCTACCCACCCGCCAACGACACGGTCTATGCTGATCGTCTCATGGGTCTAGCCATCCGATACCCTTGGGTCACTCATTGGGAGGTATGGAACGAGATGAATCTCATCCCATACTTTTGGGCACCACATTATAACCCCTCTCGCTATAATCAACTCTTTCAAGCTTGTGTATCGTATTTTGATCAATATGGTCCAATGAACAGCGAGCCAATCAATTCGTCATCGTTGGCAGTTGGAGGATTTGGATACTTTAGTGCAAGTAGTGAGAACCCATCATCACTCATGATCAACGACCTATTTCCAATGGGAACCTTTTCAAACAAGGTGATTAGTTACCACCCATACACCAATACGCCAGAAGGTGACTTTGGTCAGACTCCAGGTGACCCCTACGCCTTTCTCGCCACCTCTCAGTACATTAACCTCAATCTAAAGATTGCAACACCCGCCCAAAACCGTCCAAGTGAGGTATGGGCATCGGAATGGGGATGGTCGTCTTTTGCGTCGGGCGGCTTTAACCAATCGATCCAGTCAACCTATACTATCCGTCGTCTCCTTCTCGACACTCTTGCCAATTTCAACAAAACCTTTATCTTTGCCATCTCGGATCTCGATGCTCGTGCCTCCTCTGAACGTGATCAATTCTATGGTCTCATCAATCTTCAACTCGAAAAGAAACAAGTCTATGTAGATTTGGAAAGATTATTTAATATTACTGGTCCAGTTCTTTATTCTGCTGGTGATATAACTAAAATTCTCACCATCAATAATAATAATAACCAATTGCCATCGGATCTAGTCACAATCGTCTATAAAAATGCAAATAATCAAACTCTTGTTGCATTGTGGTTATCAAGAAATGAAACCAATTCACCAGTCAACATTACCATCACTTTTGTTGAAACCAATGTTTCAGGTGTCTATCGTACCATTGTTGGTCAACATACCAATACATTAATGTCTGGTCATTCTATTACATTACCAGTTACAAGTGATGTTGCCATATTTTCATATCCAGATCAAATCAACGATAATTCTTCAGATGTTCCATCAATTGCTATCAAAAATCTTCATCAACCATTATTATTATTATTATTATTATTATTATTTATTTCAACCATACTCTTCTTTTAAAAGAGATAATAAATATCTCTCTTATTATTATTGGTCAAAAAAAAAAAAAAAATCGAAACGAAAATAGTTTCCAAAAAGTGTGAATTGGGGATTTCAGATTTCCAACTTTGGTGGTTAGGGGTTGCACAAAATTTAAAGGTACCATCAATAGAATAACCGATCATTGTTTAAATCAATAATATTTTATATATATATATATAACATTCCTCTTATATTTATTTATCTATTTTTATATATTCACCAAAAAAAATGTCAATCATTCAAGATCAACAATTAGATGAATGTCTTGTTGAAATATCAAATGATGAAATTCCATTGGTCATTCAATCAGATGAAAAAGTTGACCAACTTTCTAATATAGAACCTGAAAAAAGAAACAATATAGATTTATATTTAGTTTATCTTTTATTATTTCTATCAGAATCTTCTAGAGGTATAGTTTTACCTACCATTTCATTATATGTTATTTCAGTTGGAGGTAATACCTCATTTTTAGGAGTATGTAAAACTAAAATATAAAATTTTAAAATATAAATATATATTTAATATTCTTTTTTTTTTTTTTAGATAATAATTAGTGGATTTAGTTTAGGAAGATTTTTATCAACTATTATACAGGTTATTTATCAACTTTTTCATTTAAAAGAGTATTTTGTGGATCAGTTTTAATTTGTATTATTGGTTCTGCAATGTATTGTACAATGTTTTCCTTGTCATCTAAATCATTATTATTGATTTCAAGATTTCTATTGGGTGTTGGTGCTGGTACTCTTAGTGTTGTTAGATCTTATATTGCAGAGATTACAACTGTAAAAGAGAGAACAAAATTTGTAGCTATTACTGGAGCTGTACAATATCTTGGTTTTGCAATCACTCCTTCCATTGGATCAACATTGGCATACATTCCACCTTTTAATATTGGAGTATTTCCAATTAATCCAATAACATCACCTGGTTGGTTATTATTTATTGGTAATCTTTCTCTTTTTATTTTTCTTTTATTTATTTTTAATAATCCAAAAGATCAACAACAAAATACTTCTTCTTCATCTTCATCTAATATTTTGTTGGAAAAAAAACAATCAACATTTTCAATAATTATTAATGATCGAAATACTATTCAATCATTGATAATATTTTTTACTATAAACTTTTTTATTAGAGCTGTATTGGGAATCTTTGAAACATTGGGTACACCCATTTATACTCTACTCAATGATGATATTGACAATACAAGTGGATACTTTTTTGGTGCGATTGGATGTATTGGAGTGGTCGTATTGTTTGGTATTGGATACCTCTCTAAAAGAGGATTTAATGACTTTTACATTCTCATTATTGGTAATTTTATCATGGTTATTGGATGTTTGGTTGTAGTGACTAGTCGGTTAAATTGGGGTCGCTTTATAGTTGGATCTATTTTAATTTGGGGCTTTGGTTTCCCTCTGGCCCAAACCGTTGTGGTCTCTATGTTTTCAAAAAAGCTAACTGCTTCGATTGGTAAAAACTCTCAAGGTACTTTGATGGGAATCATTGGAGCGGCTGGCTCTCTTGGGAGAATTGCTGGTCCCTATTGCTCTGGTCTCATCTTTTCAAATCATGGTAGCCTTTACACCTTTTTGTTTGCTTTTGTACTATCTGTTATTAGTTTGGTCATTTCATTTTTAATTATTCCCTTGGATATTAAATTGAAATATATCAAATATATTAAATTAGGACAATAAATTAGGTAAAAAGCGGACGAAATTTTTATGAGTATAAAAAGGCCTAAGGCCAAAAAACTTTCAGTCGGCATCTTGGGTGAGTGGTTAAGCCGACAGACTTGAAATCTGTTTCCTTAGGGAGCGCAGGTTCGAACCCTGCAGATGTCGTATATTTTGTTGTTTTTTTCTTGGCGCCGAAGGAATTTCATTTTTTTTGCTTATTTTTGATGCTAATCGTCATCGTAGATCATTACAACTTGAATACAGTCCATCGGAATTGATTTATACTGATTTCTACACTTTTTTTTTTGTTATTTCCGGTCACATGGTTCGCTATATTACTTTGTTTGGTTTATTATTTCCAATTTAATTACTAATTAGTTATCGAGTCCTTGGAACTCTTGGTTTGATAATCTATCCTATATACATTAATATTTATTAATTGCACAGAAAAAAAAAATAATATCATTTCGTTTTTTTTTGGTGGTCACTTGATTATGACAATTTTGGTAGATATACCAACAAATAAATTCATTAAAATCATTATTGATTTGTCAAGACAAGAAGAAAAGAATATTGAAACGAGACAAAAGATAAAGACCAAATCAAAGAGCAAGTTTAAGAAAATCTCATTGATGATTTCCAAACAACCCTTTTATGGTCAGTCTATTTATTTAGATTCAATACCAATCATTTAAAATACTATGCAAACTATTTAAAAAGAAAAGAAATTGTATTTTTAAAGTTGAAACGTTCATTCAAACTCCTTCAATACTCGTTTTCAAAAGAAAAGATTGATACCATTCTTTGGATGATAAACAAACTTTAAGGATTGTAATGATGGTAACTTATATTTGATTGTGACTACTATCGATTATAACCATCAATTTTTTTTTTTTTTAACTAATATCAAATCGGTTATTTAGGCTCTACTACATACATACAAAACACCCATCTTTTAATTAAAATGTTTTTAGTTGCTAGAAACATCCTATTTAAAACAATATTTGGGAAATCAACATGCATGACAAGAGCTGTTTGCTATTATATTGGAACTGACAAGTCTTTGGAAATACAACAAGAAGAGTGTGATGTGGTTGATATCATATCTGCAAAAAGTTCATTAAAACTGATAGAGAATTTAGACTTGGAAGATATATCAGTCAAATTTAATGATGGTATTTTACAAATAACAATTCCAAAGAAAACACCTCCACCACCCAAACAAAATTAAAATTAAATAGAATAGAATCAATCTTCCTATTTAATATTCATAGAATATTCAATGACCCTACACTGAATATTATGACATGCAATGTTTATGTGTAGAATTGTGGAATCCAGACTTGTCCTATTGTAGGTGTGTTTTGAATACTCACAACCATCTTGCAACCAGAATTTTTAAACTGTATCGATAGGCTCTGCTTGTCTGAAACTAATTTTTAAAACTTATTATTTCTTTTTTTTATCATTTCTTTTTTTTTTAGGAATGATCTTTTTTTATCAAAGTAAATGACCAAAAAACTGTTTGTTCTATTGAATTTAAAAGTTTCAATCATAAAACATGGCAACCATCAACCAACTCAAGATATCTTTTATCGACTAATTCAACACCCTTTCAAAATATCAAAAGTATCATCAAACCAATGAAGGATTAATGAATCATTTTTCAAAACAAGAGATTATTAGATATTGTTTGGATTTGGAGCAAGGTTTTCAACAAGTTTTCCAAATCGATTCAACTCGTGAAGATCAAAAAGGATATTGTTGGCAAGAGGTTGAGGAATATTCATAGAACCATCGCGATAGAAAATATAACATCTTTATTACAAACAAAATTACCAATCTATTCAAATGATTCCAACACAATTTACATATGGATTGTTAAGTCTATTTATTCTTAAAAGGACATTTATAATAATACTACTCGGATCGTGTATCCATACATTTATCCAAACGAATCATTCTTCTATTTTTTAGATTCATTCATATGGATACAACAAAACTATCATGATACAACAACAACAAAAGAAAAGCAAAAACAATTCCTGTTAAAATCATTTTCTGCATTTTTTGTATTGATATTTACAATAGTGGTAGTGATCCAATTATGGTCATCTATTTGAATTTTATTCAACCCTAAACTCTCACTCCTCCTTTTTTGTAAAAGAATCACTTTCTTTACTTTTGGAATCCAAATCATTTTTAATAGAAATTAAAAGATATTGTCCATCTTTATTTTCAATAAATAAATAAATTTAATTATAATACAAAAAAGTTTTGATTGATCCAATTTATGGTAAATCAGCTAAACTCTTTTTTGATGGTAAATTGTTATAAGTAGCGCGAACAGTCTTTCCCTTTAAGGCATATTTCTGACCTTGTTCTGCCTCTGGCGATGCTTCTCCTTTACCCTTTTTTGATTTTGAGATTGGTACATTCTTTTCAACTGGTTTGTTTACAGCTTCAAAATGCTCCTCCCATGCTCCAGTAATCAACGATGGAATACCCGTAGATGATGGCAAACTTCCACTCTTTACATTTTCGCACATCTTTACAAAATCATCAAATCCTACTACTCCTTTCTATAAATTAACATATCAGTATAAATTAAAGATATGTTTGTATATTATTGTGATTGATTAGATTTACATACACCAGAAGTATCAACTTGTTTAATCATTGAATGAATCTCTGCCAAACTTGGTTTGGGACCTCCTGATCTTGAGAATGCTTGTGACAATTCTTCAGAATCTAAAATTCCATCACTGTTTTTGTCTAATCCCTTAAATAATTTTGATAATTGTTCTCTGTTCATTTTATCTATCTGTAGTATTTATCTATCTGTAATAATAATATCGAATATTATTAATAATTAAAATTTTAATGATCAAACACCAAATGTGCATGAAAAAATATCTTTTAAAAAAAATCAAATTGGGTTCAGGATTTTATTTGAAGTGAAAATTGGATGTAGGTGGTTTTTTCATTAAAGTATTGTCTGGCAACTAATTTTTCTTTGAGTATTTATTTTTATTACTGGGACAAAGGGAAATAATTTATCAAATTCCATCATTACCAATGTAGAAGAAAACTTGGACAAGTGTTTATTGACCAATAATTAACGAAATTAAAAGAGGATCCAATGTATAAATAAAATCTATTACTATTAAATGGGAAATAATAAACCATACAAAGTAATATAGATGGACCAATTGACTGGAAAAAAAATAAAAAAAAGAGTAGAAATCAATCCCAATCGATACTGTATTCAAGTTGTAATCATCTACGATGACGATTAGCATCAAAAATAAACAAAAAAAAAAAAGTGTAGAAATCAGTATAAATCAATTCCGATGGACTGTATTCAAGTTGTAATGAACTACGATGACGATTAGCATCAAAAATAAGCAAAAAAAATGAAATTCCGGAAAAAAAATGAAATTCCTTCGGTGCCAAGAAAAAAACAACAAAATATACGACATCTGCAGGGTTCGAACCTGCGCTCCCTAAGGAAACAGATTTCAAGTCTGTCGGCTTAACCACTCACCCAAGATGCCGACTGAAAGTTTTTTTGGCCTAGGCCTTTTTATACCCAATAAATTTCGCCCCCTTTTTTCTTCAATTTATTGTCCTAATTTAATATATTTGATTCATTTCAATATAATATCCAATGGAACAATTAAAAATGAAATGGCCAAACTAATAACAGATAGTACAAAAGCAAACAAAAAGAAAATTTTTGAGTATAAAAAGGCCTAGGCCCAAAAAACTTTGTAGAGGCTACCATGATTTGAAAAGATGAGACCAGAGCAATAGGGACCAGCAATTCTCCCAAGAGAGCCAGCCGCTCCAATAATTCCCATCAAAGTTCCTTGAGATGAAACCGCTGATAAAATCATACCCAATTGGATAGCTAAACGATTTAGCAGATTCTCCACCAATTGGGGCAAAGTAGCTGCACCATATCCATTCCTTCCTGTCGACTAATAGAAATCATTATCTAACTACTTTAACAAAACACCAACCCATACGATAAGTTAGGATCTGGTCTTATCCGCATATGAAGAACCTATTCTCGCATGGAATAATCACCATCTATTACAACCTATTTCCTATAATATATTCTATTACCTCTGTATCTAACCTAGTAAATAGAGCAGTTAGTATCTGGGAACTAACTGCCACAACATCTTTCTCTCATTCTATTACTATTAGTCCAATTACTGTCAGTGACCCAACCAATTTCCAAGTAGAATCTAGATTAAGTCATTTACAAGAGTCAACAGACTTTGATCGATAACAATGAACCATTAATGTGATTGTAATTAAATGTTGTTTATCCTGGACACTGTATAATAGTTGTATGTGGAAAAGAAGAATGTTAGACACGATAAAAGAGCAATATAAGAGTAATAATTATTTATACTGTCCTCAATGACGGATCATCGATAGACATCACCCATTTGATTCAATAAGAATCTATTCTGGTTACACTATGCAGAAAATGGTTGATGAATCAAACGGGTGATGTTTTGGGCAAGCTGCTTCATCGGTGGAAGTCCCAAAGAACCAAAGATGATCCCACGGATGAATGTGGTGGTTATCAGTCTGTGTACTAGGCATCGGATAATCTAGTATTGGTTGGACACGTAATGTGCACGCCTTTGGTATTGACAACCGTACCAATAAGCACAACCTCTTTCTGACTTGTTCTTGTTGGATGTAACACTACTAAAGTAACGGCGGTGCGCAGCTAATAGTATTGTCACAATACATACCTCCTATTATTTCACAATGAAAAGGTGATAAAATCGATCGTTTGGCTTGATTCTTTTTTTTTTTTTTTTTTAATTAAATTCTTTTGTGTGTGGGTTTCACCAACAACTCAAGATTGGTCAGTTGAATTACTAATAATAATACTGTGTTTATTAGTAATCTTTTTTTTGTATATATAAAATTTGTAAATTAATCATTATCATTCAATCATTAGTATAGTAGTCGTAGTAGTAGTAGTAGTAGTAGTAGTTAATAGTCACAACATCGATCATCAACAATCAAATTAATGGAACCAATACCATTAGAGACAGTAATTGTTGATCAAGAGATTGTCAAAGAGTTACAGTGTGGAATCTGTCTACAGATTATAAACAAACCTAGACAATGTTTACAAGGTCATCTATATTGTCTTGATTGTATATCACAATATTTAAAGAAATCTCAAGAATGTCCAACATGTAGAACATCTTTAAATGTTGAAAAGTTATCACGTTCTTTATTTGTTGAAAGACATTTAAGAAATTTAAATGTAATTATAGATAGATTAAAACACAAAAACAATTGTTATTTAGTCATTTATTAATTTAGTTTCTTTTTATTTATTTACCTAGGTATGGTGTAAATATCATTTTGAAAATAAAGGAGGAGGAAATAATAATGTATGGGAAGTTGATGAACAAGGATGTAATGAAATATTGACAATGGAGAATTCTACAAGACATGAAAATACTTGTGAATATAGTTTTGAACCTTGTAAACTATCTTCAGATTGTGGATTGATTAGAAAGATTCAACTAGTTGATCATTTGGAAAAATGTCCAAAAAGACCTATCAAATGTGATCATTGTTTAATTGAGTATCCATTTTCTGATATTGATGTAAGAAATTGAAAAAAAAGAAAAGCAAAAAGAAAAAAAAGAAATAATATTAAAATACTTTTTTTTTTTTTTTAGAAACATTTATTAGAATGTGAAATGATTGAAATTCAATGTGACAAGTGTAATACAAAATTATTAAAAAGAGATTTTGAAACACATAAATTAAATGAATGTCCAAATTGTCATGTTCATTGTCCATTTTTTGATTCTGGTTGTTTAAAAATGGTAAAAAAAAAAAACAAATCAAATCAAATCAAATCAAAATCAATCAATCATTAATTTTTTTATTTATATTTAGTTTGATAGAAAGAATTTACAAGAACATATTGATAAATCACTTGGAGAACATTTAATTTTAATGAAAAACAATTATACACAATCCATTTCATCATTGAAAAAGGATTTCAATCAACAATTAAAAGAAAAGGATGACCAAATTAAAAAATTGGAAAAAGTTTTAAATGATAAACGTAAATATATATATATAAAATAATAATAATCATTTATTTATTTATTTATTTATTTATTTAATTTTAGATGAACCAGATACAAAAATTGAATGGTGTGTAAAAAATTATAGTATAGCAAAGAAAAAAGGATATATTCAATCGGAAAAGTTTGTTTTGGGAGGATTTCAATGGTTTTTGGGATTCTATACAGATGGAGATAGCGCCGACAGCAAAGGATACATTAGCATTTATCTATTTCTCGATACTCATCAAATCCCAAAAGGAAAGAGTTTGGCTTTGGAATATTACCTCAAATTTTTTAATCATCGCGATCCTAGTCAATCTGTGAAAAAGGAATTTAGAACAACCTTTCCCATCAAGGGTGGCAGAGGTTGGGGTGATAGAAAGGCTGTCAAAAGTGCTCTTCTCGATTCTAGTGGTTTCATAAAGGATGATACCTTGTTGGTAAAGGCTGAAATTAATGTAAAAAAAACTTGTTGGTCAATTGATCAAGAACCTGATACTTAGAAAAAAACAAAGAAAAAAAAATAGCTAAAGCTTAAAAACTGTTGTATAAATTAATGTAAATAATTAAATAGAATAAATAGAATAAATAATTTTGTTTCAATGTCTTGGTTTACTTGTTGTTAACCAACAACAGAGAAATAGAGAGTTACCATGATGTCATCCTTCATTTGTCGTTGATTGTATTCTTATTTGAAATCCTTTAATAACTTGTTCAACCAAACTATCTCATCATGGTTTTTTGTTAAAAAAGAATAAAAAAATGGTTTGGATTCTGTTAAAGATTGGGTCATTTCATCGGTAATGAGAAGTTGTTTCTTTCCATATCCAACGATGAGTAGAACCAGAATAAAGCAAAAAGAATGAAATCCACTTGAAACACGGCAAAAAAGTGTGGACTGGAAAACTGGAAAAAAAAACTGGAACAGATTTTTTAAAATCAATGTTTTGGTGATCAGGTTTTGTTGGAAATCAATCAAACTTGGAACCAGAATACAGCAAAAAGAATGAAATCCACTTGAAACAAGGCAAAAAAGTGTGGACTAGAAGGGTATCGATCCCTTTACCTCTCGCATGCTAAGCGAGCGCTCTACCATCTGAGCTACAAGCCCAATTTTTTGGATGAGACCAAAAACAATTTTGCGGTATTTATACCGCCCGCAAAAATTTTAAGTTTAAATTCAGAATGGATAGTCCAAAGTGAAAAATATATTTTTGTAGAAAATAATAATAATATTATCAAAAAATCTTCAATTTATTAATTTTTTTTATTTTTTTTTATTGATGAGAAGCAACAAAACTATCAATAATAAAAGGTTTATCGGTAGAAGAATAAGGAGTAGAAGGAATATTAAAAGGTATTTGATCAACCCAACAAGGAGGTTCAAAGTCATTGTATAAACGGTCGTTGAGCAAGACTACACCAATTTCATAGTTGGACAATTGAATTTGAGTTTGATTTTTTTGTATCTTTCCCCAAGCGGCGGGTGAAAGGTTATGACTACCCACATAGATCCAATCATATCTCTTGTTTTTACCAATGGTTGTGACACCGACATTTACCTTGGTATGCAACAGCATATTACCACGATGAGGATGACGATGTTTGATCAATGTCATAGAGTTTCGTGGAAATGTCTTGTCATCGTATGACTTGTCTTGAAACCTAATAATCGAAGCACTTTGCATTCTTTTATGATTTGAAGTGATCCATGAAACAGTTGGAAATAATATATGTAATGATTTACTAATATCCTCCAAATTATTTTTTGGTATTCTACAACTTTCTAAAAAATGTTGATTCCAACCACTATTTACATTTCCCAATGATGAACACTAAAAAAAATAAATTAAAAATTAATAAATAGAATATATATATATTATATTACATTTTAAACTTACTTGACTAAAAACATCTCTTTTAAAATTATCTATTTTTAAATTTAAATCTTTTTCCTTTTGATTATAATAACTTGTCAATACAGATCTTAATTTTAAATGACCATAGGAATTTAATGTTGCACCATTATGAAACCCAGGAATCGATATAATCAATTGAGCCTTTGCACATTCAAAGTCAAATTGATCCAAGAATTTTGTTTCAATTTTAAAACAATTTAATAATGTTTTTAATGAAATTTGAAAATCATTTGTTGTAGTAGTAGTAGTAGTAGTAGTAGGTTTTTTTGTTGTCATCTGTTTTAATGATAAACTTATAGTTTTAGAGGTTGAAGGAATAGGTTTAAGAGTAGGAGTAGTGGCCAGAGGAGGAGGAGGAGGAGGTAATTTTTTTTGGAAATCCTGATACCAAATTGTTTGACCAATTCTAATATAATCCTCTTCAAATGGATTTGCTGATGGTACTACAACTCTAATATAATCTTTATATAACAACTAAATAAAACAATTAGATAATTTATAAATTAGATATAAATATTTAAATATAATTACCAAAATTAATTTACTATGCATACAACCATATAAAACATGTACCAAGATTAAGGTAATATTTTGAATAACAGTAGTACCTTTTTTCTTTGGATCACCACAATCAATGACAAATGTCATTGGTATATCCTTTCTACCTTTTTGTGAACGTATAATTTCATTCATCATCCATTCAGTATCCATACCAAATCCCATTGCAATCACACTTTCCAATCCACTTGGTGATATAATATCTCTAAATGTTAATGTCTTTGGTGTAGTACTACTATTATTATCATTACTTTCACCATAAATTCTATTTAGATAGAATGACTCTCCAGAAGAAAAAGAAGAAGAAGAAGAAGAAGAAGAGGTAGTAAAAGTATTGTTTGATTTTTGTTGTTGTTGTTCTTTTTGATGATCTAATAATGATTGTTGAATTGCATATTCTAAATCATCATCATATTCTTGATCAATCTTTGTTTTCTTTGTTGATGTTGTTGATGTAGTAGTAGCAGTTGATTTAATTGATTTGAATGGTTGTGTAAAGGTTTCATCTAAATCTTCTGGTTCTGTATCATCATCATCATCAACATTTATGATTTGTGATGTACTTGATCTCTTTTTATTATTATCATTGTCATTATTATTATTATACTTTGATTTATAAACCAAAGGTGGTGAATCTATATTATCTTCTGGTTCTGTTGATTCATCTTCTTCTTCTTCTTCTTGATCAATATCTTGTATCTTTGATTTACTCATTGTGAAAGAAAAAAAAAAAAATTTAAACTCCTCGCCACCTTTTTGATCAATTAAACAAATAAATAATATTATATATTTTTTTTTTTTTATACACCGAATACAAACAAATACTATATACTATATAATATATTAATTATATAGTTTTTTGTATTGTTTTTTTTTTATTACTTTTTTACTTTATACTTTTTTTTTACTTCTTGTTGGTCCAGATAAGAGTATTATGACGATCAATAAGTTGCAAAGCACCATGATTGGTAAAGTGAAGCTTGAGTGGTTGTTGACCCTTGTTGTCGGTACCAGAAGCCCAAGTTGGCTTGCTGTTGATGTCATACAAGACCAAGTTACCATCGTGTTGCATGGTCAATCTGAATGGGCCTTGTCCCTTGTTATCGGTACCAGTAGCCCAGATGGAGTGTCTTGGCTCCCAAGATTGGCCTTGGTAGACGACCAAGTTACCGTCTTCTTGCATGACGAGGTTGAATTGACCGTGGTTGACGGCCGAGACGTTGGAAGAGTGCAAGCCAGCGCCGCAGGACAATTCGTGACCTGGGAAGTAAGACTTTCCACGGTGGTGGTGTGGATGGAGGAGGTGGTGAGAAGATGGACCTGGGTATGGAGAGGCGGCAGATGGGTATGGAGTGGCTGCTGGATAGGCTGATGGGTATGGGGTGGCAGCGGGATAGGCTGGTCCAGTGGTAACAATCACATTGGGATAGTAGGTAGTGGTAGTGGTTTGTGGCACCTGTGGTTGTGGTTGCTTTTGTGGTGGAACTTGTTGACTCTTGAAGATGACGGCTCCTTGGCTGTCGACAACCTCCAAAATACCAGTTGGATTAAGGTAAGCAATATGTGGTCCACGACCTACATTGTTGGTGTTTGATGCCCACAATGGCTTTGAATTTCCATCATAAACAACTAAATTCTAGAAAAAGAAAAAGAAATAAAAAAAAAGAAAAGAAATAAGTAAAGAGTGTGAGGGAGAGGAGGAGGAGGAGGTTGTTTTTTTGTTTCTTTTTCTTTTCTACTTACACCATCAGCTTGCATTGTGCATCTAGCTACTCCATGGCCCTTACCGTTTGTTCCACTTGACCAAACAGCATTGTTTGGTGTAAAGACGTTACCGCAATACAAAACAAGATTTGAATCTTCTTGCATCACCAAATACCAGCCTCCTGATGAGATGTAGTTTGGTTGAACATTGGAAGTAATTGATGTATTGCAGAGAATACGATCAGCGACAAATGAAGATGACATCATGGTTGAAAGTATAGAGATTTATCTGTTTGTATGTGTGTATATGTAAAAAAAGTAAATTAAATGATGATGATGATGAAAAAACAAGCAAGGTGCTCTGCAATATCTTTCTGTTTGCTTTAATTTGCTTTGGATATTTATAAAAAAACAAAAAAACTGGCTCCTTAAAAAGTCGAGTGTCCTCTCCAAATTTCTGAGAGTCTGGTGAGCCGCTTCGTTGAAAGGTGTGTCATTCCTTAAAAACTAGCGATTTTGTCATTCTGGGAGACACGTGATTAACCGGGTTAATCCATAAACAAACACCTTTAGAGATTCTTTTTTAGAAGATTATAAACACTAATCACTTTATTTTTAGTTTTATAAGAGGAGGTAGGTTTCAAAGATGATGTCACACTTGTCATCATGAAACCTTGGGTTTGATGGCTCGCTGAACCAGAGCATCCAAGGTACCATCTATAAGAGGGTTCTTGATGATAAATGTTTCTACACTATCCAAAAACAAACGGTGATCGATAAATGCAAGGGGAACCAAAAGTACTATTTTGGACTTTACAAATGATAGGTTTTTTTTTTCAATTAAAAATTCACAACATGTATCTTCGACAAATAATAATAAACATTCTATCAATTCCTTTTCAATTATTTCTTCCTAAAATAAAAAAGTTAGAATATTTTGGTACATATATAATTTTCTTTTTTTTTTTGATCTTACAAAATTATTTTTAAAAATTAAATTTGTTGATTTTGTTGATTGATTTGATTGAAATCTATTTTTTAAATATTGATCTTTAGTAATAACTAGTATTTTAGGTATATTAACTACATTATTATTATTATTATTTTCTATTCCAGTCATTTGTTGTTGTTGTTGTTGATTATTATATTGATTAAATAAAAATAAAAAAGTTTGATTTGGTAATTCTTTAATATCAATCAAACCATCACCAACTTGTTCTACTATTTGTTGTATATTTAAAGTTTTTATAAATTGAGGAAAAGATTTTATAAAACTAGATTGTTTTAAATCACCCAATTTAGAAAATACCTCTAATATATCCATTCCAATTATATTATTATCTTGATTAAAAGATTCTAAAATAAAACCATTATGATTTGTCAAGATGATTGATTTTTCCTCTTTTACTTTTAATTCATCTAGAATTAATGATTTTGATAAACTTTCAGCTTGAATAGTTTGACGATAAACAAAACCAGAGGCTATATTTGACATTACTTTTAGAGTATTTTGTTCAATTGCTGAAAATTGTCTTTGAGCAACCGTTCCAATCGTAATAAAGCCATATGGAATACTACTATCATAATTACCAAAATGAGGAATAAATTCAGTTGTTACACTTTTCATTCCTAAACGAATCATCAAAGGTGATATATAATTTTGATAGAGCATTGAATAAATGTTTGGTTGTAGGTAGACCATATTATTTGCTTGATCGATTCTTTTAAACATTTCAGAGAGTGGGTATTGTTCTAGAGGGGATGATGGGATGTCTTCGTAAAAGTCACGACGTTCCATTTGAACTGGATCGATTGGTGGATCAGCTGCCGCCGCATGATGGATAGAATCTTGTTGTTTTTGATGTAATTGTTGTTCTGGTGTTTGTGGTTGCATAGTTTCTATACATTGTTGCCAAAATCTTTCAGGTAATTGTATGGTATAATCTTGATCAATGTTTACATTGTGTTTTTGACCAATACGCAGTAAACAAGGATTGTTTGAATCCACCAAAAATATTATCGATCCATTTGAAAGAAATGAATAAGTCAACGATTTTAATATAGATTTAAAAAATATTAATCTATTTGCATTTGAAAAAGAAGAAGAAGAAGAAGTAGAAGAAGAACTTCCTGGATTATTTAATAAATATTCTGAACATTTTAATAATGATTCCTAAAAAACAAATAAAAATAAATAAATAAATATTGTTTTTCTTTTTTTTTTTATGATTTTCTTCTTACTAATTGTTTTTTAACAGTAATAGTTTCATGTTTTGAATGCCACATATCAGTAACATCTAAACAAGAACCAACATAACCAAGGAATTTTTGATCAGGTGAAAAACGTGGACATCCAGTATCAATCAACCATCTATAGACTCCATCGTGACGCATGGCACGATATTCAAGTTTAAATGAAGTACGATTGTGGAATGCTTCCATATAGATGGAGAATATTCGTACCAAGTCTTCTCGATGTACAATTTCAGTCCAACCATCGCCCAATTCCTCTTCTACCGATCGACCTGTAAACTCGTACCATTTCTTGTTAAAATAGATTGCTTTGCCATCGACACCAGACATCCATAAAAGAAAAGGTGATGCATCTGCAATCACTTTAGCAACAGTCTCTGAAAATTGATCCAATGATTGACCTTGTTGTAAATGTGGAAATGTCACTGCATTTTGATCAATATTTGATTCCATTTGTTGAATTCTATTTGTTAATGATTCTACCTAAAATAAAAAAAAAAACAAAAAGTAAATATAAAAGTAGAAAAAGCTTTCTTCTTTTTCTTTGTACTTACTACAAATCTAAGATATTCCAATTCTTGTTGAACATTCATATTTTCGTCATTATTCTTTAATTCTAATTGTTGTTGATAAAGTATTTGTTGTTGTTGTTGTTGTTGTTCTTCTTGATCATTATAAAAGTCAACATCTGAGATGAGTGTATCATTATCAATATCATCATCATTTTCTTCATTATTTTGGTTTGTTGACGACATTGTTTCTTGGGTGGTTGGTTTAGGGTAGGGTTAATGGGGGTTGTTTGGTGAAAAAAATAGAGATAGTTTACTGTTACTGTGTATCAATGTTTTAATCGATGCCTCATATCTAAAAGTAAACAAATAAACAAACAAACTAAAACTATAAGATGAGAGAATATATATATATAATTTAGTTATTTACATGTGAGGAGATTAAAAAGTGAGAGAGTAAACATGTTCTTCTCGAGATGATGATAAAAACTAAAAGGTTTTCTTTTTATCTTTTTATAGCTAAAAAATGGTTGGTGATCTGTATCGCGTCATTCAATGAGGGATGTGGGTGTTGGGGGGTTGCTTGGTTGACTGATGACTCTGACTCTCTTTTTGAGAGACTGGTCTGAAAGACGGTGATGAGGTGAACCATTAGGGGGTTTTGCTCATCATCTCATCGCATCAACACCCTTCCTATAAAAATATCGATGTGGGTTAAAACGATCATCCAACTCATCGAACTAAATTTCAATAAAATTAAATAAATAATAATAACTTCTTCTTGAGATATATTGTCACAAAAGTAATGATTCTCTCTCTCTTTATATTTTTAGTTGAACTTTCAACTAATAACCATCATCGAAAAATGCAACGTATTTTTTATAAACAAACACAAAATTAAATTAAATTTATAAATCGATTTTGTGGGGGTGGTGAAACGTCATTAGAGAGTTGGACGGACTAATAGTAGTAAATAAAGATAGTAGTAGAACAACTACACTACATACTTATATATATATATACCTACCTCACATACACACATACTAGAGACACATACCAGAGAGAGAGAATATGGAATGTTGTGATTGTAATAAGCAGTTCACAATGAACGGAATTGAACATTGCCGACAATGTCATATGGACAAGGGAATCATTGTACAACATTTAGATGAACAGAATTATTTATTATATCATAGTTGTAGTAGCAATAGAACAATGCAACAACCTCAACAACCTCAACAACAAACATTACATTTAAATAGTTTATCAATACATAATCATAGTCTAAGTAATTTATTAGACAATAATCTAAATATAATGTCTCACAATATACACGGTCATAATATATTTGATCATACAAATACAACTACAACTCTATTAACTGGGATGAATATAAACAAGAATAATAATGGTGGGATGACACATTCTTTAAATCAATTAAACCTTTGTTCTACTGAAACTAGAAATATTAATAATAATCATAATAATAATAACAATACTAATAATAATAATACTAATAATAATAATCAATTACAAATGCAACAACAAGAAAGACAAAGATATTTAGATCAACAACAAGAGGTAAAATAATCTTTCATTTCTTTTATCTATATTTGTTTCATTTTATTAATTTCCGTCGTCCTTTTTATTTAAGTTATTTTTAACAGATAGATTTAATAATATGGATATGGAGGATGATAATTATATGCCATATATAAGTTAAAATAGGATAGAGTGTTTTTATTTATTTATTTATTTATGTAAAAGAAGAATAAAGGAACTAACAAACTAGAAACTAAAATGAATATGTTCACCAATAATACTTGCAATGTATATATTGTAAAAATAAGAGAATAGTAAAACAATGATTCAAGGTTGCAAGAGACTCTAGTTCAAGATACTGTTGATTTTGGTATTGGGCCAATACCATTACAATCAGGGTTCAGAATGTCAAGAGACGTTCGATTATGTTCTAAAGCGTTGTCTCTCGGGGCATGGTGGGAAAGATACGATTTTTTTTATTACAAATATCTATTGGTTTCGTTTTTTTCATTAAATTGTGTAGGTCCTGACATCATCTTTTCAAAAGATCAAAAACCATATCTCCAATATCTTTAATATAAATAGGTAATGTTCACAACTTTTCATTCATTCATTCATTTCATTATATATAATTACGCGCAACAACAATGAAATTCCATTTATCTATTTTAATTTTAATATTATCAATTGTTTCTTTTTGTTTTGGACAAAAGATAATTCAATTTGATACTAGTTCAGATTGTTACCAAGGATGTGATTTTAATGATCCATCAGTTTGGATTGGAGGAGTAGCACCAAACCAAAACTTTAAATATATTGCATCGATCAACTATACTTCTACCAACAACAACTTACCACAAAACATCGATTCATTTAAATCAATCGAGTTGGCTGGTTTGATTGTCGTAGGTTCTCCATCGGGTTCTCCAGTGACCGTTACATCATACACTACCACTCAGATTAAAGGTTCCGTTTTGATTGGAAACAATGCCAAATACGAAAGCGTGGAAGATCTCAGTGCCACCAAAGGAGTCACTCTTGCCAATGAAGGTGCAATGGTTCTTGAAATGGGATCTGGAATTACTGCCAACCTCAATAGTTTGGCTGGCAACTTGACACTCTCCAACGCATCCATAGAAGGTAGTGTCACATTGACTGGCGGACAAGTCTATTTGGAAGGTGCCTACATCACTCAAGACCTTACCATCTCCTCGTCGGTATCGACTCATTTAACAGCCCCCCTCATGGTAGGTGGTAATTTCAATCTCGGTCCATCCTCTGTCAACCTCGTCATCTGGGAACCAACCACTATCCTCAAACACGTTGCTATCCTCGTCGAGGGACAATTCACATTTAACGGTAAATTAATGGTCACCATCCAAGATGATAGTTATCTCGTAACTGGTCCAACATACTATATCCTCATGACTGCCGAGGCCTCTTTTAATCCAAACCAAGTTGCACTCGCCAACAATTTACCAGCCAACTTGAGACCATTATTCCGTTCAGTTAAAATTCAATCAGTCAATTATATTACTCTTCAATTTAAAAATTCAAATTAAACAATAAAAGAAAATCAAAATAAATAATAATCATATATATATATTATTATTTACAATATATTAAATCAAAAGTTTTTAAAATCTTTTGTACTAAAATCTTTGGTTTTTTTTTTTTGCCATCATTAACATGTTCTTTTAACGAATCTCAAGATATATTATAATTCAATTTTAAACAAAGATGATACAATCTAGGTATTCAATTACTTTGATCATATTTATCATTACAATTGTATTATCATCATCAAGAGTGGCTTCAAAGACATTAACATCAGAAGATGTAATCAAATTTAATGTAGCAAAGTTCTCAACGATAAAGAATGCATTGGTAGATACAGATCGAATGATTGATGAAATATATGGACATTTAAAACACCTTTTGGTTGAAAGAGTGTCAGACACACCATCACATGCCAAAGTGGCTCGATACATTGCATCACAATTTGAATCAAATAGCAATTGGAAGGTGGAATATGATATATTCAACGACACTACACCGCATGGCACTAAAAAGTTTACAAACATTATAGTCACGAGTACACACCCATTAAACGACGACAATGCACAAACCATAGTGTTGGCAGCTCACTATGACTCTAAATACTTTAAAGATTTTAAATTTATTGGTGCAGTCGACTCTGCAGTACCTTGTGCAATGATCATTGAATTGGCTCAATTAATGCAAGAATCAAATTTATTAATTGATTCAAATAGTATGTCAAAAAGAAGAAAAAAGTAAAAGGAAAAGAAACAAGTACTTATTCTTTTGTTTATTTTTTGTTTATTTTTTGTAGAAAGAATTAAATTAATATTTTTTGATGGAGAAGAAGCATTTGTTGATTGGACTGCAACGGATTCATTGTATGGATCAAGACATTTGGCAAAAAAAGTTGGGAGATGTAAAGGGATTCTATGAATCGGTCGATTTGTTTGTACTGTTTGATTTGTTGGGTGCAGTCGATCCAAAGTTTTACATTTATCATCAACCTACTGCCCATTTGTTTAAGAAACTATCAGACATTGAAGACAAGTTGCAAGCTAAAAGATTGATTAGTTTCAAATCGACTAAATACTTTATTACAAGAGATATTGGACAAGAGATTCAAGATGACCACGTCCCATTCCATGCCTACAATGTACCGATTCTACATCTCATACCATTACCATTTCCACAATGTTGGCACAAAGAATGTGATAACTACAATACCCTAGATAAAACTACCATCCAAGATTTAACTAAAATATTTAATGTATTTTTAACTTCTTATCTAACTCATAATAACAATTAATAAACAATAAAATTGTAGTAGTAGTTTGCCTATGTAAAAAAAGGTAATGGTTTATTTAGAAAGAGTAATAATTGTTGTTGGTATGGGTTAATCATCAGATGAACTGTCATCCTCTGACGATGATGAACTTGATTCAGATGATGAAGATGAACTTGACTCTGATGATGACGAACAACGACTACTCGATTTTGACGAGGAATCATCATCGGATTCAGATGAACTTGACTCTGATGACGACGATTCAGATTCAGATTCTGATGACGATGATTCGGATTCAGACTCTGATGATGATGATTCGGATGATGACGATGATGAATCCTCACTACTTGACTCCTCTTTCTTTTCAACTTGTTCTTCTGATATGGATGGATCTTGTTCTTTGACCTCTTTTCCTTCTACCTCTGCTGAAGCTTCCTCTTCTGAACTACTTGATGAACTGCTAGATTCATCAGAAGATGATTCAGATGACGATGAATCAGATTCCGACTCGGATGACGAAGAATCAGATTCCGACTCGGATGACGACGAATCAGATTCAGATTCAGACGATGACGAATCAGAGTCTGATGAAGATGATTCAGATGATGACGAATCAGAGTCTGATGATGAAGATTCTTCACTGCTACTATCTTGTTTCTTTACTTCTTCTTCTTCTTCTTTGTCCTTCATCTTGATATCTCCAGATTCATCTTCATCGCTGCTCTTGGATTGATCACTTTGTGTAGTATTTTCGCTATTGTCTTCATCTTTGGATGATTCTGATTCTGATGATGACGATGATGATTCTGATGATGAATCAGATGATGAATCACTATCACTATCACTATCACTTGACGAATCAGAGTCTGAAGAAGAATCTTCACTACTGCTGCTACTTGATGAATCTTCACTACTGCTTGACGAATCTTCAGATGATGATGATGATGAACTGCTACTACTACTACTACTATCACTATCACTATCATCAGTTTTGGTTACTGCTTTTGAAACTTTAGATTCCTCCTTTTCATCCTTTTCAATTTTGATTTGTTTCTTGATGGTTGATGGTTCCTCTTGTTTGATTGATGTATTTTCTTGATCTGCTTTTCTCTTGTGATTACCATTACCATTACTATTTTCTTGTTTGATTGTGCTATTGTTGTTGTTATCACTACTATTATTATTTTTTATTTTTCCATTATTATTTGCATTCTCTTTGGTTGGATCATATTTTTGACCTACACACAACAAGTATTAGTTTTTCTCTCTTTCAGATTCTTTCTATCATTTTATAATAAACATACCTTTAAAGTATTTACCATGATATTTTTCTTCTTCTGTTACACAAGCCGAGTGAATTTGATATTCCTTGTTTGTAAACACTTGACGACAATTGATACATGAGAATGTAGCATACCGGCAACGCCAAATATGAGGTGCTACTTGTTGTTTCTTTAAAATATCTCCACAACCGTCACATGAAAAGTTTGGCATTCTCTACTCTATTTTTTATTATTCTAGGTTTATCTAGTAATTAGTAGCTACTTGATTAGTTCTATTGATTGATTGATTGATTGATTGTATGGATGGTGATAGATACTCCTATTCTTTTTCCCCCTCTTCTTATTACTTCTATCTTTTTATCTCGTTGCTTAAAAAAACTTGCTTTAGAATGATTCGTTTTGACAAACATACTTTTCGTTTCGGTGTGGTTTGCCAAAAAAACATTACTTTGATTTAAAATATCTGTATTTTGCATTATCTACAAATATCAAAGATAATCATAATCTCAAAGCTTTATCTAACAAACAACAACAACAACAACTGTGAGATCACTATTCATCCAAACTTTTAAAAAACACAATTAAAAATTTTATCAAATAATTATTTTTATTATTTAGAGGTATTAGAATATTTAAATAAAAAATATATTATAATTTTTAAATTTAAAAAAATTTTGGTTTCCCCCGATCAGTTTGTTAAAAAATATTATTAAATTATTATTTACTTGTACAAATAAGATAAATATTACGATTCAATGATTTTTCATTTTATATTTGTTTGTTCGTCTCGTTCGTTTTTTTTTTTTTTTTTTTTTTTGATAATTTTTTTTTTTTCATTATTGAGGGGTGATTCGTTTTCGGTACTTTTTTCATTCAACTTTTTGATTCAACACCAACAATCAAGTTGTTGTAGTTTAACTACTATCCTATTTCTCTCTCTCTATATTATATATATTTACTTTACTTTTAAATATGGCAAAGTTTAAAGAGACATCAGATCAAGAAGGATCAGCAGAGTTACAAAAGCTTGTACAGCCACATATAGACTCGTTCAACTTTTTTGTAGAACATGGCTTGGGATTGATCTGTGAGAATCAGACACCCACCTACATCAAGAATCTAGACGGCGAAGGAAAGAACTGGTTCATGAAGTTTAAGAGCATCGAGGTGAAGCAACCATTCAAGGCAGACAACAAGCCGCTGTACCCCGATGAAGCACGTCAAGCGGGTATTTCGTATGCCGGCTCGATGGGTGGTATCGTGCAGATATACAAGCACGGCGACAGCACTCCACTCGAGTTGCCAGTGTCGTTGGGCAACTTGCCTATTATGGTGCGTTCGCGTTTGTGCCATCTCGAGGGATTGACACCTGACGAGCTCGTATCCAACCACGAGGAGGCGATGGAGATGGGAGGCTACTTTGTCGTCAACGGTAATGAGAAGCTCATCCGTATGCTCGTTGCCAACAAGGGCAACCATCCCGTCGCACTCCAACGTAAGGGTTGGACTAGCAGAGGTCCCGGGTACACCAAGTATGGTATCACTATCCGTTCGGTCCTCCCCGATCGTACATCGATGACCAACGCACTCCACTACTTGGCCGACGGTCAAGTCACCTACCGTTTCCTCTACAAGCGTCACGAATACTTCCTTCCAGTCGCCATGCTCCTCCGCATCCTCGGTGACACCACCGACAAGGAAATCTACCAACACGTTGTCCAAGGTGACACTGAAAACACCTTCCTTACAGATCGTATCGAACTCATGCTCCGTGAGCAACGTATCGACCACGTCAACACCCAAGCCGAAGCTCTCGATTATCTCGGCAGTCGTTTCCGTCACAAAGCTTTCCTTCCAGATAATTTTACTAATCGCCAAATCGCAGAATATATGATCAATAATTATATCCTTGTTCATTTACCAAATTGGAGAGATAAATTTAATTTAATTTGGTAAAGAAACAAAAAATAGAAAAGAAATAGAAAAAAAAAGAAATAGTAAACATACTTATTTATTTATTTTCTATTTTAGTTTAATGGTACAAAAATTATATTCATCAGTACAAGGAAAATCAGATTGTGATAATATTGATGCTACATCATTCCATGAAGTATTATTGGGAGGACATTTATTCTGTTCAATGTTAAAGGAAAGATTACAAGAATATTTAGAGACTGTTAGATTCCATTTCCTACACGGTGTAGAAATTGAGAAAAAGAATGGCAAAAATCCAAATCATGAAGCAATTTTAAAGAAATCTTTTGATCGTGCTGGTGCTATCGGTCCAAAGTTTGAATCTTTTTTGGCTACTGGTAATCTTGCTTCAAATTCTGGTTTAGATGTTCAACAAGTAAATATAAATTTAAAAACAAAATCAAAACAAAAAAGATATAGAATGAATATTTATTAATTATTTTATTTTATTTTTATTTTTGTTTAGACATCAGGATTTACAATTATTGCAGAAAAATTAAATTTCCTTAGATATATTTCACATTTTAGATCGATACATAGAGGTGCCTTTTTTGCAACAATGAAAACTTCATCTATTCGTAAATTGATGCCAGAATCATTTGGTTTCCTTTGTCCAGTACATACACCAGATGGTGCTCCATGTGGTCTTTTAAATCATTTGTCTTCAAATTGTTTAGTATGTAAAATAATAACAAACATATATAATATTCTGAATATTTATATATTCTAATTTTCTCTTTTTCTCTATTTTAGATTACAAAAGATCCATTACAAGAAAGAAAAGTACTTGAATCAAATTTAACATTGACCAAATTTTTATTAAGTAATGGAGTAACATCAATAGAGACAACATCAACATTTAGACCGGGATCGTTGCCAGTTACATTTAATGGACGTTTGATTGGTATGGCCGACGAAGATACATGTGATGAATTGGTCAATACATTACGTTATCTTAGATCGGTTGGACATGAAAATGTACCAAGTACGCTAGAGATTGCCTATGCACCAAAGAATAGACCAGGTATTGTTGGTGGACAATTCCCAGGTATCTCGTTGTTTTCGACTGGTGCACGTTTTATGCGTCCCGTCATCAATGTCAAGTCTGGCAAACAAGAGTTGATTGGACCACAAGAACAACTCTACATGAATATTGCCATCTACCCCGAAGAGGTTAAAAAGGGTATTACTACACACGTTGAGCTCAGTCCAACTGCCATGCTCTCTGTCGTTGCCAATTTGACCCCCTTCTCAGATTATAATCAATCGCCACGTAACATGTATCAATGTCAAATGGCCAAGCAGACTATGGGTACCCCCATGCACTCTTATGCCTACCGTGCCGATAACAAGTTGTTCAAGATTCAAAACCCACAAAAGCCTATCGTACGTACCATCAATCAAAGCAAATACCATGTCAACGACTACCCCCACGGTTGTAACGCTGTCATTGCCGTCATTTCAAACACTGGTTACGATATGGAAGACGCTATGATTATCAACAAGTCTTCGTATGAACGTGGTTTTGGTCATGGATCGGTCTACAAGACTGTCTTTTACGATTTGGACGAAGGTAAACTCAGAGCTCAAACTGGTCGTACCTCTGTCTCTCGTCCAGACTATCAAACCGATGGTCTCGATCAATACCTCGATGTTGACGGTCTCCCACATGTAGGTCGTTATGTCACTGGTCACGAACCACTCTACACCTTTGTCAATGAACTCGATGGCAAACAAGTCGTTGAAATGATAAAGTCCAAGGAAGAGGCTTGGATTGAAGAGGTCAAGATTATTGGTAACCTCACCTCTATGAATGCCCCACGTACTGTCACCAAGTTTACCGTCAAGTATCGTTTCGATCGTAACCCAGTCATTGGAGACAAGTTTGCCTCTCGTCACGGTCAAAAGGGTGTTTTGTCGCAGTTGTGGCCAGAAATCAATATGCCATTCTCTGAAAGTGGTCTCAAGCCAGATGTCATTATTAATCCAAACGCTTTCCCATCTCGTATGACTATTGGTATGCTTATAGAAATCATGGCCGCCAAGGCTGGTGCCGTCAATGGCATCTTCCAACAAGGTACAGCCTTTAGCTTTGACGAAAAAAACACTGCCGTCAAATTCTTTGGTGAACAATTGGCCAAGGCCGGTTACAATTATTACGGCAATGAGCCAATGTACAGCGGTACCACTGGCGAGGAATTCCACGCCGATATTTTCTTTGGTGTCTGTTACTACCAACGTCTTCGTCACATGGTCAAGGATAAATACCAAGTACGTGCCACCGGTAAGGTCAACGCCCTCACTAGACAACCCGTCAAGGGTCGTAAGATTGGTGGTGGTATTCGTTTTGGTGAAATGGAACGTGATTCAATGCTGGCTCATGGTACCTCTTTCTGTCTCAACGATCGTCTCATGAAATCTTCAGATCTCCACATTATGATGGTCTGCAGACACTGTGGTAGCACCCTCACCGTCGCCACCAAACCATCCGGTCAAACCGACTCTAGAAATCATACCACTTGTATCGATTGCAAGGTTGATGATGCTGTCCCCGTGGCTGTCCCCTATGTCTTTAATTATTTGATTACTGAATTGGCTGCTGTAAACATTGCTCTTAAACTTCAAATTAAATAAATAAAAGAAAACAAAAAAAAAATAATAATTAAAATTTAAAAAAAAAAAAAAAAAAAGATAAAGAAAAAGAAAGAGAAAACCCGATCGATCGGTCGATCATTGTATTTTCAATCGCAATCGAATCAACAATGGATTAAGATAATATACATTTAATAACCCTAACCCTTACTAGTGATCAAAAGTAATTCATGTTAATTGAAAGAGAGTGGTAGGTGTGGTTGGTAGTCAAATTAGGAATATCTGCACCCCAACCCCCATTCTGATCAATTCTTTGGTTAAAAGTTTATGGATACCAGTCTGGTAAGAGTGTAGAGGATTTTCAATGATGGTCAATATCAATGATAAATTAAAGATGAGGATGGAAATCCTATTAATACATCTATTTACTATATAAATAAATTTTATTCTTGTTTGGATCATTCTCTTTTCGTTAGTGGGGAAGGTTGGATGAATGTTATGTCTCTTTAATGCAAAAATTACTAAAAATAAAGGAATACACAACAGTAATAAGAGTAAACAAATCAAATTCCTTTTTGATTTTAATTTATCAACAATATTTATTATTCATCTATAACTTTTGTTTAAAAATCAACATCATCAAAATATTATCTACTATTTTTTCCCTTTTAAACCCGTTTATTATTTTTTTTTATCAGCCAGCTTCAAGAAATAAATATCTCGAACAAATATCATTATATAAAGGTAAAGATTTGATAGAACATTCTTATATGATTGATATGTAACGTCTGTTTTTTATTTTAAGTGGTTGAGAGAGAGAGTGGGTGAAAGATCTCTTCTGAACAAATAGTCTCCAACTCCTCCTCCTCTCTTTTACTCAATAATCAAAAATCATTCAAACAACTAATGAAAGAGGATAATAATGCTTGGTTTTATAATATAATAGATAGGATCAATCAACCAAAAAAAATGAATAAACAATAAATAAATTGTAATCTTGTGTTTTTATTATTTTTATAAATCAATTTATTACAAATATATTAAAAATATTATTTTTAAAACCATAGGTACAAAAAAAAGTCAGAATACAAAAAAAACAATGGGAAGATTAATTTGGAGGAATGAAAATATTGTAATTAGAGAATATAAAACCAAAGATAAAGATTTTCTTTCAAGAATAAGTAGACTACCAAATAATTGTGATTTTCATTCTTTACAAGCTTATTCTTTTTGTGATGGTAAAAAATTTAACAAAAAACAAATAGAACAAAATAGATTTATTAACCAAAAAAAAATAATTTTCTATTTATTTATTATTTAATTATTTTTAGATTACTCTATTAGAAGAAGTATGACACAAAATGGATTTATTTGGGTAGCAGAAGATGATATTACAAATAAAGTAATTGGTGGTCTTTGTCTTGCTGAAAAAAGGTTAAAAATTAATGGAGTTGAAAGATTATTTTTTTATCCTTTTGATGCAATTGTTGATCCAGAATATAGAAGTTTGAGTATATTAAAAAGATTAACAGATTTGGCAACGCTAACATTTATGGAACATTATGATTTAAAACCAATCACTTATACTTCAACAAGTATTACCAACGAGAATATGGATAGATTTTATAAAAATACATCAATGAAGGAAATGGTTCAACAAGTACAACATGCTTGGAGGGTTGAACATCCATTTATAGAACCACAAAGAGATGAAAGAGTAAAAATTTGGAAAGAAAGAGATTGTCATTTGGTAAAGGAAAAATTTGATATTCATTTTAAAAATTATGAAATGGTCCCTGTTGAATTTGATGAATTATTATTTAACAAATTTTATAAACATTCTTATTTTGCTCAATTTAAAGGTAATAGAAAAAAAATAGAAAAAAAAAAATAAAATAAAAGAAATTAGACTAATTTGATTTTTTTTATAGGAGAAAATAATAAAATGATTGAAGCATCAATTAGTATTTGGGATCAAAACAAGGTTTCAACATTGGTTAATCTTACACCATCAATGTTATCAAGTAATGAAATTCGTGGTAATAGTAATCAATTGGTTGATGAAATTACATCAAGAAATACAAGACAACAACAAAATAATCCAAATCATTTCTTTCAATTATTTGGTTGTTATTCAACTGAAAATTTTAATGATCCTTTGGAATATTCTTTATTTTATGAATTATTAAAATTTGTTCATAATGATTGTTTAAATGTAAATAGAAAAACAAAAACAAAAAAGAAATCAAAAAGTCTAATAATTTTCTATTTTTTTCTATTTAGATGGGAGTTGAATATTTATTTATTGGATTATCAAAAACTGATCCAATTGATAGATATTTTCCTTTGTTACCAGGAATTAAAAGTTTACCATTTGTAATGCATTTTTGTCTTGGTAATGAAGAAGATCATGCATTACAAAAATTAAACAAAAATCCATTCTTTCAAGATCCAAGAGATTATGGTATCTTATTACTTTATGCTGATACTAATAATAATTTAAAACCAAAATTCTAAATAAACAAAAGAAATCTCTAAATCTTTTATTTTATTTTTCTCTTATAAATGTCTATCAATTAAAGTACCAGTACTTGAACCAAGAGGCATAACTGGAGGAGTAAGATTTGTATGAGAGGGATCAGAGTCGGAATCTGAATTTTCTTTTAATTGATTTGATTTCCAACGTTGAACCAATTCATCAATGAGAGCAAATTGGGTATCCCACTTTGTATTGTATAAAAAGGGACGGTGATCATAACGATTGTCATCTGGTGAATAGGCTTCGGCATGGTACGAAGGAGTGATGGTTGTCATTTTGTGACGATTGATGGAATAGTAGTAAAAGAATCGTTTGACCTTTTCGGCTACTTTTGGTGGTTCTAGATGACTCCATTCACTGACCAAACGTTCATACATGGATACTGGTCCGCACTTGTGAATCTTGCGAAGTTTACCAAACACTGACAACTCGTCATAGGTCATACCCATGTCGGCCTCGTCAGATTGTACATATTCCTTGGTGACTGGTTCGAGTTCGGCGGTTGGTGTGGCTGTGAGTACTTGGGCAATCGATGGAATATTTCTTTCGCGTGATGCCCATTCTATAAAGATTCTAAGATCATTCTTGCTAATACCTCCAATTGGATTAATGTCGGCCGATGAACAATCATACTTTGTCATGTATCCACGAAGTGACTCGTCACAATTGGCACTACCCAACACGAGTAGACTGCCTTCTCTTCCATGATCCCAAAGCAAGAGTGATGCCAAATGATAAGATGCAACCATTCTACTACGTGCTTGGACGTTTTGGAGTGCTAGATTCTCACGATTGCTTCCACCATGTACCTTGAAACGTGGTTGGTTCTTGGATACCTGTCCAAACATGCTTCCAAAGGCTGTAGTCACTTCTTCAATATCAACTTCTTTGTGGACGGCACCAACGTCGGCTGCAATCTCGGCAGCACGCTTTCTAGTCTCGTCTGAGCTGTTCTTTGTACCTAGATAGGCAGTGTAAAAGATACGACTGGCAAATTCCTTGGCATTGGTGGGGATATAGTCTGGACCGGCACCTGCAATTCTTTGTGCATCGGCAATCACTTGTCGGTTACCCTTGCCAGCATCCAACACAACCAATTGACACATGATGGCGACAATGGCTGCTGTGGCTGCACTGTCTGCACCACCACTCAATGGCAAAAAGTAACCACCCAATCCACTACGACGGAGGTAGTCCCACAACCAACATGCTGGTCCAAATCCAATCTCTTCGGCTGGGGTGATGTACTTTATGGGGATGGGTTGTGAAGCTGATCCCTTGTATGTGGTCAAGTGTTGGTCACATAGTACACGGGGAAATTCTTTGGTAAGAGTTGCCTGAGCACAACGACTCATAAACGATGCACGTGCACTGCGCACTTCATCCAAATCGATGGTTGCAGTGATCACCTCTACATCGACCAAAGAGAATTGACTACCTTGTGCAACACACTCACCATTGACCATGATCATACAACATCCGTCAAAGTAGAGACGTCCACCATCACATCCTTGCTGATTGGCATATAGATAGATACCTCCACTCTTGCTTGTTGCTGATGTAATCAAATCGACACGTTGCTTTAACTTGCGCAGTTGGTGATGTGAACCACTACCATTAGCAATCATCTCGACACCATCCAATCCCATCTCTATGTGTGGGCTGTTGGGTAGGAAAAGCTCCTCGCACGTTTCATTGGCAATGGCAGTGTCACGAGTCGCGATAATAGCATCTCCAATCACACACGTTGTCTGTCCAACAATGTCGGCAATCACCTTTGGTAGTGGAAAGATCTCGGTGGTACGGGACTTTAACCACGGTGTAAACCATCTGTTTTCTCTATAGTTGCCGTCCATTGCCAATGCCTTTTTGGGGCAAATCATCACGATCCTTTGATCGCTGAGAATGACTCGGCAGTTGTATCGAACATTCTTGTGCAACACTGGCATACCAACATCTACAATAATGTCTCTTGTCAACTCGGGGTCCTTTAACAGTGCCATCAATGATTGCCAACTGTGCAACATTGTATCTTGTTCATAGAAATGATCTTCACATCCATATCCTGGTATCTCTAATTCTGGTCCTAATCTATATATTGCTCTAAAAAAAAAAGAGGGTTTAGAGATAGATAAAAGAGATAGAGATATATAGATTTAGATTAGATTTCTTGTTACCCTTTAGATTTTGCAATTTTAATAGATTCTATGATTCTTTCTAGATTGCCTTTAAAATCTAATGCCCATTGATTTAAATTACAAGTTGCTACTGTAATTAATCTCATTTCTCTCTCTCTTTGTAATATATAGATATAAATATAGAAAAGAATAAATAATGAATAGAGTGAAATTGTAAATTGTTTTTTTAATATCAAAAAAAAAAAAAAAAAAAAAAGGGTGTTTTTATTTATTTTTCTATTTTCATCACAATGACGACGAAACCCCTATCAAAAAAGATGGCATCAGACGATTATATGTTTCAAATAGATTGGTTGCCGAAAGACGATTACAAACCCAGATACAGCGATCGGAGGATCAGTGCCTAAAACTGACGTCTTAGACCGCTCGACCAAACAATCTTGATGACGGCTCAAAGTGACAAAACTATAACGACCCGAAAAAAAAAAATGGAGATGCAACAATCAGCAGCGTTCTGAGCGGCAGCAAAAACGATGATTGCTGTGGGATTTGAACCCACGCCCCGGAGGATCAGTGCCTAAAACTGACGTCTTAGACCGCTCGACCAAACAATCTTGATGACGGCTCAAAGTGACAAAACTATAACGACCCGAAAAGTTTTTGGCCCAAATTGGAATTCCATGAAAAAATTGGAAAGATCGATTTATTGTTCGATCCGCAATTGAAGAGCCCATTACACCCTTTTCACCACGACCCGAAAATAGTCGCGCTCCCCGATCCAAGATATACGAGAATAAAAAATAAAATAGTATTCATTTTATTGGGGGACAGTTTTGATTTTTAATAAGAAAATTCTAGAGATGAAAAGAAGATACGATCCGTCTTGACATATTTTTATTATTCAATCAAAATCTATTTATGAAAACATGATAAAGATGAAATATCCCAGATCTTGAGTTTGTGAATTATCAAAATTAAAATTGATAAATGTCATTGATTACAAACATGTTCTCAAATGAACAACACCTATTGATTTGTGTAATCTCTTCTTTCCAACTTATTCCTCAGTGTTATTTATGGTTGTTGGTGAAATCAAATTGACAAATGTCATTGATTACAAACATGTTCTCAAATGTACAACACTTATTGATTTGTGCCATCATAAAGACCTATACTACTACCTTTACCTGTTGTTCTTTATAAATACCACTACTCTTATAGATGACAAATCAATTTCATTATTTACATTCATTAAAAAATGAGTGATTATTTAAAAATGACACTCCATTGGTCAAGAAAGGGTGCACCACATGGAAATCTATCTACCTATCTTGAAACTTGTGCAGCATTTGAGAAAGGTCCCATTTGCGATCATTGTCAAATATATGGTCACGGTCAATTCCATTATTATCATGGTAAATATAAAAGAAATTGTATATGTTTTATCTGTAAACAGTATGTTATTTAACTATTAATTAATCTCACTACTATATATTAATTCTTTTCTTTTACAGGTCAAAGGAAATCGCTCTTTTCTTTAAAAAACGAGCCGCGAGCACAAAACGTACCCACTTGTTAAAATATGGTGAGATTGGTGATTACGATATCGATGAGGACTATCTCATTGAATTGAACGATGACCAAGGCCATTTGTGTGCCGTCCTAAAGATACGACTCCGTTTTGACAGCAAGGAACATTGTATGGCCAGCGTCGATAGAATCAACAACTCGATCACCTACACGAAAATGAATGTCCGTATCACTTGCCTCGAGGTAAACACCTCGGCAAAATGGTCACCATTTGATATCCATTACCTCATCGAAGGATTCTTCCAACCTGATCCGACAGACAGTCAACTTGAATCGTATTATGATGAGTACTCTATGTTTGAGGATCTGAAAACCGCCTATGACTCGACCAAACCTGGTGCCAGCCGACGAACCCGATCGCTCGAAGGAGAGAAAGAAATCTCTTTCATCTTTTTAGTTCTTTTGTATTTCTTTCAAAAGGGTCGCAGTTGGTACACCCGTGCCATTCTAGGTGTTCCTCCACACGAACGACACATTACTCATCATCCATCTGCCGCCTCTCCCGAGCGACTCAACGTATTGAAGGACTATACTCTCGAAAATACGGTCTTGATCGATCTCCGATGCCAATCTTCCAACTATCGTTCCACCTACACTGACCCAGAAGACTATGATGAAGGAGACGGTAACTGGACCGAGATGAAGTTCTACTATGTTATGTATGCCCAACATTGCTGCCATTCCAAACCACGTATCCTTCCAATGTACTATGAAGATTGGCTTGCCGACAACCAAGAGCTTGAAACCATAAAGTTAAAGTTCTCAAAGAAGAACACAGACGAATGAACTTTATCGATCATGCTATATTTCTAATGGATGAAATCGATAGAGATCGTCTTACTTTGAGAGAAGCTATTGATATAGTATAAAAAGTACAAATTATTATAGTAGTAATTCTCTTTCAATTAATGATCATGATGATTAACATTAATTGTACAAATAATAATAAATATAAACAATAAAATTAATCTTTTAAATCATTTCAAAAGAACATGTGATATGAATATTTTATTATCTCTATCTAAAATTAATCCCCTCATTCCTCTTCATTTATTATTCTTTCAGGTATATTTACAATTATGATTTATTTGTTACATATATATTATTTTGTTTCCATTCCAATGATGTTAATAAAAAGTCTCAATTTTAGAGTTTATAGTTTGACAACAAATTGGACAAGTTTTCAAGTTTAGGTTCTTTGAGCAAGGTAAACACAAGCAACTGACCACAAGGTGAAAGAACAACTTTGATTGGATTATCGAGACAGATGGAACAGAGTTTTTGTTCTTCCAAATTTCTTTTCTCTTTTTGAAGCTTGTCTACCTTTGCCATCAATTGTTGGTAGAATTTAGGAAGGCTCTTTTGATTAGTCTCTACCAACGTTTGAAGTTCTTTATAATCCAACTCTTCCAAATTGTCACCTTGCAAGTGTTGATGTTGTTTTTCGAGTACATCAAACCGTGATTGTAATGCTGTATTTTGTTGAATGGCCTTTTTTTCGAGTACATCAAATTGTGATTGTAATCCTTTCTTTTGTTCTTGCAAGTGTCGATGTTGTTTTTCGAGTTCATCAAATCGTGATTGTAATCCTTTTGTTTGTTGAGTGGCTTTTTTTTCGAGTACATCAAATCGTGATTGTAATCCTTTGTTTTGTTCTTGCAAGAGATGATGTTGTTTATCGAGTGCATCAAATCGTGATTGTAATCTTTGTTTTTCAGAACCATCTTTCTTTATCTGACCATTTTGTTGTTGAATAGTTTGTTTTTGTTGATCATTCAAGAGTAAAAGAGCTTCGTTTTGCTTTTTCATTGCTTCAAATTCTTGTTTCATTTTTTGCTCCAATTCTTCTTTAATTTTTTGTTCCAACTCTTCTTTAAGCTTTTGCTCCTCTTGATCTTTAATATGTTGAAAAGGATTAACCAAAAGGGGTATATTACTACTACTACTACTAGCACCAAACATAAAAGATGGTGAAGAGGTAATTGGTTGTGGCTGTACCAAAGATAACCCCCCAATATCCAATTGCGAAGAGGTAGTAATTGGTTGTGGCTGCATCAGTTGTTGTTGTTGAAGTTGTTTTTGTTGTTGAGTGTGTTGTTTTTGAATGAGTTGAAGTTCATGTGGAAGAATTTGTTGTTGCTCAAGTAGTTTTTGTTGTTGAAGTAGTTGTTGTTTAGAGAGGGGCTTACCATCTTTGGTTTGTTTTGGTAAATCCAATGGCTCTAATTTCATACTACCATGGATGGGTCAAATCCTCCTCCAGTAGTCATAGGCCAAGGGACAGTTTTTCCATCCTTTGTTACCTCGACCGCTCCGTGTGGAATAGGTGGAGGATTTTGAATATGATCTATTGCTTTTGCTCTTTGTCTAACTGCAAAGGTTTTCCTAAATGTCATCTGGTTCATACCCGAGGGAGGTCCATCACCAAAAACCATGTTATCAAGTCGTGAACTTCTTTACATTATTGCATCAGGATGTGCTGTTTGTTGCTCTAATTTCATAAATGGGTTATCAACGAGTTGTAACACTGTCTTGAGGTAAGTATCCTTTGCTTTTTGCATAGCTTCCTTTGATCCAAAAAACTGTTCCAGTGACGGAGGTATATGTGTAATCGTTTCACCCGTCTTTAGCAAAATAATAGCTAAAGTTACAAATAATAGAGTTTAATAAGAAAGAAAGATATAAAGAGATCACTATTCATACATACACTTTTGATTGGGGTTAAACATTTTCTCTGAGGTCTTTGAGATACTCTATCTCTATCTCTATAACTCGAGTATATATGAAAAAAATAACGACAAATATAGTTAGTTGATAAAAATTGTTTTTGTCTTGGCGAATAATTAAAATTAATTAAAAATAATATTGATAAAGAAAAGAAAATTTATTATTGTTTAATTAATTAAAAAGAGAATCTTGTATTGTTTCATTCATTCGGTCCAATTGACTCTCACCAAATCATAATCCTCTGGGTTCAATATAGGATGATTTATAATTGGTTCATCTTCAAAGATAGATCTACCTATATTGAACCTGTGGATTATGATTGGTAATCAATTACTGTATTTTCCAGTGTATACTATCTATCGTTGACCAATCCCCAAATTTGGCCCTTCCTTCATAGAAAAGGATAAGAGCAATAGTTAATATCAAAGTATATTCTTACCATTAGACATAATCTTCATCAATTAAAATCTATCTCTCTTTTTATCTGTTATCTTTTGTAAACTGTTTCAAAAAAGGGAATGAATACGTAAAAGAGGTTGTTCTTCAAAAAAAAATAAAACTTTAAATTGAATTAATTCAATTTTGTTTTGATTGGCCCAACCCTTCCTTTTTTCAATCATTTTTAAAAAGAAGAAGAAATTTATAATGTTACAAATACTAGGAACATTTTCAGCGATATGGGGATTTTATTACATCTATCTATCACTGTGGGTCGTAAAAGAACGTAGTAGACATCAAATTAATATAGGTGATGGAACATTACAATTGATTGAATGTTTGGTCAACATAGATAAAAATAATAATAAAAAAGAAGAAAATGATAATAGTAATAAATTAATAATCAGCAATGATAGTGGTCCTATAAATGTTCATAAATACAATAGGTTGATAGCAGCTATTAGATCACATTCCAACTTTAATGAATTCATTCCACTGATTGCCATTCTATCGGCCATTCTAGAGCTTCAAAATGCAAACACCATCTATCTAATTGTATCACTATCACTACTCACAGTTGGTCGTATCATTTACGTTGCATTTGGTACTGCCAATCCTAACATGCGTGGTTGGGGAAGACATCTTGGAATCATCATTACCTTTTTAACTATCCTCTCTCATTCCATCTATTTATTATATTCCTCAAATTATCATTCAATCTATTCTCATTTTAATAAATAAAAAAGAAAAGGAACCAATATTATTATTATTTGTTGTACAAAAATCAATAATTTTATTATTTATTTAATAGTTTGATTTTGAAGTTTCTTTGATAAAAACCAATCTTTGTCTTAGTAGATAGCGCTTTGGATCGTTATATCTATTTAAGCAGACTGAACGAGAGTTATTTAAAGTTTAAATAATCAACCATTGTGATAGAATCCTAGTGAATGGTGATCCCTTGGTCTAAAAGTCAAATCATTATTGTTAAAATAATAAAGTAAGTTTAAATTTTCTTTTTTGTGATTGGTTGGTGTTCGTAGGTTAACTAATTAAGTAAAAGTCAACTTCACAACACTATTAAACCGTTCAATTTCATTGTAACTTTAAATAGACAAAGAAGGACAAGATGCATCTTTATATACCATTGCAAGTGCGCACCTGTCTATCATCAGGTGACATCAAGCTCAGTCAGTGGTCAACGATCAGCGTAGATAAGAAGCTAACGTAAAATATTTCGACCCGTTATTGTTGTATAACAAAACCAACCAATAACAGCTATTTATAGATCACCCAACCATCTTTGTGATTGATGTCTGTCGGATGGTAGATTTTTTATTCCCAGTTGCCGGTTGCTGGTTCATAGATTAAGATTGGGTCGACCCATTGTATGTACAATGATCATCAACCACAACCATCATCATGGTAGCATAATATCAACAGCAAAGCAAAGCAAAGCAAAAAGAAAGAGTAAGTATTTACCCGATGTTCACCAACCGACAGAAAAGTATAAATACCAATCACCCCCCACTACTAACTAACAATAACAACCTTTCATCATCAGCCCTATCTTGTATTATTATTATTATTATATTTTAAAAAAAATGTATAAATTAATTATTTACTTTATAGCATTAAATTGTATTATCAATCAATTCACTACTTGCATATTTGCAAATGGATCAACATCATTCCTTGACGAAAAGGATAAGATCAGCATATCTGGATTTTCTTCGGGTGGCTTTTTCGCCGTCCAATTTCACATGGCCTTTTCATCGATTATTAAAGGTGCTGCCATCATTGCTGCTGGTCCTTATTATTGTATTGTATTATAACTTGTAAATCTATAATATAATATTTATTAATTTATTAATTTATTAATTTAATTATTTATTTATTTATTTAGGCGGACAAGGAAATGCAGATATAGCAGTTGAACAATGTATGAATAATGCTTCATTAATTTCAATACCAAAATTATTAAATTATACTGAGCATGCTGAACGTACCTTTGCAATTGATTCAACTGACAATCTTGCACGTCAAAGAGTATACCTATTCTCTGGTAAATATGATTCAAGTATTCGTCCAGGTACCGTCCATAAATTAGAGGAATATTATTCAAAGTTTGTACCATTTTGGTCAATCAAGAGTGTCTACAATGTACCTGCAGAACACTCGATTGTAACTAAAACCTATGGTAACAATTGTACTTATTTCGGGTGGCCATGGATCAATCAATGTGGTTATGATACAACTTTTAATTTATTATCACATTTGTATGGCTTCTTATTCCCTGCTTCAAATACTCCTTCTTTAGCTTCAAATGTATGAAACATTGAATAATAATTATTAATATGTTGAAAAGAATAATATTAATTGTTTTTTTTTTTTTATCAAAAGATTGTTGAATTTAATCAAACTGCATTCTTACCAATTGGTACTACAAATGAATTTGCTGGATTAGACCAAAGTGCATTTGCATATGTTCCACAATCATGTAGATTATTAAAAAACAAAGGAAGTACGTATTTTTAATCTATATTCTTTAAAATATAATATAATTAATCTATCTATTATTTTAAATTAATTTAGGATGTTCATTACATGTAGCATTTCATGGATGCACCCAATCAGTATCATTTGTTAATAGTACATATTATATGAATATTGGATACAATCAAGTTGCCGACAATAATAACTTGATTATTCTTTATCCACAAGCTCTTGCAAACGCTTTGAATCCAAATGGGTAAAATTTTTTTTATTATTATTTATTAAAAAGATATTTTGAAATGTTCTAATATTGATTATTTTATTAATATGTAGATGTTGGGATTGGTGGGGATACACAGGACCAGATTATGCTACTCAATATGGATTACAAATGATCACAATCAAAAAATTGGTTTCATATGTTCTATCTGAATATATCACACCATTGTAATAGTAATATCTGCATCATAATAGTCAAAATAACTCTTTAAATAAATAAACCATGATATCCTTTTGGTTTATTCTCTTTGATAATGTTGTACAAATAATAAATTAATTATTTATTTAATCATTTGATTTTGAAGTTTCTTTAATAAAAGCCAATCTTTGTCTTAGTGAAGCAACAGTTGAAGTTAAATCTTGTGTTCCCAAAGAAGTAGACGAGGTAGATGAAGTAGAAGTAGTATTGGGTGAAATATTTGTAGTAGGTGGAGAAATATTATTATTATTATTATTAGTGTTATTTGTTGGTTGATTTCCAGCATTACTTAGGCCTCTAATACGATGTAAAGTATTTAAAGCATTGACAGTAGTACTTTTAATTTCATGTTGAGATAATCTTCTTGGATTCAATCCAGTCGTTGTGATTCCCATATTTTCACCAGACATTTGATCCGTAGAATGTTTTCCACTACCATCGCTGCCACTATCAGGTTGCATTTGATTATTTAAATAGGTATTTTGAATATCACGTAATCTTTCAGAATAATGGTTAATGTCACTAGAGGTAAGTTCAGCCTCTTCTTCTTGTTGTTTTTCCAATTGTTGTTTATCGATTTGTTGCAAGTGACGAGTGACATAATTTTGAAAGGTACCAGTAGTTTGCAAGAGGTTGGGTGTAATGTCATAATCTTTAAATTGTTTTTTAAAGTAGTAGAGATCCCACAAGCCGTCGATGGTAAGATCACGATGACCAACCTTTTTGAAAATCTCAGACAGAACTTGCTTTTGCTCAGAAACAGTTGCGCATTTAAAGTTTCTTGGCTCCTTATTTACATTTTGCATCAATGTCTGCATGTGTGACTTTCCATCCTTTCCAACACTACTTGCTACATTTACAACTGGTATCGTATAATTTTGTTGTTGTAAAATCTCTGGTGTATTTAATGGTTGTATACCCAATTCTTCAAATTTCATTTGTTGCGAAATAGCAGGAGGTGAAATATTTTGAACTATTGGTTGAACTGTTGGTTGATTGGTTATTGATTTTGTTGTCGTTGTTGTTTGATTTTCTTGAATTTTAAATAATTGTTTAAAATTATCAATACCACCTAAAAGATCGATTAAAAGATTAAAGAGTGGTTGGAATTTTTGTTGATGTTGTTGATAAGCTTGTCTACAAAAAGCGGCAAACTCATCACCTTTAATATTTAAAAGTTCAGAGGTGAGTGTTTTGGTGGTCTTTTTGGTGGTTTCATCAAGGTTTTGTTGAATGAGGAATTGATTCATCTTGGAGAGGATGATTGAAATGTCCAATTCGTCAACTTTGGCGCCGGGTGCCTTGAGTGATTTGGTGGCACGTAAAAGACAACGAACCAATAAATCATTAAACTTTTCTTGTCCTGGACGTGACCCAACCTTTGTTTTCATTTCCAAAAGTGCACAAAAGAGGGTGGTATTGTTACTGTTTTGAAGTGTACGAAGGAGTACTTGGTTGAGTGCCTTGGTGATCCATTCAAGATCGGCTTGTTGTTGAGGTGAAGAGTCGGGTTGAGCAACCAACAAACGGATAGATTCGGTGAGGACCGTCTCGAGTGAACGTACACTCGACTTTTTGGCTATAATCTCGTTAGAGTAGATGGTAATGATCGTGTGGATCAGATACTTGCACAATCTAAAGATCGATGTATCCATAAATACCTGCGCAAAGATGGATACGAGCAGCTGACTCAATACCATCAAATACTCTTCCGAGAATCTTAAAAACTTTTCTGCCAATGCTGGTTGTGCCGACGAAACAACACCAGATATTTGTTTCAACAATTCCACAGTTTGATCTATATTTTCTCTTCTATATGATTTTAATTCTTCTAAATATTCTTTAAATTTTTCTTCTTCTTCTGAACCAAATGAAGTGGATGAAATTGATGGAGATGATTGTGATTGTTGACTTGGTTGATTTGGTTGATTTGATTGAAATTGTTGTAATAATAAATTTTTATCAGTTTGAGAGAGGGTTGAAAGATATTTCCAAATTTCTTCACCAATATGAATATAGAGTTGAGAAAAACATTGAATGACCTGTTGTTTGATGAGTGGTTCACGATCATTTAATAGTTTGGCAATGGTTGGTACAGTGATTTTAAGGTTACCACAGCAGACGCCACCATGTTGATTGATGAGTTGGCCACATTCGGTAATACTTTCAAGACGTGTACGCCAATTATTGGAACGAATCACTTCCAACGTATAACGGAATTGTGATTGAGGTGGACATACTTCAGACAAGAGACGATAACATTGTTTGAGGAGACCTTTAAATGTTTCATTTGATGTACCACTCTTTTCGGCCAAGATGGGTATGAGACAACTTGCTTCATAATCAGACATGTTATATTCTACAGCTTGCATACGAACCAAAATAGTCTCTAACAGTTTCAAACTTCTCTTGAGTGATGTCAAACCCATGTCAAAAAGTTTAAACGTAACCCAACGAAACAATACATCCACGACTGATAATAATGGCATCATATCTTGTTCTGCCAATTGTATCAACATATCTACTACTTGTTGTGAATGTTGTGGATTGGCTGAAAACATCATGTTTGCAAATTCTTCACTAAAACATGATAATACTTGATCTTGAAGTGTTTCAACTGCTTCTGATGGATCTTGGTAATACCACATTTGTTGTTGATCTTTTTGTCTTGATTTTTTATCATTTGAAATTATAAATGAAGCAGATGATGAAGATGATGGAGCTCTATTATTTGTTGTAGTAGTAGTAGATGTAGTAGATGTAGTAGAAGTAGTTGGTTGTACTTTTTGAACTGGTTGAACTGGTTGAACAGGTTGAACTATTGCTTCTGGTTTTTTTGAATTTGGAGGAGGAGGTTTAGTTTTATAATATTTTTCAATAATTGGTTGAATGGTATTTAAGATGACTGGTTTAATATCACGGAACTCCTTTTTAAAGAGGTCAGGTGGAATATAAATATAAATATAAGAAAGGATGGTTTCAGCCATTGAACGAACATCATTGTTTTTATCTTGAAGACATGCAACGATTGGTTTGACCATATGAGCTGCTTCTTGACCAGACTTTAATGATCCAATGTGTTGAACGGTCCATCCCAATGCCTCTTTTCTACTGACAGCTCCATCTTGTACGATTGGTTGTGCCAGCGATGACATGAATGGGTCGATCACTCCAAGTCCCTCGATGATATGGTTCATGCAGTTGATGGCTGCGTCACGCAATGGTTTTTTGCTGTCAGACAGTATGGCAACGACACCTGGCAAGAGGATCTTTGCACTCTTGTCAAAGGTGGCTCCAGTGGCAACTGCCAACAAACTGATCAGTGACAATGTCGTAGTGACCACCTTTTGGTTCTTGTCAGAGAGGCAACCCTTGGAGAGTAGTGTGACGAGGGACCCAAGCTTGGGTTGAATCTTTCGATTAGCGTCAATGACAATACGCTCGAGATCCTCCAGTGCAGACTGACGCATCTTCCAATCGAGGTCTCCAAGGTTACCGAGAAGTGGACCGTTCAACTTTGAACTAATATCAGTTCTAGGAATAATCTCGTCAATACTGACTTTAAAAGTACGTGTTGGTGGAGACACTCTTTGTTCCTTGGTTTTGGCAACCTCCTTTTCAATCGAGTCTAACAGTGGTTTCTTTACATCTGACAAATAGTCAATGACCGATGGACCAAGTGCCAGCTTGAGTATACCAATCAATTTGATGGCAGCCAATTTAACGGGAGATTGTGTAGACTCGAGACAACTCTTTATAAAATCAAACAATGGTTTTAATAAAAAGCTTCCCACCCCAAATTCCTCTACCATTGGTGTCATCCATGCCAAACAATCCAATGTAATCTTTGGATTCTTGTGTCCTGCTGCGTATCCATAAATCATTGAAAATACAAATTGTGGTGATATACTTTCACTAGCCGTAATTAATAAATTATTTACCAAATCTTTACTTTTAATATCAATTAATTTATCAATTATATCTAAAAAAATTAAAATTAATAATTAAATACAATATACTTTTTTTTCTTTTTTTTTTTAATCTTACTATTAAAAAATAAATTAATAAGTTTGGAAGAATTTGGATCAATTTTTATAATAATAGTAAGAATTGAAATGATATTATTTGAAACTTGAGGATTTGTATCTTTCCAACCAGGTTTTTCTTGAAGGTATTGAATGATGAGTGGGGAGTATGGACCGAGTTCATCACCACCCATTGATTGAATAATGTTTTGAATTTCATCTGTTCCTTCAACACGATCCTTTAAATTGGCACTTGACAACTTGTCAAGAATCTCTTGTGAAATGATTTCTTTTAATTTTTCATTCTTGGGTGGTGCTGGAGCTGCAGCTACGGCACCGGCAGCAGCAGGTTTCTTTTGACCTGCACCCATTTCATCTGCCGATATAGAAACACTAGTAGGAGCCATTGTAATGACTGGTGCTGAAGCAGCCATTAAATCTTTGATTTTCTTCATTTTGATTGGATCCAATTGATTGAGGTAAGGTGCCATACTACGTTCTCCTATAATACCACCGAGTGCACCAAATGCCTTGGCACACGAGTCTCTGACCGACTCTACCGTATCGTTGAGTGCTTCCATGAATATTTTGGCAAGTTGTTTGGACACCTTTTGTATGTCTTGTGGTTTGCGTGTCGTCGAGATGGAACGATAGATGAAATTGAGTGTCTCTTGTTTGGTTTGTGGTACCTTGGAGGCCATCGAAACGGTCACTTCCTCTATCGTCTCACTAAAATTGAGTGAACGTGCCACGATAGAATCGAGTGATGTGCTGATTGCCTTTGTAATCAAAGGCTTCTTTTCTTTGTACAAATTCAACAACCCAGCAATAAATTGTTTACTATGACTTGTAAATCCAGTTCTCAACCCCTCTGCCAATAATCCAATACATGTAATTGCTTTTGTTGCAATTAATAAATTTGTATCTACCAATGTCTAAAAAAATAATAAATTAAAAAATATAAATAAATAACATATATTTCTATTTCTATCTTTCTATAATATTTTACCTTTTTTAAAACTTTAACCAATTCTGAATAATCAGCATTTTCAATCTTTTCAGCAGATGATAATATTTTCTGAAGATTTTCCATATGTTCTGATCTAATTTGCCATTTCTTTTCTTCAACTCCAGTCCAAAATTCAGGATCAATCTTTTTTAATACATCAACTGAATTTAACATTGTATATGGATCAATTTCTTCTACTTCAACCTCTAAAAATTAAAAAATAAACAATACAATTAATAAATGGTCTTTTTGGTTCTTTTTTTTAATTTCTTTTTTTTTTTTGTTTCTTTTTACATACTTTGAGCAGAACCACCAGCTTTAGCAGCAGCCAATGCTTTTGCAGCCTCTGATCTCATATATTTAAGAGGAGCAGCAGGTTCTTGAGGTAATTTATCAAATTGTTCTTGTAAAGCTTTCATTTGGATTGCACTTAAACTCTCCAACCACGACGATATAGTTTTACCCATCCATCTATAAATTTCAACAAGCAATGCACTTGCTTCATCTCTAACATTTTTATCTCTATGTTCAAACCATGGTGGACATTGTTTTAATATTGGTTTAATTGGTACTATTTTTGGTCCAAATGTTCTTAAAAAAAAGAGAGAGAGAGCAAAAGAGAGGTTAGTTTCAAATGCTATTATTTATACTTTTCTTTTCTTTTCTTTTTTTTTTTTTCTTTCATACTTTAAAGATTCTCTTAAACCAATGATAGAAGCAATTAATATTTTTGGTGAAGTACTAGTTGCACCCTTTAAAAGTGATTCGTTTACAGGCTCGGGTGAATCTGCTTCGATGGTTGCCAATAACAACTCTATTGTTTTATCCTTGGCTTTTGGTCTAGTCGATCCAAACCCCTTCTCGACCAACACCGATACCCATTGCGGTGCAAACTTGTTGACGGTATCACATCGATCGATAAATGCACCCAATGTATCTAATACCTTTTCTTGTGACATTGGGTTACTATCTGCTAACAATGTCTTAAATTTTGGTCCTACAAATTGTATAAAGACGAGTAAGTCAAATATGAAGATTCATTATATCTAATCGTCTCTGCAGCCGTTAGTTATATCTATGCCATACCATATTCATTATAAAGTGGACCAGTAGAATCCTCAGCAGATCTAAACTTTTGAGTCAATTCTTCATAGGCGCTCACCTTCCATTTCCAATTCTTGTGAGTTAATCTCTCCTCTAATGGTCCTGATGGTTTCTCATCATCTGCCATTATTTTTTTTTAATCAATCTTTATATCTTTTCGATCGAACCACTAATATACATGTAAAAGAAAGAAAGAAAGAAATGAAATATGAAAGTATATAATAACCAATATATAGATAGATAGAAAGAGATGATGATGATGAAGTACTCAATGATTCATTCTGCTCAAAAAGGTAGGTAGAGACTAAAAAAAAAAAAAAATTAAAAAATCAAAAAAGGAGGGAAACTCTAATTTTTAAATAGTTTGTGTACTTCCTTGTTATTTAATTATTTATATATATATATTATTGATTATATGATTTTAAATTTATAATCATTTCAAATTGAGTAAAAGAAGGTTGAAGATTAAATAGACCAAATAATTCATTGGTTGTTGGAGTGGATGAAGAGTCGCGTGAATCAATCGTAATACATTTAAATGGTGTAGGATTGGTCTCGTTGCAATAATCAATACAAAGAGATTGTAGTAGTATCTTGGCATCACTTGATGAATCGAATCGGTATTGTGAAATGAGACCAAGTTGTTTCTTGACAAGTAGGAATGATTTGCTGTCTTGAAGGTACCGATATTCAACTTGATCAGAGTCTGTCTTTAGACACCCTACTTTGCCCTCCCATTGCGGTGCGTACAACATGTCTGGTACGACTGAATAATCTATATCTGCACCATACTTTACTTGTACTAATCTCTTGATTTGTTCATTGTCAATGATAACTTGTGTAGCACCATCATCCAATGTCAATTGTTGTTGTAGTTGTTGTAGTTGTTCTAATACGATTGGTTTAATGTCACCTTTAACAGTTTGCAAATGACGATGAATATGAAAACCAACAGAGGTGTATGCTTTGACAGCCTTTTCATTGATCGATATGACTTCGAGTTGTATTTGTTCAATACTCTTTTCTTTTGCTAGTATAGGGATTGCGTGTTGGTAGATACATTGTACCAATCTTTTGCCTCTATACTCTGGTACCACTCCAGTGATACAATTGTATGCATTCACACCATCAATACCCAATACTACAAACCCAACCATTACCCCATCCCTCTTTGTATAGGCTGCAAAGCTATACTTGTAATCTACCATGCCCATTCTCCATCTAGAGATAAAGTAGTCATCTGCCACTTGACTGAAATTAACAAAGTAGTCTGAGAATGCAAGTCTCGAACATTGAACTATATCCTTGGGATCAGTACCCTCCAATGACTTTATGATTATAATCTCCTCTTCTTGGGTAGAGTTGTTGTTGTTGTTGGTATTGGGGAAGGTAGGTGGTTGTATCGTATGCTCCATTATATCGGTATGTTGGGTTTTGCTGTGTGTAAGCGGACAAGGTACCTAGGTTGTTCGTAGGATAGGTGGTATGGAATTGATAGAGATGGATGAACAGAATCGATTGAATCGACAAAGACAAGGGATGATACCCCCTAGCAAAGCCAACACAACAGCGTCGTTAGGTTTTGAAAAAAAAACCAAAACAAAAAACGCTTCAATCTCCCATCTGTTCTCGAGCCACCTTGTTGGGCGTGTCTCTGTGTATCAGGTCGAACCAACCATCAACACAAGCTCTATTGAGGATGAGGTGCAGTCAAGCAAAAGTGTTGTTCTCCTTTTGATCAAACGAGCATCGGCATGCGATACAGATATTTCAATTGATCTCTCAATAGATAGTGTGTCTAGACACAGACACAAAGCAACAGCCTGATCACAAACAAACACTTACTTGGTTTATTGGTGTCTGTTCTTTTTTTAATGATATCCAAGATTTGACCGGAGTCTTTTTTTTGATGTTGACGCGAGGAACAAGAGCCAAACCCGAACAAAAATTAAAAAACTCGCATCAACACATACCCCCCGTTCCTGCTTGTGTGATGGGTAGCTTCTTATTCTTGGGTGAAAGCGATTTAGTTGCAATCAACGCCCTCCCTCTTCACAATCACTTTCTTTTTTTTTTTTTTCTCTCAAAGCCCCTTTGGACACACATCTTTTTTCTATTGGCCATCTCTCGTTTCGTACACCATCATCATTCAGACAACAAACTAAAAAAAGAAAAAGAAAAGACAAGAGAGAGAGACTGTTAGCAAGCAACACTACTACAACTACAACAACAGCATTACACAAACAAACAAACAATAAGAGAAAAATAGACAAAAAGACACAACAAGGACAAACCAACCAACACACTGATACAACAACAATAACAAACACAAAAACAAACAAAACTTGCTACAGAAACCTTTTATTTATTTGTTTTAGGTAGTTGTTATAACAACAAACAACAACACAAACAAAAAGAGAGGAGGACACATCACATCTCTAGGCTAGGTTTGACAAAGGAGAGAGAAGAAGACAACAACAACAAGGCATAATAATAATAATCTATATTTATTTATTTAATTTTTTCACATCACTCCCTCCCTCCCTCCCTCTTCCTCTATCTTGCCACCACCCTTTTTGAAACAAACATGAACTCAAAGGTTACAAGTTTGTTTGTTTTAGTGTTTTTGATTTGTTTGGCTTGTCAGATTTTCATTGTAAAAGCCCAAACAGGTAAGTCACCAATGTCGCAATGACCGAAAAAGGCAACATCAAAACCCCCCAACACGTTGATCAAGCCTTGTCTTTTGTTCAAACCATAAAAAAATCTAATTTCTCTTTTTGTCTCTCTCTTTTTTCTTTCTATTTCCATTTGTAGATTTAAATTCACCTAGCTTGGACATTACGAGATTATTACCAACGACGATAGACGTTCATTATACAGTCCAAGGAGGCGACGGCACACCCGTCACAACCCAAGTTTTCCTCAATCAACAATTGGATACCATTTCCAATTGCAACGACACTGATTGTACTTTTAATTCACTCAATCCCGAACAATCCTATAATATTACCATCCTTTTCACAGATGCTACCACTTTTACAAATATTACTCAAATCATTAATACTCCATCATGTAAGTCGAATATAAATAGTTTATCGAAAGTAATTTTGATTCACAATATTTATTTATTATTTTCCCTTTTTCCCTTTTTAGATTTAAATGAACCAATTTTAAATTCAAAAGATGTTCATACAACATGGATAACATTAAATTTGACATTGAGTGGAGGCGACAATTCACAAGAATATCTTATCGACATTACATCTGTAGGTAACGTCTCACCAAGTATGACGTTTACCTGCGAGCTAAATAATACTTTTGAGATTTGTACCATTGACAATCTCATCGACAATACAGACCAATCACTTTTGGTCAAAATAACCAATGGCAATCAAATCAATTCTACTACCATTTCTTTTAAAACTTTTCAATGTAAATATTTAGTATTAATAATATTCGTTGATCATCATCATCATTATTTCTAACAAATATATATATATTTTATTTATATTTAGCTATTCAACTAGTAAATTTAACATATGAAGTACTACCAAATGTTAAAGGAGTTAATTTTACATATAATTTGGTTGGTGGATTGGGAGATTCTATTGTCACGAATGGTTATGGCTGCAACAATACAGATTGTCTTATTTCTTATTCATACCTCATTCAAGGAACCAATGCAACATTTACATTCATCATTGAGAATGACAATACCATTTTAACTTTTCCAGTCACCCTGTATATACCTTGGTCAGGTAAGAAGAAGAAGAAGAAGAAGAATATAAATATTTATTTGTGGATATTAACCAACATTTTCTATTTTCTATATATAGCAAACAACCTTTTTACGATCGCTACACAACTTGTTACGGCCACATCATTTGGTATAAGAAGTAATTATGATGGAAATCCACAAACAAAACGGTACACAATCTATGTCAATAATGTATTACAAACACATTGTAGTAACAATGTAGATCTATGTCAAATGACTGGGTTATCGGCAGCAACAGCCTATTTCATTACTGGATCCGTTTATGATGGTCAATTTAATTTCACTAGACCAGCTACAAGTCCTGTTAATGTTAGAACTCAAGTTGGTAAGTAGTAAAAGACTTAAATATATAGAGGTTATTTACTAAAATTATGATTATTATTATTATTTTTTAAAGCAATTAATACACCAACACTGACACAAACGATTACAACTAAATCTATTAAAATTGATTATTCGATTCTTGGAGGTGCTACTCAATCCGCTTTAAAGAGAAATTATGTACAATTGAATGGTGTCAATGTGACTGGATGTACTCAAGCCACTTGTACAATGAATAATCTTAAAGATGGTACAACTTACAATGTCACTGTTGTTTTTACAAGTGAAGGTTATGTTGTTCTTGCTTCAAGAATGATGACAACTTTTAAAAGTATTTAGAAAAACAATATCACAATCAATCACATTTGTTTTACTTACTTTTTTTTTTTTTTTTTTTTCCAAAAGATATAACAGCACCAATTATTAATTTTTCAAGAGGATATGGAAAACTTGTAGTTAATTGGGTAACATTATATGGTGTACCAGGAACAAGTCGTTACAATGTATTTGCCAATGGAACCATTGTTACAGGATGTTCCAATTTATTGGCTTCGAGTTGTGTTGTTTCAAACTTACAAATTGGTGAAACCTTGGATTTCAGAGTAGATGTAACAAATGATGATGATCTATCAAATAATACAAATAGTTATTTTATTATTCCAGGTATGAGAGAAAAAAAAAGAAAAAGAAAAAAGAGAGAGTAAAAAAGAATCAACAAAAGAGGATGGATAATTAATTGTTATTTTTTATTTTAAATAGAACCAACATTATCAGTAATAACAACAACAACAACATTTGATTCAATTATATTAAATTGGACAGAAAGTATTAGTAGTATACCTTTGGAGCAAACTACATATACTGCAATGATTTCATTTGATTCTTTTACTTGGTTTAGAAAATGTCTAAATACCGCCTCACTCTCTTGTGTCTTTGATAATTTACCTCAAAACACTACCTATAGTACCCGAGTGGATATTAATAGTCCTGGATTTTCACCAAATGAAAATTATAAATCACTTACAACTTTATTTTCAAATGGTAAAAAAAAAAACAAAAGATAAAAAGAAAGAAAGATATAATAATCTTTTTGAAATAATAATAATATTAATCCAAATTTTATTTATTTTTATTATTTTAGAAACAATAACATGTCCAAAATCAAATTCACAAGTCCAATGCAATGGAAAAGGAACATGTGTAGAAGGTATTTGTCAATGTGATGTTGGATTTACAGGACATGCTTGTGAGTGGAAATTAAATGATAGTAGCAAGGTTGCTATAAAGTCATCTTCAAACAAACCATTGTTGGACTTTGGCAATGGGGAGGGATACCAATTTTCAATGTCTCGTTTGGTCGAAGTCGATGCAAATGGAGCTACAGTGGCTACTATTGATATTGCTACTGAGATTTGGGAGTTGGTCACGTCCAACATTGCCATTATCACTCACCCTACCAATGGCAGTCCGGTTTCACAAGTGCGTCGTGTTTATATCCTCTCCAAGAACAGTCCAAACGCTGCGCTTGCCGATAATATTGCCATCACGTTTACACAATTGGTTCCAATCGCAGGGACACTGGGCGACAACTATCCATACGAGTTTGCTGGTGACGACTTTGCGGTCACATATGGTGCCGTCAAGTTTACAATTCGTGTGTCCAAATGGGCATTTACATCATTTGACAATCAGTTGCAGATTCACAGCGAGCTCACTGTTGCCCCGGCCTGTCTAACCTCACCCGTCTCACTCACCTTTGACAACAATGCCAATCGATCTTTTGCACTTGTCTATTCACAGTTCCAATCCAAGGGACGTTCCGTCTATTCTCGTTTTATCAATCGTGCCATGTCTGATGCCTTGCCACGTGCAGTCTCACACAAAATGACCCAATCCTCTACCAGTTTCAATGGTTCCTACACTACAAAGGCCACCATCATCTCGACCTTTGGCAATTTCAGGAGCCAACTTCTCTATGATCCAGATTTTGCTGCTTCCGGCCTCACCACACCACTCTGTGCTTCTCCAACCACCGGTGGCGGAGCAACCACCACCACCTCTTCGACTACCGCTTCAGGAGACACTACGTCTACCACCACCTCTGGAGGTGAGTCAAACCCTTCAACAGAAGATGAAAGTGCATGGAAAATTACAGTTGGTGTGGTAGTAGGTGTAGTTGGATTGGCACTTGTCGCCACTGCCATCTTTCTTACTCGCCAAAGATACATGATGAAATCTAGACAAGGCCAACCCAAGAGAAAAAAACAAAAGAATTCAAATCGATTTGGTATCGATTTGGAAAAAGTTGGAGGAAACAATTAAAAACCATTTCCTCATCGACATTATAAAAATTAATAATCAAATACTACTACTACTACTATATATATAAAGTAAACCATTTCAAGAATATATACATATATAAAAATAAATAATAAAAAATTAAACTTTTTATGTTATTTCCAACTCTACCCTATAGAAAAAATTAATTTAAAATTTTGTAATTGTTAGTTCTGATTAAACTCTACCATCCATATGTCCTCTATCCACTATCTACCATCCTCAATCCACTATCCATGCTCTATGTTTTAAATAATAAATTAATATCAAATATTTTGATGTTTATTAAATTTTGAAAAAAGATTTATTTTGATCGAATAGGATGATTATATTTTGGATAGATTTGGATATAGAATCATAATTCTTTTTCAACATGGATTCACTTATTGATTTCAATAATGATATTAGATCGATTTCAAATTGTAGAAATGGTACAATGTTGTTTAGAATGTCAACATGTTTGTTGTTGGGAATGGTAGAAATGATATCAGACAATTTCTGGTGTACTTGGGTCTGGCTGTTATTAGTCTCGATTAAATCCTTTACAAATAGATTGATTTGGCCAATGACAACATTTGAGTCATACCGAGCAATGATACCAAAAAAACAATCAACATAAGATTTAATTTTCATCAATTGCAATGCAACACCCAATATAATATCACAATATGATGCAACAATTGGTAAATGCTCCAATCCGAATCCTCGTACTTTAAAGAATTGGTTGATTTGTTCAACTATTGGGTATAATAATGGTATTTGTCTTCTACGATGATGATTCACTTTTTTAAATAGAAATAGAAAAGAAAAAAAGAATTAGTACCCAATCAAAAGTAAAAAGTCAGGTTTATTTATGTAACAATATTGTGTTATAATCAATCTTACTTGGTTGTGGTGGTGGAGGTGGAGGTATTTGGAAGTTCATAATAGACATGATGAAAATTAAATTATTTATTTAGTATTGAAAGAATTAGAATATTATTAAATGTGATCCAAAATACGCTTTGAGGACACTCTTTTAAACTAAACCATTATTGGATCAACCAACCCAATGATTTTATCTTTTAAAACTACTACCATTTTAAACATCAGATAATAAATTTTATTAATTTTGTTTTTTTATGTAACAAAAAGATAAAACTAATACTTTTAGGTCATTTTTACCACGAGATTCATTCATTCATGATTTTGATCATAGTAAAGATATCATAGAGTGATGATCCATCTATAATTATATTATATATATATACTCTATATTCAAGTATGAACTATATGATGTTCCTATTGTATATTTGTCAATTGGAAAATGTTTTGTGGTCAAGTATCGATCATGGTTATGATGGTTTGGTCAATGCATATTTCAGAAACCACACTTTATAAAGATAGATGGTAGAAAGAAAGTTTTGTTTAACATTTAGATTTGTATTGATGAGAAAGTTCCTTATCTTTGCAAGTCAGCTTGGTACATTTATTTTTGAGAATCAATCGAGAATACTTTCCAATTTTATTTGGTCTCCCATAAAAACTCTATTGATATTTTAAAAAGCTTGGGTATGTATTGATGAGCGCCAATAGTTCTCTCAAGGTCTCTTACTGCAATCAAAAACAAATCAATTACTCAAATGAATTAAACCTAGGGATCTGTTTAAAAAACATTAGTTTTTATCCTTTTTTATCAAAAAATATTATAATTATTATATTAATTAAATTTATTTATTCTTGAAGAAATTCATTTACATTCATAAAGATTGATGAAGGACAAGCATTCTTTTTGACAGATTCGTCCATAACAACTTTAGTTTGACGAACGACTCTTTCTAGGATGGGTGTGGAAGGTTTGTTGCTATACACCAAGAGGGCGCAATTGAGGTCCTTGGCAATGGGTTCTCTTCTCTCTTTGTCCAAGAGATGAGCAACCGGGCTTTTGAAAGGATCCTGATAGGCAATCAATGAAAAAATTTCATGTAAACTATTTTCATACTCTGGTAGAAAACTATACAACTCTTTTGTACCAAATGCCATAGTATCTTCAATCGGTGAATGTTTAATCATTTCTATAAATTTCTGACACTGTAACTTGAACAATATATCTTTTCTCTTTTGTAAAAAATCTGGATACAATCGATTCAATTCAATTATCACTTTTTCAATTTCACCATTTAATAATAAATCCAATATTGCTAAAAGAGAGAAAATAATATTAGTATATAGATATATTTATATATATTATTTGTTTGTTTCTTTTTTTTTTTGTTTTTTTTATATATTTACTTTGTCTATTTTTAATATAATCTAATTGAGAATTTAAAGTATCATCAACAATTCCAGTTGCACTTGCAAATAATTTAACAGTTTCAGGATAACCATGATGAATGAGATAACCAAGTACAAGTTGAGTAGATATTAATTCTTCGTTGGTGGTTGGTATGGATTGAATCGATTTGAAAGATTTCTGTTTTTCTTCTTTAAAGTATTGACTAATTTCAAATTGGAACTTTTTTTCTCCAAAGTTGGCTTCCACCGATTCCTGTGGCGTACGTAATCCGACGCATGGATACAATGTCAATCCCTTTATATCATTGGCTGCTTCACCCAATGGTACACCATTCTTTGTGAAGAATAGAGTATTATTTACAAAATTTATACAACATCCAACCGTATCACCAGTTGTATAGGTAGGACCATAATGTTTACCAGTTCCTGAACATTTAAATAAATTTCCATCATCACCATGATATCTAAAGTCAAAAGATAGAGAAATATTATTAATAAATACTTTATATATGTAAATATTTATATTTATATATATTTACCCATAACTATTTCTTTCCCAACCAGGTAATTTTGAATGAGCCATTGAATTTGTACATAAACCTATACCTATATAACCATCTCTTCCTTTACTAATGACAGTAATCTCAAAGTAATAGATACCACATGCTGGTGGTATATGATGATTGGCCTTGATGAGAGCAGCGTCTGATACCTCTTTAGTTTGTTTATAGGTGACGCGTAAATGTCTATTTGATACTTCAAGACAACTATTCTTATTCTCTTTACTCCACATTGTAGGTATATCCAACATTGGTTTAAATTGTCCATAGTAATGTGCTGTCGTATTTGAAATATCACCTTCTTCATCATCATCAAGTAATGAACTACTACTTGATGATGGTAAATCTGTCATTATTATTTCTTTTTGTTGTTGCTGAGACATTAATGTAGGTAATGATTAACTTTTTGTTGTAAAGGTAAATAACAAACTAGTCTGATTTAAAGTAACTTCTTTCTTTCTTTCTTTTATTTCTCTCTCTCTCCTATCTGTACTATATATATATAAGTATATAAGTATATTACTAGTAATATAGTAGTATATCTATCTTTGTTTTATAATGTTCGTCTATATCTCTCTTTGCTTTACTTTTAATCTCTTTTTGTTTCAATTTCAAGCAACACCCCATTTTTGGCATGAAATTAAATATTAAATTAAAATCAAATAAATAAATATTATTAAAAGATAATTTAAGTTTTACATATATAATATATAATCAAATTACTATAATATTTATATTATATTTAATTTGATTTGATTTATTTTATTTTAAAATAAATCACGTTTATTTAATTTAAGTTCTTCATCATTTTTTGGTTTAAAATGTTTGACAAAAGTTTGTGAGACCAAGAGTGGGAAGACGAGGGAGGCGTCGGCGTAGACCTTGACGGGCTTGGCATCGAGTTTGATCTTGCCCCAGCTGACAGCTTCATCGGGACGTGCACCAGAGTCAGATCCGTCGAATTCCTGACCCGTGTTGATGTAGACGGCATATTCGGCACCGTTTCTAAAGAGGTTGGCATTGCAAATGTGATGTTTGATGACACCACCACCCAAGATGATGACACCACTCTTTTTAGAGTAGATGGCGTGGTTGTTGATGGCACGGATATCGGCGACGAGGTCGACGATGAGACCGGGCTTGGAGTAGCTGTGAAAGTACATCATGTCACCGATCGAGCCGTCTGTGATGGCTGGACAGTAGACAGGGATGTTGTTACGATGTGCCCAGTAGAGGATGGAATCTTCGTTTTTAATCTCCTCTCCGAGACGGTTGATGACGCGAGAAGGTGTCCATCTGATCCCCTTCTTTTCCTGGTCGTCTACCATACGGTCGAGGACGGGCATCACCCAATCCTCAAACTTGCAGTAGTTGTCATTTGGCACCAAAAGATTACCGATACGATTCAAACCACGACGACGAAGGTCGGCACCAGGCATTGAAAACTCGCCCAGATAGGTTGGTGCCAAACACTTGATAATGTCTTCTTCGACACCACCGGCCGTCGACACGAGCACATCGACCATACTGTGTTGCACGAGGTAACGGATAACCTCACGCACACCCGACGATACCAAGTTGGACGTGTACCCCAAAAATATCTTGCAACGCGTGTTCTTCCGCGTCTCTTGATCGTGGTAGTCTTCCGACTCATCCTCTTTGATTGGGTCATCTGATAGACGCCAGCTGATCATTCTCTTGACCTCTTCGATTGCCTGTCCCATTGCACTTGCTTGGAAGCCAGTTCTGACCAACGATTCAAACAATGCATCATAATCGAGACCCTTGTTGAAATCGTACCCCTTTATCTGTTCTCTACCTTCTAAATCTTTGGGGTCAGATTGAAAAAATACTGCATTCTTTGCGTCATCATTGACTTTTACTTCTTGTTGATTATTCATCTTTTAGAAATAAATAAATATATATGTTGTATGTATGTGATATTAATACAAAAGTATCTCGATTTCTTTGTATAATACTATGATCAATCTTCGTTTTTTCAATTTCAAATTTTTATGGGAGACATGACTTTTTTTTTTTTGCACCAAATTTACTCAATATTAATTAATTTGTACCTGGTATCCTGTAAAATTACCATAATCAATCAAATACTTTAATATTACATTAACCATTAAATGTAAATGGGGATGATGATTGGATTACGATACATGATTCATGATGATTCATCATGATGGTGGTTGTAGTTGTTTATTATTATTATTATTGAATCTAAAATTACCTGGGAACAAAATCATTGTAAATAATTTTAGGTCATCCTGGTTTAAAAAGGAAAGGTATCGAATGAAACCTAATGGATTGCCAATTGGTGAGCACTTGAATTGACTATAGTCTTGGTTTAAAATTAATTTCCTCCATTCTTTAACTTGTATTGATGGAAAAGGTTGAGATCCAATGAACCCACTAGTTAATGGAAATGAAGAGTTGTAGTAATGGTAGATACTCGAATGTGCTGTTGTTGTTGTGGTAGTTGGGATGATATTTTCTAAAAATTGTTTAACAAATGCAAGTATGGGGGTATGATCAGTTTGAATGAAATTTGGAAGGTTTGGATAACGTCCAATAGATTTACAAATTGCAACAAAGTCATCCAAATAATTTGTTGTTCGATTGGTTGTATCCATAATCATTGCTGGTCTATGAATAGTATATGGTAGTTGTGTGTTGATCAATAGATATTCGCATATCCACTTTGATTGTGCATAACCACCATAGATTATCGTAGAGTCTGTACAATCCAATGGCTCTTCCTCTTCAAGTTGAATGAATCCTTTGTTTTGAAGCTCCCCCCATTTCAAACTAGTTGATAATATAGTTGACATGGTAGACATGTAATGTAATTTCTTTAAAACATGACATTGCTTTGAAAAGATAATCATATTTTTCATTGCTTCTACATTGTCTGATATTGATTCATCCAATGTCATAATCATATTTACTTTAGCTGCACAATGAATAATATAATGTACACCTTGAACCAACATTTCATATTCTAGAAATTATAAATAAATAAATAAATAAATATGAATATTTACCAATATATATAATATATATTCCAAAATTAATTTACATACCAGTTTGATCAAGATTAAAATTTGGTTGTGATAAATCTCCTTGTATAAATAAAACGCTATCCTTGTCAAAACCAAGTTGATCTTTTTGGATCAGTAATTGAGTGGCTCTGTCAACATCTCGAACCAAAAATACCAATTTATAATCAGAGAATGAAATGACCATATTTTGAAAAATATGATAACCAATGGTTCCTGTGCATCCAGTAATTAAAATATAACCTTTTTGGGCTTGTCCAAGATTTAGTTGTGGTGATTGTCGTTGTGGTTGATTGATAATAGTATTTAAAAATAGTTGAGAAATTGATTTCAAGTTGGCAACTGATTCGGAATATTGTTCTTCATATTGGTCGATATTTGGATGAGATGTATCTATATAATTGGATATTTGGGTGATACTTTTAAAAGTATAGATTATTTTTGGTGTAATAAAGATTCCTTGGTCTCTTAATGTTTCAATAAATCGAATAGAATGGATTGATTTTAATCCCAAAGAAATTAAATCATCTTCAACTCTAATCAATATCAACATGATTCCTTCTAATATTTGTTTTAATTTGGTTTCGGTTTGATTTAAATGAGAAGAAGAAGGGGAGGAGGAGGAGGATATAAATATTGTTGGAATGGGTAATGCAGATCTATCAATCTTTTCATTTGCATTGATTGGGAATTTATCCAACACCATAAAATGATTGGGGATCATATAGATTGGTAACTTTTTGTTTAAATAATTTGTTAAATCCTCTTTTAAATGAGGACATTGTAGTCGTTGTTGTTGTTGTTGTTGTTGTTGATTTAAAATTAAATAAGCAATCAAAGTAGATTGACCATTAATTGATTTAACATCAACAATAGATTGATGTACCAATGGGTGTAAATCCAATTGCTTTGATATTTCCTCCAATTCGATTCTTTGACCATTTAATTTGATTTGATTGTCCATTCTACCTCTAAATTCAATCTCTGAATTTGCCAATAAACGACCCCAGTCTCCAGTCCTATACATCTTGCTACCATCCTTTGCAAATGTATTCTCTACAAATCTCTTCCTTGTTAAATCATCCTTTCCAAAGTACCCTATTGCAACTCCAACACCTCCAATATAAATCTCTCCTTGATCTCCAATCTTTGTCAGTTGTACTAATTCACCACTATCATCTTCCTCTTTCTCGTCGTCATCTTTTGAAGCAACCAAATAAATACTAGTATTTGGAACTGCATCTCCAATTGGAATGATTATATTTTCTTGTTCTTGTCTATTCAACAACAAATCATTACAAACTAGTATAGATGCACAAACAGTTGTTTCAGTAGGTCCATAGACACTAACCAATCTAACATGTTTACACCACTTTTGGATGACGTGAAGTGGACATATCTCACCTCCAATCACTATAGTTTTAAGAGTTGATAGTTTGTTTGGGTCGGGTGATAGATGTGACAGTAGTGAAGGTGCAAGCATAATACATGTGACAGACATGTCTTGAATACATTGTAACAATGTATCGGTTGATGCACGTACCATGGCCATATCCTTTGGTGATCGTGGGATGATGAGTGTCGACCCCGATAGCAACGTTGTTCCAATCTCTGACAAACTAGCATCAAAGCATATTGGCAGTGACTGTAGTAACCTATCACCAGGTGACAATTGAAACTGTCTTATTTGCTCTTGAATAAAGTTATCTATACCTCTATGTGATACTAAAACTCCTTTTGGTAATCCAGTACTACCAGATGTATAAATTAAATATGCCGGTCTATCCAACAACAATGAACTTGTTGTTGTTGTTGTATCCAATAATGACAATGATGATAATTCATTTACATTGAATTGTTGTTGTTGTTTTAATAAACAATCAATACATAGTATCTTTTTATCGATTGGTGAAGAAGAGGATGAAGATGATATATTTAATATTTCATTATTGATAAATATTGATGATGATTCTGACAGATGATGATATTGATGTTGTACAAGTATAATTGAACAATTTGAATTTGATATAATGTATGATAAACGATCATTTGGCAGACTGGTAGCATCCAAAGGTAGATAGATGGATTGGTATTTAGGATGTAGACTTGTCTTTAAAATAGCAAGTAGTGATACAATTAAATCAATTGATGGTTCACTTAATACTCCTATTACATTATTATTATTATCATTATTATTATTATTATTGTCCTTGACGATATGATCAATGATGATTGATTGTAACAATGATGATTGTTTATCTAATTCTTGGTATGTTAATTTAATATCATCACTACTACTATTACTACTACTACTATTACTAGATGTTAATGATGATTGATGTAATGCTACATTATTTGGGTATTGATGAACTATGTCTTTGAATCTTTGAATAAATGAGTGTTGAGGTTGATTATGATGATGATGATGAACCACCATATCTCTCCGATTAATTAAATTATAATTGTAATACCATCTTTGATGATGATCATTCTTTGATGATAAATACCCAAAAAATAATAATTAAAAATAAAAAAACAAAAAGAGACGACAAACGAATCAGACGAGTTATTAATGAGCGAGAACTGATTTCTGATTGTATTATTATATTATCTCTTTAGTACTATATTCTATAAAGTATAGTATAGATTAGATATATATATATATAAGATGGTGAAAGGAAAGACTACCTACCCCAACTACACCTAAAAAGAAAGAAGATAATAAGAGAAAGAATGTAGAGGATTCTAAAAGATCAACAACAACAACAACTCCTCAACCAGTCGTTGAAAAAGAGATTCAAAAGAAACAAAAGACTAGTACTAGTAATAGTACATCTTCTACTACTACACCAAATAAACAACAACAACAACAACAACAAAATAGTAATACATCAACAGGAACAAAAAAGAGTTTTGAAATTGATTATATTAAACAATTAAAAGGATTACAACAAGAAGGTGATCAACAACAAGATGTAAAGGTCTTGACTTTAGATTCAAAAGAACTTCATCTTCAAATATCATCACTTACATTGGGTGATTTAATGGCTTCTTTACAAAAGGGTAAGAATGAATGAATGAATGAAGAGAAAGGATGATGATTTATATTAACTTTCTTGTTTGTTTGTTTTATGTTTTGTTTAGGAAACTATAGAATTGATGTAGCAGAATATATATTAAATGAAAAGATATCTGGATTGGTTGATAAATATCAATTCTTGTTGGAATGGGCATTCAATGTGTTGAGTGCATCGTACAAGAGAACATCGAGTAATACTAATATTGCACATAGCAATGTGACACCTTATTGCTTTGAATTGCGTATTTGGAAGATACTCGAGCAAGTATTGGTCAAGAAGGAATTTAGTGCTAATGAGGAATCGACCAACAGCATCTTTTTGGCAAAAGATCATTTGTCATTCATGTTGGACATTGTCGCCAATATCCATCGTCATTTTACAGTGTCGACTGATTCAAACCCATCCACCATCCCACCACTTCCCATCGTCCAACACATCCTCAACATCCTACCACGATCTATCCAACTACACCACGTACCAGACTTTCACCGTGAACTGGTTATCTTTATTGAAAAGTTTGTTCCATCCATCTCACAACTCTTCCAAAGCAATAATAATAGTCTATTGGTAGGAGGAGGAGGAGGAGGAGGGGATACAGCCGCCGCCAAGTCTGGGTCATCGTCACCAATGGTACAAGTGATGCATCAAGTATTCAAGATTGTGTTTGTCGTGTTGGACCACTTTCTTCAAATGATCAAAAGAGGTAGAAACTCAAGACCACTCTACAACATTGTCATCTCTATCCTCCCACATCTCATTACCTACCAACATTTCTTACAATCTTATTTGGAGCGTCTATACACTTCCTCTTTGACAACAAAGATTAACAATGCTGTAGACGAGTCTGGTGCTGGAAAAAAGGAAAATGATAATATTATATCATCTTTGGAATCAAATATTGAAATGGTTGATAGTATTTTAAAGTGGTCTTGTTTCCATCCAGATTCAAGATGGGAAACTTTATTAACTTTAACCAAACAACAAGGAAATGATAAGGAAAAAGAAAAGGAGAAAGAAAAGGATAAAAAATCATCAACCAAAGGAAAAGAAAAGGAAAAGGAAAAGGATGAAAAGAAAGAAGTAGTAGGAGCGGAAGGAGGAGAGAAAAAAGATAATAATAATTTACAAATATTATTTGATAAATTGGAATCTATTTTAAATGCAAAGGAAGTAGTTAAAGGATTCCCATTGGATGGTGGAAAAATTGATCCAAAACATATAGTATTGGAATGGATATCAAGATTATTATCATTATTTGTATCACAATACAAATCAGTTGGTAAATCACAAATCAATAATCAATTATTATCAGAATGTAAAGTTTCAATTGAATTTGGTTTCTTTAAATCTTTATATACTTTAATTATTAACAATAATAATAGTAATCAATCACAATCACAAGTTGCAACAACAACAAAAACAACTAAGAAATCATCCTCTTCTTCTTCATCTTCTTCAACTTCATCAATTAAAATATTAGAACCAATTTATTATTTATCAATTTCAAAATTAATTGATAATGTTTCATCTATTAATATTGTTCATCATGACAACCCACAAGAATTTGATTTTCTTTTGGATCATGTAAAGTTGACCATTCAAACATTGGCATCTTCTGAAACCTCTCAACAACGATCGCAATCCAATGGACTCTATTTGATGTTATCGTCCTATCTCAAACTTTCACATAAATTATTGGAATCTAATTTTGAAAAAATTATTGGCCTAATTATCTCTCAATCAATTCCAACTGTAAATATTAACAACATTTAAAAAACAAATATATACTCTATCATTTCTTACTTATACTTTTTTTAATTTTGTTTTTATTTTTTAGGAAAATAGTATAATTTTAATGAATACATTTTTAGATACATATTTATCAATTCGTCAATCAGATGTATTATTTAAAGCAATTAATAATCAAATTATTAATGGTAGATTAAAGACCATCTCGGTTTCACTATTCAAAAACCCAACATTTATTGCTCGCTTGTCACACCATGTCTCCAACATTCCATTTGGTCTCATTCCAAATCTATTTGAAAGTATGTCTTTGGTTTACTCTGACTACTTTATCACTCAATTATCTGAATTATACAACAACAACAACTCATCTCAAGATAATAATGATATGATGATGATGGATCCAATTATTTGTGATAGATTAGAATGTTTCCAAATTTTGTTTTGCGTATTATACGATCATGTTGATATGTCAAACTTTGTCATTCAAAATCTTCAGAAATTCTTACCAAATCATTATACAACCATAGTCACCCCAATCGTTCAACTAATGGGTGCACTATTAGAAAGTAAAAAGAAAAAGGCTGGTTACGATACTTGTCAAAAGGCTATTCCATTGACACTCAACATGTACTATAGTTTTACTCAAGTACATAGTTTTGTCAATCGTCAAGTCATTGTCAAGGAGGGTGAAGGCCAAAACGACTACCACTTTCATCCACAACAATTCCATTACTACCAACTCTACGAAAAACAATTTCAATCATCCAACATTATGAAATTGATCATTCAACTTTTAGATCAAGATAAACTTCAACTCTCAGGTGACAAGAATAATAATAATAATAATAATCTATCCATCTATAAATTATTCATTTCTCGTATTCAACAATTAAATTCATTATTGTCATCAGAAGCTCATGGAATTGAAAAAGTAGAGGAACCAAAGAAAAAGGATAAAAAGATAAAAAGGATAAAAAAGATGCAACATCGGCAGGACTCAATATTGAATTATCAAGTTTAGAAAATTCAACACCATCAGCCATTAGAAAGGAATTAAATGGATTGGTTAATCATATCTTGCAACAATATATTGAAATGGTTGAAAACAAGAAGAAACAAGAATCTAGTTTGGAAATGGAAGGATTAAATCAATTAATTTTGGATAATATTTGTGTTTGGTGTGATTATGCTTTACCAAATCATATTTTGGATATATTATCATTTATTTTATCACCAAACAACAATCATATTAATAGTAATAACGGTATCAACAAACCAACAACCTTTAATTTGGTTTTAACCAATTCACAATTTTATGAAATTGAATCATTTAGACAATTGTTACCATTATCTTTGGCAATTGAAATTCAAAAAAGAATCCCTTCCTCCTCTTCCTCAAAAGATGGAAAATATTCATTATTATCAAATCTTATTGATCAATACAAAGATGAATTAAATAATAATAATAATAATAATAATAATAATAAGTCATTGGAAAAGTCAATTAAACAAGTTTCAGATTTAATATTATCATCAAAGGAAAAGAAGGATTCAAAGATAAAATGTTTGGAAAAAGAATCATTACAACAATTAACTTGGTTAATGTCAATCATTCCAGCCATCAATCCATTATATTTCGATCATTCTTCAATTACATTTTTAATTTTAATTATTTTTATTACACTATCAATCATTCAACAAGAAAAAGGAGAAAGTAATAATAATAATAATAATAATAATACAATATTGGCAACATTAAAATTAATCAAACATTGTTTGAATTTAAATAGTAGACAATTGACACAACAAATACCAATTAAATTGTGGCAATCTATTCAAATGGAACATTGCAACAATAATGACATCAAACAAGTAGTTATGGACATTCAGGTGATTGTTTGTAACGAATTGTTACATTTGGGTGCTAGTGGTAGTCAGCAGCAGTACACTACTCTATTGGAATCGATCAATCATTCAATCAACCAACTTGAAAAGACTAAAAACATGCAAGAATTGATTGTATTCCTTAGATCGTTGACCGTAGAAGAACAAGATAGTGGATATACAACTTTGCCATCACTATCCTCTATTTTGGACGGAAAACAATACAACCAATTGGATACTACGTACCATCAATACTTGAATGACATTACCAAACAATTGAAAGAGAAATCATCCAAATTGGAATCAAGATCAAATGTAGATGAAATTCAACAATTCTTTGATAAAAATAATGATAAATTATCTCTCATACTTTATTATATGTGGTATCTTAAACAAGATAACAATAATAGTAATAATAATGAAATAGTTGAATCCAATTATTTATCATTGATTATCAAATACTCCTCACCTTTGATTGTCAAAATTTATAATTCTTCAAAAGATAATAATAATAATAATAATAATCTACAACAACAATCAACCAGTCATATAGAATCACTTATTATTATGACCATTTCATTATTTACATCAAAATATTTAAATACTTTGTTGGAAAAGCAAGAGGAGGGAGAAGGACAAGAAGGATTATACAACTTGTCATATCTATTATCAATCATTGTTGTTTATTTACAATCAATGTATCCTCAACAATCCAAACAATCAATATTAATTTCAAATTCAATTTTACAAATTTATCATTTCAACAATAATAATAATAATTATAATTATATTCAATCCTCTTCATCTTCATCATCTTCTCAAATTCAATTAATTCCATCATTAATTAACCTTTGGAAAACTGATAAAAGATTATCAACTCAATTATCAATCATTCAAATTATCAATCTTTTATTAAATACCGATGTTTTAATAACAAGTTCTACATTGGTTCAAATCTCTCAATCCATTCTATCAAGTATTCAATATATTGCCAATCATCAATTTGATATTAGAAAATATATTTTTAATAATCTTAAATTGAAAAAGGATATTAATAATAATAATAATGGACAAGACTGTAGTGACCAAGATTTCAAAACAATCAATCAAATTACAACCATGTCACTCAATATATTATCAAAATTGATTGAAAATACAAAGGAAAGTAATAAGGAAAAGGATCAAATGGATTATACCCCATCATCATCATCAACAACAAGTACTGCTAGTCATAATTTAATATTATATGAAATGGCTATACTTGCTATAATGACATTTAATCCACCATTTATCTATAAAAAGATGTTACCAATGAAACAACAACAACATCAAACTACAGATAACAATGTCAAGAATAATATGGAAATAGATATGTCACCAATGTTTGAAATTACACCAACCGATTATACTCATTGGATGCCATTGACAAACTCTACATTCCTAGGTCTATGTAGATTATTATCATCTATTACTAGATCACTCATTAATTCTGGTAATCATAGTTTATTACAAACTCATATTCCAATTATAATTAATTGTTCAAGATGTAAGTAGAGAGAAAAAGAAATAATATAATATATTGATACTTACCATTCATTTAATTTACTCTAATCTATCTTAGATTTAATTTATGGATTAGGAGATGAAGAAAACAAATTATCAGAACATTGTACAAGAAATCTATCAAGATTATTAGACATGTTGGGTAGAATGAAGGATATAAAGGAATATGCTCATTATCTAGTACTTGATTATATTAATATATTGACGTTTGTACCGACTACATCAACCTCTTCTTCGTCGTCGTCGTCATCATCATCGTCTAAACAACTTCAACAACATCTTCAAACACTATCTACACTTGAAAACTATCAACAACTTGCACCATCAGTGTGGGCAGTTACTAGATACTACTATTCACTCGAGACTAGACGTATCCTCCAACCAGGTCTATCATCGTTATTCGGTATCATCGAAGACTCTATGCGAAACGTAGTGTTTAGCTCACTCGGTGATATTGCCAAACCTCACTTTAAAGTACTCTATGAATCTTTTAAAAATGAAAAACAATATAGTGGTAAATAAAGCTATTAATAGTATAACTTATCATAGTACTACTAAAATTATATTATCTTCATCCTATGCATTCTTCTTATGTTCTTTGAGTAATGCATAGTTTCCGAGTCCTCACGGTGGACGGGCAATTTTTTTTCAAATTCAAAACAATTTTTAATCAAAAAAATCAAAAATTTGGCGTGCTGTCGAGCAGTGAGCGGGATGCGGCACAGACTCATGCATTTTTGAAGAAGACTGCCTTTGATCGTTTTTTTAGTACTTGCACACACAGATCCCGTCACAATGGTGATTATCTTCCTTTAAAATATATAACAGAGATCTATTCAGCGTATCAAAGAGACTAACATGCAATCTCTCATCCATCCACTACCATACAACCATTTCATCTCTATACTTTTAGGCTATTAACGAATATCAAGTTGTTGGTCGTCACGTCCCAACTGAAAGAGACCCACAACCAAAGCTCTACAGAATGAGATTGTTCGCTAAGACCGAAGTCCATGCCAAGAGCAGATTCTGGTACTTCTTGTCCAAGATCCAAAAGATGAAGAAGACTACTGGTCAAATCATCAACATTACTCAAGTATGTTTTTAGATGAGAGGAGAGAGGAGAATAGAGAATAGAAAGACAGAATGAAAAAGAGAGAACAAAAACACTAACATCCATCATTCACAAATACATTCATTATTACTCTATTTACACTTGTGTTTCAACTTTAGATCTTTGAGAAGAAGCCAACCACCATCAAGAACTACGGTGTCTTCATTAGATACAACTCACGTAGTGGTACTCACAACATCTACAAGGAATACCGTGATACCTCTCGTTGTGGTGCTATTGCTCAAATGTATGACGAAATGGCCTCACGTCACTCTGCCCGTGAAAAGTCCATTCACATCATTGAAATCAAGCAAATTGCTGCTGCTCAATGCAAGCGTGCCAACACCAAGCAATTCCACGATGCCGCCATCAAGTTCCCACTCGCTCACCGTGTCCCAAGATTGTTGCCAAAGTTCAAGCCAACCTTCAAGGCCTTCAAGCCAACCACCTGCGCTTAAACCGTATAAAGTAGTTTAGATGTAATGAGGATCGCAAGAACAAATAAATTTAAAATTATATAAAAAAAAAAATCCAACCAAAATTATAGCAGCAAATAGTATTATTATTATTATTATTTAGAGAGCATAAATAGAATAGAATAGATACTACGAATTGAACAACAACAATTCGCTACAATTATTATTGACTAATTTAGGAACTCCTCAATATAACCAAAATGGGTATCTTTTCCATTTTGATTCAAACTATTACAGAGTAGGGAGCAGCTACCTTTTTTTTTTTTAAATATAACCTATAATAATAATTATTTTAATTATTTTAATTATTTCCTTCCAAACCAAACCAAATATGTTCATTCCTTCATTCATTCTATAAACACATTCTACACAGGACGATGAACAACAATGGATGAGAGACTAACCATCTTTGAGCCAAAAATTTCATTTTTTCCCAGAAGACTACAAAATTTTGATAAAAGGAGTCACATGAACTCCAAAAAAACATCATTTTTTTTTAAAAACAAGATATAATATCTTTTCAAAAACCAACAGCTAGCTTTTTTATTCCTCTACACATCATTTTTTACATCTTGTAATTATATATTAAATTATTTATTTATTTATAAATCATGGATACAGATACCACTACCACTACCACCACAATTAGTAATGACGACAGAGAATTAATTAACAAAGTCGTTCAAAGTTCAACTTCTTCCAATGTAGAGGTAAGCTAGGATAGATATATCAGTGATTGATCTAAAGATTCAATGGTTGTATAATTATAATTATTAACATTTTAATTTAATTTATTTATTTAGATTTGTATATGTTTTGATACTACTGGTAGTATGTCTAGTATTATTGAAAATGTAAAGTTACAAGTTGAAACAACAATCACTAGATTATTAAAGGATATTCCATCGATTAGAATTGGTGTGATGGCAATGGGTGATTACTGTGATGGTAGTGCTGTATTGTCAACTCTTAATTTGACGAGTGATGTTGATCAGTTGACCAAGTTTATCCATAGTGTCACTGGAACAGGAGGTGGTGATTTACCAGAGGCATATGAATATGCATTGATGAAGGCCAAGGATCTTGCATGGTCTCCAAATGCCTCCAAGGCGTTTGTTGTGATTGGTGATGCCGCTCCACACCCTCCATCTTACACTGACCTCAATATCAACTGGTTCAAAGAGGTTGATGACTTGGCAAAGATGGGTGTCAAGATTTACGGTGTCAAGGCCAAGTGTGACCAACCCATCTTTTACGAAGAGATTGCCGAGCGTTCAGGAGGCATCTCTATCAACTTTGAAAAGTTCTCACTCATCACCGAACTGTTCCTCGCTATTTGCTACAGAGAGTATTCGGCCGACCACCTGCACCAATTTGAAAAAGAGGTGACTGGTCATGGTTCAGCTCCAATCGAATTAACAAGAATGTTTGATGAATTACATAGAGAGAATTTCCCAATCGAGCGAGCTGTCGAATCAACTACATCAACAACAACCAATAATAATAACAATAACAGTTCAGCTGAAACAAAGGTATATGGAGCACCACATATCTTAAAGACAACAGAGTTTTGGTATAATATTGGTGCTGACAAGGCTACCAAACCATCCTATTATTTCAACAAGACATTGGGATACTTCCAACCAGGTAAACCAGCCAACTACACTGCTCCAACAAGCTCATCAGCTCATGTTACCATCCCATCAATCCTCAAACCTGTATCGACACCTACAACAGCTCCAACCACATTGAAAAAGGTTAAATCTGTTTCTATCAAACTTCCACCAACCTCTTCTGCATCTACAACCTCTCCCACCACATCTACACCAAAAAAGACAACCGTTCAAATTGTTGAAACAAGATTACGTAAAAAGGCTAGAGAATCGATTGACTTTATTGCAGGTGGAAAGCAACGTCAAGAGTCATTATTTAACTTGCTCGGAAAGGATTACACCGGTCCAAGTGAATCAGAGCTAGAGATGATCTTTAGAGTATTTGCCAATGCCAATGGAAAAATTACTAGTGATGGTTTACAAGCTGTCCTTAGGTCAATGGGCAAGAGACCACGTGCCAAGAGAATGCAAAAGATTCTTAGCGAGATCGACCCATCTGGTAGTGGATTTGTTGAAATGGACGATTTCGTAGAGTATATGCAAAACAAGGCATTGATCAAAGCAAAGACATTGGGATTAGTTGATATCGAGTATGAAGATGATTCAGATGCCGAGGGTGAAGACGATGAAGGAGGAGACACTGATGAAGAAACTGAAGATGGACCAAAACAAAAAGCAAAGGGTGGCATCAAGAGAAAGAAAACACAAGAGAAAAAGGAAAAGACATCACCATCCTCTCCAACTACATCAGTACCAGTCGCACTCAAGAAACAACCAACATTCTTTGCACCAGCTAAAAAGGGAGCTGTCATTTCACACTTTTATACTGAACATGCTGGCAATAACCAATTCACAAAGAATCCAGAGGGAAGTCAATATGACTTGGGTGTAGACGGAGCATTTGACACTTTCAACGTGTTGGTAGGCCAGTTTTCAGAGGAAAAGGAAGACTCTATCTTTGCAAAGTCTCTCAAGACCACCTATGCCAAGAAGGGATTCCAGTTCAAAGTGGTTACCGATCCCAAGCTATTTGTTGCTGATCTTGCCGACGAGACGTATGATGAAGCTGTCATTATCCCATCGACCAACGCGATCAAGTCAATGTCTGGATTCGACCTAGAGTTTACCAACGCCGTCATCAAATTCAATCAACAGGGTAAGGGTCTGTTACTATTTGCAACCAACAAGGAAAACACTGAAACCAACTTGGTACTCAGTAGTTTGTTTGGTCGCAAGTGCGCAGTCTCTGACACTTCAGCCGAGACATTCTCTGGTAAAGCCAAATCAATGAGTTTTGGTAAAAACAAAAACAACATTGCACAAGAGTTTAAAGAGCATTTAGTGACATCTGGACTAGTCAGTCTTTCACAAGGCAATGCATTACATCATCTCAAGAGTGGTGTGCCAGCTGGTTTAACAGTACTAGCTACCTCTTCAAGTGACCGTCCAACTATCCTCGTGTCAGATGACTCATCCTTGCCAGATCACCACGGTCGTGTGATTGTCGATCTATCGGGTATTGCCAAATTCAACAAACCAGCTACCAACCAAGGTGTAGTACGTTACCTTGGTAACTCTCTCGTATGGCTCCTCTCAATTGACCATCGTTTCAAGCACAACCTTCCAGTCAAGGGTGGCATCCAAAAGTCGGATACTGTCGCATGGCAACACCGTCCCATTGGCAGTGTGCAACGTTGGGATAGTTACGACCAAGAGACATCCGACCTCATTGAAGCCAACTATCAATCTTGGAAGGACGCCAACAAACCAACTTCAACCGCCATCTTTTCATTTGACCATTATAAATTGAATTTCGAGACTCTCCTTTTGACCGATACCAATACTAAATCAACCAAATCAACCAATACTGGAAAGAATATTAGAAGAAAGGTTCAAACTTCAATTAATCCAAATCAACTAGTTAAAAAATAAATAAACCAAAAACATTAATTTAAATTAATTAAAATCGACGATACACACATCATTATTCGTTTTGCATGTTCATTTTCATTATTATCATCGTCTAAAATTAGAGATAGAGAGAGAAATGGTAGATCTTAATTCAATTACAACTTTGGTGACTTCTTCAGTAAAGAATCATCAAAAGGAGTTGTTATATGTAGCAGGTTATTATGGTGTAGCTGCTGCAATCAATTGTATGACATCTCATATATATTTCAGTATCGATTAGATGACTAATATATCTATGTATCTATGTATCTCTATTTCTATCCAGATATAACATATAGAATGCATTCAAAGAAACCACAAGAAACTATTGAACATTATATAATCAATGCACCAGTTATTATTGATTTACAAGTAAAGATGTTACAAACCAATGATTTCGAGAGAATATTCAAAGGTAATCAAATGTTGTTGTTGTATACCAACATTTCATCAAACAAGGCTGCAATCTTGCAACTATCAAATAGAAAGACAATCCTTGGATTGGTAGAGATTATCCGTACTGCATCATCTGCAGTCTCCAAACAATACCTAAACAGTCAATTTAAAACACCCGAAGAAAGAGATATGGTCATCAATGTTGTAGGTGCAAATAATATAATGACATTTTCAATTATGATTTTAGATTTATTATATACTTATTGTATGTATTATCAAAAACAAGACTAATCAAAGTCAACATACATATAATATAATATTTGTATAAAATATTTATTTGTTCTTTTTTTTTAGGCTCATTGGAGGAAATACCAATTAGAGAAATTATAGATTTAATGGAATCAATTGAAACACCAATGCCAATTGTAATCTTGTTGGGATATTCAATTGCTAAATTGATAAACACTAGAAGAGATGCAAGAGCTGAATGTATTAATCAAGGTGCCTACAAGGCATTGGGTGATTTGTTATTGATTTATGGTGGTGATCTTAAATTTGAAATCAAAGATGCACTTTATAAGCTGACAACTACCATCTCTGTGGCTATTAAAAGAAATCTAATCGATACTGATATGATTGATTATAACACTTACCAACACCTAAAGAATTGGAGATTTATCGGTTGGCTTCCAAGACCATTCAAATACAATGTACTTTGGAATACATTTACCTTTGCATCGGCTATTGCCTATGTACATCTGTTCAAAGATCAATCCGTATGGCAAGCATGTGCACTTGGTGCAAGTGCCATTCTCTTACCAAAGATACATACAATGATCTACGATCCCATCAAGAGTCGTCTCAATACCCAACGTTCCCTCTTCCTCTTTGACACTTTTGATATGGGCTTGTGTTTTTCTGCCATGCATGCTCTCAACAATCTCGTTTTCAACAACAACTATACCATTGTCTACATTGGATCTAGTTTTATCAATAGTATCATTCAATACACTAGAGATCAAACAAAACATAATCGTTCTCTAAATGCTTTCTTTAGAAGAGATGAAGTTAGTATTAGTGATGATTTAACAAATCCTGAATTACAAAAGAACCAATAAATAATAAAAACAAAGTAATTAATATATAGTTTCTAAAAAAAAATGAATTTAATATCTATTCTTATTGTTGTTCATTTTCCTCTTCTTGTTGTTCCTCTTCTTCTTCATCATCATCATCACCAAAATCTATAGAGATATCATATAATCTTGGGTTTTCAGAATCTTGAATCATTGATACATTAACTTGAATATTTTCAAATCCAGTAATATTCAATTCACTTGGTAATAATATATTTGTTTGTTTCCAATGAGTTGCTGGTTGTCCAGGAGCAGTTGATAGTTGTACTGTTTGATTGGTTGATCCCTATGTATTAAAAAATATTGTTAATATTAATTATATTAAATTATATTAATTATTTTTGATTTGATATTTACAATAAAATAACAATTAAACCAAATTGAGAAACCATGAATAATAGTAGTTTTAGAAGGTTCCAATTGATGATCAAACTTGAAATCTATATTTTTTAAAACAATTGATCTAAGTTCTTCTTTGTCTATGGTTGTGAAATCAATGTATTTGAGGGTGACTGGATTGGCAGTGACTGCCGATGATTCTAAATGTTCTATCCATGGAGATGGAAGTGACTCGGTGGCAATTGGTTTAAAGATGGAATAGTCAAAACCATATACATCGTCCCAATAGTTGACCTTTTCATCAAGATGTGATTTTACATTGATTGGTGCCATGATGATATCACCGTGTGTTGGGAACAAGATACCGCTCTTTTTGTTTAACCATTGATCACGTGCATCCAATACACTCTCCAACATTGATTCATGTAGTAAATAGAATCCCATCCATTCCGATACTATCACATCTACACTTGTCAATCCATCCAAATCTTCACTTGTTACATCTTCCACCTTTTTATTAATCACTTTAATCTTTTCCGACATTCCATTCTTTTCTATGATTTGATTACAATAATTTGCCATTGGTGATGCTTCAACTATATAATATAAAATAAATAAATACAACTTTAGAATCATATATACTCCTTCAAAGTATTTAAACATTAAATAAAACATACTTGCATAAACCTTTGATGCTAAACCATATCTAATTGCAAACATTGAAAGAATACCTGTACCTGCACCAACTATAATTTAAAACAACAAACAAATAAATTAGAATTCATGTTGATGATGATTGTATTCTATCTATCTCTATCTATCTATCTATCTCTATCTACAATGTACATACTATCCATAACAACCTTGTCTTTAAAGTCTATTTGATTACGTTCAATTGCATTTTTGTAGGCCAATGTTCTTGGTTTATCTTTCAACATTACCTCATGAACATTTAGATCAAAGTAACTTGAAAAGTAATCTTTTGTTGGTAAATATGATGATGCTGAAGATGAAATTGATTCATTATCACTATTATTATTATTATCTTCTGACATTATGTCTCTCTCAATATATATCTATTTTAATAACTGAAATCTGACAACAATCGATCCAATGCCATTTCTCTCGTTCGTTTTTTGACACAATAATTATCATTTTAATTAAATGGTAATTATTTGTTTAACAATGAACTTAGGACTACAATGAATCAGCTCAGTTCTCAACTCATAGTGATCAACTCAAAGGGGGTTTTTTGTCTTTTAATTAAGTTAGGGGGGGGGGGGGGGGGGGGGTTGGGTTGGGTAGGTTGGAGTAGTG